CAAGATATGCAGGCAATATTGGGCAATATTGGAAAGTGAGGTTATACAGACTTCGCTTCTTGAAACAGACCCTAGAGACCCAGGCGGTCTGAGCTAGCAGATCATTTGTATATAGAGTCATCTCAAGCCACCAACAGCCGAGAAGGAGTTAGTTAGTTAAGGACTACTGCAGCCCTAGTTGATCATTGTAATCAGAATACCTCATTCCAAGCCCAGTCTATCTGCCCTTGTTATAGCCAGCCCAGACCGCCTAGGTCTCTGGGGTCTGTTTCAAGAAGCGAAGTCTGTATAACCTCACTTTCCAATATTGCCCAATATTGCCTGCATATCTTGAAAGATCATGAACAGCTTGCAATAGTCCTTCGTACGGCCGAAGTGCGAGGCGAACTGCATACTTCAGCCGGTACAGAGGTTACACGTGTAACACTGGCAGACCAGTTGTATATAGATTCAAGTCAAGCCACCAACAGCCAAGAAGGAGTTGGTTGGCCAAGGACTTATGCAGCCCTAGTTAATCATTGTAATCTGAATTGCCTAGATTCCAAGCCCAGTATTACTGCCCTTGTTATAGAGGACTTCAATAAAATCATGACGCTCTTGACAAGTCTGGGAAATAGAAAATTGATTGGGTTACCCGATCTTGTTCCATGCGAGTTACGGTCCTTTGATTCGCAGAAACCTTAGGACTGTTGAGGACGTCACGCTCAGAAATGCACCTTGACTTTATTACACTTGAGGTCGACGACACGAACAACCATGAAATTCCCAGCAAGGTACCTAGTCCAAATTTACCAACACACCTTGAGCCCAGAAACGACCCAGATATCGACCCAGACTATGAGTTTGCAATTGAGAACGGAGTCGTCTTTTCGCTAAGATCCCCGACGGCCTCAGCATGGAGGATGCGGGCACTATGAGCACTGTCTTCACCACAGCAATCTACGCCCTATGCCACCTGTGCCCCCCCTCCAGAACGGGCCAGATTATTCTCATCCACTCGGCCTGTGGCGCCGTTGGCATCGCTGCGATTCAGCTTGCCCAGATGGTAGGCGCCAAGATCTTCGCTATGGTAGGCAACCGGGAGAAAGTACAATATCTTGTAGAAACCTTCAGCATTCCTCGCGAGCAGATTTTCGACTCGCATAGCAATTCTTCCATGCAGGACGTAATGACGGCCACGGACGGCCAGGGGGTCGATGTGGCACTAAACTCGCTTGCCGGCGAATTGCTTCACTCAACTTGGGGAGAGCAGTGCTTTCCGGGTGTTCTTCTTCAATGGTATCACCGACTTTATAAGTGTACATCGCATACTTACTCTAACATCAATCCCGCATCGTAACCGGCCTTCACCAACCCTGTCATAGCGCTGCCCGGCTGTATTCCGATGTAGACCTTTTGTTATTGCGCCTTTCCTTAGCTTTTATGTACGTTATTCCTTGGTCTGTGCTGTATATCGGAAACCAGGTCTAGTTAAATCCATAACAAGGCCTTAGCAAATGTGTAGACGTCTTGCGATCGAAAGATATTGTATGTGTACGTATTGAAATGGATAAGAACATGTAAGCTCATAAGGCCAGTAGCCTATTAAGTATATAAGGTTAGACTGTGTATCTTTACACCTGCCGAATCTGTCTTAACGCAAATAAACAACTAGGATCGACATGGTGGTTAAATAGACGGCCTGATGTGGTGTTCCCTGTCGCGCAGTCTCTTTCTTTTCTGGCATCCTTACGAGTCTCAACCGACTAGATAGAAGGCAAAAAGAAGTATTCATCAGTAGAGGTTGTTGCATAGCCAAGCGCGATATCTTGGCTTCTTGGGAACAATGGAGCTACTCTTCTCGTTCTTCTTCTGGCTGAGTTGCTACAGCGGCCTTAGTTCCTTGGCCTCGGCGCATTCCCTACCGCCAAGACAGCGCTTGCCAAGGCGACTCCAAGCAACAACCACCACCGGCTCGGCACTAGGATCGCAAGGTCGCCCCGAATACTACTTTGACCAAGCTGTAAGTAAGCGACAGACAAGAATGCATGTATTCATTATATCGTACTGATCCTTTTATTATGTAGATCAACCATTTCCCTCACAGCTCGAGCTACCCCTCGCATGTCCGTGGCACATTCAAGCAGCGCTACTATGTAGAGACACGTTACTACAAGCCAGGCGGGCCAGTCTTCCTCTACCTGGGCGGCGAGGGTCCCATTGATGGCGACACACATCTTGACAACAGTCTCATAACCCATTTCATGAAAGAGTTCAATGGCATCGGCGTTGTCCTAGAGAATCGCTTCTACGGCACGAGCGGCCCCTTCGGCAATAGCTCAACAACAGATGAGCTGCTCTTCTTGGCCACGGAGCAGATCATCGCCGACCACGAGGCTTTTGCCAAGAAGGTTCATCTGCCAGGCGTCAACAATGGAATCAATGCCCCTTCGACGCCATGGATACTCTATGGCGGTAGCTATCCCGGCGCGCTGTCGGCATTTACAATCAAGGCATATCCCAAGACCTTCTACGGCGCCATCGCCAGCAGCGCCGTCATCCATGCCCAGGTAGAATACCCCCAATGGTACGACCCAATCCAGCTTCTAGGACCGCAGGACTGCATCGCCAGTGTCAACGACATTGTGGACAAGATGGATTCCCTCGTCGCGTCTAGCAACCACGCGGCTATCCAGGAACTGAAAGACATCTTTGGGCTCACCGCGCTCAAGGACATTCGCGATTTCGCGCAGACAATTGCCTTCCCCATCGGTGGCCCTTTTTACTACCCGTCGAACACCTGGCAGGAGATCAACTGGAACCCACAGTACGCACACCGGGATTTCTTCTACTTCTGTGACAACGTCACTAACACCAACGCTGCGCCTGAGACCACGGCCGTGGACCACGCCTTGGCCAAACATACGGGCGGTAAGCCTTGGAAAAACCTAGGCAACTACGCCGCGTATGTCAAGCGTGTCATTCTCCCGTTATGCGAGAGCGGTGACTACGATAGCCCAGACTGCTTCGGGACACAACACCCAGCCTGGTGGGCCAACACTACGACCGGGGCTGAGCGGAGCTACTTGTACTCGACGTGCACGGAATTCGGAGCGTATCAAGCTGCGCAACCGGTCGGGAAAAAGTCCCTGCTATCGCGGGTTATCAACAGCACATACACCCAAGAGTGGTGTAACTGGGCCTTTCCCAAGGGTAAGAACATCTATCGGTACACTCATTCATATAAGACTCAAGCTAGTTATGTCTAACACACGGTAAATAGGAAAATACAACACTATACCGGCCTCACCGGATCTAGCCAAATGGAATGCCTTCGGGGATTTCAACTTCACAGCCGACAGGCTCCTGTTCGTGGACGGCTCAGCTGACCCCTGGAAGGATCTCTGCTACCATTCTGACCTGGCGCCTCGGCGCGAGTGGGATTCGCAGCCGCAACATCTGATCAACGGGGCCGGGCATGTGTGGGATCTGCGCACGCTCGACGACATTGATGCTGAGCCGCAGTACATCCGTGAAGCTACGAAGCTAGAAATCCGCACAGTTGGGGCGTGGCTCAAGGAATTTGCTAGTTCAGGTTTCGCCTCGTAGATTCTAGTATATAGGATAATTCTCAGGTGTAGAAATATAGCTTACTGGATATCCTAAGATAAGCAAAAAAAATATCTAGTTACCTAGATGATAGGGATACTTGCAGCACAATTAATAATCATCGTGAGATTGTAAGGAGGAAATCCATATCGATTTTCGTAACACCTCGTGGGATCCTGTAAGGCCATCAAGGCTTCCCATCTCATCTTCGGTAGACTACGCCAATGCGTACTGCCCTTTCTTGATTTGCAATCGCATTTAGAAATACATCCTGACCTAGCTGCCACTCTCCATCGAAACATACATGATCCCCTGACTGGCGGCACGGTTTGCAGTGGTATGGTGGTGGGACTTTGCTCCGATCGGAGCTCCGCAGCCTCTCTGGGGTCCGAAGCTGATTTTAAGTAAGCCAGCAACCCCTAAAGAGGCCCAAGCTTAACCCTGTAAATAAGCCCTATCTGTACTTACTTTAGGCTACTAGACAGGGAGGTAGGTAGCTTCATACAGGGCTTCAACATTTTCACCAACCTCAACTCATTCACTCGTTCACTTAACCGACTACGTACCTAATAGGTCGCATTGGTTTTATTCTTAAACTCAAGTCGGCTTTTTAGATATAATATTAACCCTAGGGATAATTAATAAAATGAAGGTCATTATATAATAATTACACCAAAGTCTCTCCAACACAGCTTCTCATGGCCCTTAGGGCCCTCTCTAGCCGCTTATCAGCGGTACCTCATCACCATGTGAGCTTGACAAGGCTGAGATGCCCTCAGCGCCAGTGGACACTTTCACCCCGGTTCTTTTCCGCCGAAGCCGTCTCTCACCCGTCGAACTTGGTCCAAGTCTACATATCTCGGAGCACAGATCCATACCTGAATCTATCGATAGAGCACTTCTTACTCCAGAAATCACATCCGGACTCCGTGGTTCTTCTGCTGTACACGAATCGTCCATGTATCGTCATCGGACGGAACCAGAACCCCTGGGTCGAAGTTAATCTCGGCCTGATAAATCAGGGAGGAATCCTTAGACGGTTACGGGAAGGGTTAGAATCCTCGGCAAAAGGCAATGAGAATGCAGTGGTGAATACGAGGGACGTGGATAAAGGACAAAAACGTCCAGTCGAGAGCGGCAACGACACAGACGACGATGTTCTCCTCGTCCGCCGACGATCCGGCGGCGGAACAGTATTCCACGACGCGGGCAACGTGAACTACAGCGTGATCTGTCCGCCCGCCTTATTCGACCGCAACAAGCACGCCGAAATGGTTGTGCGAGCGCTGCAGGGGCTGAATAAAATTCCCCACGGTGTCCGCGTCAATGAGCGTCACGATATTGTCCTCGACGTTTCCTCCAAGGTTCCAGCGCACAATGATCCACACAGCTCAGACGCAAGAATAAACAGCAACGAAGTCCAAACATTCAAGATCTCAGGCTCAGCCTACAAATTAACGCGCACACGCTCCCTGCACCACGGCACATGTCTCCTTTCCTCGCCGCACCTCCTCTTCCTCAGCAAATTGCTCCGATCGCCCGCAGCGCCATACATCAAGGCGCGCGGCGTCGAAAGCGTGCGGTCGCCCGTGCGCAACGTCGGGGTATCCAATGCAGAGTTCGAAGACGCAGTCGTAGCTGAGTTCCGCGCCATGTACGAGGACGCCCGAGCGCAGAGCGAGGAGACGAAGGAAATCGAGGTAGAGATCCTAGACGCATCCGACGTAGAAGACATCCCCGAAGTCCGCGCCGGCGTCGCCGAGCTGAGGTCCCGCGACTGGGTCTACGCGCAGACGCCGCAGTTCACCTTCTCGTCTCATCCGACAGCCGAGGATCCTCGGCCGCGGCCAGATCTACCTGCTGACTTGCTGTCTTCGTTCTTCCCGACTTCGACGAACTCGGTAGAAGCGACGAAGCCTGGGCTGCATATGACCGTGCGCCATGCAGAGATTACGGATGTCGTTGTTCCCAGCACGGATTCTAGCAGTAGCGATCTAGCAGAGTCCTTGAAGGGGCGGCATTTGCACCATATTGATGACTGGCGCACATATGTTGGGGGTAGGAATGAAAGCATGGGACGGTGGCTGAACCATCTTTTTGGCGTTGGAAGGTGACTAATGATGTGAAGAACCGAATTTCATCTGAAGTAGGTAGACTAACAGGGGGCTCATGGTTGAAGGGTATGTACTATATTAGATTCGACACAACATGCTTGTCGAATACGTAGCTTGGGCTGGATATGCACCCAGAGTCGTTGGCCACAGCTGCTTGATACGTTCACCATGACTTGGATCAAAAGAAATACAGATAGACAGATAGATACCCAGGCATTGAAATGTATCATAGTCGATCGTATTATATTACATACTATGTTGACTCTTATTCCAGTCCACCAGCTCCCATCACGCCCTGGCCAAACCATTGTGCCACAGTCTTGAAGCGCTCGTCACTCTTACTAAGCGCGTCGCGGAAAAGATCGTGGCGTTCTGCCCGCTCCTCCTGCCCACGTTTCATAGCCCTTACGGCAGCGTTGTTTGACGCGCAAACCGGACATTCAGTACTGTCGCTTCCGTCACCTTCACCAGCGGCACTATTCATCTTAAGGCACCGCTGATGAAAACTATGCTTACATAAGAAGTGTACAACTGGCAGATCTAACGGGGCGCCACATCCCGGGCATCTCTGAGCCTGGAAGACGGCTGGTTTACTGCCAAGCTCTGCAATCTCAACACGCTTCTGTTCGGTCTCTTTCCTGAAAGAAGCAATTTGCCGTTTGTTAGCGGCGATCTCACGGCGCTCGCGTGTGATCGTCTCGTGCAGATATGGTTTGATCATGCCCATAGTTGCGACAGCATTGGAGCCTAATGTCTGAATCACTTGCAGCGGTGCCATGAGTCCATCGCTGTCAATTTTCTTCAGTACATTATCTAGCTCTTCCGGGCCCGCCTCGTCAAGAATGCGTGGATCCGATGTGAAGTATGCGAGGGCAGCCGGGTAGAGCTGGGGCTCGCGTGGTCCGTATTTGCGTAGAGCCTTAATGGCCCCGCGCGTATCCTTCGCTGCAGTGTATGACCGAAAGATGTCAAAGAGAAGGCCCGATTGTTCCTTCACCAGTGTTGTCCCGTCGTGGAAATCAGACAAGTGGGATAAGAGTAGGACGTTAGAGTTCTCAATCGGTAAGTCATGACCTTCTATGAGCTTCTTCGCCTTGAGCTCCCACTCTTCTTTCTGTACGCCTTTACCTTCTTTAGCTTTGTGAAGGTACATTTCAAAAAGTGTTGTATAAATGTCGGCGATATCCCCATCACCGAGAGAGTTAGATTTGAGACATGCTTCAAGAAAAACAATAAATTGGTCGGGATGATCTATAAAAGATGAAAACGCTGAACGAGGTGGCGGTGGGGTATATTTTGGAACGAAATCATCATCTGGCTCAGCACTTGGGACTGCTTGCCTAGTTGTGGGCTGAACGTCTCCCTGTGTGGCGGGCGAAGGAATACTAGAGGTGCCCATGTATGGTAGAGGCAGCAAACTCGTAAGATTCTGAACAGCACTGGCCGCGCCAGCTGCTAAACGGTTTCCGGATGACGTAGAGACTGCTTCCACAGGTACAGAATGTATTTTGGGTTTGTAATTGCCTGTGTAATAGTCGATGAAGAGTTCAGCTGTACTGTCGGGGCAATGCTCCAACAGCACTCTGGCGTACTTCATCAGACAAGGGTAAGCCTATAGAGGGTTAGGTTAGCCAAAGTCTTGGTGGGTATGGTCGAGGCTACTAACTGTTTCAGCGTCAAGATGCCAGATGAAATCGAGCGCCTCAGAGTAGCGCTTAGAATCTTCAATCAAGATATCCACAACCAGATCACTCTCGCCATGCTTTGTTGCAAGATAAGCTGCCTGCTCAAAGTAACCTCCCTGTCTGCACATGCTAATAGCTGTTTCCAAATCAAACTTTAGGTCCCCTTCGGATCTGATGAACTTCTCGAGCTTCTCAACATCTTTCAGTTTCGCGTAGCAATTGAGTAGTAGAGTGGTATGGTCTGCTGTTGCTTTGTGATGCTCATGCAATTCTTCAAGATATTCGATGAGGTTGTGTATCCGTTGCGTATCGAGAAACTAATGGTTATTAGAGGCGTGACGGCGGTAAGTATAGAAGACACCTTACCTTGCGAATCACCTGGGAGGGCTCTGTGTTATCGATCGCTTTGATATACTGGGCCATAGCGCTGTCATAGTCTCCTTTCTGGTACAAATGATCGCCATACTTCCTATATATGAAATTCTGTTGTTGCGTGTCCATGCCGCATTTCTGAGCAAGGCTGATAGCAAGAGGGAACAGATTCCGCTGGTATAAAAGCTCGAGCTTTTGATTTAGTGGCTTCTCATGGTATCTATTGATCTAGCCGGCATCAGCACGCATGCCAGTCTTAATCTGAAGGGCTCCGCCTTACCTTTCCGTCTTGAGTCAAGATGAATAGATCACCCCAGATCTGAAATAGAGCCTTCACTGGCGAGATAAGTGTTTCGGAATGGGCAACTATTTGCAACTGTGGATCTACCATGGTGAAGGTAGCGGCACTAAACAATGATTCCGTGCTTGCACCTCCAAATCGTCTCCGTATATTATCTGATCCGCCATTCTTTGAAGAGACAGGCGGCGAAACAAGGCCAACATAATCTTCGAAGGTGGACACAAGAGTAGTAGTGCCGTCATTAGCAAAACAGAGTCCTCTACCATCGATGGTATAGTAGTAGACAGCATCCTCACGAACCACGATAATGTCATCGGTCTTCTTGTTTACCGTCATACACCCCGCAGCACAACCCGAATCTTCGACGGTTCGTGGTGGTTGCCCATGGCCTCTTCCAGATATGACCAGTTTTAAGAGTTTGGAGGTAGTTGCGAGGAAAAGCGTGGTTAATTTTGGATCTGACACGAATTCAACTCCAGTAATCGGCTCTTCTGATTCATATACAATTCTCTGTTTCGTGCCGCGATCGTGAATTAGGTCGCCTCGTATTACTGTAACTGCTCCGTTTGCGAAGCCCACTGCAAGCTGGGAGAGGTCGTCGAGGGCGGCGAAAGAGGATATCTAGGAACACCGGAATGAGTATAGGTGGAATTAGTAGGTGGCTGATGCACCTACAGGAAATTGTTTGCGCCCGTTGTTGATGTTGATGGTGCTTAAACACGTCGGTAACCCCGTTTTCTTAACCGGCTTATCGAGCGCCCAGACTTTCAACACCGGTTCGTTGCTCAGGTCTTCCTATTCATGGTCAACACCAATTCTAGCCGCGAGATAACGCTGTAGGGGGTTTGTACAGAAACCGTGACCAACAAGCTTGTGCCCTCCACCTGGCGCATGTGGGTGATGCGCCCCGTTTCGTGTGCCTGGAAACTCCGGACTACTTTCCAGCTGGGGCCGATTATGCGCACGTATCCATTTTCGCTGCCAAGGAAAAGGCTATCAGAGCCGGAGCATACGCTGGATATTTCATTGTTCTCGAAGAACGATCGTGTCTCATCGTCGCCGAGCTTGACCTGGCTGACTTCGAAGAAGTCGAATGCTTTCCACTGTAAAGCAAATGTATTAGCTATAAAAAGTTTCAGTTAACCATCGAGTCAATACATACCAAAAGCAAAGCCATGGTAGACGCTCAAGTCTGCGCGGAAGCTATATCGGCATAATGAGGCTTCGAGTTCAATGGGTGCCTGCAACAGGAGCTTCGACGTCACAGCACCGTGCTAGAATGCAATGGAGTATGGAGGTTGGTAGGTAGGTAAATACTTAGGTAACTAATCTAGAGTAGGTAAGTACCTAGGTAGGTACCTAGTTTAAAGTATTGTGGCGGTGCAAAAGAAGCTGTGGCTGAGCATTCCTACAATCGCAAGAGCAACACAGACATTAAGGGGTGAGAGAATAAGTTGGCACAAGATTAAATTAAATTCGTAGAGTTTGCCCTGGGTATCTCACTTCTAATATGAACTATGCAAATATCTATAAAAGTGTTAATCCCTCTTACTAGTTTTTCTACCCCTTTTCCTTCCATCCCTTGAACGCCTTTCCAAAGCAATTGGATGATGTTGTTTCGTGAGTGTAAGCCGCGTCGTTACCTATATCTACTAGTGGTACCATTGACGGTCGACCATGGGCACATTGAAAAGGAAAAGCGCAATCTGCAAGGCGCCTCACAAGATCCGTGCATTCTTCTAGGGAGAGGGCGTCATTGAACATGATAGAGCTACGACAGGCCCGAGAGTTAATCATATCCAAGACCCCCTGAGGGCAACCGTGGAGTTGAGTGATCCAGTTTAGAGTTTCAGCCTCGTTTTCCTGAGAACTGGAGTTCCTCGTAGCCATGCTATGATGGGCGGGGCTATCTAGTTTCCAAGCTTCCTTCCGGAGAAGCTCGATTAGGAGACGTGGCTCAAGTCGGCATCGTTCAGCAATACTTAATGGTAATCGTGTCACTTCCAGTTGTCTTTGATTGGTATTTCCAGTTGGCGGAGCCAACATAACATAGTAATGGATACCCCAGTGAGTAAAATGCGACACCATACTCTCAAGCTGGATCGCATCTCTAACGGATATATCGAATTTTATTGGCCGCTCCAACAATTCCGTACAGGCTGTAGACCTTCTCGGCATCGATGCAGCCCCAGGAACTACCACATCATGTTCGTGTATAGGCAAAAAATAGTTACTCATCAACGACTCAACTCGGCATCTTTCATCAGCAGCATGTTGGTCAATGATAATCAAGAGTGACTCTGTTGAATGTAGTATTGTGGATTCGTTTGCGCCTGCATTAACTGCAACCTTAGCAAGGATAAATTTCCGGTCAACTTGGGCAACTATCTCAGCATCACGTAGTGCTGCTTTTGAAACTCGACTCTGAACGGGTGGCCCAACTCCTGGAGAGCCTTGGATCCAAGTACAGCAGCCGAAAGATTCCAATGACTTGCGTGGATTGTTTGCCTCATCAATCGCGCTAGGGATGCGTGGTTCTGTGGTCTTGAAAATGGGGTTTTCCCAAGATGACAGTAGCTCTCCTAGCCACATGCTCCGGTTTCTATCGGAATCCGATGTGCCATCAGGCCGAGGACGCTTGCGAAAGGTTGGATCCGTTTGGTCTCGTTCTTCCTGGGCACTCTTCGTCTGCGGTTGTATCACAAAGCCGGTTGTTGGGTCGATAACTAACGTTTCTTTAGTGACTGGGTTGGTCCATTCGATATTCTCATCTGATGACTTGTTTTCTGTTCCTGATGATTGGTACCCTTGAGCTCTGCAGCGGACCTCGAGTTCTGTCGTATCAAAAGGCGCCCGTAGCAAACTTCCATCAGGGCCAAACAAAGAAGTCGCAGGATCAGAGCTGCTTTCCCCAAGATCTGCGGTCATTACTTCAGAAGTGCTAGACGCCACGTGTGCACGGTCTATGAGCTGTCCATGAACCTTCTGATCGCCTAGCGATTGTTGCAACGAGCCGGATTTGACGCGAGACCAGAGATCGAATGGAGATTCTGGCCGCAAACGAGAACTTCTTTCGCAACGAATGCTAAGTTGCGTCGTGGCCAGGTCTCCAACGAGCTCGTTCTTCCGAGCTCCAGCTGCTGATGATGGTCTAGACATGAGATTTCTAGATGGACTTCTTGTGGATGAGTTCGCTCTTGAAGTTTTTCCAGGAATATTATGCTTTGCAGACTTTATTTGTTTTGGGCGAAACCGATGTTTTTTCAAGAACTCATAGGCGACTACCTTTAGTATGTCTACTATGGCAGCCAGGTTCCCGTGACGCTCATCAAGTAGTTCGTCTACGTCCTGCAATGCGACAGGTTTCTGGCTTCCGTCAATGTTAATCGCAATATAGAACATTGGCCAGCGGTCTACTCCTTTTCGACCCTTGAGGTCCTGGTTGCTGAACCCATCCTTTGTGTTACGACCTTCTTGGGCTTTGATTTTGTACTCATCGCTTGTGAGGTTTTTCGTCGCTTCTTCTACGCCATAACTCGAATTAGAGAAGACCCGATTGATTTCTTCATATAGAACATTTGAGCCATGCTCATTGGAAACTGGGTGAATCCCTATGCTGATGAATTGAACATGTTTTGTCGCAGTGGGATATAACGATACTGTACCAGCAATTGAAAGCTTTCCAGCAGATGCCTGTAGTGGGATCCAGGTGTCTAGTTCGATTTCGTCGGAGAGCTGGGCGCGGTATAAGATCTTAGATACCTTCGCTCTAAGATCAAGGCTAGATTCCCCGTCGCGAGTCTGGTTGTTATGAATTGAGAATGATCTGCGCCCGGCAAGCTCGCGCGCTGACACTGACACACTAGGATTCCAGGCGAGTAATAATGCAACAATTTCCCGCTTAAGGGACTCCCAGTGTTTATTATGAAGACCTCTTTCTGCATCGATGCCCCTCTGTTTTACCCTGACGGGCATTGAACCAAAGAGATCTCGCACAGTCACTCTCGTGCCATGAGTGAAGTTGAGCAATCTTTGGTCAGGAGGGGAAGGTATGTGCCGTGCCAGGACTTCTGAGTTGTGGATTTGAATCGAGTTATGAGTATAATACTGGTGATGGTGAGACATGACGGAGAGCAATGATAGAGACGCCAGCGATGCTAGGAATATGCCATACTTCCCATGTATATCTTTACGCGTGGGGTACTTGGAGGTGACTTTAGGAATTCCGTCAGCCAAACAAGATTCACCGAGTCATCGAGACTGTTCACGGCTTACAATGAAGCTTGCCCAAGCCACCCCTAGGGTGGAACTCGGCAGGTGGTATTCCCAGTCCATCATCCTCCACACAACAGTTCCCCCGCACGTAGTCTATGGATATATTCACTTTGGAGGCGCCAGCATCAAGGGAGTTCCTTACTAGACCGCACACAGCACCATTGAGAGTCGTGATTGCGGTTGACGATTTGATTTGGGCAACAACATCGTCCGGCAATGGCTGAATGGACATTGCAAGGTAGAGGACTTCAGATCATCTGCCGCATAATGCTCGCCCCCCTTTTCAGTTGATATAGGGTCTCCTATCCTCCCATAGACTCTAAAGTTTAAGGAGACGTGAAATCGGACGAAATACTTATGATGATACACCAAGGCAATCAAGTCGCCGAGAACCGTACGGCCCTTCTCGAGCCGTCTTCAATGGAGACGCCTACCTAGATAGGCACTGGGTATTGGTTGAGTTCTCGGCCTGATGGCCACGAGGAGGATCTAAGACTGACGACTAGTAGGTATACTGACGGAATTTGACTTGGTGATGCAGGTGGTGAGAGTACTAAGCTACATAGTGGGACGGTAACAGTGATGGACAGTGCCCCTACACCTAAAGCCTGGTGGGTCCTTAAGTACTTTCATATGTATCTTCTAGGTACTTGAGTACCGTAGCATTGATCGCAGGTACTTTGGTAATGACGCAATCAACAGGGGCCAAGCTGTACCAGTACACAAGACGCATCAGATCTACCATCCATGGATTACATATGTAAATACATACAGGTAGGAAAGTAACATTACGGACCTCTCCAAGTTCTGGATCCTGCCCTGGCATGTTTAGAGGAGCCTTGAAGATGCATGGGATGGTACCTACTGTATGTTGACAAGACCCTGAGAGCTTAAGTACTTACTGTAGGCATCAACCATATCGAGGACAACAGATTAGAGGGATAGCCGTCTTTGGTCTTTGAAGCCAGGTAAGGTGTTAATGCCCAGGTACAATAGACTCGTACACTATACATATATAGCTACCTAACCTAACAGACTTAAACTACATATGTACCTAACCAGGGTCCTAAGTAGATTGCTTTGGGCTCTCCTGCACAATGCGTGATGTGTGGTTCCAGCACCTCCCGCACCCTGCCAAGCTTACTTACTTGGGCTTTTGTGATCTCCACAGCCTTTGACATTCCTCACCTCACTCCTCCCACATCGGCATCGTTAATACTCCGTCTCTGTCCGTCCGTACTGGAGCAGGCTGGAGTTCAATACCTGCTCAGTGCAAAGATCGGCATTCTAGCTTCCTAGCAGTCTGAATTGAGGCTATCACCAGCACTCGGTCCACTCCCCAGATTCTTCTCGCTCGGCTCTATCAGTCAAAGCGGGCTCTCCCTGTGCCGCCTCGTTGATCGTTTTACTAGCACCATCCGTTTACGGCACGGACTTCACCAATTACCGCCCTTGACCGCGTACTGTTGTTGCGCATCGTCCTCATTCAGCATCACAGAGCCCTCGCGGTGCATCTTCCAACCACCTAAACTGCTCACATTGCCCATCGTTCATCGATCGTCTACACAAATGGCCATGAATGAAACGTCACATCTCCCAACAGGTAAATATGTTCCTTTAAGCCCGCGTGATTCCCACCCACATGTATCTATAGCTTCCCAACTTGCTTGTTACCCATACGCTCGCCATGTTTCGTCAGAGGAAGAACAACCCAACTAATGGTGGTCTAGACCATCAAGAGCGCGCAGGTCGTCGCCGCCCTTTCGCTACCTGGGTCAAGAAACTAGCCAACTTCAAGGCTGCGACGTCGTCTACAGGTGGGAACCGAAATGGCCACTCTAAGCGCGACGCTGCCTTCAAGGGCTCCAAGAAGCGAGCATCCAAAAACAACAACCCCTACCCGCAATCCGGCCGTATCGCCGCTGCACGCACCCCGCGAACTAATCAGTCGCCCTCGACTTCACAAGCTGGCTTAGGCTCGAATCAATCGCTAGATCGAAGCCGAGACTCGAGCCCATCATCCGCTGACGAGAGTCCCCATCGCGCAACTCGTGCTAATTCAACGGCACCTACGCTATCTACAGATCATCACTCTATTCATGCACCGTCACATATGGCATCATCTGTAGCTGGGACGAGTCGGACTGCTGGTGGCGGCTTCGATGCACGTAGAGGAGGAGACAGCACATTCTCGTCGCCGGCTCCATCAGTACGATCCCTCACCACCACGCTCACCACAATCCAATCGCTGGCTCCGAACGGCGGCACAAACGGTGGACATACTACTGGTGGTCATTCGTCACACCAAAGCAATACTCAAACAATACAATTTACACAGCCTTTTCCTACGAATTCTCCCGCCTCCGCCATCCCGCCGCATCTTGCGCCTCATGGACACCCCACAACCTACAACTCGGCCACGGCCAACAATCTCTTGACAGATAACGCATCGATTCTCACGCTGGCCTCTTCCAGCAAGCGGCGACGTAGACGATCCATGGATACCGATGCTTCAGTTCGCGCTCTAGCTCCATCATCGGTCTGGGGAGGCAGTCGCGAGAGCCTACCACTAAGCGTACTCAGCGCCAATATGGATGGCATGCGAGACATTCCTCCGACACCAGGTTTACATCAATCGAGCACAAGGATCGCGGGCAACGAACGGACAAGCATATACTCAACAACTGGTATAGCACCCGCCCTTCCTGGTGAACGCAATAGTCTCTATGCTGGCAAGCAGAGCATGGGAGACGGTGCGAGTATCCGTAGTAGCCTTCCCGGCCATGGCAGGGCCGATAGTATCAGCGGTAGTGTTGCCGGCGTTAACAGCCCGCTAGCAAGTCCAATGGAAGTATCTGAAAGAAGCCCTATGGATAAGGATGAAAACCAGGCACTGAAGGAGAAGGGGAAAGAGAAGGATTAAAGAAGAAAGGCGTACTGCCTCAGAGCCGTGGTGTATATCAGCCAGAGTCCATATTTCTGAAGACCTAGCTATTTACTCTCGGGTTGAACTACGTCCTTTCTATTGTACGATTTTTTGCAGCTAGTATGATTTCCATTAGCGGACCACTACTATACGGAGTCTGGAGATGCTCATTTTAAATACGGGAAGTCAGAGCACGGCAGGGCGGGCGGCCATGTTGGGTGATTAGGCGTCGGGATCGGATTACATAATTGATACCCGGGTTTTTTGGTCTTATGCCACAGCATTTCATGTTTTGGAGGACTAGTATGAATTCGCTAATGGTTGCGAGAGTGGACGACAGTAAAATCAGATAGCTGGTTTATTCAACTTAAGAATGCGTTATTTGCAATATTACATCTCTATCGATCAAACTCGAAGCGCAGCGAACTACGATTAGTTTCTTAGACATTCTGTTCCTATCACTTTCCATCCGAACCCATGATACATCGCGTCAATTTTGTTAGATATAGCGTCACATGTCGTATCGATTACCCGTAGTACGGCAGAGGATCTAGATCCAGGCCCTCAACCGATAATTTAAAAGAATCGTTTCTACTCGTGATGTTCAGAATATCAGCTTACTTCCTTACCATAGCTCCGTATAGAACACTGCTGCTGGGTATGCAGAGGAAAGAAGAGACGACGGACGAGCAGATAAATGGCAACGGATCAAAGATGAAACTCACCTAGAATAACTCCCCGCCGTATCGAGATCCAGGCGTCCACGGACGCATTCCTCAAGATCAACATCGGCATAGATAAGGCTGTGCGAATCTTCCCATTGCGGACCGGCAAGGACTTCCCCATAGGGCGAGACGATGCTCGAACCACCGCGTGTCAGGTACTTCACATCCCCGAACATGTCGCCTTCCGCAACGGCCGATCCTGAATCAGCGATGGCCTCCTTCGGCTTGGAAGTGCTGGTACCAGGGCTACTGAGCACGATTTCATTTCCGTCGTCATCGAACACGGACCGACGACGTGCCTTCGGGACAACCAAGTCGAGACCATCCTGCTCCTTTGAGGTGGTTGAGCCGAGTCTCGGCTGTGGCTCGGCAGTCACTTCGGCGTTCGGTTCTCGGACGCACATGTTGGAGCTTACGACGAAGCAGCGTCCTTCAGTCCCGATTGTTCGCACTATACACGTTCACGGACGCCCGCGTTAGCATATCGTCAAAAACACTCTAATAGATGTACATGTAACAAAAGCCCGCAGCTCGCGATGAAGCAAGCGCGAAAAGGTGTGTAAACGGGTCAAACCTACTGAGTGAAAGCCATGCATCTCCACCATCAGCCGTTGGGGCAAAATACAAGTTAATACTACATCAGGATTCAGATCAGCCGGTGGTACACTTCCAGATAAATGAAGTGTCTACCTACTTCTGTTGATAGAGGGATTGCCTCAGGAGCGGCATGTAGTTCTCCCAGCAGATGGCGGCGGCGAGGTTCACGCGAACGCCTCGGATAGTGGTGCTGACGGCCTTCAGTGTCGCCGGCGAGCCTTGTGCCCAGATGAGCCGCTCCATACCTGTCTATAACACCCATTAGCCTTTCTTCCATTTGTGATCTTCATCTAGGATTCGCTTCTCAGTCCTTTCTTTCGCGTGGAAGATGTATCCAATTTCCGCAACCCAAAGTTACTTGACAACCTGCAGCGAGAATCATACCCTTGATTATCAAGCAGTAATAGAATCGTCGTCTCATCCACCATTTCAGCATTCCCGCGTCAGTACACCCTCGCGCGTTCAGATAAAAGTAGCACACCCATCCCGTCAACAAGATACCACCGAAACGAACACAAGGAAACAAGACTCACCGGCATGACCTTCCTCCTCTTTCCAACAACGCCCCGTTGAGGACAAACATACGCAACAGCACAATACAAGCTCCCCCCCGCCCGCTCCACAAGTCCCACGACGATGAAAACGCCCGTCTCACGAGCGACACGCTCAAGTTCCTCGCGCGTGCCATCGCCTCTCCGGCAGGACAATCCCAGGTCCCCAGATGTCCCCTCCTCAACACTCTCTTCGCCCCCCAATTCCCTTCTCACCCACCTGTCCATCCCACCCGCCCCACCAGGTCCGACGACATCACCCAGATCGATCGCCCCCTGAAAATACTTGCGGAACTCGTCGCGGGCCCCGGCGGGTCGTTCCCCGAGCTTGCCTCCGAAGGCTATACCTCTAGGGTACCCACCCAAGAACGCTCTACGAACAGCTCAAGTAGTTAGAATCTGCCGTTCTCGAACGAACATTGACTTTCCCATCAGGAAGGCTTGCAAGTACGCAGTGACAAACAAGAGCGCAAAAACGCCTGCGTATACTTGTGATCGAAAGAGGGTTAATTGATGCCTACTTACTCGGGCAAAAGCAAGAAGTCCGCTTTTCTTTCCCCTGCGGATTGTGCAAGCCTTTCGAGCTCGGCAAGTGTATCTTGTCTAGTGCGCTGCGTGGCTGGAGACGCGGTTGCAATGCGAATCTTCGTGGAAGGGCCTGCCATCCTGTTCTCTAAACGTCTGACCCGAGGCGAAAGTCTTGTTAACGGTATAGCGTGGTTGGGGACAGTAGAGAAAAGACCACGTAGAAATAATTATCAAGATCAACGAACTATTGAAGTTCAAGTAAGACCGCTAGGTCCTCCGTGGGATATTACAATATACAGTGAGTTTTTGATGCTGGGTAATCAAGATTTGGTGACACCGTAAACGACAGGAAGCACGAGGAAGCCAAGCATAACGCAGGTAACTGAAAGAAGCATGCTTCCATACTTCCGTTAGACTATCAGAATTTATAATTAATAGGTAATGCTGAACAGATGTAGAATATTGTTATGTCATAAGATGCGTCTCATAGCTAGTCAAGCATATTCGGCTACCCCGCAACAAACAACGGGTTCGGGCTTTGCAATTCTTGGGGGTGAGATTGTACTTTCAACGCTCGTCATGTCACATTAGTCATGAGAATGAATGGATGTCTTTGTCAGCGGGATATTCAAGTAGTTGGCATTGCACGACATTCATAGGTCATATCCCAAGAAATGCATGAGAAAGTGTATTGATTAGCGTCCGTAGCGAAAATGAACTCCCAACTCCTCATGCTATCGGGCCAGGGGAGGGCATTTCAGATACGGTATTAGTGGTCTGGCTCTAGACCTTAGGTCATTCATACATCATAAAAAAACATGGAATCCTTTTGGGTTCATCCGCTCCAAGCAAGAATTTAGGGTCTTCCCATCCTTGTCCGTCGTCTGTGCAAGAGTCTGCTGACATTATGTGACCCCGGGACTCTTTCCTCATATCTAAGCTAGGAAATATTAAATCCTGCCACAAAAATTTGGGTACCACAAACTGGCATCAACCTATGCTTTATAGCATCAGGGCGGCCAATCCGGCGGCAGCAGCGAGGCCAACGGGGATAGCAGTGGGGCGAGAGCCGCCGTCAGAGTCGGTGGAGGTAGCTGCTTCTCCCGTGCTGCTGGCTGCGTCGGTATCTGTACTGGTGACGGTGGCGCTGGTCACCACAGTCGAACCACTGATAGTAGCTGTTGTCTCAGTGACAAAGGTAGACTCTGGTGCTGAAGAGTTATCAGTGGCTGAATCTGAGCCAGTTGCAGCAGCAGTCGAGGTCGAGAAGATGGTGCTGGCAACAGTCGTAGTCACAGCGGATCCGTCGCTGTTGGTTGAAGTCGCTTCCACATCGGTCGTGGATACAGGAATCACAACCTCCGAGGAGGACTCGCCCGAGCTAGCTGGGAAAGTGGTAGTAACAGTAGAACCGTCACTGTTGGTGGTAGTGGCCACGATGACAGTTTCTGAGCCAAGAGACGTGCTGCTCTCGCTGCTAGCAGTAGCAGCAGCAGAGACGGTGGCAGTAGCTGAAGAGATGAACTCAGAGCTCTATTGATAACAGTTAGCAAGTCACGAGATGTATAGTGCAGTGTGGGGATGAAACACGCCAGACTTGATTCACGAACAGCCATATGATAGTTGAGGTGACAGACTAGGGACGACTTACGGCAGTAGCACTGAGACCGCCGACGACAACACCTCGGTCTGTGGATTCAGGGTTAGCAATGTATTGGGAGTCAAATTCATACAGGCTACCTGACTTACCAGCGCACCAGTCAACGCCATACTGAACAACCGTTGGGGCTGCGCCTTCAGGGCAGGCTGCATTGGCGCAATCGATGATTCCGTAAGAGAAGTCAGGATTCTTGCAGAGACAAGCGCCGTCAACGGCATCCTCGGTTGAGCCTGAGTCACCACAGCCAAGCTGAGAGGCTTGGTTCAGCATATTTCCGAAGCAGGTTGTCTGCAAGGAGTGGTCAGTTACACTAGACAAAAGAATGCGGTATCAGAGCAGAGGAACAACTTACACCACAGGCGGGGAAGTTCTGGGGCGGAGGCAGCACGGCCACAACACCACCAGCCGAAATGGCAGCAAGGACAACAGAAGTCTTCATCTTGAGAGATGTCGAGAACGTAATACTGATGAGGGGTTGGTTGTTTGTCTTGTCTGTTGAGGACTGTTAGAATGTGCTGTTCCAGAAAACAGATGCTCAAAAAGCGTGCAAAAGCTGATTATGCAGTAGTTGTGGGTGTGAGTGAATGAAGAGTCTGTGATGTTGGAGATGGCGATGTAGTTGGCTGTCAGAATCTGCTGGCGCAGGGAATGTTATGAGATGGGAGAAGAGAAGAGAGAAGAAGGGAACACGGAGGAGGAAGAGAAGGGCAGGGAAGAGAAAACGTGTGGGTGTGAGTATGAGCAGGGCTCTTGCCAACATATGTCTCTAAAGAGAGGGAAGGCGCGCGAATGCGTGGAGGTTGTCAAACTAAAGCAACAGGTGCGATGCAGGTTTCATAGGAAGGTGCTAGTGCAAAGCATCCAACCTCAGACATCTGGTGCAACAAGCTAACAAGCCCCAAGTAGGATGTATGGATGGGCTATTCCATGAGCAATGTGGAATGAAGGTACCTAGACCTACACAACTTACAAAGAACACAAGGAGCCTTCGAGGTAAGACGTGGGTAGGCTAACTTAGGTAGGCTTATCAAAAACAGAAAGTGTGTAGAGGCAGCAGAGAGGATGGGCTAAAGGTAGGCAAGAGATTTTGAAGAGAGGGGAAATACGAGGAAGAGGAAAAGAGTAAGTTTTCCGAAAGCTGGGAGTCGTGGGATCGGAGGTCAGATGAAGAAAAAGGGCATCGACAGCACAGGTTTACTAGCCTGAAGTGGCGAAGGGGTTGAGAGAAGGCAGGAAAGAACAGGTGCAGGGAGGTGAAGTCGAGAGGACTCAATGGTGTGTGCCTGAAGCGACAATGATGATGTCAAGCTAACCTTATGGCATCCTAAGCCTAAGGGCGGTCGGTGATGGGTAGGTACCTAGGTAGGTGACAAGAGGCAGGAGACAGGAGACGGGAGTGTGGACTTGAATCTTCAATTGGGTATGTGTGCTCATGTATAAATGGGAAACAGACGACTTGAAGCTGTACAAGATCAATTACTCTGTTCAATTTGTTTCGTACCTTGAGATGTAAACTGCAGCTGCTAAAGGTTGAAGGATGCTTCCGTCAAGTTTCAAAGGACTCGAGACACGGGCTACGTATGTAGTGGTTCGGCGTGAAAGAGGAGGAGTGAGAAATGAAGAGTGAATGAGGAGTTCAGTTGTTGGTTGGCTGGAAGGGTTTTGAGGTAATGCTGAGAGCGCACAGGAATTCCTTTCTGCAGGGGCACCGAGGACGAGTATGAGGAGGCAATGTGACTGAGGTCGTACACAAACAGCAGAGAGCTGGCCATAATTTAAATATCCCGATGTGATGGCCGGGACAGCTGTTGCTGTGTCACCAACGGTTTCGTCATCTTGGCTTTCTGCTTTCTGGTATTGACAGCTCAGACTCGTACTAAGACCAGACTAACAAAGAGGTATGATGAGATTGCTGCCGCAGGTACCATGGCTGCCCTCTCTCTGCTTCTACTGTATGCAGGTACGTAATTGCGTATGTATTGACACAATGCGGCGGTCTGGTTCTGCTAGTGGCCTTGTCTAGGTAGTTCGTCTCTCTAAGGTTCCCTAGCTAGTGTACTAGTGTGCTAGTAGGCATCATGCCCTGATTATGAGCCTGGGTTCCGAGTAATTTGCTGGTAATTTGCCCACGAGGATGCGGGAGAGCTCGAGAGCTCACTTGAGCTCACTCGAGCCCCATTCAAGTTTTCTTCCTGGATCTTGGTTGCTCGGCACTAATAGCATTAGCGTACCAACCTAGGTAGCTAACTTCTGTCCGCGAAGACGGCGCAGAGTTAAACTACAGCGCTATCTCCCGCTAACTCCGTCGCCCATATACCTAAGCTGGAGGTAGGTATGATGTAGGAACCTCATGATAAGCGTGCTGAGCGGTAGACATGTGTGCCAAAGTCCCTATGTATCTAGGTAATGATCTGTTTAATATTGATTTCAATATTGGGCATTATACATACTACCCAGAGTACTACCTAAGTAGCAGGAGAAACCCCTTGCGTCCTCACTTCTCTTGTTGGTGTGGTTAATAGGTCTTGCCTTTCCAATCGCTTGGTAGAGAAAAATCGAGGTGGCTGTCAAAACAGAGCTGGTGATGTAATATCGGGATATGCATGCAGTGTCAGTGTTACAGTACCTAGGTACCTACAAGGGTGACTCCCAAGAGGGATTCCGGGGGGCCTCCTTCGGAGCTTGCCTCGCCTGCCCAATATGACGTGGTGGAGCTAAAATGCTGATGTTGTCGTGCTATGATTGCTTGCGCCTATCTACACTAACAGTAGGCATGAAGTGGCTTTCCAAGTTTTCAACGGCTGTCTGGCACCACCTGGGCAGAGACCTGGATACTTGCCCACTGCCCGTTTCTGCTTAGGCTGTGGCGTATGATCTAGAGTGCGGCAAACATGTGCCGACCGAATCACCAAGAAGCATGGCATGGCACATCGTCATCGTATTTACATAGGTACCTACTATACCTAGTGTGCCTTACCTATTATACAGGTAGGCACCTACTAAATACCGCTATGTTGTAGCTTATCACTCGCTGCCGTGTGCCGTGGGCCGTGGCTGCTCCAGGTTCTGACTGCAGGACGAGCTTGCCGAATCAAGTAGCTGAGCAGGCCTCAACTGCATGCCATTGGTCAACCGTTGGAGCTGAAATACAAGGTACATGGTCAAAGTCCATACCGTACCCCTGCAGTGCCGGATCATCCAGTGGACTCAATTCGTGCTCAGCAAATCGATCTCAGATCGTGGGATCTGGGCTTTGAGTGGACCGTCATGGCAATGTACGAAGTAGAGCGGTAGACCAGCTATCACACAAAGCGGGGGTTGGTGAGAGACCGAGAAAGATCTTACTTCTACCGAGGTACCCACCTAATTGCAATGGCACTGCTCGCACACCACACAATAATATACATAGCTGGATTTCAGTTCTGCCTACTATGTATGTATGTAGTAGTCTGTGATGGCCTGATATCATAGTTATTGATCACGAGGTATTGAAACCTCCTCTTCTTGGGAATTGGATCCCTACTTGCCGGGGACTGTTCGGCAAATCTTTAGATGACGGGAGCAACTTGACGTGAGAAACGCTAAAAAAGAGGCTAGATTGTTTGTTTGTCCCGCAGCAGACAGTTGCAACCATCTAGAAACTAGCAGGATCGTGCATATGGGCACCATAGGTTGCTATGGGATTGTTTGTTTGACGGCACCTACGTGTAAGTAGGGCATCTGCTCTGTGTCATCACGACGTATTAAGTCAACCCCGCACCTCTACCCTCCGACTAGGTATGTAGCCATGTCTCGAGTATGGCGCTCTCATAATGAATAAACGAAAGGGTTCAGTATGTTACAACAGTCTCAATCCCTTTGACTGTCATTAAAGCCATAAAGTGCCAAGAGCGAAAATGCCGGTGAGGCCTTGACTAATAGAGCGACCTTATCGTAACTTATATTCAATAGGCGAAAATCTAATGTGTTTTCCACCAGCAGCGATATGTAGCGCAAGTGGCAATCACATACTACACTCTTAGAATTCTGGGTGTTTTATATAGCTCAGCCGTCAGTTAAAGATACTTCTCATATCCGCAGTTCGTGGTCACAATTGAGAGGCAGGTAACAGAATTCAGCACCCATCGTACCTAGACTAGGTACCTACTCACTGTACGAGTCCCAGCCATCGGCGACAACCCGGCACAGACGTTACGCACCAGTTGGTAAGACAAACTGAATGCTACATAACCCGGGCTCCGGCCCAACGCGCTGTATTGACCTGCCCTTTAATTTCGGCATGGTCTGATAATTCTTTCATAGATGCGTAGGCTCGTCTCACGCCCTCAATGCTCTGTATCACCCCAAATACTATCATCAGTATCAGCACGAGAACGGCAACCCAGAAGGTATGCCACTGGACACCGTTCCTTCTATCGTGCTACGAATCCCTCAGTGTTTTCGGCTGGGTCTCGTCGAATACCTGCTTGAGCATGACCAATCTATCACGCCATACATGGAACCTCTCGACCTGCCTCAAGTCCGTCTTAAGACGACCGCACTGATCTATCCTTGGGTCTACTCGTGGTAGTTTCGACACCCATCTTCGCGTCTATCACGGTCTGTTGAAGGAAACAGTAGGGCTAGGGTTTGACGTGTTTCTGCTGCCAGATTTTCTGGAAGCAAGCTTTGTGTGCTGTCCCAGTTAGCATGCGTTTTCAGAGAGCGACTCGAAACACGCCATCATACCTCCAACGCTGTGACTCCAGAAAGGGCGCATGATGGAAAATATGCACCTTGGTATCGTCGTCGGTTAACCTTAAATGGTCAACGAGGTTGTCGGTCCAGATGATCTCAAGACCAGTGATCCGACCGAAGTTTCTTGCTTTGAATATCTGTTCGAACTTGATTTTCTCGTGTGCTAGTACCGGCTAATCACCAAAGTGCAACACGAGGAACTCTTTGAGAGAACCATGCTTCCATTCTATCTCGGTGCTCCCAGAGAAGCCGTGAGAGGAGATACCGCAATCACACATAATCACTAGGCTTTCAACCAAGTCAATCGTGTGTTCCAATAATTCGTCTTCATTAGCATGGGCTTTCTTCAACTTGGTTCGCAATGCCTCTTTCACTTCCCATCTAGTTGCAATCGCTTTTAGCAGATAAGCTACATCAACGACATCGCGGTGCGTCCTGACAGCGACATGGCGTCCACCATCACGTAAAGAGAGGGTACTTATTTTGAGATAGTAGTCCCACAAGGCTGTCAGGCTGACATTTGCTCCGTACAACTGCAACGAGCTTCTGAGACTCCAAAGCTCATGGCAGATCTTGGCCTGCGTGAGTGGATCAGCCGTTGCCTCCAAGAGGCTTATATCAGTTGCCGAAATCACCTGAGTAAGCGTGACATGTATAGTTCAATGGACTTGAAAACCGAAGGTTTTCAATCAGCTTCCTTTGGCGCATGTCCTACTCATACACCAATAATAAGAAATTCAGGGACTGCTCTTATCAAACCATTTGATGATATTTTTGAGCATATTTGATATCGCACTGGATGCCTTCCCACTTTTCCTACCAACGAGAAAACCACTGAAGTTCCTCTCAGAGCTATTCAACTCGGGGTCAGCGACGTCTCCCCTGTGAACTCGAGCGTAATGCTGGGGGATAACCCAAATCCCGCGAGGCAACATATTCAAGATGACGATGAAGGATCAATCGAAACGATATCGTCGACTGCCGGCAAGTCAAATGGCAGGCGAATTTTTCCCGATTTTTATGAGGAAGAGAAAGACGTAAATCACAAAGCTAAAGCAATCCAAAGTGAGGAAGTTATTCAAAAAGGAACGGAACCTCGAATTTTGCGCCTTCAATTCAACCCATTACTCAGACAAACTCCCAAGAACCTTGTTTACGCAGCCCTATTGCATCCAAAGAGTGAGGCGAGGCGTGTGATGGCTGCTATCAGTTCGAGAGCCGACCAGTATAGCAGTGGTCTAGCATTATATTCCTTGTCACACTTACAGACATCATAAGAGTCAACTAAAGTGTCCCAAAGATTTTGTAACCTTGAACAAGATCAACGAATCTCTATTCCCTTAGTCCAAAACTATGCTCTCTACACTACCATACTCGTCATTCTTCAAGCAACAACTTTCTACCCCTTAAACGATCCTATCCACCTTCCCAGTCTTGATATCAAAGAGCAGTCCCGAGACATTATCTCGCAACTCTTTGCGGAGAAACGGAGAAGACTTGATGATATCCACGTCTTGTCGAGTACGTTCAACGATACTAACATGTCAGACATTAGCATTACAGATTAATTTCCACATGATGGAAGTGCAGGGAGACTCACTCAGTGGTAGCTCCGACTGTGACATCGTTGACTTTCCCAGCAAGATCTGGGTTGTGTTTCACCATATGTTCGCGAATAGCCTCTTCCGTCAAGTGCAATGCGCCACAATCTGTCGCCGTCAGATATCTGTGATTTGAAGCACATGTTTATGGCCCATTCAGAACTACTCACCTGTATGCTTAACGATGACGAGCTCGCTGATGCCGACGAGTCTGTCGATCGCGACAATGTCCATGATGTTTCTCGCGGGCGTACCAGATGCGGTTCTCACGAGAAGGACGCCTGGGCATTCAGTAAGAAGAGCATGCTCCGAACAGTTAGGAAGAGACAACAAGAGAGTGAGACATACGATCCTCATACTTGAGACCCAGGAAGTCCTCGGGTATAACGCGTCTGTCGAAGCAGCAGACTGATATCTGGTTAGTTGATTTACGTTGAGTTTCTCACGTTGGACTACTCACATATCATCTTCACCGGCGTCGTTAGACCCAGATCTTTGATGTCCGGTAGAGGTTCATGGTTCTTGGATATGACTCTATCAACTATATTAGTTCAAAATCTTCAAGGGTTGCGAGGGATTCTTACTCGGCTCGCTGGAGCAACTCTGAAGCGAAGGGAGTAGCCATTTCGATTGTTCAAGTCTGTGATGAGACGATAGTTCCTTGTGTTATGCCGGTCTTCGAGATATTCTAGAGCGATGAACCCTTTTATATCAAAGAAAACGCTAATTGACGCTAATTGAGCTGCTGGTGTAGCCTTATTGTTCCTCGAAGCTTCACCGTGCTCACATTGTTCACCGGATTACCAATCCAAGCTCATCGAATTCACGATCAATGCTTCTCACCGAATCCCCAACAGTGATGACACAATGCGGTATTCCCGCCATATTTTTAAATTATATGATTACTGATTAATGACTCTTCACCAACTCAGAGACTTCTGAGACAGGAAGCCTGGAGATGTAGTATCAGCACTAGGAAGAAGAAACATGGGTCTACTACGTATTTCTTGTCACACCTGTTCAGTAATCAACCTCGGTGAGCGTTATGCTCTCGAGCCTCACTGGGAAGATGTCGGTATATGGACGCAAAGGAATTCAACCCCCCGTGGAACATCCAATTCAGCCCTTCTGGTGAACCAGGGTTGCTGCAACTATGAATCCAACATGCAAGAAATATTTCAAATCCCCCATCGTGTAAACCAAGCACCCAACAGTTGGGCATCCAAATCATCAAGCTGATGAAATATGGCGGCACATCATTCAAGCCGACGGCCCAACTATCGAGATACCCCTTTATTTACTCTCACATACAACACCATACATAGCCGCCTTCGAAACTGCCTCCCTTGTTCATTTAGGCATTCTTGACTCTCACAGGCGACATGCCGTTATGCATAAATCATGAATATTAATCATGAAGCACGTCAAGCAAGGCCAGCCTTGCGTGTTGTCATGCTACCTGAATGCGTACTCCTCACCTGATGACCCGGCACAATTATATCGTCCGCGCACCCACCGGAGTGCCATGGACACGATATAGATGCGCAATGTATGGTATCACATATGCAGAGATTTTACGCTATCGTAACCCATCATGCAGACCTGTGTATTCTCAGGACTAAAACTACGATTATGCGCACTCGAACACAAGCAAACAGCCGAGAATATCTGCATGTGCTGGACTTTGTAGCTGACAATATGTATGAAATTCTAATCACGGAAACACAGTGATTGCTCGAGAGATCCCAAGCTGACTTGCTTCTTTGTGGTTGCCTGTTCGCGTGGCCTCACTATTCCTAGCCAACATTCAGCCTGTCTAGCTGCCTCTTGAATACTTCTATATCACGTCGCATCAAAAGAATTTGCCTAAAGTTTTATTATACTGAACTAGAAAATACATGACCAACGCCCGCCCAATGAAGTCGCCTACCGAGGCGCAAATATCATATTGCCTGTACAATACTCCAGGACTATTCAAGTGTTGGTGCAGAATTCTGAGCCTGCTAATAGACACCAACCGTCGACCATCCCGAGTCATGCTTATCGTCCGTCATATATTAAACCTATTATCATCACCCATTGCATAACATCATCACTTTCTCTATTCCTATATTGGCCCTTTAACCACTGCACATGATACATTCTTCGCGGTTCTCAATGCTGCCTGCAACGTTGTTAGGAATGTGATCTTCGAAAAGGATTATTGGGGCTACTTACATGTCAAAACGGCGTCAGCATAGATATCATACTCGCGCTCCTTGCTTGTATCTTCGTTATCTTCATCTTGCTGTGGCGACTTGGTGTCCTCAAGAGCTGCATCCGGTAGTGCCTCTGCTTTCGGTTTCTCAGTAGGCTCTGTTGCCAAAGCTTTAGGGCTCTCACCCTCAGGCACATCTGCCTTGAAAGATGACGCCTTGGCGGATGGTATAGCTGATTCCACAACTGTTGTCTCCTTGGCAGGGGGAGGGGTGGCACTAGGTGTGGGGACCCCATGGGGGGTATTGACCACGTTGGAGCTTTCCCTCTTAGCATACATTGGTCGTGGAATAGCAGGGGATGGTGAAGATGTGTGAGTTCCAGAAGGAGGGGCCCGCTTCTTCAACGCGCCGGGCCTAGCGGCCGCTGAATCTGTGACTTTCAGGGCTTCTTGGTCAACTGTGAATTGGATAGGTTGGGCAGCAGCTTGAGTTCGCAAGTAGTACATGCCAGTCTTAAGACCAAGCTTCCATCCAGTAAAGTGCATGCTTGTGATCTTGCCCATTGTAGGGTCCTTCATGTGGATGTTTAGCGACTGCGACTGATCAATGAACGCACCGCGATCGGCGGCCATTTGGACTACTGTGCGTTGGGATATTTCCCAGACAGTCTTGTACAAGGCCTTGACTTCCGCTGGAATACTAGGAATGTTCTGAATAGAACCACCCTCAGCGATAATACGGTTCTTCATATTGTCAGACCATAGACCCAGATCGACCAGGTCCTTCAGCAACCAGGGGTTGACAACTTGGAATTCACCGGCCAAAACACGACGAGAGTAGATGTTCGAGGTGTAAGGCTCGAAACATTCGTTGTTGCCCAGGATCTGCGAGGTACTGGCAGTTGGCATGGGAGCCATCAGAAGACTGTTGCGTACACCATGTTGCTTGATCTGCTCCTTGAGAGTAGCCCAGTCCCAGAGGTCAGAAGGGGTGACATTCCACATATCATACTGGAGGATACCCTGTGAAACTGGAGAACCTTCGTATGTAGAGTACGTGCCTTCCTCCTTAGCAATCTCCATTGACGCAGTCAAGGCAGCGTGGTACATGGTCTCAAAGATCTGCTTGTTGAGTTGTCGAGCCTCGGGGGACTCAAAAGGCATACGAAGAGCAAGGAAGGTATCAGCCAGACCCTGCACACCGAGACCAACAGGACGGTGGCGCATGTTGCTGTTCCGTGCCTCGGGAACAGGGTAGTGGTTTGCGTCAATAACTCTGTTGAGATTGCGCACGACGACTTGGGTTACCTCATGCAGCTTCTGGAAATCATAGCTTTCCGTGTTGTAATCGACAAAAGACGGCAAAGCCATAGACGCCAGGTTACAAACAGCCACTTCATCCGGGGCACAGTACTCGATAATCTCAGTACAGAGGTTAGAGCTGCGGATTGTGCCCAGGTTCTTCTGGTTGCTCTTGCGATTGGCATGGTCCTTGTAGAGCATGAAGGGGTTTCCAGTCTCTGTCTGGGCCTCAAGGATGGCGTACCACAGCTTCTGGGCCTTTATCTTCTGGCGACCTCGCCCCTCAGCTTCGTATTTCTCGTAGAGGGCTTCAAATTCGTCGCCGTAGACATCAGCAAGACCAGGACACTCGTTGGGGCACATCAGTGTCCACTCGCCGTTCTTCTCAACTCGTTTCATGAATAGATCGGGAATCCAAAGAGCCAAGAAGAGGTCGCGAGCACGAACCTCCTCCTTACCATGATTTTTTCGCAGATCCAAGAACTCGAAGACATCCGAGTGCCACGGCTCAAGGTAGATGGCGAAAGCGCCGGGTCGTTTGTTGCCACCTTGATCAACGTAGCGGGCGGTGTTGTTGAAGACACGCAACATAGGAACAACACCATTTGACGTGCCATTGGTACCGGCGATATAAGAGCCCGTGGCACGAATACGGTGTACGTTCAAGCCAATACCACCAGCCATCTTGGAAATCATAGCACATGTCTTGAGGGTGTCATAAATGCCCTCGATGCTATCCTCCTTCATGTCAACCAAAAAGCATGAGGACATCTGAGGTTGTGGTGTTCCGGCATTGAATAGAGTAGGCGAGGCGTGGGTGAAGTATTTGAGCGACATCAGATTGTAGGTCTCGAGGACCTTCTCAACATCATCTCCCCAGATACCTACAGCCACACGCATAATCATGTGCTGAGGTCTTTCGACAATCTTGCCATTGATCTTTAGGAGATATGAACGCTCTAGAGTCTTGAAGCCAAAGTATTGGTAGTTGAAATCTCGGTCATATACAATGGCCGAGTCGAACTCGTCTTTGTGTCTCATGACGCAGTCGTATGTCTCCTGTGAGATCATGGGTGATGGCCTGCTGTTCTTGGGGTTGATGTAGTGATACAGATCACTGACAACGGAGGACCATTGTTTCTTTGTCTGCTTGTGTAGGTTGGATACTGCGATACGTGCAGCGAGGATGGCGTAGTCTGGGTGGGTGACGGTCATGTAGGCGGCGGTCTCGGCTGCCTGTTTCCGGGGTTCGATCAGAAAAGGCATGTTTGGGTCACATTTTGAGGGAAACTTACGAGGTCGTCTAGCTGTACGGTGGTGACACCTCCGTAGACACCAGAAATGACCTTCTGGGTAATAGCAACAGGGTCGACATGGTCGGTGTCGAGGCCGTAACATAGGCGCGATACACGAGCGGTAATCTTGTCGAATTGAACCCGTTCTTGACGGCCATCTGTCTACGGGTTAGCAGCCGATACGAGAAGAGGGACTCGTAGAAGAACATACCTCGCTTCTTGACATACATCGTGACACGCGGGTTAGACGAAACCCGTGGGAAAGTGGGTTGACAAGGTACGAGTCGGGGACAATGCCAACGACGAGGTAAGTCAATATCGAGAAAAAAAAGGTACGGCAACTGTCAATGTGTAATCCAAGCTGCCCGTAAGCCTCTATGCCGGCAACAGTGAATGGGTATCAGAAGAGGCACTCGTGTGAGATATTAAAAGAGTTGACTAGTTTGGTGATGTTGAGTAAAAGTCGGATAAAAACCATGCACCCACCATCCAACTTTAAATAGAGACGCGCCGTTCGCTAGGAGACCGCGTTCTAAGACTTCTCTAGCGCGTCAAAATAACAAGTTCGGGGCAATATAGTGCCTGTAAGGCGCCCCTCGTTACAGCGCCCACAGCGAGTCGATCCTCTTCGATAGAGCGCTTTACAGCAGGGTGCCTACAGTACATGGAGAGTACAAATCTAGATAAAGCCGAGGCGCTGAATCAGCAAGTCGCTGCCAGCCACTCAACGCGCTCTGACGCGCGCTGAATTAGTAGATGGCGGGGTTGTCCAGGTCACCCTTTAGCTACTTCAGGTACCTAGATACACTATAAAGTACTCGCATGGCATTGCATGCTGTGGCTCCATCAGGTTGCATAGGCTACCATTGCTCTGGTTTTCATTGCCTTCTATCGTAAAGGAGGCATGTCCTGGATATTTCCAATTATTCCCATTCTTGTTTCTATTGCAAAGAATCACATACACTGACTTCCACAAACTAGATTCTTGGAAATTTCATAGTGCTTACAGAATACATGCTGGTGTCTATGTCGCGCATGCCCCACATTGACCGAGACATTGAAGAATTGGAATGAGGAAGACGCGTAAATTGATTTCTGAAAGTGGGGCACGTGTACGGAGTACCTAATTGATGAAATAAATTGTTAAGCAGCAACTGGGAACAATGCCATGGCAACCGGATTACCAACAAACATATAAAGGCCCTTTCTCTAGCCTAATACACTGCGTAAAATTGACCCGGTGAGTCCTGCAACGCCACTTGATCCGATACTCCGGATCGGTTCTGAGCACAGGGGGCATTTACGGCCATAACTGGCAAGGTCCACTATGAAGCCAACGAGAACGGAGCCGGCACGGAGCATGGATACTTACAAGTAACATCTGTCCAATGCCCGGGCGGCCATCTGCCGCTGCCGCCGGCGCTCCATTTTCATTTTGCGCAGCCTTGATACGTCTAAATCAATCAGTATTTACTACACATTGTGTTCTATCTCTGGTGGCTATCGAGGCTAGATAAGCCCCAAGCACCCTGTACCTTGCGAGGTTGTGTGATATTATGCACCAACGAGTTCTGAGGCGTCACTTCACGAAGCCTCAAGAGGTGGTTTGAGTTTTCGTGAAATTTGCTCTATCTTCCCTTCAACCTGCTATTCATTCACCACTTCATCCAAGAATGGACCGCGCAAAAGTGACATGAGCTAGCTTTTCAAGAAACTAGCCCTGGCCGCATAGTTGTACGACCAGGGAATGAAGATGATCTATTCTATACTTAGGATCTTCATAAAGGCGGTATCGGATGCGGGACTGCTTTACCTAGGTAGCTTTTCCAAGTGAGGAGATAAGAGTATGCGATGATTTACTGGGAATCGACTTTCAACGTAAAGCCAATAATTGCTGAAAGATCCAGATATCGCCAACAATCATTGCGAACATCCCAAGTCAATGAAATGATGTATTCAACTATTCCCGACGCAAAATCACCGGGGCTTCCCGTGTTGATGTAAAATAACAATGTCAAGGCCAATAACATCAGTCTTGTCACTAAGCAAAACCGGGTCTTTGACTTCCCCGTTAAGAGACCCGATTGCAAATGAGAGACTCTCATAAGCCCCACTTGAGACGTGGATGTGAACCATTCATTCGGTATTTTGGGTGAAACGATGATTGGTGGGGATGTGAAATCATCTACTAAACCGCCGACAAGGCATTCGTGCAAAGGGAAGAAACTACAGTTGAAAGACGTTAGAGAGCTTGGCGGCCATGGCCTTTGGGCGGTTGGGCCACTGACCGCTTCGGCAACCCTGCTTTACGACCTTGTAGGTATTGGGCGTCACCCCAATAATAGCTATTGATATGCGAAAGACCCTTGATGTGATAACTAGGTGTATCTCAAATTGGCCTGATGCTACGCTCATCCAAGGCGCAGCTCCTCGTCTTTATACCCGTATTTGAGAACGACGGCATGGAAACCACAGATAGCTAGACTATTCAGATCCACAAGATACGTCGACCGTTAATGATCTGTCCAGTACAAGTCATGGTCCCGCAAGAGACATCGGTATTGGGAGCCGGGACTTCTCATCCTCATTGTTGAAAGAAAGAGTCGTGGTATTCGCATCAATATCGAGCTTTGCGAGAGACCTGCTTTACCTCAAGCTCATCTTCCTTTGTTCTATTCTTATACCAGCGGCGACTTATCACACGACTATCAAGATGTCTATGGGATTCGAGGATTGCGGGGTAGTGAGAGATGGATTCCCCCGACCCATCCCGGATACATCTCCCAATGTCTTGGAGCAGTTTCGCATGACGGGCAAGGTGGTTGTCGTGACTGGAGCTGCGGATGGTATCGGGTATGCCGTATCAGAGGCAATGGCCGAGGCTAACGCCAATGTCGCCTTGTGGTACAACTCGTGAGTTGGGACGGATGATAAGGATGGAAGTGGATATCTTAGTACTCACAATGAATTAAGCAACGATGCTGCCATCAAGAAGGCTAGGAACTTGGCTGATATCCACGGCCTGAAGACGTGCGCGTACAAAGTTGACAGTAAGGCCTCATTTCTACCCTTCAATGTCTACACGGACCTTGAGCTAAACAAGCTTTTCCTAGTCTCCAACCCTCAAGAGGTCCAAGACGGGATCAATAAGGTCTTGCAAGATTTTGGTAGAATAGATGTTTTCATTGCCAACGCTGGTGAGTTTCACGTAGCTTCAGTCGAAGTCAGTTGGGCACACGCCAGACTAATAACCAATCAGGAATGGCAATATCGAAACCTATTCTGGAACAAACACTTGAGGAGTACAGGAAGCAGATGTCGGTTAACGGTAAAGTGCAATCCACGAGGTTGACGATTGTATAATTCATATGCTAACTTTCTGTTCATAGTTGACGGCGTGGTAGTCTGTGCAAAGTACGCTGGCGAAGTGTTCAAGCGCCAAGGCACGGGAAACCTCATTATCACATCAAGTGTGAGTGCGCACATCGTCAACGTACCAACAGACCAGCCTGTATACAATGCTACGAAGGCTTTCGTAACGCATTTTGGCAAGTCTTTAGCGCGCGAATGGCGAGACTTTGCCCGAGTCAACATTGTTTCGCCTGGGTTCTTCGATACAAAGATGGGCGCTAGCCCTGCTGTGGCCAATGAGGCCTATCGAATGGCTGTTCTGGGACGACAAGGCCATGTCAAGGAGATCAAGGGTTTGTATCTGTATCTTGCCAGCGATGCCTCGACCTATACGACGGGTAGTGACGTCATTATTGATGGCGGATATGTTTTACCATAAAACTACAAAGACAGTTCTCGTGAATAGCTGGGTAGACGTACAGCCTAATTGAACTCATTTCAATTCTCATCTATGAAAATTAACAGCAGGTAGCGAACTACATATGTAGATAGCTTAATCAATCGACCAAAGCCTACAAATGAAATTGGGCGCCTGTGAACGATCCTGTATTCAGCTAGCAAAAATATGCATTAATCGAGAAACAACTACTGGTCACAGTTCTATATTGGCATACACTGTGGGGGACTTGGCTGGCACTTCAGACGGGAATGCGAGGCAACAAGCTGCGCCAAGGCTTAGCCACGATGTTGAGTCATCTATGTTGAAGCAGAGTCGCTCCCGTATTTCTTTTTATGGGCGAAAGAAGACTCAATGATCCGAAGTAGAAGTCTCTTCAACTGTGTCTCACACTATAAGGCCAATCGACTGTCGGTTTCGTCGAGATATCTGGTGAGACCGCTCTCATCTTTCGTTAAAATGGCTTCAGAGGTGGTAGACTCTGCGCCTCCTTCCAGTGCAGATGGTAATTCGATATACATACCACGCTATGTTGATGTAAGTCAGGGATATCAGAACCTCTCAGCATGCTGTTCATCAATTTTTTCTTAATTTTGGCGGGAAAGGCGTGCCAGGACATGAATGGTGATTATGTTGCATACATATACAAGCCTTGTCTATGCTGTTTTTACTAATTCACTCCACGGTTCCTTACAGATTGGAATAAACCTCGCGGATCCCATCTTTCGAGGTATATATCATGGCAAGGAGCGGCATCCAAATGACCTGCAGGCCGTGATATCGCGTGCGCAAGAGGTTGGCTGTCAAAAGCTGCTTATCACCGGATCTGACTTCAAAAGCTCAAGAGATGCACTCGACATAGCCAAAGAATACCGTATGTTGATGATTACGCCTGCACTGTTCATTACGTTCATTGGATTCATGAGACAATTACTAACCATCGCTCAGCGGGTATCGTATACACAACAGCTGGCGTCCATCCCTGTTCAAGCGCCATCTTCAGCTCATCACACGCCCATCACGATGCACAGGAGTTCACGATGCCGAATGACGCGGACCCAGAGAAGCCCGTCTCAGAGGACCACGAGCCGGACGAAGCCAAAACAACAAAAATCATCTCCGAGCTCCGCACTTTCATCGAGTCAGCAAGGAGCACGCACCCAGGCGCCCTTGTCGCCTTCGGCGAGTTCGGTCTCGACTACGACAGGTTGCACTACTGCTCCCGCAAAGTGCAACTGCATTCTTTCGCAGCGCAGCTGGACCTCGTGCTCTCGCTCCGCCCCCAGCCGCCCTTATTCCTGCACTCGCGGGCCGCGCACGAGGATTTCGTAGGGCTGCTGAAAGCGAAATTTGGGTCTCGACTCGAAAAGCTCGAGCGCGGTGGGGTTGTGCACAGCTTCACGGGCACGGCGGCGGAGATGCACGAGCTCGCCGATTTGGGGCTGTACATCGGCACGAACGGATGCAGCTTCAAGACAGAGGAGAACTGCACCGTCGTGAAGGAGATCCCGCTGGACCGGCTTATGCTCGAGACTGACGGGCCGTGGTGCGAGATCCGGCCGACGCATGCTGGGTGGCGGTATCTACTGGACGCCAAGGCCAAGGCTGAGGGTATCTATGCAGGTCTGGACGTCAACGGTGACGACTCCGCGCAAGCAACGCCGGAATCTACACCCGCGTCCACGGTGGTACCGACGCCCAGGACGGCGACGCCTAATCCGCAGCAAGAAGCTTCTGCGCCTGCACAGGCGAAACCCGCTAAGCCGCCGAAAAAGCCGAAGAGAAAGGAACCTGAGGTTCCTGAGCGCTGGCGCTTCGTGAAAAAGGAGAAGTGGGTCGAGGGCTCTATGGTAAAAGGTCGCAACGAGCCGTGCATGATCGAGCGTGTCGGACAGGTCGTTGCTGGTGTGCGGGGTGAGCCACTGCGCGATGTGTGCGAGGCTGCCTGGGCGAATACTGTGAAGGTCTTCGGGCTTGATGAAGATGGAAAGGCCTGAATAATGATGGACGGTGATACCCTGCGTATGGAAATGAGATTCTAAGGTCTTATAGTTGAACTTCTACCTCCAGAATAGAGTGCCAGCCCTATGGAGTTGGTCTACGTAAAGAACGTGCGTCAAGAGCTCTAGACTTATAAATAGATAGATGCGAGGACGCGTAACATCTGCCTTGACTTTGTCTAGACTATTCCATTGATAGCCCAAATGATTGTAATAGACATGATGTGACATTTGAAATAGCGCATAGTCAGTCATAGATGTTCATTACATACTCGTAGACATTGGCTCATTAATCTAGAGGATAGGCACCTCTTCAAAGGATCGAGCAGATGAGCATCGCCAATGTGATATACACTAATCGTTGCGTAGCGAGAGATGGACATGACGATGCGGTTACACTGTTCCTTGCAACGAGCCCCTCGAGCAACATTCAGCTGACAAGACTTCCCTCGTCATGCCAAAACCTAGGAACCGTTACTGTAGGTGCCTCGCTTCCCATAATGCTCATAAACCAGAGCCTTTAAACCCTTTAACCCTCCCATTTCTCACAGCTCCTCTCGTGACCCCATCCTCGCCTGTCATCCACCCCGGCATTCGCTCACCATCGATAAAGCCAGCTTCCACAAGTTGGCGAATGCCCGCAAAGACGTGGGGTCCATGGAGTGAAAGTCGAACATTGGGACGCCATGCCCACTTCTCTCGACCCCTATCACCTTCTCGCGCTCGTCTTCCCATGACACGAGGCACGTTTTCGCTAGCACCTCTGTCCCGGTCGTAATCTTGTCGCTGTAGTTCGGAATCTTCATCTTCGTCTCCTTCGGCCTCTTCCAAGAGGCTAGCATCCAGACTACTTCGACGACCTTTCGGTTTCCGAGGATGTGATGAGTTCAATTCCCCCACGTCTTGGCCATCGCTTTCATTCTCAAAGTCCAGCTCCGACACTGGAAAAGGGTCTTCAATCAAAATATCCACCCTTTCAATACCTTTCCCATCATCCATTTTAGCATTATCTCCGAAGCGCGCCTGTGCCACTAGTCGCGTACGTTTACGCCGGTTTTCCTCTTCTGACAACTCCGAATCAAAAGTCCGCTTCAGTGTGTTTGGCTTTCCGTTGCCGAAACCAACTGTCTGCTCTTCGTCTTCCCCGGCAGCATCGTCCGAAAGTGGCGGCGTGGGCAGTAGCGAATTGAGTGGACTATGAGTTCGCGCGTCGGCCGCCTTGTCACCCGCGTACACACTCCATCCACCAGCAGCCGCGTTACTGCGCCCTGATCCACGTAGACTGAGCATAGCGTCGAGGTTTTTTGTCTGAAGGTTAGTTGTTTTGAGGGAGTACCGCTCACGTGGGCGAGACAAGGCTTTAGGAATGCCCTCTACAACAAGGGCACGTAAGGATCTTGTCTCGGCGTGTGTTGTTGGTCCCGCACTCTGCGACTTGCTGACGAAGATGTGCGGAGATGCATCGGGGAACGCAACATATATAGTGCGCGAAGCATCAAAACTTGTCACCGTGCGGGCCCCTGAAGACGTGGATCCAGACGTAGCGGAGACGGCGAGGTCGGTGTTATATGGAGAGTCGAGCACAAAGATGCGGAGGAGAAGAAGCGGGAGGCCTTTGGGCCGGTCAAAGTTATAATGCGCCTTGACATCCGGAAGCACCTCAGCTTGTAGGTTCTGCAAAAAGGTACTGGGATGGAAGCGTGGGACGTGCATAGCCAGCTTGTCGATCGTATCGTAGTTGCGGTCGGCTTCGACGTCGTCCTCATGCCTGGGTGTCTTTAAGCGCTGTATCTTGTAGCAAGCCCACTTCAGTGTCCCCGGATGATCATATAAGTATTGTAGATCAGCCATAGCGAGCTGGTAAAGGGTCAAGCCTTCTCGCCAATCCCCTTCGAGTATACGGTCCACGACTTCACGTCTGCTGCCCTTTCGTGTCTGCATATCTACGTACAGCTCCCGAAGCTCAGCCAGCGTGGACGCCGGTGGGTACAGGTCGTTGTCGAATTCATCCTCATCTTCATCGTCGGATAGATTTTCGCGAAGAAACGGATGACAGAGAGACCCGTTGCTGGGCTCGAGCCAGTCGAGAACGAGAGACAAAAGTGATGGCCGCGAGAGTCGATTAAGAACCTTTATGACAGAGGGATTGGAAGAGTTGACGTGAAGAGAAGAAGGCAGACGAGCCGTAGTGGGAAGAGAAAGGGGAGGCGCCATAGCTGGCTATGCGCCCTTTCAAGTATCGGGGAGGAATCCCCAGTATGATGCTTATGGAAAATCGCAAGATCAAGCTCTTGTTGTCATTACAATGTGAATTGATACATGGTGTACTGTGTATGGAAATGCAAAGGTGGGGTGACGCTGGAGAGCAGCCCGATGACGCGCGACGCGTCTCGTATTTTGGTGTCCTAGGCTAAAGGCTCTAGAATCCAAGCGATGCGATGGTAATAGGCGTTCTCACATGTGCGTACATACAGTCCATCTCCGCGTACCTAAAGATGCTTTTTTTTTACTTTCTCTATTGCGTTGTGAATTGGTAACCCATAATAGTTCTCATGATTGTTGTATGAATCTCGCATCACGTACTTCGATATTGATCACAAGCGCAGTTTAGATAATGGATCATCGGGGATTTCTTGGCGGTAGATAGCGCCTTCTGTCGCGATAAAAGATAAGCCTTATCTTCATCAGGCATGGTACTGAGATTATGTAACCTTGCAGATTAACTACGAAGTACAATGGAGAACCCCAGACATTCTTCAATGGGTTTCAAAGCCACCAATCATCTGTCTGGTCCCATGATCGCAACGTAATTAGCATAACGGTTTTACAGCCCTAAAGCTTAACTCCAGACGAGATGTACCTATGTATCGACAACTCGCAAATTTCGAAGAGTATACTCCGTACCAGTACCTAGATATCTACCTACTCTTCCCAGATACTCTCAGGTTTCAGCCAACTCCAGTCTGCTAGCGTTTCCCTGTGAGCATGTCAGGTTCTGCGATGGAAGTAATGATATTTGGAAAATAACATTTTACTTTCTAGTCAGGCTCTGTCGGGATTGGAGTGTTTACTTGTAAGACAGACGCACGCACGAAGCTCGGCGTCTAAGCTGGGTGCTTTGTAATGCTACTGCTTATAAAGCACGCCTAGCAGTCAAAGTACGTTGCAATACCTTGGCTCCAAGGTAACATACAGCAGACTAGTGACAAAAAGAGCAAGTACGCTTACAATTCATGCGCGTCTGCATGCGGGAGAGTATGCAGTACTATGCAAAAGTCCGGATTTTGTGTTGGAGGCCAGTAGGGATCGATGGAAATTTCGAAGCGGCTTTATCGCGTAACCATCACAGAGACTGGTAACCCCGCTTCGGTGCGCCATGAATACGCATACAATCTGGCTAAAGCCGCAACAGGCGGCTTCAAGATTGCAACATATCACTGCAGCTTCACAAAACGAGACTGGGCAAATTCGGGGGCTTATAAATTCACCATCTCCCAAATTACACGTGCGACTTAAGGTCCAATCTAGTTCAGAAACGTGACTAGTCTACCTAACCTACTACACACACTACCTATGTACTATACTTACCTAGGTATTTTATGTATAATACACATTACAACATACTATGTACATGTACAGTAGGTAGGTGCTAATGTGTGTCTCGGGATTCGTACCGCTACTAACGGCTTGTACGCCGGTCACGTGCACGCCTCCGGTAGCGGGTTGCAGAGTGGCGATGCGACAAAGCCGAAAGCTCCCGAACATGTCATTTTGAAAGGAAAAATATCAGGGAAACACCTTGCATTCAGGCCTTCATCTTCCGCCGGAATTCCGCCGGAAGTGTACCTGATACTGCTCACTTACGTAGTAGGCAAGGCAAGGCTGAACGAGCTGCGAAGCGAATATACATACACATGTGGTAAGAATTATCTGCATACTTACACAACACATACTACATGTAGTAGTGCAGTCAAGAGGCAGGCAGAACCGAAGCGAATTATTGATTATAAATCCGCATAGCTAGTTAAGCGCAGACTGAGCGGATCGCAGACGGTGCCTGGCAGCTAACTGTCTTGGCCGTTAGTTAGGGCAGAGAGAGCGATCTGGATACCTACTATACTATGTATGTGCCCTCGGCCGAGTGAACAAGGCGTTCGAGTAAGTGTACCGTATCTACATACTCCAGCAGCTTAAGTAGTAAACGATATTCTGTATCATACTCTATGATATCGGCAGGCCAGAATTTGATAGACTGGGCTCTATTTGTACAGTAGATAGGTGTCTATTTCGGAAGCACACCTTGATTTATTGCCACCAATGTGCCTTGGAGTATGGGTAGGTAGCAGTGGCAATCCGTCTGTCGAGCCCATTAGGTAAATCGAGCGCGGGATGTGAGGCGATTCCAGGTTTTCATTGGCCAATCTTTGGCAGTTTCAAATCTAGCAGCACCCTACCTCACCTACTATTTCGTATGTACAGGCTAAGTCCAGCAGCTTGTACTCTCAGCCGTCTTCTAGCCACTCCACCAGGTAACTTGACAATACATACATAGTAGTATATCGAAATGGATGTACAGAGGAGGTAAGTAGGTCTTAGAGAGGGGAAACCCTAATTGCTCAAGACAGCGCTACCTACCTAACTACCTAGGTAGGTAGTATTGTGAACTCGAGTCATGACCATCCTACAGATATCTTCGTTAGGTAGACGTCAGGTGAGCGTCAGCACTCTCGATTAAACCCCCCCGCCTGCCTGTAGGAGGGTGTCCTGTTATGCGTACAAGATGCGCACAAGATTGTGTGGGAGGGTGGTATGAACGGCTAATGGGTGGGTGCGCGACTGTAAGTAAGTAAGTAGGTAGGTACAGGCGAGAGACAGCGAGAAAGGGTCTGCACAGGGGCCTGTACAGGGGTCTGTACAGGGCAACCCACGAGTCTGCGCGGGCGAGCTACGGGTGTTCTCGGCTAGCCTGTTTAGGGCGTCGACCGCCTGAGACCGGGCCCTTTGAGCGTGAATCTGTCGAGTCTGTGAGACCAGCGCCTTTGATGCTCCGATTCATCACCATTCCGGTCGACCCACCGAGCACTACTATAGTAATCGATATCAGCGCTAGGTATTTCCCTTTTTCCACTCCAAATCTCTCTCTTGCGCTGTTGGATCTTTGGAATCGTCAACCCCTCTACAACAACTGCAGCTGACGGCACCGATCGGGACACGCATGAGAAAACTTCAATCCGCTAGACGACCGAGCATATAAACCACAACGTCCAGTGCATTCGCACTTCCAAAGCTGCCACTGAACGCACGCTTGCGCCGGCCGGTAACATCGCCTTACCGAGAAGACCTGCTTGGTCAAGGCGCTCATCACGCCGCCGCTCGTCGGCTACAAAACTACGACCATAAAAAAACACCGCGAAACATATCGTCAGCATGTCAGCGTACAACGGTCGTCGGGGCCACCCCGTCAATGTGTCGCAGCTGTTACAGGATCTCAACAGGATTCCGGAGCCTGCACCGCAGCCTGACGACAATCTGCCCAGTCTCGATGACGAGCTGGCCATGTTCACGAACACCAATTTTATAGACTGGGATGCCGGCACTCCTCATGGAAGCGGGCATGAAACCGCCTCGACCACTTCGCCGGCGACGGAGCGTGTTTCCTCTGACGCAGTCAATGGTGACCTGTCGAATTTCGACTTTAACCTGACAGGTTAGTGTGCCTTTTTGTTCATCTATTGTTGCAGTTCGTCTCTTTGTTCGGATCGAGGTTTTAGCATCGGCATGGATCCTGCGTGAGCTATCTGCTATTGCTTTCTTATTCTCCCCGCCTTGCCTGAACTTTCCACCCCCCGCATGGAACAGTCAGCAGGCCCGGGTGTCCTAATCCCGATAGAAGATGTGCAAGTCTACGCTGTACGCACACGCCGACCATCTTCCAGGCTTCCTATTTGCCAGAGACCTTCCGTCTGCAGCTTCCTGGCCCAAGGTCCCCTTTTCTGATTATTGCTGTCTTTACCGTGTCCGAGTGGATCAGCGGTGCATTCTCCTTGGTTGGGAGTTCGTGGGAATGCGTCCGTTCCACAGCTTCTTCGCCAAATGTCTCTCGAGAGTCTGGAACCCACAGCGGACCCCCGCAAATCGCCATCTACTACGACCCTGATTGGCTCGTTTGCCCTATCGTGGGGGCCCTGACCCTGGCAAGCGCCTCAAGGTTCATTCGCTCGACAGAATAGCATGCTATGGCGCAATCTGCCCGATGGTGCAATTCCCCGTGATCTTGAGGTGATCATAGGGGAAGCCCGGCAGCCACATGCGAATGGGTTGCTGCTTGCATGCGAGCTTGCTGGCGCCTGATAGGCATGGCATTGATTTAAACTTTACCTATACTTTTCTTTATACCCTTTCGACTTTCGAAGTTGTCATCCATGGTGTTGAGCACCTCAAATTAAATTCCCGTTGCCTCGTTTTCCTCATGCTGGTTCGGTTGCATATGTCACACAATCTAACATCACGTCATGACTTCAGGCGATTTTAATGGCTTCGATTTCCACAATTACCCGGCGCCAAACGTCAGCAGTTTCTCAGACAACCTAGGCACATTGGCACCAATTCAGCCTTCACCCACCTACCCTCCTAACGGGGGTCAGGGTCCTTACGGAACATCCGTGCATTCAGGCGACAAAGCCGGTGAGGCGGCTCCACGACGCAGCCGACAGCTCTCCTTCGAAGAGCAGTCGAGGCTAGCTGCAGAGGAGGACAAGCGGAGGCGAAACACAGCCGCTAGTGCTCGCTTTCGAGTGAAAAAGAAGGCTCGCGAGCAGGCACTCGAGAAGCGCGAGAAGGAGCTCAGCGACAAAGTCGGTGCATTGGAAAGTCGGATTTCGTCTTTGGAAACGGAGAACAAATGGCTCCGAGAACTGGTCATGGAAAAGAACGGCGGTAGCGACTCGGTAGTGTCGGCCTTGCTAGAAAAGCAAAAGCCCGAGTCGAGAAAAGCGGCGGAACAAGCTAAATCAGAAACCTCTTCATGAAATCGGCAACAACTTTGCATTTGAAACGCGTGCATGATTATATTACGGAACCGGCGTTGAAGAGGAAGGCAATTTTGGGGGGAATCCGCATACCCTTTCCGGAGCTGGGGAGTGTGGTGGTGGGGGATTTGGATTTGCATCAGTGATTCGTACATATCTGCTTTTGAGTGTTTCGGTCGGGGCTCCGATCACGTATATACTACCACTATTGGCAGTCTTGTCCTGCCCTGCCCTGACAATCATTATGCGTCACGAGTTCCAGTGCCTACGATATACCTGGCATTCATTTACCATGACACATGACTTCTTCTCAACAAAGTCTTAAGTCTTTGTAAACCATTATCACACATATTGAGTGCACCATGGTTTTACACTAACTTAAGATGATGGGTAAGCGTTTAGCGTATTAGCAGTGTGTAACCATCAACATGACTCGCAATTTATTTATTTATCTTTTGCTAGCTATCAGGCTGAGCGTTCTTCTCTTCAGAGGCCTTTTCCGGCGCATTATCAGAATTACCTGGTTGTGCTGCACGAAGTTTCGCCAGGCGCATCTGGTTTCGCTTTCCCACTGCATCCAATCAATCAGTGATCCGCACGATTACGTGATTAGGTAGTATATAGATAGTTTGAAATGAAACGCAGAAGACCAAATCGATTCATTAAATGCTTATCATCGTTAAGGTCATGACGTAGAAGAGATGGAATATGTTGCCGAGAAGAGAGTGAAGAGTATGAGAGCGTTAGAAAAGAGACACACTTACATATCCGCAATGTGTTTTCGCGCTCGATGTCTGCCATCTTCTCCCAGTTTGCGATGCGGCTCAGCGTTCCGTCCTCGTTTACGACGAGCGGGCCGAGATGGTCTAGACGTAGTGCTGCGCCGTCTACTTCGAGTGTCGGTGCAGCGTCGCCCGCGGCAGGGAGAGCGGGGAGTGATGGGGTTGACTGAGGCTCGGACTGAGTTTCATTGTTGCCTTCCGACTTGGGGTTTGATGTATCCATAGTTGGTGATGGTGAAGACTGTTTATAAGACGGGTTTGAGTATGGCTTGCGCGCAAATTGGGTGGATTCTGCAAGTCGCAGGGATGATTTGTATGAAGGGCGATGATGACGCTGCGTTAGTAGAGCAATAGATGAGAGTGATCTTGAGGGATGTGCCGATTGAACTGTTCTTTTATTGTGGATGATGGCTCTGCGAAATAGTGGCAGGAATTTCCCACTCGGCCTCATGTCTTTATAAGTCTGGTGTAAATTCCCGACTCTATGTGAATATTCTGGTGTTTTCGAACATCGAGTGTGATGGTACTGTCGCAATAGAATATGAAACCAGTTACTCCAGGTCGATCGGGTGTCACACCTTGCCGTTATATGCAACCAACAATTCTTTGATATAACAGGATCTAGAAATGTTAATATTATCAAATCAGGCCTTTCACTCAATAGGAAGATTAGCTGCTACGTTGATAACAGTCTTTCTGGATGTTTCTGGAATGAGAAGAGGGAACCAACCGATTGGTGGAGCCTGTAAATGAAAGTCACGTGTTTTCGTGTCCATCTTCTCCAACGGCTCCAACCCCCTGCAGTCACAGGTGACAGAGCGCAGTAAACTGAATGAGACTACATGGTCTTTGAGCTAAATTGCTCGCTACTGAACTGAGAGGCCTTATGATACAACGGCGAGCTTATTACATAGGCTCAATTTTTCTTAAGCCCCCGTTCTAGTTAGGCTAGGTAGAGCACGTGAAATATCATTCAAATGTAAAGATTCATATACAGCAAGATGGTAGCAAGCCTTTCCAAGAACTCATCTGATTGTCACGATCATACTAAGTAGACTACGGTGTCTCATCAAGTCTCAATGAATTTGATCTGAAGTTAACAAGATAATATAAGCGAACAGAGATTTGTATTTGTATTAGTATCAATGAGATGAATACTATCGTTTGCCATCAAACTCAATGGATAGATAGGTGAGAGATAAAGAGTGTTATGAGAGTGAGAGGCAGCGCTGAAACTCAGCAGCGATTATGAATAGAGCGATATGTTCCTCTTAAGAGTTGGTAATTGGGAAGTGAAGGAAAGGAGTAGGCAAGGAAGCTCCAGAACACTGGGCTCTATAACTGTTCGCTGTTCTTCGCGTTTGAGCCTTCGGCTATATCTAGATGAAGACTGGTCGTATAGTCCCTACTGTTGCGTTTAATAACCTTGATGATAACCTTGGTACTGTTGTTGTTGCTGTTGACGTGCAATGCATGCAGAGCATATCGCATAGTAGGGAATGACACTTCCCCTACACCGAACCTGACATTGACCTGGTTTATGCTTTTCGTGGTGACAAACACGTTCTCTGTAAGCCCAGACTTGTGAAATTTGGTGGCCACATGTCTGACACGTGGTCTCATTCATAGCCCATTGGCACATCTTGGAGTTTTGGAGAATGTGTCTTTGATTGTATCGATGGAAGTTGTGCTTGTGTGAGTGTGATCGATTAAGACGGGGGTTGAAAAGTTAATGGTTAGGTGGCGATTTATTCATTCGAGATGTTTTCGAGCCGATTGGGTTTGACTGGTCTGTTAGGGGGCGTTGAATTTGCAAAGTATATGTGCCCTTTTATATACTACAGAAAAAAGTTTTACGCTGGAATCCTTACTGGCTCCAGTCGTACCTCATGATCATTCAAACTATCCCATGTGATGCCATTGTTTGTATCAGAGATCCTGTAATACCACATTGGGAGCTCAAATCCCGAGAATTGTCATCAAAAACGGCAGCACATATACGCATATACCTTCACTTTTCAAACTGCCCCGATGCCGTGCGTCGTACATGTACGTGGTGAGACCCATCTACAGCTTCCCTTTATGAATGATGTTACATGTTCTATGTCAGGGGAACTCACAAGCGACCACATGATGCCTCAACACATGCTGGTTTTGGTGGCCTTACTTCTAAAACACTAGTCCTACCTCATACGACTTTACTCAACTCACGTCTCCCTCATGAAGACCATATGGTGCAGAAGATATTCGTCACTCATAACCTCAGCGTCCCTAGATTTAATTGACCCTTAACGACTTATGAGAGCTCCCTCGTCGTACTTCGTGCCCCCACACAAGGTCCTTGGGCAACCTAAAAACATTCCTCATGATTGCTGTCGTAATCCCAGGGACACGATAGTTTTCATGCACCATACGAAGATGCCATCATATCTGCGCGAAATCGGGCTTCAGTTTGGTCACTCAAGTAATCAGGGTCATAACTTTGACTAAGGCTTGGCTCCGTGACAATAATTGACTGTTTCTCTAGGTTGGTATATGGATGCTCATACCCTTTTCTTTCAGAAAGAACATACTCATGTGCAGGGAAGAACAACAGCCTTAGTATCAGGTAAGCATGGATATTATATCCCTTGACGTTTGTATTGGCTCAATGCCGCCCTTCTCTCTATCCCTTATGTGGATTTTTATATTATTAGAAGTGGTAATAATATCGTCTATGACAACCCCGGCCTATGGGTTTCTAATGTAAAAATGTATTTGCGAGATCCCGCAAAATTATAAGATCCAAGTGGAGAGAGGAAACACATGACATTTTGATCTAAATTAGAATACGACTTCCCGAATGCTGCAGGCATACACCATCTTACAAACACACAGAGGAGCTGGCCCAAGCCAGCTTCGCGTGGCGAGTTTATCTGGTTCCAAAAAGAGGTGAATTTATTTCTTCATTATACTTCAGTGCAGTATTTCGGCTACAAAACCTAGGATTCGATTAAACCTCGCGTCGTTGTGCTGTGGATGAAATGCCCAGTATCATATATTCTCTACAAGACGTTTTTCCATGCTCTCAGAGCAGCCAACCTCTGTAACGAGGTGAGAGGTAGACGCAAGTATATGCTCATACTCGCGCGCTTAGGTATCCTATCATCATGAAATTACTAATTATTCTAGCCGAAAGACGGAGAGATGGGTGCGCTTATTACACGTACGGGAATATCCAGCCTCTAGTTGGCTTACTTCATGAATTTTTGCATCACTGTGTAAAAGTATGAAACCAACAAATGCATTCAAATTAAGAATTATACGCTACTAGCATTCGAGGACATTTGTAAAGGGAGAGGCGCCGCACTGTGAGCGGACCCAAGCACGTGTTTTTCTTAGCAATAGTTAAAAATTGTTGGCCGCGGATTGCTATATAGTGTCACACAAGTTTGTTAGGGAAAATTTAGTCGCGTATTTGGCCTGTGAACCACGGCCCATTGGTATTTACAGGAACTGCCGAGTTCGAGATGCCTCGTCTTGATCCCTGAGCTTATTTCTGCAACAGGAACCAACAAACTCTTGTCTATTTAAAGGCAATAGACAACCCATATGGCTAACAGTTTCGAGCACTGTTGCTTGCAACCTTTCTGCATTCTTTTCTCAGTAGTATGTAATTCGTGCCATTCGCGCTGGCGCTTTTGCACAACCCCCTTCGGTTCTCATTCTCTTCTCAAATGAAAATTTAATTCACACAATTAACAGCCTCTCCTTTTCCCCAATTTCATACACGGATTTCCTAACGAAAATTTTCATATTACCATTGCCACATTAGGCATTCGTTCTCGTTATGGCCAAGTATAGCATTATGCGAGCCGCTACGGCATTTCTCATGATTCTATGGTGTAGTATGACTCACGCAGCCCCTCATCAGCGTAGAGTACATGGAAGCTTGCGACATTCGCGTTCTGAACCAAATGTTGAGCCATTCCTGATTACGGTTATGACTTCACATCTGGGCCTAAACTCTACACTCCCAGCTACCTCACCAAAAAACATCTCGACATATCTTGTTGGTGAATCTCCTAATCCCGCAAACCCATCCCAATTTGTTGGATTTGTCGCCCAGCGTTCCAATGGAGAGGCAACGACGTACTTCTCGCCCCCTGCCCATGCCCGTGCAGAAGTCGTGAAAGCTGCGCCGGCCACCGCAAGCTGGAAGGCTGGGTCCGCCGGGACTAGATTCAAAACGCCGGGTATAATCAACAGCGGTCGTATATATATCGTTGCTGATGGCTACCTCAACTTCTACGCGAGCGAAGACAAAAAAATCATTCACCCAGATCCTCATAATCCAACCGACATTGCAAGCCAAGAGCTATGGGGTTTTATCGAACTCACCCACGCCAAAGACCCCAGCAATGGTAATGAGAATATGGTAGTCAATCTGTCGTTCGTTGACTGGGTAAGTCTGCCATTGGGAATGAGTTTAACATCTCAAGGTCCAAATGGCACGGATACCGTGACAATTGGTGGTCTTCAGCCTGACGGACTGGTCAAAGTATGCGAAGCATTGTCTGCTCTTCCCGGCTTTTGGCCAAAGCTATGTATAAGGTCACCCGCCAACAACACTCCGCTTAGGGTCATGTCGCCTGAGAAGTATATCAGCATCCATTCAGACGACAAAGATGCGATCAGCTACTACGAACCTTATATCAACAAGGCCTGGGAAAAGTATAAGAATGTGGACCTAAAAATCAATACTCAAGTTGATGGTCCCAACTCAAACATCAAGGTCGACAATGGTCGGATCGTAACATGCCGCGTGGGTCATGATGATATCTTGCACTGCGACAACGACGCAGGCGACTTTGCCCGTCCAGTTTCGAGGGATATCTACGGTTGTGATTCGGGTCCATTCGCAAACCCTGCAAATGGGGCTACAGAGTCGTGGTCGCGCGCGCGACTTAGACCCCGTCTTTGTGCTGCCTTCGTTCGTTCGACGATACATCTCGACGGAGTCCAACCTTCACACGACGTTGGTCCTGATAAGTATTATCAGGAATCAGTTACCAACCACTACGCCAGGGTGGTTCACAACAATCTCATTGGGGGCTCGGGGTATGCATTCAGCTACGACGATGTGAATCCCGGAAGCACGGAGAATGCGGCTGGTTTGATCTCCGTTACGCACCCTCTCCAGTTAAATATCCATGTGAATATTTAGGTATTCAGTCCATCGAGATGGTACAAGTGCCTGAAAGCCATGATTCCTCAGCCTCCAGTTACAGCAATTGCTGCCACTCTGGTTTAGATCTATGTACGTTCTACTCCCAACACCTGGCTCTGAGACAGCCTATCTCTATTTAACACCCTGTCTACTGCTGCCTTTCCACGTTGGCTTTCTGGAATACCTAGGCACTGACTTTATCAGACAATTTTGAAGAGTGTCCAACGGAATATACAAGAAATATTCTGTCAAAACTTGATCAAGGAAGAAATGATGCTCAACTGGCACAATATACAGTTCAGCAACCTGGCACACGCAAGATGCGAGATGAGGATACGTATGAGTAAACGGACGGGTTGCTATAGACTACCCCTTGCAGAAATAGTATGTTCTCGCTACGAGCATACCATTAGGTCATGCTGTGGGATCAATGAGCTTTGAGTCGCTTACATGAATATGAAACTCGCGGTGGCATCATATATACTTTATTTAAGCACTTTATCAGCCTTTCCTCTAATGGAGGTTGTATATCACTGGATATTAGAAATCCCATACTTTTCAACACGCGGAAGCTTTCCGATGAGGGTATGGACCCTAAGTAGCTTGTCACATATAGAGTTGGACAATATCTTCTACTTATGTGCATACGTAGAATTATTTACATCCATCTGCTTTGCTGAGTCGGAGACTTCTTCCTACACGTCACAATGTATGTGATCGATATCACCTTTACTTAAGGTATAGGTCAAACTTCCATTCAGGATGAAATTCTGAGCTAGTTGTAACCCGCATGCAGCTGTTATCAAGCTCGACCAGCAATTTAAGTGGCGCTACTATTATTCAAGAAAGCAGTTATATAGTGCTACTCTTGCAATCACCGACAAGCGCTTAGCAACCTCGGCGGTTCATGTGCTCTTACGCCATGCGTCGTGCAGCGTGGCACAAGCCAGGACGTACTCCTTTGACTATAGGCTCGTGATAGTCGCCGAAATATTTGACACCATAGTACAAGATACATGTATGTAGCTTCCCGCCATCAGTCGCGCAGTACGGGAAATGGTATACTATTGCCACACAAGGCGACCCATCTTGTACGAGTGATATGTTAGCCTTGATAGTTTGCTCCCAAGTACACTATCTCTCAAAATTGGCCTAAGAGACGGTGAGTATCCGTCATACCTTCGCATTGGCGAGTATACAAGCTGACGGGGAACAGGGCGCATGTCATATACGCTAGGTAAAGGTTGCAGATACTCATGTTGACAGTATATTTCGTGACCTTCCTTCTGGGTGTTTCATAGTGTTGTTGCAGAGGCTATATAAAGTGATTGAATGAGATGAGATGTTATAGTAGCGTGACCCATATTCGCTGGAAACTGAGAGGCATGTAGTACGCTAGTCTTGTGGTCTTTTCTACATCACACTTAAGTCAGTTCATCTCTCCCAGGAGTTGGGATCTTGTGGTTCATATTATTCTTCAGTCTAGGTCATCTCTCGAGTTAGATATTTACCGTGGTATCAGAAAAGATGAAGAGTCTTAGCTGCGAACTTACCTCTAGTCTTCCTCGGATGACATTCTACATGGTACGTCAATAAGGAGAAGCCTGTATTTGTTGCTACGGAAGAATATGGTTATCCAGAAGTTCTCGTCGTGACCAAATCATACACTCAGTTAGGCTTTGCGAGATTTCTCTTCGCTAAATTTCAACTTGTAGGCCATCAGGCTTCTTGGGTCAATTTTGTTGTTCAACAGATCCATGTCTTGCCAAGCTGACCTTCACCTCATATCTCGCAGTCGTGGCTCCATCGAGACTAAGTCATGAACACGTAGACCGTCGAACATATTTGTAGCAACTGTAATTTTACTTCAGTTTGGTCATTACAGATGCCGCTCTAGGGTCTAGGCTACATAACTTTCATTGATTCACGGGCTTACTGGCTGATACGGAATCTGAAGATATCGGATGCTCCGTATGCACAGTAAATACCGGAGCTGAACGATGAACCAGTCCAGAAATATATATGTAATCGACTTCAGCAAGCACCTCTTGTTAGCCTTTCCCAGGTACTATCATATTGGGCTGGTTCTCGCCCGTGAATAATCCCAACCCCATCTTCAGCATCTATTTCAATCTGAAGAAATAAACTGACTGAAAAGCTTTTCTTATTATATTATACATATTCGACTGAAAGTGTCACGTTGGGCGGGTATAGCATTTCGCAAGGCTTAGCAAAGTCGACATGACCAGCTTCTGGTGCAGGTTGAAACTACTAAGCACGTGTGTCATGGGAGCCGGGACGAGATTGAAAGGTAGTAATTGAAATTACTTCTTTCCATATATTTAATCCAACTAGGAAACGGGCAGGCTGGTGGAGCAGCAGGACGGGATTGGTTGCCGTACTGCGTTCGAGATACAGACACCGCGTTGCTAAGCTGAAAAGCAACATCGATCTTACATGCAGACGAGGGGAAAGTCGTGTCCTGGCCCTGGAAGTGAAATTGCCCTGATTACCTGATGAAGTCAATCGGCAATTGGTAGTCAGATGGGTTGTGTAATGGTATCAGACTACTAATAACAGATATGAACTGCTTGCCACCTGCCCCATCTTGATCGACTATGGTAACATTTCCAAATTGTAATTACCACATAACTAACAACATTGACGGCAAATCTCGTAAAGCACTAAGAGACGCTGCGCCTATTCCCTTCCACTGAGCCTTCTAACTAGTACTAGCGAGCGTGTATATTTGGTACTGATGTTAACACAGACGGTGGTTTAAGCGAACCATAGGGTTTCGGACTTGCCCCATTCTCTCTTCCTTCGGTTAAAAAGAAACAGGTTTAGTTATTTGTGCAAGACCAAGACTGCAAAACTTAACTATGACCATCTTACAACTATGTACATGTACTGTAAGATGACATGGAAACACGTGGATCTGAACGTGTAGTTCGGAACGCCGAGTGACGGCATGTGATCCCACACGTATTCGGTGACCTGAACCACGGATGACAGGCCACGAGATGTATGTTCAAAGTCAACGTCGCTGTCCTGAACCCAATATTCCCAATATACTCATTAGGTACATAGAACATCTTCCCCAGGAATATTTGCCACCCGTCAACCACGCATACAGTAAATGCGAGCTTGACATGCGGCATGATATTTAGGTGCGCGAAGGCAAACGTTAGTTTTAAAACACGCGGACTTCCAAACATTTCCCCACGGAAATGCGACGGCCATTCCTGTCAGAAAGGCTCAGAGGGGTAGACCCCCTCACGAACACAGCGGACCTAACTATCGTCGTGCTCTCTATAGTACACGATATCTGGATTTGACGGAGAAGTCACGAAGCATACCATCGGCAATCCCCTTAACCGCTGACCCTGGAACTCAAAATGGAGGTTGACCCAGGACAAGGAGATTAAGGTTATAGTTACATCACTCTGCAGAACGTCGTTCTTGGCCCTCGGGTCGTTCTCCTACTTCTCCGAGAGAGTATCCGAGCAAATCCCAGACAGGTCGCCACAAGTCCCATGGGTTGGGGGTTCTCTGGTCGTTCGCAAAGATATCTGCAAGCCAATACCCATAAGCTTCAGCGGGATTATTTGATTCTAGAGTACCGCGCAACAACACTAGGTAGTTGTGCGTACATCTCCATCTCCATCGAGGGGAGTTGGGGTGTTACCCTCGCATTTCGGCGGGGCTCGTGACCGAGTCTCAAGACATACATACCTACCTACCTACCTACCTAGCTAACTACATACATACACCTACGGCAACTATCGAAAAACGGGGACAATCGGTGGCCAGTAGATCAGTCCAGCTATGGGAAGTAGGTATACCGTGCAAAGCTGTACTGGCCGCCGATGATCGCGTGCAAGTATGGGACCTGGGGTTGAGGCGGGCCAGATACGCGCTGCTTTGAGTAGGTAGGTAGGTAGGTAGGTAAGGTAAACAAAATAAAACAGAAAATAAAACGCAACGCAACGCAACGCACACCAGCACACCATTTATCCCGCGTGGTGGTGGTGGTGGTGAATTGGAACGTATGAATTCATAACTACGACACCCCCTTCTCCGCATCCCGCTCGCGCGGGCGGCCTCTCCTTAGACAACGGTAGCAATAAGACCGATGCTGTGTCGGTTGTCGCGGAAATCGTTCCTTTTTTTTTTTTTTTTTTTTTTTTTTTTTTTTTTTTTTTGGCTCTGCGGGGGAATTTCACTTATTGGACGACGGGTTGCGGTGGTCGCCTACCTACCTTTCTGGTCATGTCATGGCGTTTGATGGCACGTAACTTGCCGTGGGTTGAAGCACTTAACTAAGACTGAGTGACCCTTACATACATGTAGGGGACATGGGGGGTGTCAGTGGCGAGCAAGCAACATTGCAAAAGATCACTCGTTTGATATTCGATATTCTCCGTATTGTAGGGTGTAGCTATGGGGTATACCTACGTCGTCATCGGTGGCGTGTTGCTGGCAAATGCAAGCGCAAGAAAGGTAGAAAGCCGCTTACTTAGGTGCATTTGTGCAGGCGGCGCGACACCAAAGGACCCATACCGTAACCATTCCATCAAGTGTCATTTCTCCGGTTTCCTGGAGGCAATCGAGGGGAATATGTTTCATTTATCTACTGGATGGAGCATTTGTCGTTGCACCGATTGGCCTTACGTAAGATGCGATATCTATTAGTTAGGATGCGTAGGCGTTCTCACGACTGTTGTGCACAACATGATCGAGTCAAGCTCTAGCGATTTAAAGCTATGGGCTTGCTTGCAAATAGTCATGTACATGCTAGTCCCTATCTCCATCGGTCTGTTGATCTGAATATACTATGTATATGAGGTAGTGGAGAGATGGGATGGGCTCTTAGTCATGACATCAAGCTACGGCTACAGATACCGAGTGGCGATATACGTAGTACTATATTAGTACCTGGGTACCTATGCAATTGTTAAGATAGTTAGATAAATAGATATGTAGATAGAGGTGGCCATTTTTTATTTGACCTCACGAACGAACGCACAAGCTGTTTCAGCCAAAAGAGCTTGGCGCATCACATGTCACTGAGTAAGTACTGGCTTAAGGGCGAAGTTAGCGGGCTGAAACACTGATAAGCTAGGTATTTAGAAATCTAAGCTTCTTTTTTTTTTTTTATCTTACTTTCCCTTCCAATGAGCAAAACGAAAGGATCACTAGGGTTTATAGGATTAATAGGATTATGATATGGTGAACGAGTGGCTGCCAGTCATGAATTGCAAAGGAATCCCCTGGAAACCTTTAGGCAGAGCGTGTGTCCTGTCCTGTCGTTATAATTCGGGAGTGTGGTATTGTACTTGCACTTACTGTGCTGCGTGCTGTGTACTACTAGTATGTACATGTAGATAGATAGATAGATAGATACATGTTTTCATAAGACAGAGGATAAAGGCAAGCTGGTGTGTACTTGATACTCGACACTCAATACAGCAGACCTTTGTACGTGTGGCGTCTTCACCAATCGCCGGATTCGGATTGGCTTGCAGGGTGTGTGGATCGTCAAAGCGAATTTTCGATTTTGCAATGACGTGATGATTGGTCGCCGGCAATCTGTGGGATGACGTGCAGACAAATAGTGGACTCCTTCGTTGCACGATGGATCGTGAGTTCAAGTTCTTGGATGCCTACCTAAGGTACCCAACCGATTAATTTAATCTGTGTACTACACAGCTATCTATCTGACAAGCAATCATCGAAGCGAGGACCTCATTCCCTCCCTATGTAGGTACTGTCCCTGGCCGTGTTAGGTAGCAGCTTAGCACCGTACTTTTCACAGGTTTATTTTCGGAGTCGAAGCCCTTGAAAGAAAGGAGCTGCACTACGCTACCGCCTTGGCTGCCTGAGTAGTCTCGCGATGCCCCGGCGTGTCTAGTGAATCCTTGGTGTAGTTCACGGAGGGTAGAGGACTCTAGTTGGCATAGGCACAGTAGTATCATACTAGTATGCATGCCACCGTGCCAGGGTCGTCCACAGCTAGTTGCTCGGTCCTGCACTCCTGTCTGACTTGGGAAGCCAGATCGGATCATCACGTCGATTAGATACTCTAGCGTAGGTAGTATAAGTAGGTATATCTGTAATTATTGTAGCTATTGGATTACAGGTAGTGTAGGTATACCGTAGACATGTTCTTGACAAGGTATGGGGCATCCCCTGCATGCGGATGGATGAAAACCGTCTCTCGGGCTGAGAGAGCTGGCGACGGCTCGCCCAATCAGGCGGCGTTGTTGCCGGTTTAGGCTGTTGTCTGATCCTGATGGCTTCGATGTACCGATACGACCGAGACTGTTGGGTCGAGTGCATGTTGGGCGGTTGTAGCTGAGCGTTGTGGCGTTGATGTTCATTAGAGTGGTATCTATGAGGTAAGGTCCAGTGTAGATAGATATACCGGATACTGGAGGTGTTCGAGCATGATGCGCCCAGCCGAGTTGCAGTAGCGTACCATAATAAACCAATTCTGAGTCCCATTTCCCCTCGGTTCGAGTTGTCTCTTTTGCTCTTCGGCCTGGCTACGAGCGGCTTTCTGCAGCTCAGAGTGTTTCTGGAGTGCTGCTAGAGCAACATGAAAAGCCCACTGGCTTCCACTCCGGTTTCAGCACGCCTCTCATGCAAGTAAGGATCTTGCTTGCTTCAGATACCTAGGTTAGGTAGTTATGTGATTTACCATGCCCGGCTATTTTGGAGCCGTGATGGCGTTATAAGCGCAGCAAGGCTACAAACCGAGAGGCCCGATACCCTATCACCAACCCTGCGATGATAGCCGGTGGCGTGGTTTCTCGGCCGTGCTGGTAGTTACGCCGGCCGAGTGATACCTTAGAAGCTGAATCGAATCATTCGGGCTGTGGTCATGGTCGTTCGGCGGATCCCAGCCACACACCAATATCACTGATCAGATACCTCCTCGAGCTACCTACTGTACGTGGGTATACGTATACTCCGATACATGGTCGCCTCCGCATTTCCCCTTAAGAGACCCTCGAAACTTGGGGTCTATGCCAACCAAACGGAGCTCTTGCGCCGGCACTATGCCATTTATGATGCATAAAACCTGGAGCGCATATACTATAACATGGTAATCTATTTATTAGCATTGCATGGGAACGTCTTGTTGAACACCAAGTACTGTAAGGACGATGTCTCTTGATTAGACCTCATCGCGACGGCAGTGTCGATGTCACGATATACGGCATCTCTCCTTGGGTATGATTGCGCAGGGGGTTTGGATAGCTGCGAAGAATGTAACCCCCGGTGCACCACCGCATCATACAGCATAGTCTACAGGTAAGGTGATTTTACGAGGTGTATCTGTACATAAGAAATCGGCTTATATGTTTTGAGCAGAGGTCGAAATAGTATCTACCTGCGAGTACATAGACGTAGTAAACGTGACATTGCAGACATTCCTGTTGTTACTTGGCGGCGATGTATCAGCGAGATCCCTCCGTCGCCTGCAGAACCAGATCCTGCAAAAGATGCTTTAGTGTACGGCGATTTTGCACTCCGTGTCTCGGGCTACACATGTCTCACGATACAACTCGGACCGAGATTTATCAGCCGGGTGCCTATCATAAGGATAGAAAGGCAGTTCGTCTCACTATGCCGAGATGACTACTGATGGCAAGCTTAGCCAAAATAAACAGAATGGATATGTTTACTCAGCTAGAGTTGTGAGGTTGTTGGTGATTGTACCAGTTGTTTGTGGCTGTCGCCTTGTGCATTATTTGCAGATCTGCAGTTACATGCAGCCACGCTTCAAAATGATACACGGCATTACCTACATATCTCTGTCGTAGGTACGTTGTGTCATTTTATGATGGTAGCTTCGGCATTCAGTATACCTAGGAAGCCCGGTATACCGACCCTACCTTATTCGTGTTTAATTAAGCCTCCAAGTTTATGACAAGTCGTTTCTTCTCTTATGCTCTCAATAATGCCGGCCGGAAAGGATTATGGAAAGTTACGTCGCAATGTTGTCCAGTGGTTCATGGCCCTGGTCTGCCCTGGGTTGAGGGACAAAAGATGCGCAATATTTTTTCTGCTCGTATATACCACTTGCTGGCTATGGAAGTGCCCACTAGATAAGCTCCAAGAGACCGCAATCTGTGATCGTGGTCTTTCTTCTCCGCATACTTTGCCTTGATCCCCTCAAATCCATGGTTAACTGATGATCATGATTGGTGGACGTAGCTACACATGCTCAGCAACCCGACACCATCAGATTACCTGGGGTTCTTCAATATTCGTCTCGGTCTGTGCTCTTTCGCCCGTCGACGATGTCTAATTTTGTTATCATGTGGGATGTGCTCACTAGCGTACATTATACACACTTCTTCCCCAAAGCAGCTTTGGTACCTTAGCGACATCATCGTCGCTTGGGGCGGCGGGTCACAAGGAAAAAGTGCAGTATTCTCGACTCCAAACCCTGAACCTTGCTCCCGTAGCGCATGGCTTCCCGCAAATACCTCAGTTGCAATGGGTTGAATGGAGACCCAAAATGCTACTCTCCACTGTACGAGACCGTACGCTACCTAGTCATAAGGGGCTATCGTTCATCCAAAAATGCGCACGTCTCCATTTGCAGTACTAGGAAACGGACAAATTACACTCAAGGATACTACCTACATGTACAGTCGCCACTCCATCGACATGAACTCACGATGGCCTCCTTGCGACGACGAATTGCTAACCCAACCTGGGTGTGATATGGCGCGCGATGTTGACTACGGTAGAGTGACGACATCGACTTGCACTAGTAAAAACCCTAAGGAAATCAGGAGCCTAGACCGTCTGTCTGCTCCGTACTACCTACATAGTAAGTATGTATAGTACTAGTAATAAGAGCTACGTGTTAGTACATATCACATGTATAGAGTAGCGCAGGGCATCAGTACATGACCGCAGGATCGTGAAGGTCGTCGTCGCAGCACCAGACCCGGAATGTGTCCTGTTTGTGAGCAGAATAGGCTAGAACCTGCTACGTAATCCTAGCCCCCTGCGTTAGTAGGTCGCTAGGTACTGAGTACCTAATCCGAGTCTGGCTCCGGTGGATGCAGTCTGGCCATTGGCGCCAGCAGTGAAAACCTGATTAGAGAGACCGAAGGCCTGTATGGACGGGTGCGAATACCCAGTGATACAAACCGTGTGCCGTGAAACATCGTGGAGTGGGGGATTTGAGAGCTTTGCAACCGATAGAGTCGGTAGAACGCGGAGAAAGCTTGGCTGGGTAGGTAGAGTTCGTTCGCGTCGTGTCGGAAGAGGATACGAAATGAAAAGACAACCTCGCTAGCAATTATCGGATCCTGGTAGGCATGGTGGTCGTACAAGGAACCTTGTTCATCAGCTAATTCAATCCTGAGGTGCAATGCTGAGATATTTCATCCGGCATCAACCTACTCATTCAGTAGGTCCGTCGATGGGGTTTCCATCCTGCACTTGTTATGTTCATAATCTCCTCTACGCGTGCGCAGTATGATGATAATGCTAGCAATTTTCAGCAGCATTCAGAACATGGTAGGCCATATACGCCTAACCTACCATTGTCCAAGTACGCTACTCTGCTCCGTTGTGCGAGAAGTAAGCAGAGTGTGACGATCCCCTGCTCCGCCTTCGGACTTGCACCGCTGTCCTATGTGCATTTTGATGTGTGTTGGTAGGTATTGACCGTGGTGCACCCTTGTATCACCCGGTTGGGCGATTTTGACTGTATGACGGTGACTCCAATATTGGCCGCTGTGGTGCGGCCTGATTGGCATCGTGAACGCCTTTGCTATTTGGAACACTACTTTAAAACTGCCGACCCCGCGGTCCAGACTCCCATCGATGCAGCCCCCTTGGGCATGCAGGCAGGATAATCTGAATGCGGACAAAAATCGGTGCATTGAGGTCGCCCCTCCCACGACGATGGTATCGTGAGTGGGAGGGAAGCGCCGGAAGGGAAAGAGGGAGACGGTACTTGCGCTTATTAGCGTCACAAGCCAACAAATATGCGATTTGGTAACGAGGGAGAAGTCTGTAGATGAAGTCGTGGTGGGCTTAGAGAGCGGGGAGGCTCCGTGACGCAGTTGAACGTTGTCGCCACGCTATTGCAGCAGGCAAGCAAGCAAGCAAGCAAGCAACGGCGACAGCCGGAAGATGAAGAGGTCCCATTATCTCCAGGGCCATGCAGTTGGACAAGGGTAGATGATGACGACGGCAAGGGAGCAGGCACAGGACTGCTCACATCTACGATGTAGTATGATAGGATGAAAGCAATTTCGTATGGCGTAAGCGCACAAGAGCCTCACATTAGTACCTAGGTTACCTACCATCGTACTTAGACACAAGACGCAAAAGTCGTATCTATTCCCTACTTCCCTGAGGTCGATGTAATTTTTCTCTTATCCCAGCCCTTTGCTGGTCTGGCTGGGTATTCCCTGGCTATAAGAGACGGTGGATAAGTTTTCAGCACGTCCCCATGTAGAGAAGCTATGAACCCCGGGTACTGCCCGGGAGATTCTATTTACGCTGCCTACCTTGCAAGTAAGTAGCCTCACGACTACCGGTAGACCGCCCTTATGTCCCTGTGCTCTTGTCATACTGCTACACACCTACCTACTCAGTATCTAGGTAGGTAGGTAGCTTCATGCTACGTGCCACACTCTGCATCGTGCCGTCTTATCTCAAGTAAAGACAGAAGATTCATGGAACTTGCCACTTCCACTTCCACCTCTATCCTCTATTGGCCCCCAGTTACACTGAGCAGCAGCGTATGTAATACATGCATCTAACCACGAGTGTGTCATCTACATATGCGACTAGTTGCGCGGTATAAACTGTATAGTTCGCCACGCCTGCTAGCAAGTCTCTCTCAAACGTGCATATTCCATGTAGTCAATGCCAATTAGGTTTGCGTATAGTCGTGCGAGCAATTCGCACTCGACGTTATAGGCGGGCAGTGTGACGGACGGACCTTGGCAGAAGAGCGGTCAATCACCGAGCGGCTAGAGTTTGCGAAGCTCAGGCGTCGGAATAGGGTCCGTCGGGTCTACATGGCGAAATGATACCTACATGTGCTACATCATCATGTCTTTCTTCTACCGCACGGTGCAACACGTGGCGGTTGGTACATGTACAGGAGAGAGAGAGAGAGAGAGAGAGAGAGAGAGAGAGAGAGAGAGAGAGAGAGAGAGAGAGAGAGAGAGAGAGAGAGAGAGAGCCATCTTCAAATTTGAGATAGACAAGTCACGATGCTTCAGCCTGCTTGCTGCGTTGCTCACTCATCTAGTCAGTACTTACATATGTATATATTTGCCATAAGGTGCTACATATCCATATGTATCAATCCTAGAATTTACATGATAGGTACCTGCCTCCGTGTACCGGTATATGATATGGCGACTCGACTCCATCGTATTCCTGTGTGACGTGGTCGTCTGCACATATTTAGCCTTACTCATCAGGTACCAGCTGTGTATCTGACTCTACTGCATACTAAACACGTACTATGCGATATTGACAGTCCTAACGGTCGTTCGATCGTTGAAACTATACTACACACTGGCTGTAGAATGGCATCTCTTTGCACCTCATGCGATTCGCTTCTGTGTACTACTAAGTATGTAATTTTGCTCACATGTGTAGATGTCAGTGCTCAAAATATAATAGAGAAATACCGGATTGCCTCTCTTGGATATGTAAGTGGGGCAGGCCGTTCTTCATACCTATCTACCTACCTACCTACCTGTGTACGGAGTAGTAGGTATTGTCAATCCAAGTTTTGCTTCAAAGTGTCCTATGCAACTAACTATATTGCTGCTAGCTTTTGTAAATGTACTAGGTATGACCCCAGGTGTCGTTGACTATGTAACTAGATAGATACTTGATGTTAACCAACCAGCTCGCAGTAATTACCTGTTGAGCCATTACTCAATAGGACTAGGTATGTTTAGAAGTCTGCCTTTCAAAACACAGTGATGACATGTAGACCGACTGCTCATTCTCCTATCGCCTTTCGTGTTATATGTTTCACTTTTGGACGCTTGCTGTGCAGACACGGAGGGCAGTACTAGGAATGAAGCTTTATAGGGAAATCTACCTGTCTGAGACACGGCATCTAGAACTTCTCTGCTTCTAGAACAATTTGAAGTGTTTTATATATGAGACTGGGTTAGAGTGTTAGAGTTAACGTCCAATGCCAAATATACATGTACCCAGAACAAGCACGAGTAATGGATAGCTTCTGCAGGTGTCATGAGTTGTACACGTAGTGAGTGGCTCTAGGTATGTAATGTACCAAAGCCGCTTGAGCATGCTCTCAGTATCGAGATCTGTAACTCCACTACGAAGTAATACGTACGTACTAGAGGCATGGACACATAGATATCATGAGCGCTTATTCGCCCTGTCGGTATCTCAATCTTCGAATACCGCGCGCCTCTAATGTCTTACTATGTAGTTTCTATGGGTACAACAACATGACATACCTGTCAATTTGACATTTGACCCATAGGTATCTATAGGATCAACGTCAAGCAAAGCCAAGTCTCTGAAGACGATAGAGAGACTTACGTCTTGGTAGTGGCATGCTATCGAGGGTCGATAGTCTGCACCCCATGATATGTACGGTTAGTTAGGTTAGGTGCTGTACTTTCTAGATTAAGATAACAGCCCACACTGTGCTCGCTCGAGTAGCGCTGGCCTAAGTGGTGGTAGCAGAGTGGTAGATACTTTAGCTCGGGTAGATAGATAGTGGAATACAGTAATTCTGTGGAGGTGCACTGTGCCTAGGTAGGTATCATTCATACCTTGCTTCCACAAATCCTCATTGGCTCCCAAGCCCAAAACAGGCTTCTTAGGGCTTCGCAGGGCTGGGCGCATGGAACTGTAGCAGTATGTATATACAGTACACCTGGCAAAAGCAGCGGATCAGAGTCGCTTGGTGAACGTGGAACGTGACAGGCACTTATCCACGTAGTCCAATTGTATTGTTGAAGAAAGCAAGAGAGGTAAAAGAAAGGTAAAAGAAAGGTAGGTACATGTTGATAGGTGGATGGTGCATTCGCTGGCTGGGATCCGACTTCGTCGCACGGCTTACTCAATCGCCAAGGTACCAGAGTGGACCCTGCCTGCTGCTGCACGGACACTGCATGCTTGTGATGTGGGTGGTGGGAACGAGTACTTACAAGGGTGCATCTATGTACCTAGGTACTCTAGAGGGTGCGCTAACGCCAACACGCCTCTGCACGCCTGTGCATGTACCTACTACTGTACAGTTATCTCTCAAGTACATACCGTACATGGTAGGTCTGGTAGGCAAAGAAAGCTGCACTAGCAGGGTATCTCAGGTAGGCTAGTCCTGTCTGATCCTAGGTACCTAGGTAGGCTCTCTCTTGCCTGCTCCACTAGGTACCAGCCCACCAGCCCACCAACCCACCATCGCTACACCACAGAAGTATAGGTAGTACCTAGGTGGGTAAGTACCTGGTGTAGTGTACACCACTACAGCCCACCTTGGCCCAGGACAGGCCCGGCCCAGACAGCCAGACAGACAGACAGAGAGAGCCAGAGACACACACAGAAATGACGGCCCCATGTCCCAGACGCCCAAGACACGCACCCAAGACACCTAAAAGACCCGAACTCACTCCAAACCTTGCAAGCTCTTGCACCACCGCCGCCGACAAACCCTCTTTTGCCCGTCCTGTCCGAGTTATCATCTCGCCGGTTCCTCGTCGTCGGCTCTTCCTCCCATCAATCAGCCAGCCAGCCAGTCAATTTTGCCTCCTGTTCCACCGCCCCTTGACCCTGCCTGACGGACGACCCCTCCCACACTGCCAACTTGGTTTTTGTGTGAATATACTCTGCTTCTGCCTCTGCCTCGTCTTCCTCCTTCAATTCTTCCGACATATACTAGCTGGGAACTGTGTTTGGGTTCTGGCCATGGCTTGCTAACAAAACCCCCTTCTCTCCTCCATGTCTGTCCTCGAGCCTTCGTGATTGCGACGAGATGGTTCGACTGCGTCTCAGAATGACCGCCACCACAATCCCACCACGAATCCAACCTCGTCCGTGTCGCTATGGATCCTCATCAAGCACAGCGTCCTCACCTCTCCATGACCAATAACACCCCTCACCTCCCCGCCATCCCGTCGCGGACGGCCAACAGCACCCCGGTGTCGTCCCCGGGGCTCTTCAGCCCGACGAACATCCGCTCCAATGTATTCCCCCATTTTGCCTCGGATACCTCTACGCCATCTGCTTCTATGAATAGCCCTTATTTGCACCCCTTGCAAAGCCACAAAGTGAGAGAGTAAGCAATACACATCCTTTGTTATGCCGGAATGGCATCAAGATAATGCTAGGCTAGCAGTTCGCTGTCTTTGTCCAGCCCTTTTTTGGTGGATTCGAGAAGTGGTTTGAGGTTTGCTAACATCATGCGTCGACGGTAATAGAACGCACAAGGCGCTTGTAGACCTCGACTTGATGACAGGGCGGAAGTTGATCAATCAATATCAGGTCTTAGAAGAGCTCGGTCGTGGTGTACATGGTAAAGTAAAGCTGGCAAAGAATTTGGAGAACGGCGAAAATGTTGCTATTAAGATTATTCCGCGATTCTCGAAAAAGAGACGTTTAGGAAAAGTTACCGCATCTCCACAAGACAAAACCAAGCGAGAGATTGCCATTCTCAAGAAAATCCGCCACCCAAATGTTGTTGGGCTGCTCGAAATTATCGACGACCCTGAGCTGAAGAAGATTTACGTCGTCTTGGAACATGTTGAGCTTGGAGAGATTGTCTGGCGCAAGAAAGGCGTCCCGTTTATCTGTTTATGGGAGAGGAGAATGGTAGAAAAGGGGATGAACGGCGAACTGACGACGACCGATGAAGAGGAAAGCGAACGATATTACCAGCTTCTCGAGAAACGACATGCAATCAATGAACTGAAGAGGGCCAAGATGCAAGAGTCACAAAGAGGAGCTGGGGACTACTGGAGCATAGAGTATGGTGCTGCCAATGATGATGATTACGGTGAGGCTCAAGCATTTTCACTCGGCAGAGATGGGGACCTCACTGCCTTGCCGTCCACTGCAGTTCCATCTGCGTCACACCCTGGGTCTAGAGACGCATCCATAACTCGCTGTTCGAGCCGATCAGCCGTATCTGGCACACGCTCCAACACTCCCTTGCCCTCTGAATGCGACGTTTCGTCGATTGACATCAACGATGAAAGCGAGCAAGAGACACCTGGCCCTTTGCGATCGAAACCTGGATCTTTGGTTGCTTTGGAAGGGACAATGTATGGTGCTTATGTCGAAGAGCAGGTGTTCCGTGACAGGTCCCCAAGTATGGCTGATTCCATCATCTCCCACATGTCGTCAATTGACTTTGGCCCGCTACCTCGTGACTCGTTTTCGGACGATTTCTCTTATGTTCCATGCTTTACCATGGACGAAGCCCGTGCAACCTTTCGGGACACGGTCTTGGGTCTCGAGTATCTTCATTACGAGGGCGTGGTCCATCGCGACATCAAACCCGCAAATCTGTTATGGACCAAGGATCATAGAGTGAAGATATCGGATTTTGGGGTATCATATTTTGGCCGACCCATTCGCGAAGGCGAGCCTGATGAACTGGTTTCCGAATCGGAGGCGAGAGATTTTGATGACGACCTAGAGCTCGCCAAAACTGTTGGCACACCTGCTTTCTTTGCTCCGGAGCTGTGCTATACGGAAGTCGATCACGAACAACCCAAGATATCGGAACAAATAGACGTATGGTCCCTAGGTGTAACCCTCTACTGTCTGATATTCGCCCGAATACCATTCATGGCTGAGGATGAGTTTCAAATGTTTAAGAAGATAGCTAAGGAAGAGGTATATATCCCGCGTCGGCGCCTTCGCCCAGTTGATCCTCATCATTCACCATTATCGACGTCCTTCCACAACAGGGTAAACAATGGACCATATCGGGATGACAACAGTTTATCCTACGAAGAAATCGACGATGACTTACACGACCTCATGCGTAAAATGCTTATCAAAAACCCCGAAAAACGCATCAGGTTGAGAGACGTCAAACGCCATCCTTGGGTGGTTGCCGATATTAACATGCCTCCGATTCAGTGGATTGATGAAACTGATCCTTCACGTCGGTTCTCCGGTCGCAAGATCGAAGTAGACGAAAAAGAGATAACACGGGCGGTTGTGCCTCTTACTTTGATGGAAAGGGCACGCTCAGTTGTCAAGAAAGCTGTGAACAAGGTGATGATGCACGGTGGCCGGACAGAGAAACAAGAGAATCACGGCCCTTCTCGGAGAAGGGCAGCAAGCAGCGTCGCAAGCTCGAACGGTGAAATGCCTTCAAGTACGAGCCCGTTCCCCTTCTTCCCAGAATTCCGCCGAAAAAGCATACGGCCTGACGACTATTTTACGACACCCAGAGAAAGTGAACACCCTCTGTCTCAAAGCGTAAGTGCCACCCCACACGAGTCTCCGATCAGAGAGCTTCTTGATTCTCCACGACAACACCCGACACCTCCCGGTGCAGAGCTAAATTCTACAACCAACGACTACGGGAGTATATTTGACATGTTACCTGGTTTAGGGGCTCCGCTCTCCTCATCTACGTCCCTCTCGTCAGGCCGAAGCCTGATTGCTCCTCAACGCCATGCGCGAGTGAGATCGGTTAGCAATGCCCAGATCGCGTTGGCGCATGCCAAGGAAAAAGAAGAGCAAATGGCGTCTGGAATTCCCGTTGCTGCCGATGGTAAAGCCGCAGATAATTCGATTGCCTCCTTGAGAAAAGCACGTGATGTTCGAATCAACGACGATCCTGCCCGATCAAAGTCAGTCGACCGGGGATTATTCGGAAGCGAAGATAAACGAGCAGAGCCCATGGTTGCGCTTAGCACTGCAGTTGCTCCTGGCAATATAGAATTGCCTCCACGCCCGTTGTCCGTTGATCCTAGCTGTGCCGCGAATAGGTTCTCGCTCATGTCTCCAATTTTGTCGCCTTCGGCTTCCCGTACCTACCAGCATGGCCAGTTCAACTCCGACTCAAACATCCATGGAAAGCACCCTATTGTTCCCGAACCTGACCGGCGACCGTTGACAGCCCACCATGTCATGCAAATGGAAGGGAAGACGCCCCCTCCGAGGGCATACAACTCGTCCACCCCAGAGACTTTTGCTCGAGCCCAGCAACGCATGATCCGACAACAGATCCGTGAGTCCGAGGAACAAGTGAAGCATGACGACACGTCATCGCATAATGGCAATGTCACGTCATCAGTGCCACCATGCCCTCCGTCGCCAGATGATGAGATCGCAAGGGAAGACAGGCCATTTTCATCCAGGGTTAACACTGCAGGTACCTTGGCCACTTCCAACTCCACGTCTTCTGGGGCTTTCTGTACTCCGATGACTAGTCCAATAAGTATTGAAAACCTGCCCCAGCAGAGTTTCCGGTCAGATCCCTCACTTCCCGCACTACTCAGCGGTGCCAGTTCTGTTTCAGCAGATGCTGAAGGTGATTTTCTACTGAAGCCTGGTTCCTTCGACCGACCGTCTCTTATAGACACTACAGACTCCTTAACCCCACCTGCATTGGGGAAAGAGCCTATCGAGGGGTTCCCCCTGAGGGTAGATGATCAGTACCCAACATTGTTTCCAGGGCCACGTCATCAGATGAAAGCCTCTACTTTACCGTCTTCCGATAATGTAGATGACAACGAGGATAACGAGAGCGACAGCGATGACGGCCTTACAATGGCCAAGACCAGAAGACGAGTTTTGCCCAAGGAGTACGTCAACTCTCCCATTCTTGAAAGGATGGCAAATCCGAGAAGACGCGACACGCAAACTAGCGTGACGAGCATCGGCAGCACAGAAACGGCCAAGAAAGTGACTGCAGAGCCGTGAATGATTTCATAGACGACGCCGGCCAATTATGGTCAGATCTCACCCCCTCAATCATCACATTTCACCTAACCTTGAGACTATACTACCGAAAATGGACCACTCGACCTAGTCCATGTCGGTTCGTTTGATTTGATCTTGGGTCATATTATATTCATCTATCAGAATCCCCTTCATTGTTACGGATGAACGTGATCTCGACATCGACAGCTCCATACACCGAAACATTTGGGAGGCAATAATCATAACAATTGTCGTACATAGAGGATATAGAGCATGGAAGTTGTTTATATGAGACGCAAAAAAGTCATGACTACACGCTGCAGGGAAGACGACGTCGCTCACATAATGAGAGCATTGCTCTCCTGTGGGTTGATATGGAGGCAGGATTGAGGCCAAAGTCCTGATAGTCACCGACCCCACCCCGCTCTACCTCACGACGCATATATGACACACTCAATATCAAGTCTTGTCGACTCTCGTCCCACAACTCTCCGAGCTGGATCTCGCGCGTTTTTCGAGTCTCAGCCATTTGTAATGAGAACATATCATTTGGTTGGTCATGATCTTTTGGCGATGTAGGTAACTTGCATGCAAAGAGCTGGTTGCATTGGGGCTGGAAGGAGGCGGCACTTGTCGAATTCAAATTCATGTATGCGTGGCAATTTGCACTGATAGAACATAATTTGGGGAGCGTGCATCTTATTGGAGTTCTCGAATTGATTTCTTTCAATCACATCGCCATCCTGAATTGTTTCCTGTGACTGTGACTTGCAAACGTTACCTTCCATATACCATGGTAATCATATTCTACCGTTTTGATTCCTTTCACAGCGCCGGAAGTGCAAAAATGTGTCAGCTATCTATCTCATCTTGGTTTTGGTTGCACCTGAATATTGGACAATGGTTAAAGAACAAGGAGACAAATAGGCGATGGGTAGGTACCATAGACCAGTGAATAATACGTAGGTTCTCATTCATACAAGCTTAAGTGAGAGATAAAAGCTACTGCTTAACGGCTGAAAAACGTCTCGAGGCTTTTTAGAGATTGCGTCTGTGCATACCTTAGGGACTGAAGTCTTCTGGCAAGGTAAAACTAGTCACCGACTTATTCTGTAATCCCCCCTTTTGATTCTACAATATATGGCAAAATAAACTTTACTCGAGCCGCCCAAGAAGGAACCAAGACCATTAATGCATCAAAGGGCCGGGGGTTAAATGCGCTACAGAATTAACTGACAACGGAGGGCACGAAGCTGCTTGGCCGGAACGCCACCGGCGGTCGGGATGTGTAGTGGGTCGATATGGGAGGTAATTATGGGAGGCAGTAACGGACGACCGGCGATTAGATTATGAGAAGGCAGGCCCCACCACCGAGCTACCCCACGATCTAAATTTACGGCCACGAAACGCTACCACTACCTGCCTACCAACTTCATCATCCTCCTCCTCCACACTCCCTCCACACTCGTGATAACAACATTCACTACCACCTCTCTTCCCTCCAGCACTGAATCGACATATCTACAAGGCATCGATCGAGGCACAGAAAAGGACGAGTTAAAGGAGCAAGTTTCAGTTTTTGAGGGAGGAAGCAAAGCAAAGCAATCAATCAATCAATCAATCACCATGTCGCACGCGAGGATAGAAGAAGTATCCGACAGCGACGACGACGTCTCTGATCCCAGCGAGGGCGATATCGACGACTTCAAGGACTCGGACATTCTGCGCGCCGTCCCATCCAGACCAGCGCCATCCTCCTCCTCATCATCTCAACCCCAGACCCGAAATCCTCCTCAACAGCAGCACACCTCCCAACAAGCCCCTCAACCCGGGCTGCAACCCAACGACATCAAAGACTACCAGATGCTGTACCCCGTGTACTTCGACGCGACGCGCACGCGTGCCGAAGGCCGGCGCGTACCAGCCAACCTGGCCGTGAAGAACCCCCTGGCCCGCGAAATCGCCAACGCCTGCGCGGCGCTGCGTCTATCGCCCGTCTTCGAGGCGCACCGCACGCACCCGAAGGACTGGGCGAACCCAGGCCGCGTGCGCGTCGCGCTGAAGGAGGCGCGCGCGCGCAACCACCCCGTGAAGAACAAGCACCACTTATACGTCGTGGTGGCCAAGTATCTGCAAGAGCACCCGACGACGGACGACTCGCCCGCTCTGCGGCAGGGGATGCGGGGACTAGGGCTGGGCAGCCTGGGGGGTGCGGGAGATGTCTATGCTGACGGCAAGCCGTGGCCGCGGTCCGCGGTGCCCAAGGGGTGGAAGATGGGGGAGCTGCTCCCTGCTTACTCGGCTGCCATGACGGGCGGTGGAGTCAGCGAGAATGCCTTCAAGGATATGATGCGTGAGATGCAGGGCGGAGGAGGACCCGGCGGAATGCCTGGTATGCCGGGCATGCCTGGCATGAATGCTGATATGATGAGCATGCTGCAGAACATGGGGATGGGCGGCGGCGGCGGCGGACCTGCTATTGGTGGAAGTGAGGGCGGCGGGAAGAAAGGAAAGAAGGGTAAGCGGTGAACGAAACTGTACGATTTCTGACTCGATGTTACCAAACTATGGCTTGACCCAGACGAAAGTCATTCTACGATGAGCACATCGCTTGCTTAAGGCTAGCTCTCTGATGATCGTATATGACGCACATTAGCTTGTCAATGAATTACAGCATGTCACAAAGAACAACTCAAAAATCCCTCTCAATCAGAGTAAACGATGAAGCAATACAGCCAGTCAACTGGCTTCAAAGATTCCATTTTCATATGCTGTCTGGTAATACAAAAGAAGGGGGTATCTAATGTTACTTGAACGTTTCTGTAGAACGAGACCGACTAAAACGATGCTTGGACCCTCCAAGACTTAGTTCTACAAGTATCCAGCTGAGTTAGTTCTACAGCCTTGATCATCAATCTTATTCTTCATTCACTAAGCAACAAGTCGTCCCTGTAGGCCCTCCCACTCTCGGGATCCTACTATTTGTACATCGTTACCACTGCTGGGAATCATTTTCCCATTCATATCGGGCAAGCGGATTTGCAACCTCGCCGCGGCTTTCCTCATCTTCGTATGGTCTAGGTCCTGCTTGCGTCCCTGTTGTTGTCCCATGACCATGCGCGTCTTCTGCCTGACGGAGGCTTCCCAGCTCTTCCAGGCTGCAAAGTCTTCTGCCAATCTGGCAGCGTGGTATTGTGGTGTCACCTTAGCAGGTTTCCATGCCATCTTGTCCTTTGGAAGAGCATTCAAGTCATATATCTTTGCAGAGGTGGCCATATGCAGGAGCTCGGTTAGCACGTCTTTGCCCTCCGCAGCGACCAGGCCCTTTCTTTGTTCAGCAATAGGGTTGGGTTTCTTCAGTGGCTCAGCAAGCCAATCGTACTTCGGCTGCTCGGTTAAGCGAGCCCGGCGGTTATCTTCCCTCAGATAGCGTACAGCAGCTTGCAAGTTTGTAATATCGTTCTTGAGAGCATCCATCTCACGAGCAGTAGCGACTGCACGTTCTTGGCCGGCTCTAGCTCCGGTTGAGTCAGATGCATCGCCATAGATTCTGCTATCGCCAGCAATCTTCTTCCACTTGTCACGATCGGCTTCGAGGGTCTTGGCCTCGCGGTCTTGTTGTTCAATGTCCTTCTTGAGACGATCAACCTGGCCTTGGGCATCCATGATCTGTGCCTCAAGATCTGACATACGGGAGGCCTTGGCATTGGCATCACGCATGCGGGCTTCCAGAGTTTCGATACGTAAAGTGGCAGTACTAAGGTTCTCATCACGTAAAGCAATCTCACGGCGAGCTTGGTTGTAATGGTCCTTGAGTTGACGAAGTTCTTCTTCTGCATCAACAGGTATAGTCTTAAGAGCCTTGAGCTCTTGGGCTCGGAGAATCCAGGGTGCAGGACTCCGTTCGAACTCTTGGGTCTGTGATAAATCGGCACAGACAGCAGCAAGATCAGTGACCTGACTGGTAAGGGTTCGGAGCTTAGAAAGATAGGTCGAGAATAGATCAGACTCTGCAGACGAGAAAGAGGTCATGACAGTATTTCGTACAGTGTCCTGTACTTCTGAATGCTTGAACGGTTCTTCACGGCCCTCTACAGTGAGTAATTTATGCAAGTCAAGGCCAATTAGCCGTGACATTTCGCCTAATTCTCGACTAGCAGCTTCACACTGCTCAAAGGCCTCTGCAGTCTCAGGTGTAAGCGCGAGTGATCTCGCTCTCAGGTCCTCAAGCGACCGGACTGCCTTCGAAACGATAACCTTCGCGCTACGTGTCTGGCTAATGACTGCATCTGCACGCTTAGCAAAATGCTCTGAGTGTTCATCGTCATCGCCGTTAGCTACTACCAGTCTCTGGACCATTTCCTTCGTGACACCGAAGGCTGTGGACGCTGACTCCAAGTGGCTTTGCATTAGCATTGTCTTCATCTGTACCTCATCTGCGAAGCTTTCGAGTCCCTCAGAGATATGAACTTCCCCGAGATGGGTCATGAGAGCAAGAGAACGTTGGAGCTCATCAGCACACTGTTTCTCCCTCAGTTCATCTCTCTTGAGGCCTTCAATCCAATTATTTAGAGCCCTCTCGACAGGCTCAAGCTCGTATAAAGCAGCCTGATACTTAGCAAAGCCCTCCAACGAGCAGTGACTGATGTTGTTAACGAAACGATCGCACATCGCAGCTACCCATGTAAGCTTGTCTAGTACATCGCAGCCCGCAAACACATCGTCTTCATGCCCTGGATGTGGCTGGCCGACTCGTTCTTTGATAAAACCATGCAACAGATTCGCTTTGAAGGATAACCTCGTAAATCGTAACAATGCAAGAACGGAGTCTCGGTCAGTGTTGAAGGTTTCTGGCAGAAATAGCTTGACAATATCAAGGTGCTGCTGCGCTTCTTGAGCCCCCATTCGCTGCATCTCAAGATCAATAGTCTTGATCTGGGTTTTGGCGGCTGATATCTGAAGTTTCTGATTAAGATCCATCATGAGCCGGGCATTGCTATTGAGCTGCTCTGATTCGGCTTCGTTAACAGCGCGAGAGGCACGCAAATCTTCGAGGTCTGACTGTAGATTTGTAACAAGCTCTCGGAACCGCGACAGTGTGTATTCCAGGTCTCCGATGTTGTCATCCTTTTCAACTGCCCGTCGAGCTTGCTCGGTAATGATGTTGTCTTTGAAGTCAAGTTCTTCCTGCATCTCTCTTTCATTCTGGACGTGGTTTACTTCGAGCTCATCGTTGATCTCCTTCAAAGCCTCGAGATCTTCGATTACGGCTTTCAGTTCCTGCATCTGCTCATATTGTTGGAGCTTCTCATAACTCAGCTGCTCGATCATCTGTTCGGCTCCTAGATTATCGTCGAGTTGTTGTCGCAGGTCCTCGGCTCGCAATTCCGACTCTAGAAGCTTTTCCTTGGCAATTTGATACTGCTCCTTAATAGCCTCAAATTCTTCCAGGTCCTTTTCTAAAGACTTAATTTGCGCCCTATTCTCCTCATCCTGCTCCTGGGTAAGATCCCGAAGCCGGATTAGGGCCTCGCGCAATCGCTCGTTATTCCGCTCCATCTGCAGCCACCCTGTGCTCGCTCTCTCTTCCGGCGACATACCATTTGAGAATTCGGTATTTTCTTCCCGTAGAATCTCAACCTCTAGTTCTAACTCCTCTGCTTTTTGCTTCAGAGCCTCCAGCTCAACCTTAAGGACCTCAGCGGTTTCCTCTGCCATTTCGCGGTCCAAGGTTGCTAGCTCCATGATGGAGTCATGCTCAGCTTGCAGCTCTTCGACTTGGCCAAGCCGGTCTTCCGCCTCCTTCAGCTGTTTTCGTAGTGCAACATTATCTTGTACCGTTGATTGAAATTTGCCCTCAATCTTTTTGTTAATGGCTTCGAATTTGTCGCGCTGTTCTTGAATTCGTTCCATTTCCTTAAGTCTATCGCGATCCTCTGCTCTTTTGCGCTCAAGGACCTTGAGCTTTGTCTTGAGATCCTCATTCTCTCTACTTAACGCATTACTAGCTCCCGTTCGCGTTGTCGAGTTAGCTGTCCCTGGCGTTCGAGAGGTGGTCGCACTTCCTGGTGGTTTCGATGATAATGCAGAGGTACCACCGGATGTGAGCTTCTCTAGAGCTTTCGTGCGGGACCGCACCGGGCTATTAGTTTGTTCTCCGTCACTCTTAAAGGGTGAACTGACTCCTGACCTATCACCAGTTTCATTACCTGAAGCAGATCCGCCAGATAAGACTCTCCCAGAAACAGGACGCGTAAGTCGCTGGTTTACCCCTATTGACGCTCTTCCGGCCGCAGGTCTTGTAACACCACTAACTGATCTTGGAGCAGTTGTGGAGGATGTAGATGCAGTGGTAGAAGTTCGTCGCTTCGCCCCAGCCGGTGGAAGTGCAGGCGGTCCCATGGATGTTCTTACTCCAATCGAGGGGCGGGGTTTCACACCAACACCTGAGGGTCGAGCATTCGATGGGGTGCCGGTTCGGGAGGTAGCTGTACTCGACGGGGCCGTAACTAGTTGTTTTGTAGGAGATTTCGTCGGAGACTATCTCGCACATATTAGCCCTATTAGTTTTTTCATAGTATGAGTATGGTTCTGACACACCCTAGCTATACTAGATGGGCGAGATGCCCGTGGCACCGGGCTCGGACTGGGGGCATTCAAGCTCATTCTTTTCCCAAGAGATGGGTCTGTAACAGACGGTGGCCGATTTGTAGCGCCCGGCGCGATACTTGCTCGAGAACCTCGACGGATAGGGGCGGCTGCTTTCGAGGCAGTGGGAGCCGCCTGCAGTATGGTGACTGCAGCAGGCCTCACAAACATGCCCCTCCCAGGCGGGCAGTCGAAGTATCGCTCGCCCTGGACAGCGCCATCGTTTTTCCCCGAGTCGTCTTCGAGCTCGACTCCGACCCATTCACCCACGGCGAACTGGGTCTGGCCAACGAAGCGGACGATCGCATTGCGGCCGTCGCTGAGCTGAATGTATTGGCCAACTGCTATCTCGGACATGTCGTTCTACCATTAGGGCTAGCTATGCTGGTTAGTATTAGTACATGGCGAGCCGCTCGACGGCTGTTCAAAGCTGCTGGGTAGACAGAACCCGGGCCGGTGGTGCTTTGCTTCCAGGTTGACGGATGTTTAAGCTTGGACCTCGGGAGCTGCTTTGTTCTTGAAACGCGTCTTCTGCTTATTCGATTACGCGACTTGCATAAATCGGTGTCGCTATAAACATGCACAGTGAAAAGACTCTGGCACTGTATGTCTAATACTGTACCTAACACCACTGCAAGGGAGTCGCCAAGACAGATCTGAAATCCATTTCAATAATTCATTCGCATTTCCGATCTTGAAAATATGTCTCATCTATAGAAGCTAGCATAGGATCAATGTAACATGCGAGATCCTGCAGAATTCTTTTCATGTGAATCACATTGCGTTCCGTAAGTTTCAGAGGCGTGAACACTTTAACAGTAAGTATTCGATCTTGGCCCCTACCCAGCCCTTCTTCAATTAACCAAGCCCAAGTAAAGCGAAGCAAGACGAGACGAGACGAAGTAGTATTAGAATCATCGAAGGAAGAGCACAACATAGTATTTAGCTACATACGGGTGTATATTTTATGTAACATTCCTACAAGTCCGGCATAATGCCAACAGAAACATAGATACAAAAGACCGAAAGTTGAGACAGGTAAGTGATGGGGAAAAGGGGTAGGCAATCAACGACTTCTCTCCCTAGCCAATGCCCCCTTTCCTCGCCTTCCCTCATGAGTGAATTCATTTCATTCCACAACAGTTTTACAATCATATCTCCTTCAAAGCTCGATCTAATCCTCTTCTCTTTTGAATCGAATTCATACATGCCACGCCACAATCCATAGAGCAACAGCAAAGGGAGGCGGGGAAGAATCACATCTTCCCCAAGCCAGTCGTGAAACTCCCACCACGAACCCACTCAGCAATCTCGAACCCCAGCCGTCGCTCGAGCTTTTCATCGACGCGTCCCGCGTCAGGCACGCGGAGGACCATGACGCCGGGGCACGCAATCTCAACACTCCCGGCCCCGTTTCCGCTACCAGGGCCGTCGTCAGCAGGCCTCTTAACGTAGACGGTGAGGTCGGCACCCACGACGCCGCGCCACATTGTCGCCACCCATTGCCAGTGGTCGTCGGGGCGGTACGCATCGTTGACGTGTAGCGCACTGGCGTACCGGTCTGAAAACGTCAGGCTGTAGCCATCTGAGATGATGGCGACTGGTAGCCTGTGGGACGGCGAGGAGGCATGATTGGAAGGGGACGCTATTGACGAAGCACCATTGCCATCACTGCTTCCGCTAGCGTGTTGATCAGGCGGGAAGCTTGTGATGTACCGTATGAGATCCTCGGAGGTCTTGTGCCACTTCAGTATGCGCGCGACATAGTTCGCGATGGGGCTGATCAGCGACGAGGATTTCTTCTGCAATGCCGCGGTGTTTCCTCCATGTACACCTCCCTCTTTATTATTGTTATTGTTGGCCTCGGAGCTGCCACTGCTGCTAGCATGTGGTTCCGGGCTCGAGTGCGCGATGGTGGTGCTCGTGTCTTCAGACCAGACCCTCACAGCAAACTCGGCCGATACTGATAGTGCCCTTTCGATCACCGCCGCCACATCCTTCAGCATCTGCGTCGGCGCACCCTCCACAGCGATGATCGGTCCCCGCGTATCGAAGTGGGGACCCCCTTGGCCAGGTGGTCGCAGGGGAGGGCTAATGGAACGCAGTACGTCAAGCTTAAAGAGGAATGTCCATTTCTGCGGCACTGAGGACGCTGATGGTGGAGGGGCCTGTGGCTGTTGCTGCTGTCGTACGGAGCCACTTGCCTGGTTGGCTATAGTTAAGCCAGTACTAGAAGTTTGCTGTGGGTGCGCGGGCACCATTGTCTGTCTTGTGCTTGGTTCTGTGCTCGCCACTGGAGATTCATTTACCTGCGCCTGTAGAGGTGGAAGTCTGAGTGACTCGTCAAACCCACTGTTTGGGTGATTGGGAGTTGACACCGCTTGGTAAGACATGGATGGTCGTGGCGGTGGTGGAGGCTGCATGTGAGTGTTCGCCGTGTGGCCTGCGTAGTGTCCTGGACGATGTTGTAGAGGAGCCCGCGGAAGATGTCCTGGGCCGTAGCCGGTTGCTGACACCGGCGGTCCTCCCATTGCTGGATGCTGCTGATATCGAGGGTCAACGGGCGCATAACCCATATGTGGAGATGCAGGCACATAGACTGGAGGACCGTTGTATCGCCGCCGTTTCGTATCAGGCGGCATTCCAGGATGAGGTGCAGCTATGGGCGACATTGCAGAATAATCCTCCTCGATATCTCTGAGTTGTGGTTGTGTATATCGGCGGGCATGAGGGTCTACTTGCATACTGCCACCTGAAATGGATCCGTGCCTCTGATAGTCATGCCTCTGATGATCCACGTTCGTATAATGTTGCATATTCGTTGGGCGTTTCGACGATGGAGGAGACGCGACTCTGAAGGGGGTTGTAGGTGTTCTAGGGGTGGCAATATAACGGCCACCGCACTTGGGACAGCGTCCGGGGGCGTCTCCGCTCGAAGATGTTGGTCTTCCGCTACTATTCTTGCCTCCTCGTCGGGGCTGATAACGGTACCCGGGATACTGACGCTGATGACGGATCTTTTCCTCGTCTGCAAGTTGCTTCCACTCGTTCTTCACACTCTCGGGTTGCTCACGCCACTTTTCGCCAATAAGCTTAGATATTTCTGGATTGGCAAGGCCCGGATGCTGGGCAGCGAAGTGACCTTGCCAGGCTTGTCGATAAAGAATGAATGCTGCAAGAGACACGCACAAAGGTCAGTTCTGTCCTTGTATCGATCTGTTGTGCTTTGTTGTACTTTGTTAGGGGGGTTCCCTTCTTTGTCTGCCTTCTGTTTGACGGCTTGTGTGTGTAAATGGAGGGCTTGGACATTCGAAATCATTCGTTACAAATAAGGCAGAAAGAAATGAAAACAATAAGCCAGGGTCTAGCCCCTTTCATGTAACACGCCGCCCATAAGACACAAAACGGAGTTTCTCAGACAAAGAGTCATGTCATCCGAGTTGTCATCTTAGGGATTAGGAACTAAGCCCCCCCGGGGGTGAAAGTATATGGAATATGAAAGGGACAACAGATGGATAATCGAGAGGCTGGAAAATGAGAAAGTGGTCGACAAACAATGATAGTGCAAGGACAGGTCTCGGGGAGACGGGAAAGCAAGAGGGTAATAGGGACAACGCAAGTTGACGAGAGAAACTCTGAGATACATACCATTCCGTGGTCTAGGTACCTTCGGTGCCTTAGCACACAGACAAATCAATTCTCGCGGTCCGTCGCTTCGTGCCGTTGTCGGGGTGTATAGACTTAGTTTTGCGATACTCGGCTGGTTTGCCTCGTCAATGTCGATTGATTTCGCCCGCTTCTTATTCTTAGGTTCGCCGAACTCGTCGTGCTGGTGCGTGTAAGATGAAGAAGAGCCCGACGTCGGTGGAAGCAGCGGCTTTCCCACTGCCATATGACTGTCATTCTCTCCGCGGTCACTTGGGGCCATTGCTGGTTGGCTATGGGGCCTCCTCGGTAATGATGTATTGATTTTGAGCGCAGGGGGGCGATGTTGAGACACTGACGAGAGTCTTCCGCTGGCCGATGAATGTTGGAGCGAAGGAGTGTAAGAAGACGAGGAGGAGGCGTAATGGTCACTCGAAATACTTGCTGTGTCGGTCATGGTCTCGTATTAAGATATTGTATACTTCTCCTTGTGACGATTAAGTTCCTAGTCGTTTTGCAAACGGGTGTAAAGGTGGTCTGGATGCAGGTGTGGAGGGAAAGGAGCGGGCTCGAGCATAGCAAAATTACCAGCAGTCTCAATGATTGAGCTTCAAATAACAATACAAGATCAAGGAAGAATGTTATAAGACTTAATTATCAATCTTCCTATTTTTATCTTTATCTCTTCCTTGTATTCGAAATGAAGATTGGGAGACGAGCGACGAGATAAGACAAGAGGATAGTGGTTGTAGACTGGGCGGGCTCCGTTGATTGTCTCCTGCCACTTACTCTTGTTCTCTGCAGAGAGTCTGAGGGGACATGGGTCCACATGAGACAACAAGACTAAGAGGAAATATAAGGGCAGACGAGTGGTTGAGAGGGTGAATGGTCGTAAAGCGAGGCCGGGGAGCAACGTCAGGCCAATCCGACGACTAAACAAGGAGAACCAAGTACTTGTTTTGTGAGAATAGGGAGGGATTGTTTCTTAGACTCTCTTCTACGTTCTCCTTTGTTTTTGTCAAAGAGAATTCTGCCCTCACCTAGTACCGTTAGGTAGAACAATGAGGACTATGAATGGTAGACAGGAAAATGCCCATCGCGTAACGCATACAGACACACCTCCCGTTTCAGTGAATGAATTTATGACCCTCAATTTTCTTTGTTCCCCCATCACCTTATCGCCGACGCGAGTTATCTTTCCCATTATCTGTCAAGTATGACGTGGATCTTCTTTCAAATAAGTAGTTGTAAGCATGGCACATCATTGATGGGTTCTGGGCTGGCCTCTTTAGAAGCCTCATGTTCTACAGGTCATTTTTTTTTTCATCAGAGAATTTGTGCCGTATCACACTCATTAACTTATGTTCTAACCACCTTGGGTACTCTAGAAATGCTTGTCAAGCCCACGGCATACCCTTATGGACCTATTCAAAGTTAATATGTTTGCAAATCGACCTGGCTTGACATTTACATCGTCTATGCACTAGAGATCGGGCTGAGTATTTGTCTCGGAAATACGCTGTGTCTGCTACAGATGTTACCAAGCCCAACTATAGCCAATGACTGCAACAGAAGAATAGGGGGCCACTGGCCGTAGCTGTTCTTTGTCTCATAGCGTTTGTAGCTGCGCCTAGGTAATGACCCTCAAGGGTGCCTAGGAACTGTTTCTGTAGCCCGCGAAGATCAATTTGCGAATACATCTTGAATATTAGTGTCTCTTCCTGTAGGGTAGCAACATATTAGCTCGGTGTGTCCATGTGCAATCTAAAACACTGTCGTTTACATAGGTGGTGAGTGACATACACCAACCGAAGATTAATGAGAAGACCGTGTAAGAGCCGCCTAGATTGATTGAATGTGTTTACGTTACCACCACCACTTAATGAATAGTCTTATAGCACATAGTTGTTGCATTGGTGTCTTATCTACAACGAGAAGGAAAGGTCACCGTGCTTGGGTGGTATTGAGCACGTGGGAATGGATGCACGCACAGCTTAATACCATCACCGCCACACCGCATCAACCAATCATTGGGTTTCATACCTATATAATGCTGACAACGGTCAGTCAGTCGAGTTAATAGACACCGCCATCTTGGCGATATTGCTCCTTTTGTACTCAATGTAATTGCTGCACATGGTATTACTAGCGAGCACATTGGAATGCTACCCAATGAAGTTGTGCAGAGCCCAACAAAGCTGATTGTAATACCAAAACAGATAGATTCGTAGACCCGAATCCAGCATTGCATCATTCAGTATACTGTGTCTATGGACCTAATCAATGTGTGTTTGGTATGTCTCAGGCTGCTGGTAACTAGCTCATCAGCTACAGCTTGCATTGTTGTCACAACTTAGAAGTGAGCGATGAACTAGCCAGTCAGTCTAATTCATTATGAGCATGAATGATATTAGGATAGTTTTTCATCTGCGAAGCTATCAATCAGGACCAATCGGGCTATCAAATCACATACAGCCGACATTTCCGTTTAACGAAGAACTCCGAACCCCTCCCTTCTCCGTCTACCATGGGGTTTTTTCTGTCTCGCCGGGAAATTGCCTGCCCCGGCTTTTCCATACTTCGTACGACCTTTAGATAATACTAGGCAGGCAGGAAGAGGAATATTACAACGCGCTTGCTAGTAGCCTACTACATTTGCTGATCTTCATCCTGGAATATGCCCAAGATCCCTGCCCCTTGCTGTTCAGCTTTTACACTGCTTGGGTTCGTGAAATTCACGAGATGAAGCCCTTTCCTGTCTCACCGCTCAATAAATCTGCACTGCGCCGTGAGTCAAGGAACAGTTCCTCGCATTCCGCAACATCCTTGACGTCAATCTGGTTACGGCCGTTGACACGCGCAAGGATACTATAAACGGGCTTAGTTAGAGTCGAAAATTTGACATGATCGGTTGGCAAATGGTCGATTAATAGTAGAGTAAAAGGTTACATACCTTGCAGGAGTCAACAGCTGAAGACAATATCGCAGGCTGATGCGCACGCCATGCTCCGCAATTTTATCAATTGCAGCATCCGTTATCTGTAAACCCTCTGTAGTCGATCGAATACGCACGATTCTTTTGATCTCATCGGCATCATATGGTGTTGTGGGAATGATGAGAAGACGTGCCAGGAAGTCCGGCGGAATGCCATGTGCAGCCACGAGTTCATCTGTACCACGAATAGTGCACATGCCTCGATTCGAGGCTAGGACAACAATTGGGGAGATGGACATTTCTAGGGCACGGTTGAGGTATGTGAAGCATTCAATGTCTAGCATGTGCGCCTGCGATGTGTGCGTTAGCAACTACAGCCGAGTCAAGTAGATATGCTAGGTTGGTTGTTCGGAACATACCTCATCGATGAAGAGAACACCAGGCACAAGCTCCGCAACTCCCTGGTCAATATACCGACTAACGACCTTGTTGATTTCGTCTCGTAGCTTGTCGGTAATCTCCGTCATCTTGGGCTTCATCAACTGGCCCATCATGCTCATAATGTCCTGTCCGCCCTGTGGTCTGGCGTTTGCAACATCCAAATCGTGAAGAGTGACGTCTTGCACAATCTCCTTCTTCTTGTGAACCTCTCCTTTAGGAATTGGGACGTACTCCTCAGCTTCAAGATCGAACTCTGTGGCATAGGCATCCGATCGGCCGACTCGTTTGCATGCGCCTGTGTTGGCTTCGATGTAGACAACATCGCCCACTGTAACTCTTTCTTTCTGGATCGCCTCGTATATGCTTGGGTCTAACCGGAGCTTCTTCTGGCCTTTAGCACTCTTCAATCCTATTAGAAGAGTACTGATAGTCTTGCCATATCCGCCGAGAGGGTTCTCTGCCTCCTCAGGGGTAAGCTCCGTAACTTCGCCCTCGTAAACCTCCTTCGTCTCTCGTACTTTGAGACCGATTGCTCTCCGGAAATTCTCCATCAGCATCTCCGTCTTCTTGACCTCGGTCGAGTATATTTCGCTTCCGACGATGGGGCAGAATGGGATCTTTGTTCCGAGTTCGTGGCTTAGCGCAAGTGCAAGAGCAGTCTTTCCAGTACCAGGTCCACCAGCTAGTAAGACACCCCGTCCTGACATTTTCTGTGCTCGAATCAGGTCTACAACGAGACCAGCAGCCTGAATGTTTTGCAAGAAGTCAAAGTCAGCCTTGTCTGCCAATGCCTTTGCTCGAATCACTTCACTTTACCTCTCGAGCCTGCTGCTGGCCGACGAAGCCGCCGGCTTGCTTCTCTGCGGTGCCATCGGCCTTCAGTCCTAAACCCTTGATGTGGGTGTGGGAAGCGGTCCGATTGTCGCGATTATTGCCCTTCACTTCGCTAATTTGCACCATGTTGGGCGAAGGTAGGGATAGACAATCTGCGGTCGGTCGCGTGAGAAATCAATGTTGTTAAGAGCTGATTCGTACTCTCGGTTTTGGGGTTATTCAGTGCGCAAGAGACCGTTGATGGATGCTAGGTAGGTATGGAGTGGAAGGCTGAAGAGTCGGGTTCGCAAAGTGATTGTTTCCTAGCTGGGGCTTGAGCTTAGAGCTCTCGAAGCTAAGCCGCCAACTTTTTTGAGGCGCGACGTGAGGACTGTGCGAATACAGTGCCGGCTACTATATACATATCTTACAGCTACATAGTGTACCTAGGTACAACTGGTACCAGCCTTACAAACATGTGCAAATAATTGATTCATTGTATACGCTATGTAACCTATATTAACACGGAATTTTTCTGTCTTCGACTTGTATCGCTACCGCATCATCGCTTTCCTTATCTCATGCTTTTTAAACAATATCATCGTCCTCATGGTCGTGCCGTAGTGGCAACATAGGGATACCTTCAATGCTTGCATCCCTATCGTCTTGGCCCGCAGTCGCCTTGTTGGTCTCATCCTTACTGAGCAACACCCAAGCTGCGCCGGCGATAATCATCGCACAGCCGGCGAGGCTTACCCAGCCTATTGTTATACCCCAGACGAAATAATCAAAGCCGGCTGCGAAAACCATACTAGTGTATAACATAGTCATAGACTTATTGCTTCCGTCTGCCGATATACCCATAGTACCAAAGACCTGCGACGCGAGTCCACAGGCCACGATGACTGCCAGTAAACCCCACTGGCGTATCGAGGCAGGGGCTGTGAATTGTAGGCCGGGTTGTCCGATGTTGAAGTATGATGAGAAGGATAGCACAATGAACGATATGAGAACGCAAAATCCGCCGAAGTAATTCACTGATATGAGAGTGTGTGCTCGTTTCCCGATCGCGGATATTGATGTGAAAGCGAAAGCCGCTCCCATGACACCTACTAGAGCTACACCGACGGCACCTAGGCGTTCGGATGCCGTAGGCACGTAAGCGTCAACGATGGAAGGCGTCTTGGATTCTCGGTTTGCTATTGCTTTTATGTTACCAATAATATCCAAGGCTCCCTGGCCAGGGTCTTCTCCCTGGTCCATCATTGAGAACAAGCTCTCAGGCTTTGCAACTAATACTACGCCGCCTAGGGCCAGAATTGATGCCAATTTCTCAACCATTGTGTACGGACGTCCGAGCAACAGATGACACAAGCATCCTTGTAGGTTGGGCGTTAGAAACGTAATAATAGTTGCCTCTGCGAGTGGTAGGTACTTGATCGAATACCAAAGCCCGTATATTCCAAAGAAACCTGTGAACCCACGGGCTATGAGTAGCCATCGGACCTTTGGATCGCCACTACGACACGCGGTGTTAGATATGATCACTCTGACATTGATTTCAAAGGATGTTTTGGTTGTGGGAAAATGATGGTGTAGCTCCAGTTCGAGGAAGCCTCGCCTCGACGTCCTTAACGAGGAAAATGATTAGTAGTAGCATGGGCGTTACTTACAGTATGCCATGCGGAATCCGCTGCCAGATAATATAAACCGAACAAATCAGAGTCGTTGTTAGCATTCGCCAGAACAGAAGTTGCATGGGATCGAGTTTCGCATCGACATTGCCTCCCTCAAGGAGGCGTGTATTGAAATTCATCAATACGCCAAAGAATTGCGAAATGATTACATAGATCGGGCGTTCATGTCTTTCCCACCGAGAAGCGCAGAATCTACGGATACACATCCATGTAGAGACATTACTGGGAGGCGGTATCGATGTTATTCCTACCGATGTAGGATGCGGAAACCGATGTTGGAAGTCTAATGCCGATGATGTCAATTCATCTTGTTGGATAGGTGGTTGAGCAGGTGGCCGAAGGTCACTAGGACTCGAAAAACTCCCATCTGGACTGTTTCCCCCGTTATCTGCCAAGTTATCACTGGATGTTGGTGATGCCAGATCGTCTGTTTCATTTTGCAAGACCTCAGGATAGCCGTCTTTGGGGACATCCGCTAAATACTTCGAAGTCATGGTTAATGTCTACCTTTTCAGGAATCAAGATGGGAATTCATCCATCACACCTCTCACCATAACCGAAGCTATTGCAAAGCAAAACATATGATGAAGGGTCGAACTGCCTCCATACTGTTATTAGACAGGTATGATGAAATATAGATTAGAGGATACTAGATATGACTCTGAAGAGAGGAAATAACGACCAAGTTCTGGTACGTCAGCAAAATACGACCGGATTGCCTCATTCAAATCCATTCCGGTAACTGGTGATCTGCTGTAAGATCCTTGATAGCCCAAGTGACAAGGTTGATTGGTCAGCCCGAATCTTGCGAAAGTCGGATGCACCATCCGTTCGACATCAACTGGATCTCCCATGACAACAATCAACTGTTAGGGCCTTGCAGCATTGGGTAGCAACAGTTGTCCTGTCGTAACTGTTGTCAATGAGGAGACAGGCTCCTAGCAGGCGGGCCTTTGGTCGCCGGAATGGTCCTGAGTTTCCAAATGCCGCGCCGATATCGCTAAGCAGGTGAGAGGTCGTCACGAAAGTCTGAATCGCTACTACCCCGCGATCGCCGCTGATCATGAGCTCCAAGTTGCGGGGTGCCATATCAGTAAAAGAACGAAAATTAAAATGAGAAAAATGCACTGAGGGAGCAACTTCCCAAAATAAAAATAAAAAACTCCCCCGGAAAGGCTCGAACTTTCAACCTCCTGATTAACAGTCACTACCGTAATGGTTAGATTATATTATCAACAATGTTAGAATTTAACTTACGACGCGCTAGCCAATTGCGCCACGGAGGACGACGCTGGTTGTGATCAGAATAGAGGTTTTGCGGTAACCATAATCGTTGTCATTACTACTCTGGTCTTGGGCAAACATGGAACAAGACTGGTGGTAGATTCCTAAGCCAACAATAGCTTTCTGTCTGCTCATACCACGCCATTGTAGGAGTGAAATGACGCTGAACCGATACAAAGTCTTGGAATGCTAGGCTCTGCTGCTAAATCACGTTGGTCACTCGTCTTACGTATTAGGCTTTCACGGGGTGCTGCTAGGTAGCGATTTATTTTTACCTTTAATGTCTGCATTAAATGAGGCAAGCTGTATTCTCTGGACAGTGTGCTGATGATGCTAAATGTAATCTATCATTATGGCCTGCGTGCTGAAAGCAATCTGGTATCTCCAAACTCCGGTGCTATGCGTTTAGTAGAGTCGACATGAGTCGATTTTTGAATCTAGTCGATGGGAGTTGAAACAAGTATGGTTTCTTTGGCTTTATTTTGCGCCGGCCTTCCTCTTCTTCGCGCCAGAACCACGAGATGAAGTCTCGGCCCCAAGCTCCTTTAGGTCCAGGTCATCGTCCAGACCAAGTAGCTCGTCGTCCTCTTGCTTTTGGTTGTTCACATCCTTGTCTTTTGCAGCCATGTCTTTCATAAGGGCATCATCATCTTGATTGAAGGTCTTACGCATCTCCTTGATGGTCTGCCGCTTCTCGATCATGGCCTTGACTTTCCCGAGATACTGCGGGTTACGGCGCAATGCAAACTCGAAATCGTCGAACTTGAGCTTCTGTCGACCAGCCACCTGAGCATGTCGACTAGCCTCGAAGCACACGCCCTCCAAAAACTCGGTCACAATCTCATCTAGCACGCGCACCGTCTCCGGGATAGGGTCGCGAACATCACCGTAGGCATAAAGCAGAGCGGCAACTATATTAGACGGTAGTAATTAGGCTCCGTATATCTTGAGTTATAGTTTGAGGGCGTCTGTTGGTACATGGAGAGGATACGACTTACTCTCTTTGGGATTGAAAGTCTCCTTGCCAACATGCTTACCAGCACGAGCGCGAGGCTCCATCTCGAGACCGAGGGAAACAGCTCGGAACCCCGACGAGTTCCTATCTCGAGCTTCAAGAAGTTTGCGTCGCAAAGGGCATTGATTCTCTAACGCTCGCTGGATCGTACGTGGGAGCTTAAAAGCGGTGTCTGCCGTGGTCGTTTGTAGCCGGCAGGCAAGTAAGCTAATGTTGGTGAATAAGGTAGTCTTGAGAAGTTACGTACCGGTTTTAGGTACATACCTAACCGACGTAGGTAACTGTTGCAGAGCCTCCCCAGGTACTGCTCTATCAGCTAGGCGGCTTTCGGCTCCACAAAATACTTAGGTAGACAGCTAGGTACTTTAGTGCGTATCTGGCATTTGGAGAAGGCTGAACCAGCTTGCGCACTATCCAAGCTTAGGGCCTTCGACCACGACGTAATATACAAAGTCTACGGCATTTTGTTGTTACATCTTAAATCCCAGCGACTGAGAAAATGGTATGAAAGAATTCCCAGCTCGTCTTCCATTGCTATATTGCTAACTGTTCGTTCCAGTCTGCGCTGTTCAATTTCCAGAGCCTGCTGCTCGTCATCCTCCTCCTCATCTGCACGAGCGCCTACGTTCACAACCTATTCCCGACAATACTCGACCGCAACAAGCAAGGGTGCGTAGTTTGAGCCCAGCCGAACTCGAAGCAAACATCAGCAAGCACTAGGGGTTCAGCATGGACACGCTCGAGGCAGATTTAGACTAATTGCGCTCATAGGTTGATGGGCATATTCTGGAAGGCAGCACGGATAGGCGAGCGACTGAGCCCATACATAAGTTTGTGCTGTGTATTCATGGCGGTATGACAGGCTTTGCGCCCCTACTCTGCCAAATTTCCTCGGGCTCAGACTGACAATTAATGGCCCAGGTCTCCATGGTCGTTGGCACCTAACTCTTCGCCCTCACAGCTGATTTCGATACCTGGGCAATGGATGCGCAAAAGGAGTTCAGGCTGGGTGGGTTTACTATTTGAACAAGACATTTGTGAACTAGAATTATGGACGAGCGCTTGGGTTCTAGTTACGATATATGCGACTACCGATGTCTCCTGGATGATGCCACAGTCAATATCTAGTGAGTTGACATGCCTTATGATGTTTCCAAAGGCGTGATTTGCCAGACTTGGCCTTGCCAGTGCTTAGCTGCTATGCTTATTTGCATTGAATGATTATTATACCGGAGGCCTCGCGTAACAGCTGTCTGGGCTTTGTTTGAACCGTGCACTAGCCAAGCTTCAGGTGGAATATGTTTGAAGTATACAATATCTACGACTGTAACAACGCGGGGTGTGTCTTGAACCAATTGAAAAGGCGAGCTATCTCCGACTGCAAGATTCGTCAACGCATACTTAAGTAGTGCTGCACAGTGTTTCTCTACTGAATATGGCTTCTGCATCGCAAGGCATTCAAACGAACCATGCTTCAATTTGGCTCTCCTGATTGGATATGTTCACTCAGCCTTGTCGCCTTGCGATGCAACGTAGCATGCAGTGGTTTTTCTTGATGACCTCAGCGAGGGTCATTTCAATATCATCAAAACGGTGGGAGAAATCATCTAAGTAGTCTGCTGACTTCTGACCCCATCATACGATGAACACAGGCGCATATGTACTGTCGCGATAGAGCGTTGCATCCTCCTAGATGGCGGCCCGAATGCTGTACTCTGGTAAACTTGATATTCGCTAAGTTCTAATGCATGTCTTGGACAGGGATGCCAGAGCGACTGAGAAAACAGTGAGAGAGAGCCTCTTGTTGTCCCAAGCAGTATGTTACTACTTGGTATGGCCTTGGAGACGAAGCTCGCATGGCAGGTATCAAGGTGTAACTGTTCATGAGCATCCGCTGTTGGAAAAGATGGAAAATGTGGTGCTATATGATCTGATTTCTGACTCTCTATCGATTATCGTATGTCCTGATCGGCGATGACCTGGGGAGAACGTGTCAAGGAAGCATACCTACCGACTACATGCCACCTACCGTATTGTGTTGCAGGGGCAGCCTTGCAGACACGGGTACGTCGAGCTAAAAGCAAGATGTCTCGTCGGTGGCTGCATAACGGGCCCAGTTGAAGGTATGCTTATTACTGTGCGGGTAGAGACAACCAAATACCTAAGTAAGTAAGGGCGGCAGGAACACGACCAATGCAAGATGCGAGTCCTCGTTGTTTGTTTGTCCGTGTGTTTGTGTGTGCGCGTGTGCACTTATGCGCGTGAGATTATTCAATCATGATGATACTGATACCTGGATTGGCTGGTCAGAGCTGGTGACTCCGAAAAGGCGGGCAATGGAGAATTATCTCCGTGCTGAGAATTCCTTGTGTTAGGTAAAGTGAGGATCAACAACACCCATGCAGACATAACTCTAAGTATGCCAAACGACTCGGACTGGCAGGGCTCATTAGTATCTTGCTTAACCCAGCCCCAAGTATTATTTAATGGGTCTCGTTATGAATTGCTACGGTGCCAAAACTCCCGTGCGATCGTCGTATAACGTTAGTGTAGCGTAGCCCGGCAAGTCCTACGGCTGCAGTCATCAAGCGTAAGGAGATTATCTTTTCATGCGTTTAGGTAAGCATTCCTCTTCTATGCTCCCGGTACAACGCTTCTTCCTTCTCTTCTTCCTTAATCTACGCTGCTGCAGTCGCGTACCCAGTCACACGACGCTACACTACCACCTAGTTCTGCTCAGACACCCCAAGTAGCGCCCAGGAAGGAAGCAAGCGGATCCAGAAGAGATGTAGCCCCCCAGTTTCATTCCTATCTGTTGGGCAAGCCTGAAACGACGTCACATTGCGACCAGTTCTGATGCATGGAAGACTTGAACTGCAGATACCCTTGGCTACGCGAAGCGAAGCAACCCCAGTAGTCAAGTTTCTAGAAAAGAGTTCATGTGACGTGACGGAGAGGAGCGAAAACGCCGCGGCTGAGGCTGAAGGAAGGAACATAAAAATAGTCCGAGGCTGGCAACGACACCATTCTGCTAAGTACGAAACAGGGTGACGATAGTATCATTCAGAAGTCTCTGAGGACCTAGGTAGAGCAGGGGGTTCGGCGCTTAGAATGGCGGGCTGTGACCAAGTAATTGTTGGGGGGGCTGATTTCTGTAGATGCAGTCTGTATTGTAGATTCCTCCTGGGAATGAAGCAACCAGCTGCCCACATGAATCTCTCAAAGAGGGGACACCTACTGTTCTTCCATAGCTGTCTATTAATAAGGACATACCTAGGTAACATGCAATGCATGCTCGTGATGACGCAACATCCCTTAGTTCTTAACCGAATTGCCTCGAGTCATAAACAGTCAGCCGCTTTATGGACTCTTGTCCACCAAGTCGTCGCCTTTCATGGTATTTGCAGCCGTCTGGGCTAGGTACGTACTGTACCTAGTGGGGTCCGTGTGCCTGTAGGCGATGGGCCGAGCTGCCTGGCATCGTGAAAGAATCGGCGGCATGTAAGGTTGGAAATAATCATCCAACATAGCGGCTCGGCGCGTAGTAAACTTAATCAACCAAACGCGCAACGCATTCCTCTCGCGTCCTCTCTTGTGATCATGCATGTTCCGACATACGTAGGCACATAAGTAGTCCGCTCAATCTCGTCCCGCAGGTCAAAGCGATTGGTGGATTGATGAGTGTTGTAAACAAGGGACGCATGCCGAAAGAAGAAGCTGAGATTCCCCCACTGCAAGTTAGGCGGCGAATGGGAGCTCTGCTATTTTCAGCTAACTTGCCCGTCTAAACAGGAACTTCATGGTCTCTTGTACAGGGCCGCCCGGGCTCAATTGTCAGTGCAATGTTGCCAACAGTGGACAGTCCCGAGGAATATGACCAACCCATAGTCTCTGGACATGCAGTACCTATTTGCTAAGTACATATAAGTCGGTAGAGTGGTCAGCTTTTGTCGGCTAGTTGATATGTTACCAAGGACGATGATCATCGTATTATTTTTGATGTATTTTTCATTACTTATCTACTATGTATCTAACGTATACTAACTACATCAGCGGCACTACTTAATGACATTCTCAACGGCGCCAGATTGACGCCACGAAACGGTGGGAGGAATGGGCTAGCAAGTCACAATTTTTGTTTCAATACAAAGTAGTACTACCGATGTATATCGAGTACTGTAGATACAAACATTTAATACGAACACACCATCGTCGTCCCGTTTATTTTTCAAAGTAGCATACACAATATATAGTAAGGTAGCGTCGTACGAGGCGCATTCTCATCCCTCAAGATGTTAGACTTTGATCGACTTTCTGCGACGATACAGTCTTCCTCGTTAATTTTTGGGCACTGTAACTACCGCTTGGCAGGAGTGTTAGTCCTGTGTCTGTCCTGTGCATACATGATCATATACTTCGCCTCACTTTCTGCCCCTGCGCCTAACCGCTCCCTAGTGTGACCATTGAAATAGGATGCTTATCTCATCTCGGCACTGGCGAGATTATACCCAATAGGTCGTCCGCCCTACCATTTCTTTGTAAGTCACAAGAGCTTCACAAACATCTTTGAGGCGCACTGTGGCTGAAGTTGTCGTCGTCGTAATAAACCCACCAACAGAACGAATCTGTAGCCAATATGGCAGATAGGCTGTAGCGGAAGCAAGAAGTTTAAGTTAAGGATCTCCTGTCTGAGTGAGAACCCGTTTTGATAGCCCATACTACGAAAGAGCATGTTGTCCCCTATAAGGGATCATTGCACACACTGCTTGGGAGTTAGATATCTGTATGTGTATCGGCAGGTTTCAGGCTCATAGGAACGAGGTAGTTTAAATGGATATGTTGTTTGATACAGGCAATAAGTGGTAACAGCTCCTGATCACTTTGTCGACGTTACATGGTTTTAATCATCTTGGCCTAGTGCAAACGAGCATCAACACACACTCGGCTAACAAGCACATATGATATGGCATAAGTCTGGCTTGGTTGTGTTTCATTACAAACTTTAGTAGTTTCGGGCGCTAGGCGCCATGACGACCCATAACAAACTATCAGAACCGCATGCTATGGAAAGTAGGTAGCTTTACTTATGTAAGACAAGGCGTCGTTCGGAAGGCAAGACCAAGGAATGCTTTCAAGTATTACTGTGTAATATGGTTGTGAATGGGGCTAGCTAACTCAACTATCCTTGACAACTGTTCGATCTAGGTACTTGACAACTAAGGAGATACATACATAGTATAGGCGTGGTGTGTTTTCTATCTTCAAGTAGCCATACTGTAGCTAATGGGAGCTCCAAACTGACATAAATGTCGCGAATCCCAAGGGCAAAGCTGAACCACCAATTCGCCTTGTGGCGATGAGCCACTGTCACATCTCTGCATTGTTCTAATGCGCGCACTCGCATCCCAAAAAGGAGGAAGGGTAGTAATTCAACATGTGGACTCTTTATAAGCTCACTAATGCAAGAGAAAGGTTCAAGGTCACATCGGTATTACTGCACAAAATCTTTAATGAGCTGACACGACAATGCGACTGGTGCTCGGGTTGGTAACGCATGACTCGGTGTCCTGCAAGGAATGGCGGTCACGACAACAGGAGGAGCAGACCACACACACCAAACACACCTACTTACAATACAGTACAGCACACCACGCAAGGACGACTTGCATAGTACATGTGCTGACCTCCTTCATAAGTAGTAGAATACGCCATACTTACAAACACCAGACTCCAGGACAGTGCTTCGCTCAGTACATCGTACTTGTGAAACTGCCCACCGGAATGGTGGAGTTGTAACTACCTACTTATGGTTGAAGATCCGGATTAGCGCAAGTATCTACCTAAGTAAGGGTGTGCTTAATGACTTAGTAAGTACTTACTTAAGTAGGTGCAGGTGTGGTATAACTGGAACTATGATATGGTGTTATGCAGGGACTTTTGGACCTTTGGGCTAGCGAAGACTACCAACTTTCTAGGGCATCCTGCTGACTCTGAATTATCTACCGAGGGACTGACTTACCTGCGCTAAGGTGCTATTTGATACACTTTTGCGACCTGTGGCAGAACTGTGGGCGGTTTAGACTAGAGGCACTACCCCCTGGGCAGAACCCTGATAGAACCCTTGGATCTGCCCTGGATAGACGTGTCTGGGATATCCCTGTCGATGCTAGACGATCACTGCTCCTCTCTGTCTTGTGGGAATCCCGAAGCGATGGAAACTCTCAAATTGGGCGAAACCAAAAGGGGAATGGGAGGGGCATCTCAAGCACCTGTTGAGCACCCAAATCGGTGGCCGAGGCGATACGATAGGCACATATACTTATGAGATTCCGCCACCTACTCCCTTCATGTACCTGCCTCGGCTGGTCGCTGCTCAGGTCAGTCAGTCAATGACTGCCAGGTACAGAGCCAGGCCTCGCCAGGCACTAGCGTGCAAAGGAGTTATCGTCCCTTGTCTGTGGCAACGACGCTAGAATTCCACGGCTTCTACGGCTTCCATTTCGATGCCCACTGTGTGGTAAAGTAATTCGCCCCAAATGGGACCACGAGCATTCCCCTACAGTACGGTAGTGTACATAGGTACCTATATACCTTAGTAAGATCGTCTCAGTATAGGGGTCGCAAAGTAGGTGGCCCTAAAGAGTTCTAGATAGCGCTGTAGCCACCATGCCAGCTCCATCCTTAAGGGCCTAAGTACAGTGGCATTAGGGTGGCACTACACGTACTATTTAGAATGGGAATGCTATCACGTTACCTTAAGTACCTAAGTATCTACCTACCTAGAGTACTATGCGTTTGATACATACTTAGTAAAGCATCCAATATGACTGCGAGCTGCGCTGCAATCACCTGGCATAGACGAGGTGGACAAGAGAAAGATCATAGCATTTCAGTGCTTTATATGTGCAGGCCGCCATGTCAACAGCCACCATCTTTATACCTACCTATATCAACAAAGGAAAGGGAGGGTCCCTGGACGGCACCGCAGGACTGTGATAGCTAATTTACACGATATATCTGCAAGAAGAGAGATACCATCATCTATAACCCGGCTCCATTAATAACAAGACCGCCATCGGAGGGTTGAGGCGTGCAATCAGGCCAGTCAACGTCGCCAGCTCACCACCTTCACTCGTGTCGCATCCGAAAACCCGCTCCCTCACGGAATCATAGCAGTTACGGGCAACGGTAAGTAGGTGAGCTGCACATCACCGGCTGGAGATATGTGCCTAGGCATGTGCCTAGATGATAGCTAGTATCCAGCCAAGCTATGTACTGAGTAAGTACTGTATGCAGTGTGTTCAATTTTGCAACCCAGACTCTCAATCATTGAGTGGTGGATTGAATTGAATGGCAAATGGAACCGTTGCCACCGTGCTTTTGTGCCCGACAAGGAACAAGGGAACCCAACACCGCCTACCCCTTACACGTGTCGCCTCCAACTACCTCCCTACCTACTATCTACTATCTACATAGTACATACCTACTCGTCTATCTCGGAACTTATCTACCCACCCATCCATTGATCAACCTATCCACGTATTATCTACAGTTACCTACCTACCTAACGAGGAAAGCAGGTGAGCGCAGGTGAAGAGGGCTGCGCTTCGCTGATCATCGTGGGTTCCTTTGCCGATGCCTATCTCCTGCGGTCTCCTGGACTAGCTATCTGCCACCTGGCGCTAACGTCCTACTCGCAACCAACTGCAACATGTAGCCCCAATACTTGCACACTCACACACTCACTCCAATGCTTCCACGATGGTTGCAGCACATGCCCAGGTGGTAGCAGCAGCATGTATTGCATTGCATACTAACCCGGTGCTAGATACGTGTACAACTTGAAAAACCCGTACCCTTTCGACCGCTGCTCACCGTCAAAGTCAAGGCTCAAGACATCGAGATCCCTGCAGATGGTGGTATATGGCGATCTCATTTGATTACTCTGACCAATGTTTTGTGTAGGAGAGGCCATATCCAATCCAATCTACAGGCAGAACACACGGGCATACTAGTGCACATACCTACTAAGTATGTACCTGCTCGCCTACATACTATAGGTAGACTTGACTACACCACTTTGCTGCATCACCAGTACGCTGCAGTGCAGACGACGGTGAGTATGTGTGTGCACGCGGCAGGAAATTCATGTATGAAAAGGCAATATCACACCACCGTCAGAATTAATCACCTGCCACCTGAACACTGCACCATTCTGCTGCTGATCTCGTCTCCGACCCCGTGACCGCCTCTGCCAGTAATCCTCACCCTTTCCCCTTTGGCCATGCACTTCTACTGTTGCAGCAAGAAGGGAACCCACCCCTTCCTGTTCCAGCCGTTGGTTCGACGACACTAAGTACTCTAGTCTAGCGCTGTCTTCTGAAGAGTGAGATGGTCCCCCAAGGTGGCAACCCAACCGGAACGACAACTGGATTATAACAATAATGGGTTTGTGCGCATGCGGCAAGATACTAAATACCTAGCTACAGTAGTAGGTAGGTACGGTACACCAACGATCGATGATTATGATTACCTTGCAGACAAGAGGCGAGCGAATGCTTGGCTGCCCCTCGCCGTGCCTCTGTTTGTGTCGAGGCGCTGGGTACCTTGCCAAGTACTGTCCGTAGCTAACATACCTACGAAGGACAGTAGTACATATAGATGTTTGTCTGGGGGCGCCCTTCAGATTGCAGGTGACACATATATGTATCTCGACTTTCAATAGATACCTACACCTACTGTACTCAACACACTCTGACTTACAGTTCGCCCATCCGATCGACAGTCACCCTATTTAAGTATGACTAAGATGGGATGGCGATAGTAGGTAGTACACTTCCTGATTCCTCCACCAGCTACCGCCGTCTCTCCTGCTCCACCAGGACGTCCACCAGGTAGGTACGCTACCTTCCTCCAGAGGGCAGGGAGGTAAGGCAGGCGAGGCAGGCGAGGCAGGGCGAGGCAGGGTATGGTGAGGTACGGGGTCAGGTACCGGTTCAGGTACGGGCACAGATGTCTCGTTTCTGGGTATCGCTAGCCAGCACACCTCCCCAGCGGCCGTTCCAGCTGTGCGTTTTGGGCGTCCAATGCCGGACTCGTGCACTCTGGCACCCCGGCTCCGCCAGGCCTCAGGCTAGCTTCTCTCGGCGTTAGTCGGCTCTTCCAGGCATTGCAACGTCGACATGCACCAAAATGGCAATCTGGGCGACCCAGGTGGGTGTGTGTGGATTCCATTGCATTGGATGCATCCGTAAGTACAGTACCGGTACTTATATACGTATATATCTTAGTACGCTACCTAAATCGCCATGCACAGTATATATTCTACGTGAGTAGTACTTGCTGCGCCATAAGCACACATACTGCTTCCACCGTACTCGCAGTACCTATGCTGAGGTATACAAACAGTGTGTAGTGACTACACATACTGTAAATAGTGGATAAATGTAAGATACCTATACAGGTATGCATGTATATTTTAGATGTAGATACTTATAGGCGTGATCTGGGCATTATCTGAGCATTAGTAGATTGTAGCGTTTTGAGGGCCTGTTGAAGAGAAAGTGGCCGGCAATGCTTGATTGCTTGCTTGTTGCTTGATACCTATGTTTTAATGTATTTCATGTACGGAGTAGGTACTTGAGTGACTAGCTGTGTGGATGTGGTTTGCACTAAGCCAGGTACTGCGACCGTACTCCCAATCGCTACCTACCTCTTCCCTCTCTTCCACTTCCCTTCCCTTCCCTTGTGCAAATTTCCCCGGAACATGCTTCCCCCCCCTTGACAACATATCGTTGTGTACCTGGCCTCTCGCTTGCCTGGATGTGCCCAAAGTACCCCCGTGGTACCTTGGGTACATACACGCTGCCGAGAGCGCTGCACCTTGTCTCTCTGGTCTGAGAATCCGCTTCCCCGGCCTGTTCGCTCATTTTACTAATAATGCGGTTGTCGTTTTCATATGAAGGGCCACTCTGTCACCGACTGTCTCTCTTTTTTCTCTCTCACTCTCTGTGCATATGTCCCAGTAGTGTAGACGCTGTGTTCCCTACCTACCTTGACCTTTTCTTTCTTCAGGCGTTAAGAAAATAGTATATTACTTTCCCTTCCCCCCGTTCCCCGTCCCAACTTGCACTCAGTCCTTTCTAGGATATATTGTCTCTCTTTTCGCAATCGTGAGGAAAGCTCTCTTTGTCTTCACCGTTCTCACCCCGTACGTTCTTTTAGAAGGAAAGCTGGGCGGGTCAACGAGTTCGTTCCTTCTGCAAATATATATCTTCCTCCTCCACCTAGGGAGTCCGTCTGGTCGCCAGCTCGACCTGCAGTAGCCGTTTCGTTACGCTCAATCAGGGCCGAATAAGTAAGTCCTCTCAGCATGATACCTTGGACCGACAAGCTTGCCGTGTATACCGTCGCCGCTATCTTAGGTACTGAGGCAACAGCCCTCGTACAGACCCTGCAAATACCCGGCCGGACTCGCGAGGCTTTCCTTGTCAAACAACCCAGCCCTTTTTTTCATTTGCATACCACGAGTGATTGAGTGACTGACACAAGAGGTCGCCCTGTAGGAACAGCAAACAACGGGATAGTCTGGCTCACCGATTCTCTAATCTAAAAATAATTTAAATCTGAAATCACTTCTGGATCTAGTTCGTATCAGATCGAGGTTGCCAGGCCTTCATCAGCCCAAATAGTCCGTGGAACTGAGGAAACAGTTGTCGAAAATGACCGATCAGGGAAGCGGCATTGAGAGTGGTGGGTTCGACAACAAGTCTGCGAGGCGAATGTCGGAAGCCATACCAAACCCTCGCGATGATCAGATTCAGCAGCCCGCCAACCAAACAGAGGGTTCGCCGTCTAAAGATGAAGAGCAGTATTTGAAAGCCGGACGACGCAGCACACCCAGAGACAACGGGCTAAGTCGGAATGGACTCAACCGAAATTCATTCCAGCATTCTACTCGCAGTTCGCCGGAACCAACCACACGCCCCATGGAACCCCCCGTAACAAAAGCCACTCTGAGCGAATTGGACGTTGCCAAAATCATTCATAACCCCAGACTTCGGCACGATATCAACTTCGACCCCGAGCTTCACTTCCGACCCAACCTGGATGGGGAAAAGGGTAGGAGGAAGCAACAAAAAGCCGACCAATTCTGGGATACCCTACGTGATCAGTTGCAACAATTCATTACTGACAGAGATGGCTTCATTCAACAATACGGAAACGGGGAAGACTGGTCTCTCCCATTATTACTGAGATCCGTCAAGGAAATTATTCAGACTCTGGTGCCGGCTAGGGATCGTCTCTGTCTAGATGAGGGTCTCAACGTGGAGCTCATCATGCAGCAATTCAGCAGAGGCATGGCTGATCTCGAAAAATTGGCCTCTTGGTTATCAGGGGTACTAAAATCCCACTGCGCCCCTATGAGAGACGAATGGGTGGACCAGATGTACAGCCAATTGACCAACGGCAACCGGACGAATAACATGGCAGAGCTTGTGCAAGGCTTGCGCAATCTGTTAAGTGTCTTGGAGGCAATGAAGCTAGATGTGGCCAATCACCAGATTCGATGTCTACGGCCTATTCTGATTGAAGACACTGTGCACTTTGAGCAGCGTTTCTTCCTTAAGAAGATGAGAGATGGAAAGGTGAATACTCGATCAGCACAGACATGGTATTCACACCTAAGCCCCGTGCAGGATCCAGTATCAGTGCAGGCGTTCGGAGAGATGGCCGTTTTTTTTGAGGAGCTTATCAACATGACCATGCCTTCCAGCGCCCGCCAATATAGTAGTCTGCCTACCACATTCCTCTTCGATGAGGAGCGGATCGCTAAGCTTCGCTGCGACATACTTGACGCGATCAACTTGGAAGTATGTATGCGACTGTATGAGACGTACGAGACTGTAGACAGGAATATGTCGCATTGTGATCCTACAATGGCAGTCCCTTCCCCATACCTAGCTACACCTTTGTCCGACGCCTCAGGATTTTTAAGCTCGAGAACCGAGGACGAGGGCAGCGAGTTCAACTTTAATGCGCCTTCACGACCTTCGAGTATGGTCTTCAGCTCTGCTGGCTCTGCCCACTCTTCTCCCCGTTCTTCCCTTATCGCCCCAACAGTTCCAGCCGTCAAATCGCAAGAAGAACTACGGTCTAGATCTCAAGAGCTGTATGATTCTCTTGTAGCTTTGGTGCAGAGTTCTACTACAAGCTCACGTGCGTCCAGATGGCGGGCGATGAATGACTCCCTAGCCCTGCAAATTTTCAGGTTCACTAATGCCTCAACGGATATGCTAGAGAGTTTCGAGAAGAGCCTCAATATGCATGTCGGTGACGTACGTTCGCCTACCGATGGGTCGGAAACTCCTTACTCGGCACTCTTTCAGAGTGTCGAGGACGTTTTCCGCGACCGTCTACGAGCAGAACTTCAACAGCGCGTGAAGGACTTGAAAGGCTTAACCGGTGTCAATCTCTTCTCTGTCGCTACTGGTGGTCGTCTACAAGGTCACAATCGTTCTTGGGATATCTCGCGAGACAGTGTTAGGGATGGGGAGCGAGACAGCTCGACCCGCGGTACTCGTGAAGAGGCTGGCGTAGATGATATGGCTATCCGACTAGCACACATGGGATTGATACACTGGAGAGTATGGTCGCAGCTCGTCTATGTCAGCGACGTTGACAACGACGTTCTTGATGACGATGTGCCTATGGTCATCTAAAGGTTGATCCAGAATGCCCATGGCAATACCCCCTTGAGATGGGTATTATTCAAACTTCTGTCAAATCTCGGCGACGAAGGACCTGACCCATTGTGGTCCTTTACTACTACCACCTTTACCCCTCTTTAATCGTAGCTCATTTGCTTTTTATCCGGGTACCGGTGGCATCGTTCTGGCGTTATAGGTTTTCATCTCTTCAGTGTATGAGACATCCAGCCAGATTTTTTCGACTCGGCTTTGCTTTATTCCTTCCTTTTTTTGTTTTTGGACCTTCGAGCACAGTCAGATGAGCGATTTTGGCATCTTCCAAGAATTCATTTCCACCGGCGTTCAAGGAGCATTTCACTTTGGGAAGCATAGTCGTCATTGTCATATCCCGAGTATACCTCAGCATCATAGTGGTGTTTTGTTCAACGCGAGTGGGAGGGCCAGAGAGCATGGGAAGATATCAAGAGGTTCACAATATTATACAGGAAGTTGGCGCATCGGTGGCAGGAAATATCCGTACAGGGAAGACCTCTCAATACCATTCTCTCCTTTTTTCCCTCCGTTATTACGGAGACAGCAATAGATGATAGTAGTCAAAATAGACGGATTTTACCAGTTCATCAGCAAGGGCCTTGCAAACGTGATTTAATGCGCTCCATCGACTTCCTAAGCTTCTTGGGTAGTGCGCTGGGGTTGCTCTTGTCCCCTTCTCTTGTAACCTCCATCAGTCTCAGTGTCTAGCGACGTGATAATGTCGGAGTCACCGCAAAGATTTTCTCATCCTATCTAATGGCTAGTCACCCTTGTCAAATTAGTCTTAGGATCAGACCCAAGCACCCGGATCCCAAGACCAATTATAGTGTCTGCTCTTCCCTCCCGCATTGGGTCTCTTTTCATTTCCCTCGCCTTCTTTTTCTCACTTTCAGGCCAGGGATTATTCCTTATGTACCGGTACACTCATACTTGCTTCTACCAGCTCCCCAAATTCAGTACGATGTTGTACAAGGTTGGTTGGAAGATTGAAGGTGACAGGCGAACTCGGGACGCTTGCCGTGCTTGACAAACATGGCTAGGCGAGATATCTGTTTCACAGACCTAGGTATGGACTGCGCCTCCTAGCCTGTGATTAAATCAGAGGACCTAAGTTAGCGCATTGTATCTACACGTGTACGTACTCTCCGGCAGATGGACACATGGCTAAATATAATCTTAATGGTGAAGCCCTATTTCTCAGCTGCAACCGCTGAGTGGTAGGCGATGGTCTAGTGTAAATCTAGGCAGATTAGTTTCTTGGAGAACATGCCTACCTACCTTCGTAGGTATCTACCGGTATGCTGGTTCTATAAGATTTAAGAATACCTAATCGTTTGCAAGAAGACAGCACTCAAGGATAAAGAGCAAAAGGAGCAGGACTGGGACGTTCTAAGTCCCTGAAGCCATAATTTACTGAAAATCAATGCGCATTACGAAGTAGTTTGTTCAGAGGTAATTCCAGATTCACATGACAAATAGTGTATACACACTAAGAAGGATGGGCACACACACAATCACAGCCAACAAACCAAACCAAACGCAACCCAAACATGCAGACACGGAAAGCACACGAAGACCACACCAGCGCGCCGCTAACTGATGGTGGCCAACAATGTGGAAATGATCACAACATCAGTTCTGGTGTAGTGTGGCATGGAAAGAAAGGAAAGAAGGATTCTATCACACCACCACGATACCACACCACATAGTACTGTACACTACACTTCTGTGTAAGTAGGAACAGGGCGCAAGACCAAAAAAAAAAAAGGTCCCAAGAGCCAGAGCAGCATGATGGATGGCACCGATGTCGCAGCTGAGACGGCCACGTACAGTAATTGGACACCCTACCTGCACCAACCTGGTGGTACCCTGACCAAGAACGGATGGACGGGGGATGATGGTCAATACTTACGGGGGCCTTGTCTCGGCTGAAGAGCTGAGACGACGATGATGAGTGGAGGAATAACTAGGTACTTCCTGGATGGTGTGGATGTACCCTTTACCTTGTACACTGCTTGTACCCTCACGCACTCGTCTACCTACATCCCGTCTACCTACAGTATAGTAGTACACATCTACATGTAAGTAAGTAAGAGGTAAGTAAGCAGTGTAGCGCTGGTTACACACACGATGCCGAACCCTTCTTCGTCGCAATTTAGCAAACCCTGTCCATCCATGTGTGGACCCTGTCACAGTCCCCTAAAAGGTTAGACAAGTGTGCACTTTACAGTAACAAAGCGATAGCCAGAAAGTAGAATTACGGTAGCATCGCTGTCAGAATCTCCTCTGCTCTATCGCCGCCACCAAAAACAAAACTATGTCGTCATCTCCCGTTTCTTGACTCTTTAATTAGGTACCTACCCTTACCTGCCTGACCTGCTGACCCCAAGCCAAAATATCATCCGCCGTTGGTTTAATGTGGGTTGTGCCTGGCGCTAAGTCTTTCTCCCCTGTTTGACACGTTTTTTCTTGTCTCATCCTTGTCTAATCAGTTCAACAAGCGAAGTGGGAAATACCTATACCGGTATACATACATCTAATCTAACGTAGTAGTATCGACATACATACTTACAAGTAGGTGGTGGGTGGTAGTATTCCCTATATGATATACTTATATCTGTGCAAACAATTTGCAACCATTTCCTGGATACTTTTATATGTCGCAATCTTGATGTAGCATACGTAAGACGATTGCGATTGATCAAACTGACAACACACCGGTAGCCCATGGTGTGTTGCCGGCATCTCTCGACGTGTGCCACCACGATGCCTCATTTTTTCTTGCTTACTTTTTTCTACATGTACCGTAATTCCCAGGCCCCTCTGACCCGGCCGCATGCTGTGCGCCACACACCACACACACCACACATCTATGCAAACACCATTTAGAACATGGTGATTCGCCAGGATGGGTACTCAAAGCATGAAGTCCTTGTATGGCTGTGCAGATAGATGTATACATACATACTTGTATCATATCTCTATACTTCATCGGTACCAGACATGTCATCGGGTAATATGAATTTCCCGCATATCTAGCACATGTATAGGCATTGTTTTACATACATACACCGCACTATAAATGCCCAATAATGAGAAGATATGTGTACCTACCGATGTCTATATCGTTTTTTTGTCTTAAATCGGCTGTGCCAGAAACACAGAGTGCATACTGTATGCAACCTTGAAAAGTTCGTCACTCGTCCATTTTATTTATCCGAGACCTCCGCTTTACGGACCGACCGTGAGCCAGAATTTGCACCTAACTTTGCCGACCTGCATGCATGCACGCACTCATGCATCCAATCTATCGGTGAAACCGTTTCAATATGAGGTTATTTTTCCCTTTCCTTTTTTTTTGTGGCTTTTTTTGCCCCCATATTGTTCCTTTCTTCCTATGATATGTGCCTCTGAGTACGTACTCTCCCTACATGAAAATAACACAGCAAATACATGTTAAAAAGAAGAAACTGAGACACCAAAAAGGAAGTGCAGATTACATTGGCAATAATAGATAAATAAGTAAACAGACAGTCATAGATTTGAGCTCAGAAACCAGCAACTATTTACTTACACCTGGGTGCATTGTAGCACACTTACTCGGCCATCTCATCCCTCGGCCCCTTCACCGCTCACATACCTACTAGCTTGACCTGGCCACATCTACTTAGGACGCATATGCCTCACATCGCCATCGGTGTCATGCATCTCAATGCCATAGTTACTAGGTAGTAGGATCATGCACCGGGTCGTCCATCCGGACAACGAGGCGGCAATGCACGCTCGACTTCCGCGTTCGTGACCGCTGATCGTGACGTGTTAACCGCAACATCCGGACCACGCCCCTCGCCCCTGAGTCTTGTGAGACGCTCATATAAGAACTTGGGAGGTATTACATCATTTGCTTCGGGTTGCTGTTTAGGACTTCTGCATGCTTACTCTTGCGTCTTGTTAAGATCAGCGCCGTTTATACCTCCTTCTCGCTTGGACAGAGGCAATTAATTGTCGGGGGAAAGGGCAGTGTGATTGTGGTTAAATCAAATCTTGATAGTTTAGGTGTTTATACGGAGATGTTAGATTGCGAGCTGTAAAACAAATGCTACACATATATGCTATATCGTGAGAATAGTAGAAGTCTCCTCCCACGACTGCGTTATCAATTGAATAGAGAAATAGCTTATAAGGAGATATAGATTGCTTTACTGCTTAATCGCAAGCAACTATTCAGACGTAAGAAGTGTATTAAGATATGAAGATTGAACTTGCAAGGATGTTAAACCTTGTTAACTTATATAATGCTAGATAAGTTATGACCTAGTATAAAAGTAAAGTAAGTTATCATAAGAATTATTCTATATCTAGGATTTGCGAAGTTATGGGCGATGAAACATGGAGATTCGTATATGGTCCACATCGAGATATATCATGTCAGAAAATTAACTAAGTTAGAATGCATTGTTTCCTTCGCTGTTGTTACAGTTAAATTATCAATGTCATCTTTCCATTGCCCTTGGTCAACAAACTCACATCAATGACTAATATTTTCATCATGAGTATCTGAGATATAATATGCCCAACCTAGAAGCCAACATTGCCTAGATAAAATAAGATCGACACTAGAGGGCTGATGTTAAGCATGTAGAAGCCCATACATATAGATGAAACTTGTCTGTATTGTTTTCATCTACCAAGACTAGGGTAGCATCAGCCTTGTTCCTTCCTAGCCGCCCCGGCCGTGGCAGGTCAACAACGATATAAAAAGCCCATGTAACGTAATGTTGCTATACCACATTACACAAGACGCATGTACGATCCATCCTACAAAATGCATGTCGGGTACCTCCGGGTGGCAAAGTAGGATATAAAGACATCACGTTGGATAATCAACGTCGGAGTGGGATTGCATAGAAACTAGGAAGGACTAATAAGCCGCTGTTGTGGTCTCGTGGTCAGCTAGGGGGGATTATTAGGCATTTGATCGAGACTTTTCTTTTGATAGGAGTTGAAGAATTCGCAATACTGAACATCCGATACGAAAGCTTCTGTTGGCTCGTCGCGGCCGTGCCGGACCCTCGTAATCGCCCGGACCTCCGTCTTGCTAACGGCACATTAATTTCACCAGTGCACCGCATCAAGGACTGTAGCGAGCTTTGAATGTTAGTAGGTGGTGTAACGGGCTTACTTACCTTGATTCCTTGCATATTCAAGCTATGTTCAGTCATCTAGTCGTGACTAATACATCGCGATTGAGTCCTGATTTCTCCTGTCGATAGCGATCATGAGAGTTATTAACTACACCCATTATCTTGATTCCTGCCTGTCACGATCCTAAGGCTACAGATAGAGAGGCTCGCTATATGTAGCCCTAGCCTAACCGCGAAGGTTTAAACTTTCGTGCAACAATGAATGCCACAGTAGGTACTCCATGGTTGTGGTTCTCATCCCACCGCTGATTTCGCAGAGTCTTCTTCGACGTTCTGAACCCGACTCAGCAAGTTTACTCTGACCCTCAATAGAAAGCCTACTCGACGCCGGGGTTTAAGCTGGTGAGAGTGAGAGCTAATAAGGATGTCGCTGAAGAATGGACCCCTTTTCAAGATGAACTCTAATCATGGTCAACTCGGCCCAGCGATGTAGTAGAGGCACATTAACTGCACCAGATGATTAATCTTTCATACTATCTTTATCTCGTGATTACATGTTGCTTCTAGCGCTCGCTGCATGTAATTTCAGGGAACTGGCTGTGACAATAGTAAAGCTTTTCCGTTGTAGTTCTAGCGAAGTAAATGTCTTGCTGATGGCTCAAAACTCACTATTACTACTAGATTCTAATAGCATTTTAATCAACAAGTGACAAGATTATGTAGTATAAGAGCAACGGCGAATTTGCATTTATAGGATCGTTCTACCTGCCTATCATCTATTACTATCACCACTTTATATCACTAGAATTAGTATGGGCTTCACATCACTGTTTTCGCACCTTTTGATTTAGTTAGGTACTTAATTAGTACTTAAAATCTGCCTGGGGTACTTATTTCGACAAGGGGTAAATCTTTATACACGGGATGTAGTATATCAGCTTAATGAGAAAATATTCTTATATGAGAGTATCTATAAAACAAACCTCGAGCCTAGCTGGAAATTAGATCCCTCCAGTACTCCAAACGCCGATACATGAGCAAAATATCAACACTGTTTGCCGATAATACATAATAAATCCATATACCTCATCTTCGCGTTTCTGCACCCCCAATAGTGGCTTCGTGTGAAGCTAAGAAGTAATTGAAGCCTTGTTGCTTTGCGTGTCCGAGCCATCTGACAATGGGCACCTGCTTCAGCTTGCGAGATTCCTGCTCCTTTAGGAGTTTCACGAGTTCGGGCATAGTGGTAGTAATCTCACTCTCATAGTGAAAGAACTTTGTGCATTCCGCCCGTTGCTCCTCAAGCATCGAGGTGCTCAGCCACTGAGCGACTTGTGCGGCGGGTATCATATCGAGCCGGCCACCCCAACCGCTTGTATCAGGCATCAGCCCTGTCGCATCGACGCACCTAGCAAATTCATCAAGCGCCTGTTTCGGCGAAGGCTTCTGTTGCGACGCGGGAAGGAAGCGATGGATGAAGGATGGGACGCCGAGGGTTTCTTGAGATCGCTCAAGGATACGCTCGCTGGCCCAGCGCGTCGCGACGTAGCCGTCGGTTCCATCGGCAGGCGGGGTTTGACTGGCTGCCGAGGCAGCAACCGCTGGCTTGTCGTGAGGTAGGACGCCAACTGTGGAAATATAGTGAATAGATGCGTGTCGGGGCGCCGCCAGTTTGACCACCTCTTTCGTGGGGAGAACACTACTAGACCGGAGCACATTGTAGTTGTCCCAGAAGGACCGAGCGCCGCCCATGTGAATAATTACATCAGCTTGACTTGCTAGCGCACGGAATTCATCTTCCGAAAGGCCGAGAAGAGGGGAGGAGAGATCGCCTTGATGGTACTTGACTTTGCTGAATGGATGCAGCATTCGACCTGGCTTTTCTCTTACCGCTACACAATGGATCATATCGACGTCCGACCTAGCAACCAGTTGTGGAAGGAGATATCTGGAAAGGTAGCCTGTTCCCCCAGTGACTAAAACGGTCTTGCTTTTTCGCTCACCAGCTTCGACGGGTGGAACAGTCCGAAGGAAACTGGGGATTGTAGGCGGCGCTGTCTCCTGTTCCCAGTCAATCGGCTCCGTAGTCGAGCTCTCCTCGATCTTGCGTGCCATTTGTGCTAGCGTGTTGGCGCTTAGGAGCTCAACTAGGGGCATAGCGATACGGAAAGTCTTGCGAATACGTTGCTGCAGGCGGATGATCAACAGGGAGTTGCCACCGATAAGGAAGAAGTTAGTTGACGGGCTAATTTCAAAACCAAGCGCCTCAATGCTCTTTCCAAGAACTTCTTGCCATAGCCCCTTCAGCTGCATCATTGTCTCAGTAAGCTCTGAGTCTTGGGATGTATCTTTCATTCGCTTGGGTAGAGCCATCTTCTGTATGGCTTTGCGATCAACCTTCGAGTGATTTGTGAGAGGCAGCTTGTCGAGCGGGATTGCTACAACAGGCACCATGTACTGGGGAACTGGTAGGTCTCTTAGAAGACGCTCCAGGAAGGCCTCTTTGGTATCAATCTCCTGGTTGGGTGCAAACACGACGTGCGCCACCAGGAACTCGGGATCACCTTCGCGGAGCGTGACGACAGCTTCATTCAGTGCGCCTCCAGCCGCAGCGACGATGTTGCTTTCTATATCGCTTAGCTCAATACGGAGGCCTCGGATCTTGACTTGACTGTCACCAGCCAGGCGGTTGTGGAATACCATTTCGCCCTTCTCATTCAGGTGGCAGACATCACCCGTCTTATATAGACCGGTCCAGCCATTGGCGATGTCATCTGGTGTTGCGAAAGGATTCGTCAGGAAACACTTTTCAGTTAGGTCCTTATTTTTAAAGTAGCCTCGGGATACACTAGCACCGCCTATGCACAGCTCTCCGGGCATACCCACTGGCATCGGGTTCATCTTCCCATCCACGATGTATTTGTGGTAATTAGGCAGGGGATAACCGCAGGGGATACGACCCCAGGCTTCGAGGGCTTCTCTGTCACGGTAGGGTATCTCCATTTTCGTCGACGAAATAGAGATTTCAGTTGGGCCATACGAGTTGAAGACTCGTAGCCGCTGTAACCCAAGGTCGGCGAATTCTTGAGTGACAGTTGTCGTTAGGTTTTCGCCGCCGCCAAAAGCAAATCGCCATTGGGTTGCCTGTCGAAGATTATCACCACCGTACTGCATCCAGAGCAGGTACTCTGATGGTGTTGCCTTGGTATATGTGATGGAGTACCGTTGGAGGATCTCGGTAATCTCGAGTGGGTTTCCGCGTTTACTCCATGGAACCACATAGACCATGCCACCGTTGACGAGACCTGTGTACATTTGGTCGGACGAATGGTTGAATGTGAAAGCGCTTTGCTGTAGTACACGTTCTGCACCCAGCTTCCACATTTTCGTATAGCCTTCAATTTCGTTTCGGAGTCCTGAGTGTGTGACCATAATCCCCTTCGGAGTACCGGTCGAACCACTCGTATAAAGAATAGCGGCAATCGTATCAGCCTTGGCCAGGTTCTCAACAGGCCCCGAGGCGCTCTCCCCAAGCGTAGATACATCTATTAGGGCGGAGTTGGCCACGCCGAGCTGCGGTGCGTCAGTAATTGTAGTAGCATCTGCCAGGATAGCCAGTGGTTCACAGTCCTTTGCTACCGCCGCTAGGCGCGGCATTGGGTTTCGGAGATCTAATGGCACGTATGTTGCACCGACGCGCATAATGGCTAGCATAGAGCATGGCCAGTCAGCCGCTGCCTGCTGGAATACGAGTATCCGGGAGCCTGCGCCAGCTCCGACGTTCTGTAGCGCCTCTGCGATTGCCTCGATGCGGTTAACTAAATCAGTGTACGTGAGCTCCTTGCCAAATCCGTCCATGACGGCAACTTTGTCTGGATTCTCTAGCGCAACCTGGTCTATGCGATGTGGGAGCGTTTCGGGCCAGTCAGAGACCATTTTCCGGCCACGTCCGATTTGGACGGCCTGCGACAGCTCTTTGTCACTGAATTTCGGGATATCTTCAAGGGAAAGTGACGGATCACGAGTCAAGACATCGAGGAAGTGCGTGAATACCACAGTTAGAAGTTTTGCCGCCGTCAGATCATAGAGGCTCTTCTGCGCTCGAAACATGATGACCGAATCTGTAGGGAGATCTGTCACATCAATAGTAAGGTCATACGCTGTCTTCCCCGTGTGCACCTCCTTCATTTCGAACTGGGTGTTGCCAAAGGTCTGCTTCTCTTGAGCACCTTGTCTGTAATCAACAAATGCTTGGAAGAACGGGCTATAAGACGAATTCCGCGTAACATTCAACTCGGATAGGAGCACATCGAATGGCAAGCGTGATGTTTCAAGAGCCGCATAGGACGTTTGGCGCGCCTCGACAATAGCATCGGAAAACTTTTGATTATCTCGGCGGCGGAATCGCAATGGTAGTAGGTTTAGGAAGAACCCAATGCTACCCATCAGGTTACCATCGTTTCGAGCAGCGTCCGCAATGCCAATTGTCAAATCCTCTGCTTCGGTAAATCTAAACAACATGGTCTTGAAGGCGGCAAGATAGAAGTGGAATGGTGTGGATCGGTTCGCTTTTGATACCGATCTCACTCGCATAGCAAGTTCTTCCCCAAGCCTGAACTCGACCTGATGGGTGTCGAACTTCTTCATAGGAACCCTAGAGCTAGTTCGGGCCATTGGCAGCAGCGGGAGGACTGGGGGCTGCTCGCCGTAGGGGTAAACGCTGCGCCAATATTTAAGTTCTTTATTCATCTCTCCTTTTTCATAGGCTTGCCTCTGAGCCACCGAGAACTCTGGGTACTGGCGGGGCGTCGGTCCAAGTGATTGGCCGCTATAGGCCTTTTCTAAATCCGAAATAAAAACTTGGAGACTAACGCCGTCCAGAATGATATGATGGTGGTACATTAATAAATAATGAGACGAAGGCGACAACGTCAAGAGGACTAGGCGTAGTAACTCGCCACTGCCCATATCCAACTCTTCAGCCCTCAATTTCCCGTACTCTGTGGTGACATCATCCACGGAGTTGATCTTTTTGCACTGGAGTCGGATAGGAGACGTGGCGAGGACCTTTTGGCTAGCCTGTGAGATGTCGTTTTCATCTGCAACAAAAATCGTTCGGAGAGATTCATGTCCGGCAGCAACAAGCCTAACAGCCCTCTCTAAGTCACTGATGTGTAGATTTCCGGTGACGTGATAGTAGTAGGCTACGTTGTGCGTCCTCTGGTTTTCAAGTAGCTGCTGAAGAAACCAAAAACGAGACTGGCCTAGTGATATGGGCACGGTCTTCACAATTCGTTGTGGGGCGCGCTTCGGTGCTGGATTTGGGGTTGGCATAGGTACGGGTGAAGGAGAAGTAGAGGAAGCGCTGACCTTGGAATCGGAAACGGGCCCGCCGACTGCGTCAGATATATCGGAGGCAGCGGATGACACAGGGCCTGACGACCCTTCGGCGGGGGTGAAGACTTCACTTGCTGGGGTAGCCTGAGTATCCTCAGATTCTGAACCTGCCTCAGAAATAGTTTCCTTGGCTGGTGTCTTGGCCTTTGAGGCGGGTTTCTTGACTGTCTGTGTCGGCTTTGCGGGCTCAGCGGCCTGCGTGCCAATACTGGCAAGGAGCTCTTCTGGAAGTTTATCGAACGCGCTCTGACATAGTTCGGCTGGGGAGGCCCCGCCGACAACCTTGAGAACCGGAATATCAACTTTTAGTTCCTTTAGGAACCACGAACGGACTTCGACAGCAACTAGCGAATCGATACCGAGGTCGACGAGAGGAGCGTCTTTATCGATTGCCTGATCACCTAGTTGGATGATGATCCGCAGTTTCGTAGAGAAGCAATCTGCGAAATTTCCTACTTAGTACCATGCATATTTCTGTTATATTCTGACTAAGAAACTCACCTAGTAGGACCTCGAGTGCTTCTTCCTTTGTGGCCGCACTTGCAAGTTGCTGGGCGACAGGGAGTGTAGTTTTGTTATTCCGATCTCCAGTATCTGCACCAACGGCTTTCTTTTCGATCACGCAATGTGAGAAAAGAGGGTTGGTAAACCATGGACCCTTGACGTCCTCATCCTCGCGGAAGGATCTAATACCCATGGTTACGACAGCATCAGGAAGCTCTTTGTCGTCATCAGGGCTTGGGCACCCAGCTTGGATGGTTTCTGCAAACGCCAGGCGCAGATCCGTCTCGCTGATGGCTTGAATACCGAGGCCAATGAGCTGATCTCGAACAATTTGACCTACTGTTTCAATGTATCCAATACCGACGACACGGCCGATATCAAACGTTGACGCTGCTAGACCCCGCTTACGCCTCTGTCGGACCATCCCGTTGAGGTAGCCATTTCCTGCTGCATAGAAGGACTGACCTGCGTTACCCACAACACTTGATACAGACGAAAACATGACGAAGAAATCCAGATCGTCATCGCGGAAAGCGTCCTCTAAATTGTTGGCGCCGTCAACCTTAGGAGACAGGATCTCCTGCATCTTACTTGCCGACATTCTTGCAAATATCGAGTCGTGAAGGACCATGGCTCCGTGAGCAACACCCGCAACTGGTGGACAGGTTTCCCTGATGATTTGCACGCACTTCTCTACACTTTTTTGGCTGGTAACATCCATTGGGAGCACTTTCACTGTTGCATTTGTTCCCTCGAAAGATGCCAACCATTTTTCATCAACAGCAGGGCGGCGACTGGTAAGGACAACACAACCTGCTCCATTCTGCACCATGAACTCACAAAGTGATTGTCCAAGCCGCGAGCTCACACCAGCAAGAAGATATGTCCTGTCCTTCGAGAACATGCTCCTACTGTCTAGCGGTCGAATAAGAGCCTTGACTGTTCCATCAGAGGGCCAGTGAATGGCAGTTGTTGTGCTAAACGTAGTAGATTTCACGACTTCTTCAAGCTGAATAACCAAATCTTCAACTGATCCATTGGTATACGATGCTGCATCTAAGACAGCTTCTGCCAGCCGAGTCTTTAATGACTCTGTCTTGTAAGATCGGCTCAATGATGACTGGCTTCGTAGTAAGTCTGACGGTTCAACCTTTCTGCAATGCGTAGGCAACGAATGCGCGATCCGGATGCTTAAAGGGCTAGATTCGGCAGCCAAGAATGAGGTTAGGTCAAAGAAATGCGTAGGAGCTATATCTTGAAGGGCTTTCCGAATGACATGTTGAGGAGCACGTGCGCTCAGCTTAGTCCATGCTAGATCATGTGCATCACTAGAAGCATCGGCATTGTAAGCGAAGGTGATGCGAATATCTTTAGAGGCAGCGTGTCGCGACAGAGCGGCAGCGAGGTACCGGTCCTTGCCAGAACCGAGGGCGACTATGCTGCTTCCTGGGGAAACCTTTTCTATCAAGCTTCTCGCCAGCAATTCACTAGCCACAGATACTAGCAGACCGTCGTCTGTTTGTCCTTCCTCTTGAGCGACAGGAGTATTTACGCTCGCGATTACAGCACGTTCTTTGGTGTTGGTTGTTGATAGAAGGACGGTTGAGCCATCTGCGCTAACGCCGATATATAAGTACACATCATCAACAATGTTGAGTGCCATCAAGCTGGAGCTCGAGACCTTGATGAGGCTATCATGTTGGGCTTGACGTTTCACAACTGGCCCAACGTCTACCAAAGAAGCAGGCGAGTTGGCGGATGGAGGGGAAATGGAAATATTTGTCTTGGCGACTGGCACCTGCTTGCTGACGACGCGTCGAGCAGAATTCAGCCTGGCATTCTGACCATCATTCTTGATCAGCCTGGGAACTTTAAGTTTGCCGTTGTCAATAAATGCCTCTCGTTCTGTTGACCACATGAGCTCCGCTGGGCTGGCCTCCCATTCATCCAAAGCGTAGATCTGAAGGAGATGCTCTGCGATCATTTTAGGTACATTCTCATTATCTAAATCCGAAATATCGAGGTTGTTCAGACTTAGATGAGCCGACTCAGCACGTAACACACGACTGAATGCAACACTTGCCATGTGGTATGGTTGGTCAACTAAGGCACCTTGGGTAACCCACAGAATGTGCTTAGCCTGATCGGCAAGTCGCTTCAGGCCCTCCATATTTTCTTCTGTGATGCTCTTGAAGATCGGGGAGTCGAGGTCAATTAGATTGATAAAGGTGCTCATGGGAGCCAACTCAAGCGCCTGCTCTTCAGTAGGGAAGGTCTCAAGGATAGTAACCTCACCGCAGAAGCGTTGAAGTTGGTCTGAAAGCTCTTCGGCAATACGAGAAGTCTCAAGTTTTCCATTTCCGAGGATCACAAGACTGTCAATGTAAACCGAAGTCGACGCCTTCGATGAAGCGAGGGGCCGTCGTAAGAAGTGCACTCGATCGTCGACAGCTTGTGAAGCTATAATGGATGCTGGCCAAGCCACTGGATTAATGTCGGGAGTGATAGCATCGATTCCTGCAAAACCTGCTTTGCGGAGCTCGGCGTTCCACACCTTCGGGGAGACAATTGGAACCAGTTTGCGATTATCATCTACTCCAAACCACCAACCAGGCAGACTACCGAAGATGAAGCAAGTTCGAAGGGGGTTTGGGTTGGTTATCTCTAGGAGCAAGAGGTAACCACCGGGCTTCAGTAACTGTCTTGTATTGGTCAAGGTGGTATTGAGCGATGGAGTAGCATGGAGAACATTGGATGCGATGATAATGTCGTACGACTGTGCTTCATATCCTTGAGTCATCGGCGACTTCTCCACATCTAGAGTCTTGAATGTCATCTTGTCGATGTACTCTTTAAATGCCTCTTCGGCGTTACCAAAGAAACCGGAGGAGATATCAGTGTACGTATAGTGGGACATTCTGTGCCCTACGGCATCAATGACGGATTTCGTCGCGCCACCTGTACCAGCACCGATCTCAAGAATCTTCGCGTGAGGGTAACGATGTGTGATCTGCTTCACCATACCTGCCAAGAAGCCGTTATATTCTTGAGCACCAAGACAGTACTTGTAATAATCATCTAGTAGATTATCTCGCATGAGATGTTCCAAGATCGTCGTTTCACCCCGAACGGCAGCAGGGATATTCTCGCCAACGGCCGTAATCATTTTGATATCCGTGTCACCAGCGAGCGGGCTAATGAGCACATTAATGACATCAGCTGTGTCTTTAGACCATTCTCTCTTTATAGTTGGGTGTTTCCCACTAGAAGCCGTTGAGAGAACATGATTTACCCAGTTGCGAAGATGTAAGAAGTGAGGCTGACTATCGTGCCAATCTTTATCCGTGAGCTCAGCGTCCCATTTGCGGACATAATAGTAACACAACCTCTCTCCAATATTGGCAACCTCGATTTCATGCTCAGAGGGGTGTAGGTCTTTCAGAACGGCAACTCCATCAGGTGCCGCGACGTCGATTTTAGTGTGGGTGTACATTACACGATCATTCTCTTCTGTCGCGGGAGCAAATGGTTTAATCACGAGATCCTCAACCTGAATCATGCCGTGTTGGCCATCCTCACTAAATAGGTCAATACATCCAGAAAAGGATTCCGAAGCATTGTTCAGCACTGAAGACACTGGCACTGGAGACCCAGTTGTAGGTTGCATAGCGCATACCTCTGGGTTAATCCTGATGCTTCGGATCGCTGTTGGCACATGCAGTGACCAAAGGTGATCATCCCCAGGCGCGGAGTAGGCCAAGATAGAGGCCTGAAATGCAACATCAAGCGTGCTTGGGTGAACCAAGTATACATAGTCGTCGGGATTAGGGTAGGCATAGGAGTCTATCTGTCCAACAAGATAACCTAGCCTCCGCTTCGCCGCTGACAGCGTTCTGAACGGGCCGGTGTAACCGTAACCCAGTGTGGAAAGAGACGAGTAGAAGTAATCAATGTCGATAGGATACATGTTGTAATCTTCTACAGGCGCACAGGCCAGTGCGTTCACATTGGGGGCGCCGTAAGTGATCTTAACGGTACCTGAAGCCACTAGTTCTAGCTCTCCCTTTGATCCGGTATTAACGACTTGCAGGGCATAGCAGGAGAAGTCGGCAGTGGTGAACTTGCTCTGATTGTGTTGGATCGCCGTGAGTGTAACGAGAGTTTCAACGCCGGAGATGTCTCCATCTTGAAACGCTATCGCCCTAGGTAAAGTCAGGTCGTTGAGCTCGAAGAGTTCGACAGGCTTATCTCCCGCTAGGCTTCGTGAGGCTTCCAGGGCCATCGCAACATAGCCGGCAGCGGGGAAGACAATCTGGCCCTGCAATTGATGGCCGTTGAGCCAGGGGATTTCAGACACTTTTAGCACGTTAGACCAACGTAAGTCGTGGCCATTAGAATCTGTTGACGGGAGCCCCAACAACTCGTGACTGGGAACCTTCGTTGAGCGCATCTTCCGAGACTTGCGCGACTCGTTCCAATAAGATCTAGTATGATTCCACTGGTAGGATGGTAGGTTGACGACCAGTTTTGGCTGGCGAACTGTAGATGTCATAGCCTTCTCGTAAGACTGGAAATCAATTGCCTGCCCACCGAGCTGAGCCCATAGGAAGCCCAGCGCATCCGAAATGCCTGCACGTCATCTTGCCCACGGCTCAAGACACCCGTGTAAGGAAGAGGATTTGGTCGCACATCTACAATATTCTGCGCGGCCGGCCCCTTGAGTGCTGGGTGAGGTCCGACTTCGATGGCCATGTTGATTCCATCATTGGCAGTCATGGCGTTTTTGACAGCGTCAGCAAAAAGTACGGCATTGGTCATATTGTCCCTCCAATAGGTGCCTTGTAGCTCAGCGATAGCATCCATAGGCTTTTCGCTAGGTACTACACTGGAAAACCAAGTGGCAGCATTTTTGTCTCTGTTCTTATTAACTTGTACGCCACATACTCTCAGAGCCTCGACATAAGGATCACCACAAGGTAGCATGTGATGAGAGTGATATGCGGTATCTACTTTTAATAGTCTGGCGAACTTTTTCTCTTCATCGAAGATCCTCTTAGCGTGGGTAATAGCGTCAGCGTCTCCTGAGAGGGTGACGCTGGCAGACGAATTGTGGGCAGCAATGGCTAGTCGACCCTTGAAGACTCGTAAATTGCAGAGTTCTTCTGCATCCTCCCATGAGGTACCCACGGCCAACATAGCGCCTTTCTGGTCGCTGCTACTACCAGCTAGGTATGCGTATAACCCTCGGTAGTACGCGACACGGATGGCATCATGGGCTGAGAGAAAACCAGCAGCGTACGCGGCACCGATCTCGCCTGAAGAATGGCCGACAACAGCGGAAAAGCCAATGCCAGCAGCCTTCAGAAGGTCAACAAGAACAATCTGGATTGCAGTGCACAGTGGTTGCGAGAGAGCAGCCTCGCCGATGCGCGACGTGTTAGCGTCTGCAAGCATCTCATCTCTTATTCTCCATTTAGGACGATCACCAGATGGTAAGGTAGCAAGGGATTCCTCAAGATATTCTATTCGCTTGCGAGCGAAGTCAGACGAAAGGATCAACTGAGCTCCCATTGCTGGCCACTGTGCCCCTTGGCCAGTGAAGACACCAACAATACATGGGGATGTGTATTGGCTGGCAGGGTTAGTTTTGATACCAATGGTTGAACCAGGCTTTTCTTTCACCAAGGACAGCTTGGCGTCAATTTTTGAGACCAGCTCGTCAATAGTTTGCGCAGAAAACGATGCCTTGAACTGGAAATGAGTTCTGCGCTTTTGTAACGTCCAAGCCAAATCAGATGGGTTAATGTCAGGGTGTGCTTTGAGATGATTTGAATATGCTTGTAGAGTTCCGACCAAACCAGCTTCAGTTGCAGAGGAGAAGACGAATGGAGTAAACAGTTTGCTCTTGACAAAAGCTACAGTTTCTCCATCAGCTCCCATATACTGCTCGAGAATAGCATGTGCATTGCTGCCACCAAATCCTGTAATAGGGGAAGTTAGAGTTCGTTCCATATTAACACAGTATACTTCTTTAACGAAGTGTTATTAGAATTTGATCTCACTTACCGAAGCTGTTAACACTCGCACGTCGAGGGACGCCTTCGGGTAGCTTCGGCCACGGAACAGGCTGTGTCGCAATCTGCAAGCCGTGATAGAAGGGCTCAATGTCTGGATTCAGACGGTTAAACAGCAAGTTCGGTGCAATCAATCCGTTCTGAATACTGGCAGAGCTCTTGAGGAGACCAGCGAGACCCGCGGAGCCCTCCAGGTGGCCGATGACCGTTTTCACGGATCCCACGTATAGGGGCGTGTCAGCCTTAGTGCAATGACGACCGAAGGATTGGTAAATTGCAGCGGCCTCTCGAGGGTCTCCTGCTTTGGTACCAGTTCCATGCGCTTCGAAGAATTGGGGGCGGTCTAGAGGATTGTTGTCCGGGTCAAGCCCAGCTTTCGCATATGTTTGACGGATAAGCGCTGCTTGCGCCTCTGTACTTGGCATGGTGATGCCTCCAGTACGGCCATCTTGGTTTGTGCCGGTCTCACGAATAATAGATTCAATGTGGTCTCCGTCCGCAATAGCGTCGCATAGCTTCTTCAAGACAACTGCAGCCACACCCTCGCCACGGGCATAGCCGTCAGCATCAGCGTCCCACATGCGAGAGCGGCCAGTAGGCGAAAGCATGCTCAACTTGCTCTCAACAATAAAAGTCTCGGGGTTAAGTATCGCCTGAGTTCCACAGGCTACGGCCACACGAGATTCGCCGGTGCGTAGCGCTGTAACACCTTGGTGCACAGCAATCAGACTCGACGAACAGGCAGTGTCGATGGTCATACTTGGCCCGTGCCAGTCAAACACATAGCTCACTCTATTTGAAATAATCGCTCGGTTTGTTCCACTGCCATATCAAAGGGTGTTAGTCCAGGTCCTAATTACATACTTAATAGATTCACATAGATAAGGGTGATCACGTTTCTGGATTAGAATGTCACATACTGTGGCAATAGTTAGCTCTAGAAGACAATGGATATTTCCTACCAAGTCTGGGTCTCGGATTCGGCACAGCAGGTTTCGATACATACCGTAGCAAAATATTTGGGAATCGTGTCAAGGTCACGGATGCCTGTGTCCGCGTAGTCGACACTCATGGTACCCGTATACACAGCGGTGTCAGACCCACGTAGAGAGTCTAGTGTATGGCCACCTCTCTCAAGGGCTTCATACACAGTTTCCAGTAGCAGCCGTTGCTGAGGGTCGATTGAATCAGCCTCATTAGGACTAATATTGAAAAAAGCGGCATCAAACAGCTTAATGTCTTCATCAAGAAAATACGATTGCCGGACATTGGCGGTGCCGTGGTGACTTCCATCTGGGTGATAGAACCTAGCTGTATCGAATCGATCTTTGGGAACCTCTTGGCAAAGATCTCGTGGAGATTCAAGAAGTTTCCACAGCGCTGAGGGTGAGTTCGCTCCACCAGGGAAACGACACGCGCTGCCGACTATGGCAATGGGCTCTTGCTGTTGTGGCGCCATTGCAGCGATTGAATTTGAAGGGTAGATAGATAAAAGGTGATTGAGTATTAGAAGCTATTTCACGAGACCTAGACAGCAGCAACAAAGTGATCTTTCCATAGCTGTTCAAATGAAATGGTTGATGCAGAGCCCACGTTGTTGAAGTGCATGAACCACACGCGCAATCATGGCGTCTTCGATCATGCATGCGTTGTAACCTATATACTAGCATGTTGTAGCATTAATTGCTTCCGACAGACCCTCAAAATCAATATCACCGTGGCTGTTTCTATTGATAGTTACTGAGTCATTCCATCTTTATCGTGATCGGCCGACACCTGAAGCGGCAAGGCATTTCTAGAACGCCGTGCACGGCGATTTCTTTGACAAGGGGAACGATAAGCTGAGCCCTTGAGTGACCTCATCCTTATCCTACATCAGATGTTGAATTGAGATAGACATGCTGGAACCGGTCAGCGGTGAACGGTGGTAAATGACGCCGTAGGATGGAGACGGCCGATCTGCCGGGCTACCCTGGTATCTACCCCAGATTTTATTCCCCATTTGGTCTGTTGATCTATGACTTTCCCTATTCCGACAGTTTCCCAAGAACCGGCCGTCCGGTACGGAGTCCGAGAGGGGTCACTGTCCAAAAACCTCAGATTCATTGTTAGGGTCACAGCACTAAACTACTATAAGCCATGTATACAGTAAACTTATAAAATTATTTATACAGTAAGGGATGATTGGTAGGGTATTATAAACTTCGTCCACCTATATTGCAGTCTATCCTGGCAGTCAGAATTGCAGTCTGTACTGTAGGTCTGTATTGTAGGTCTGCAATACAGACTGCAAATGCAGACCTATATAGCCAGAAGCCATAACTTAAACAGTTGTAAAGCATAATACAACCTTTAAAATAAGTACCTAGGTAATCATTTATACACTTAATACTACACTTTATATTCCTTACTGTATACGCTAAGACGAATTCAGCGAATTACCAAATTTTAAGGTGTACGGAGGTCGAGGTTGTATATGTCCATCACCCTTAGTATTAGCCTACCGTCCCAAGCCTGATGTAAATTTGCGACCCGAACCTACGTACACTTATTAAATTTTTTGATTTTTGGACAGTGAGCCCTCTCGGACCCCTTAGTACGAGTCCGGATCTTTACATGCAGGTCAGCAATCCCACGAGGGAGGGTGGGTTGCATCGGTTACATGGGACAGGGTTGCGAGATCTCCACTCAAAGATTCGGCGACATTATAAGTCAGATACTCTCAGATGCCACACGGCCGATTCAAGGTACTCATTCGATTAGCTGATGCGCCATAGTCAGTGTGATATCGCTTACTGGCGTTCGGATTACTCCGCATCGATCGCATCGAAGGGATTCAATGATCCAATCCCGAAGATACTAAATCGGCCTGGATTCCAAACCTGAAACTGTCCCTGAGACGCGCAGAGAGTATAATCATTTATGCAGCGTTATGCCCCTATCTCTTTTATCATTCTGAGTCTAGACTTACATATATCTTCCTTTGTCTTAAACATAGACTAGGCTTCCATACATTTTGACCGTCACAATGCCATCTGTTGACCCCCTGACAACATTGCCTAAGACACGAACGGCTGTCGTGGCAGAGAGTGCTGGAAAACTAGTCATTAAGCATGACTTACCTATCCCACCATTGGCCGCCGACACGGTTTTGGTGAAAGTAGCAGCTGTTGCCATCAACCCGTCTGATGCCAAGTTTCTTGACTACAGTCCTGCTCCAGGCGCTGTCCATGGCACCGATTACGCCGGAACGATAGTAGCGTTAGGGTCGGATCCTAGCGTCTTACATGGACTGATGGTCGGCGACCGTGTTGCTGGCATGGTGCACGGAATGAACAAGTTGATTCCAGAAATAGGTGCTTTCGGAGAGTATATCGTCGCAACTGCTCACACTCTGTTAAAAATTCCAGACAGCATGCGCTTCGAAGATGCAGCTACTCTGGGTCTGGCGACAGGAACGGCTGCCTTTGGCCTCTTTAGCATGCTGCGCGTACCTGCGACCCTCGAGCAGCTAGCGAATGGGGGCGTCAATGCCAAAGGCAGTGACTTTGTGCTCGTCGCGGGTGGAAGTACAGCTACGGGTGCCCGCGCGATTCAATTGTTGAAGGCGTCAGTATTTACTAACTACACCATTTCTCTTGCTCCGTAATATACTGACTATGATATCTCAGCGCTGGACTACGACCGATCGCAACTGCGTCGCCCTCCAAATTTGGCCTTGTTCGCGGATTTGGAGCCGAGAAGGTTTTTGATTACCACAGCGAGACGTGTGGCGCGGGTATCCGTGAGTACACGGGAAATGAGCTCGCATACGCCTTTGATTGCGTTGCTGAAGCAGAGACCACCGAACTCTGCTACCAATCCTTAGGCAGAGCAGGAGGTCGGTATGTCACTGTGGAGCCCTTCCGCGAATCCGTGGTCAAGACACGGGAGTTCACCGTCGAACCGTCATGGCTGATGGCCACTTCAATCTTTGGCAACAAGATCGCACTTGAAGGAGCTTTTGCGAGGGATGCGGTTCCCGAGTACAAGGTCTTTGGGGGTAAGGCATTTGCCGCTGCCCAGTCCCTTTTGGACCATGGCTTGATTGAGCCACACCCAACGAAATCAATGCCCGGGGGTTGGGAAGGTGTATTAGACGGGGTCAACATTATTCGCGGCCAGCCGCCATCTGGTTACAAGCTTGTTTATTCCGTGTAACTGGCTTCCTCTGGTCAAACTGGTATCAAATTGATGTTGTCAGATTATAACTTTGAATGCATGTGCATATACCACTTCAAGAGTTTCACTATAATGAAATTTACCACCTTCAGCTCCAAAACCTAAGTCTTGAGACTATTGTGTTCCTCATAGTCAGTAACAGGTAACACGTTATCTCAGCGCTTTGTCTCAGCAAGGAATAATTGTTTCAATTTACCAATATTCTAGCTGACAGAAGGGACGGGGTTGATAATATCCGTGCCGTTAAAAACTACTATCTTAAAGCGTCAGTCTATATAGGTCAAAGTTCTATATGTATTAAGACGTGTATATGAATATGATAGGTGTAACGATTCATGAGCCAGGTCAGACTCTTAGCCTGAATAATACTATAAGTCACAGAAGAGTCTTATAAAGTGGTTTACTGTGTATTACTTTACTGTGGTAAATTGAGGGTGGTGTCATACAGCTAGAAACCACTTGGCTCAGGGACAAGAAGACCTTCACTCTTAGGAGGACCCTAGCCATCTACACCTAGTCGTGCAGTTAGTCCTACCACCCGAAGTAAGAAAACATTAATACTCATAACCCGTGGGCCTAATAAAGCAACGTTTGATTATGCCTGAAGAAACATGACGCCAATATTTTCCCTCAAACTGTGAGGATATATGATCCTAAGATTGTTTCAAATTCAATGATTTTGTTATTCTCTTGAAATAGTTCGGATAAAGGTTAGCATAACCCGCGAGTTGCCACCATTCTGGTTCGGGCTCCTAGGTTTTTGGCACGGGTTGATTCGCTGAAACTCTACGGTAGTTAGGACATACATTGACTAAGCAAATTGTTTACACATTAGCAGAGGAATTGCAAATCGAACTACATCGGGATGGTTTGATTCAATAACGATCAGTCTCGCTGATTAACCCCATGAAAACCGCCGAAGTGATGTGCTTAACTAGGTTGGATAACGCGACATCGTAATGCCAGGCGGGATCGTACCGTCAAAACGCCCTTAACAAGTTGAATAAGCACCTGAGGTAACTATTTATAGCGCGAATCATGTCATTGGTCTACTACGTCCGAGTGGACACTGAAGGTTGACGGTCGGCCGACCGTAAGTTGCCGCACTCGGGCAGATGCCCCATGCAGATCCACCTCCATGACTTGAATAATACCAAGATATTTAGCATTTTATCAACCGGGAGGAACGTCCAAAGGTTCGCACTTCGTTCTATACTATCAATGAACAAGATTCAACAGTATCTTTACACAATGAAGTTTTTCTCGCACTTGAACGACCTGACCTCCCTGCCATGGTACACTATCCCTTGTCTTTTGACCGGGATTCTGGTAGCGCAGGCTATTGTGAGCTCTGTGGTAGAAGCCAACAAGCGTCGACAGCTCAAGTGTGGAAAAATCCCTTCTAGGCCACAATGGGATCCAGTGTTCGGACTTGATCTGGCTTGGAGTCAGTGGAGGGCCCTAAAGGAACAAACATTCCTCCCTTGGCTGAAAAGCATGCACGAGGGACAGCCAGATACGTTCAAGGTGAAATTCCTGGGGAAGCGTCAAATCTTCACGCAGGATCCGGAAAATTTAAAGCACATGGTTGCCGTCGTTAACAAGAATTTTGGCATCAGCCCCCTCCGGCGATATAAAAACATCGGGTATCCATTCGCCGACAAAGGCGTCAATACGACTGATGGAGAAGACTGGGCCTTTAGCCGCTTCCTTATCAAACCCTTCTTTTATCGCGAGGTCTACACAGATGTCGAGCGTGTTCGCCGATATACCGATGAGATGTTCACTCTCTTGCCTCCTGACGGCGAAACGTTTAATATGCAGCCTCTGTTGCAGCGATGGGTATGTTACACTTTTCCTCAGTTAATTTTCGCTAGATTACTGAAACAATGGATTGACTTGTCAAATAGTTCTTGGATGCTGCCACTCACTTCATCTTTGGACAGCCTATGGGCGCTTTACCACACCCTGAGCGCGCTCAGGTCACGTGGGCTATGCTTGACGTTCTTCGGGGTGCACGTTTGCGATTACAGCTATGGCGAATCCACTCTCTCATTAACTGGAACTGGTGGTTCCAGGCTGTTGAGAAAGTACATGAATTCGTAGACGACCACATTGAGAGAGCTTATGCTGATCTCGAAGCGCGAAAGAAGATAGTTGAGTCTGGAAAAGAACCCGGACCAGAGCGTGAAGACCTTCTATGGTATATGGTAAACAACTGTCCGGACAGAGAAGAGCTTCGGTCTCAGCTGTCACTCCTCATGGTCCCTAACAGCGACACTACTTCTATATACACCAGTAACGTCATCTGGAATTTGGCACGTAATCCACGCTGCTGGAAAGAGATCCGTAAAGAGGTCATCGAACATGGCAGTAAGCCTATCACATTCGAAGCTCTTCGACAGATGAAGTACGTTCAGGCTTGCCTGAACGAGACGCATCGTTTATATCCCAACAACATCACGCAGGTGCGCGTTTGCCTCAATGACACGCAACTTCCCCGTGGTGGCGGAAAGGACGGTACTCAGCCTATTTATGTTCGCAAGGGCGACATGGTGCAGGTCGCGAAGCCTGTACTTCAGCGCGATCCTCGACACTGGGGAAATGACGCGGATGTGTACCGACCTGAACGATTCTTGGAAAAGGCGTACTTCTGGGAATTCGTTCCCTTTAGCGGAGGGCCCCGTCGTTGTCCTGCGCAAATGATGGTCATGACTGAAGCGGCGTATATGGTTGTACGACTAGCCCAGATCTACGCCCGTATTGAAGCTCGTGATGATAACCCATACCACCCTGTCATGCGAATTGGTCCCTCTAACAAGACTGGTGTCCTGATTGCTCTCTACAAGGAAGCCTAAGTTTCCGCTATACATACAAATAGGCAACATGTGCCATAGCTATCTGAGTTGGATAATTACGTTCAATGTTCTTATCGTTAGGTCAGAGTATTTAACAGAGTAGCCCAATCAGATCTAGATCTAGCACAATCTACCATAGCAAGACTTTCTTCTTACAGATGTGCTGCGTTGTTGACGAGACCATGTGATTCCTTATCTCTACTAGAGATTCACCTCTTAGTCGTAAGTTGAACTCTAGCTAGAAAATACTCTCTGCTCGTAGGTCCATCGGTGTTTGGATAGCTGTATGTTCTATGTAGAACGTGGGTAGACAGCATGATAATCAACCAAGCAGAGGCTGTCAACATCACTTCAGATCCAAAGAGGTTACTGAAGTGGTTATGGAGGACGACTTATGTCGCAATCAAATTACAGCACACCTGTATGTACATGTGGTTACCTCAGCACCAGAGACTACAGTTGAAGACTACTGTGCCGGATTGTGTAAAGATACTATTTGCCGCTCAGTATGATGGAAATAGGCTAGATGCTACAGGTCTCTTGTGGAAAACGCAGATACTGAAGCATGTAGGTGATCATGTATAGTCTCTGAAAAGCTGCGCTAAACACAGAGAGGGCCCTTGACGGATCAGATCGTTGAGGTAGGTGTACGGCAAGGTGTGTTTGCTATCTTCAAACCTGCCACCTCGAATCATCACTCAGCATCACACCACTAAACATTCTATCACTCATCCTTCGATACGACCTTGCCACGGGCGTTATCTTTGCTCAGAAGTCCGTGTTGCTGAAGTGCATGAACACCTGCACTTGGCTGTAGGGCCTCTCATTCCAGTTCCATGGAGAAGGCACCACTGAGGTTCGGTTCCTAATCAGGCAATTGGGGGCGCCCCGTATTTAACAGTCGGCCGAGTCAGTCCCCACCCCGACCCGGACGACCACGGATCTGCTTGGGCTAGACTTCCAGCCCTGCAAAGATCTAGTTGGTTACATCCTGCCAGATCATTAGTAATGGGCCGAAATGTTAGCTATAGCAAGTGAGAGATACGATACGCACGCGACATCACTAAACAGACTAATTAGAGTCTAGTCCTTGCTTTCCCTAGTGGCAGGCACTGCCACATAATAGTGAATCCAATAGTTGTTCGCTTCCAGAGATGAGATCACAGACAAACATTCCAATTCTAAAGGTAGACTGTGATTTCGTTTTTCCGTGCAACAGTTCTTACGTAACTCTCTGTAGGCCTCTTGAGCTTCTAATACCAAGGGGGCGTGAATGAGGTGTGCTAAACTAGTAAGCAATAGATCTAATTATGGCAGCATTGCTAGATTCAAGACCATAGCATCTCTCCATCCTGTAACTTACTCTCTAACATTAATTTCTTCCATCTCCCTTTTTCAGTTTACCTTCTTGCTGATTTGACCCGCACACTGCACAGATCATTCGATATGGCCGCATCGACTTCCCAAGGACCGATGATCTCCGAGACCAATAGCACAGGCAAGACTCCTGCTCCACCGCCGTCCCCTTCCCATCCCCAAACACTGGCCGTGCCGGGACAGAACTTGGAGGCAGAAGAGAACTACAAGCCGAAGACATTCAAGTTCTGGTCTGTTATCATCAGCGCCTTCCTATGTTTGTTTCTCATATCTCTGGATCGAACAATCATCGGTACCGCGACACCCAGCATCACACAAGACTTCCAAGGGGTAGGAGACATCGGATGGTATGGATCTGCGTACCTGTTGACCACGGCGGCAACGCAATTTATCTTCAGCAAATTTTACAAATCTTATGACATCAAATGGTAAATACATAGTCGTGTTTTTTGATAATTGTGGGACTAATTTTGGATGCTAAATCAGGACTTTCCTTGTGTCTGTCTTCTTTTTCGAAGCCGGGTCTGCACTTTGCGGCGCGGCGCCGAACTCCGTACTCTTTATCCTCGGTCGTGCGATTGCCGGTGTCGGCGGAGCCGGGATATTCTCTGGGGTTACTATTATTTTATTCCATATGATTCCATTGAGGAAGCAGCCTATTTTCCAAGGCATCTTTGGAGCCGTATTTGGCATCTCCTCGGTTATCGGGCCAATCGTCGGAGGGGCATTTACCACTCATGTATCATGGAGGAAAGTCATCATCCAACTGTTGGAGCACGCAAACTGTGTCCTGGGTACTAATATCAGTGTATAGGTGGTGTTTCTACATTAATCTTCCAATTGGAGGTGTTGCTGTTGTTTGCCTGGTATTCTTTCTTCACCCCAAGAAGATCGAAAAGCAAACAGCGACTCTTTGGGAGCAGTTTCTTCGTCTGGACCCTCTCGGCTCCCTTTTCTTCATACCAAGTGTTGTCAGCTTGCTCATTGCACTGGAATGGGGTGGCTCGACTTGGCCATGGAATAGTTGGCGTATCATTGTTCTTCTAGTGGTGTTTGGAGTTCTATTCATAGCTTTCGTGGCAGTTCAGGTTCGATGGCCCGATAATGCTACTGTACCGTGGAGAATCATCTCCCAGCGCAGTATTCTTGCGGCCTCTATCTTTATGTTCTCGATATCAGGTGCCATGTTTATCGCCATATTTTATCTTCCTCTTTGGTGTAAGTTGAGTCAGCTAACAATTATACTCCCCTTTCGTGAGGCACAGCTAATGAGTAATAGTCCAAGTCATATTGGCCGCCAGTGCCATTGAGTCTGGTGTATACACACTGCCCTTAGTTCTCAGTCTCGTCGTTTCAGCCAATATTTCGGGCATTTTGATCAAAAAGACGGGGTACTATGTACCAGCAATGATCATATGCCCCAGCCTTATGGCGATCGGTCTTGGACTAATAACTACCTTCAAAGTAAACGAATCATCCTCAAAGTGGATAGGCTATCAATTCATTACAGGCTTTGGTCTGGGTTTTGGAATTCAAGCTTCCAATCTCGCTACCCGGGCTGTTCTTCCTATGCCTGATGTTCCTACGGGACTTGCGATCATATTTTTCTTCCAGCAGCTAGGTGGTGCCATCTTCACATCAGTCGGTCAAAGTTTGCTCAGTACATTCCTAGTCGAGAAACTAGCTGACATTCCTAATATTGACCCTGCAGAGTTAACTAATCAAGGCGCTGTTGAGGTTATCTCATCCTTACCACCACAGTACCAAGCCCAAGTTAAGGAGGTCTACAACTTTGCCATTAACAGAATTTTCAAGAGCGCTTATGGCGTCTCTATAGTTGCAGTAGTTGCAGCTCTCTGTATGGAGTGGAAGAATGTAAATACTGTGAAGCCTTCAGATACTACGGGTACTAGTCCAAGGCCAGTCTCTCCGGCTGAAACTATAGTTGAGGAGGGCAAATTGCCAGAGGTGCTTCCTGTAACGACTAAAGATTAAGGAGAGCTTGAGACTAAGGCGAAGATATGAAGAGATAAAAGGATACGAGGAATGGTTTGGGAGTCTTAAGGGCTCAAACGGTAGGAATGGGCAGGCAGCTGTAGTTGGTTGGCGCAGTATGGGGCCTTCGTGCTTTAGCACTTCAACACGTGAAGAGCTCGAAATCGCTAGAAGCTAAGCTTACCACGCTTCCAAAAGGGAGAATTTCTAGCAAAAGAAGAAGAAAAGACATGAATCTCCCAGCTGTGATTAAAAGCACGAGATAGTGCATTTAAGGTGGCAATAAGGGTCACTATTACGAAGAACTATCCTGGATATACTTACATGAACTATGATGTCACAGTACAGTACTATATAGTGAGTGCAGAGACGTCAAGCCTTCGACTTGATAACTCGTCGTTACCTTTTGGTGGCGTAGTAGCATAGTACTGCACTCCTTATGTCATTCCGTGACATATGATTTTAATAATAAGTCATGTCGAAAACAATATGCTGCACACTGCCTTAATGCGTGCCAGTATTGGGTTGCATCTATGATCTACCTCAAAGGGTGTGTCGAGTTGGTGACCTTGACTACGTAGAATACGTACACGAATCAAATTCAAAGAATATCAATACGAGAAAAAAGGCTTTGTCAGTGTAATCAAAGTCCCCTCCGCATAGTCGTAACCTAACTTCAGTATGCTGATTCAGCCTCTCAATATTATAATGTGACATATAAGTCAAGTACTACAGCGAAAGGGGTTTTCGCTGGCATTTTTTTCTTGTATAAGTTAGTCATATAAATGTGACGTTAATGCGCCAATCTGAATACTACTAAGTTGTAGTGTGAATCAAGCAACATTGCATCACCTATCCACCGGTTGAGAGTTATCACGAATAACCAGTGTATCATACATCTTCTTGATTGTTGCACAAATTCATAAGGTGTGGATTGAAGGTACTGACTCGTTCAAAACCAGGCTGGCATTGTAAACAGAAGTTACTTAATCAACGTGTGTTGAGAATTCTTTGATTTTTCAGCTAGCATCATGAGATAGGGCTTACACAATTATCAACGGAATTACGTGTGCTAATAATTATGTGGTGCGCGTATGCTAGTACTGTGACATTAGAATACTCCAAATGATTATGAATTACATGTTCAGGCTTTGCCTCTATGAAGGAATACCGATTTCTGAATGACTTGATCCACTATATTATCTATCGGGTTGCTACTAGGCACGATATTGCATATGAAATTTAAGATTCCTATGAAGTAACTAAAGCTTATTCTAACCTCAACCTCAAGAAGAAAAAGGGGGCTACTGCAGGTAACACTAACGACGCAGTAGAGAGATCAGGTAACAACGCCCCTAGCAAAGCATCTTATCCAAGTTCTTACTGGTATTTGAAAGATATAATTAAAATTTTATTCACAGAGCTAGCGTTACTGTTGTATTTTTACAATCTTCTCATACAATCTGAGATCTTAGAAGGTTAACTGATTTGAACCCCTACCCCGCAACCCCTTGGTGTACAATCCGCGGTGAACATCTCAGGCAATTGCAGTAACATTAGGCACGATTGTGAACTATTACAGCTTCGTAATAGAACTTCTCTTTCTCGTATGAGTAAAGCTCATGAGATTATACCACATTGGACTAGAAACCCTTTGGACCCTTGTCTGTAGAAAATATCATGATACGGCCTCGTCCAACCATTGCATTGCTTAATCGACAACCATTTGCTGCTAGGGCTAGCTCATACTCTTATGAAGATATATAATGCTATATGACATCATTGGGGGTATTGCATTGAAGGTGCTGACCAAGTCATACCATACGATAAGGTACCTTTACCTTGGACAAAATAAATGCTATGAGCTGTTCATATATACACATGATACATTATATCTTACCGCCTAAAGAGTATCTCGAACTAGCAATTACATAACTAACCAAACATTGTATTTACATATGGAGACGTGCGAGCTTGACCAACTGTCTAAGTGATTCACCACAACTAACCCTGCTCTTGGTTACATAACCCTCCAATATCGTTATGTTACCCCCCATATTACAAGCATAAGCCAAAGTGTCCATCGTACTCTCCCAAGCGGCGCCACTTGTGGGCATGCTGTATGTCCGCAAAAGCAACCGCGCTTCACATTATGCTATGCAATGCGACTTGCACACATAAGTGACTGAATGGGGAAAAACAAGGCTGTCCTCCACGTACTTGACATATCCAGCTTGGCGGTGTCACCGCCCTGGACAAGTCTTAGACCTGCTTTTATATTTGGCGATCTTTACTTTATAGACGCTGATACCTTATGGCTACTTCCAACTACTAAGAGATGTGATAGGCGATGATCTGTATCGTACATACAGTACGTTAGTTTCATGAATAATGCGGCTCTAAATCTAAAATTGTTTGTACAACACGGTTCTACAGTAAGGTATAATTATCAATGCCCACTCAAGCGCACACAGATCCTAAGATAATGTCTCCTAAGTTTGCACATAGTGCGTTCAGGGCAATTGTTATCTCATACTATTGTTCATCGGAGATTTTCTGCGAATGCCTTCCTTCCGCACTTTGCTTACATCCATGTTCATAAGCTGGCAGGAACACCGAAAAGAAAGCATACAGCTCATGAAGAAATCTAGCGGCTATTTTGTGATGGGCAGTCCTTGCACTGTCGTCAGCAATCAACTAGGATTCTAGCTAAGCCTTTCCTGCCATTTCGAACATAATTGTTTTGGTCACGCTCTACATCGTCCGTGTTCGGAGGGATCATACGCAGATACGCGGCACCGTGCAGATATGTAATACCGTGCATCGTACAGCGTAGCTGATGTCAGGCGGAAGGTCAGGTAACAGCCCGTCGGTCCCAAGTAGCACGATTCATCGGCATACAAGGGGCGAGCCGCTGAAGAGGGAGATCGGCAAGTCGGCCGGCGCTAATGCACGCAAGTCGGCCGATGATGACCTAGGCAGCATGTTCACATCTCATCCGAAGGCGCTTTAGCTTGAGCAACCTACGTGCCAGGGGACGTCAAGGGCTTCACCCGATCTTCACGATATGACCGGGCTGACGCATGATGGTCATATGTTGGCTTCATCCACAAGTGAAATTTTGGCTTTACTTAAAAAATGACTGTTCTATTAATTTGATAGCTGGGTAAAGGCTCAGTCCCTGTTGTTCTACCTCTTATCGCCTTTTTCCCTTTCTTCTCTTACACCACCATGAGCTCCATGTCGACCACGGCCACTTGGCGAGGCGAATCACAGGCTATGGCTACTAAGCACCTAGCCTTCATTGGTGGGATTCTCTTTTCCTGTATTTTGATTGCGCGATTGGTCTCATCCAGGAGTAAACACCGAACCACCTATCTCACAATCACCAACAAGAATGGCGAAAAATTGCCAGAAATTGATATTCGAGGCAAGAAATTCAAGAGTAGGTTAGTAAACTCAACGCATACACCCTTGTGATCAATCTTGTTACTTGTAATCGATCTCGAACATTCACGCTAATGCTACGTACGGAATATCAGCGGCGAGCTGTCCCGAAAGATTAAGGATATTGCCGGACCATCCCCCTGTCTTGTTCGCACTGGACCAAGACAAGAATTGGTAATTGCCAAAGCTCAGCATGTTCAGGATCTCTATGGCCGAGATTATCAAAGTAAGAATCAGCTATGACAAGCTGTTTAGTTTTCTATATTTTACTAAGACAGCGTTTTCGAAGTATCTACAAGTTACAATGTATCGCTGTCTGGCAGCCCATTCGGATAGTGAGTTCTGAGAACTCATACCTTTGGTTACCATCTTTCTAAACTGGATGTCTAGTGTTATGCCCGGGGCTACTGCCTCTCCAGCTGGCCAAGATTGCGGCAAGACACGCAAGCATTTCAAGCCTATCCTCTCACTTGAAGCTGTTTCTCAAAGGATTTCACGTTTCGCTCGAGAAATCCAGACCTGGGTTAAGACTTTGGACGTTGGTTTTGTTGACTCGAGGCAAACATTCGACATGATCATGTTTCGCATGATGTACCTGCACTTGTATGAGGATGCATACGACGATCGGGTTCGTGAAGCTGACTCTCGCCCTTTTGATCTCCCCAATAACTAACCCTTTGATGATTTTCCGGACTGTGTAGAGGTACTGGGCCTTGCTACAGCTTTACCTTCTCCACCAAAAGGCTGTGGAAACTACCGACAGCTCCGCAAAGCTCGCCAAGAAGTCCTACAAAGAATGGCGCGAATTCAGCCGATCAATCGTCGATCTGGCTCAAAAGGTCTGTGTATCCTTAGTCTTACACCTCTTCGTCATCGCTTACGTGCTACTTCCCAGGGGCGATGGAAGTGTCCGGTTGAGGTCATATACCGCGGCGTCAGCGCTAGTGACATGACCGAAGAAGCGGTTTGTAAAACCCATAAGCTCGTGAATGAGGATCCGGGAGACTAACTGTTTGGAACCACTTCTAGTACCTGTCGACTCTCAGCGAAATCATGTTCAACAATGTAGAAAGCACTGGTCAAGTTTTTAGCACGATCTTCACGAAGTTGGCGGCCAACCGAACCATCCAAGATGCTCTGCGCCTAGAGATCCAAGTAAATGAGGATGCCAGAGATATATATCTGCACCGGTCAGACACTCTGTTGCATCGGGTTCTCCAAGAAAGCCTGCGTCTCTCCCCGGCGATTGGTACGTGTTTCCTTATCCGTCTTGCTGCGCCCCAGTGTCCCTTGTCGTCGTTTTAAGTACACTTACAGATCTACATGTATGTGGGCGCTAATGAATATATGCTCGTGGCTTGCAGGGTTCTCCACGCCCGATTTAACGCGAGGCACTAGAACCATTGCAGGGTGCCTCATCCCTGCCCAAACTCCAGTGGTCATTGACGCTCACCGCGTAAATACGGATCCTGTAATTTGGGGTCCTGACTGCGACGCCTGGGATCCTGATCGATTCCTCCGCGTTGATGCCAATTCTCTGCGCTGTGGATACATTCCATACAGCGCAAGCGCCGCCTCGGAACAATGGCTGGGCAAGGATGCGGCAGAAGTCATTTTCAAAATCACGATCGTGGCCATTGTTGAGCAGATATCCCTCGAGCCAGTGGGTGATGGCGAGGAGCAAGGTAGTGGCACGGATTTGAATATGCGAAGGCTCAAGTGATGGGTTATAGATGTACCTGGACCTAGGTAGCTAGCCTGAGGTGCAACGCGTTTCGCTTTTTGTATACTTACATAGTCGTAGTCAGTAGCAGGAGATTTAACTCGCTGTTAGAGTGCATCGAACGATTATCCAGACTTACAGTCCATAGTCTTTTGCTGTGTACATGTAGCTGGGTAGCTGGCGGGTAATCCGCTGCGAACAGACTTGGCGCGTCACGTCATTGTAGTTGAGGCTCTCGGCTGGCTTGGCTGTATAGGCAAAGGAATATACGACATATATCTCCACACTAAGTGCTTGGTGTTACACGCTGGAGCCTGACACTTGAAGTTATCCGCCGCCCAGGCATATAAGCACAGGAACAAAAGACGCAACTTTGACTGACTGATATGTTTTATGGGCGTCTGGGCACATGTTGAGTCAGCAGCCTACTTTCTGGGCGTAATCCTAGGACGCCTGAACTAGCGGCCACTCCCGGGCAATCCCGGAAAGCCAAGATTAAGACCCCTTGCTATGAGATATACTGACATATACTCAAAGCGTTCATCCGGTGCCATCTTACGACGATTACTATATCTGGTGATTGCCAACATGGCTCAAATCATACCTTTCGCTAAAGCATACTACTAGTAAGTATGGATTACGGAGCTTCCCGTATCAGTTGATATTCACCGTCTCTTCCAGTCGAATGATTTTCAGTCCTCAACGTTAGCGAAGGAATAATAAGCGTCTATTACATGACCATAATTGGTGGGAAATAGACATTGCGTACTGTACATACTAAATAGCTATCGAAAAGGTCTAGTTTTAGCTAGGGAACCTAGTAGTGTCGACAATTCAAATCGCTAGCTTAATAGACGGTATTCTCGAATACATACCACACACACACACACACACACACATAAGTATATATATATATATAGTATCTAACCCGCCTCATGGGCTAATTAGTCATTTTCATTTATCGTGGGGTGCGGGAGGAAGCGGGCGCGTCGAAAGTAGCCTAACTAAATCTATCGTGGATTCATCAGATGAGTCTAGCGTAGTAGAGCGTAGCGGATAGGTATGCACTTGGTCGACTGATTTCAATTGCAAATGGGATTTGCGAATTGTAGGTGAAGAAAACGCAATGCTCTACCTAGTAAAGTCGGTCAAAATGAGGGGAACACGTGGAGTTGAGGTAGGTCTAGCCACTGTAAGTCATGCAGCTCGTGTATATCTTCCATTCCAATAATTACCACTAGGTCATCAGATACTATATTAGGCTTCAAGGCGGTTTTACATTAACAAATAAGAAGGGGGAAAAGAGCCACCCAAGGAGATCTTCCTAGCCACGAGGTTTTAAAGCTGTATCAAGTAGAGTAATAGGAAGCCAAGCGTACATAGTAGTTGCACCCTCGCTGTACCCTGGTTTTGTTGGCAGTTACCCGAGTATACTAAGTATGGGAAGATAAGGTATTGTGGGACACCGGAGTAGGTGACTGCCCGAGTACCTTACTTACGACACCGTGGCATCTTTTGATGGCCATCTCGGCCTCGGCCAAGTCGACTCATAAGGGCGAGAAATTGCCTCGCTTCTCGGGTTTTACTACCTAAGAGATCGCTATTCACATCGCCCTAAAATCGGTATAGCAGAGATCTGGGCTGATACGTACCACTACTCCACTGACTATCATAGCCAAAATAACCTAATCTATGCTTAACAGAGTTCCGCCTTGTATCTACCTATCTCCCAGCACAACTGATCCAACCACCAAGGTAAAGTTCATCAAAAGATTGATATAGGACAATAGCCCTACAATAATAGCTAGTATAGGCTCTTGTATAATAGTTTCCATAGTTAGGTTTACACCTACTATTCGTAACTGGTGCTGTAGCTTACCTATTAGCTAGTGATGGTAAAAGGTTCATATATATATGCGAAGGCCGTGGACAAACTTACCTTACACTAGGCAAATACTCAGATATAATTTTCGGCATTTGCTAGTACACCACAGTCAGCCCATACCAAAGCTCGATTTGTATCTACAATAGTCCTAATCTGTATGGAATAACAGGGGGGCCTGGACACTACCCTGGCGATTGCGCGACTAAGTGTGATACTTGCTATGTACAGGATGTGAATCATGTAGCGGTCCTTGGCATATGCACTCCGTGCTAAGTATGTAAGATTCCGAGGCCTTGGCTTCGGGCTACCATGGCCCCTCTTGAGCTGGATCTCATTCCTATGATCCTTATCTAATCATGACAGATGTTACCTCTTAACCCACCAAGAGCCGAGAGTGACTATATCAGGAAGTAGCAAGAGACAGCGATGTAACAATAAAACAGTCTTGCGAGTTAATGGTACTTTTACTCTGCTTGCAAATAGCATCACGGTGCCCATTCTCATCCTGATGACATGTACAAATCCGATTGGCCCTTGACCTTGATCCCTGCGTGCAACAAATTAACACTAAATAGTTAAGAGTTTAAAAAGCCCGTAGATCCTGGTACAATAGGGCAGAGACAACCTTGAGGCTCGCTTGCACGAACTAGCATACATGTACATACAGTACATATGGATAGGTAGAAGGGGGCATCCGTTGATTGATCCATACTAACTGTACTCCGTACCCTGATCAAACAAATACAATAAGGCTTAGTCTCGGATCCTCGCCATGTAGCGCTAGTGTGATTCAGCACGTAGCTTCAATCTACGGCTAAGCAGTAGCGGATGTTCGCAGTACCTAGTGTTCTTGTAGATGTATGCAGTGTTGTCAGGTGCACAACACAACCAACCCATGCTCTTAGTAATGGTACAGCAATCCTTGAAAGATGGATACTTCGGTCTTGGTGACTGAGCGCCGCCAAAAGGCTTGTCTACTTGCGGGGCAAGTACACGTGGTATGGGCACATCCATAATATGTATTTTTGTAATTATGCCTATGTGGGACTGTCTCCGAATTTACAGTGTTTAATAGATTACACATATGTGTTGCTTGGATTCCTAATTGTGTGGTACATGGTATAGTGTGTGCTGAACAGACCACAAGGGTCATAAGCCCAAAGCTTGTTGAAGTCGCGTAAGCCGTTGTTCAACTTCCATACTTAGGGTTCTCATCTCCTCCTCCGCGGCCCCGTGTGCCTGCTCGTAACCAGGATCCCACACCTTTCCCCAGGATTCTTGGGTTTTCTGGGCAGACAAATAAGTATCCATAGCTTTGCGTTGGCGTTCGAGAAGATAGGAGCAAAGTTGGACGATTGAAGCTAAGCGCATGTCACCCGGGTTGGCCCCATTCGTAAGGCGGCCGGTACGAGCGTCGTATTCCAGTGCGTTCAGAACTGCCACGTAGATGTTGAGGAGCATTGTATAGCAGGTAGTAGTTAAATGTCGAACAACGCTATCGCTATAATGATCTGGAACTTCTGAATATGGCGTTAAGGCCGTGTCTAAGGTGAAAGGGGAAGATCTATTAGAGCCGGTCCCGGGCGATGTTGGGGGCGAGGTCCGGAGGACTATGTTGTAGTCGATGCCGGCATTGGTTCGTAGCTCGTGCAAAGCCTCTAAGAAAGTATGCGAGGCCGAGAAAACGCGGCACAGAAGATTACTTGTCGTCTCCTCCTTAGTCAGCGGATGAACAGAAGGAGCATCTTTAGAGGGATTCTGGACAAGCCACTCGGGTGCAGATCTGCAGGTCATGGTATTGTTGTCGTGGACTTGGCTTGTGTCGTTGCTGACGTTTGGGGAACTCGATTTTCGGACTAGCTCATAACTCAGCCGATGTAATCGCGAAAACCTCATGATTAGCTGCGACAATTGTGCGATGATGGCCTTGCTACCATCACCACTGTTGCCGCCCCCTGTACTGTTCTGCCTCTTAGGGCTACTATTCTCAATTTCTCCACATGGGAAAAGTTGGAAGTCACTAGGTTCGTGTCCTAGGGACGTCCAGTCGATAACGGCCGATGTGTTTTCTGACGACTCAGAGAGTTCCATCCCAGCGTGTGCTGACAGACCCGAGTCAAAGAGGCTCCAAGGGCTTGCTGAGGGGTTCACTGCGATATCATTCCATGCCAAGGACCCGAACTTCAGGCCCGACTCCGTGAACATACCCAGCTCCTGCTCCACTGAGTGGGCCAGAGGAATGCTACTGTCTAGATTTGGCTGCGAGCTCATGTCTGCGCTTTGACCCAAGTCCGCATACTCCACGGTGGTCCCGGCTTGGGAACAACGTTGGCGCACCTTCGACGAACGGCTTGAGCGTGTGATTGCAGAGTCTTGGGGTCCAGTAACGGTGTTATGAGGTTTACGTGCGACATTATACAAGCTGGGCCGACCCTTTGGCAACGAACAACTGTATACGCATTGCACCCCTCTGCGAACACACCTATCACAGGTGCCAACTTTGCTGCCAGTGCGGGTACAACGTAACTTTTGGTCGTGACAGCGATCGCAAGACTGGCGCATAACCGGTGCCATGCTGCGATCACTGCAGTATGTGGATGAAGTGGGGTATAAGAAGAATTATCGCAAAAGGCAGAGCACAAGACAAGATGTCATTCATTATACAATTCAGGCAAACATAGCTTGCTTCTCGCAGAAAGCTGAGCGCGGGCAGAGTTGATATAGGATTTATAGACCCCCGTCAGACTATCTGATGGTCTGCTCTAGTGTAGGTATTCCCCGGCACGCGGCAGTAGGAGACTGACAACGACGGTGAGGCTAGCAAGAGGAAGCTTGTCGTATCTCACACGAGAATGCCGAGCCCGTTTAGCTGAACTACATGTGCCGTGGACGATTCCTACGACCGCCATACAAATGATTTAACCCACGTTGCTGGGAGTATGCAGGTAAACCTAGGGAGCTCACCCCAGTCAGCCTGTGGGTTATCTGCCCAATGTGAGAAATCCTATCAAGCGTCTAGACTCATCTTCGGTGAAACCATCTCTTCAAAGGGTGACCCCCCATCCCGCGAAGAAAGCCCCGCTCGCTTCGCTTTCGAGGTTTCTTTTCAGGGTAAGGGTTTATCTGAAAGTGCTTCGACAACTAATACTTGGAATTACTGGTTACGACTTGGTTACTCTATAAGTCAATATGGGGCAAGGGGGTTGGTTTACCTTTGTCTCATCTGATTTATTCCATTTCTGGGAACGCCGCTATACATGCACCTATAAGGATTACTATGAGAGTTGTTGAAGGGTTATCGCAAAGGTTTATTAGCAGTCTTGCGTCAATTCTTAGCTGGAGTTGCTAGGCGCTAATATTTATAGTGATCCCAGCGTTCTGCCCAGTTTACGATTACTGGCGGCCGGAATCGCAGATCTTCTTGGGGTTTCTACGTCTCACAGTACACGCTCCGCTCACCCGGGGTCTTTGTCTCTTGCATGGCAGCTACATATCTGTACTTCTAACTACCTACCTAGGTAAGTAAGTAAGTAGAACCCCTCCCTTATGAAACCCCTGGTAACACCCTGGTCACAATTCTACACGCAATCAATCCATGTAACACTCATGCTATTCCCTACCTGTATGTATCCTCAGCTCCTTATACACGTGTATATGTAGCACTCAACTCAAGGCCCGTAATGAAGCACGCAAGGATGGCATACTACCTTGTATATGTGTGTCGACTGTTCTGTTATTTACATTGTATTTGTTCAACCATGTACCTAGGTAGTTACTATCCTTACAAAGACAAGTGACGTATGTGGCACAAACCCATGGACGAAGCCACCTACGTTGGCCAAGGGTGGCGCCCGGGTTGGTCGAAGGTACTTAGGTATATAAATAGGCGAGCTCGATAGGTAACTATTTCATACCGGTACTTATGTTGCGGTAACCTAAGCTTCAGAACTCGGGTATACACAGTACCGGTACTTCAGATTTTTGATAATGACTGATAACCGGCTGATAAGATCCGCCTTAAGCCTTTTCGGGAAAAGGTGGCCTCGGGTGGCCTTACACAGACGGGACCTCCCGGCCAAATTCGTACCACGCCGCGTCGCTAGCGTTCCTTCACGATAATCATCAGCTGTAACGGCCCAGAGGTCTTGGTCTGACGCCCAGCTTCAAGGACCATGGAAGAGAAGCAAGCGTGCGTACGGAGCGTAGCGAAGCGCTTTGGGCATTCGTGATTCATGAAATGAGGCATCGGTCTTCAGATTTGTTTGGACATGGACGGGTCGCAAAAACCTCCGTAAGTAGACGAAAGATGTGTCTCGTGTGTTGATAGTAGTATGAAGATGGACGCTTCACATACAGTTCACACGAGTCGGTGTACAGGCACTACTCGATTGATCATCTGCCGGCGTATGTACCTGCGCCAGGCTCACCACAACATGGGTGTGCCGCAGGCGCGCAGCTCTACAAACGCCCAGCGGACCACGCGCGCCATTTCAGATGCCGCATTATCCGGGCAGACAGTGTAAGAAGAGTCTGTAGGAAGCCAGAGGTTTTGATCGCGAATAGTAGCCCAGTCAGTCGTACGCGCGATCGTATTGGCGACGGATAAGTCCATACGGTATTACTGATGATGATGCTTGGCATCAACAGCGATAGGTACCGACTTGGGAGCTGTCTTGGACTCGTTGCGCCGCAGGACTATTTATCACGTTGTCAGATTTGTGATCAAATAGATTGCGTTATCGGCGGTAGCCTCTCCTTCTCGTAGAATAAAAAGGCATATTCCTGGTTTCGGCGGTTCACTCACACTAGAGCACGTTCCGTTAAGAAAAAGGCCCAGATGGAAGACATTGCATCTCGAAGACGCCGACGGCCTATACTCGCCTGCGAACCGTGTAGACGAAAGAAAATCAAGTGTGATCATGAAGTTCCATGCACCCCATGTACGCGCTCCAGAACGTCATACTGCAGCTATCTCGAGGCCAACGAAGATGTAACTTCAAAGAAGCAACGATCCGGAGAAGAGCACTCGAATGTATCGACTGCTTCAACTGCTTCAACTTCTGGAGACTACCCTCCCTCGATGCCCGTTTCTGTTCCCCTCTCGGTTCCTCTTTCCGGATCTCCTTGGTTTAGCGGCAATGGAAGCGTCACCAGCAACGGTGGCAATAATAGTACCACTAGCCTGTCCATCGCTCCCGAAGCAAAAACCGGCCATCTCATTGAAAGACAAGACTCATTCACGGCACGTGGAACGTTTCTCCGCGGCCGGTTCTACGGGCCAAGCCATTGGCTAAGCTTCTATCAACATGTCAGAACATCTTCTTACCCCTTGTACTTACGCTTTCTAATTACAAGTAGTTGCCACATGCCGAGTCAGACTACTCTCTATATCAGAACTGCGAGCCACTTGTAGGCTCTCCCAGCTCTGTTGATAGTTTGGGCAGCACGAATTTGTGGAAACTCCCCGAGACCATTCCGCCGCGTGAAGTGAGCAACCAGCTTGTACTAGCATACTTTCGCACATTTGAGTCAGTACTACGGATTCTTCACGTTCCGTCTTTCGTCCGGGAGTGCCAGCAGTACTGGAAATCTCCTCAGAATGCCCGAGAGGAATTCATACTACAGCTGGGCCTGGTAATGGCTATTGGGGCTGCGTTCACGCCGCAGGTTACGGTGAAAGACCAGTCTATCCTTTTGTGGATTGATTCAGCACAAAATTGGCTGCGAGATACACTAACAGAGACGTGCCTTAACCAAATTGACACGACTAGTACTAGCGGTAGAGAATTGGTACAGATATTCTGTCTCCTGATTGAAGCTCGACAGACGCGGCACACTGAGAAGAAGCGACCCGGGTTAATTTCAGCTGATTCTCTAATTCGGGCAGCAGAGCACGTGGGGTTACACATTCATCCGACCAAACTACCAGGCTTATCATTCTTCGAGCAGGAGATGCGGCGTAGACTTTGGACTACCTGCCAAGAATTAGCCTTGCAAGCAGCCGTAAATGAGGGCCGACCGTCGCCCAGTATGTAACCCGCGGAGTCGTTTTCCTCCTGTTCTAGTTACTCCCGCAGGTTATAGTTGCCTATTAGGGGCACAAGTGTGTCTCGAGAGTATGAAGAGCTCCCAAGCCTCTTACCCGAAGATTGATTACTGACCCCGGCGGTTGTAGTTCTCAGAGGTGATGACAATGGGCCACCGCCGCTTAACCTGGCGGATGAACAGTTCGACACCCACACAACGATTGTGCCACTTGTCAGTGAAGATTTTACACACACTTCGATACTGATTGCCTTGCACAAGTCATTCCCTATTCGACACGCCATTGCCGAGGCCATCAATGACGTCTCCTACGAGATGTGCTCATATGAACAGGCCCTGGATATGAGCTCCCGCATCATGACTGAGAGTCGCGAGATCTTTTCACGGATACAGAGTCGCGCTTCCAATTTCGCAGTAAGATTATGCGAGCTACTTCTCCACCGCTTCTTATTGACATTGCACGCCCCCTTCGCGCTTCATGCACACATCGACCCCACGCGTTACTACTCGCGCAAGGTTGCTACGGAGATCTCTATGTCCATTCTACGCCACTGCTCGCAAGTCGAGACGGACGATTTCGCGCGCTTGCTGCGACGGGGATCCGAGATCTTCACCCATGTTCCAATCTTAGCCACCAGCATTCTTTGCTACGACTTGGCGGACGAGGATCCATTCTCCTCAACGCTTGTTCAGGCGGCATTCCCGGTTACACGAACTAGCCTGCAGAAGCTTGTTGACGCCTATCTTCACGTCTTGTCGCTGCGCATCGGAAGTGGTTCTGAAGAGATTCGTCCATATGTTTTGCTATCCGCACAGCTGGCCCGAATTGCCGCGAGCCAAGCCGGACAGGCCATTGACCACCGACTTGTCGTTACACGAACTCTACAGCTCTGCCAAAGAATGCAGCAAGGGCAGGCGGTTGTGCCCCACGTAGAAGGACAGCAGTTCGACAATATACTTGGGCATTCAAGCAACGATAACAGCGTCGGAGCGGGGGGGAGTTCCACCATGATAAGACAGCGCATGAGTAGTGATGCCACCTTCGACATCAGCCCTGAACAACTTGACGACTGCATCTCAAACCCGCTTTCTGAAGACAATCATTGGATGATAGGACTAGTTCAAAACGGATAACACGTAGAGTACGGGGCAACAGCACCCGTACTCTGACAAGCATTCGAGATGGTGCCTTCGGCGCCAATGGCAACAGTAACCAGGATACCCGAAAATATCTTCTCGCTCCACTCCAATGTTAGATTTCGTCCCATGGTCTCTAGATATGGGCGGACACGTGCAAGCTGAGCAGATCTTGGGTGGAAGGGTTACGAAACAAGAACAATTTGGAATGAGTTATGTATCGTACGATCATTAATGGACCCTATATTTGACCCGACATTTTGCCCCATCTAGCTAGTTGCATGTTCTGAGGGTTGAGCACAACTATATAAGTAAGTTTTTTTAAGCTCAGCTATATGTTGGTTAAATATGTTAGGGCCTACAACTGCCCTAGTCACTGTTTCCCTTTAGTTGGTTGCAAAGGTATTGATCAGTACACCAAAACGCAGACGGCACCGTGATGTAGGACCTACATCTTCTCCATTATTATTTATTCTTTTCTTGTTGTGATGTGTCTAAAATAAAAGCCAAGGAGCAGATACCTCAGTCACATTCATTCTGATTATTAAAATTTTGTCGATATAGCTGGTTACGATTAGGTGTATTTCCTTATTGGGATGGCTCAAATATCAGGAGCAATTGATCTACAACCTGATAGTGTTTTTCGTCAGATGAATATACAGCTTATACAATCCTATACAACTCTCTTTAGATGATATTGACAATAACACGTGATGGACGCTCGACCATTTTCCGGCTTTCTCGTCAACATCCACGTTATCTGATAGAGTGTTATATACGTAGAAGCTGAACATGGAGTGCACCTTGCGCTTCGGCTGTACGAAAGGCCATTACAGACTGTTCATAATCTTTAAAGATATATAGGCAATATTGGAAAGTGAGGTTATATAATTGGTAATTGCTTACAGTGCAATTCCATCTGTAGGTACGGGTTTAACCCCTTTTGCGGGGCCACAGATGGACTGTTGCCAGCCCGAAGCACCCTTTGATCGTTAACTCATAGTGATTGAATCAACTGTAAGGCATATTAAATAATCTTCACTATCATAATGATAAGCTACTTAGGTAGAGAGACCTTGAGTAAATAGCTAGTCTTTTTATTATAGCATTTTAGATAAATGGCGAGCAAGATGTTTGCCAGCTGTTAGACCGGATTGCACTCTTCCTATTTACACTATGCCTGCTTACAGGGTCATGGTAGACTTTTCGCCTCAAGTACCCTACGACTCTACATCAATGTATATTAAATGTATATATGAGTACTTGAGCAAATTGTTCGGTACCGTAGGTAGATTAGATATCTAGGTATCCAACCATAACCAAGCATATGACGACATACCACATACATACATAATTGTAGGCAGTTACCACCTACACTATATATATATATATAGGTAGTCATAATGCTAGGGCTCTAGGCCAATCTTTCCATCTACAACCTCAATACAATCACAATAGCCATACCTTGACAATAATCCTACTAACTACGTAACGTACATGTATTTAGTTCCTAGCCAGGTAGCGAATTAGTAGGTACAGCACCTCTCATGAACGCTCACTCTAGATGGTTGTAGACGTTCTCTGTAGCATATTCTTAACTAGGCGGAGTGATGTATATATAAAATATACTGTATGAGACTCGCAAGAAACACGAATACAAGAGAGCGATATTCAAACACGTACATTTACTAAAGGGTACTATGCATTACAAATATAGAGCTTCTCAATCGAGCCTTACACATCGTTTCTATAGATGGCAGTAACTCCGAACTAGCAGATATCAAACTTGGCAACGCTCGGGTCATGATCTGACACCTGATCATTATACGCAAGCCACGTGTTGACATGGAGATGCTCGAACTTCGCGCCCTTGCCAAGCTGCTTACTGACAAAGGCGTGATCGAGCTCCTGTGTGTTCATATCGTAGATGTACGAATAGCGTTCCGTGACCGGGATCTTCGCAACTTCATCTAGATCCCTCAGCCTAGACACCTTGGCAAATGTCTCCACAGGCGCCGCGAACCCATACTCGTTGAAGTCGCCGACCGTCAGCACTAGCGCGTTGTTGTCGCGGTCCAGGATCTCTGAGATGAACTCTCCGGCGACTGTGGCCTGCGCGATGCGCTGCTCGACGCCGCCGTTCACGGGAGGTCGCGCGTCGCCATGTAGAGAGCTCGAGCCGCCCTTTGAGGTGAAGTGCACGTTGACCGTGAACAGCGTCTTTCCCTTGCTCTTGCCTGGACCGAACAAATCCCACAATCCCAAGACATCCCACCAGGGCTTGTTGGGTTTACCTTGTGACCCGACGAGCTCCCAGGCGGCGACGAGGGGCTTTCGGCTGTCAAGCCAAGCGGCATTGTTTGGGTCAATGAGGCCGGGGTTGTACTTGAGCTTGGGTCCCTTGAGCACCTCATTCGCTGTGACGGCATCTCCTGCCATGGCGGTACTGCCACCCTGTAGCTGGAGGACGTTGGGACGGTATAAGTACGCGTTACGGATGTTGCCGCCCGGTGCGCCGCCGTTCTCGCCGTCGATGGGGTTGACGTACGTGTAATTGTACACAACATTGCTGAGGTCTGCGATGGCATCAGCGAGTGCCGCTAGCGTGAGTCCGGAGTCCACGGTTCCATCGTTGGTCGCGCCGTTGTTATCCTGGACCTCCTGCAGAATAAGCAGATCTGGCGTCTTGAGATATTCCACAATGTGCGTTGCTACGGCGGTCACGTGGTCTACGTCCTTGGGAGAAAAGTTCTCGATATTATAGCCTCCAACGGTAATACCAGAGCATTTGCCGTTACTAATTAGCTTCGTGGCCCCTGAGACTGCGGGCTCAAGTGACGAAGTAACAGTGAGCTTCGTCAGGGGTTGGATTTGGTAGAAACCAAAGCCTTGACTCACAATACCCGTGATGTCCTGCATTATTCATGTGATCAGTTGAGCACGAATCTTGAATCTCTGAGGCAAAAAGTTGTTGAATCAAAGTAGGCCGCCAATTACTTACCTCAAGTTCGTCACCGAGCTTTCCATCGGCCCGGTTCTTAGTGCCGTCAAGAGGGGTTGTGATGAGAATTGCCTCGGGGTTTGCGTCTGTGATTGTATGTTAGCATATAAGCTTGCGAGTTTTCGCCGAGTTCTAAGATGATATCGTACCATTTGAGGAGATAGTCAATCCAGCGCGTTTGTTGTCGCCAGTCGTGTGCCAGTCACCAACAACCCAAGTGTCGCCGTACCGGTTAGGTCTGCCGACAGCGCGGGGGTTCTTAATTGTGACATACTCGCCCACGAGACTTTCCCAGAAGTCGAGACCGTACTTGCTCGGCTCAAGGACGGGGTTCACAACAGTGATCAAGCTCTGGTTGTTCGGGACAGCAAACGCGTTGCCAGAATCTAAGCCCGAGAGCTGCCGCGTGGGTGGACTGCGCTTTGTTCCAAGAACAATTGGTGCAAAAGTGCGGTTGCGCTCGAGGATGGCGCGGACTGTGGGGAGGGTGATTTCAGTGAGAGGAAGGTAAGCCGCGCTAGAGCGGTACTCGGATACCGTTCCATCAACCACTATCACGTCGCCAGTCGTAATACTCGTGTTCTTCGCCAGCGCTGATCCGTAGACATAGATGCCATCGGATACACGCTCGTCTGTTGTGGTCTCGAGCGAACGCAGCCATACTCCCGATGGACCCTTTGCGGTCACAACTCCAGTCACGTTCGTGACTTTCTTGCCATCGAAGGGCGACAGGAAGCGGTTGCCGTTGATCTCGCCAATGGTTTCGGCCGAGGCGGTGCCGGCGGCGGCAAGGGCGCACGCTAAGACGGAGGTGCTCTTCATCTTCCTGCGCAAGTGAAGTCAGGCCTTGATGTGCCACTACTCGACTAGATCTTACTCTCAGCCTTCAGCGCGGGTATCAGGCAAAGAAGATGTCGTGAATTCCTCGACCAGAACAAACAAGCAGGAACCATCGTATATGTACGCCGGCATGGCGTTCTAGTTATAGATAAACTAACCGCGGAAATGCAGCGCCCAGCCACGTTAAGTTAATATCAGCAAACCTACACGTGCCACCGAAAGCACCTACAAACCCAGGGCCACACCTGCAAATTACAACCTGACTTTTTGCGCCCAGTAAAATGCATAGATCTAATAACTATTGAAGTAAGTGTAAACTATGTTGCCATTTAGCTTCCCGCGGCATGCTAAATTCATGGACACGACCAGACTATAAAGCTTCTTGCAATATCTTGTTGCAAAGTCAATATCCAATTCACCACTCATGGTGACACGTGTAGGTATTTCCAACGGCACGTCTAGGTGAGCTAGCTGAAGGCACCACTTAACCATCCAAGTAGCTCTGCTGATAAGCCAGTAACGGTGGGTTACCGAGGCCACGTTCTTGAGGCGATCGCGCAGAGATCTCTTGGCCATTTCCCAAAACCGCAGGTGGATGGCAGAGTCCAGTTCAGCTAACGGTCTTGGCAACGCTTCTGAGAGTCTCTATCTGTGCGTTCTAGAATAGCTTGGCTAAGTAGCTTTACTTAGTCGCCTCGCGACACATGGGGAGCTGGAGGCTCGATCCATTCGATTGAGCGTCGCCGAAATAAATAAAAAAAATCGCCTCACGCAAGGCGAGGCTTGGTGTCATCTTGGAGGCGTTCGAGAGGATAAGTGGCGGCTCCTACTCTGTGCAGTACAAGGGCTGGGTTCCGAACTACCTGCTTCTCGAGCTGATTCGCGCAACGATAAATGACTCTGGACGGGGCTTCTCTACGTGTCGTTAATTACAATACTATGGGATGTACGACACCCATTGCAGAGAGCTGCGCTACAAATTCCCAAGTCAAATTGATTGCTCGGAGGTGGCAAGTCTTTAAGTAGCTTCAGACAGTTGTCCGACATTCCTAATTAGGTCGACGCTCATTAGAGAATCAGGTGTGTAATTGCATCATGTACTGCCTCCTGCGAAGTCCGCCCCGAACATTAGACAAAAGCGATGTCGAAGGGAAGAATTGCTTTCTGACTATTCACTAGCAGCTATCTAGAAATGTGTACATTAAGTGTCTGTTTCGTGAGTTTACTGAAGCAATCCAACGTACAGCCGAGGATCAACACGTTTCTCCTAGGTATGCATCTCACTCCACATACAGAGTTTAGTAGTTGGCTAACCTCTAACTAGATAGCTCAGAAGGGTCCATCTGATATTTGGCAACGATCTCTTCCCATGCTGTTTGCGGTAGCGTATAGTCGACGCTATTCACCATCAAATCTCCGGTCATGACAGGCTCAAGGTTGTCACGACCGCACAGCTCATGGTAATCAACAATTACCTTGCGACTCCCAAATATGGAACAGTGCTCGTCAAAGTGCATGCTTGACATATGAGCGTCGTCCCAGAACCACCAACCCGTCCTTATCGCATAGGTTTCCAAGCCTCTGAGTGTGATCATACCTTGACGTGACCGTTGAATCATCTCCGCGGTAAACGCGTTGGGAAATCCAACCCGTTGATCTTGCATGTCGTTTGCCCATTCCCAGAATTGAATATATGGATGGTTTGACATCACAAGTGGGAAGTACCCGACAAAGGCATATGGCGCTGTCGCACGCCGGGACATGCGCTCAACCATTTTGTGGCAGCGAATCATTAGGTCGTGCCGTGTAGCAGAACTGGACTCCACCATCACTTTGTAAAGCTTGAGACCGTAGGTCTGGAGCACGGACACGAATATACAGTGCTCCCTAGCGGCCTGGCTATACGTCATCCTGCCTAGGTACGGCATGGTCGCCAACAGCTGTCCCGTTGCGATGGCCATTTGGACGTCAACAAGAGGTTCTTGCGTGCCAGGAGTGTTGTGAGTAGGATCGAGTGAGGTAGACCGTGTGACCTTGGAACTCTCGGCAATTTTGGAGATGTGATGTACGAACGTTGTGTGAAACTCGAGCTCCCACGACCGCAAGTCCGCCAGCACCCATTTTTCGATAGTAAGGAGCTGTTGATATTCTACGACCCCCAGACTCTTGAGGAGCCAAGTCCGCCATCGGAATGGAACACCGTCAGAATTAACGGTGCCGTCCTCATTGAGACTCAGAGTTCTAGCTATAAATTCGTATTGGTAGAGCTTTTTCTCTAAATCCCCCCTCTCCTTGACTGAAAGAGGAATATGCGAGCTAGGCACTTGTAAATGTCTGAGAGAAAGCTGCTCGTTGTGGTAGGCATGGCATTTGGCAACCAATATCTCCGCAACAGATTGTATTAATTTGCTGAAGTGGAAGAACGCCGTGATATCCGACTGTTGCTTGGGAAATGGCAACTTGAATGGAAATCGAAATGCGGGGAAGCCCTTTTGCTTCAATTTGCCTTGATCAGGATGGCTATTCTCAACATATGGCAAGCGGTTCGTTGTGCAATAGAATGCTGCCAGGGCCATTTGTAATGCCTCGGGGTGGACTTTGTTCAGTGCAACCTGTGATAGAAGCTTGAGGGGCGCATCTCTGAATACCGTGTAGACAAATCGACTGGCACACATTGCACTATAGCGTATCTATTAGAACTCCGTATCTCCATCGAACAGATCATGACAGCAAGCAGTATCAGTGGATAACGTACTTAAGAAGATCCTTATATTCATCAAAGTGACAGAGCACTTCACAAAGAATCTCGAATGGCAGGCTATTGAAAGTAGTGGCGGGCCTCGGGATAGAAGAACACTGGATTTCCATGTTTGTATTAGAGAGAAGATTCTCTGGTGAATTTCTAGTCACAATCAGTTAGCATGGTACACGGGAATAAATAGTATGTTATGAGAGTTAGAAAGGCAAGAGGATACATAGATACTGACCCAGACACGTGTTGATTTCTGGCTCTGTGTCGGACACTCGCATTACCCGTCATGATAGCTGCGGTATGAGCCATTGCCACGGTATGATAAGTGTAACGGAGTCTATGGGGTAGACAGGTGGTTGGCTGTGAGAACTGTGAAGCGTGATATATAGGGAAACTGGAGATATATGGAAACACCTGAGGTATCTGTGAACAGGTACATTGTCTACACCACATTATGTAGAAAACGGCAGGAGCTTAGATTAGGTTAGTGTCACAATCATACACCCAACGATAATGAAGGGGATAATGCGGCAACCAAATGGTCGCAATGGCTGTGTAGACCGCAGCCTGGGGCATTATTCATTCATCAAATGTCTTGTATTGCGGCATCAATGCATGGATACAGTAGTCTTGGGTCAATGCGCCCTTCAATGAGATTCTATTCAAGACAATGACAAGCTGACATTGTAGACATTTTGCCTCTAGGTAGCTTGACAAGAATTACTTATTCAAAGCTTAGCATACCTAAGGGAAAACAAACCGCCCCGACCTGTAAGCGATTAGTATCTAAATAGAGTCGCAATACGTCACGTTGCACAATCATATTAAACAATCGTACTCAACAATCAACATGCATATAGAACAATATGGTAAACTTCAATCAGGTATATCGAGTAGAATGATTTGTTGGTCTAGACGAAGAGGTTGATTGAGATGTGGCAACTCATGCTACGGCCAACCATACAACGAGAAGGGCGAACCAACTACAATCGTCCACCCTAGCTGCGCTCAACGAATCTTTCACTATCGTCCCTGCAGTTCGGATGAGATGTTCTATTTGTATGATACGTACAGCTATTGTGTTGGGTGCCTCATAGGAAGTTGAACAAGGCACTGCCGAACCCCTGTGTCTGCTTTGGTTGAGCCTTTCAAAGCTCCAAAGGGAGTTGGGTGCGGTGAATGAAAGTTGATCGGTTGAGGGGGGGTCGGGTTGGGTTATTACTATGATGGCTCTTATGCCGTGGTGTTGTCCATGAAAGTGAACCTAAAAACGGCGGGAAGAGAATTTGATAGATAAGACAAGAATAGTCGGAGATCGGCAAGTGGTAGACGACGTCTTTGAAACTACCTAGTTGTGTATAATGACTAGAAACAGCACTTGATTTCAGTTCCGTGCTGCGTGCAGACATGGTATAAATAAACTCCAATATTTGATATAGAACCGCCAGTCCCGGAGGCTTTCATACCAACACTTAAACATTTGCATGCAAAATTCTAAACCAACAAGCCATGTCATCATCTTTAACCAAAGAGTATAACCCAAAACCTGGGCAATGCTCCCCAATGCTGGTTGTCTAGAAGCCATCGTTAAAAATTGTACGGGAAGTGCCAACAATATACTCCCAGTGTCCTGAAAACCGTAATCGTACAAGGGGCTGTAATAACTCCGATGAGTGCATGTGAGGGAATCCAAGATTGGAATTAGAATGTGGTAACATGATGCTCATGGTCGAGGACTCAAAGGACTTCGGCCTGGTCCCTGTACCCGTTTCAACGCCCGGAGTTCGTCTTCAACCTTTCGCCGCAACATTTGCTCTGCCTATAGAATAAAATCAGCATTATATCCTGCGAGGCGCGAAGCTCAAAGTACCTACTCTCAACTGTTCTTCATACTTCTTCCGCTCTGCTCTCAAACCGACCCTGTATGAGTCTGTCAAGTACGAGGTCTTGTTCGCGCCGGAAGGGCTCTTTAAGCGCTCCCGATCCAACTCGTCTAGAACTTGCTCCTTTTCCTTGCGTAGGCGAGCAATTTCTGCTTCTATTCTTCCAAGATCGCCTGTAGCATCTTGTAACTGCCTTTCAAGATCTTCGCGAACCTTTTCTTGCTCATCCCGGATCCTATCACGCTCTGTCTTGACCCTATCAAGCTCACCCTCCAACTCTCCAATTTTCTTTTCACTTTCAAGTGACTGTTTCACGACACCGGTTAAGTCGTCGGCAGTAGCCTTGAGCTCCTGTTCTAATGATTGGACGCGCAGTTGCATCTTGGTCGATTCCGAAGTATTATGTAATGCGGCAACTTCGGCAGCGCGTTCCTTTCGAGATCCATACGCGCTGTCAAGTTCAGCCTTGGCCATGGCGGTCTCCATCTTAAGTTGTGCAACCATGACTGTCATTTGTTCAAGTTCCTGCTCTTTACCCCTGATTATCTTCTCTTTCTCTTCAATAGCGCTTTCAGCAATATCTTTAGCGCCATTGGCATCTTTGAGCTGTGTATTAAGTGCCTCAATATTAGTCTCTGTCGCTGCTAGACGAGCTTGCAAGTCCCTGGTTTCAGCTTCTAGGGAAGTAATCCTAGCCTGTCGTTGCTTCAACTGTTCTCGTGACTCTTCGATGACAGCAGCTTCTTGATTACGACTACCTTGCTGATCCTCGATTTCTTCCAAGGCTTGTAATAGCTGGGCACGAACATCATCTGTCTCGCGCTCGGCACGGCCCAATCGTGCGCTTATCTCTTCTATTTCGCTCTCCTTATCGTGAATTTGTTGGTCTTTTTCTGAGTCAGATTTACTGTTCAGTTCTCGTTGCTGTTTGATTTGTCGCTTGAGAACGGCCTTTTGCTCATTCAGCCTGGTGGCCTGCATGTACAACCACTGGATCTTCGAGGAGAATGCAGGTAATGAATAAGTCTCGTTCACATCCGGCAAATCGGCATCTGACAGGTCTTCCTCGTCCGGTTCTAAGCCTTTTTCCATGCGCGTCCTATGACGTTCTTGTTTGCGTTGGCGGATATCAGCGTAGCCAGACTGGATGATATCCCACAATCCCATAAGAACAGCCTCATATTGGTCAGATTTCTGCTTTTCAGTTGACGATGAATTAGCAATATCTGCGGTCCGGCGAAACTGTTCGTCCACTGCCTTTAGAGAATCCTGCAGGTATTCGAACTGCACCTCAATACTATCAGTTGAAAGAGGAGCATGTGGGTGGCTGGGGTCGACGTTTACGACAATGGTTTGGATTTGCGAATTCAAGGACTGCAGTTTATGAGCAATTCCAGAGCCATTATTTTGATCGTCAGTGACTTGAAGCAACGCATTCTCTAGATACTCAAGATGACTGTTGAGCATATCACCTGGTTCCCGCTGCCCGACTGGAACAGGAGCATATTCACTATTCCGAGCCGGATCTGTCTGGACTACAGCCTCCCGTAGCTGATGATTAAACTGCCCCAGCTTTCGTTCTGTGTCCGATATCATGTTCCATTGGTCTGCTCCTTGCCTTCTTAATGTCTCGATTTCAGCATGGAGTGCTTCAGCCTCACTCCGTAGCTGGTCGTTTTCCTGACGCAGTTTATCGGTTTCTTCGACAAGCTGCTTATTCTGTTCGCGTACAGGAGACTTGAGAGGGATTTCAATGGGGTTCTGGAGCGGCTGGCTGTTGAGAACGTCGGTCATGTCAAAAGAACGGTATAGACTCGCTTCATCGAAGACAAATCCGTCCTCGAGAAAATCTAAACTGTTACGTCCATTTGTTGTCGTGTACATGCTTTCGGGGCTGGCGGGGACGCCGTTGACTAAAGGTGGTTTAGAGGATGCAGATGCGGTTTTCTTGGCCATCTTGTGAGCATGCTGCAGAATGCCTGCCGTGTGCTCCAGGAGTTTCCTTTGAGGTCCCATGAGACGTTGTTCTAGAGACCATAGCTCTGCCGCTAGGTCTTCACACTTTTTCTGAATAACATCACGCTCAGCTTCTGCCTCGCGGGCGGCATCACTTCCCCCACTAAGGCGGTTTCCCAACAAACTCCTTCTCCTACTAGTAGGCGAGTACAACCGCGTCATGGATATAGCGGCATCCCGATATTTCGATTGTATTGTAAGGTTAGAGCGGGCTTGCTCTATCCTTTGTGTAAGAAACTGACATTGTTTCTTGAGCTTATCGACCTCATCCTCTGACAGGATAACGTATTCTTTGCTGTCAAATAAGGCCGTCTCGGTGAGAAGGTGAACCTGGACGGAATCTTTGAGATTGACAAAGACGGAACTCTGAGTGCGTTCGCTGTTCGTCTGCGATTAAGAAATGTTAGTATGGCGAACTGAGCTGACCCAAATGCTTGGAAAGGGTGAGCCTTTGGAACGCACCGGGTTCATTGGCGGCTTTTCTTTTTCAAACCCTTTCGAGGCTTCTTGCCTATAGGAATCGACCAGAGCCGAGCCATTGGGTGGGAATGAGGGTATAGGCATCGAAGCACGACCAACATCGAAGCTGTCTTGTCTTGACGTCGCGAAGTTATCCATCTTTCTTCTCTTCTTCTGTACCACGTTCTGGCGGTGCTAACTCGGAATCATGACGAAGCAGGCACAACAGGATTGCGATGGCAATTGGGCAGATTTTTTGGCGGTATCTCGCGTCGTGGTACCGTGAAGGACAAGCGTTCGGTACTGCGTTAAATTTCGTTGATAGGTCAAGAACAAAGAATATGGGGGATTGAATCTGAAGGCAGATCTGATGAAGCCTCGTCAAGAAGATGCTAGTAATCAAGATGCGGGTCTAATGCGAGATTCGCCGGCTAGCCAAAGAAACAAACAAGGGAGCACGCAAAGAGCAGAGAAGAGCAGATAACTACGACGCTTACAATCCAAAAGCGGAAGGGTATCGGGAGCAGGTTGCGCAACAGGTCGAGCCCGTCCCAAGAAAAGGAGATTTGCGAATCCAATGAAGCCTATTACCGAATGGATTTGGGGCAGGACCGAAAAGAGGTGCTAACCCAGTAGGTAATATAAGTGGTAGTACATACATACTTACATAGTACTTACTACGTACATAGGTAGTAGGAGGATTCATGTCTAGGGTGGCTGGCGCGTTCGCGGCTGGCAGGTGCGCTAGACCAGGACCGCGCTCAAAGCCCCCTTGCGCGGCGCGGATTTTAGCGCTTGACAAATGCATCCTGCTAAGCCTCTTGGGGCAATCGGCACTGTTTTATCTGCTGTCACAAGCTGCGACACGCTGTTATCGTGGCTTGCTGGCTGAAGACATAATAAAATTGCACACTTTAAGCATATGCCCCAAATAATAAAACCTGCATTATTACTGCACTACCGAGCGTCTTGTAGGGTAGCAATTGCGGAGTCAATCTTTCCTATTGTACGCTAGGTATCTGTATGATACGTCACAATTCCAAGTGCTGTGAAGTAGATACCTACATAAAGTACATTAGTGTATGCATTAGTTCTTGACATACCCTATCCATGCTGGCGTGACTCGCCGAATGTCGCATCTCCGGCAGTGGTGTTCTGAATTTCCGATGATCCTTTCGGCTGGATAGTTATGTTGATTTACGATCTGATCCTCTCTAAATGAGGGATCGTGAGAATCTCAGACCGGGAGGGGAGGGGAACATCGAAAGTCAGGGGGTAGCTTGTCTACTACTGTCCCCTTAACAGCGCGAATCCAGCGAGCCCCAGGCCCTAGTGCGCTACTAAGCGTACTTAGCACTACACCAACTATAGTTATGTACCTATTATAGCATAGGAACAGGTACTTTGTAGCACCGTATCTTCACTACCTACCTAGGTATTCCCATGCGCAAAGCAGCCTGCACACCGGAAACCGATGCACATGGAGGATTTGAGTAGACACCTAGGTAGGTAAGTAGGTGATATACTTAGGTAGCTAAAACTAGGGTTACCTACATGTATATCATGATTGATAGAGACAATGTTTGAGAATATCTACATGCTGTTTCACTACCTAGGGAAGCATGAGGCTGCGCACTGGCCTCGCTATATTTAGTCTCGGCAGTTCAAGCAAAGCCTCCTTCAGCCTGACCACGTGGATGTTGGCATCAGCTTATTTCCACTCCGTGATTCCTTGTGCCGAATAGAGTTGATATGTTTGACAGCGGCCGCACAGTTGAATTTTAAGAGATGTGGCGAACGTTTCATAGTTCGTACAGCAGTTGTCATGTACTGGAACCAGCACAAAGGGATAGCCTGATAATAGCGTTGAGTTCAAATATTTGTATTGTCGCTAATTAGAATGTGCCTTGGAACTGATACATAACTTACTGGCCCATGGTCCTCCTTCGTTCATTTCCTGACTGTCCATCAACTCCAGTTGTCGACGCTGTCGGCACACTCTCGTCTTCGAGCCGTCGCCTGAGGCCCTCGAACTCCTGGCTTCTTCGGGGTGTTCGAATACCAACAATCCAACCTGGGATCCGCCAGCGCATCAGTGACCTCGGAAGAACCTCCATCCGCCATGCATAGCCTACAATCCACCCAACAATAGCGCCGAAAATAGAACCAGGCCACTGGAAGAGCGCTAACTGCAGCGCGAGTAGATACCGGTAGGACTTGTCCGAAAATGTAATGCCTTGGAATGGCTCGTTTGGCGACTGCGACATTGAAGTGGCTATTCTATATTTATAGAGATGAGGTATCATGGCATGGTATTGGGCAAGAGCCGCGAAAATGATGGGTGTCGGGCCAGCGGGGAGGTAATTGACCAGGCCGAGACTAAGAGGTCGAAGGAAGAGTGCTAGGAGAATCGGTGACAATATACCAGTCAGAAGGAATGTAACAAAGATGAAGGTCTGGAATCAATGGATTACAGTTAGCCACAGCTCTTCTATTGCTTGGGGCAGCGGCGGGGTAGGGAAACACTCACAGCATACTTCCGCGAACCCCATAGTCTCTCAACGGACCTTAGATTATACAGGCTCATGGCGGCGAACAATACCTCGGACGAATTTGTGTAGCAGAGCTGGTAGATCAAGGCTCGCCAGGTCTGGTGGAAGCGCCAAATGTGCAAGTCAACGAGGATGTAGAAATAATGCTTGATATCCAAGAGGCTCGCGGCTACGGACATGCCGATAAGGCCATAGACAAGGCTGCGCGTCACTGGCGCGTTGGTGAAAGACATTTTAAGTCCGTTCAACTCTACCAGCGCATTGTATGATCAGCGCTGGGATGGCGTTGCCGAGGATTGACTTGGGCTCGCGGATAGAGCCTCGAATCTGGGCAGATCTGGAGAAGTGCCTGTCGATGTATTGTTATGCCTACTGTATGTGTACTTAGGGAGTAGAGGCATGCATCATGTATAATTCTCCTTACCTATGCGTAAGGTTAGAGAGGTTGATGCCACTATCTCTCTACCTACTTATGCTGCCCCACTCTACCCGATAGGTAAAGTGTCCTTGTTCAGCCTTGGTTAAACCGCCTGCAAGGCTGAAGAGGAAGGAATACACTTTACCTACTCCTACCGAGTTAACCTCACATAAACTAAAGATTTCATTGAAATTTGTGTCATATAGCATAAAGAGAATTGTTCTCGAATTGAGAATCAGGTCGATGACTGCCAACAAAAGGTACCTACCTACCTCTGATGCATTTCGTTGCAAATACCTACATACCTATACTTATGTAAGGTACATAAGGTATGCAGCAGTCTGCCAGCAGGGAGCCCGCCTGGTTTTGACCCCAGATGCGCTAAGGACGGCCTGCATGTGGGTACCTACCTAGAGCTACCTCGGTACCTGCCTACCCAGATAAGATGCCGCTCTAAGCATACCAATATGTGGCAATACTACCTAGGTACGTAGAGCACACCACAAACGCACGATAAAGCTCCAATTGGCGCCTTAGCGCTCCACCAGTTGTTCAACTCGAGCTGCGAATCCTTGCAACAATGACAGTCGTCGTCATAATTTCTAGATGCATCAGACATAGCCACAACCAACCTTCGCGTTTCCGTATTGCCTTTCGTTACCTACGTATTCGTGCCTGTACAGGACGCCTCATCTGTGCAGGGAAAGAAAGTATCAAGAAAGTAGAAGTGCCCGTTCCCACGACAACATAAATATACTTTTAACTACCTGCATATTCCACATCTATCACGCAAACGTCCCCCTATAGCCGACCTCATCATGTCCGATCTGTACCTGTCCCATATTAGAAATTGGTTTTGGAAATCTCCTCCGGCAGAATGGTTCATAAGAGGCGCGCGAGAGATGCTTATCGGCACACTTAAACAAGGGCCAATTCCCAAACACGTCGCCTTTGAAATGGATGGGAACAGGCGGTTTGCGAAGAACCACAAGATCGAGACAATTGAGGGTCACCATTTAGGCTTCGAAGCTCTCGCGAGAGTATGTTTCCATCGTTTCAAACTCGCCGTACACACCTAATGGATCACTTTCAAAGGTACTTGAAATCTGCTACAAGTGCGGTGTCAAAGTCGTGACTGTTTATGCCTTCAGCATCGAGAACTTCAACCGTCCACGTGGCGAAGTTAAAGGGCTCATGGCCATGGCAAAAGTGAAACTTGAACAGCTTGTGCAGCACGGCGAACTGCTAGATCGATATGGCGCGTGCATTCGCGTGCTTGGCGAGCGAGACCTTATTCCTGACGACGTTCTCCCCTTCGTCGACCGAGCCGTGGAGATGACCAAGCACAACAAGGAGTAGGTTTGACTAAACTCCTGGTTCGCATGAGTCGCGCTAACTCGCATATCAGCGCGGTTCTGAACATCTGCTTCCCGTATACTTCGAGAGCTGAAATGACAAGCGCCATCAAGGCCACTATCGATGAATTCACCTCGCCGTCTCAGCCATCGAAACCCCCATTTTCACAGTCAAGGATAACTCAGAAGATAAGATCGAATCATTCTAAAAGGACAGAGTCCCTGGACTCGATCAGGGAAGCGTCGCCAGAAACTGGTGCCAAGTCGGATGTAGACGATTCCATGTCTTCGACAACAGCATTAGATCCGGAGTCACCGCCTTTACAGTCGACGGCCAAGCCTCGCAGATTCCCAAATGCTGAAAACATCACCGCCGACACCATCAACAGCCACACATATACCGCAGAGTGTCCACCCCTCGATATATTCATTCGAACAAGTAACGTCACGCGATTGAGTGACTTCATGCTATGGCAATGCCACGAGAACACTCACATCTTTTTCCTCAAGTGTTTTTGGCCAGAATTTGATCTCTGGCATTTTTTGCCGGTATTGCTCGAGTGGCAATGGAGGCAAAAGAAACTCCTCGAGAAAGAATCACCACGCAAGTAGCATGAGTGCGTTGGTCACCATTGTTTAACGGAAGCGTAAACTTGTGTTGAGAACCTGGGAAACTCCGAATTGACATAACCTCATTGAGTGCCGTATCAGCAATTAGGAGGGGTGGAAGCACAGCGATCCAAGGCCTTATTTATAATCGTTCCGTGTTGCTAGCTATAAAAATGGAATAGACGATGTTTACCGTAATAGAAAATGCGCGACGGTTTCCGTAGATGTCAGAGCATTCTAGGCATCGATGATTACCTTACCCAGTTCTCGCTGTGTGTGACGCGGGTAATTCCAAAGTTTTGCTCCAGTACTGTTATAATTACCAAGTCACCAGTCGTGAAGGTGACCTAAATACTACTGGAGGACCACATAGCCAACGCCCATTTCAAAACCCTACTTGGGTAACTGGAGCAAAAAGTTAATCATGCATGAATTCATGCCTGCATATGTTTACTCGGACGGTTCTCTCGAGATGCCTCTACTTATTGGCTTTCGCATCGCATCCAGTGACCTATCCAATCTGCACATCTACATAAGGTACCTAGGTAAGGAGAAGCACCAGTAAAATGGATCTGAGCGGATATGGCCAGCTACTGTATATTTACTTGCCTAGTCCGCCCGGTTGTACATCGGGTATGGCCTCAAAAGTGCTTGTTGTATCTAGTCATAGCACGGAAATATGACCTGGCTAGACTCCATTACAGTACTAGCAACAACATCGTTCCCACAATGCCAGTCAACCTTGTCTCAAATTGACAACTTGTCGCTTCTAATCGTCCATATGTCGTTACATCTACCCACATACCATACCTGTACAGAGGTTCTATTCTTTTATGAGCTATTCAGGAACCAACTTGAAGCATGGATGGTACATGGATACCTAGCGTGTCACCTCGAACCCCGTGTGTCAGTTCCCGTCAGCTGCCAGAGTCTAGGACAGCGGACACCCTGCAAGCGGCAGATCAGCCATCCCCAGCTCATCTTTGCTCTCTTATCCCTTATCCCATCCCTTACCTTATCTTATCTAATCGGGGGGAGATTGGGCGATGATTTGGTAATGCCTTGCTAGAGAGCCAGGCGCATTGGCCGAGGGGACCTAGGTTAGGTAGGTACCTAGGTACTTGCTGCTACCACCTTCAGCATGCACCACCTTGCTACGCTGCAGCTCACTGACACTCAGGCACTGTAGCCCTCGCAGTTTTGCGCCTCCGCCTCTACCCTCTTTACTTCTTTGGTCGCGTTTCTTGCACCACTTGTTCCAGCACAGCACAACCTGCCTCAGATGCCAAGATGACTTGAGCTTCGCTACTTGAAGCTCCTTGTCGATTTCACCTGTCAACATCATTTACCATCTCATCTCACGGCTTTCTGTGCGCCCGCCTCGCTTGTCGCTTCTCGGCTCAACCTTCCAGTCGACCGTTTCTTCTTCTCGCGCCATTAGTTTCCGAGGGACACGATGAAGGCAGCTAAACCATCTCAACCCGATGCTGCTGGTCCTTCCAGTCGGAGGGCCCAGCCAGTTCGTCAAACGCGGACGAACCCTCCGAGGACGAACTCTGGGTCTCGCATTGTTGGCGGCCGCGAGTCGCTTGGAGGCAGTCAAGCCCACGATCAGCCCATCGACATCTTTCCCGCCATTACTCACTTCACCGACGCCATTACCTCCCTACCTAAAGACATCGTCCGACACTTCACACTCTTGAAAGAAGTTGATGCCAAAATCTTTGCTCCCGAGGAGGCATTATTCCAATTTGTCGACGCCGCTCTTAAATCGAACCCTCCCGAATCACGGAGCACTCGCGATGGCTCCAGTAGTGTCGCGCCCGCCTCGACACCTATGAGCGCCCAGAATAGCTCCAGTGGTAACGCATTGGGCGGTCAACCGGCGCCTGGCTCACTCAACGAATCCCAAGCCTCCACTGTCTTCGATCCAAGCAACTTACCAAGGCGGAAACTCTTTCTCCACACCGCATTCAAAATTCAAGAAATACTCGTCTCTCTCGAAGAGAAGAACCATGTAATATCTACAGCAAACGAGGCCCTCTCTAAACACTTGTCTCGCATTAACGATGTTTGGCCCCACCTCGAAAGTGAATTCAGTGATGAGGCAAAATGGGGCAGTACTACGCATTGGGCCTACCCAGAGAACCGTATCAATCGGGCAAACCAGGCGGAAAGATCGCGGCGTGATGGGGCCGCCGTTATCACCGCTGCTGCGCAGCAACTCCAAGTAGAGGAAGCTGCAGCACGAAGCGATGCGAGAAAACAAGCGCTTATGGCCAAGAAGGGCCTTAAGAACCAACACCAAGACTCCGACGCCGATGACCATGACAATAAACAAAAAGGCGACCCTCCAAAAAAGACACAGGGCGGAACTAAAGCACGCAAAACCGCGGAATCTACGACACCAGTGGGTCTAGGTATTACCACAGGTGCCAATGCGAACGGGAATCCCCCATCAAAGAGGAGGAAGGTTGAAAACAACGCTAAAGCAGTCAATGGCGGACAGCCTATGGAACGTGCTATGAGCTCCGTGTATGGCAGCAATGTCCCTAAACCCAAAAATCCTAGCCCACGGGCGACTCCAGCGCCCGAACCAACCAAGAAGCGGAAAGCGCTTCCCACCGCAAATGGAATATCGAAGAAGAGGTTAGTCTCATGCAGCACTCGTAGTGACAAAACTGATGTGTTAACACCGATCCACAGCAAAACCGCAGCCGTATCCGCCGCGGCGGTCTCTCCATCCATACCATCACCGACCCCTCAACCAAATCTAGGAGATAAACCAAATGTTCGCGGCTCTCCCGTGCCACCCACCAACGCGCCGCGCCCAGCTTCTTCGAGAGCGAGACAGAATTCCATCCAGTCGAATGTAGAGAACGGTCGACAGCGCCCTGCCTCATCAGCATCAAACCGGCCTAATGGGATGACTATTGCCCTCTCCGAAGTGCCTGTCGCACCCAGTGGACCGCGAGCCTCGGTCGAGCCCAAAACCATAAAGGATTCTACCGCTGTTATCAAGACAGAGCCGAATAAAGAAGAAACCAGCGTTCGCCCTCCAGTTGCCGTGAATGGCCTTACCAAGAAAGACAACCTACCCAAGCCAGATGATGCAGAATCCAAGCAAGAGCCTTTACAAAACCATGTACCAACCACAACGACAGTTGTTACAACTAAAAGCGGGCGAGCCAGTAAGCCATCAACTCCGGCCCTAGGCAGCTTTCCAGATGCAGCACCACGGTCCCGGTCGTCAAGAAACACGACGACGACAACGGCGAAGAGGAGTCATAAGAAAGGTGCCTCTTTGCACGCAATACCTCCACGTGTTGTGGATGAGGACACAAACAGCAGTGGCCACGGCGATGATGAAGGCGAGGTCGATGCTGATGAACCGCTGTATTGTTATTGCAACGGGGTTAGTTACGGCGAAATGGTGGCTTGCGACGCAGAGGACTGCCAACGGGAGTGGTTTCATCTCGACTGTGTGGGCTTGAAAGCAGCTCCACCCTCTAACAGTGAGTTTATGCATTCCCTAAGTTCAGTGATAGTTAACTGACATAAGCGACAGTGAAATGGTATTGCGATAACTGCAAGGACCGTCTCAAGACGGGGAAGAAAGTCAACGGAAGGTGAATCTTTGGTTGTAACGTGTTCCGCGAATGAGTGATTATGCCAGGTCACCCTCTATGATACATATAACGGAGTTGGTGGCTATCATCCAAATCATTTTACGGCGAATGGCGTCTGGAGCAAGCCGATTAGCGAGCATTTGCAGAATTCCAATGACTCGTGGTTTTGGCCCTCCTGGATACAGTATATTTTCCTTCCTCCTTCGAGGGTTGTTCCATAGATTAGCGGGTGGTCCAATAGCGATTAGGGCAAAAGATGAAAGAGGTTATAGCGATCTTTTGACGGGGTTCAGCGCAACGAGAGGCACTTTGCAGCACCGCTTCATACTATCAGAGAACCCATAGCATCAGGAAAGGCAGGAGTCTTTAGGGCGCGGTAGTTCTCATTATAATTCTCTATCCACGGAGCTACTAGAGATGGTCAATTGCGTCGTTTACGTAACAAGATATTTGTTTCCGTCTCTATACGACTTTGGTCGGGTCGATAGACGGAGGAAACTGCCGACAGAGACTTAGCGTGCATCTGCTAATAGGTATATAGAAAATAATGAAGCTATAGTTCACGCAATCCAGTTATGCACTAATAGACGGCTGACCTTTGGTGCCATCAGTCCTCACCAAAGATCCTTATGGATCTGCTTGAGTGCAACAAGTTAGCCAACGCAAGCTTGGCTAGATACCACGCGTCGTAGATAAGCCACGTCAGATGCAGCTATAACTCATGGTAAAATCCCGAGAATCTCGAGAATCTCATCGCTTCGAATTATCAGCACTAACGCGATGGCGACGGAACAGGGACAAAAATCATAGTCGATGTCCGGAACGACCGAATCATCCACGGGTTGCGGCCCCGAGTTGCGAGTTCTAGTCCATGTGTGACAGCCGAGGCACAAGAGATTGAGGCAAGGCTGTGTGTGGCACACGGTTGGTCGTCGGGGCAATTCATTGCGCCAGCCACGCCCGGAATCTAGCCAGCTTACGTGTTGTTATGCAAATAGTAACGCCACTTATCTGAGCTTTCTCACGCGGTACCTATGCCTTGTGGTATAGAGTAGTTAACATAGGCAGCTGATGAGGGCATACATAGGTCTACGGCTGGCGAGGGTCGAAGCAAGTGAGGCTCACGCGGCTGCTTGACGTCAGCTCCGGTATCGGATGCGAGCATGAGACAGTGTCTTCAGAGGTAGTATTGGATGGATAAAGATCCAAATGAGCTAAGCAGCACATAGCTAATAGAATGGTCGGAAATCGAACCAAGCTCAGTGCTTGGCCCATGCAGTCATCCATGGTTGAGTTGGACTATAACATGAAGTTTTGCGATGCATCTGGCAGTTAGATGGTCTGATCAAGCAAAATTTCAAGACTACGGGTGCTCGTTTCTGGTCTTTTGGTTCCTGCCAAGCGCAGGCAGAGGTTGGGATGGCGAAGACCCAAGCCGGGAACTTATTTGCTTGTTCGGTGGTTTATCTGCTTGCTTGCTTACTTGCTTGCTGAGGTCTAGAGCCGATGTCGGCACTAGAGGCCAATTCGGAGTTTGCGCAAAGTCCGGCTAGCCACGGGATGTAGGCAAGTGAGTAATACTCAGATGTATGTAGTATCAATCACTTGTGTTGGTGAATGATTTGCGATGGGCCCGAACGACTTTGAAGCCGACTGCGGGCGCGCAGTGGAATTCGCCTCGTACCTAATTACAGCTATTGCTATCACTCAACGCCCGGGAACCTGGGGCTGGCGGGCATCGTCAGGCCAAGAGGTCTGGGCAGGTGATCAAAGTATTGGAAATCGATCCAATCTTCTATTTTCAGTTTTGCCGGAGTTGGCACGAATTGGGTTGTAGTGAATAATGATGGAAAAATGAAAGTCGCTCAGCCAGATCGAACGACGATCGAGGCCTCATGTCCATTCGCTGTCCTTATATAAAATACTACCTACTTAGTAGGCAGCCTTTGTAGCATATACTAGACCAACAGCAAAAGGAGCAAAGCTACCAAATGATGTAACTGTCGTGTCATGTTGCCAAAGGATTGGGCAATACCACCAGTCTACCACTACTGTACGTGAGTGGTCATGATTTGGGAAAAGCCAAGCGACAAGCCAAGATGCTAGCCAAGCCAGGGGGAGGGGATACACCCAAAGTCTGGATAGGAACTTGTCGTGTGGCGACGGCCAATGAGCGATGCCGTAGCACGAGGATTTCTCCAATTTTGGCAGTCTTTTTCTTCTTTTTGCCCCTTTCGTCACGATGCCCGCCCCCCTGGTCCTTTGTGCACCCTGACGAGATGGATGCAGCACGGGTAGGGGAGGAGGGGAGTGAGGCTGGCCACAGGTACACACTTCCAAGTTGGGTGACGAGGTTACAACACCGAAATGAGAGAGAGAGAAACCCGGCGCAACCCTGACAATCAACTTCGGTCATGCGATGCTGCTTGCTTGGATAGAAGACAGATGGACAGCCATTGTTATGATTATTATTACTACACGGCAATGGACCGAGGACCCCATTGTCTCGCCAAGAAGTGGTAGGAAGTGTTTAGAATGGCTGATGTGGTCAGGTGACGGTCAAGAAAGCTTAGGTCTTTTGTTTCCATTACCCAATACTTGGCTGATGGAAACTGCGAGCGCCCCTCCAGCGAACCGCCCGGACACTGCTGGAGCCACTGGCCGGTTCTGTTTTGCTAAACTTTACTACATCGATACTTCGATGCCTGTTTCTTTGACCAGAGTTGACCATCCATCTCACCTCCTCGGCCACAGAATTGCAGTCCACGTGCTGTGCAAATTAAGGCAAGGCGAGAGAGAGAAGAGAGAAAAAAAGAATAGTTTACGGCTTCCTGTCTTCTTGATCTGCGCGGCCCCTTGCACATCCTGGGCCGCTAGCGGGAAAGCAACAACAAGTAACATCGCCTCCAGCACCTGGTCTGGTCTACATTAGTCTACCCCAGACTTTTTGTCTGTCACTTTCGCACTTTGGCTTCTTTGGCTTCTTTCATCGTCTTAGTCTATGTAAGTAGTTTTCCTCTACCTCTACTACCGTGAGGCTAGATCTCATCATCCACGTATATACACAGGTCACAAGTCCCATCTGTACAGTACCCTGCTTATGCTGACCTGACCTGACCTGACCTGACTTGACCGGACCTGCTTGGAGCCCGCTTTAGTCTGCCGTCCTGAACCTGACTGTATTATTATTATTATTATCTCCTCCAACCTCCATAACTCCAACACGACACATCACGCATACACTACTTCCTAGTGGACTCCTTTGTTTTCCCGTCCTTCTTTAAATTGTTTCATCCACGTCCAATCTGTCCCTAGCCGGTCCCCTATTGGCCTTGAAGTAGCAAACATTCCCAACCAGTTCATTAAACGCCACGGCCGTTTAATATCACGACGCCGGAGCGCTTCCCCGCATTGCGCCAACCATATCTATTACCTAAACTCACGACCCATTGACTAACAAAAAAAAAACTGTCTGGGCCTCCTGGTGTGACACCGTGTGTACATCTCACATACTACGTACATGCGCCTTCGCAGCAAACGGCCGAACCAAACAGAGTTTGTGCCACCTGCGCATCCGGGTGGTATCCGTGTCCCATCTCCACGGTACCTTGACGAAGCCTCTGCGTTGTCGCTGACGACGAATCCTTACATTGCGAGAGGGCCACGGGGAGCGAGCAAGAAAGCAAACCACCATTGCGCTATTCCAAGCGCTTCTTGCACCACGACACAACCTTTCTCCTTCCCATTCCCTGAGCTATTCCCATATTGACCCTCAGACCCATTCTCTACTGTACGGTCTGGGTTCCCATACTGACCTATACCACCTGCCTACCTACCTACCCTTTCCATCCCCAAACACCCCTCTCCCGGCTACCATGGCCTCCGTTCCCACCGCTTCCGTCCTGCGGAGCTTGGATGATTCCCTGACAGAGGAGCTTATTAAAACGAGCCAGCCACCCACTACTGACGAGGAGATGTGTGACACCACCGCTCTCCAGCAAACAACCAACGCTTCAACAAAATCTTCATCTAGTCGCGCCTCCTTCTCCTCGGTGCGAGAAGTAGACGACGACATAGCCCAGGCTTTTAGTAGCAGCAAGGTTTCATCATACTTCAGGGAAGGGTCAGACGCCGCTGTTGACGATACCAGTAGTGACCCTCCATCAGCTGGTTTCGATATGGCCGAGACACAGTTCATGCCACCCGTCACCCAGCCACACAGCAGGCTACATGGATGTTGGTTTCCTGCCGTCGCTGCTGATAACTTTCAAGGATGGAAGCAGATTGGTGTGAAGGGTAAGCAGGCGAGCAGGAGCTTTGGCGACTTGCAAGCCTTGCGCATGGTCTGGTCTACAGCTCCTACACCGAAGAAGGTGAAAGGTCCTGTAGAGGTACGGCGTACTCCAGGCAGCTCACCACTTGAGAGGCTCCCTATGGAGATCAAAAGTAGGTTACCACACCCCTTTTACATGTATCCCCAGTGCCCTATCACAAATTTTGGAGAATGAATCTTCAGCCGTGCCAAGCTCAAAGGTCAAGGCTTGAACAAGGCTAGTCCCCATCGTGCTACCCCAGATTGTTTATGTCACCACCATTTTGCCTCCTATCGTAGTACACTGTCTTCCTGAGTGGAATACTAGCTTATTATGCAGTCTCTTGAGTATGAGGCAAGCACTTGACGCTAACATTTTACAGATCAAATCATCGATCACCTTGTACTGGACATCCCACCAGATGGATTAGCTAGTCGTAATGCCGACTTGATGGCAATGCTGTTAACCTCAAGAACTCTGCACTCCGCCACATTAAATGCATTGTACAGGAATATCACGATCCCCCATTCGAGGATCTTCCGAAAATTTTTAGCCCACATTGCTCAAAACCCAGAGCTTGGCACCATTGTTCGGAGATTGGACTTCAGCCACTTTAACCCAACTTCTCTTTTCACGACGGCAAGTGAGCGCGCTACTACCCGCAACTTGACGCATGAGACGTTGCTTCAGTGCCTAGAATTAACACCATATCTTCGCGAATTCCTGGCTCAGGAATATGTCGATGACGACATTGACGTTCATGTCCTTCGGAAGTTATTCTTCGGTTTGGAGAGATTGCAAGGACTTGACCTTTGTGCATGCTCCTCTGCGCCCTTTAAGGCGGCATTTGAGGCGATCCTTTCGGACGACTGGCCGGCAGAATTATCCATTACCCGGCTTTCATTACACCGCTGTATCAACCTACCGTCAGCTGTATTCGAGATGCTGCTGCCACGCCTCACTAATCTGACACACCTTGATGTAGCTGGGACCCGCATCACCGATGCAGCACTCATGTCCATTCCACACACCGCTAGAATCACGCACCTCAACTTGGCAAAGTGCAGACTGTTATCGAGCTCGACCCTCATCGATTTCCTTACACACCATCCCGCGGTAAAGAATCTTGTTTACCTCAGCGTAGCAGCTGACTTTCGAAGCTACGAACTGCTCGACGAAGAAGACGTGGCTCGTTTGCTTCCAGTTCTACCCTCAACCCTGCGATCGCTTAGTCTTAAAGGCAGCAGGATGAATGCTTCGCACATTAGCCTGCTACGGCCATTAACAAAGCATCTCGAGGAGTTGTCACTGGGTCGCCGACTTAAGACGGAAGACATTAACCGGCTATTCCTCCCTGACGAGGAGATGGAGCAGCTAGACTGGATTCCCCATACGCTCAAGTATCTTGACCTGTCGGACTACATCGCCGGATCTCTGAATCTTCCTGCACTTTTCAGCAGCGGTTCTCTCCTAAACCGTCACTCTGCGCCTCTTGAGGTAGTTGAATTGCCAGATGATGCATACACGCGCCTCTCTCGCTCACAGCCGGTTATACGACTTGGGTGGACGGCGACAGACTTCGGCAGCCGCGCTTGGCTTGTGAGAAGACCAGAGGGTACCCGAGATCTTGGCTACCGTGACTGGAAGTTGGGCGCTGCGTTCTGGGGCATGCGCAAGGTGCCCGTGGCGGTGGCTACTGTTGGTGGCATGTATGGGAGTTACATGTTCAAGCGCCACTTGTAATTCACATGTGGCCACTCACTATACATGACACGACGCTCATCTAGCTACTGAGCCCCCATGTTACAAATACCTCACCCGAGCTGTTCGGCTCACATCGTGTTTTACACGCCATGATACCCGTTATACCTTCTGGTTCCATTTTCCTTTTTATTGTTACGGCAATGACTTGATGAAATAATGATAAGGATCAATGCGGTGGTTAAAAAAAAGATTCCAGCGAAAGATCAAGTAAAAAAAAAGTTCTGCATGGCGGCGCAAATTGCTTTCTGTTTAATTATAGGCTACCAGCCGTTTCTGTTTATTCTTGTACTGGGATTCGCAAGCATGATATGCACCAATGTAATTAGTATCTATCATCGTCCACGGTGTTTCAAATCGCAGCCGTCAGTAAGCACTACACATGCAGTGAGGAGTCAGAGATGATTAAGTGAACGATAAACCAATCTGTTTTATGCTCGAGTAATGTGTTTTTCTCCGCGAGCGTAGATAATTCTTTGCGACCTCAAATTCAGGATTATCCGAGGCTGTGGGCGTAGATCGACGCATGGTAGGATATTGCGTCAGTATGACACGGAATTGAGAAATGGTACGCGTGACGTGACTTAAACGCGCGATGCAGATCCCCCTCGGGTTTCGGCTGCATTTCGTCTTGTGTGAAATATATGTATGTATTGTGGGAATAGCAAGATAAGCAGTATGAGGTCTTAGTTCTTTATTTACGATAGGTTTGGGTATCATCTACTTCACCTTTCTTGTTTCATGTATCTGATTAGTGTGATCTTCTGCCCAGGGAGATACTGTATTGTTACTCGATTAACCGAAATCTAGGAACTATAGTTAGTGAAAGAAGACGAAATACACTGAATCTCAGCCTGCTGCTGCTGTCGAAGTATAGGACGTGAGTGGAAGCGTAAGTTTGCCCTGGTAATTGATATCTTAGGAAAGTTACATAACTTGTTCAGGGAGAGATACTAAGAGTAAATAAACATTTAGTTGATTGATAGAACTGTAATCAAGCCTTCACTCATTGCTCTCCTCTGGGAATGCGGGATATCAACGGAGACGGGGAAAGCTATATGGACTATCTTGAGTAAATGAGATCCATCGACTCTATGTGACTGAACTAGTCTTTCTTACTTTTGAGAAATCGAGGGTGTTTACTAGTTCATGTGTGATGAAGTATTCCTGCACGCGCCGAATACCTTCTGTGTAAGTAATTATTACATTCGGACTTTAGTTGCATAACCTGCATGAGACCATTAGGGCATTCACTTCGTATTGAAACCAAGGGTGTTCAGCCCTCGCTTTCATGAAGAATATTAACGGACTTAAGAGGTGAAGGAGGCAGGTCCAATTGTAGGTAGAATGAAGGTTAGCCAGCCAGCAAGAAGTCGGGAAGGGCTCCAAATAGGTCTTGACAGCCATCATAGTATATCGTGTATAATTTCAATTTCTGCCCTGGATTCGCCTCCTTCATTACATTTCTTCTGAATCTCTGTTGAAGGCCTTATTATGCCCCTGAGCATCTATGAAACATTATTACACAATGTCGTGACAATAAATGTGTTGTCGTCTAGTTACACTAAGAGCATAGTATTTTGAAATATCTGTCGATCCGGAATTCGAGAGAAGTAGAGACGAGACCTTGTTATCATAATGTATAGATGCACTTTTATCCCCTTTTATATGACTTTCTAAAATGCTTAGGGATGTGATTCGAATTTGAGCTTTTCAAGGAATAACCTGTTCACATGAGAAATATACATGTTGGTGGATATGATTTATAGATGGAATAGACAATATTAGGAATTCGTCACGTTTGAAGTGTTAGATAGCACTTGTAAGTTTTGCGCGGAGTAAGCATTGTCTGCATGGATGATGCTGCTATTGACACTAGGTATGTATATCTACACTTTTTAGCTGATCTTGGACATAGGACTTTTCAGCCCATGAGCTTGCGGGTGCTAGATTCCGCCTTAGACTATCGCACGTGGTTCATCTGTTTCTAATCATTGCTGATAGTGTATGTCCAGACCTCTTATCGGAGATGGTAGATATTGTCCCGGCCAAGGCTGGAACAAAGGCTAGCTGCATGCTGAGATAGGTATCGTCCGATTCCGGCGGCTGTTACCATCATAGAAATACCTGATCTTGTCTTTGATACGGGGCGTGCCGATGGAGCCTCCCGGCGGGCGGGGCCGGCACTTTATCTGACGGCCTCGCGGAAATCCAATCCTATGCGCCATTTCATTGGCTTTGCATTGTTACCTACATTCAGCTCACGAGTAACAGAAACACGTCATAGATAAGGCGAGATCCCTCTATGCCTATAAAGATGTCGACAACTTCCTTCACCGAGATCCACAACATATCACCAACCTACCATTGAACTGTGACCTCGTGCACAATACACGCACTCACATACATATCAAACAAACAGCCTAACATATCGCATTACTTGATTGCACCATGGCATCCATCACCGTGGAACCACTCAGATTCCCCGAGGGAACCGGCATCAACTTCGGAGCAGCAGTATCAAACGTCGATATTGAGAATTTGACTGGTAAGAGCAGGAATATATGATGTGATTTGTGACATGATGAGATATTACTAGTAGGGAGAATACCCGTATAAATCGGTAACCTCCTAGCGTGAGTATCCCCAGCCCGCACACTGAAACCAACCGCTCAGCCTGCTAACTTCAGGTCAACAGACGATGATTTCGCTGTGATCCGTGACGCATTGTTTACACACCAGATACTTGTGTTCAAGAATCAGGGACATGTCTCACCCAAGGCGCAGTTCAAATTGACGCAACGCTTCGACCCCGCGGGCGGCTCCTCATACGGTCATGGCAAGACGATTGACGCGAAACGGAGCATCTTGCACCCGGATTTGAAGACCATCCCACACCAACCTCAGGTGCAAGTCATTGGCAACGGACGGGTGCCTTCCTATGAGGGACTGACGGACTTCCAACTGCGACACCCGCACCACAAGACCTTCCACGCTACGTCCATCCCTGAGCATGAAGACCTGGACTTCACGCGCTTCTACCGCTGGCACATTGATGCTGCGCTCTACGGTGAACTTGCGCCGCCTGTCGTCACGACCCTTCTCGCTGTCAGGGTACCTGGTGGCCGACGTCAGACATGTCGCTACGATGATGGGACGGGCGATGTATTAGAGGTGCCGCTCGGCACGACGGCTTTCGTCTCGGGTTATACCATGTACGACTCTCTGTCCGAAGAAGACCAGAAATTCGCACGAGAGACGAAGGTTGAATACGCACCTCACCCATATGTCTGGATGAGCTCGGCCAGATCGCGGTCGGACGGTCTCGGTCTAATCTCCCAGGGCTTAGAAGTGCCCGTTGACGAGCTACCTCCTCACAGCAAAGAAGAGACGCAAATCCTTCCCCTGTGCTGGCGGAATCCCGTGACCGGAAAACTAGCGCTGCAAGTCCATCCCTCAGCTGTGCGAAAACTTCACCTCGCCGACGGAACTGTCATCGATGACCTGACTGAGGTCCGCAACATTGTGCATAAGCTTCAGCGTCCTGGTATTTCGCCGAAGTACGTCTACCCGCATGACTGGGAGCAGGGCGATCTCGTGCTTTTCCACAACCGCGGCCTCTTGCACAGTGTTGTCGGAGCGTTTGCCGAGGACGAGGTCAGACTATTCCGACAGTGCAATATTGCTGCGAGTCAATTCCCCGAGGGTCCTTTGCCGACTGCCGCGGTCACCGCTTGAATGAAAAGCAATCGCTAGACCGAAAAGATTGACCGAATAATGGGGCTTTCATGCTATTTTTCACTCTAGCGCTGTTAACAGTTTGCTTGTCCTTTTTCTATTCATTTTCCTGGACCCTTGCACATCTGAGACTACCCGAGGCGCAGGGCTTTCTGTTTGCTTCATGAGATTACGATTTGACTTGGCCTCGCTCTTTGCGATTCGATGGCGCATGATTAGAGGTGTCATATTCTGGTTACAGTTTCAACGATCTCCTCCTACATAGTAGACATAGAGAGAAATAGACCAATTAAATCACTTATAGGCAGCTTGGCTTCTACGCGACAACTTCTCTTGACTACTTACAGATACAGATGCGTTATTGCTACCGAGACTCGCATCGCAGCCTTGTCTTTCTGTGTAGACTTACAAGTACCTACAGTGTGTGCAAGTAGCAAGCTTTTAACTACACATATTATACACAATCGGCGAATGGCAGATGGTTTAATGAACTGCGTCCCATCAACTAGTAAACAACCAGCTAAGCGTCGAAAATTCTTCGTAGCAACAAGCAGCTTAGCTTGCAATTTTTCTGCGCATTGAATGATTCCAGCCTCTTCGAATGTGAAGACTTTGTTGGTCAATGGAGCGAAAATGATATTGCAATCTCTGGCCATGGGGAACTACAAACTTTATTGGCACGTGATTGGTCAACGGCTGATTCATTGAAAAATATTCCCCGGGAGACTCCACATGAGCGCAGCTATTAGCGCTTTCCAGTCTTTGGGGTACCTAGGTACTTGCTCGTAGCCCACCAACCTCAGGTCGAATTCTGCCGGCAGTAAAAGAAAAAAAAGCGGCCCACACCGCCCAGCAGGCCAGTCCGCAGCATCTATATAAGGGCCCTCGGCCTCCCACCTCTTCCTCTGTTTTTCTTTTCTTCTTTACACGACAATGTGAGTTCACACCCACCCCCCAACATTCAGACTGTCCTCCACGACAGTTCCGAGTGTCTTGGTCCCCACGCAACACTCGCTAATCAATTCCCTTTCCGAAATCCAGACTTCAGAGAATCATTTCTATAGTATTCGTCCCACTCTGTGTTTCCCAAAGAAGCCATAGAGCCTACCCTGGTTGATGAACGAAAATCCCCGTCGCCCTAGAGTGAAAGCTTTTCTCACACGGGTGCCACGTCCCTTCGGGTCCTGGCTACCTTCTACTCTCGCTCTGTCCGCAAGGATGGCGGTCGATGCCTCGTGCGCCGGCTGTATAGAGAGTGGTGATGATCTCAACCCCGTTTGTCGCGGTCTTGCCTTCGGGCGCGTGGCCGGGGTGGGCAACGGTGGAAGTCTGACAGGCTTTTATCCCATCTTTTTTCATTGCTATCGTGTGCGTGTCACGCGAAGTGAAGAAGAAGAATCGTTACCTACCAGGTCTTGGTATTGTAATTTCAGTTTATTTTAGTATCATCTTTGTCTGGTTGATAATAGTTACTTTGGTTGGTGCGGATACGTCTGGTCTCTGTTCATGATTCTACCCCAGCACTCAATGCCGCCTATTGCTTCTAGCCCTGCAGAACCCCAAATGCTTGTTTACCACTTCGCATAGTGCGCCTAACTGATCGTGCACCATAGTTGCCGCCGTGTGCCTTGCGTGTTCTGCTCAATTCCCCTCCCATGTAGCTCACCTTATGTAAAGTTGACGCACCAAGTAGTATTTTTGGGGGCTGATTCTACATCCAGCTTAAAATGTTCTGTTCTGCCGAGATCTAATGCGTCCACTGTAATATCTTTAGACATCTGCACCTTAGAGCATACCTGCACATGACGAACATATCAACTTTCTCTACACCTCGCCGTATTCTGACTGGAAGCTAGCTCGCACCCACGCTTATCAATCTAGGTATCACCATCCACATGCATGAATACAAACACTGCGAAAACGTATATCTTCGTCCCCAAAGACACGTATATTCATTTCAAAGGCAACATCCTGCCTATGTGAAGTATGTCCGTGATATATACCTATACTAACGCGACTTTTATATAGAATAATCCCTTTCCACAGGAAAAATAAACAACTAAATGACAACCTTATGATATAGTATGCAATAGTGCAGATGCGTATACGCACATATATATATATATATATATATATATATATATATATATATATATATACGTCCTTCCTAAATCCCAGACTCCTTTCTACTAACCTACTACTCTCGACATCATGACGGAAACTGGTTCAGCACATTCCATATCGTATCTGTGCCGAATTCGCCCCCAAATTGCCAAGGGAACTGCTCCTGCGCGGGCATGGTATGCAAACCCGGTATCCCTAGCCCCGCCATTGTCGTGGAGGGGTCCGGATGATTATTGCTGTTCACGGAGGAAGAGTCGGCCCCCGTGGTCCAGTATTCCGTTGGCATTGTGCCTGCCGTGGTGCCGCCGACTGGACCGCCTAGGACGCCTGTCAGGTCGTTGTACGCGATGTCGCCCATCGGATACATGGGCATGAGCCTGCCGAAGTCGAAGTCCGTCGGCAGCGTCCACTCTGGCGAGAGCAGGGCGCTGCTATCGGACGGAATTTCCGGGGGCGTGGGTCCTGTGCCGAGAGGCGTCGTGAGTTCTGTCTTGGGCGTGGGCTGGGTTGACAAGGACGGCGCCGAAGTGGCTGATGTGTCGTGGCTGGCGCGGTGTGAAGAAGACGACGTCGAGGAAGCGTGGGCTTCCGACTGCGATATGAGCCAGCGCGTGGCGGCCTCCGTCTCGGCTCGAGCTGTCTGGATGCAGTTGCAGTTCAGGAAGCCGTGGCCGACGGCTTTCTTGAAGCGGATCCATATAGCCTGTAGGACGCCTAGCGCCGAGCGCGCAAGGTGGTTGCGCTCGGCCATCTTTTCGAATCGGTCTACAGCCCATTGGAAGTGCTGGCGAGCTTGGTCCAGCAGTTCAAGGTGCTCTTTCGGAAATAGGATGTAGATGGAAGCAACCATAACGACGGCGTCGAAGGTGCCGAAGAAAAGCGAGTACGTCCGGTGCTGCGTCGTGGTGAGCGCGGCGAATTGCTGTCGTTGTGACTCGAGCATCTCCAGACTCGCTTTCAGTGCTGCGTTTCGGCTGGCTGCGCGGGTGAAGACGTAGGGGCGATGAAGGGCAAGGATGTTGAAGGCGTGTAGCTGTGGTAACTGTGCTCGTGCGTATGGTAGCCACCAGCACTCAGGAAGCTGGTCGAACCGTGTATCCGGGTTTTCCAAGCGGAAAGAGGGTGGAGTCCGGGACTTGATCTCGAGAATCTCGGCGTGTATCTTTTCGACCTTAGAAAAATCCTTGGGAAAAGGCCCTTCTTTTTCCAGATCCTGGATCTCCCTCAGCGTCTGCATCACTTGCCAAGACCAGATCATCCTCGTTAATGGGGTTGGCGGGTCGTCATCTGTGCGCGGCACAAGAGGTGTTTGTTTGGTCGGGGCTTTAGGGAGGATGGCGTCAATGGGAGAAGTGCGACTTATGAAGCGGTGGTCGATGCTGGTCGGCCTACCCAACACGGCTCCCGTATGTAAATCCCAGCCCATGAGGACAAGCCAGATCATCCGGCGGTGTTGCGCCCTCCACATTTTCTCTATCGTATCTTCATTAGAATCATCTGCTGTCGGCTGAGGATCCATTTGGTCTCGGTGTAGGCCAATGCCCTGAGCATCCCGGATACAGGTTCCCACCTGATGCCACTGTACTACAGTTAGAGACAATGAAGAAAGCCTATGATTTATGAGAACTTACAGCTTCGGTCACCATGCCAGTGTATTTAAGGAGCGATGCTCTACACCAGCCCGCCAGTACGGTAATAATGGACATTTGTCGCTTACCCAACAGCGTCAAAATTGCCATACCAGCCTCACTGTATTCGACGGAGAGATCGTCAAAAGTCATATTACTTGTATATTTCAGACATTCGAAGTTCTTCTCGCTGTCCCGAGGGAGATACAGCAACGCGCAAGCAGCCAATTGGAACAGCAATGCGGGCAGCGCTCTCAGCATGGGGTCTAAAGCCTGCGGCCCAGAGTTCGATAGAACATTGAATGGTAGGCTATACCATTTATTCAACAGACTTCTCGTCAGAGGCTCGTCGATACCGAAGTACTGCCAATTGACATCGTGGAAGTAGATATCGACGAGCTGTTCCACATGCGTTCTCGCAGGCAGCTGGCGGATGAAGGATTTGTAGCGTTCTCGCATGTCGTAGCTTTCTTCGGAGGGTATCTCATTCGGGAGGCCGGGGAGAGGTGCCCCCTGGGCGGTCTCGATCTTGCGCAAAAAGCCCAGAGTCGAGCCGGCGCTGGTTGAGTAGCCAAAGTCGGCGCTCGGCACAGCAGACTTGGTGTCGGGCTGCTCATTTGTCGTCGACGACGGTGCTACTGTCGGGTCGGTCTTGTGGATTGGTGCGCCGGCCTCATATCGACAGGACGATTCCTTATTACGCGTCTGGCAGTTCGTACAGGGCAATTTTCGGTCGCACTGCGAATAAGCGAAAGCTCAGCATGGGGGTTCGTCAAGGCATGCGATCGGTGAGCGCATTCGAGGAGGGGGCTTGCAAGGTGTTCCAACCTTCTGTTTGCGCCGATGGCACTCGGTGCAGCTGATGACAATGCGTCTGCGCTTGCGCGGCGGCGGCTTCGCAACCTCGGATTCTGAGTTGGGCCGCTCTTCAGCACCCGAAACGGGCTCCGTTAACTCGGCAGCATCACCCATTGTGAACGGTCGTTAACCGACGGATGGCGTGCTCGTGTCTGGGCGCAGATTAGGAGGAGGAGAAGGAGGTGAGCGAGATGATTGAGCCGGTGGAAGTGACCAAGCTGGATCGGTCGACGAGATACTGTAACTCGGGAGATAGATGAAACCCAATCAATCACTACGAGATGGTACTGAATAGAACGTGCATGGCTCGAACAGTCCTACGGTACCTGCACGTCCCTCCCGTCGTTGGCCGTTCCACGGACTTTCTTGGTTAGACGGACGGGGATGACAGTTAGCAGGGGGCGATAGCTTCCGGTGCCTTATGCTCAAGTAAGTAGGCGAGTAGGTGAGTATAGCCTTGGTGGATGGTAAGAAGAGCGAACCACTCCCCCGTAGATGATAGGTATCTCTTCAATAACTCAAGAACGGTGTCTGGCTGTCGAGGCCGCGCCGCATACATACACACACACTGAATGAGGATTGTACGTAGCCTGCGGAGATTCGCAGTTGTCGAAGTTGTTGGTCAGACAATTTCTCTGCTTATGGGCGCGGCACCTAATGTCAATCCACCCCCTAATTTAGCATTTAGCCCCTCAGTCAGTCAGCTTTCATCGTCTTCCGGTCTTCTGTCCGGCGTTTGACCCACCTAAACGCCGTTGTCTCCGATACACACGGGCAAGATAGATCGTGGATAGATATAAGTCAGACACCTATGCAGTTGATGCTCTGTAATCTCACGACTTCTCAACGTCTTCGTATCTATGTTTAGAGAACAGACGACTCGTGGTTGTTACATGTCTCGATATTGTTTTACCCAATTACCTAGGTACCTAGGCAGGCGAGCAGGCAGGTATATATACCTAGGTAAGTATACGACGGCAAGGAATCATACTTGGCCGTTCCCCACCTCAATATATCCAGGTAGGTATATATCTATCCGCATAGATAGCTAGATGCTACAGCAGCTAGTGCGCGTGACTATTCGGATTGTAGCCGATGCTAACGGTTAAAATGACCTAGTGTTCTACTCCTGTTGTCACGAAGGGCCTATGTTACGCCATTGAGGAGCTGCTCTCGGGAGCTATCGTTTCTACCTCCATGGGTTTGTAATAAGAAACATCCAAGCTCGCCTTGTGCTATTGTGTTCGCGATTCTTTATGCCTATTGATATATGCCCTTTTGAAGTCTAGACCCATCTTGGAAATCCTAACTCCAGGCTCCAATAATCCCTTAAACAGGAGATAGGAGAGGCTGCCAAGCTTCGTTACGCCATTATCCTGGAAACATTCTTCATCTTCATGTACGTTGCCCTGTCCGAGCCAAGTACGCTTTCCATGCTCGTCTTCGATACCGCTCGGCTTCCGCTCGTGGGGCCCCAGCCTTGAGGATGCCTCGACCGACGATGATAATGTCACTCCCAGCATCGCCAATCAATTTGGTCGGCGTGTTGTATTGTTGGCCCATGCCATCTCCGGCTATCGTCTCATCTTCCGAGCCTTCAGGGGGAAGCTGAACACCAGGTGTCATAGAAATGAAGTTATCATCAGGTTCCGTGTTGAGGGTTCCCTGGGAAATGAATCCCATAACGAAGTCCTTGTTCTCACGCGCAGCCTCTTGACACGCGCGTGTATATTCGGGTGTCATGTAGTTGCCTGCGCTCGACATCTGCGCCAGTATCAAGAGCCCACGTTCCCATGGGGGTTCTTCAATCCCAGCATATACTAACTCGTCTCCTTCAGCTATTGTGGTCGCGAAGCGTGGCGAGTCGACTGGCTCGAAGGATTGTGTTAACGTGGTAATAGAGACGATGCTACCTTTTCTGCCAGTGCTGTTGGAGTCACGATGCTGAGTCGACGGGGGGTGAGGATGCATGGCTCCCACTGTGTCAGCTTCTTCCTCCGCCACCTCGTCGTCGTCGTCGCCGTTATCATTGAAGGAATCGGACACAGGAGTGCCGACTGTGACGGATGTGTTCACCTCATAGTTAACACGGGACCGCCAGTGCTTAGCTGCTTCGGCCAGCGCCTTCACTGCTGGCTTCCCGGGAATCATGTTTATATTCACGATGTGAGCCCAGTCGATGATGCGTGCAGTACCCGCCGTGTACTGTAGCTGAACGGTGTGACCAATATCACCAAATTTCCTATCCTCAAAAATAAGGAAGCCGTGTTTCCTCGCCAGAGCACCGAGCTTGGCACCGGTGCCAGTCTTGGGGTGGTAATCCCACCCTGCAACGAGATCATAATGTGTCTTGAATAGGACAATGGACGGACCAATTGCATCAGCCAACTGAAGTAATTCTCGGGCATTGGATACATCGGCACTTAAGCAGAGGTTGGACTGCTTTAGCTCCATCAAACGTAAAAGGTAAGCGGCGAGAGGGTGGTCCGTTTTCGCTGCCCTCTGCCCGAAGGTCGCCTTGACCGTCGCGTGGTGGTCCTGGGAAGCGCTCATAGCGACCGGATTTGCTAACAGCTTTGAAAAAAGTAAAATAGTCAGATTTCCGTATCTCCTGGTCGAGTTTGGGTCGATGGACCGAAAATTGGTAACCGATAGCTTTGTGAGAGCTGATCACGTCCGAAGAAGGATAGAGGGGTAGATTAAATTGCGGGAAACGTTGAAAACAGATTGCGATTCGGGTATATATTGGTAGATGATTGCGTCTCGTAATAGGACAAGTGACCTTTTCGACCGACGGACAGAAATTGTGTTGGTGCGACCTTTGACCACGAAATAGCAAGCCTGCCTAGGTCTGCACGATGCGAAGGAGTTTGCGCGAAGATGCCTACTCCACGTATGTACTGTAGCTTCTCCAGAACGCCAGCTAGACCCTAGTCTAGCTAAACAAATGGAGCGAGCCTTGAGGGGTGCGGACGCGGGCTGCAGCGGCGGTGATCGGCGGTATTGGACGCTGTGCTGTGGAGCTACAATGATGTCAATTAATTTATTTCGCCTTCAACCTCCAGAGTGATTCTGCAGCCCTGTCCAGCTCACTCTAGCCAATTTGATACCCCAAACTCTATGAAACAAACCAGGAATGGAATGGATTGTGATGGTAAATTACCGTCGAGGGACGGATATGAGCAAAGTCTTCTCGGGGCAACATCATATACAAGAAAGAAAATAGATAGGGTCTAGGGTCGAGGGAGCTACAAGAATAGTGCGTGCGTATACATGTAGCATTCCAGCTCACCAACCCTGCGGTGCACCTCATTTACGATGTAACACCATTCTTCTTAGCTGAGGGCGGCGAAGATGCAAACATACAGTACGGAGACGAGCGAATGGAGACAGACGTAACCCACCACCACTCGAAGCAGAGGGGGAGGTTCCGAGAAACAGGAATGAGAAATGCTATTATTAACTTACCCCAGAGGACTCGTTGGTTCGGGGATTTGGGTATCGAGTATTAGTCGTTCCCGGTATAAGTGGCCCGGCCTGCCCTTGATGGTGGGATTTGGAATGAATCTGTGGATCGACAATTCCGATCTCGAGGGCGCAGCTGGATTGCTGTCAGATGCTCACCGACAGCACGACGAGGCAGATAGATGCAGGTGCCGTAAGCGTGGGAGGGTTTTCGGGCCTTTCTGAGGGCCTGGGGGGGTGGTGGCCGGCAAAGCCAATGGGGCACGCAAAGGGACGGTAGGGAACAATAGGTAGGTAGGGATAGCGGAAGGATGGGTCTAGGCCAGTGCTGGGCCAGTGTCACGACATGTGTCACCTGCTTGTCAACGGCAATCCGGTCAAATCAAAGGTCATCTCCGAAGGGAGAAGAGAATTGGCCTGTAGCAATCCGAGAGTCGATACGGACGAGTATTTATTGCTTGCAGACGGCGACGGAGACGGGAGGGAGGGAGGTGGTGGTATCGAGGGGAAGGGAATGGGAAGGCACGGGTAGGCGAAGGGGAGTAGTGAAGGATGGGGGTGGGGGTGGATATTTTTATCCCGTTCCTGCGCTGCTCAACGAAAAAAAAAAGAGGAAATTGACTGACGGCTGGGCTGGGCTGATCTGGTTGCGTTGCGTTGGTTTTGAATATGCAGGTAATGGCACCTGTAGGTAGGTAGTAGGTAGGTAAACTGGTAAATTGGCAGGCCGGCAAGACAAGTCGGTCTGGACACAGACAGACAGACACGCAGAGAGGCAGCAAAGCAATTTAATTATTTGCCTGCTACTAGATGCTAGGTATGTGAAGCACAGTACTACAGGATTGGGGAGGTACTTGCAACTAAACTTTAGTAGGGCATCAGGGAGCCAGGAACACGGGGTCAAGACAAAGACGAGATGGGCTCGATGGGTAAGACACAACAAGTCAATCAAGGCAGTAGTAGATACTTACTTCGTAATAACAATACCTACAGCTAAGCTGAATGAATTGGTGTACTAAGTAGGTATGTGTGTGTGGGTGTGGGCACGGGTGTGCGTGTTTGCCCTTCTTTCCCCTCGCCGTTTATCGTCGGCTGGTTGGTCCCTGGGTAGTTATTCTTTAAGTAGCCCTTTTTCAGTTCACTTTATTTTATTCTATTCTATTCGGCATCTTGATTTGCTTATTTTTCAAAGTATAGTACGGTGCCCGCGGCCCAACATGCGACCCAAAAGCAGGTACTGTAGCGAAGGTGGTGTACAAGTAAGGATGGCCTGGCTTACACAGAGACCGCCCTCCTTTGCAACCTCACTCATCCGACATCTTACTGGTCACTAGCTGGAGACCTTGAACTTGCTTTCTGTACACTATTTTACATTCTTAGTGTACTATCTAAGGGCTTCCCACCTATCGCTGTCTTTGCTCTATCTGTGGCCAGGTGTGACTACTAAATAAGGATGTAGTAGGCCTTGTACAGTCTACGGACATTCTAGCATTCGTGACCATCCCATACCACATACCCACTACATACCGGTATGTAGAAGTGGTTTGTACTCAACAGGCAGGTGACCCTGTCGAGTCAAAATACTATATGAATACATAGTAGTGCCCAGATCATAGAAAGGCTACCGCTCAAGATGCTGCTACATTACCTCCATACTAGTAAGGTTTAGTTACCTGGATATGTGGATTGTAAATACAGTAGAGTTGGGCTACTAGTTCATTCATTGACCAACGAAATCCTGAACGTATATAGCTGGGCCAGTTAGGAGAACCGTTGGAACAGTGCTTATGGATTACTTAAGTTACTTATATTTATATCAGTCTGTAGACACTCACGAACCACCTCGCCTCGGACCTCAGAGCTACAACGAGAAATGATATGCAACCTAACAAATCCCAGGCGCATATCTATGTACTTCGTAGGGCGAGCTGGACGAGGCGGCACACGTCGATTAGGTAGTGGAGCGAGCCGGCGATCCTTACAAGTATGTAGGTATCTGTATGTCTGTTGGGCCTGGACAGCCAGTGGTAGGTATTATCAGGACTAAAAGAAAAAGCATCAATGTCTCGGCTCCAGGTCTGACCAGTGCCGTACTTGGCCCACACAGCCAACGACATCAAACAGCTACTCCGTGATAGGTCATATTACGAGGAGAAGGCCGTTTGTTTTCTGTTGAGGATGCTCGACACAGTAGACGAGGCACTACTGTATACTCCGTCCACATACAATGCCGGTAGGATTCCTGTCGGGTCGTTCCAACCTCAAAGGATAGTGCAGTAAGTAGCGTCTGGAAAGCTTGACTCGCGCACCCTGAAGCGGTCTTTAGTGCTCCTAGTCTGGCTAGAAACCCTGAGCAGTCGAAGTTTGCTGTACCGGCAGCGCATAAGTAGGGATTAGTATCATGCAGTTGGTCCTGGCGAGCCTGGCTGACCTACTGGAAGCGACCCTTTTGGTAGCGCAAACAAATCTGTTTCTTGGCTGTCTTTTCGGGGAATCCTGGCCCACGTACTTATGAGGTGGTCACCTACGAAGTATGTATACTTGCTTGTGCGTGTACGGTATTCTGTGCTACCATGTACGTGTCTAACGTTGCCCTCATCTTGTCTCCTTGCGACCTGTCATGAACACCCGGTGACTCGCTAGCTGGAAGTTGTAAAACATGTCGCGGGGTCATATACGGAGTACTATGTAAGTGAGATCATGTAAGCAGCATTTCTCTCTCGGGTCTGCTCGGGCTCTCCTATAATGTTAATCCAACATACTTAGGTATTGCGTCCGTTAGGTAGACAGTTGGCTTGGGAAATACCGTACACATAACGGTATATCAATCAGCTCCAACCTATTTCCCCTCTTTCCCCCCCTTAAGAAAAAGGAAAAGGAAAACAGGCATCCTGGCTGCTCTTGGGCATGTACCTACCTAAGTAGGTAGGTAGTAAATGCTTTAAGAGACGTACTCATGCCAAGGCTCCCGTCACAGTGGTTCAGGCCAGGTAATCTGCTCAAGCGAGCAAGTCGGCATCTCTCTCAGCCTTATCTCTTATCTTATCATCGACCATGATAAAGCACTTGCTGCTCGATACCTGCCCTGGGTAATGGATTCCCTGGACAGTACCTCGCAGTACTCGAGTCCCCTGTATTGTGTTGTGATAAAGTATGTACCCAATGGGTACCCTATAGTATAATGTAGGGGTAGCCTGCGAAGGTGGGCATGAGGAGCGGCGTCGAATGTTGCGCGACAGGGACGATTTCATAGACCACCATTCAGGCGAAAGACAATCTAATCTGGTTTATGGAAAACTCTCATGAGAAGGAGATATTGAGTGCCCGACAACGTTTACTTATAACTACATAATTTCTCTGCCGACCTAACTAAGAGTTTGGCCTGTTTTCTATTAAAAATAGTACTCCCAAGCTCCATCCATTAGTGCTCTCTGGAGCAGGTGCCAATCCAATCTCCAATCGAGCACCAAGACCAATTTTGATTGCTGACCTTGGCCGCCAGTCTGTCGATCCACGTTTCGATTTGCGCGTCTCCTGTTTCCCTCATCAAGCTCCATCTGAACTCAAACATTTGACTTTTCCTCCCCTTTCCTAGGCTATATGGTGGCGAAAGCATGCTGTGAATGGGACGCCTTATCCTTTCGCATACGTAGCTCGATCTGATAGACCGAATCCCTTAAAATACTTCGCCGCTTTGATCCCGCCCCCCTCGGCGCACGAACAAAGTGTCAGACCAGACGCATTAGAACGAAACAGAGAAGAAAGAAAGAAACGCCATGTCAGAACGAAGAACTCGACGACAAGCTGCGATGGCGGCAGCGAACGAGACGCCGACCAAGACCGATACGATAGACGATGTCAACGGGAATGCTGCCATTCGAGCCTCACCCGCACCGTCAAGGACAATCGCCGGCCCTGCCGAAAACATATTTCTATTCTGGCCCAACGTAATTGGTGAGAGAGCCTTGGCCTAAATTATTCTTCACGCGCGCGAACACCGGACTAACTCGGCGCTCCTCAGGATATTTCCGTATCGTGCTAGCCATTGCATCCCTATATTACATGCCGTTGCATCCGCGGACATGCTCCCTACTCTACAGCATCTCCTGTCTACTCGATGCCCTCGACGGATACGCCGCGCGCTACTTCAACCAGTCGACGAGGTTCGGCGCCGTGTTGGACATGGTCACCGACCGATGTACCACGTCGTGCCTGCTTGTGTTCCTATCGTCGGCGTTCCCAAGGTGGGCGATTGTGTTTCAGGGCCTCATCTCCTTGGACTTCGCGAGCCATTATATCCACATGTATGCGACTCTAGCGATGGGGGGCTCGGCAGAAAGCCACAAGAATGTGGACAAGTCGCGAAGCTGGCTCCTCAACCTCTACTACACCAACAGGGTATGTCCACGGATCTTTTTTTTTTTTTTTTTTTTTTTTTTTTTCTCGCTTGTAATCTATCGTTCCGTGAAGCTAACCACAGTTAGACCGTTCTATTCGTCACATGTGCCCTGAACGAACTTTTCTTCATCGCGCTCTACCTCCTGTCCTTCTCCTCGCCTCTCCTATCCCCACAGCTCCTGCAAAAGGTTGGCGAGTCGAAAGCCGCCGCCGCAATCCAAGGCGGCGCACAGGTAAATAGCTCTATCATCAGCCAGCTGTTCACGAATCCCTATAGCGCTGCGGCATTGGAGATGGCCCGAGCCAACAAAATGGACTCGACATGGCCTTGGATCCTGGCCGGGGTTAGCGCTCCAGTCATGATCATCAAGAATGTACTCAATGTTGTGCAACTCGTCAAGGCCAGCAAGTGGCTGGCAGAGGGCGATGTCGAGGCGCGAAGGGTTGCGGCCAAGGCGAAAAGGGGGCGAAAGGGAAAATAGATCAGTACTTTCGAGTCTCAACGGACCGGGGGTTCGGTCCATGGCTTTATTTTCGGCTGTATCAAAAAGCCTACTTTACTCTGTGCGTAGCCTATTTTTGAACGGCTAAGTTTTTATCTATTTAATTCTCTTTGTCCTTTAGCATTGGGCAGGCGTGGTAGCATAAGAGTGGTCTCTGGTATTACTGGAAGTCGATCAAATTCATTGACTCCCAAGGCGCCCGGGAATTGGCTGTATATTACAAACTGGAAATCGATGGACGGCAGGGCGGTCAATATTTACGGATCGAGCGTACTTATCCTCGTAGTAACAGAATATAAATCTAATACAATACTTACACGCGTGATGGAATGAATATGTTACATTCTGTCATAAGTTATTACATTTACAGATTTGATTGTGGAACTGGCTCGTCACCCGTACGTAGATGTAAATACATGTCAATAACTACCTAGTGAAGACTTAATTTAATAAAGTCCTCATTATCCGCTGTAAGTTCACGTGGAGGTCAATTTGAATTCCAGAACGGCATTTTATGTCTTGAACTATGAATCAGCCTAGCGCCCTAATTCAAAGGCGGGAGTCTCAAATCTAATGATTATACTAGCTAGCTTTCGTGATACGCTTCTACAGTCCTTGATACCATGTAACCATCACCAGCCGCCAATCACAAACCCACTTGTTGACATGAAATCTGCATTAATCGCGTTATACAGTCTTAAAACAACACCTTATCTCCTTTGGAACTTTTGGCCCTGCTTAGGCTGGCTCCCATAGGCTCTCCGTCCTTGAGCTTTCTTGTCCCTGCTCATGCTAGCACCTAATGTCAGATCAATCCGCGGGGGGACGGAGAAGCCAAATGATTTAGCGACCTTTGCGAGGTCAAGCTTGTTTATGTCACTGCGCCGAAAGAGGTTAACAGCCGTTATGTAAAGATAGGAAATTACCCCTTATACATCATATAGCAGAGATTATCAATGATGGTAATTTTGAAGCATAGAATACACAACTTACAAGACTGTTCGCAGAGAATGCGAAGCATAGGCATGAAGGTAAGCCCTGTAACCCTCTGATGATGACCGTTAGAACAAACTCTGCATTCAACTGAATCGGAAACAAATACCTTTTGCACTTTGATTCAAGTAGTAGTTGCTATTTATAAGTTTTTCGAGTTGGCTCTGTATATTCAGAATCTTTTTAGCAGGGAAGTCGTATTCGACTACCGGTACGCGGGCAGCCTATCACCTTTCATTAGTTGTCTGTTGCGATCGAATGAAGGAGAAAGGCGGAATGCGCAAAGATGGCATCATCGTTAGAAATAAAAAGTTCCAGACTAGACCAACTTTGCTCCTGGTGAACATCGAGTACAAAATACGAAATTCATGCTAACCTTGAGGTGGGAAAGGAAGCCTATCTCAGACGGCTGAAGAAAGAGAAGAGAACGACCCTTTGTCCCCGACCCACGAGCAGTTCGACCAACTCTATGAATGCTATAGGATAGTTAGTATATATAGTTCTCCGTAACGTGAGTAAGGAATAACACATACTATTCACGCGGATCGTCAGGAGGGTCTAATTCTGTTATGAGTTAGCAAATAGTGACCCCAATATTGGAACCGAGCTAAGACGCTATAAGGCAAGGGATCTAGACGAAGGCCTTGAGGAGAACTTACGAACCTATAATACATTAGCAACTTGGGCTGTACAAATGTGCAAGGAGAATGGATAAAGGTAGGAAACTGAGCGTCCAAAAAAACAAGTGACAAAAGGTGAGTCAGGTACTTACAATGAAGTCTACTGCAGGAATATCAAGGCCTCTCGCTGCCACATCCGTGCAAATCAAGATGCCGGATTTAGCATTTACAAAAGAGAAAAATGTCGAGGTTCGCTTTTGCTGCTTTTGCTTTCCATGCTATTGTAAACGTTAGCATCTGATTCCTTAAAATGGATAGTGATCAACTAACCAGGTCCAGACAGGGGAGATCGATATAGTTGAGTAGCCTTTCGAACGACGTTAGACCCAATTAACAGTGTACAGTGACTGGCGGGAAACATACTCGGCGTAGTATTTTACCGAATTGCAACTAGACAAAAACACTATAATCTAATCGGATATTAGCAATGGTGTTCTAGAACTAAAAGTCATGTATTGGGATACAAGGTAGTTTGATACTTGCTAGGAAGGAAGGAAGATGAGATCTGCGTTACCTTCTTCTTTGCATTCTTTTTCAAGAAAGAAAATAACAAGAGGAATCTCTTGTCGGCTTCGCAAACCACGTAGCCTTGCTCTAGGCCTTCCACTGTCGAGTGTTCCTTTGCCTCATCAACGTTTATATATAGGGGACCAGGTCGAAGTGATATTCTTGCCAAATCCTCGACCTTTGTTGTCTGCGTGGCAGAGAAAAGCGCGGTTTGTCTGTTCTCAGAGGGTAACACTTTGATTATTTGTCTCATCTCATCTTCGAATCCGACTTCCAAGATGCGATCGGCCTCATCAATAACTAGGGTTCGCAGATTTTTGTAGACGAAACCTTGAGTATTCTGAAGGTGGTCAAGAAGTCTTCCGGGAGTGGCCACCAGAAGATTTACGCCTTTGCTTAGCTTATCGGCCTCTGCGCGGCGATTTGCTCCTCCAATCACGATACCGTAGGTCTGAGAGTGATGTTTCATCAATTCGGTCGCCACCTGGAAGATTTGGAGGGCAAGCTCCCGTGTTGGCGATACAATAATGACGCCAGTTCCATTCCGGGGTTTGAATCGGAGAGAGTGGAGCATCTCGATCGCTGGGAGCAGAAATGCGAGGGTTTTGCCACTTCCTGTCTTAGCAGCTCCGAGGACATCGCGACCAGCCACTTCAGCCATAATATATTGTCAGATACTTCTCTGTCACGTTATATATGGTGGTTACAATCACTTACGTAGAGGTGGTACAGCACGACGTTGAATTGGTGTCATTGTCTCAAACTTCATCTCTTCCTGAATTGCGCGCAGTGTTCTTTCGGAGAGGTTCAACTCTGTAAATTTCTCAGCGCCCTCGGTTGGCGCAACAAGAGAACTTAGATTATTGTCGACAGCATCGCCGGCAGCGCCATCAACTTCACTGCCGTCAGCGTCGCCGTTGATATCCTCGTCATTTTCGTCGTCATCTTGATCTTGATCTTCGTCTTTCTCGTCTTCGGATGATGAGACTTCAGATTCGCTCTTGGGTTCGGGCTCGGCTTTTTTCAATTTCTTCTTAGGGGCGGGCGAGGCGACTGCTGTGATTGGTTTGGAGACAGTGGCTTTGGCGCCATCGCTATCCTTGAACTTTCTCTTCTTGGTATGCTTCGTGGACTCCATGTTGATTAGCGGTGATTGCTTTGAGGGTGGGATATCGTCGTTGAGAGAGGTAGAGGGAACTTTTTTCTGGGCCTGGCACGTAGGATCTCTTATCGATATGGCCAAGTCAAAGTGGTCCCCACTAGCTAAATAGATCGCACCATAGCCACCTAAGTACATACCTAGGTATCTGAATTCTCAATAAGCTAACTTAAACGGGTCTAGTGGTCTAGGTAGCTTATTAAGTAAGTTCTGGGTTCCTGCAGGTACCTGACCTGTTGAGAGAGATGGTACCATGTAATTTGCTACCTAGCTGTGGTTGTACGTATCTTCAAATACCAAAGCCCGAGATTCTAGAGATGATTCATGGAACATCTAGTATCAACTGCAATGCACGCGTCTATTATGTGTACAGTAAAATATACCTGCGTAATTATCTAAGATAGAGGCACCGGCGAGGTCTGCGCCTGGTATTGCCCAAGAACGAACAATTATAAGTGTTATTATGTTGCGCCCCAATATATGGATGCTGTCCTCCTTTTTCTATGCAAGATTGCTTTTCCAATACAATGAGTGATATATCAACAGACCCACCATAACACCATGCCATGCTTTACTTTTAGAACGTGCCAAGCCGTGAAGTGAAGCTAGATGACATGACCGTCTTCCAATAGGGGAAACAATGCTAAAACTTTAAACCAAGGAAAAGATTGCGATGCCACTGACATCGTCGTCATATATGGACAAGAGTAGTATGCTGGACGCTTCAGAAAAGGCCACTTGTTTTATGAGATACCCTGTCTCCATCGTTCGATGCTTGCCATTTGACCAGTTGATTGAACTTGAGGGGACGCTCCGTATGGATTAGCATACCCGTTGGCCATTGGCGGACCATAGGCAGACATTGCACCACCCACGCGGAAAGCATTCCCCATTGCGCTTGCATTCAACGCAGGGTTAGGTATCGCAGAAGCACTGCCAAAGCCACCCATCATGGTGGACTCTCGAGGTTGTCCGAACCCACCGCCGGCACCATCATTGAAGCGGCCAGACATGAATCCTCCAGGCTTGACCAAGTTGGGCGCACTTAAGTTTGAGGGCATCTGGTGTCGAAGGGCAGCAAGTTTCCGCTTCTGCTCCTCTTTATAGCGTGCAGCTTCTTCTAGTCTGAGACGTTCGGCGTCCATTCGTGGATCGCTCAAAACAGTCCTCTTCCCCTGATTGCCCAGGACATCAGCCATGGAGTGCCGTTTTGTCAATTGGGGTGAGACACTGGATCGTCCTCCGTTGAGCATCACGCGGGCCATCTCCCGGTCTCGTGCTTCACGTTCAGCTTGGAGACGCAGACGCCGTTGACCCAATGTTTCTTCCTCCTCAGTCGGCGGCACCGGGCTGCTACCCTTCTCCTTGGGGGTATCTTTGCTTCCCGCATCCTCCTTAAATGCATCTCCTATTTGGCTAAGCAACTCCGCAGAGAATGACGAGCTTACGGGACGGTGTTGGGGAAGAGGATTGTTATCCTCGCGAGACCTTAGACGACGCATACGATCCCCTAGTGTCTCATCCTCGATTTCATCTCCCTCCGGGGTCACTACACGAAGCTGTGGACTAGGCGCGCGGAGGGCTGGAGCCAAGTTCAGGCTACGTGAAAGAGTCATGCGTTGAATCGGTCCAGCTTCCTTTCCATGAAGACGATTTCGCCGAACACTCAAGGGTTCGTTGTCTTCCATATCACGCCTTTCCATCAGTCCGAGTGGTCGGGGGGCTCCTATAGTAGCAATTAAGCCCGTCTCCTGGCCCTTGTTAGCGAGGATGAGGCCAAGTGGCGTATCTTCATCGTCATCCTCGCCTGCTTGGTTGGCATTTGGATCTTCCCAAGCAAGGTTAACCCTTTTACCTTTTCGTGCCTGACGCTCCACCTCCGCAACTCTATCCAGTTCTAAGAGTGTAGAATGCATACCGTTGGGAAACGCGGTGGCAGCAGGACGTGTGCGTAGCTTCTGTTGTTGTTTACGCATCTGAAGCTCGGCAAGGAGAGTAGTAGGTGGACCGTGGTAGGCGAGTTCTTCTTCGCTCTCTTCACTCTTCTCTTCTTCGCCCTCTTCTCCTTGAATATGATCACCATTGATGGAGGTGGATGGACGCTGTCTTTCTTCTTCATCATCGATAGAATCTCTGCCTTTCCTCTCCTCCTGAGAGCTTGAATGTCGACTGAGCGCACTTGGTTTCCGGAGATGAAAGAATGAGCTTCGATTTTTAGACTCATGAAGATCGGTGGTACTAGCACGCTTCATGTGCGACTTTCGTTTCTTATCAGAGCCATATACTTCTGCTCCCAGTGAACCTGCGAACGCGTGATCGGTGAAGGCCGACACTGGTGCTCTCGCTGAAGCGTTAAGTATATCATCAAGGGTGGATGTCGCTGAGCCATCTTTCAGTTGGATTTTGGGCACCTGTGATGGTAATTCGAAATAGGCGCTAGCTCGAAGTTGAGGGGGGAGATTGCCTAGATCTGGTAGCTGTGATCTCCGCTTGTCGATGTCCATCATAGATATTCTAGACATTCTGTGGTTGCTATCATTAGACTGGGCATGAGGTTCGACTGGGAGCTGGTTTTCATCTTGTACATGCTCAAATGAATCTTGATGAATCGCCTTTGCTTTAGAATGTCCGGTCAGGTCCGAGTCATTCATAACACCCCCAAGGGGGTCCAAAAGCGGTTCAGGGTGTAGTTCAGGTAGCCATGAGGCTGTAGACGGACGATTTGCATTGGGCATCACGCTCAGTACTTGCGATTTTCTAGCATCTTGAGCCTGTGTTTTTGGCTTCTTCGAAAGCTTTTGTGGTAAATTAAGCATTAATGGGACTCGAGCTGGGTAATAAAGCATTTTTTCGCCTGTATCAGGATTTAGATATGATTTAGGTCGAACTGTAGTTTGGCCAGTAGGAGGAGAGATCAAGGGCTGAGACACTCCATTTTCGTTTTCATCGGATATAGAGTCGGGGTCGAACGATGGGATAAACGATGATCCTGTTGTATGTGAGGCGAAAAGAGGTTGAAAATTGGCAGATTCTTCGAAATCTACATCTGGGGAGCAGTGAGCACCATCAAAATCAGCAAACGCCCGCTCTGCCTGTTCAAATGTACCATCTGAACCCGCAGAAGTGGGAGGCCTGTCATGAGCATAGCTGTACCCTTCTTGTTGATGACTCTGTGCAATAGGCTGACCCCAATAGTCATGCGCACTGGAATCGTAGTATATATTTGCATTCGGCGTCAGATCTATGTCTTGTATCTGTGGTATATGTAAGATTTCATCTTCGTCATGTTCGGCCAGTTTATCAGCCTCATCCATGGCCGCTGCAGTCAGAGCTGTTGGCTCTATCTCGGCAATGTTCGTGAGGGTTGGTACTGTGATAGATCGCACGCTACGGACGGATCCTTTTCCGGGGCCATGTCTAGACAATCCACTAGAATCAGCATCTGATTTGGATATCCCTGTTGATCCAGATCTGAGCCGCGAAGCACCCGCCATCATGTTGGAGCTGGGCGACATAACATAACCCGCAGGAGAGTAGCCGCCGTGGCGTGCAGCAGTATTTGTGTCCCGTATTGAGCTGGTAACCGGAATCTGCTTGGAGATGGCAGGTATCGTAAATTCCTCGGTTTCGGGGATGGAGGCTATGCTGGCAGCTAATATAGAAGACCGGCGGCTATCTACGCGCTTTTGTTCTTCATGTAGTTCGCGAATCGCATCGTCGATTGATGATGTCATGGAAAGTTTCTCGGCAGTCGCTTCAAGTTGGGCAATGTTACTCGCACGAGAGACGGATCGCGGGTTGGGGTCAGGCGTTGGATGGCGCAAAGACACGCTTTTGGTAGAAGCGGTGCGCACAATAGGCTTTGGCTTTATGAGAACAGGCTGTTGAGCAAGATGCAGCTGAGACAGTTCTTCGGCTGTTCCTCCAGCCATAAGCTGAAAAGCGTTTGCCTCAGTAACTATTTGATTATAACTAGCACCAGCGCCGGACGCAAAGTTTGCTTCAGCCCGAGTGTCCAGCGCTTGGCCAGGTGCATTGGGTTCCTGTTGATTGGTAGCCACAGCGCGGCGTGGGCTAAAGTTCGGCAACGGAAGCGAAGGCGCATCGCCGAAAGATGCGGTATAATGCCCTGCATCCGCAAGTGAGGCGTCGGGTTTGTGCAGGGAGTATTGGCTACTAGCCGGTTGAGCTACGCCACTCTGGCTCGTTGACGTATTTGTGTCGAAGTTGCTATCCATAGATAATGGAGTGAAAGTCGTCTCGAGGGCGGGTAAGAAAGGCATCGGAGATGACGAAAGAGCGGGAGATAAGGAGTCGGAGGGCGATGTGCCGCCGTCTCGGTCACGATCATTGTCAGATTGGGAGATCTTGCCGTCCGAAGGGGCAGTGGCCACCATCTTGGGCCCTTTCTATCGGGCTCTCGACCCACGACTCAGGCAGTGTAGGCTTCAGTATAGGTTTTCGCTAGATATCGGTGTATCTCAACTCGCAATACCGGCTGTCGCTATAGTCGCTGTCGTTGCTGTCGTTGCTGCTGTGGGAGAAAGGGGCGTTTTGCACAACACGGCGATAAAAATACGGGCTCTCGGCAATTGACGTAACATGAATAGCAAATTGGGAGGATGCTGCAACTTCAATATGCTGTGTCAGGCATGCCATGCAACACCAAAATGCTTGGTCCAAGGAACAGCACGTACACGCTAGCAGGTTGCAAAATCAAAGAAAAGGTTGATAAAAAAACAGCAAGAACATGCTAAGAGACCCGGCCAGGCTTTAGGAGAAGAGTGTAAAATGTAAGACGAAGTGGGAACCAAAGTGAGAACCAAAGTGAGAATGAGATGGATGGCCACGAGGATCAGAGCCCAAAGGATCTGGGGCAGGGAGACTGAGATGTACTACCGGTAATCTACAGCAAGCTATCTAGTACCTTGTCTCTTGTCTTAGTCCTGTACTGTACCTGAATAAAGTACCTGCACTAAGTCCGGTACCAACCAAGGTCGGTCCAAAGTTGCACGTAGATAAGAGTGAGAGAGTCAGACTGCAAAAAGAAGCAACAAGCGAACAAAACCTGAAATTCCTGGTCTGGCTCGATGAACCGATGCTTACACGTGTGTGTTATGGATACCGTGCCATACACCACCAGTGACCACCAGTGACCACACCATACCTACTCGCCTAACCTACCTCCCTACCACACCGCAGTATTTTGCAGAGGTAGTAGGCGGTCGACAGCCACATCGCTGGCGAACCGGTCCCACTAAGGCTTCTCCCGTGATGAACTACATGTACTATACTTATGTATGGTGTTGCTTTGCTGCTGCTGCTGCTACGGTACCTTGCTGCTGCCGGGAACTCGACCATGATCCTTGTCCATGTCTATTCCAGTAGGTACCTATCCAGTCCTGCACAGCAAACCATGGGACAAAAGCTGGTCTGATAGGTGGTATACTGGTGGGTGGGATAGGTCCGATAGGGTGGTGTTGTTGAACGATGGTAGGTACATTGTACACGCCACAATAAACCCGATTTTAGTACAGACGGGATGCCTATCAAAGCATCACCGATTTGTACGATACCTACTACTGTACTTACTTATGTATGAAGGGCACTTCCCAGCTTACCAACGGCATCACGAGTAATCTAACCATCTAGTGCCGGCCTAGCTTGCAGTCAGAGTTGTTTCGTTATCTCGAGGCGTATATATCCGTGCATAGCGTGTGGGTTTCTTGGATCAACAACTGCGCCAAGTCCAGGCCAGCTCTAGATTGTGCTATGTATAGGCTACTTGGAATACGCCACGCTCGGCGCCACGCTTGAACGGTCGAAGGCCGCAAGGCGTTGCACATGAGCCGGCGCCAAGTTCCACACGTGCGCTGTAGCTTAGGTAGGTACTTGAGTAAGTTTAATACCTGTGTGGCACATGGCCACAGATATCATCGATATTGAAGACATGAAATGAGATACAATACCTACTTAGGTAGTACTATGTAGGTATCTGTTGGATGATTGGATCTATGAGTTACATCTACTGTAGTACACTCCAACATCCCAAGTATGTATAAAATAAGGTAGGTAAGTATTCAAGTAGGTACCTAGCCTCTATTCCTAGAACAATACCTAGTAAGTAATGGCTCCAGTGGCCAGTAGGCGCTCGGATCCTGGAGTTACAAAAGCAAGACGTATACCTACTTGTAAATACACCTCTTTTGATAGGATCTTACATGTACTTGGCTGTTGAAGTGGTACTGTACAACCTAAGCGAATTTACTTCGTATTGCTTTGCCAGACTTGGAGCTTGTTTAGCGTTCCACTTCCACCAACATCGTAACTACCGTATACCTAGTACTTACCTAGGTGGGTAGTGTAAGTCTTCGTGATCGCCCCGTTGCTAAATACCTACCTTAGGTACTTTGTACTTACCTAACAGACAGCTACATATGTACCTACATACATTCATTAGTTAGGTAGGTAGGTACTCGCCCACGTTGTAAAACATTCACATGGAAAATGTCTTATTGCACGGCTATGCACCCCGTATTTATTGGCTGCATGCCAGCTATCTTCACTCGCGTAGATGGCCAAGATAGGGCGGGAAATGTTGGTGGCAGATGCTTTCAATACTTGTCCACACTTGCTCTTAAATGTTGCAGCGTGAAGAAGCATTGGTGACCCCAATGTTGCTCAAGGTTGCTCAAGATTGCATGTGCGGTACCTGGTTTTGACTGGTTCACCCACTCCCAGGCAAGTTATGGTCCACGCATTGCTTATCATGAAAAAGCGAGCCAATCACCAGGCTAATTATCAACAATGCGGCAAGTATCTTCATAGGAGTTGAACAACTTCGCCGAAGCAATGTACGATGATGCGTACAATGTGTACACCACTTTGCTACTACCTACCTACGTACCTCATGTATTTACCTATCATGCCCTCTTGGGGCTGTGATGCCTCCTTGCTCCAACGCGATACACGTCAATAGGGTCCGCTACCTAATTCCCGTGTGTGTACGGTCTCTCTTCCGATGCAATAGTATTGGCTCGTTCAGAGGGAAATGAGTTATCAACGCGATGAGATGCCCACCATCTTACTTACTGATCTATCTGTAGCATCCTATCAGCTGATAAGACCACAACTTGCAGCCCGAAAGATGGAAAGAAGGGTGTCATACAATCCCGACAACCTTCACTTACTTACTTACCTCAGTAGACAGCCCTCAACACCAGGATGAATATGGCAATTTATACGGAGTACAGCATGCATGCAGTTCATTTTACCATGCCCTCGGTCATAGCTGAAGCGTCAGTAAACAAAAGTGCTTCACCATCTCATTCGTCAGCTTACCCGTCTTTCTCTCAACTCATGAGATTTCTGACGTGATCTGTCAGCACGGGCTCCATCTGAAACAACTGCAGATGCATTGGTCTGCCAACTGGCCGGCCAATAGATTGCTCATAGTCGACGATTCCGATTAAGACTTGTATTGAGGAGCACTGCGCAGAAGGCCCCCACGACAATGATGGAAAGTACCTAATATTGCCCCTCGCTATCGTAGATAAAAAGGCCCCCCCCCATCGGACTCCTGACAACGGAGGTTGATAAATAAGTATAATTGCCATAGATGATCATAATCGCCCATTAAGTTGATACTCGAAAAGTTCCGGATTGATATCTCCCAAAGCTTTGTACACGTAGGGCAGCGATCATCACTTAGTTTTAATGTCCAGATATTCTCTGTGCCTAGCATTCCCACCCTTGCAAGTTGTTTCAACCCACTCAGGAATTCTGAATATAAGCCAACTATCATATAGCATTGTGACAATCAAAGCTAGATGAGATAATGTACTGTGTATGCTACATAGTAGAACTATCCCTACATTGTACGGTTGAGACCAATAGCGACCCAAGGGTACTACGTTTCACACGTGTCTATCTAAAGGAGCTAATCCGGAGCCTCAGGCTAATAGAAACCGACAGCGCCATTGCATCGAAATTATTATGAATCTTTTAAAAGTATTATCTAATAGTACATCCAGCCACTCTTTTAAGTAACATTAATTAAGGTTCTATACTCACGCCGGTAGTTGTCAGCCTTATATACAGTTTATCGGCCACCGGCGTCAGCAAAGTACACTCTATACGAGACAGCTTCTCGGTAACGTACGAGGGGCTTCTCAGCGACCACTCTCGATAACTGGCCCCGTGTATGTTTTCCTCGCCCATGCTACGTAATACAGCATACTGAACGAAACAACCACCCCGAAACCCAGCACAGCCCAATTGAAATTTTGGGGTGTGACATCCCGAGCAGGGGGCCAGAAGCTGAAGATAAAGATGTAGAAGAGATAAGCACAAGAGAATGCATTGTTGGCAATTCCAAGTATGCCGTGTACTCTCCAGGGCCCCCACGTTAAGCTGCCACCGATTGTGTTTGTGAGAGTATCGTCGTCGTGTCGGGTGCCTATAGCCCCTGTTACTCTGCGGTATAGGAGCAGAGATGCGGCGATGAGATACGAGCCAAATAGACCGGCTATTGACATGGATATAACGCCACTTGGTCGGGGTCAGTAATCTTGAGTCTGATCTAGGCGTAAAGGCTGCTAGGATATGATTTCTACCCAAACAAAAGACAAGATGATGTTACTCACTTGAAGGCTACCGAATCACCAATGTTGACAAGAGAGAGAATGATGGCAATGACAACTGTTACTAGTACAGCATTATCGGGGATGCTGGTTCGTGGGCTAATCTTTTTCAGAACTTTCCAGCCTCTGCAATGCTTCAGGTTAGCAGATGGCATCGTAAGCACACATGAGAGCGTGTAAAGGAGAACGAAATGACAGTCAAGGGCTGCTTACGGCACTCCACGATCGCGAGCAAAAGCCCAATATATTCGAGACGTAGATGCAAGGCAACCGGTAGTGGCGCTGAAGGACATGATTACGACGAGAGACGACATAACAGTCGCCCCGGCAGTCGATCCAACAGCGTGGTGGAAAACAGACATGAATGGATATTGCGGGTTCTCAGCTAACGCCACCTTGATGTCCCCAAGAGAATATAGTGTCGCAACCATCATAGCGAAGCCCAGTGTCCCATTGACAGCAAGACCTGTCATCAAGGATCGCGGGACCACTACAGCGGCGTTGCGAATTTCTTCCGACATCTACCAACGTGTCAGAGAACAACCCATCCATGCTGTTAGATTGCGTAACTTACATGTATAGCACCGTCTCCACCAAGAAAGGCAAAAACGTTTCCTATTATTCCAATGCTGAATGATAGGCCTTGCGTTTGCCATAGTCCGGAGTTGACCCAAGTATCGAAGACATCTTTAGCTGATCCGTGGGGGCTGAGCAACGTTAAGGGGAGTATGACAGCGAAGAAGCCGAGGATGTGTAAAACCAGCACGAGGCCTTCGAATTTCGCCAGGAGGGATCCCACTGCAGTGTTGATGCCATAACTAACCAGTACAACTCCCCAGAATAGAAGCGTGCCGTGCCAGTTCTTCATGACAGCAGCATACTCGGGATGTGTAAGCAGAACAAGACCTTGAATCATGGTTCCAGTGACGAAAGCACCAGAAGCTACGAGCGCCTGCCACCCTGTAATGGCAAGCCAGCCAGTTAGGTATCCAAGGAACTTCCGTGATGAAGAGGGCGCCAACATCGAGACCCAATGATACTGTCCTCCCGATGTCGGAGCCATTGAGACTAGCTCGGATAGTGTTGTGAATACCGAGAGGGTGCCGACCCAGACGACGAGAAATCCGTAGAGAATTCCAGATGGTCCCCCACTGCTAACGTTAGTCACCCCCGATGAATCAGGAGATAGGAGTATAATACTTCTGCAGTCCTGAAAGAAACGTGCTACACGGCCATTAGCGAGGTGAAAGGGAGAACTGGGCGACCATAGGCAAGAACATACGTCAACGACCCTTCCCAAGTGATGAGGACGGTGCAGCTGAACCCAAGAATTGTCATGAAGCCAAAGTTCCTCTTCAATACGGGCTTCTTTCCGAGACGAGTCAATGCGACATCGTCGCGTGAAGTTGAATCCGAAAGGCCCTGCTTGAGCACGGTCTGCAGACCATGTTCCTCGAAGCCGATATCCATGTTGAAGCACTTGGTGATCGATCACAACTGGGCGAGTACGATGGGACAGAGTTGTCGTGTAGCAAAGGGAATTGTCGAGCGATGGGAAAAGAGGGAACAACAGCGAGACCCAGAGGTATTTCAGCTAAACCAACTTTCCCAGGTGTTTGTCAAGTCAGGATAGGAATCCACCAGTGATAGTCCTGGAAAGGCAAAGGGAGTTGCTGAAGAGAATGTTATACCAGCCCTTCATAGCCCTTTCCTCTTAGATCTACCATTGACATAGGGTATCTCAACTAGTCGCACCGAGTGAGACCAGCTGCAAATCACCGTCGGGTTGGATAAGCCGAACCCCTCAACACACAGTCGCACCACAACCACAGCACGAAATGCGTGCGCACATTATAAGCAACAATACCTAATTCCATACTTTCACAAACTATCGAGTGCCGAACTTCCTCTGGCACACCACCGGTGACCCAAAGCAGGAAGAAACCCCGAGTCAATAGGGAGCAAACAATCAGGCGTGTGGCTGACAAATAGTCACAATCCCCAAGGAGGCGGTCTTTGGCCTTTTTAAAACCTGATCAACTCAATAGTGTCTCCTCGGGCGAGACATATATATCGCCTCGGTACCTGTCTAACGGTCGGACGTATGCCGGCGTCAACCACTGGGGTGTGAGACAGCTGCCACTGCTTCGCTTATTGTGCAATTCTTATTGTACGCATTGCTTTTGGAGGCGTCTCATGCCTCCCTAGCCGGGATAGGCTGGCAGCCTCGAATGCAAATGCCACAGATTGTGCATTTGGGCTTAGCACCAGTCACAGCGGTGGAACGGGACATCTCAAAAATGGAAGTTGAAATGCTTAAATGCATTAAAAGTGACAACGGATATGAATCGCCAAGAAAACCTGTTAAAGCATTATTGCCCTGCGCAATCTGGTTCGCCGACCCCTGGTGCCACTAGAACTACGAGGGCGTGAAACACGATATCCCTTGCTTCAATAGAAGGGTCTTAAGTCCATTATTGTACGTAAATCATTAGTTTTTGACGTCAAAAGACACTCCCTTGAGGCCTCGCGACTGAGAATTACAGCACTCGATCTCGGTGCATTGCTATCATCGATCCGTGGCCTGCGAGCATGCTGCCGAATTGTAGTTGCTCAAGTGATTTGCGCTTGGCCCCATCCTGTCATGCGAGAGGTCTTCTTCCGACTCAGGTAATACGCGGGCTACGCCGGACTCCAAGCTTTCCATGAACGGGCGGAGATAAGGGCCACACGCGGTTACAACACTGGCCGACAGGACAGCTTGACTATGAGTCACAAGTTAGTAATGTGCACAGTCACAAGCATGTCTGAAATGAGAAAGCTAGCGAAGCATAAGGGGGGCGGCGAAGGAAGCCTATTGACTTTGCTGGTGCAGGAAATGGGAACCAGTTGGGAGATTTACTCACTTCAAGACGGTTGGCAGCCAGATGTCTTTCGTGAGATCAGCGCTGGGGAATGCATTCAGAAAGAAAGTCAATTGCGCCAGGGCAATACCGATGATCCTGATGATCGATTAGCCAAATGATGACGATGTAGTTGACTAGCTAGTGCGAAGAGCGACTTACAGAAGACGCGTTGAAAAAATCAATAACACAACTGATCTCCTCATGAGGGACATTCGTAAGTTGCCGATGATCATGCAATACATCGCGACGATGAAGAATTCCGTCCCGATGTTACCTATAGCGACATATGCCCACCAAGCTCGCTACATTGACGGTCAACTACGTTTCTCGAAAGGCCAGGCTAGGTCTCCTGGGACACCAGGCATCTTACCCTATTAATACATCGCGAACCGTGCACATAGTCCCACGGCGATGGAAATGCACATTGGAAGAGGGTCGTCAACACTGCGGACAGTACCCAAATTCCGACAGACAGGCGAAGAACCAAGTCCAGGCGCTGATGCGTCGCACTAGGACTGAGCTGTCGGATCGAGATCGAGATGGACCATTTTATGAGGGCGAGAGCGGTAAGTTGGAAGACGAAACTGGCGTACTCTGCCTTTGACGCACGCACGCAAGATGTCAGTCATCGCGCAGATCAATCTGCGATGGCAGGGCGAGCTTACCTGCAGGAATCTCTCCACGGCGTCTTGACTCAAACTGCTCATTGGTTCTCCCAGGCCTTGCGACGTGCCGAGCGATATTGAGACGCATTGTGCTAGGTACGCGGACTGTCCCGGGTCAGCTACCAGGGATCGTTTGAGCGAACATGATTTGAACCAACCTGAGCTGCTAATAGGATCCAGTCATCTCGGGCCAGTTTTCGTGTCATGTAAAACTTGGTTCCGATCCGTGCCCCGACGCTCAAGATGGCTACAATGAACAGAAACCACAGAAGAATCTGTAGGATGCTACCCTGGTCATTCTGCGGCAATTGTCGCCCTATCATCTTGAGCGGGTATTGAGGTTGCGTGTATAGTATTCGTTTGTATGCCGCTTCATGGGGTGCTCAGCAGCTAGGATTTGGAGGTCGATAATGGAGTATAGGACGTTGTATCGGAGAATATCGTAGTTTGTTTGATATTTCAGGACATATGGTACTTTTATGAGGTTCGATGATACCAGTGTATTATGTATTATGTAGAAAATAAGGGATACTGTGGAATTTCTGTGGTTGTCAAGTTTTATTTTTCAAATACTAGAAGAAGGCATTGTATAGACCCCTCGTCGCGATAGTAGACTGTCACATATCAGATTCACTTTGCTACATACTACTTACTGCACGGCATTCTGCTTGTGGGGACCCAGCCTCGAAGCCTGGGGATAAACCATCAAAGAGCGACACACAGCGAAACAAAGTGGACATCAAAGTCAATTGCCATTGCTTCTGGCGATCTCTTGTCTTTCGAACCTGCATCTGTGGTGTGATCGCCCTTCCGCTCTTCTCCGTAAGGGTTGGAGTATAAGACTCTGTGACCGTTTTGAGGTAGTGTGCCTAAGTCAGTCAATTACGAACAATCAATTGCAATTGGCTCCCGGATGCGCCACGGAGTTTGACCGTGATACGACATGGTTCGGTCTTATGTCCAGACTGGTCGGAGGGGATAGATGAACGCAAGACACATTATAGTTGATCGTAATGAGCGAGATGCGGGTGAGACAAAATTGACTGAGCGCTTAGGTCTCCCTGGGGCATACTATGGTTCATGTCTCTAGCTATGCTTTAGCCACCGAGGATGCAAGGACCAGCACCGCCACGGAAAGGAATTTCACCTGAAAAGAAATGCCTTGAATGAGAGCTTGTCGTCAGTTTTCGAGACTGGACATTCCATTTCGCCTCTCAATTGCTTTTGAAGATATATCGATACGTTCAAGATCACTTCTGGTAGAACTTAAAAAAGTCGCCGTTATGATGCTGAGCGCACGTAATAACCGACTGCAGGCGAATCGGGTGCGTAATTACCAGCAATCTACCATACTGGTGGTGCGATGATATGATAGCAAGGTCTTTCCGTAACACCAGAACCAAGGTGACTGGCTCGTCCTACCTACTAAACTCGTCTCCTTGCTCACAAGACCATCAATCGCCGACAATCTTCTTCGATGGCCTACGGTATAGACTCTGGATGGGACTGCCTATGCCTGGGACTTGTCTCTCTAAGCCACGAGAATTATATGAATTCTCCCATAGCCGCGTCGTATAGGAAAGAGGCATAGGATCTAGAGAAGAGGCTGCTATAAAAGCTGGCCGAGGGCTTTGGCACACGTATGCCGCTCCTAGCGACTACCCGAAGGTTGTTGGCATCAACCCACAGGAGGTAGCAGCCAGCGGTTCTATAAAAACATTGAGGGAACCTGTTCATCAGCAGACTAGCACTCGTCATAACTCGTCGTTTGCCTTTGAAGGGCTTGCAGCTATAGAAGTGGTAGTTGATAGGCACCCCAGCAGCGAACAACCCACCATTCATATTATTCGAAATACTTATATGTTTGGTTGAGCGACCCATTATGAATGGAGATGTCATCCAGTGTTCGGTCGACCGACATAACCATAGATGGGGAACATAAACGGTTCGGAAGATGACAGGAATATTATGTAACCTCTTCATCTGGGGAAGTCCGAATTCTCAAATGCTAGCACCGTGATATGGGTTATCAGCTGCAACAAGTCTGCTTCCCCGGGGGAGTGTCTAAGCGCTCGAGAGTGACAAGTTCAAGGTATGATGCCGATATTTAGCTGAAGTTGCTGCTGTTATGTAAATTTTACGAGGCAATCTACCTGATATCATAATCTTTAGGTCACACGCACAACTATTCTGATGAGAAGCATCCCGATACATACATACACATTTCCGGCTCACTCTCACGCGTGGGGCGAAGAATATGAGGCATAGCGAACTTGGCGAGATGGAATCCGCTTCACAATCTGTGAGCGAGGTATCGTGACTGTTTCCTCCCACGGAATGGAACTCCGCATCCCGGTAGTCCCGCTAGATGGAAAAAGGCCGGCGAACCTGCCGGGGATGCAAGGATAATTCCCGAAGAGTCGGTGGAGAGGGTTTGGAGGTCCGCCGTAGGTTGGCACATTGAGGTCGATTGGTCAAGGGGTCGTGAGACGGGGAGATGAGGGACGGAACGACATTAGCTGAGATCAGAGAAGTCACTATGTACCTGAAACTCCCATGGCGAGCATTGTGGCTTATGCACACACCATACGAACTAGCTATTCTAGTGCGATTTTCACATGAGGCGGTCAGTTCAAGTTACGTGCAGCAAGTAAGTCTGACCCAGCGACATCGGGAGAGGCCCACGCACGCATGCAACAGAGATCTTGTGACAGACAAATCATTAGGTATTCACTTTTGTCGATCTGCTTGCGTTCTTAGTTGACGTGCAGATATCTGAATGAATATTCAAACCCAATGCAAGACGCGGGAGGTATAGTAAGCATGCGGCAGAACAGAGACAGGGGGTTTGAATGAGGCACGAGGATGAAGAAAGTGCGAGGTAAAATGAGGGAAATCTGGGTTTATTCAGTAAATCCGCTCCTGGAAATAACCCCGCGTATACGTAATCTAGTGCACTACTACTAGGTACTTACCAAATAGCACCTAAGGTACCTCATCCTGAGACCACCAATGCTGCTCGCTGTAGGACCATGATCTGGCGTTTGACACCTCTTGATGCCATAACTGATTCGGTAATAATTGTATGCAGAACGTCTATGATTCCTAAGTAAGTACCTCACATACAAATGCATGTATGATGCAGATGCGATGTCTACTTGATACGGGCAGATATACGCGGGTAGATACCTATCTTTTATTTTAAAAAATTGAAAACCTGGAAGTCTGGGCCTAGACCCCAAGCAAGCGCCTTCAAAGTTGCATGCAGGTACCAGAGGTACTGATAAGGCAGGTAACTTAAGTACCTACATACATCTGCTATCGAATCTGAGAGGAACAGATGATATCATCGGCATCAGGGTACATTGGTATCCACCCCCAATCTCCAATTTGTCTCTATGTATGTTGTGTCAGTTGTCTCGTTATTTTGTAGCTGTTGGAGAACATCGGTGTGCATAGGCGTGATAGGCAAATGCGAATTAAATATTCCGATTGCGTGCGTGATATTGAATTGTTGATGTCGGCTGCCAATTTGTGTTTAGTTGACAGCACATGCTGCTCCGAGAAGGTACCTCAGGCTACCACCCCCACCCTAGTTTAGTTACACTATTACCTATGGGATTTTGCAATTGATCAATCAGCCCTGGGCAAAACACTATCAGGTCGCAAAGGTCGTTGAAGAAATGACTACCTGATTGAACTGTCCACGTGTATGAATAGCGAGGTATACGGTAGATTACCTACAATGAACAGGCAGAGAATCGGGGGTGAGAATGCCTAGGTCCGTACAGATCTAAGTACATAGACGGGTATGTACATAGATAGGAGGTACTGGGCTGGTTTACCTCTTTGTACAGTTAGTTACATAGTACATGTAGGTTCCAGGGCTAATCCCACCCCCCCACAACACTATCTCCCCCCCATCTCCCATCTCTCATCTCCTCCCACACAGCCCATCGCCAGAACAGACTGGAGCTGACCAGAACACTGACAGTCTAGATCGAAGGTGGCCACAATCACATTAGTCGCGCTGTTCGACAGGCCTTGATACGGGAAACGGCTTGGTGGTATCCATTGAAATAAGTGGCACCGTAATCCGCCGCCCGTCGTCTTGCTGTCCTGTCCTTCTCCTTGTCACGGCTTGAAGAGTACGAGGTATGGTGGTGGGTTGGTCGAGCAGATCTCACTGCTTCGCTCCCCCGGCGCTGTCGATTTTGCTATGGTGACGCTCCTCAGTCTCTCGGCAATCTCGCTCCTATCCTCGTCTTTTACAAATATGTACATATGACTACCTAGCGTAATATCTCAACTATCGTCGTCGTTAGTATTGCCCTTGACTACCGGACTCGGACGTTGTTGCTCGATAAACTGCACCTGTTTCATCGGCTTCTGTTCCCTCTTCTCTCTTTCAAAATCTCGCCCCTGTCGGTGTTATAAGCTATTTACATACGAAGTAGTTCCTCGTATTTTCCTGTTTGCTAAATATAGCGATGCTTATTTGCTGAGCACATTGTTCCGAGTATTGTTACGACCCAACGACGAGTCAACGCGCAGAAAATGGTGGCAGCAGGCGATGATGATGATGCGCCCATGTCGGATGCACAGCAGCCACTAATACCTGAATCGGGTCCTGGACTTGGATCTGGATCTGCACCTACACCTGCACAGCCAGTGACGAAACCGAAGCGACGATTTGCACCCCAGCTCATTGAACAGACCACGAGGTCTTCTTCCAATAGAATTACCAATAATCATGCCAGTTCCAATGCCAGTGCCGATATTGGCACCGGAAACAACCGCACGAGACCCAATGCAACTCAATCGACCAAGGATGCCGCCGTCCAGGCCAACGACTCTGACATACTCTCCCCTCGACTACCCACGAAACCCATCCGGCGCTTTGCTCCTGTCCCCATCGAGACCACTTTCGATTCTTACAGGGTAGTCAACAAAAATCCCCACGGCCCAGCCCCTGAACCAACCCCAGATCCCTCCCCAACGGGATCGCAATCGTCCCTCACACTTTTGTCCACAGCGGCACCAATGGCTCCCGAACCCACGGACACAAAAGGGCAGGAGAAGAAACCAAAGAGGAGGTTTGCTCCTCAATTAATTGAGACGACCAGGAGAGAAAGGAAGGCTGGGCAGGATGGTCCAGCCACAAAACTGACGGACAAGACTGATATAACCCCGGGTACCAATCACATTTATGCACCAAAGCCCAAGCTGAAATATGGTATACCTCAGCCCAACAGAATTAGTCCCAGACTGGCACACGCAACGGTTGAGCAGGATAACGAGACACTGCCACGTTTCTTTATACCCCGCCATCAACGTCCTAGCCCAAGCACCCGAAGGAGCACGCGTACTAATTCCTACCATCCTGACCTCGATACTATAGTGTCATCTGAATCGGGCAACTCTTCGGAGGACGATGATCGTGTAGCCGCTCCCGCGCTTAATTTAGGCGCTCCGGCTCTGTCCGACACGCGAAGCGACCATGGGGACACTTGGAGTACGAGGAGTTATGATTTGCGCGACCGGAGAGAGTCGTGCGACGAAGAAATATCGGGTTATCTGCTTGGCGTAGCGGCCCGAGAGACCCATCGGCAACGGGAGTTAGAGGAAGCCCTGTCTGCTTTCCCCAATGGAGTCCCACCCCTCGGGGTAGAGCATTTCTTCGTCAGAGATAACTCGGAGGATGAGATCCAAATAGGAGACGACGAACCACCGCTACGCCACGGCCCTTCCCAACTTCTTCTTCGTCGCAAGTCCACGGACCCGGGATGGGCTGTCAAGGAGATGCGCGCACACGCCGAGAAGCTGGCACGGATGCGTGCAGAGACTCACATGAGCCTAGACGACAATTCGGACAAGTCTGAGGTGGCGCCTCCACCTGAAGATCCGCTTTGGACGACCACAGCCCGCCGAGAGTCGCGTGACTCGGCCATAGGGAGCTCAATGGGACCCGTTCTCCCGACACACTCACCCGCCTTGTTCGCTACATCGTCACCGAGCCATGGCAAGTCTTTCACCCCACCGCCGTCGACTGGGCTGCGTGCGAGCCCTTTCGGGTTACCTTTCGCCTTTCGTAACAGCCAGCCCGACGACGTCGAGCTGGGCAAGATGCGCAAGGCCGCCTCGCCACCAATGTTAGGTGCTGATCTCTCCTTTCGAACATGCCCTAGTCCACAGTATACCCGGATGGAACCAAGTCAACCCTACTGCCAATTTGACCGGCTTGAGAAGACCCAACGTGATGCATCCGGTGTCACTGGCCTTTGGCGTGGATATTGTTCCTTTCAGACTAACAAGTTAGACACACCCTCTCTGCAACCACCCGATCTCCTCCACACACCCGGTGTAAGCTCTCCGATTGACCCTTTCGCCGTCGCCTTCGGTACATCCACGAATGGAAGTGGAACGCAATCGCCCATATGGGGTTCGGGCGGCAAAGGGACGAGTGTGCACAAGCAGAGACTCTCTGGGCTCGGCGAGAAACTAGAGAGAGAGATCGCACGCAAAGAACGCGAGGAAGCTATCCTAGCCGAGTTTGAGGATGCATTCGTGACACAAGTATACAATTATCTAAGTTTGGGCTTTCCGGCCACAGCGCGAGCTTTTGACGACGAACTCAGTAAGATCAGCGGCATCTGTGTGGAAGAGTTGCGTAAGGATGACAATATTAAAGTCGGCAAAGGATTCATGCTTCAAATGGAGATGGGCCCTGGTAGCACAAACTTCGACAGTAGCAGCTCCGACTCTAGTGGAGACGAACAGATGGTATCTCCCGAGGCCTACGAGCATGAATACCGGAGGCGGTCACGCCACAAGCCTCCCCGTTGGAAGGCCCTCAAGTTGTATATACACGAATGGGCACGACAGCACCCCTCATTAAACAACGACGACGACTCGGGCCCTCCTGCCTGGGGAGTCAGAGCACGCAGAGGTAGCTGGGCTATATAGAATTCGTCAATGCTCAAATCTCAAGGTGCTGGCATGCATCGACATTGGATAGACACAACATTAGATGAAAAGCATCTATTCACGTAGAGGACGGACTCCGGTCATTGAACTCAAATAGGAGAAAAGAATGATGACACTGGTCCCGACGTTTCCCCAGGAAGACACTAGCATTAGCGACATAGCATATACTTGCTTTATACTGACCATTTGAGCACGGAGAATTCTTAGGTTCTATTCTGCATGCATTATCGCAAGGGACTGGGCTCCCATCGCAATGTATTACGTTCAATGTTGCTAACAAGCACATCGGTGATTCGTCTCGGCGCTGCCAGTAACGTTTAGTGTCCCTAGAGATATCACGGCACTATCTAGAACGTACTACCTGAAATTCACCTAAACATTACATTTGGTAGAATTCTTACAGATACGATTTTATCGAAGCCACCATCTTAGCATTCGTCACATTCGAGTCCGTCATTTCTGTCTCAGTGCAAATGTTTTTTACTATTGGTACAATTTGTTCACCACTGCACCTATGCAACTGAGTGGTCAGCGGAATGGTGCCTCGCGCAACAACTGCACGCTTTTCTCTTATCCCTTCTAAGCTTGATAATACTATGGGCCATAGGTATTTCGTATTTACATTTCGTTGCACTTGGTTTGCCATACCTTGATACCCTCACCGTGGAGAGAGGTGCAGCATTGAACAAGGCAGGCGGCGACTTTGATACAATACTCAGAACGGATCTCTCGGATAACACATCCGGGTGAAAGGTTGTTTCGAGTTTCGAGCCGGGAAATCCCAGGGTGCTGTCCAATCTGAATAGCCCTACAACTATACAGTGGGGCAGCAAAACACCACTACAGACCACTACGACAGACGAACCGCTTAATAAGAACAAATTTGGAAATCGATCTGCAATATAATATTGGGGACATTTGGGGGCTTGGGGCACATCTCCAACATCGTCACCGAACCAAAGGCGGGGTAGACTAACGACGAGTTCGTCATTCATTCTAACCACCTTCCCCAATGGCCATCCCGCAGGCATTGGAAAAGAGCTGAGGAGTCACTGGCGACCCATGCTTATCAAGTGGACCGTTACCATATATCCAACTTTTTTCCATACGCAGCAAACGGCTGCTATGTGCTCTATTATAGCTTTAATTCAAAATTAACAATGTTCATCTCTATTAACTTTCATACCAACTGCCAATGGATACCGCGTGCTGTTTCTCGTTGAGGTATCGCATGGCTCTAGCTGCTTATCAACATGATTTGCGCAAGTGATAGCGATCACCACGAAGGGCTTGGTCACTTTCTTTGTTGTCCATTCGCGTGGGATACCTGCATCTTGATGCTTGCAAATGCGGGGTGGAAGGAAGCATAGACCGGGGTCCCGGGCTCTGCCATGATGACACGAAGAGGAGAGCGGAGGGTACAGTGAAGCTCGTATGATAGATGTGGGTAGTTGTATAAAACCACCTTACTATGAACAGTCTCCCCGCGACAAATAAAATCAATTGCCCGCCTACGTTACGAAAAGAGCTTCGAGGCATTCTTTTTTCTCTTGGTCACGCTTGTTGTGCACCACACTCATTGCTCTAGGAGCAGGGTGACTCTCACGGGCGACAAGATGCCTTCAGCAATTTTAAGACACATTCAAGCCATCGGCCTCATAGCCGGGTTACTGGCTCCCGCCGCCGTAGCTCAGTTTCCGCCAACTCCAGAGGGAGTCACGGTGCTGGAATCGAAATTTGGCAATGGTGTTAAGATAAGCTATAAAGAGGTACGATGACTTTTCATCCAACTGAACTGCTGATCGACAATTCGTGACCATTCTCGTTAACTTGGAGGGAAAGCCCGGTATCTGTGAGACTACTGAGGGCGTTAAGTCATATGCAGGCTACATTCATTTACCGCCTGGCACCCTTGAGGACTTGGGCGAGTCGCAAGACTATCCGATCAACACCTTTTTCTGGTTCTTTGAGGCGCGAAAGGATCCCGTGAATGCGCCTCTGTCGATATGGTTGAATGGTGGACCGGGTAGCTCGTCACTTTTGGGTCTATTTGCAGAAAATGGACCTTGCTATGTAAACCCAGACTCCAACTCGACGAGATTGAGCGAATGGTCCTGGAATAATGAAGGTAGGTAGTGAGATAAGCCAACGTCAAAGTGTCTAGATAGCATCCCACTAACACTGAGTAGTTAACATGCTTTATATCGAACAGCCAGTCCAAGTCGGCTTCTCCTACGACACCTTGCGAAACTATACCTACAATTTAGTGACAGGATCCAGCACTCCCCTCGATGAACTAGATACAATTCCTGAGCAGAACACCACGTTGCTTCTAGGGACATTCCCGAGTGACAATCGCAACAGCACAGCCCAAGGGAGTCGCAATGCTGCTATAGCGATGTGGCACTTCGCACAGACATGGTTCCAAGAGTTTCCCGCCTATCATCCGAACGACACACGTATCAGCCTGGCTACAGAATCATACGGAGGGCGGTACGGTCCGGCGTTTTTCTCTTTCTTTGAAGAGCAGAACATGAAGATTGAGAACGGTACATGGAATGGTACCGATGGCGAGAATTATGTTCTGAACCTAGATACCCTCATCCTCATCAACTCATGTATAGATCGCCAGGTTATGTATCCACACTACCCTCAAATGGCCTACAACAACACATATGGTATCCAAGCCGTCAATGAGACCATATACCTAAGCATGATAGATGCTTGGGAGCGTGAGGGCGGCTGCCGGGATCAGATTGCGGAGTGTATCACAGTGGCAGAAGCTTATGACCCGGACAACATCGGTATCAACGCCACCGTCAATGATATCTGCATGGCCGCCGAGACATTCTGCAGCAATGAAGTGCGAGGGCCATATCTCCAGTACTCGAATAACAACTACTACGATCTGGCCACGCAGGACCCAGATCCGTTCCCGGCAGAATTCCACTACCTGTACCTTAACCAGCCCCACGTGCAAGCCGCCTTAGGCGTGCCCCTGAACTATACGGGCTCATCCGGGGCCGTCAGCAGCGCGTTCCGCGGAATCGGCGACTACGTGAGACCCGGCTGGGTGGGAGATCTAGCTTACCTCCTGGAGAACGGCATCAAGGTCCACCTGATGTACGGCGACAGGGACTACGCATGCCACTGGATCGGCGGTGAGGCCGTCAGTCTCGCCATCAACTACACGGGTACGGAGCAGTTCCACGCGGCAGGATACACGGACATTGTGGTGAACGATACGTACGTCGGGGGGCAAGTCCGACAATACGGCAACCTGTCCTTCTCGCGCGTCTACGAAGCGGGACACGAGATCCCCTCGTATCAGCCCGAGACTGCGTACAAGATGTTTCAGCGCGCCCTCTTCAACAAGGACATCGCCACCGGCACCATCAATACCGCTGCAAACCCGGACTACGCCACCAACGGCACGGCGGATACCTGGGCCATCAAGAACGAAGATCCAGAGGACCCCGTGCATTTCTGCTATCTGTGGGATGTCGAGGCTACGTGCACGGAGGAACAGATCGAGAGTATACTTGATGGATCGGCGGTTATTATCAGTGGGATCCTTAAAGATGCGAACTCGACGATGCTTTTCCCGGAACTGTTCAATGGAACTGGGAATGGGGATGATACGTCGTCTCCTACGCCTACTCCTTCTGGCTCTGGCCCGTCGCCTACGGAGTCGGGGGCTGGGCCTGCTCCAACGGATAGCGGCTCTGCTGCGAGCCCGTTGGTTGCGTCTGGTGTGTCGGGTTTCGGCCTCTGGGCCGTTTTAGTCATGTTGGGATATGCTGCTCTTGCGTAGAGATAGATAGGGGTAATGGTGAAGTAATCATAAGTAATATCATACTAGTATAAGTTTATGTTCTACGCTACCTTTGCTGCTTGTGTTGGTTCCGGTAATAGTGTAGGCTGAGAAATAATCAATAAATCAAACCTAAGAGATTGCCGACAGCAACAACGAGATTCAGTTCAGCACGATGGGCAATATGGGTTATTGCGGTCATCGCACGATTCGTGACTTGAAGGTGCATGATAGTATATGGGTAATTCAACGCGGAAACCGCGAAACGGTGTAATTACAAGAGAATCTAGCCGTGAGAGTCAGCTTATGAATCGAACAGTACCATTTGGGAAAGGCTCGCGGAGATAAGCTACGAACACAAGGGCAAGTGGAAGAAACAGATACCTCTCTCTGGGATTACTGAAGCTGTGAGTACGTAATCAAATCCCTAGAAATCCAGAATGAGTTAACACGATGGTAACAGTTTCGCTTTCTTCACGTGCTCGAGCTAGGGAGACGGTATCTTCGTACGATACCAATTGACTACAAGCGGAGAAGGAGTGACTGCAATGAGACGCTGGCTATTACACAATAGGACGATATATCGGACAACCCAGCCTTGGAGGAATGTGACAGGTCATCGCTGCTACGATAGCTCTTCTTGTCTCTACTGTCAGATTGTGATCGCCTGATGATTTACTGGAGTGAGAGCTTCCTAGGCAATTAATTGCTGATGGGGCTGACATCAGAATTCCTTGTTCAAAAATAGTGATTGTTAGAGTTTCACCTTCAAAAAAAAAAGGGGGAGGAGGGCATCTACATCACACATGAGTATTCGTTCTGCATAGCTGTCCATATGAGATCATAAGCGAGTTCAAAATAATTAGTGCACAAAGAAGTTGGTCTTTACGATATAATCAAGACGTTGAGCTCTCGCCCTGGTCATAAATAAAACTCTATAAATTCGTTGCCTGTTGGACGCTGACAAGCTCCTCATGAATTTCAACCCCAATTACAGCTGAACTTATACAAATTCGGCGCAGACATAGTCTCCTCCGATGTCCATTACGTCTGCAACTGTGGCGTTGGGAACTAGACCGTGAGATGTTAGGACATGATTTAGAGTGACGACAGTCCCGTTGTCGCCGAAATAGTTTACCCAAGCCGGGTCGTTTATTCCACGGATAGTATTGTTTCCGCCAATCTAGGATGTGTTAGCATGCAGATTTCGGAGCACAGAGCATTGGCAGGTTAGAAATCTCATAGAGATAGAGCAGAGCAACTCAAGTTTATAAGACTTACTATGAGCAAAAGTTAGCTTGTGCAAGAGATATAAAACTGGATCATTCAACCGAGTGATTGAAATACGCACCTTCTGTCAAACGGGCTGGAAGTTTCCGAGATTCCCAGTCCCACCATAGCTTATCGATCCATCCATGGTGAAGCCAAAAGATAGGATCACCGGGAGACAGAGCGACGTCGATCATGAGGCCGTTGATGCCGCCGTGGCCAGCGGAGTGGGGAGCAGCTTCGATGCAGCGCCAGGCATCGTTAAAAGTAGCCATAGCTAGGCACTTGTCCACATTTTTCTGCGCGGCATTGTTGAAAAACACGCCGTTTATTGCACGGTAGACACAGTATTCCTGACCTGCCTTAAGGTTCCTACCAATACGTAACGTTACATTCGCGAAGGGCCCGTCAATGAGGCAGCGGGCAGTGCCGTTTCCGCCACTACCAAAACCTGTCTTGGGATCGAGAATCGCAGCTTTGCCGAGTGCACCTACGTCTCCTGGCTCGTGCCAGTAGGGCAGCGGTCCATTATATCCACATAGATCCCGTATAAGAGTCTGGTGAGCACGGACATAATACCGATGAAAGGGGAGGAATGTTCCCTAAATCGAAGTAACCGTTATTCGCCAAGTCAACTTCGGTCATCAAAAAAGCGGACAGCCTACGACAAAGTGAATATAGCCTGCTTGTGCAGCATGAGTCCACTGCAACTCATCCCAGACGTTCTTGACACCGGGAATATCAGTAATAGGCGGCGTATTCATCAAGCATAAATCCGCGTCAAGATATGCCTTCTTTTCAGCGTCAGTCAGGTCTTCCCTGCAGGCAATAGATTAGCTACTTGCTGAAGTTGTGATCAATATTTCACTCACCAAGCCTTGCGTTGAGTCTTGACTGTACAGGCTCGTCTTGCCACGGGGGAAGCAAGAATGGTATTGCCACTGAATGCTAGCACAAGGGCTACAATATTTGCTGAGAAACGCATGATGACGATGACGATGATGAAGAAGAGGAGGACAATAGAGAATATGCGTATCCTTAGACAAGATATCTCTTGCTTGTCTGACGAGTGCTTGCTGACTAGCCATGACTAGCAATTTGGGGACTCGAGTGCTTTTTATGATCGACCGGCTTTACAGCCGCATCTTTAAATTCTCTGTCCCGTCCCATTTATGGTGGAAAAGCTCCAGCTCTTTGCGCCGACTCAGATTGGGAAATTATATTGTAGATGCATCAGTACCCACAAGAGTATTGGCCCCGTGCTCTTGACACAAGCGGCGAAGCTGCCGAGTGCATTAGGCCTGGGCAGCCCGTGAGAATTGTTTATTTTGGATATTATTAGGATCTTGTGGACCAAGTAAGAGGGCATGCACAGACCCTTGTTGCAGTAATCTAGAGAGCGTTGATTTTAGGCTAGGCGTGGTATAAGTTGATAAAATGTATACGGGCTGAGGTAGCAGGCTGGCTCATGATGGTGGATGCATTTATGATATTTCTCGGGTATGCAATGGTGTTATGTAAGTAATCAAAGCTCGTTTATCATTTTCTATTATCAATATTCTTTAACATGTTGCATGACGCTACACATGGAGATCGATGTACAAAGTTCCATGTTCGGCTGAGCAACTGGGTTGTCTTCTTTTCCCGGCCTATCGTTTGACCTGGCGCCGCAGCCAAGAACACGGCTCAGTCAATCGGCAGTCCCGTATAGTAAGAGTATCGTGGCGGTTGAAGGAGGAACCCGGGACAGACGGCTCTACATCCGCATCCGCATCGTCAGCTACCCAAGCTTTTAGGTGTTCGATCACCTCGAGCTCCGCAAGTTATCAGCTGCCTACAGCATTTTCAGCCTCAACCCGATTAGATATTCCCGTTATATGGATTGGAACTACACTGATTTCAGACGTATAATGAGCTAAAGAGGCGCTTCTAGAGGATTATAGAACAAAGGGTCCGGCTGTGCCATCCGTTGACTAATCATCAATCCCTACTTCCTTCCTCCATAAACTTGTCCGTTGAGAGACGGTCCCGATGTATGTTCCGCTCTTAAGGCTGGCAACACATAGCGGAGGGCCGATGTTACGTTGTTCCAGCATAATCTGCAATCTGGTCGAGCCAAGATAGAGGACGCGAATGCATGTACCGCTTGGTGCACGGCACCCCACAAGAAGCTAGCAAGGGAGGCCTGTCCGGTACTACATTTGACGTGCGGCTAAAGGGAAGATTTCCAAGGCACAAATGGGAAACCTGGCATCTCAGCGCGCTAGCCTATGTAGAAAAAGGTAATATAAATTGACACTCCGACATACCGTAATCACGACCTTCGCTCTGACAGGTATTTGACTCCGGTGGATAACATATATCTTGGATGGAAAATTGAATAAGCGGCCCGATCATACATGTATGGTGTACTCTTGCAGGCACTGTATTGCACGCACACAATTCCCTATGACCTTGAATAGGTCATAGAGGCTAAGCTGGCCTTCCTTTTATCTATCATCACCGCTTCCCACAAACGTCACATGAAAGCGGTGGGGTTAGTTGGCGGCCAGGATGTCAGGATCTCCGGCATCAAGGATTGAGATATGTCACGTGACACGTACAGAGACTGTTAGCTGTGAACCCACGAAGCTTCAACGACTCGGACATTATAAGGTTAACAGTCTGCCCTGTATCTTTGGAAAATGTACTGCGGTATGGAGTGGGAATCGGAGCCATACAAGTACACCAGGTTTGTTGTTACACTAGGGTTGAGCAAGCGCCATGTGCTCCGGGCGGTGACCCACGGGCTTCAAAGAAATGGTATCTACCCATTCAATGGGGATTCTAAGTTTGAAAGGGGAATTCAGGAATTAGGACTGACTACTGTCCGACGTTGAAGGCTTCTGCCTTAGGCTCGCCTTGGTGAACATCTGACCCAAAGCGTGGTCAGCTACTAATTACCTGCCTAGATGTTTCATCATGTCAATGGCCTATAGATGAGCTCTATATAGCAGTATATACAACACGCTACACAGAAAAACATGGCTGCGATACATGAAGCATCCTGCAGCAGGGCTGATCTAAGTCGAAGCATGTACTCTTTGACTGGCCGTTACACGCACACACGGCTACGGACATATGCAGCACAAAAGTCCTCTTCATGACTTTCATGATGCATGCAGTCAATTATTGAAAGTGAGGTTACACTAATTAGACATATACGGTCAGGGCAGGCAGTCCAATTGTAATTACATACAGTAAAGTCAGAATCAAAGCACCAAGGCCATGAAGTAATTGAATGGTCAAGGACCTTGGCATCCCTAGCAGGCTATTGTAATGTGAATAACTTCAATCCGAAGCCCCAGATGTCTGATGTTTTTATACGAAATTACTAAATATTTTCCTGCCCTGCACTCTGATAAGGACCCTCATGCATCTTTCTGTATTTGTCCTCATACTGGAGATCAAGCCTCATATGTGACGAATGAAAAAGGACGTGTCACCGTGTTTGCACGTTCTCGGAACGACGACAGTGACCCGTATGCAGCGCGCCGCGTTGGTAGCACGATTTTGAACCAAGATCTTGGATATGGGGGCATGGGGGAGTCCTGTTGTTACCTACTCAAAGGAAGCCTGACTAATCACAGGTTGGTATTTTCAGAGTGACTTTTCTGTCTCTGCAGTGTAACATTAGGTGACGTTGATTCTAGCGATTTGTAGCCTCCCTCTACATCAATCATTACTTAAACTCCTTTCAGATGATACATCTAACAGCATTATATTATCCCAAATTTGGTTTTGGTAGACTGCTTTTGGCGGCATACGAGCTTGCGTCATTCAGGATGCCTCTGATATTGCTGTCTTAGAGATTTCGCAATCGCGACGATCACGCTTGTTGGCTCCTCTATCACTTGTGTCTGCTGGGTGCTGCGAATCTCTCCCATGTTCCTTTGTACAAGACCAGTGACACGCACGCCTGGTAGTCTGCGCCAACGCAGAGGTTTCGGCGTAACAGAGAGCTCCAGTCATCTACTCCAGCCCCTCAGTTCCTGACATGTGTCATGAAAGACATATTAAGCTAGTTTATTGAAAGATAATTGGTAGGTAAGTACAACTTCTCATGATCGGAACACTACCTCGCTACGCGGATTTACATCAATTAACCGATTGAGCAACTGATGAGATGCGACAAGTCACCCTCAATGCAACTATGCTAAACCATAAATGCCTCAGTTCAAGTCGTTTTATCATACATTTAATCAAATTCTCTTGAGTTATCTTGGAGGTGTTTACTATACCTTCAAATTGCTTGCCATATCTTTGTTACCGATTCTCACCATAGCGCTACTAACCTTGCCATCCTAGAACACCACACTGCAGGCGAAAATGACAGATTTTGGGGCACCTTACACATAAATGTAGGATTAATAATGACTTTATACATGTAAATGAGTGAGTTAATCTTTCTAGTCACTGCCACAATGTATGCCTGTCAAGGCCTGCTGCTCACAGGACCCTAAAGAAGAAAGACTTGATGATTGTAATGGAACGTAGAAAAGCGCCGACTGCAACCTACATTTGAACTCTTGGAGCAATATTAGGTTATACGGTGCTATACATCCACTACCTAGTTCAGGGCCTCGTTTGCCTTATTCATGTAGCAGCTCACATGTGAGGTTACACCTACTTGACACGTAGCATCACATGACCGGCTTGGTCTACAAATGGACCATACACCCAAGTACCACATCCCCTCTAGGAAAAGAACATATGCCGATGTAGGTAAGAAGGTAAATTGGTTAAAAGAAGAGAAAAATAATTTGGGATGATACTGCCTGCTATGAGGATATGCTATCTCGTCACTCTTGATACTACGACTCTATTCTGCAATCAAATGTGGTCGGAGTAGGCAGCATGTTTCAGAACAGTTTAGGTGATAAGTCACTTTCCTACACAACCTTATTGTGGCGCCAACGCATAGGGCAAACAGCACGCCACGCGATGATCTACATTAGTACTTACTTTTGCTGTCTACAAAAATACAACGCGCCTTCCCGCAGCCCAGCTATCATCAAGATCAAACGGACTCTGTACATGATATTACATACATCGTGTTAGTAGCTACCTGAGGTACTTCCAAGTTGTTTGATATTTTTCATGTGAGTAAGCACCCTTCTAAACCTCAGTGCCTCTTGTGGCAACCCAGGACATTCAGAGTGAACTTTTTTTTTTTTTTTTTTTTTTTTATACGTTTCAAGAATTGTAGCCTTGCTTGTGGCTTGTTCCAAGGCACTTGAGATCAGTGATCGATTAGCCCTCGACTTCGTTGCTGGGCCACGGAAGGCGTGTTGGCCATCTTCATTCACTCTTAGCACACCTTCCTTCCTCCTTTTCTTCCTTCTTTTTACAACAAACAACTCCGGGATTGCTAACCACCGTTTTCAGCTCCAGATTTCCAGGCTTTCGCATTTTCTCATCACCCACTCTCAACTCTGTATCAAAGTAGGCACATTTTGTCCACGGATTCTTCGTGGCGACTCTATTGTGTCGCTGTTGACCTGAGAGTGAGTTTCTTGTGATTGTACATCGTCTTTTAATGGTTCTTCAAGTTTCTATGTCCTAGATCCTTGTATATTGCCACCACGTTCTTCCTTTCCTCTCCTCTTCCGCAGTTCTTGTTGTCTTGTTGTCAATCACTGATTCTCGCCACCAGACGCTGTTTGAATGGATATTATTTGTTCTTCCTCTGTCTTGTATTTCTACCTTTTTCATAATCAACTGCCAATACGATGGCGCCTCCTACGAACGCCGACACCGAGTTGCTAGGTTCGGTCTTCAACCACCTAGTTCTCCCACCAAAAGTACCGGGTGCTCAAGATAGTGACATTGATGATGTCTCACATGATATTCTGATGCGACTGGCCCACGCCACTGACACAGCAATCAGTCTGACCTGTGATATGCCGTGGCTAGATGCATACCAAGATTTGCGGCTGTCACTTCGAGCTTGTTTTCAGCTGAACAGGGGCCGCTTGGAAAGAAACAGTCTTCTCAAGCACTTCAAAGATCTACATCCAAACCAAACACTAATTTTATATCTCCATGAACAAAACGCAGGCTTGTTGATTCGTCGTGACGAATGGTACGTTATGTCCCTACAACCCGCTTTACTAATTGGTGCTTGTGTTGCTTTGAGAGGTTGTTACTAACGTCCCAGCTAGGACTAATGAAGAGTGCGTCATCTTCGAATCTTTCGAGGCATCACCTATTTCTGCAAGCGTCCTCGCCTCTGGCCATGCATTACAATGGGATTTTCCGGGACGATCTGTCCGCATCAGCCTCAAAGACTTTACTGAAGAGCCCTTTCAGGAGAGCCTAGCTTCGTTTCTTGAGCAAGCTAGCATGGAGTCGCTATATTATCTTCAGGCCTCATCACGGAAAGCAGGCGTGTCCATTGGCGAAGTACGAGACACTACAGACCCGGCTCTGATCACCCAGATGTTAATGTCGCTACTTGAAGCTATGGGAAGTCATTACCAGTCACCTATGCTACGAAAACGCGTTAGGGATGATGTTAATCTTGTTAACGGCAATATTCCTTGGCGGCGGCTTCCTTTTTGGCTGGTTCTGCGAGTTGCAACTCAACGACAACTTTGCTTGACACTCGGGCCCGAACAAGGGCAGGTTGCGTACAAGACTCTGATGTCAATTATCCTTGCAGAAATGCTTGATGACTCGGCCGGTCGCCTAAGTCCGCATGAAGTCGTTTGCCTTCGAACTAAGCTAGCCCGTCGCATGGTGAAGTTGGAGATGAATGAAAAGATAGTCCAGTTGCGCAATGATCCTCCATACAAAGACTGGTTTTGCGCAGCTTCTTCACTTGTGAGAAAATCCATCGAAGATGCCAACATGAAGATGAATGGGGCTTGGAATGCGTTTAAGAGAAAAAACACTCGCCAGGTTTTACCACTACCAGACCGTGCACCACTCAGTTCGTTGACGCTCACTTTGCCAAATAGCGGCAAATACCTTGACGAGATCCTATCTAAGAAGTTAACACGGTTGTCGACAATGGGACCGGCCGAACTTCCTAACCCGCTGGACCAGAGTATTCAACGAAGCCAACTGTTTACTGACTGCGCTTTTGAGTTTGCCGTGCTGGAGGAACAAGCCGAGCAACAGGCTAGTCCATCTGAGCTTCCTAATCAAACCCATGAAGGACGTTGTCGAACATTGGGATCCCAGATCATGTCTGCCCTAGAGCGAATGAAGAAGGAATTCAAGAAAGTAGATTCGACCTACGACTCTGATCCAGAACTGAAAAGCTCCACCATACTTGCTATCTTCAGCTTGTGGGTCGAATTAGACAAAAGCGCTATTGAAAGCTGCGAATTACTTGCTGCCCATGCTCCAGTATTCCGTCCCGAACTACTCGATGTTCTACAACTACCTACGAAGTCGGCAATGGTACGGCTGCAGAAAATTCAAGAGTACTTGGCCGGTAGAAATGCGAGAAGCTTCTATGGAACTGTACTGGAAACAAACGAGCAAGACTCTATTGCTCTGCGGTATCTTAAAACTTCACCGCACTTACGATCTCTCGAGCGTCATATTCAGACTAACTATGAGAATAAATGCCAGCGGAAGAAGTTAGAGCATGAGCACTTATGCATTAAGTATGACGAACATACAGAAGGAAATATGCGAAATCCTTGTCTTTGTACGTTCGAGGATGGAAAACGCATAGTAGCTGGTTGCACGAGTTGTTGGCATTGGAGAATGCGAAATCGCCTACAGATACAGGTTCAAGAAGCGTCCTTGCCTGAGAACAACCCCACAAGAGGTACAATTATATTCGAGCTCGGGGTACTGGACTGGTTTGCTGCCTATCGGGATGCAACATGGCGGATCATGAGTATATTGGCACACCCATACCGACCCCAAGATACACCAAAACCTGAATTACACCTGCACAAATATGAGCCATTGAAGAGTTTCATGGCGGCCAAGGCCAGTTGTCTTTCAATGGCCTCTAAGATAAAGAGCTTTGAGCAGACGCACTACAGTTTCAGCCGAGAAAAGGTGCCAATCGCAAAGGTCCTCTTGCCTTTTGCTGCATATTTTCAACTTTATGATTCGGAATTGGAAATATGGGTTGAGGATCTAACCAAGCCGCTCACACTGGAGCATCACTGTGGAATATATGTTCCTGTTAGTCTCCAATCCATACTTCCCAAGGGCCTTCACCCTCCAACAATTGTGGATGGACCATCTTCCTACCAAATCCAAGCAAATCAAGTTGTAGTTCCACCAGAGATCCCAGCTCAAGCATTTTTTGCCTACCAAAAGCTGTTCGCAGGGAAACGGCGGCGTTGGCCAAACATGATCGTGGAACTGTCCTCGTCAAACCTGAACCTTGGCGACGAAGATACAGCGCGCGTTATCTGTCAGCTAGCATCACAGGCAGGCCCTCAATTGCCCCACGAGCCTCTACGTGCTGTGCATGAGGTCTTCAAGTATCCCATTTTTACAAGACGTCTAACGAGCACCCTGGAGATTATGCTTGAATCCATTCAGTCTAATTGGAGAGAGCATAATGTCATGCAGCTAGTGATCTCGCTGGCCTTACGACTAAACCATTTATCAGAACAGTCACTTGGTACCGATATCCTCATGACAGCACGTAAATATCTCATAGAATGGATTTCCGAGTTGCGGAAGAACACTCAAGGCACACAAGACAGCACGGAAGCACGCAGATATGCAACATATGCTCTCTATGCTGCTTTGCACTGTAGAGCAACTTTCGCCTTGTTGCTTGGTTTAGAAGATCGTCTCAGCCAGGAAGATCTGTGTGATTGGATACAAGCATCTATAGCTGTACAAGAGAACACATTACATGATCTCGACAGACTACCTAGTGCTTTACGCAACCTACTGTTTCGAGACGCGAAGATGGCTTACCACCTTCAACCTCTCGTCAAGCACGCAATGAAGTCCTTCAAATCTCTCGTTGGAACTGAGATTCTACGTGGCTCATCTAACCGATTCTCAATTACTGATACAACTAGCGTTTCATGGACCTTTCTCCCCGATCCGCAAGGTCATTGGATATCTGCTATTACTCCCGGGCCATTCAGTGAGAGAGTGCATTTCAACTACATCGAAGGCCACCTATTAGTTAACGGCAGACCACGTTCTAAGCTCCCCTTGGATATCGCTAATGATGTTGCGGTCAAATTCATCTTTGGGGATCAGCATCTTCTCACCTATCCATCCAGCCAGCCCGGAATGTCCCATCGGCTGACTCAGCCTCGAGGGGACTATTACATACACTTTGGCACACGAGATGGAGGTGCCATTATTCGTTCGATTGGGTATAACTACAATAGAAGAGTTCAAGAAACTTTGGAATTCATCCCTTCATCGAAGCTCAGGAAGCTCCCTAGCTTTGATCTGCCAGCTGAGCTAATTGACAACTGTGGGCACTGGCTCAATATTGATACTCGGTGCCTGGAGATCAGAAGAGCCACCCCCGAAACTCCTGAATTCTGGAAAACACGACAGAATGATTGGATTATCAATATCCCTGAGCGTAGGGCATATCGTGGTATAGGCGGCAGCCAGCTTGTTGATCCTCAATCAGAGGTTTTTGCGCAAATTGCTAACGTTTTCTGTGATTTCGAGCAACCTGATAGACTGACTGTTTATCAACCTCGAAGTCAATTTGCTAAACTAGCAGTTGAATTGAGGCATTTTGATTTGAGCTTCACTGTCAATAGAAACAACATTCTTGAGTGCAATCAATTGAACGCCGAGATCGACAAAAATCAAGATGCAGGAACATGGTACGGCATGCGGAGCAAGATTGTAATGAGAGAAAAGAATACCCTGGCTCGCAGCATTATAGTACCTCTCGGAAAACCGACTACCTGTCGCAATGGTATACACGTGGACGTTCGCATACACGGAGCTTCGCACTATGCTAGGTTCATGATTGACAACATCCTAGGACGATTAACCTGCAGCCCTGAACCTCGTCTAGTATATACGAAAGCTCTTTATCATGCCATCACATCTTTCTGTCTGCCCGATCCGTTGACTGGCCGAACAGGCTCTAGCGAATCATTCACGATACTACGATCTGGTGCTGCCCAGCCTTGGGCGCCAATAGCTATGACGGGAAATGAAATTTTTGAGGGATTTGTTAACCTTACCCCTAAAAGGCAGTACCATCCCCCTGATATCAAGCGGGTCCAAAGAGTACATTGGGATGCAAATCTCAATTCCTCCATTCAATGTGATGGCTACAGAGACATTATTGAGGCAATCAAAGAGCGGTCCAACAGCCTTGCAGTCTTTGCCTTAGGCTCAGAGTTCCAGTTGAAAGAAGTGGGACATCTCTGTCGCCGCGGTAGCGCTCAGAGAGATCTTTACGATCCTACACTGAATGTTCAAGCTGCTCGAGAGCTCAATGATCAGATCTATATTCCTAGAGATCAAAGATGCGGTGCCGAAGCCGCTCAAGTTTACCAAATCTCACGTGTGATTCTTTCTCAATGCTCTCAACCCCTAATGAACGGAACATTAAGCGACATTCTGGAATCATTTGAGACAATCGGCGGGTTCCCTTCGCGAGTTCCTGGGACACCGAAACTCAATGTAGCCCCGCTCATAAATCAGATTGAAGATCCCATCAATGAGAAATGGGGTGAACTCGTTGACTTTTGTCGGTGCAACAGTGCTCCAGCTAGTCTGTTGTTTCGTCTCGGGCTTCTTGCTTTTCATAGAAAAGCCAACATGGATATCATCCATTCCCTGGCCATGATTTACCTAGTCGACGAGATAAGGGACTTGGAACCTCCTCGTCATCAATGCTTCACGAATTTTCAATCTCGTGAACGGCCTTCCATCGATCTTCTCGAAGGCTTCATCAGCTCGACGTATCCTGACTTCCAGCCTCTTCTAAATAAAAAGGGCAAGGAGTTGCAATTTGATAAGAACAGCCGAGATAAGACTGGTCATGATGAGGCTTGTAAGAAAGAAGGTATCGGACTAGCAGAACGCATACAGAGAATTTGGCCAATCCCAGCACAGGATGTGACCATGCAAATGCTGACACCAGCACGGGGTGAACTCCTCAAAGAGGGCGTTGGTCGTCTGGTTGATATAAACTCTTCATGGGAGAGCATTAAACCAGAATGGCAACGAAGATATGCAAATATGGAGCTGGGCAGGTATATCATGCTACTGGATAATATTATCGCCTCAGGAGTAATATCTTATGTTCGCGACACTGTGGTGCTAACGCCTTGGACACTCACAGAGCCAAAGTTCAATACAGCACGACACTCTATTTCGTATCAATCCATTGTTAAGGACTTCATTACTCAACGTGGACCCGCTCTTGACAGAGTCCCGAGCAGTCTAAATGGAATTGTAGAGAAACACCAGAATCAAACGCCAAAAGTGCCGACACCTGAGTCGCTAGCCGAGCTCACAGAACTTGGAACTATCTTCAATAATTTCAAGCAAACTGATAACCGCCTCCGGAAACAGTATGCAAGGGATCTTTGCCAGAGTTTTGCAGCCCTTGAAGAGGCAACCCAGCTATCTGAGCCGCAAACCGTAGCCTCTGACATAAATTACGATGAAATCAGTGCATCCCTCAGTCGCGCACGAATGTATATGAATTATACACGGATTGCAATTGATGCTGCCTTTACTATGGGCGACAACCGAACCGGCTGGCTGGAACTTGGAGCCATGAGGCCACTTTCGACCGCGCCTGAGCTGCTGAAGCTATTGAGGTCTACAGATCCTCTACCCATTGAGCCTGCTATGAAAGAAGCAATAGTATACTATGGGCTGACAATTACTAATGTCCAGCACCTAGTAAGGATTCAGCACGCGCTCTCGCGAGGAGATCAACAAGCCCTAAGCAATGAGCTGCGCGAAGCTGGTCATCAAGCCTGGCAACCAATCGAGGTACCAGACTGGCTGCTGTTGGAAATAGACAGTAATATCCTTATTCGCGCCGAGCAAGTAGCTGTCGCAAGAGCAATGATAGACCCAAGTCTTGGAAATGGCATCCTCCAACTCAGCATGGGGAAAGGCAAGTCAAGGTAATAACAACTTTGATCACCATTAACTAATAGCTTCACAGGGAAAACGTCCTGTATTATTCCTATGGCTGCTGCGGTTTTAGCAAATGGCCAAGATCTTTTACGAGTTGTCGTCCCGAAGGCACTTATCTTACAAACTGCCCAGACAATGCAATCGAAATTAGGCGGTCTTGTAGGCCGCGAGCTCATACATATTCCTTACTCTAGAAGAACGTCAACAGAGACGGAGATTTTAGATCTATACAGCAACCTCCATCGCGAAACTCAACGCTGTCAAGGAATGGTACTGACTTGTGCTGAGCATTTGCTTTCATATAAGCTGTCAGGCTGGCAAAGGTTCATTGACTCGAAGATGACTACGGCAAATCATATGATCGCGTTTCAAAAGTGGCTTGACGTCCACTCTAGAGATATACTCGACGAATGTGACTTCACATTATCCTTAAAGACTCAACTAAATTATCCTAGTGGTTCCGAGATGGCTATCGACTTTCATCCCTACCGTTGGGAAATTGTTCAAGATTTGCTTTCCCTGATATCTAGCCATCTCAGAGAACTACAAAGCCAACACTCGAGAGGTATTCAAGTCACCTGGAGGCGGGAAGGCTTTCCAGCTGTTCAATTCCTGAAGGCCGACACTGAGGATGCTTTGCAAGATCTTATTGTCAATGATATTTGTTCAGGGAGTCTAACTCTTCTTCGGCCTGCTCATCCGAAGTATCAACAAAAGCGAAGCGCTGTTCAGGAGGTCCTCTGTGGGGTCAAAGTCAGTGACAAGCTGTTGAACCGTGTAGCGAACCTGTTCGACAACCCGGTAATAGCAAGTAATGCCCTGCTCCTGATACGGGGACTTCTATTGCATAAGATAATAATTTTGTGTCTTGGAAAGAGATGGAATGTCCACTACGGATTGCACCCAGATCGAGATCCAATTGCAGTTCCTTACGAAGCGAAGGGTAAACCTTCTGAACAGGCTGAGTATGGCCATCCAGACGTTTCGATTCTATTTACGTGTCTATCTTTCTATTATGCGGGTTTGACGAACGAGCAGCTTGTACAAGTTGTGCAACATACTCTCCAGTCGAACGATCCAGCCGCACAGTACGATTGCTTGACCTCAACATGTACAGACCTGCCGGAATCCCTACGTCGCTGGAGCGTTATAAATACAGATGACAAGGCTCAGATGCAGAGATTGTGGACTTCTCTAAGATCGAACCGCATCGTCATAAATCAATACCTCAACCACTTCGTCTTCCCCGTGCACGCAAGACAGTTCGAAGTCAAGCTACAAGCATGTGCTTGGGACATACCAATTTGCTCCGAGGACACTACGCACGCAGTGACGCGGACGTCGGGTTTCAGCGGCACGAATGACAATCGTTTGGTACTGCCACTCACAATTAGCCAGCGGGATCTTCCACAATTGCAACATACGAGTGCGGAAGTTCTTTCATACCTCCTGCAGGATCGTAATCGCCAGTTCCACGTCATTGTTACTCACCCGGAGTCTAGCAAATCCAAGGAAAGATGTTTCTTTGAAGATCTAAAAAGAAAAGGAATTTCAGTTCTCATAGATGCGGGTGCTTATATATCAGAGATGGGAAACGAAGAGGTCGCCCACACTTGGATGAAAGCTGACCCGGAGACCAAGGCTGTGGTCTACTTTCGCAATGATAACAGGGCATGGGTCCATTACCGGAGTAATGCGAAAGAAGACGTTCCACTCTTAGCAACTCCTTTTGCAGATGATCTCTCACAGTGTAATGTCTTCCTAGATGAAGGACACACAAGAGGCGTTGACTTACGATTGCCGCCGGACGCTCGCGGAGCTGTGACTCTAGCGCTCAAGTTGACAAAAGACCACACAGTGCAAGGTAAATAATCATCAATCAGTTCTGTATTCACATTCATCTGCTTGGCGTACAGTACTAATCATAACCATAGCGGCTATGCGCCTCCGTCAATTGAAAACAACACAAAGTATATGCTTCTACGGCCCGCCAGCAGTTGAAAGCAGCATTCGAGATTTTCATCAACTCAGCTCTAACGAAAAAATAGATTCATCCCATGTTATACCATGGCTCCTTGAGCAAACTTGTCGTTCCATAGAGGATGTGCAGGGTCTATATATTGCACAAGGCATGGATTTCTGCCAGCGGACTGATACAATCTGGAATTGTAAAAATTTCATGTCGAAAGCGTCTGAGCGGCAGAAACTGTTCCGCGTCCTCAAACAACCAGAGCGCAAAACATTGAAAGATCTTTACGGTGTAGCTCCGGATATACCTGCGATAACTTCTCAGGGCAAACTTACCTCGCTACTGCTGCGCTCGTTCATGAAGAAACTCTCACTCACTAGTAAGGAGCAACAGGGCAAATCCCAAGCAGACGCACTCCAGGAGGTTGAGCAAGAGAGGGAAGTCGAAGCACAGGTAGAGCAAGTCCGACAAGTAGAGAAACGGAAACGCTACAGCCCGTTGAAGTATCCTGGGATCCATGCAGATATCTTACATTTCGCGAGAACTGGAATACTCGAGACCCTAGAATCGGCGAGTTCTAGAAGTCGAGGCTTCGAACACGCCTTCTCCTTTGTAGGGCGAACGTCGGTAGGTAAACGTTTTGATGTACATGAAACAAGCTCGAAACTTTTCGTTTCAAAAGAGTTTACCAATACCGTGCATCTTGCTCAGAATTCGCAAGAGGGAGACAATTTCTTAGTAAGTAAATGCAAATGCCGCAACTATGAAACTCGAACAAAAGATTAACAATCACCTAGCGCCCTGTAGAATGGATTATTTGGTCTCCTGGGGCTGAGACCGCTCTCGTAATCATTCCTGAAGAGGCAGAGTATTACCTGGAATTCTTGCGTAGCCAACAACGCAAGTCTTGTACACACCTTATCGCGTACGCGACACCAGTCACGAAGGCAATGGTTCACTTTAACGACCTAAATTTCTACTCGTATCCTGAGCTGCCGTTAGGAACTACCTTTCCGGAACGTATCAGGATCGAGCTTGGCATCCTAGCTGGTCGCCTATACCTCCAAGAGCACGAGTGGAAGTCAGTGGCGAGATATGTGAAAGGCTCGCCGAATGACCTCGACAAGATTGCAGTAGATCCGGCCGCCTTCCTTCTAGAATGGTTAAGCGCCCGTCGCAAGGCTGTCAATGTCCTGCATACTCATATGGGATATATCTGCACAGGCCGCGAATTGGAGAGCGAAGAGTTATCTGAAGATGTCAATGGAGCATCGTGACGAATTACTGACAGAAAATGAATTCATGAGAAAATTTTGATGTTAGGAGTACTTGGGTTGAAACTTTGGTGAGGTGTGATCATTTGTTTTGCGGCTCAAGGTAAAAAATGTTGTCACTGAATAAGGACGTGTGTTCTAGAAGATTGTTTGGCTTGTAAAGGTGTAGTTCTGAAAAGTAAGGCGCTGGGATATGAAGTTGGTTGTACTATACTGCGACAAATCAGGTAGATTAGATCATAATCAAAGATCTGCCAAAAGTACGCGAAAGTCTAGGTGTTATGTTTGACTTGACTGTATTCACTCGTATTGGATGGTGTCCGCTTGTAGGATATATGACGAGGGAGGGTGATAGGTCTATCGATCTGTCCTCGGTGGCATTTTCCTCCAGTAAAGCATGAAGAACATCGATTCAAAGCGACTAAATGAAATGAAATGAAAAAGATGCAAAAACGCTACTTCGAGGAAACTATTCAGAAAAAATAGGGGAATTTATGCGTTTTCTAGACAGATTGTCAAAGTATTGACTGTTGGACACAAGCTTTGAAGATGATAGGCAATGAATAATGGAGGGCGATAACTATCATGATTGGTCTAAATCCCATTATTCTAACCGGAAGAGGCAGGAGAACAATCCCGCCTCAAGATGGCATGCGACACAATTAGTTTTCCACGTGCGTTTTTGGCTTGTTGTAGATTACCTTGGCGGGTGGGTTAGCTAGTGAGCTGAGCTACTTGGCGATCTTTATCTTAAGTAGTTATTCTACCGTAAACCTAGTGCAGTGACGTAGGCGTGCGAGGGGCGGCGATTCTCAGGCAACTTTAATGCCCTTCATTTATACACGTAGCATCATCTGGAGAGGCAGCCTCCTTCGATCTTGTCTACATACAATTGGCTTCATATCACCCTCATCACGTATACGACACTCAGAAATCATGACGGCAATCAAGTTGCGGCAGGTCCAAGAAGACCCGAACCGGAAGGATATATTCGGGATCCTAAACGAGTTCATCCAGCCTGAGAGCGCAACATCCGCCTCCCAGGCCGCAACATCATTCGCGCAGGGTGTCAAGACGCCGAATGAAGAGTTCTTCTGGGGGTTCTGGGACAGCATATTCAGCACCGCCGAGCAGATCCCGCACGGCAATCCCGCGCAGGATAAGCTCGCCGTGTTCGTGCGCGAGCTGACGCTAGTACCTGAGACGGGGGATAAAGTCTGGGAAGTAAGTTCTGCTAACTAGGACCATCTCACATACATACCGGGTGGCGCTGCCGCTGCTACTGTCACTTCTTATGCAGAGTATGCTAATGTCATCACAGGCCCGCGTCTGGAGCGATTTACCCCTCCTCGGTGCATCCGTAAGAGAACGCCTTGATAAAGTCAACGGCACTGATGCGCGTGTTCCATTCCACGCATTTATAGCGCGGCTCTTACACGCAGGGGTCTCGCCCGGTTCCGAGACCACGGCAATCTGGATGTTGAGGGACGCGCTTGAGCAAGACACCAAGCCAGCCGGCGATGGGAGCGATTTTGACCGTGCGCTGATGACGGCTGCTGTGTACGTCGAATATGCCGGTGCGACGCTGGCTCAGAAACTGGAGTTACAGCCCGAACCCCAGCTCGATGAGGCGCAGCGCCGATTGTTAAAAGGCGGCGGGCTATGGAAGGACAAGAGCGGGCTCACGCCAGACAGGTGGGCGTTCTGGGGTAAACGGTTCGAAGAGCAGGGAAACAAGGCAACGAGTCCGGAAGCGAAGGGATTGGCTCTACATGCCGCGAGGTTGATTGCGGTATGGGCTCGGACGCGGGTATCGACGTGACATGATGTGGGGTAGGATAGAGAACATAGCCACCGAATGTAGATAGGTATGCAAATTAGGTACCCGATGGGCACAACTCACCTCATCCTTGTAATTCGGTCTATCTGGGTGCATTGATTGGGCTGTGGTCGATGCAATGGAGTTCGTTCGTGGCTTCGAGCGATGCGAGAGGCAGCTGGGCGTGATAATTGACGTAGCGGCCCAAATTGAAATAGTCTGAGCCCTTTTTGACGTGCATGAGAGATGCGGCGTACAGCACTCACAAGAAATGAGGGTGGTCAGCCGCACGGGCACCAATGGATATACTCATGCGTAAGACACAAAGGTTCGGAGGGTTTATGCTGCCAACGTCGTGCGAAATAATGTCTGAAGACAATGAAGACTACACTAGGAACGCACGAGGCAGCTTCACACGATCTAGAGTCTTAGGAGAAGTGAATTGTATCAAGAGCTTAGATTGTGATTGACTGTAGCTTGTAATATGGAAGAGTAGACGATTCCAAAACACCTCAAACTCCGTTAGGGTAGACCATGCCCGGGGTATATACTAAAAACACATCCAAACGCCGCCAGCGTGCATACAATACAGTCGTCAACAAGGGTACTTCAATTTTCCCAAAGCGAGATCAGGTGAACCATCAGAAAAACATTCCTCTGAAATAGCAATTGCCTATGCAGGCTCATTTCTTGCCCCATTCGTCCAATAGGTTTGGACTTTGCTTGGTCGCGTCAGGGGTACGCGTCAAGATGGCGCGGCAAGCCTCAAACCGCGCGTTGTGTTTATCATCACGCTCTGTCGTAAGATATAAGTTATCGATGACCTCAAGAATACTTAGGCCCTGACCGTTTCGAGTGTTTGGGTTGGCGCCAAGTTCGAGCAGGACACGCAATGCGACTGTTTTGCCGTGCCTAGCTGCGAGGTGAAGAGCAGTTTCGCCACTACGGTTGCGCGCTTCGAGCCTTGCGCCGGCCGAATGAACTAAGGTGCGGAGGACTGTCTCGCTCTCCTCTTTCTCGTACTTCGTGGCATCGCTACTATGAAGTACAAAAGACATAAGTGGCGTATTTCCGTTTATGTCGTACTGGTTTGCGTCGACTTTGGCGAGGATAAGGCCACGGATACATTCAAGACGCCGACTGTCCGATACCGTTCGAGGCACCTCTATCTCTTCTGAGTCGTCATACCTCCGTTTGCTCTGTCCTGGGGGGCTAAGTCTAGATTCATCGATGGGATAAGCCCGAGCGTTGTGCTTTGGAGTGGCAGGTGCGAGACCAAAATCGATTTCCGCAAGACAATGAAACCCGTTGCGGCCCTGGGAGTCTTCGTTTTGGGGATTTGGCGCGAAATCTTCGTCGACCCCAACTGCTTTGACGACAACCTTCAAGAGATCTACATGCATGTAGATCTCTTTATCTTCTATCATCGCAGCCTGGGTGTTGATTTTCGGCGTCGGTCTGGAAAGACCGGGGGCGATGCTTGTATTGGCTCCCTGCGTTACCTGAGTATGAGTGGTGGTATAGGTATTGTCGCGAGCAGGATACGGATCCATAGGCTTCAATCCGAAGGCATCCCGGCGATTGATGCGGGATATATCAGCTGTCTGACCTGGAAACCGAGCAGAATTCTTCCTATTGTGTCGCAGAGTATGATAGAAATTTCTACCATAAACATCAGTCGCGAAAATGTCAAAATTCTGAGCTCGCAAGGTATCAAGAAGCTCTGTTAGCCTAGAGCCCTCGCGAAACCAAGAATGATGCAGGACATGAAGGAACGTTTGGCCAGCCGTGTTTGAAGCGCCGAATGGTAGCCTTGGTTCGCGTGGTGCTTGGGACACAAGGTGAATGAACAGGTCTTGAATTCCATCCAGACTCGCAAGATAATGAAATACGGTATTCCCAAAGCTGTCTATCAGCATGAGGCCTTGGTCAGATATATGGCCAGAAACCTTGGTATTGGCCCACATCTTCCGTGTTGGGCCAACCTGATCGTCAACCTTGCACCAGCAAGTACCAGCTGCATGCGCCAGTGACTCGGTAGCACACCGTGAACGGTTAGCGAATAGCTCGAAATTCAAAAAGTCTCCAGGAATGGCAAATGTAGCGTCCAATGGCCTGCTTTTACCACCATCGGAAGATAAATGTTCAGGGCCATGAGAGATATCGAATGTGTGTTGCGATTCGAGGTTTTTGGGGAATGTGTATCGCTTTAAGACCTTGAAAGTCCGCTTCGCCTTACTGAGTGAAAGGAAAGAAAGCTTCTCTCTCAGGGCGCTGGTGATACTGATATCCGTGGATGCCGTGAGACCGGTGTCTTGGCGATTCGAGTTGCGTCGGCCAATGAGGCTTGGGATGAAACGTGAGGAGGTGACCTCATCGAGGGCCATCGAATAGGTGTTATTAGTAGTCAGCGGGTGGGCGAAAGATGCAGAGTCTGGCCAATGTGATTCCTCGAATGAAGAACGGTACGACTGTGTAATAGTTGTACCCCCGAGCGACCTATCTTCCGAAAAGGTGCCCTGGTTTATGTTGTGGCCAGGAGCGGTTCCACTTGGACCTTGAGAAGCCACATTCTGTCGGCCCCGTCTTCCACGAAGGCTATTTCGAAGTCCGCGGATACGAGCCTTCTCTTCATTGTCGTCTCTTGGTCGAATCCATCTTGGGTCATTGCCCAACACAGTATTCTTTACTTTATTGGCTGCATCTTTTCTGTTTTGCGGAAGAGAGCGATTAGTGTTGAGACAAGGAAGCAATTACATAGTATAGAGTGAGATGAATGGTATGGGGGATAGCAGACATACCCCGGCTTAAAATCGTCTTCCTCCAACAATTCGAGAATCTTATGCAAGGGTAGCGTGGTGAATAGGTAGAGGCGAATGAGCCTTCGTGTGCGAGGTTCAGTCCAATCCTTCGGTCGACCGCCTCTATTAGTCGACGCGCTTGCTGTTGGCGATGCCGAGTCCATTCTGTCCCTCGCAAGCTTCCAAATGAGGGTCTCTAGCAATGGCTGGCATCAAGAGACAGAAATAGTCAACCAAGTGAATTGGAACGCAAACGACATCTGATTGACAATCAAGACCATCAAGTAATGATGTGGTAGCATCCTGGATAACCTTGGCTTTCGGTAGCGGGGACGAGAACGAGTTTTGTAGATGAGATGTGTGGATAGTGAGAGGGAAGGACGGGCTGGCTGGGCGGGCTCGATTGAGGGAGCCCCTCTGCAACGGAGACTAGCAGGGGAAGAGAAAAGAGCCTCTCTTGCCCAGTATGTTCGTGCGGCACAGCACATCAATCAATCAATTAATTAACCGTTGTCAGCAGTGAGAGCTGGCGGCTACAGGACAGGTTGGATGACGGGCTTGCCGGGGTCTCGAACTGATCCAGGCCAGAATGGAAGCCCTCCTGGGTGTACCAGGCCGGCGGCTGGGTCGCATCCAGCTCTGGCTCACCCTTACATGTACATACATCCATCAACATTGTTCAGCCACAACAACGTCCCTCGAAACAAGTAATCCGAGTGAGCGATAGCGCGCTAGCAGCAAAGAGCCTCGCGGGGCAGACAGTCAGTCGTTCTGGCAATCATCCTTTGCTTCTCACGTATGCTCAGCAAGCTCGTATCCATTCTTCCTTGTTCGTCGATCGAGTTGTGGGAATCTTCACGACGAGAAAGCCAATACCATTTAACGCTTTGTACCTACCTCCAGTTATATGTACATATATATACCTATGTAAGTACGTAGTTGGGATAAGTACATAGGTATCTATTGAAGGTTACCTATGTCTCGAGGTGCTGCAATAAGGTTATTGTTTGTGAGCCCGATCATCATGGCCAAACACACCTCGAAAGGAAGGCAAGAAAAGAAGGCATTGTCCTCTCCGGTGTAGTTACTCCTCGTGTTACTATACCTACTATTATGAAGTACTCTCAGCTCAGATTCCTCTACTCCGATGGGTATCGTGTCGTGTCTGCTATGTACTTACAGTATGTCACAGCCCGACACCACTGGCACAAGATCGTGGCTATGTTGATCCGCTAGTGTATGTGGCTTCAAAGTGGGCTCATGTCGTACTCTCGACCATTGGGGGGCTGTGCACGGGCTCTCTTCCACGGCCCATATTATCCTCCATCATCCTCATCTGGTTTCTACACTTTTGTCCGGGCTTGCTTCTCCTTGAAATGCGAACCGGTCCGCCAGCGTGGTGCTGCCTGTGTCGCCCTAGGCATTCCATTCCTCCTAGGTTCCACCCCGATTTTAAGGCAACTAAAAGAGTCATACCTTACCGCGACTCTCTATCCTACTTAACCTACCAGTCACTATCCGAGCTAGGTATCCTACTTTACCTGCTTCGATATCGAAGTCTGGCGGGGTTTTCTGAGCCACACGCATCGTGGTACACCCTTTTAACCTCAAGCTATTGGTTAGCTTCGTGGCTCAAATGCCGAGTCCGCCGTCTCCGACTTTCTCAATCACTAAACTTGACTCCATAGGTTGTTCTGATTGTGGACGTTGGTTGCATCATCCTAACAGTAGTTCCGCCCTTCGTATGCTAAGTACGGTTGCTGCCAACCTACCTACTCAATCGGTCTGGTCTGGTGTAATCTTTCCAATCAGGTCCTATCCAGGCCGTTCGAGAACACCCAACTCGTTTAGTGACCTTATCCAACATGTAACGCAACCTACCCTAGGTACACGGTTGCCTTCGTTGTCCGTTCCCCTGCTTCTGATCGTCCCCGGAGAATGCCGGGAGTCTCAGTGGCTTTGATTTCATGACTACCGTAGTAAGTGGGGTTTGTCAACATCTCGGCATCGCCCTATTATCATCCATTGTCTTTTGTGCTTTGATAGTCTGTACCATGATACCGGCCGACGTAATGCCATACCTACTAGATGAACGCGACTTGTCATTTTTCTACTTTGCAATTATACGTATCTTTGGATTCAGATCCTATCGTGCCTCGGTCCGGAACGTCGGCAAGTCCGCCATTCTAAACATCCCGCCCCAACTGTGTTGTTTCACCGTCTTATACGCATCTCACTATCGTCTTGCCTCCGATTTGGGACAATCCTCATCACCCCCCCAATTTACCATGTCGACGCTGAAAAAGTTACTACGTGCAGTGATTCAATGACGATATCTCGGTCACTAGACTTGATAGGTTTTCTTTATCCCCCCTAATCCCTGGCATGCTATCATCAAAATCACTGCCACCCCCATCTATCTACTACAGCCAAGGTGGCTCAACCCGTCAAAAGGCCCTTTCTCGAATTTCCATTTTCGCGTAGCGGCTTTGGCATAGTCATCCTATGCTCAATATGGTCTTGAGTTTAATTGGTACACCGCAGTTACGCGCAAAATTTTGTTTCCTGATGAAACAAATTCTTGGCCTACACCCTACACGGCGATTTTTCTTCTGTCATGGATGGATGCAAGCGATGCTAAGTCGAGCAGATGACTCTTTTTTCTACTTCTACTTCCACCCTAAAAGAATGTTTGACGTGGCAGTTCGCGCCCATCTTCTCAATGGTGTCTCTCTCCTTATGCCTCCTCGATCTCAAGATACCTTGTACTATTTATTTATAAGGCATCAATATGCCCGTCTCAAATTCTTCTTCATCTTGTGATTTTCCCGTCATCATTTCCAATTGCCCCAGGGACTCAACACACTCCTGCCTTTCTTATAAATAGAGTTGAAAGTTTTCATCTACCAAAAGTCAATTCCCAAGGTTATCCTCTACATCTAGCGACAATTGTCAATTGACCTGAGCAAAACCAAACTTGCATTTACACCCCTGTTGCTATATCACCCTTTGACTTGAGAGCGACTTACTCGTCTCTACCGGCTTGTCAATAAGTCAATCACCATCAAGCATGCCGTACAGTACCAAAACATCAGGGTTAGTAACTATACCTTTGCTGCATCCAATGCATCCGAGTGTACATCATTCTAATGGACCTTAGCTCTTCCACTAGAGCCGGTACATCGACGTACTCGTCTTCCTCAAGCTACGATCCCCTGAGAGAGTACAGACTATCGGAGTCCACCAGCCGATCTGACGCTACTGAACGGTTCTTCGTCACGGGAAAACCCAGCCGATCAGAAGATTCAATGGCTCGCCAGATGAAACAGTGGGACAGAGATTGGAGCAAGGTCTCAAGCCGACGCTGACATTGACAATGACAATGACAAACCGGAGGGGTTGTTAGCCCAGCCAATGCCAACCCGCTGTTTGGGCATGTACGAATAAGCTGTACAATAGTTAGAATGCGACTGGCGCGGGGGAGTACGGTGTACAGGGATGGCTGGATACATAGATCAAACGGCACTTCTTTGTTGTTCTTGTTTCGGCGATCGGGAGAGCTAAGCTAGGCGCCGGCATACGGCTACCGAGATTCTGGGATGGTCAAATGTATTTCTCACTCAATGTTAAACGGAATAGATACCTGCTTTACATATGGCTGGTGACTCACTGCCCACGCATCATGGGACTCATACAACATGCGAGCTGACCCGCTTCTCCGTCCGAGTGATTGCCTACTCCATACTGTCCGGGATCTTTCCAAGCGGGATGACCATGATTTGACACCGGCCCCATGCTTCTAGCCGTCTCCGGATCTCATCCTGTCGGCGCATCCCGCCGCCCAACACCCTTATCAAATGACAAATTACCCTATTCCGGGTAGGCGAATGCGGCAATTTAAGCTGCCAACATATAAACACCTCCGGTTACCTAAGATGCCTGCATATCTATAAGCAGCCGGACGAGGTAAATATGGTTCCGGGAATAAGCGCAGGATCTAGACTTAGGATCACTCATGTGTACACTACCGGTATAGCTATTGAACCCCATGTTCGGGTTGATTGCCTGCCGGTTGGAGATAAGCTTGAGCCTCAATTCGCGACGGGTCGCTCCGTGCATGACGTGTTGTCACACACATCAGAGTTACGTTACAATCTCAAAATCCCAGAATTTTAATCCGACTATCCGCGCGCCCACTTCATCCTGCAGCCCTATGTGCTTGTTCATCTGATGGTACCCCGCTGACCTTAAAGGATCCGATGTCGGTTCTAGGATCCTGATGTCTGATGCCTGATTTGTATCATAGAACTCTGAGCGAGCTGGGACCAAGTTGAAACCAGTGATACCTGCGATAGAACGCTCGGCTTGCACCGGTAAGTGAGGTTGGTAGACCAATGGCACGTAACAAAATGCTATCTAGGTAATCATGCAAAGCATCTGAGGAATCGACGGCTTATTCCCTTAGGCAGGTGCTCTAGGCACCCCAAATACGTCCAACATCAGCTCTTTTCTCCTAAAAACATAGTAAGTTGAAATATTTGGATTTTGTTGTTCCAAAACAGGAGACAATAATAACTACTGTGGAGTGACCCCGTACCATGATACCTCATTCCCTTCAAGTTGGAGGACTCCTGATAGTACATGTGTCATTAACGCCCTGCAAGCATAAAAATCGTCACTGGCGTGTCCCAAAAGTAATATATGATACAGACTCTCTTTGTGACCTTTTAACGGGCCAAACATGCCGCCCAAAACTCCCGGCATAATTGAGGGCGCAGAGGCTCTACTATTAGCTCACCATCACTATGGCTCGCCTCTGTCAGTAGCCTCAATATCGACGCCGGTCTCGTTACGTAAGATTTCAGACAGTGACGACCCATCCCTAAGGTAAATCCAATCGCTAGTCGCTGTGTCCTGTTTCTGGTCCTGACCCTCACTAATGATCACCCAATCATAACGCTTGGGACCGGAAATAGGCGATGACAGCCAGATCTGTTTATTCGGAGGCTGCTTGTTGATCACGTATGTGCCAATGTCATTGATTGTGAGGTTCATAACCCCGGACTATATATGAACCAGATTAGCATAATGGCATATCGAGGGCAGGTGTCACCAGAGTTGTGGCAACATACACTATACTCAACGTCGATGTCGATTCGCTTGTCTTGCAAAGCCTCATATTGCAGAATGAGCTTATCAATGTATTCGTCAGCGAGCTGATGGAATTCCTCCTCGGTAATATTGGCGGGCATAGCGCGCTTGAGGTCTTCAGCCCACAGCGGCTTGGCAAGACGCTGACTGGTAGAAAACGGGCTTCGGAAGGTAGGTCGGACGGCGAGGGTTGGCTGCTTCGAGAACGCGAGTTTTCTGACGCTGGACGAAGCAGTGCTGCGTATTGCAAGGCCACGGACTGCCGTTGAAGCTAGGCGGACGACATTGGTGCGAGCCATGGTAAATTACGAGCGGGGAATTGGAACAAGTTGGTAATTGGGGTGGTATGAGTATGCCGAGTCTGTTTGGAAGTGAAAAGAGAGCTTTGGATGCTCCCAGCTTGTAACTAGTGCATGCCTAAGAGCAAGATGAAGTTGGGTTAAGAAGCAATTAGACGAAATCAAGAGCTTGGGAAAGTAGATTGGAACTACCCCAACTACGGTACCTGCTACGGTACCTGCTCCAACATGCCTGCCTACAGCTGGAAAGAGGTAGGGGTACCTGAAGGAAATCTCAAAGGAACAGCTACCTACCAAATCACCCCACATGCGAGCACTCGCTTTGGAGAATTCCCCGCGCAGCTTGAGCATACAGGTACCTAGGTGCTTACATACATAGTAGGTAGTTAGGTGCCGAGGTACTTAGCGTAATCACGGTTTAAAGAATAAGGTAAAAGCAGTACAACGCACAGCCATAACCACAAGCCTCATTGCCTTTAGGTAAGCAACGTGGCGTAAACAATCACCCCGTCTGCTCAATGAATGTCTCAAGCAAGATTGGACGAACCTATATCATTCCGAACAACTTACGAATAATCGAGTTGCCGTCTGTGATAGACATGCGGAAACCTCTTTGCTCATATAGTGGGAAATGGGGGAGATTGATTATCTTCAAGATCATGAGATTCCGAGGGTTGCAGTACCAGATCATAAACCGGGGAAAGGACCCGTTATCACGCCAACTATACTCCTCCTTTGGATGCCCAATCTAGAATACGACAGAATTACCGATCTCCTGACTGGCTCATTCTGGGCGCCGGAAGACTACGGGGAAGCTCATTTGATGGCAAAGGCTATGAACCAACCGAGTCGGGTAGGCTTACACGAGACGTCAATGCTGTAGTTAGCATTCTGCTTCATGGATGGCAGGTCTCGAGCCGTTGACCCATTGCCCCCTGATCCAAAGGACATAACGGCATGGAGCAAAATGTCTGGTCTCTCCCGAAATGCTAAAAGCCGAGCTCCCGTCGGGTAGATTCGTGAGTAGTAGCCGCATCAAAATCCGACGAGCCGCAGTAGGTTCCGGTCGTTTTCGTAGTCTGGGGTAATAGGGCTGCCCCCGGCCCAGTGGAGAGTGACTTTAAGTATACTTGCTGTGAAGTCTCATGTGACATGCTCTATAGCTAGTGAAGCTACTCAGGAAGCTCAAACTGCTCATGAGTCCATGAAGATGTTTAGATTTTGAGATCACTACTCTTGAGCGATTTTCTCGCACCCAACCGTAAGCAATATCTGAGTACGGAGATTAATAATGTTGACAAGTTGACTCGACCAGCCGGTCCTCGGCGGAACGTATAAAATCCAATAATAACACTGTGCCGGCTCAGCGCTGTTAGTAGTACCCTGATATATACCTTCACGCCAGAATGCCCGAAGTCTGGCCGTAACCAGCAGCGGGACTTTTGCGCCCATACTGATTTCTTAGACAGTCGTTCAATTTGACTTCATCAAATACAAAGAAACTTGTTAGTTAAATAAGGGGAGGTATTGGAGGCAAACAAGAGATATTTGGCAACATCCCGAGCCCTTATGAATGGTTCGATTGCCACTGTTGCGTCGAAATCAAACAGAATGAGGGCTACCTTCAGATGGAACTGTGACGCACTACATCAGGCAAGGATCTGATGTACCTCATAGGTACCGGCCGATCAGGGTGTACAGTGACGGACTCCTGGAACTGGTAGCTCGTGGTATTATGGAGGGGCAGACAGAGCAGGAGTTGCGTGTTTGTACGGATGTACCCCACCATGCCAGCCGCGTGCTGGCATCTGCTGGTGAAATACCTACTATGTACACTGCAAAAGGCGCTGCAAAAGGCTGGACAGGCCTAGCACGGCCTACCGTATCGGCATAGCTCGCCGGCCTAGAGGGGCAGTAGCGCTGTCATTAGCGGATTATGTCGCTCATGTCGCCAATTACCCCTCCAACAAATCAACTGGTGTTCCTCGTACCACATTGTAGCATTGTAGCATGTAGCACGCCCGCTGAGCAACTCTACACCTCCGTCTCGCGGACGGGCTATTTATTCCTTTGCCCTCCTCTTCCTCTTAAAATCTCTCACTTGCCTTCTTCATCTTCCTACAAAACCAAGCCAATTCAAACCCTCGCGCTTTGTGTCTGAATCGAAATCTCCAGTCAGTCCATGTAAGAGTTACTCCCGCCATCGTTTCCCCGTTCCCTTTGCAACCCCGCCATTGCATCACAGATATTTCCATGGCAGCACAAGTCGATTACCCCTCCATAGCTCAACTGTCGTGGGCCCGAATGGTTCTCAGAGACGCAAACAGTCCTTATTGGGCTTCATTTGCTTTCGTCACCTAGTCCTAGTTTTGCTATCCGTTTGCCTTGTTTTCAGATCTCCCGCATGCCCCTCCAAAGTTTTTTTTCTTTTTACGAGGCTTCTTTTGCCTTCCTCTACTAGCTTATTTCTCGCTCTTCCCTTCACCTCTTTCCTTTCCTCTTCTCTATGTAATTCTTTACAAGAAATCACCTACTAACATCCATACTTCTTGTCTATAGACCTAGAATATCATGGCTATCAAGGTTGGTATCAACGGTTTTGGCCGTATCGGCCGTATCGTCTTCCGCAACGCTATCGAGCACCCGGAAATCGAGGTCGTTGCCGTCAATGACCCCTTCATTGAGCCCAAGTATGCCGAATACATGCTCAAGTACGACTCCACACACGGACTCTTCAAGGAATCCGTCAGTGTTGATGGCAATGATCTCATCGTTGCCGGCAAGAAGGTCAAGTTCTACACTGAGCGCGACCCCGCTGCCATCCCCTGGAAAGATACCGGCGCCGAGTACGTTGTTGAGTCCACTGGTGTCTTCACCACCACCGACAAGGCCAAGGCTCACTTGACTGGTGGTGCCAAGAAGGTCATCATCTCCGCTCCTTCGGCTGATGCCCCGATGTACGTCATGGGCGTGAACGAGAAGACCTACGATGGCAAGGCCGATGTCATCTCTAACGCTTCTTGCACCACAAACTGCTTGGCTCCCCTCGCCAAAGTCATTCACGACAAGTATGGCATCATTGAGGGTCTCATGACCACCGTCCACTCATACACTGCCACCCAGAAGACGGTTGACGGTCCTTCCGGCAAGGACTGGCGAGGTGGCCGTGCTGCTGCTCAGAACATCATTCCTAGCAGCACTGGTGCCGCCAAGGCCGTCGGCAAGGTTATCCCTGAGCTGAATGGCAAGCTTACCGGCATGTCTCTGCGTGTGCCTACTTCCAACGTCTCCGTTGTCGACTTGACTGCCCGTCTCGAGAAGGACGCCTCTTATGACGACATCAAGGCTACCATCAAGGCTGCTGCCGAGGGTGAATTGAAGGGTAAGCATCACCCGCCCCGGCGTATAGTGTTTTGCTCTCTTAAAAAGGAAAAAAAAGAAAGGAAGACGCTAACAGAGATCAATCCAGGAATTCTCGCTTACACCGAGGACGAGGTTGTCTCCTCCGACATGATCGGCAACACCAACTCTTCCATCTTCGATGCCAAGGCTGGTATCTCACTGAACAAGAACTTCGTCAAGCTTGTCTCTTGGTATGACAACGAGTGGGGCTACAGCCGACGTGTGCTCGACCTCGTTGCCTACGTTGCAAAGGCTGACGCTGGCAAATGAACTTCTAAATTGTAATGGGTTGAGAGAGTGGGCTGGTTTCTCATGTGCCTCGCAGATATTTCCTTATGATGCTACTATAGAGATAAAACTAGTAAATATGGTCGTCGCTGGTTAAGGAGTCGGATTGTGGATTAAGAGGCGTTGACAAACGTAAAACAAGACTCCAATATGAATTGATGATAATAGAAAGAATAAGGATTAGTTTCACTTCACTGTGCAATCGTTATGGGCTGAATCTGTACAGGGAATAAATATATGTGCTGTGTGTGTATAGGTGAAAAATCTCCCATTACCACATTTTCACGGTAGACTGGTGAGCAAATGAAATACTCCAAAGGCCATATTCATGCTATAATCATTTCCTTATGGCTCTATTAGAAGTACATGCCGAAGTCTTTCTAACCATGGTATGCCAGCCCATCCCAGGCAGTGGCCTCGTATTCAGAAGGAAACGAAGCGCTTCTTGACCGGCCATTCTTTTCAAATCCATGAAACTCCAGTACGAAATAAAACACAACGCCGTGACCCCAGATACCCTCTCACACGCTTCATGTTTCGCGAAGTTGGCTCACGCATTCTCTAATCCCACGCCGAATCAGTTTAGCTGATCTCCATCGCGTCGCCACCACTTTGTCCATTCTGGACGGAGAAGTCCACGGCGCCGTTTTCACCGATAAGTCGCTTCTCGGACTGCGCGACGAAGGCAACGCTGCGAGCTGGATCGTAAAAAAGTTTGAAGGAACGCTGCACGTCGTCGACGGTAACTTGGCGCGCCTTACGCTTGCTACAGACGAGCTGTGATGTTGTGATCAGGTTTGAAGCGTATCTCAACCCGGTCTCCTGACCGATCTTGGTGAGTAGTGCTAGAGCGTCCGCCGAGATATCGACCTCCTCCTCTTGAGCGCGGATTCCCAGGATTTGTTGGATTTCTTCGGGGCTATAGGGCTTAGTCTGGATAATGACGACGCGATCGAGGAAGTCAAGTGGCAAGCCGTGAGGACTTCGGTAGTCTGTTCCCCGAATCTTGGAGTTGCCTCGGTTGCTCGCCATGATGACGATGGGCGCCAAGTCGTCCTCGAGCGCTCGGTTGATGTAGCTGAAGCATTCAATGTCCAGCATGTGGACCTCGTCAATAAAGAGCACACCCGGCACGATCTCGGCCTTGCCCTCTTCCTTCCACTCAGCCACCTTGGTGTCAATCTGATCTCGGATCTCGCTTCGGATCTCGCCTGTATCACCGCTGAAGAGGGCCAAGAAGCCTTGTGTGCGTGAGTTGATGACGTCGATCTCATGGAGGGTGACTGTATGAACGACCTCTTTTCGCTTCTGGAGCTCGCCGTCGGGGCACTGAAGAAACTTAGTGTCAACGCCCATGGCGTCGTAGTCGCGACTACGCGCGTAGCTTCGCCCTAGCTTTGTGATTTTACCGCTGCTTTTGTCGATGCTTATTATGTCGCCCGCCATGACGCGCTCTTTCGTCATCGCGTCAATCATCTTCGATCCCATATCGTACACAGCTTCCATGTCCGTTGTCTTGATTGTGAGTTTTCCCTGCTTCGCGCCTCCCGTTACGCTCCGGTCGATCTGGATCTCGACTACTTCGCCCTCCATCATCTCGGACTCTTCCTTGATACGGACGCCTATCGATTTGCGGAACGCTTGTGTTAGAGCTTCGGTTTTCGACATCTCGAGGGAGAATATTTCAGATGACGCAAGGCTGGTGAATGGAACGTCGGGCCCGAGAGACTGCGCCATGCCCATTGCTATAGCCGTCTTGCCAGTGCTGCATGACAATGTAATTAATATCGGCGGGATACGTCTTTGGCATATCGCATGGCTACACAAAGAGAAATCTTACCTCGGAGGACCGGCAATCAACACGGCCCTACCAGCAATCTTCCCAGCCTTGATCATCTCTAATATGACGGCAGCTGCTTTGCGAGGCTTTTCCTGACCAACAAGCCCTTGCGACGCGGTTCGAGGTTCTAGCGTGTCCGCATCGACGCCTAGGCCTCGGATGTGGGAGTGGGCGGCGATCAAATTCATGCCTCGAAGCTCCTTCGTTTCGCCAACAGTGACGACGGGCTGGCGTAAGGAGCTAGGTAAGCTTGATTCCTTCGATGTCTTGGGGGTTCGAACTTACAGCAGCCATCTTGACAATTATCCCAATTACTGCGTGTTGAAAGTATTATTTTAGAATAGTATTGACACGATATCTTGGTCTAGATGTTGGGACCGCGCAGTTTAAATGTCGTGAAGGATGATGGAAGGAGAAGGCAAGCAACACGAAAATTATTGACCCTTGCATACAACTAGCTGGACGCACCTAGGTAGCTATGCGCAGATCGCGACAACGTGTGGCGTAGGTATTGGGGCAATGGTCCTCACTATGTGGCTGTGCAGGCTTTGTGTGGCACACTGAAATATGGAGAATGGCTTCTGGGAAGTTGGCATAACTAAGTATTCGTCGGTACCTAGTTTTGGGACAACTTCTCAGCCCTGGCTCAGCTAAGCACTCTGATTCCAACTCAAAAAAGCGGTTACGGAATTGGATTTGTTACATAGACACCTATAGGGTATGGCTCTTTCTAGTAAATTCTACTAGGGTTTGTAGGTGAATCTCTAGGTGGCTTCCTAGATGCCGATATCGTGACCGAGATTGTCTCGGTGACCGGATTTTGGACTTATGTAGTAGGTAGTGCAACTTGACAAGTAATTTCTACCTACATCAAGGCCTTGAGAGGTGTAGAAATGTGATAGATGACGTTTGGCTAAGTTGGGTACCCAGAGTTCCACCTCCATCATAGGAAACATCTTTTCTACCTAGCTATTATTAATATACCCATTGTAACAAAGCAAAACACAATATCTAAGATATCCTCATTCTAAGCTTAAATGATTATAATACAAAACTAACTCGTTAATAATTTTAAGTCTTGATATGATACAAACTGTTGATTCTACTAGGTATATATACATCAATAGGTGAAAAGTAACTCATCTATGCTTATCCTTTTCTTTGTTTTCATCACTTCAGAAAAGGTATCTGCATTTGCCAGGGGAGTGGGGAGGACCACATCAACCATTCCTCTCCGTCCGACAACGATGGATGCTCCGTACTTAGTGTTTATTCCTTTGCACAAGTAACATACTGTACCCTACCGAGGCGGTGGAAGAAAAAACTATCACTTCTATAGGTGCAAAACGTAGTTTAAGAGTGCCAGTTTTATTTTACACCGCCTCGCCTTAGGTAGTTGTAGGTAGGTAACCTGAAGCAATGGGAGCGATGATTTGTCCCCGCCTTATCATCGCGTTTATGTGTACAGCCCAGGTGGCGTCATGTGCATCTGAACATGTGGAGTACAGATTAGAGTATCGGTATCGCTTTAACTACCATTTCACCTCCGTGACCTGCCAAGACTTTAAGTGACCAATCAGAAGCATAGATATCTCTTGAACTTGTACTCAACTTAAACAGATAACTGCAAGTACAGAAAGCTACGCTGATCTTGCTGTCCTTTGGGTGACGGCCTAGGTAGTGGCAAAGTTGATTCACTAGCATAGCTAAGAAGAAACATAGCCCTTGATTAATACTGGGTCAACAAGGTCACGGAGGTGAAATAGTAGTTAAAGTGATACGGGAAGGTACCTTATGGTAGCTGCAGTCCGTTGAAGGAGCCGACCGGTAACCGTTTAATTCAGCCTCTTGGCGCCTGATGTGTTTTAAAACAGTCGGGATCCTGCCATCTACATGTACGCTACCCGAAACGTCCAAGACCTGTTCCAGAGTAATTACCTAGGGAGTATAGCTGAGGAGAGACATTCGGGTGACTCATCTCGAACACGCCTTTGAAAATATCTACCTACATATGTATACAGAGTATATATATATATCTACGCTTTCGGCGGTGCGGACACGTGCAGCGGGTACCTAGTAGGTACATATTAAATGCGAGAAGTGCGGCTACACCAACACAGTAAGATACATCGATCGGAGATGTTGTGTCTCGTGGGGTTGATTGTGCTAGGTATCATGGGTTAGATGGTAGATATATGTAGATGACCAGTACATGTAGGTAGTTCGCTATGTATCGCATCTCATAGCATCTGCTTAACCCTTCGATGGCACGTAGGTAATGTGTATTCCATGGTCGCAGCGAGGTTGGTAGGTTACCCAGGTAGCCGTCTTCGGTGCATGACTTCTACACCTCACCACTCTAAAGATTCATTCTTTTTCTTTCGCGGCTGCATAGTCACAGGGAAACCTATACAACCAACCCAATCCATTACATCAATGGTAGAGTCTCTCGGAATTTGCCTCCTTGTTTCGCTCCTGTGCCCAAATAAATAAATATTGGCCTCTCCAAAGCTCACACCTTCTACTGGTATACTCCTTTCCTTTCCTTCTTTTTTTTTTTAATTTTATTTTTCTACTTTCCTTCGGCTTTTCTCTATCATATTACCCTAGTAAACCGCCACCCTCTAACCCTGCGCGCTTCAGCCCCGGCCATCTTGTCTCGAACTTCGCAAAAAAATCACATTTACCCTTGCGCTTTCGACCTACTCTTAGGCTTCAATGCCAGAAGCTATCGCGACTCCTGCTGCTACCCGATCTAAACATCGACCCACGACCCCAACAGAGCGCGTCGCAACCCCCGCCTTCAATTGCAAACCTTGTGCCGAAGTCGACTTCTTTCTCGCCGTCACCTTCCGCGTGTCACCTGCACGGCTATGCCCTACCCTTGCTTGCTAAGGTCATGTAGCTAGACGTTGTTGGTTCAGTACATTATTTGTCTATAATCGTGGCCGTTAAAGTGTACTTGGCAGGGGAAACGCAGAGACTGTCTCCGTTGGCGCGGTCTAGCGGCCTCGCAACATGGCTTACAATCAATACAATGTTTATGCCGACGATCGCCGATCTTCAAACACGCGCCGGGAGTCGTATAGGCCAAGCGAACGATCATACACTGCCCAGCGTGATTCACGAGACGGTAGATATGTGAAGGAACCGGGCGAGATCCGAAGCCCTCACGAAAACCGACCCCCCCGCGAACACCGCCGCGATAACGAGTCACCAAGACCCAACAATGATGCCACTTCCAACCCTTCTGAAGGTTCCCGGCGCATACCAAAGATCTCGGCAGCAAACCTGCCCAACAAGCCCGGTGATGGGCCACGCATCAACCGAATCAATATAGGTAAGTGTGGGTTAGTGGTGATGGTCTTGCATGGATCCCAAGGCTTTGTACCTTTGTGCCCTTTTCTCGCAATCTACGATACTAATCGACTAGGGTTGTGGTCAATATGATCATCTTACCTAGCAGTAGCGTTATATCTCGGTCGGTGGGATATACGAAACTGAGTTTCCTACTTCGATACACCGTCAACGAATAAATTGTTCTTTGCTAATGAGAATAGTCACAGATAAGCACATAGCTACGAACCCTAGCCCTGCTGGCAACTCTACCGCCATAACAATGCCGGATGCAAAAAACCCTAAGCTTCAAGAGACATTCCAAAATGCGTACAGCTGGGGGGAGAAGCATCATAAACGTCTTCTATTGCGCATACGCAGAGATAAATTGGGGCAGGAGCGCGACCAACACCGACAAGAAAATCAAAAATTTAGCAAGGGCGCCGACAAATATCCACCATATCGCGATCATGTTTTAAATGAGAAATTTGAGTCAATATATCGTGCTGTCGACGATGAGACACAGGCTGTCGAAAACGAGTACCGCCGCGACCTCGAACGACTCGTCTCTTCTTTGATGACTACTTCAGAGCCGGCGACCGTAAACCGTCAGGATCCAGTAATTGCTGCCTTAGAGGCCAAAGTCGAACAAGTCTCTGAACAAGCCGCCAAACAAGCTGAACAAATTCAGAGTCTCCTCGAGGAAAACAAAAAATTCAGCACTCTAAAGTCGGAATATGATGCACTGAGGTCCGACCATGATGCGCTGAGGTCCGACCATGATGCACTGAGGTCCGACCATGATGCACTGAAGTCACATTACAAGGCACTAGAGTCAAAAATATGCACATGCGAAGATAAGACTCACGAGCTACAGTTGCAACAAGCTGATATGACGTCTGAAAACGAGAGCTTGAGAAAACAATTAGAGGACCTTCGAGATGATACCCAGGCTCATGACGTGAAGCTAGCTCAAGTAGCCAAACAATCGACAGATGCAGCCAAAGCTCAGCAAGCTTCAATCGAATCTCAGAAAGTATTTGTAACAGGGCTGGAGGAGCGTATGGCAGGCATAGAAGCCAAACTCGACGACTTCAAGGACTATGGCGATATTAAAGAAAAGGTTGACGAGCTAGATATGTCTACGCTGATGGAAATCTACTCGGGATGGGGGGATAACACATACAATCTGAAAACCCTACTGGCCGAGTATTCTGAACATCGTGATCAAAACGGCTGTTCTATTTCCGAAACCTTTCGGTCGCTGAGGCAAACAGTAAATTCATTGCGGGTTGGCCTAAGCAACAGCCCACTATCTCACGTCGACACACCTTCGCTGACTGAGACAATTAAAAGGGTCGTTGAGCCCGAAATCGAAGCTGCCAAAACTCTGATAGAGACAGACAACAAGATCCTGTGCGAAGGAAGGGATCGCCTCATTGCTTCGATGATTGACGCTCTTAAAGCCCGGGTCACTCTCCTGGAAGACCCAGCATTGGGTCATTCGGAACTCAGTAACCGTGTTCACTCACTTGAGCAATGGAGAGTCCAGTGCGACCCTAGTATGGATCGCAGCCAAGGGCTAAATCTGGTAGAGCGAGTTACGCTCCTGGAGGGAAAAGAGTTTGGCCACCACATTGATCGGATTGATATTACAGTCAGCAAGTTGAGTGAAGATTATGATGCTCTCAAAAGCGATGTCAGCCGATTACCAGAACAAGACTGGGTAGAAGACCGCCTACAACAAGTAGCTGGCAGCTTCGGCATATATTCTGAGATTGTCGATGAGGCGAAAGACTCTCGCCGCAAACTCCTTGCACTAGAATTAGCCTTCGTCAACCTGGAATCCAAATATCAGAACTTAAACACAAAACAACTGGCGGAACATATTGTACGGTTGACAAACCCAGGCATTGAGCAACGACTGGGAAGACTCGAAACTAGGTCTGAGCAGCTTGAAACTAAACTTAGTGGAAGCGATAGAACGACCGCCTATCACACAGAACAATTGAACTCGCTTTTGAAAACAGTGAAGTCGATTGGTGAGAAACGGACAGCATCTCCTGGACAGCTGGACGAGTCTGTTAAAAAACGAAGGTTTGAGATTAACGGTCGGCACCCCTCATCCTAGATTAGCTGGCTCGCCTATATCTTGATGGGAGACAAGATATCGCATGGCCGAGCTCGCAATGCTGACTACATATGTTGGGGAGTACATATGTAGAACGTACAATCAAAGGAAGAACAAGCTTTTCCTGGCGTTTTAGACATACATGTCCCCTCAAAGCTCAAGATACTGCTGCTATGCGCTTGGAGTTCGGTAACTTGTCTCTCTAGATCTTCACGCTGCCTCCCCTCTTTTGTTTTCCATTTTGATACGAATATACCCTCCTGCGTTTCGTGTTTTCTAGCTTCTTTTGCCACAGGTTGCTGGACGATGTAGTTCTTGATCATAAATGCGGGCACTCGGTCACGGTTGCAATACCAGCGTGTAATAGGGCACAAGGAACAAGCTGGATGGATTTTGCATTTGGCCTAGGTGGCTTCACACTGCATTATGATCTACAAGAGGGGTGGATCAATGCCTTCACGAGATAGATAGAATCGTCCTGGGTTGTAGCGTTCAGGTGAGCTCGGGCACATACATCGAGGAGGCATATGGGAAAAAATACCCCCAATGCGCGTAATAAATTTGTAAAGATATCAATGATCTTTGTTATGACTCTAAATGTTTGTCGTGACTTGGTTTTTAACCCGGTTTTATTGTACACCCAATGGCGATCAAATAACTATGATGTCACTGGTAATTGCCATCAGCTCCAAGATAAGATTACCTACTCAAGACTTCAGCCTCATGGGTGCCATGAGTGGCGGCACTCATGCTCTCACGAGATGAATTCTCCGTGGGCTCTTGGATTCTTGTTGTGTCGAGTATGCTCATAATAACTTCAAACCTCCCGTGATCTGGTCTACAAGGCTCTTGGGTGCCGGCCCAACGCCAAGTACCGTCAAACTGCCGGGGTCAATCTGCGTACGTCCAGCATCCTGTATAACCTCAGCTGTGACCCCCAGGCTCCGCGCCTTGCCCATCAACGTAAGCAGCTCGTCCTGCGATTTGACTTGGACAGCGATCTTCGCCTGTCCGAGCCTCTCCCATCGCTGAAGAATCTTAGCTTCGGCTGACGTGGGCCGGCGGGCGGCACTCCGGCTAAGCGTCTTGTAGCAGGCTAGTGTGGCATGGGAGCACTGCGCCGCGATTTTGCCTACCGACATGGGTATTGTTAAAATCACGACAGAGCAACATTAACTGATTGTGTGGTGGAGCTGAACTCACCTTTTGTCATGCCGAGATCAGTCCGCACGACGAGCACTAACTTGCACTCCTCGTTGGGGTTGCTGCCGGGATTCACGGCGGCTTGTCTGGGATGGGCGGTCTCTGCTTCTCGCTTTGCGCTCTTCGCCTCGGCGTCTACATCATCGCCCGCCTGCTTCTTCTCGCCCTCGTCTTTCCGGGGACCTGGCGTCCGCAAACCCTGCTTCGTATCTGCTTCCGCGCCATTCGCCCAGTTCGGCGCGTGATCTAGGACGGTGTCGTCTTCGTCGACATCGGACTCGTCGCTCTCTATGGGGTCGTTGAGCGTCCTCTGCCGCTGTGACGTGAGTGAAGGCGGCACGATGTACCCCCTTATTGAGTAGATTCCGAGTCCAAAGCCAGAGAAGAATGCGACGAGAGATGTCGCGATGAGCGCCGTTGAGAGGCTGGTGGACTCGGCCATCTGGGTGGTAGGTACGTAGTTGGCGGGGTGTAAATTAAGTCAATTGGCGGTTGAGCTTGCTGTTTTTTTTTTTTTTTTCCAGAGGGGACTTGAACGTGATTTCTTTGAGTTCCTCGGGTCTCAAACGCTATAGAAACCGGCAAGGCACTTTAAGTGCGTTTTGAATTTTGAAAGGATGGAAAAGGAGGACAAAAGACTTAATGCGTCTTCATGAATATTAGCAATGCCTCTATCAACTTTTTTTTTCTTGTTGTTGAAACAATTGCTTGCAAGTAGATAGGTAGATATATAGAACTTATGTAATCATGTACCGGGGTAAGGTCCATGGCAGATCGATAGGTATGTAGGTACTTTTCCATCTTGATTGTATTATGTAAGTTAGTGCCCCACGTATCACGTCAACGCGTGTTGTCGGCAACTAGCCAACGGGGGTTCAGCCCAGCTACGCCAAAGAGATATGCTGTACAGATAAGGTACCGTACCTTGTATGTACCGGTATGTGAGTTGCGTGGGGGAATAATTCCGCAGATGCGGTGTCGTGACTACAGCATTGCATTCCGTAGAACGATATTAGATAGATTATATTAGAGACAACTGACGGTACAGTTTCGAGTGGAAAAGATGCCTAATTACTCAAAATATACCACTCCAGCGATCCTTAAGCCAACGTCAAAATTCTTCAGGAACAGGTACTTGGCGAATAAATAAACTAGGTAGGTATGCAGCTGGCAACTTGAAGTTCAATATCAGGCAGAGAGAAACCTACGAAGTAGCTATCAACAGCAGTAGTCTGTTTTACTTTAAGTACACAAGGGACCTAATCGAAGTATGTACAACCTGCTCGCCTGGGATCCATCGAACCTACTTCGTGCCTCTTGCATGCTTGGGATCAAGCCACACGCAGATTGGTAGCTGTAATTCGTCCAAAGCCCCGCTCAGCGGAAACGAGTGGATTCGCCCCTACCACTGCTTAGCCGTTCAAGCTCAAGATAGGTACTGCCTGGCCCGCTTGGCGCCGGTTCTCTGGCTCTTCTCTGGAGGTTAGATACCCCCCTTCGCGTCGCCAGCCCACCCTTTCGTTTCGCAGTCCAACCCGACCCGTTGTTTGCGTGACTGACTGACTGATTGAAGTTCCCCCAGTAGTCTTCGCGCTCCAAATCCTCTTCCTCTTTAGTATCTAAGCCAGTCTCGGCCGCTGCTGGTTCTCGGGCCCGGCAATGACCCCAACCCTTGTTCTACAGTAGGGTCTTGATCTCAGCGCTAGCGTAGGTCCAGGCGGGTACCCAGGCCCAAGTAGGTAGGTACACTACCTAAGCTTCCACTGTACCAGTCTGCTGTCTCAACCTAAAGTCCCCTTCCCTGCCTTGCCTCAAGGGTTTGGGTTGATCTGGCTTGGTCTGGTTTGGTTAGGTCTCTTCTGTAAACCACGCGCTGATCCCGTCGCCTCGCCTGCACCCGGCGGCACTACAGACACGGGCATCCTTTCAACACCGCTACAACTAACTATCTATTTACCTACACGGGCATACTTCCCTACGCCAAATAATACATTGCCTAATTATATCCATCTATACTACCCAGGTACATATACCAACTACTAGGTACCTAGGTAGGTAGGTAGATATCTAGGTATTGGCAGTCACTGACTGACTGATAACGCGGGCTAAAAAAACATACCCATACCTACCTACAATCGTACATCGCATCACATCTCACATACCTATCGCGGCCGTCAATTACACACTGCCACCGTACTTCGGCAACCCGCATACAACCAACTGCAAACAAGAACCTTTGCCATTCGTTTACCTTTGGGTAGGTATGTCGCGTAGCTAGATACTCACACAACAGTGCAATATACAGTACCTAGTGTACGCCTGGCCTATCTGCTATCACCCATACCATCCCGACCGATGACCTAAGTTTCCCAGCCGGGATTGGTCGTCTCCTCCAACCTCACCTACCACCACCACCAGACCAGACCAGAATCTCGGCCGCCTTTGTATCCCTACCTGCATAAAACATCTTCACCCACGTACCATCTTTACGATCCCAGGCACGTCGACCGCTTGTTTCCCGGTTATTGTTGCTCTGTTGCCGCTTCCCCGGGCGTCTGGGATAAACCGCCGTCGCCGCCGTTTGAGCCACGATCGGCGGTCTCGATTCGCGCCATACACTCGGTTCTTGACATCACACCGGCTCGCCAACTGTATGCCCTCCACTGTCGCTTATTGTCAACCTGACGCCAGAACGCCTTACCAGCGCCCGCGCCATTAGATGGGAAATGCGCTGGGTCCATTGCCACGCTGGTTCCCTGGAGGCTGGATAGCATCGAAAAAAGGCGACCACACGCGACAACAATAGCTTGACTACTACCACCTGCCGCTGTCGCCAACGCTTCGCGTACTCATTTTTGGACAGGTCAGTTATTGCCCTTGCACCCATTATAGTTGCTTACATCTCGTTCTATTTATCTGTTCCATTTCAATCTCAACCAAACTTTAATTGAGATAGTCGTACTATGTAGTCCCCCGTCCCATTGCGCCGGGTCCTGTGTTGTGGTGCACAATGTTGAACCGTGACTCTGCTAACAACGAGATGGATAGGCTTGCCGATCTGTCGCAAATTCAGCATCGTTCCCATTGAACTCCTCTTGTACCTCGTCATCGGATCCAAATTCCTTTCATGATCTATAGGGAAGCTTTGCGCGCAACCATCTCGACGTTGCCGGAACAAAGAAAACAATGGAGGAGGCTGCGAAGTCGATTGAGACCTTAGCAGAGCAGATTCTACCGAAGCAACCATACTACCTCTCCCTTTCTCCTACTCGCAAATACCAAATACACCCCGATGAAACGCGTTTAGATGAACAAGATACCAGACCTTTACAATACACTACCTTGGTCGGCGGCGAGGCCGATCGCGGAGTACTCATCACTCGCGCCTACTTCACCGTCCGAGAAGAGCCCAGTGCTCCTAGTAATGCGCCGACACCTATAACATTAAAGGTCGACCCAAACAAACCCAGGAAGAAAGTTTCGTTGAAAGACTATAGGAACAAAAAAGTTGAAGGAGACTCGTCGCCCAAGCTGGAAGCGAAAGAGAAGCCGAATGGTCTAGCCACGATAAGAGAGAGAGAAGACGTCAAGAAGCGGGCGGAGTTCACGCCCAAGGAGAAGGAAATGGACAGTCGACGAGCCGCTAAGAAGGCGATAGCAAATGTTAAAATCGAGGCGCAACATCACTCCCCCTCACCCGAACGAAAGAAGCGTGTAGCAGAAGTTGACGAGGGCCCTAAGCCCACCAAGCGCGTCAAGGTAGAAGATACCACTCACAATGGTACCGTGCCTCGGCCTTTCAAAGATGCCTCTTCTTCTCAGAAGCCTTTACGAAATATACCAACAGCAAAAAGTGAGCTCAAAGATTCGAAACATTTCTCTGGCCCCAATGGCAGGCCAACATCCAGCAACTCAGCACTTCGCGCTGTATCTCCAAAACAGACTTCGCAGGTCAATGGTACCGGGAAATCGAGTGGGCAAGCATCACACAAGAGAGCAGTCAGCAATGGCGAACCTGTTTCCAAAACAGTCCCAAGGCTACTATCACCCCTGCTCATCGCGGATTTATCTATTGAAAAGCCTTCGGACCCGTCGAAGGAGAATACGTCCGAACCTCGCCCAAGTCCTAAGAAACGGCCAGTGGAGCCGAATAATTTGAAACCGCCACTCAAGAAATTGCGAAATGAGCGTGAGCCGTCGCCTAGCACCAAAAAGCGTAAGACATTGCCGCCTCTTTTATCGCCAACACTGCCTGCCATTGTCATGGACGAGCTAGCCAGGGTGGAGAAGAAACTAGACACGCCATCAAAGGAAGCGAGCTCGAAAAATAATCAGATATCTGATTCCGTCGTCGTCAAGAAACCTCCAAAGTCAACGCAAGAGGAGACCATCCATGTTGACAGTAAGAAGGAACCAACAAAATTTGTTGTGACTATGAAATATAAAAAACGCCACGCGAAGACAATTGAACGGCTCCTCAATTTGCCATCGGGCGGAAAGAAGAAGGCAGAAGGTTTGAAGAAAGATGATCAGACTCCACGCGAAAACTCCGCCAGTGTCGAGCCGGGTACTGCTCGCAAGCGTCCACGAATGGCAACTGATACTACTGAAGTATTGAAGCGACCAAAGACATCAGAAGCCTTGAGGCCCTCAACCCCGCCAAAGCAGTCGACATCTATGAGCCGCATTGCCTCTAATAGCTCTCAAGTTGGCACTCCGGGCGCTACATACAGCGTCACGCCTTCGACACAGCCGCCTAACGACAGGCGGCGGGAATCCGGAACCGCAGACAGATCAGAGAGGTTACAAAGAGCACAACGATGTCGTACAGCTCATAATTATTTCATGGACCTAGGGAAAAGGCTGAAGCACGAGCGCGATGGCATTTTCAAACACAGAGACAAAGTGCCCGAGCACGAATGTCAACTCGGGCTTGCTATCAGTATTCAATGTTTGCTCTCCTACATGCACGCTGTCAGGCTCCTGAACGAAGCTCACGACTTGGAAAAACTCCCCCGCCGCTTAGTTCCGTGGAAAGAGGTCTTGCCTTTGTTTTCACAATATAGAGGTGAGTGTTTTAAGAGCAACAACCAACTTCCATTCTTGGCCTTGGTCTGCCGCATTCAAGGCATATTCATGAGCCAGATGATGCGAGTGCTATGGACTCATCCTCCCGAACCCGATACAGCTAAAGAATTCATCGGTATGAGTAAAACCGAGGCAGACACCTGGCGCCAAGCAGATTCATTGCGAAGAAAATTAGAAACGTATGATGGGAGTTCTAACGCATCGGATGGTGGAGCAATTGGGAAGCTAATTGACCGACTTGGTCCTTGGAGTACTCCTGAAGAAGCAATAAGCATCAGCCTTGAGGTTTTGCGCAATGCTGTTTGCACTGACGAGCCTTGGAAGCCTGCGGATGAGTTGGCAAAGTTTGGCCGTCCCACAGCTAACGGCGGGCCGGTATTATGATACCAACGAGGTGCAACCTTGCGTACGAAAGTCGGAGCACATGCCACAAAAACCCCCTAATGTAACATTACGAACTACGACTCCATGGTATATTACCAGCACCTGCTCCCAATCTCTTTTCGGGCGGTACAGCCAAAATTGGTTGGTGGCATGTACACTTTTTATGGGCTTGGTATAAAATCTCCCCCCAGAGCTCTAAACGGCTTGTTTTGAAGAGATTTCTATTTTTCACATTGCCATCGAACAGGCTAGTGTGGTTGGGCGTTTATAGCTACAGGTTGAGGATGATAGTTGATTTGGCCATGATTTTAACAAAAAGGGGGCAAGTGACGGTTACGGTGCAAGCAGTGGTAATAGCAGGCTCAGGAGTTTCGAGGTTTCCAGCTAATACATCGTGAGCGAAACACGGTATCGGCACATGGAGGGGAAACGTTTTGAATTTCCCATATATTCGTGCGAGTTGTTGTATGAATTGGTGGCATGATATCCCGCCGGCACAGCCGAGCAAATGGAATTACATTACGATTAAAATAACTTCTGTCCCCTATTGTGACAGCTGCGATGCACATCTATACCATGACATGTCATTCTATGGAACATCAGTCTAGCTTTAGGTTCATTTGTTTAATCCGTAAGTTGCCTACTGACATCTGGCATGAGGGGGGCTAGGTCAAACAGCGTCGCCTCAACACATCTTTGAACTGACAAGACAATTACTTTCAGACAAAGTCAGCCGAGCGGCTCCAGCTCTCATCACCAACTTCTCGAAACTCGACACCCTCGCCAAAGTAACCGGCGTCTTGCCAGGCCTTCATCATGCTACCTTCAAAGGGCCCTTGCTTCGCTTCCCCGCCGCCCCGACCATCTGTCCAGCGGTACTCCCACATCTTCGTGCCTTTGGGCGGGCCATCCGCTTGCTCTTCCCGCACCGGCTCTACCCACTCCTCGTCCGTCTCGCGCACATACTCCCGTATCAGCAGCTCTCGCTCGCGATCATATATGTCAGGGCGGTCGCGGCCCAGAAGCTTGTCCGCTGCATCAGTGATGTCGTTGATGGCTTCCTTGATGCGGACTTGTTCGGGGTCCTCGGGTTCTTTGTCCTTCCCCTTGTCGTCATCGACGTCCATGGCATCTGTCTTCTGTGCCTGTTTTTTCTGCTTCCATTTGGGCACCTTTTTCACCTTCGTCTTGTTCTGAGAGCGGCCGAGGCGCGCTAAGGCCTCTAGCGCCGTCTCGCCGCGCTCGAGATTCGTGATGAGGGATTTGAGCAGGTCGGAGGTCAGGGCGCTGTCTTCTTCGCGCCGCTTCTGCCGTTGCTCCGCCTCACGCTTCTCGTGCGCCTCGGCCGCGCGCCGCATGTCCTTCTTGCTGAGACCCTCGAGCCACCGGTCGTGCACGGCGTCCGGATCTATGGCTTTGCGGACGAAGTTCCCTGCTTCGTCGAAGCGGCCTTCCTCGTTCTCCTGCTTGAGATTGAACGCCTCGATCTTCGGGGCGTGCTTCTTTCGCCCGCCGGCACCGACTTCCTCGTCCACGTCTTCCTCTTGTATCGCGAGCGCAACGGCTTCGTCGTCGTCGTCTGAGCTCTCCTCTTCGCCGTTTATGCGTATGTGCCCGCCCGACTTGGACGTGTTTTCCTGCCCCTGGATGTCGCCCGTGCTCATGAACCGCACCTCTTTACTCTTCTTGCCCGTAGTCTTGTCCACCGTGTCGTCGCGCGCATCGGCATTTTCGTCCTCTGCGGCGAACATGTCGTCCATATCCTCGTCGGCGCCCTTCTTCTGCGCATTCGCCTTGGCATGCAGAGTCCCCAGCTCCTCCCGATCTGAATCGGAGTCGTAACCGTCGATATTGACGGCCCCGCGCTTCGTCGCCGCGCTGCCCCGGATCACGTCGGCGTCTGCCTCGAGGAACGCGTCGTGAGCCTCGTCATCGTCCTCGGCTGCGTCCGGCGCGAGCGCTGAGGGATTCCGCACGTCGAACTTCACTTTCTTCGAGTCGGGCTCTGCGTTATGGTGCTGGCGCGCGTAGTTCTCGCCTGCGCGCTTGGGACGCGCGGCGCTGAATCTTGACGCCATTGCTGGGCTTTATGTGTTGTGATGATGTCTGAGAGGCCAATTGGGAAAAGGGGGTCATTAATAATGCTTGACGTGACTCAGTGCCACATCTTCAATTACCGGGATAAGTAGGCTATTATGACGTTGAATTTTGCCCTTGTCGATCTAGAGGTAGGTACCTCTCTTCTGCCCTGTTGTAGCTGTGGTGTAGCTTTACCTAGGTAGTGTGGGGTCGCGGCAGGTCGGGAGCTAGGTACAGTACACAGCACTAAAGCTGGCGTGCTGGGGATTCTGCTAGGGGTGTGCACTCTCAAGTTGGCGCGGGGTAGGTGAGCTGAGCTCCAGCAATCGGCATTGCACGGTCAGGGTTCCTTCTACCTAGCCCTGTCTCGCCTGTTCCAGGTTCCATGCGTTTGGCGTGGTACCATTACACCGTATTATGCTGGCACAGGTACCTCCTCGAGGTGTAGTGCAGTGTCTTCTAGAGCCAACCAGCGGATTATCCTCGTAGCCGAGTGTTTCGTCATCATCCCTCAGGAACAGCTGCCTTGCTTGCTGGCGCCCGCCAAACATCTTATCGTGGCCTGGAGCAATATTCTTGAGATAGCCTCCCGACACCAACCACATCCCTCCACGACTTCATCGTTTCCCCCCAATCGCGAATTGCACGCCTCCCTTTCTGACTAATCAGAAGCGTCCAGTCTGAGACAGTACCCCATCTCGTTAGCCACAACTGCAGTTTTGGGGCCGCGATATTGCGATATGGTTCGTGCCATAAAAGCCGACTTCCTGACTCTACTTCAGCCCGCTAACTTACTCCGACTCATAGTATCAACCCGGCTTTGGCGCCTTTGACCCGGACGATCCATCCAACATGTATAACCTCGCGCGTTCCGGCATGATGCGTGGCCCGACAATACGTCGCTTCGACGAGTACTTCCGTTGCTATCCCATGATCATGGCACCCGGTGCTGAGCGGCCAGAGCTGAATTACGGCTCCAAAATCTTTCTGCCACCTTCCGCCCTTCAAAAGATCTCACAACTACACGTACAATGGCCACTCATGATGGAACTGGTGAACGGCGAGAAAGAGCGATTTACGCACGCTGGTGTTCTGGAATTTGTCGCTGAAGAGGGCCGAGCATACATACCACAATGGGTACGAACTTCCTGTTGGGATTCACGAGCCAACGCAGCTGCTAACAGCAACAGATGATGCAAACACTGCAACTAGATGTTGGCGATATGATACAGATCAAGTCAACATCACTTGAATTAGCCAAGTTAGTCAAGCTACAACCACAGTCGGTCAACTTTCTCGACATCAGCGATCCCAAGGCCGTTCTTGAAAGAGCCTTCAGGAATTTTGCCACGCTGACAAGAGGCGACGTATTCAACTTTGAGTACAATGACGAAGTCTACGAGATGGCCGTTCTTGAGGTCAAACCCGAAACTGAAAAAATGGGTGTTTGCATGATTGAAACAGATGTATCGGTGGATTTTGCCCCGCCGGTGGGATACGTTGATCCGCCAAAGGGCAGCGGAACCAGCACGCCGAGAAGCACGCGTGGAGGCTTACCTGCAGGCGGTCTGCTGCATAGCCAGGGAACTATGGCACAGTCCATCAATTACGACGCTATTGCGCCGAATGCTACAACAGCTGCAGCAGGCGCACGCGCGGTGGCGTCTCATTTCCTCACGGAAGGACACAAGCTCAACTCTAAGAAAGGGAGCAAAGGTCCATCCCCGAAGCCCTCCACTCCGGTTCCTGAATCTTCTTCACACACTGTTCCCGTTCCTCGACGGCGCGTCAACGGACCTATGCCACTACGTCTACCACCCAATAAACTGTTCTTCGGCTACGAGATAATACCCGTCAAGACGGATGCGGACAAGGAGGCAGAGAAGGAAAACGCCGGTAAGCCGCATTTTGCTGGCCAGGGTCAGACTCTTCGTGGGGCAGTCAAGCGCAAGGGTGATGCCGACGATAAAGGCAAAGCGCCTGAGAAAAAGGCGAACGAGGGCAACCGCTTAGATGGACGCAAGAAGTAAATCTGGGCGTGAAGCTACCAACAGCTGGCGGATGAGTGGCATGGCATTTGGTGTTCTGGCGTTGATAGACCGTGTGGCATACATACCTACCTACTTACGATTTGCGATCTGATACGTATAATGATCTTGGAATCAAAGGCATTTAATTTCAGTGCTGAGTTTAGCTTGCTATTGAACACTACGATATTGTGCTAGTAGCAAGTACGATTTATTCTATATCTCCCTCAAAAGTCGATTTTCATGGGCGAGTCCGCGGCCCTGTTAGTTCCGGTTTTCTCATACACATGAACCATGTGGTTTCAGCCCTATGAGACGCCCAGAGTAGTGCCTCGTGAGTTGTAATATTCTGAATCTTGAATCCATTCTTTATGTTGGCGCCACTACCTTTGAATTTTCCGGCGTGAGCATTAAGGCTCAGGATGGAATGTATGAGCCCAGATAGCTACCCTAGTGCTAGATTCGTTGGATGGTTTTCCTCAACGTAGAGTAAATTCTAGCCCAACGCGCCCTCATCCTTCTCGGGATGCCCCGTGGGAGAATAGCACTGCGACATACTACGGTATCCCTGGCATTGAATAAGTACATATTTGCATTTTTGTCTTCAATAATTTGCGCAATTATATACTACAAATCGCTTGTTCCAGGGAATCTGAATATTAACTGGAACTGAAGAAAGCGACAATGTAGTTATATGTATTTAGTAGGTAACATTGCAACTATCTGTTGTACCGATATTTACCTAGGTAAACTTTAGAGTTCATTTTGGCCTGGAGACTATGCTGTGGGTCTGGTGGCCTCACTAGTAAGGCCTTCAAGAGAGAACCATTGATAACTCCCAGCCCATTTCCAGCCGTACTGTGCTAGTGGAGATATGTGTCCGCTCTGACCCCGGACAAGTACTTTGATGATTGTATGAGCAACTAGTTACAGAGTGGATCAGTAGCGAAAAAAGAGTTGCAATACAAGAAAGTATGCAACCTGTGAGTTGCGTGGCCAGCTACAGCGGTACTTGTTGTAAAATGATGGATAATAAAGTCTCATCATATAATTTGCGTAGCCGACGATAAAACTTACAAAATTGCTCTTTGAGCCGGCGGCCGTTAGGTGCCGGACGTATCGGAGTCGAAGCCCCTTGAGGCCTTGCAACATCGAGGATCTAGACCAGGAGCATACTTTTGTTTTGTAGGGGTACATTCATACTATCTATCAGTCGCGAGGCAATATCCTGCCAAGCGCGCTTGGAGGCCGTCCCCCCTGCGAGGAACAGGTTTCCCAAGAAGAGCTACCATCCCTTTTGTTTTTTTTTGTCAGAATAGGCAAGTAGAGTTAATTCATCACTTTGAGTGTTTGATGATGTATGTTGCAGATGGTTGTGACAACTATTGGCATCCAATTTATGACATGGGCCTCGAAACTCTGCCTGAGGTGCGCGGCCTGTCACTCGGCGGGCGGCACAGGCAAACACAGGTTAAGTAGTTGGTTCATGTAAGGTGCCAGCACAGATCTGCGGTAACCGAAGTACCAACGCAACAGACACTAGGGAATCCTAGCAACTTGCAAAATTACTACGCACAGCTCTAAGATTGCTGTTCGTTAGCGAATACCATGCCTTGCCGCCCTGCCTGCCCTGTCAAGAGACACCGACAGCAACAGGCATGAAGAATGCGACATGATCATTTCTCGATACGGGCCGAGACCGGTGAAGCGTATCGTTGTTGTCATGTTACTGCTGGTTACATCAGTGGTACTACAGATTGTGTTCGAACGATGTCGAACCACAACTCGGGCTGTCTGTGTGCTTCTTTTGACACTTTTGTCATAAATGATAGGTAGATCTTCAGCACCGGAACCAGGAGCCGGATATACATTCTCCAGGAGGGCGGGGAGATGATTCCGGTGACACGCCGGAAGCGCCGGCGGCGAGCCTGAAGATTTGGGGTGGTTGGCCAGGGATATTGTGTGATACGACCAAGGTCAGCGGTTATAAGGAATCTAATAGTTCTTCCCATCGCTGCCTCTAGGGGGTATCGGCGGTTAGATAGAGCAATCTTGATCACTTCTGTTAGGGGGAGGGAGCAGAAACATTCATTAGCAGCAGAGGGGGGAAAAGGAGTAACCAGTAATTTTTGAGCGCTGGTTTGCTATGAATACAGAACAATATGTACTACCATTGTGCTGGCATCAGGGGGCAACGGGCTTGCTTGGGGGCGAGTTAGAGGCGTCGCGTAAAGCTCATCGTTTTCGCTGTGTTCCCCGGCGGTGCTGCCCAGTAAATCCCCTGGCCGTTTGATTATGCACTTTTCAAGCCACTAATCAAAGCGTTTGGGGCCTGAAAGCACGGAAGTATACTTCGAAAGTAACTTGTCCCGGTAGTATCGTATAGAACAATACTATGTGCTTGAACTTGAAATATCTTACTACGAGCGGAGCCAGATAGGCTTCGTTGATCATTTTGTCTCCTCTTCAAGAAGATATGAGATCTGATACCGTAACCCATAGTATTGCTTTCTGGAGATGCGGTACAACGTTGTTGGTACTATTTCATTTTCTCCCTCTTGTACTTTGTAATGGGGTAAGTCCGGATAGAGCCACTTTGGATTTGTATCTACCTTGGTGGTCTTGAGGATTCGAACCATAGAATAGACTGCAGTTAAGTGTTGTATAGGGTAATTAGCTCTGATATTTGTCGTGTCGTTAGAAAGCAGATGTTATTCTAATAAACGCGTGATGACTTTCCATTAATCATCGCAACCCCAGCGTTCTAGATGAGGGTGGCATACCAGATCTACTAGTGCCACCTCTAGCTGCTGATGCCTTGATATTTTACTGTAGGGTGGATGGAGTTTTAGTGTGACTAGGGGCCTCGGGTGGCGGTCATAATACATCCATATCTCACAGACGTAGTGGTGTGTAAGCATAGGCGGTGGCGATAATTGCACTCACCCTAATAGCATCGAGTATACATATTCCCGCCCTTGCATGGCTAGTGCTGTTTCAAAGCCAAGGCGAGTTCATTCTATTATTCCCGCATTAGCATTACATAGAACATTAGTAGTGCTGCTGCTGCTCCTATTTATCCGCACAAGGCAAGGGGGAGACATCTTTAGGGACAGCTGGTGACTGGCGGGCCGTCCCTCAGCTCAATCTCCTGGTGCGGGAACACGAGATATTCTGCCCCAGGGAAAGAAAGCTTCGAGCTCAGACGCCTGTTGGCCAGCGATAACCTTATTTTGGGGTGGCTTGTTTGTTCCAGCCTTAAGAGAGCGAATCATTTATTGTTCTGCAACGAGAGTAGATAGAAACACGATTTGTTATACATACTGCCCACCCCCTATAACCTACTGATTATATGTTTATTCCGAGAGCCGTCGTTATCTCTTGGAAAAACTAGCAGCTGGTTGGGTGGTATTGCTCAATGGTGACACTGACGATATCGTACGGTGTATGCAGGATAGAACCAGGGCCAAAATAAAGATGTCTGTAAGTACTCCGTACCGGCAGCTCGTGTATGTTCTCAGTTTGTAACTTGGAAGAATAAAAGTGCTTAGCAACAATAAGGTTCATGCAGGAAATCCCCTGCTGACACAGTAAGAGACTCAAAGTATGGCGACTCAGTGTCAACAAATCCCTGTTAAGTACTAGATACTTACTAAAGTGAGTTTTTTTTTTTTTGGCCCCGAGTCTCTTCAGCAACGCCGTAACTCTCCAATCAAAACACTGCGTTACAAACACAGCTCTCTACCACCTACACTTGGAGCTGGGTATAGGCAAAGTCTCTCGGCACAGCCCCTTAGGGCTAGATCTAGTACCTAGGTTCCCAAGGCAACCTGTAGGTAGATTGGATCAAGATAAGTGGCCAATATTCGTCGAGCCGTTTACTCCAATAGAAGCCCCAACGGAATCTCCTTTGACTGTGTACTATGTGACAGTGATGTAACCTAACACTTTGACAGTGCAGCTTGTACCAGGGCCCTTGCGTAGCGCTTCGGGAATCCTTTCTCTGGCATGAGAGTCAACTGGACTAGGAGGGTCAAATGTTGTGAGGACGTAGATGAGAGTGCCCAATTATCGATTTAGTGAAAAAAGGGTTCACAATGAAGTTCAGTGTAGATTATAGCACTTGATGCTGGATCAATGAAGAGCAGGTATGGTGAAGTCCCATTACTCAACCAGTTGGCAGACACCACCAATCAATTCATTTAAACAGACTATCAATAATACAAGGATTCTTTTTCTGCCCCGGTAAATGCTCAATAATTTCCGAATTGTAAGCCCTGTAAGATGATCACCCGCAACGCCATTTTTTCGTACCTCATATCTAGGAGAAGTCTTCATAACTCATTGGGAACAAGAAAGGAGGACAATGCCATGATGTCCTGTCCAGCTGCTCACTTTGACCTAATAAATGGAATGGCCATTCCTCTCGCCTCTTGGTGATGTGTATGATAGCGATCCTCTTGTAGGATGGTACAAACGCGATGGGTTTGTGCATTAGTCATACAGGGTCCAATCTTCCCGCTTGACATCGGCTGGCTCGATGTCATTCTCGATGGATTGGCTGGGAAGACCAAGGGAATATTGAGGATGGAGTGAAGGCTGAAGATGTGCATGCTCGTAAGTACCAGTATTAGTGTATTCATCAAAGGGATAGGCAGCAGTGAAGTGTGAGGTGCCATGTGCCCAAGTTGAATCGACATTGTCAGGGTATGATGATGCCTGAAAATCGAAATGAGCTTGTGAATGCATCATATCAGTTGTAGGAGTGGATGCCATGATCGGCGATGCGGCAAATACATCCGTATCGCTAACAGGGGTGAGAAATCGGTTCTGCAGCATCGCAGTATTCGAGATAGTGGTTGAAGGTACCGATACTGGACCGGGTGTCAAAGCCGGGGTCATGCGGTTGTTGTAGTTGTACACACTCTCCTGCTTGATCTTCTGAGAAGTAGAAGACGGGGACTCTGACGATGCGTCATGAGGCGACTCCAGTGTGGTCGACTCGGACTTCACGGTTGCCTGCTTCTTAGGCTTCGAAGTTCTCTTAGATTTTGTAACTTTAGAGTTTGGAGAGGTAGGTCGAGTTCGTTTGGTGGGCTCAAGGCCCAACATAGCAGATTTGAATCGCGAGTATCTCATTCGGGCAGCGTGGCCATTGGTAATCGGCTGGGCGAGGATAGGATCGTGAGCAACTTGCTCCCAATTGATCTGTTTCATGGTCAGATATAAACAAGCAACGCACTCATTAGCAAGGGTTTGCCTGCTCACATCCTTGAGATTCTTCTGCCGTAGTATGGCGAAGAGAAATCTCGTCATGGCATTGTCATTATTAGAAGACATGGTGTCAGTGTGGGAGGTGGCGAGATTGGCAGAACTGGCAGAACTCGATGCGAAGGTTCAGTGAAGGATTTGCCTTAGAGGAGGCGATAGGCCTGAATAAAAAGTGCACAGCTTGATGTGAAACTACTGGAGATTGCTCTGGGCAGCGAGGTCGATCTGAACGTGTAGAAGTGGAATGGAGGAAGTGAGTCACAGCCAGAGCGACTGTGAAAGTCGGTGAGGAGAGGCCAGAGGAATATATGAGAAAAAGTTCTGGTTCGAGCTCCCAACAAGCCTGAGAGTTGTTGAGCCGATCACATTTGTTTGGGTCCGAGGCTGATGTGGTGATAAAAGACAACAGGGGTGAAAAAGATGAACTATCGGCGGAAAGCTGCAAATGATGTTTGACAGCTGGACAATGGAAATTAATGATAAGTTCTTACACTGTAAGACAAGGTAGACTGCGCAAAAGAGCGCAAAGGAGAGGACATAGGTTGACCTGGTAGCAGGCCTTCAACTACGGTGGCATGGTAAAGCGCTGTTACTAAGAAGGCAGCGCGGGGATCTTTTAAGTGCTTGCATGAAAAACGCTTTGGTTCCAATGTCTTACTACCTATTAAATATCCTCAAGGGGGCTCGTACGTACCCATCGTACCCGTCGTACCCATCGTGGGGAGCCCAGTGTGATGAACGTGTCTACTTCCATAGTGCATGCTCAGCAGAGACACAGCAGAGACACAGCAGATACTCGGGAGATACTCAGGAGATACTTGGTATCTACATGAAGATGCGAGAGACATGGCTAGCTCGGTTGCCTAGCAACTCCTAGAGGGCCGGTCGAGGCACGCACACCACTCAGAGAACTTGGCCGACCTGGCTGACGAGAATATCTAGGGCGCGATGGTGGGGTTGCATGACGAAAGTGGCATGGGACGCGGCGCGTAAAGTGGTTTTTTCCACCCCCCTGATCGGGCGTCCAATGAGGCGACACCGTTACATCTGTTCCATCCTGCAGATTGCCAGTGTGACATGCCCAGGAAAAAGTAGGGCAACTCAACACGAAAGACACCAAGTACCTACTACATTACCCGGATAGTACTCTATAGCGCTGGGAATGTTGCTAAGTCGCTGCAGTGTCATTTCATTTTCCGTAGCTTATTAACAGCGCAGACAGCATAAGTGCGATGAGAAGCTAATAACATGAGGGGACAAAAAAAAGCAGTATGTAGGCAGGTTCATCATCAGCCAACGCCGGGGATGGAAAGAGATCCGCGTGCGCCGTTTGCTATCTAGTAGCATCTTCACGCATATCTAGTAGCGGGGAAGGAACAGGCAGAACCGGGGCTTGGAGTTGGTGTGAAACAGGTGAGTCATTGCTCAGGACAGATCAGGAGGTTGGGGCATGTCGACTGGTGTCGAGTCCCCTGGCTCTCTGTTCCTGGCAGCTGAGTGGCGAGTGGGAGGGTGGACTAGGCAAATCTGGCAAATCTACGGTTTCTGCTAAGTATGTAATGGCCCGATAGGCTCTGATCCAGATGTCTTGTCTGCACGCCACCATCTACGACCTCCGTCTGTTCGTGTCTAGCCAGCACCTCTGCCACTCCAGGGAACCAAAGCACTCGGGCGCAAAGATAGTAGTGTGGCATACCTGGCACTATCTGCTGAGGCATCAGTGCGGTCGCATACTTCGTAGAATGTGATGGAGGGTGTGAGTCGAGGGCGGAGGATGATAAAGGCGTTGAATGCATGGAGCCGGAAGAAAATAAAAAGAAATTGACGAGGTTGGAGGGTGGACGCGTAATGACGCTGGAATTCTAGCACTGTGTGGATCTACCTCGCGTATATGGCGCCTGCTCACGTGAGTACTAAAGAGGTACTTCTCTTATTTTCAACGGGGGTGCTCGAGTACCTATATACATAAGATATGTACTTCACTGCTGAGGTACCCAGGTACATCACTGGCATCCATGTCTTCTTCTAAATCAAAGTTTCATTTGAAGGTTACATACATACCAGCTGAAGTCATACACTACCGTACTCTTATGGCCTTGGTTACCGGAATTTGGATCTCAATAGGTATCTCAGCAATAGATTGTAGAATTGATGATTATCTGTATAAGTATTACTTAGGACTGTAGGTAAAATGTCCTTCTGTTTACTGTATGTGCCTTTGGATCTTTCAAGCACTTAGCAAGATATGCACAAGTACACAGAGCTGGATACCTAGTCCAGGTGGGTGCATATAATGTATCTAGGTACATGGAGTCATACTGTAGCGACTGCACTGCCACAGCCGAAAAGCCGACCAGGACGTACCTCAGATAAGAAGCAGGTATCCCGCTCGGACCTTCCAGTAGGTACCTAGGTACATATGTACATATACCTATCTTACTTACATAGAGACGCTCGCTCAGCGCTCAGTGGCATCCAATCCATCCCTCCATCCCTCCATCCATTGCTGTCTCGGCGAATCACGTGCGTGCCTCTCCGCCAGGCCCCAGCAGTGCCAGTCTCTGACCCAGCTTGGTGACTCTTGAGACAAGAGAGATCTAGGTAGAGCTTGTATGGGGCGCCCCGTTCCCACCCGCCAAAAGGCTTGCGCAACAACCTGCACTGCACCATCCAGCTGGAGCCAGAGCTGGAGCTAACCTCCGTACTTGCCTCGCTTGCCTCGCTTGCCTTTGTGACTTGTCATTGGCAACTGCCAGCGCGGCACCTGCCCGCCCGCCCGTCGGCCGCCGCGCTCACACTGCCGGTACTTACTCTCACTCACGCCTTACAGAGACCGGCTCTCACAGCTCGCCGGTCCGGCCTGGGCATCTCCAATTCACCATTAGTCTCACCAGTCTCTCATAAGTGCCCGTTCGTATCAATTGCCGGTGCTCTGATTCGCGCATGCTTCCCCGTTTCTAGTCTAAGCGCGCCGTCATCTTTCTGCGCTACCGCACCCGGTATTTTAAGGCCGAGTGCCTTTTTCGAACACCTTCGAGATGAACAAGAATTGGAATGACCGCGCAGACAAGGACCTCTTCTTCACCATCCTCTCAGTCAAAAACATCGGAGTCATAAGTGGTGCGGAGTGGACCACGATTGGTAACCATATGAGATCTTTGGGCTACGGATTTACTAATGAAGGATGTCGGTGAGTGACTTTCACTCTGTTCAACCTTCCCCTATACTACAGTCGTATTTTCCTCATCTATTACTGAGATGGATGCCCTCATTATCGCCACATTGGCTACTGATACAGTATCCTCGACGCCAAATCCCCGCTATGCAAGGGATTACTAGTCACTAGCCAAGCTGCACACCCTTATGCACTTCTCATCTAAAACTCAACAACGCGAGCGCTCTCAGGAGTTATGGCATACATCTTCCCCTGCACTTGATATTTGCGAATAAGTAGCTCTTATGGTGTAGAAAATCCCAAGATCCTACCACCCTCGACGCCCTCGCTCATCTGCTATTCATCGGCTTGGGGGCGTCGTGATCGTTTCGTCGGCAATAGCTAGTTATATTGAGATGAGAAACTGATATGCAGTAGCCAACACTTTCAGGGCCTCCGTAGGGCTCAGAACAAGGCAGACTCGAACAGTTCAGGCCTGGACAGCCAGCGCAAGGCTGATCCAACTGCGAATCCTATCACACGCCGACCTGGCCCCGGACGTGGAAGACCCAGAAAAGCACCGCCTTCATCTGTTGCTGGTGCCGACACCGACCAGGAACAACCCCCCGAAATGGTAAAATCTGCTTCAGAGACAACCCAGGCCAGTGACCCTGTAGCTCCCCATCCCGCCCCTGTCGAAACTCCCGCTGGTGCATCGGAACCAAGTTCGATGGCGGTAGAAGAATCAGCTCCAAACAGCGAAGAACAGCCTGCTAAACGTCAACGATTGGACGTTGAGCAAGACGGCCAACAGGTGAATGACGATGAGGCAGTCCTTGCCTTGGCCGCCGACGGCGTACCAAGTGGCGGAGATGCATATGGGCCTCCAGAGTAAGCATGATGGCATTCCTAAGGCGCGCAAGGATCTTTCTAACAGTGTCTCAGCTATTATGGTGAAGCCTAACCATGATCGTGGGCTAGTCAATGTCGAATGAGCATGTAGCCGCCTTATGACGAATTCTTCAAAACCCTGGTGCGCACATAAGAGGCTTAGACTACCGCTAGCTGTCTACGCTCATTTCTTGCAGCCCACGTCTACGTAAGAGGAATACTTTGAAGTATCTAGCGTCATTGGACGCAGGGAGTATATCGGCCTTTTGCGTCTCTTTAGATCTTTGCACAATAGACGCCTGTAATTGCCGGAGTCAGCGGGGTTACGGTGCTTGTTTTTATTTTTATTTTTATTATTATTATTTTGGAAACGTTTTCAAAGGCAGAGCATGATTGTAGGTATATCGATGAGCGCAGCGCTGATGAATGAGAGGCGTTGGTAGTAGTTTCATATATCAAATTAAACAAGGTATCTAAATATGTGTAGCAAGGCCATGAGAGCCCAGCTGGGTATCGGAGACAGTGAGATAACAGAATCTCCCACGGTCTCTCTCTGTGCTTGTAGACTATATTGCTGTGACTACGTTGAATGTGCACTCTCCAGGTACCTATATACCTATCCGAAGCCTCTCTGCCGCCACCATCTTCAAAACTACTTACAGGTCACATTTATAATCTCTACTTTACTTCCTTCCTGCTTGCCATCCTACACATTTCATTCTTCGCTAGCAGCTCTTACCTCACCTTGTCTATCACTGCATCGTACTTCTCAACAACACAGCCGTACGCATACATGCCTGCTGGAAAAGGTCTTGACTGGACTGGCGATGCCCACGAGGCGTTGGCAGTTGCTCTAGCTCGGATGCATGGTTCTATCAAACCTGAAGAACAGGTAGCTATCGTCAAGGACATGGAGGTCAGTGGTTTCAAGACTACCTGGGAAGGAATTCGGTAAGGCGTTCCCGTTTGCTTGTTTTGCCCCCCGATCGACTTGTGATATGACAAGGCAACCCACGTTGCATGGACCTAATTGATGGTACCTTAACTTCTCCAACTTGTTGCTAGGTACAACAATTTTGATGCCCGAGCAAGCGGAATCTTCCTGTCGTCCATTATCTTCTTCTACATCTGCTTGGCCTGCTTTCATTTCTTTATTTATTTTCTTCTTCTTCAACCACCCCAGCACTACTACGCTCTTCCTTCCACTCTCAACCCACATCATCACACTTGTTCTTACTCCCAGTCACCTACACCATGGCTACCCCAACCAAAAAGTGGGATGATCGAGCAAACTCCCATTTGTTTCTGTCAATAGTTGAGGTTCTTGACCTCAGCTTCACCAAGGAGAATAAGGATGCCATCGCAAACATGATGAATGAGCGTTATGGTCACGATGTCAACTGGAACGGAATTCGGTAGGTCCCAGCTTGCATCCATTCCAACAGCCTCATCACTCACATACTCAACCCTCCACTTACATCACGCACTTTACACCATGTCCTCGATTCCGCTTCGCCTATGCCTTCCCAATGACTACCGAACCAAAGTATAGCGCTTGGACCAATGCGGTCCACACAGACATCATGATGGCAATGTACGAGGTGTTGCAACCAGACAAAGATCATTTTACAGAGATCATCAAAAACTTGCACGCGAAGGGTCGCAGATTCTCTGCTACTGCCGTCAAGCATGCTTTCCTTCTACGAAGGCTGTTGTTATCTTTCTCCTCGCTAGCTCTGTTTTCCTGCCTATCACGTGTTCTCCTAGCAATACCACCACTATCATAACAACCTACCTTTTATCAACAGCTAGCCTACTTTCTCACGACCACTTGATGTACCGAGTTCCTCTCGTCCCCCACCTATTTCTTTACTTCCTCTCATCTGCTCAGCCTTCCCTACTCCATATTACACCCTTTCACATAACCGCCTATCTATCGTGATATCATGGCTGCCAACGCTACCAATTCTCCCGGTCGCACGATTTGGAACGACAAGACTCGTTCTGATCTCCTGCAAGCCATTATCGACGTCGCTCCTCCCACGGCTCAAGAGTGGGAAGCCATCTCGGCCCAGCTTCGAGCAAAAGGCTACACTTACAACTACAGCGCTGCCCAGTAATGATTCCCTACTGTGACGTCGATATGATGAATGCCTTGTGCTTGTTTATTGAACAAACACAAATTGTTTCTTTTTCTTTTTCTTCTTTCCTCGTTTCGTCCTTGCTGCCACTGTGACGCAGAGAATACTGACTTTCACCTCCTATTACAGACAGCATCTTCAGAAGCTGAAGAAGAAGGAAGGAACTGGTCAGGGTAGCGTGCCTGCTACACCCAAGAAGGCCAAGAGTACTCCCAAGGGTACTCCCAAAGGTGGCAAAACCCCGACGTCAGGTGTCAAGCGCAATAGCAACAAGGCTTTCGATGAAGATGAGGATGAAGAGAAAATCCTTCAGAAGAAGCAATTCAAGCTTGAGTAAGTCAACTATATACCTTCATATATTGATCTCGTAACACTTTTTCGTAAGCAGCTACTGATTGACGTAGGAACGGCACTTCTAGCTTCGACCAGTATACCAAAGATATCCCTGCCCCTCATGACGAGGATGAGATTTAGGCTCACGGCTATGTTCATTCACCACGCCAATTTGCAACTCCTTACCCGTGGACACTTTACGACCGACATGAATAATGGACGATGTTCATTGAAAGTTTATAAGTCTGGGGTTGAATGAGCGAGGTTGGTGGATCATGATGCAATGTCACAACCGAAAGAAAAGTTAGTGACGGAAGTGCGCCCTTGTCTGGTGACTTCTCATGCAAGTTTGATTTCCGAGTTCTAGGGCTGTTACGCTGAGACAGGGTTTGAGCATCACCTCATAGGAGCATTAGCATAGCCTACTACGTCTATCGCAAAATACAGCCCTGACTGATCCTTGAATGATAAGCGATTTTCTCTTGGTAGTTCGTGAATGATGATCTTTGCAACACCGCCTAGGTAGGTTTTATGTTCACATTCGACAGGCCCGAACGCCGCCGATGTGAAGTACAGGTGTATGCGAGATTCTCTACGTGCTGAATTCGATTATTACTGGCATCACCCTACGCTTCTTCAACTTACTCCCGCCTATGCCAACTGTATTTTATTTATATAAAAATAACTATTCCATTAATCTGAGGCTGCCGTATTAGAGGATATCTGGGTAAGTAGGTACTTCGAGTTCACTGAGCGTGATGTTTATTTGATTGGTCACTTTAGGCCAGGGTCCATGACTAACTATAATTAGAAGTAGTGGGGAGAGCTTCTTGTGGCAACCTTCCCTGCAACTGAGCTGCTGTTGGCCTCAAGTCTTCTTCCACTCTCGGCATCCTTCCGCCTACGGCTGGTATGTGTCAATCTACCTCTCTGAAATGAAATGAGACTTATAAACACGCATAATCTGGAATTGGAGGATTGTCTAGAGGTTATTCCTGAGTATGCCATATTGTCTCATACGTGGGGCGACGAGGAGGTGACACTTCAGGATTGGTCAGCCCCTGAAACACGAAGTCAGCTCTTGTCCTTACTCCAAACTCTTGAATATGAAGATTCTACACACTCTGGTCTCACGGAGACGCCTTCGTTGGCTCGCACCAACAACATAGAGGTAGAATTGGGAGTCCGGGATTGGCGCAATATTATTGGCCCAGACAGTTACTTGAACCGTTTCGGCTATTGGAAGATTCTGAAAGCCTGTCTACTTGCTAGGAAAGATGGCTTAAAGTTCTTATGGGTCGACACGAATTGCATAGAGAAAACTAGCAGCGCCGAGCTCTCTGAAGCCATCAATTCCATGTATGCCTGGTACCGCAGTTCTGCTGTTTGCTACGCGTACCTGTCCGACGTATACATCAAAGACCCGACCTACGACGGCACAGGCGATCTCCGAGGTGACTCGCTCGAGTCCTTCCGACGGAGCAGGTGGTTTCGTCGCGGATGGACATTGCAAGAATTGCTGGCGCCTAGGAAAGTGCGCTTCTTCTCACACGATTGGACATTCATCGGCACGAAGAAGGAGATGGCATCGCTCTTAGAGGAGATCACGCGCGTGGATAAGAAATATCTGCTGTATGCACAAGATATCCGTAGCGCAAGTATAGCGCAGCGCATGGCAGCTGTGGCAGATCGCACGACCACAAGGCCAGAAGACATCGCATACTGCCTGCTCGGGCTGTTCAACGTCAACATGCCCCTTCTTTACGGCGAGGGAGCCATGGCTTTTGTGCGACTACAGGAAGAAATTATGAAGGTTTCAGATGACCATTCGATTTTCGCGTGGACTTGGCTCACCGAACTAACGGGAAGGATAACAAACAAGACTACAGCTGAAATTGATATCACACGCCGCAATGGTCTTACACTTATCCACAAACCCAACTTTCCCGTAAATAGGGTTAATGGTCTGCTTCGTAATCGCTTGAGAAGACCTGTAACGCGGCCTACGCTTCTTGCGCCAGATCCCGCGTGTTTCTTCGATGCCAGCGCTATCACGACACTTAAACCGTCGGGTAGCATTGGCATCTTCACAATGACAAACGCTGGCCTTTCTATATCATTGCCGATCCTTCATCATCCCAGTAATAAGAAGCTGTCATTCGCTGTAATACACGAAGAGGACAACACCAAGAACGACACAAGGACAGCGATATTGATCCCACTAACCCCGCATTATCAGCATGGTGATCGGTGGACGCGGACGTTCTTTCCAGTCGCACCAGTCACTGTAGTGTTCCGGAAACGAAGTGAAATGACGCCCAAGCCAGAGGCAATACAAGTATGCAGAGACATGCAACATGTCTCATTCTATTTCGACGCATTTGGCGGGACTTTCCACCGCTTCGGCTTCTGGCTCCTGTTCCCGCAGCTTCAGGAAACGGGCCGTGTCATTTTCAACCTTCAAGATGGATGTGTCCTGGGAGATGGTTTATATAATGACCACGGCGTGTTCGTGAATCCGGACAAAAGGCGTGACGAACAGTTCATCGGCGGTCTGTTAGTATTCAGAATGGATGCAGGAATGCAAGACATATGGGGCTGGTGGCACGGCAAAATCATCATCCTCGTCCTGGTTTCGAATGTGCAGAGATTGCCTAAAGGCGATTTTAAGAAGACATCTCATCACTGTAAGATTCTGGTTCGACCGCAAGCCCCTGACGAACCAATACAACTCCTAGAGAGTTTCGTATCAAGCCTGCAGCAAAAGCAATGTGAATACAGCGGACAGTCAACACACGTCTGCAGCGATAGCTATAAACAGGAGCCTGGAAACATGAAGAAATACTGGCCGCTAGGTCACCAAGAGGTTACACTTCACGCCACTGCGGAACTGCTGAACGATGAGTCTTTGAGCCACTCTCCGGAATCCGAAATCACTCTAACGAAGTTGGGCTGCTGGCACTCCGAGAAGCGTGCTAGGGACTTGAAACTATTGGGTCGCGGCTTCACCATCTGAAACGGCCGAGTTTTGTCCCATCATGAAATAATAGCTGTTGATCATACCCAGCTCATCCGCCTTCTACGAATACAAGAGAATCGAACTCCTATCTTGTCCCTGTGGCGCTATCTTTGTGGTATGGCCGAGACCTTCTCCTGCGACGATAAAGGCATAGGGATGACACTAGGCGCCAGATATCGATCCCCATCAATCTGCTAGGCTATGTTAAGGTGACACTGATATTGGGAGCTGCGCGATCCTCAGCTTAATAAGGATCAATCACGCCTTCATTTCTAAGCGACTGGGTCACTCGACCCTCTAATTAGATGTCTTGTCATCCTGCTAACAATGAAATCACTAAAGAGTTCATTGATGGAGAGGCTACGCATTGAGAATGAGGAAATGACTGTAATATGGCGCTGGTTATTTTCAATCCGTCTCAGCCGCTTAAATATATTAATGCATACATAGGCTATGTTGTCCTTGTCGGGCTACTCTGTTGGGCTTGATAGGAGAGGGGTTGTAGAAATACCTTTTTTTTTTTATTTTTTTTCTTTTTTTTTAAAAAAAACCCCCCTCTCGTGACATAACGGTGCTCGGGGCTCATTCTATGACAACTGCTGGCAGCGTACAAGAGGCGACTGCACGATTTGGATATTTCGTAAATAAATAGCTCAACATCTTGTTATACATGCCTGAAATCATTATTGTCGTTCTATAATATCAATATTGATTCATGCTTCCCTGAATCAAGGAGAGGGGTAGCACACTTCCAGGGAGCATGGTGACATCTAACCTACTTAGGATAGGTACCTACCTAGTAATGTCTCAGTCTCTTATTCACCACTTCTCATCACCGATTCATGGAAAATTACTGAGATTCAATTGAATAAAAACGTCGTAGTTTTCATACGTAATTACTTTCATGGATAATGTTCGTTCGCCTCCCACGACCATTCCCGTAATACCTACTCACCTACCTACCTACCTAAACATTCGCCTGGATACCTCTTCCCTGGGTACCTACCTAAGCTCATGAGAGCCCTGGAATGGAGTTAGCTCAGCTTGGTAGCGGATACACCCGCTGAAGGGTCCCACCCACCTCGCTAGGTACAGGCAAGTGACCCTCTTGGTTGGATCAATCCCTCCCTGCCTATGACGTAATCATCTAGGTACGGTTGTTTTCAGCTGACTCGCTGGTAGAATCACGTCGTAGACCTGGGACTGTATAAAAGACTTCCAATTCATGATGCCCGTCAGTCTAAAGCGAGAGTCCTCTTTTAATGACCTAAGCTATCCACCGCAATCAACTAAGTTACTGGCCATGAACCTGGTGTAGAATTGTGTGTGAAGGCATCCGTGCGTGTGCTACATTTTAGTATTTCCTCATCCTCCCTGGCTAGGAGTCCGTCTTCTTTTCTTTCTCAACTCATTCCGCCCGCTGGACTGATATCTCCTATTGTTAAGAGGGACACTGTGATATCACAATGATTTCACGGCTATCAATGCTGCCATGGCTCCTTCTATGCCTGCTAATCTTGATTCCTCAGGTATCGGCCTTCGGGGCTGGTGAAGTGCCCGCTGGCAGCGATTTTAAAGGCTATGTCTGGCGCCATGGAGACATATGCGAAGCCCTGCTGTATCTGCCCTCCAGCTTTATCACGAATCATAGGTTCACGCAACTGGAGCGCAAACAGATCTACTTCGGCAATTGGCTACGCGATTTCTCTCAGGTCATCGACACCACTCTTCTAGAAACTGTGAACGAAGCAATTCTACGCGCCATCGTATCCGTTATGGGTTTCTTGGAGTTTGGCTTCGCAACCGATGAATTCGACGTAACACGAGAACGCCTCGGCGTCTACACCCATGTCGAACACATTGATAATCCCGCCGGCTATGCGGATGACGCTAAGAAAGTAGATGAGCGACTGAGGGGCCCTGTAGATCCAAGAGAACTCGAATTCGATCCCGAAACGGGCATGAAAAACTACATCGCCAATTCCGGCCAAGGATGGGCAACATCAGCAGATTATATCCGCGAGCAGCTCAGCAAGTCTATCGAGCTCGGAAGGCTAAAGCGCGATACTCAAGCCAAGAAAGAAAGCCGCATTCATCTTGGGGCAGCTTTGCATACTCTGGAGGATTTCTCTGCTCACAGCAATTTCATTGAGCTTTGCCTGCACGAACTTGGTGAAGAGCAGGTCTTTCCCTTTGTCGGAGACGCTTGCAGGATTGAAGCCCCTCGACGCTGGAAGCATAGAAAAGTAGCACCCTTGGTGACAGGCACCTTTGGCATGTTGGATATCTTCCACAGTCTTCTAGGGGAAGCCGATGACATTGCTGTCGTCCAAACGAAGGGGTCTCTAGGAGAACTTGAGAAGAAACTAGGTTATGGCGGTGTGGCATTTGAGCAACTGTACGACCTCATAAAGAATGCTATAGAGGTCATCAGCAAAGTCGGTCATGGTGACAACCCGCTATTAAAGCAACTGGAAACTGTTGGCTTGATTTTCAATAAGATGAAGGAGAACAGCCCTGATATTCCAACCATTCCTAAACCTATTTCCGGCGATAACGATGAGTCCAAACAACCCAGCCGAATAGATGATGTGACGAACCCGACTTTCCTTTGGCAGGCTATCGAACCCGTTTTCTACCTACATGATCGGATATCAAAGTGGATGCAGGAGAGCGCCCAGGAATCAGGAGAGATAGGGGTTTCAGAATCACGAAGCCAACTTGGCGAAGAGACCAATCAACTGGTTTTCCAGTTCCTTACTGTCATGATTGAGTCAGCTGTCAAGGAACTCAGGAACGCAGTCAAGGCGGCGAAGGAAAAGGTTGATGAAGAAGCAGCCAAGTCCACCGCGGCGGCAGTCTATCAAGCTGGATCATCCGCGTCAGATCCTAGTCACTCGGACTTATCTAAGGACCATTTCAGCAACGTGCTCAATCAAGTTGCCGGCCTCGTCGCAACAGTAACAACCAATTGGACCACGCAGCAGGTTGTCAAATGCTGGGATGATCCAACAATAGATGCAGACAAAACCATTGATCAAATCTTAACTATTCTGCATCACCCTGCATTTCCTACGAGGAAAACGAAGATTCAGCAGTACATGTTTGAGGAGGTCGAAAAGTGGTGGCGGGGCACATCAGCTAGCGAGAAAGACCGCTTACGTCGTCAGCTCACTCGCGAAAGCGTTGAGCAGCGGGGTCATGAGGACCACAACCTAGACCCGACAAGCCTCATCACGGTGCATAGGGGCGCCGCAGAGTTCCCCGGCTCACGACCCGGCGTCATCGCCCCTCCTAGAAAAGCTTCTTTCCCCTTAACCTGGGCTCTCAATGAGGCAGCTAAGGATCTCAAGAAGATATTGTCAATAATGAAAAGGGGCATCCGGGACCCTGCTGGCGCAGCAGGGGAGATTTTGAACACTACGGGTAACCTTGCGATTGGCTCCGGTCGGATCATGTTTGGCATGGTGGGTTGGTTAGCGAGAAAGTTGCCGACTCTGCCATGGAGATCCCAAGCCTCGAAGAGCTGATAAATTAGTTAAAAAAGACTCTTGTGTTATTCTATTATATCCCTAATGATAGAAGAGAAAACCGTAGACACAGCAGAGCGCTGAGTTAATACCACTATAGATGATGAGGCAAGACTGCTGATCAATGCTAATGCCTACCTGGTTGCACGCGCTGACAGCGCCATACGCCTTGTACGCGTGTGGTTCGTAGAGTTCGATGGCATTACCAATAGAAAGAAGGCATACAGTTCGTATTGGAGAGAGGTTATGCAACCCTCACACAAAAACAGCCCTGTCCCCAGCCCATGTTATAGGTACTCACGCCGAAGTAGGTGATGAGTACCTAGGTAGGCATCAGAGAATATGCATCATAACTAAGACCTTGTGGGCTCATTTTGGCATTGAAATGTCGTAACCGGCCGGGCAATTGACGGCCCTGTACCAGCCATCTGCTTACGTGAACGCAAGAGGATTCCACAGTCGCGTCATGATTCTCAATCTCTTTGTAATGGTCTACCTGGATATCCCCCAGACGTTTTGTGGGGCTTTCAATTGACCTTCTATTTTCAATTATATCTGCGGCTCAGACCTCCTCGCGGCGAGTCGGCAATAGACCCTCGTCAGGTAATAATGCGTTGAAGCAACAATGCATGCATGCAATTGCTAGCATTAAGCCTGAGCTAACCGCATCCTGATTCAATTCATACGCTAATTTAGTAGATTTCCCCCTCGGCAAACTAGTCAAGCCGCGATCACGATTGTATCCACTTCATCCCACATTGCCGATAGACTTAACGGGAATGAGAGGCTGCTACAGTAGAACCTCTCACCTGCTTACGCAGTGCTGTTGTCGAGGGAAATATCATGATCAACGGTCCACAATGTTCGTAATACCTTCATTTCGACGCCCAGGCTTTTAGTCAGGATTTGATGAGCAGGCCGGACCAACACCGGCGTTGTCCAAGCGCCACTCGAGGTCTGATAGTCTCACATGTTATCAGAGCTGGATCAGTAAAATGACACTTATAAAGCATGCACTCTCAGATGGCGTTGACGAGATTAGATTCCCTATTCATAACCCTCAAGCTAGAGCTCAAGAATCGCCACAGTCACAATGGTTAGAGTGAATACTTTGTCTCGCATGGCCTTTTTCGCCTGGGCTATTCGAGCATACGAGACAACGCTTGGCTTCAATGGTGCGCCCAATGTTGAAAACCGAACGATCGATGAGATCTACGAAGCAGCCCTTGCTGAAGGTGGTATCGTCACGCTGTGGCATGGCGGTGACGAGAGGAATCAGCAAGATAGGTTAAAGAAAGCGTTCGAAGCCCGCTTCCCTAACATGACCCTCAACGTCACTGTCGACGTCTCCAAATACCATGATGGCAATATCGATCGCCAGCTTGCCACCGGCGGTGTTTACGTTGACAGTGTCATACTACAAACCCTTCACGACTACCCGCGCTGGGACGAGGAAGGGGCGCTTCTACACTACATGCCGCTTGACTTCAACAAAATTCAACCGAGCTTTCGTGACCTCCGCGGCGCCTGGCACGGCGTGTCAATCTTTGCGTGGAGCTTCCTGTGGAACAAGAATAGGGTGTCGACAGGGCCTCAGGAGTTTGATGACTTCTTGAAGCCTGAGTACAAAGACAAGCTCGTGCTAACGTACCCTAACGACGACGACGCTGTCCTGTACGCGTTTGATTTAATGTAAGGCAGAGAGGACCCTGTGATGTAACATGTTGAATTTCTCGCTAAAATTTAGCAGTATGCAGCAATACGGATACGATTGGTTTGAGAAACTTCTGACCCAAAATCCCCGTTGGGTGCGGGGAACAGGTACGCCCGTAACGCTTCTAAGCCAAAGCAATGGCACATCATCAGTCACCTTCACATCATCTGCGGGCTTGACGCCTGCAAGCCCTCTGGGTATATCGTTCCCGACTAAGGGGCAGTTTGTCACCTGGCCGCAGAGAGCAGCGATCTTGAAGGATGCACCTCATCCGGAAGGGGCCAAGCTACTTCACAACTTCATGTTGAGCGAAGAGTACCAAGTGTTACTAGATGGTTGGAGTGTTCGCGAAGACATATCTCCTCCAGCAGGCTACCAAAACCTCGTTGATATTCCGTCGAGTAATCCAAATGGCTTCGAGGGTTTCATGGCTGATAGGGAGCGAGCTGAAAGGCTTAGACTGTTTTTTGAAGACAAGATTGGCACTCCCCAAGGATTAAGTTCCCTAAAGGACGATTTGTAACGGAAGGATAGCTAGTCACACAGTCTAGCCTAGATACTTGTAAGCTGCGAAGATCTCGCCTCGGCTGCCGGGAGCTCGCACGCGGGAAGCATTAATATAATAACTGGTGGTTGCAGATACTAGCCTCACTTTGCAATAAGAAACGCATGTCTTGTTTCTATTGGGTGTACAGCCGGAATCTGCGGCTAGCATGTGTACAACGTGTTCCAGCTGAGAGTCGCGCCATCTGTCGTGTAAGATAGGGAGTGTGGCCAAATTGATAAATTTTGTCTCAGCGATAGTACAACTGTAAGTATTTGATTGGCAAACCATCGGTGATTTCCTCATCTCAGTTGTTATATCATCCGGGTTCCCACTGACTATCCATCACCCGCCGTAGCGACACCTGGAGAAACGCGTTTGTTTGTGGTGTTACACGTACGTCTCACTGAACATGCAGATACCCTACGGCTACGGGCACATGCCTTGCAAAGTCTCTCTAATAAGACATGCAGTCTCGTATTGAAAGTGCAGTATATGAATTTTTGATAGCATGAGATATACCTAGGGCTTGGGAGATCACAAGCACCGAATCGCATTTAGAGTTAAAGTCAGCTACGAAGGCCAAGAAAGGTCCTAGCAGATTATTGTGCTATGAACAGCTTCAATTTCAAGCCCTGCTCATTTTTAGGCCTTGTTGTATATGTCAACTCGGCCAGTCGGTATGTAATATGGCAGACTGCCACAATAGCAGCGCTGTAGCCGCAGGAGGTAGACCGAGCTCAACGAGTACTAGGGCGTAACTTTACCTATTGCGCCCAGAGATCGACTGAAATCTATACTTCGAAGACAACTAATTGGCGTGTCAATTCGCGAGCACGGCGATTGAGAGCAACATTAGTTTAATCACTAAGTATGGGAAGCATGCGTGTCAAAAAGGCGTGTTGCTTGCGTGACGTCATCACGTAGTTCATAGAAGTACATGAAATAATCAGCGAAACTCCGAAATCCCAGCTAATCAATCGTTCTATCTCACGCTGCATTACTTCGTTGTCAGTGCCGTCATTAAAAGAGCCACTACAGCCGGGTGCAAAAGTGGTATCAGAGGAAGAATAGGGGCTGAAAGGGGGGCAAGTCAACTTTGCTCCTTTATCCATCCTGATCTTCGAGCTCGTAGTGAAATAAAAGGAAATTCATTTTTGGCCAGCCGTGAATGTGTTGCAACCTCGGGGGTTCGGGCCACTTGTGAGCTTGATCATGTACGCTTATCAAGTGTTGTAGTTCCAACAGTAATACCTGCCAATGATATCGCAACCCAGACAGCCGTGAGAGTTTCAAGTCTAGGGGGGCAGAACCTAGGCCAGGTTAGCTAATACGGACTGAGTCTGGGCATGAAAACGTACTCTTCCAAACTCAGACCAAGAAACCCTCCCCAGAACAGCCATTGCGCAATCCATAGGAGCATGGTTATGACCACGACCCCATAGAGTCCCACGGGCACTTTCTGCGAAACCCGTTTGTTTATGCCTTCACCTGATAACGTGCCATACTCCTTGTCTCGTCCCTCGCCCCTCTTCAATGGTGTTTCTTCTGAGACCCGAATCTCGTCCATCAAGCTACGTGTCAGTTTCTCTTTTAGCCTCATGTAACGCAACACCCTTAGTAACTGGAAAATCGCCAGGGTATTGAAGGCAAGCCACACGAGTGCTCCAGCATACATGACGTTTGCTGACCCTCCCCTCTCCACTCTTTCCAGCCCTCCAAAATAGAAGTTGTGCTGTCGACCATAATTGACAGTCATAACCATGTAATATGATGATAGAAACTGGAGGATAATTTCCGCAAATAAGAAAGACTTTGCAGGGGATAAATCCATCGGTTCAAAGGATTTCACACCAAGTAGCAGAATCAATACCCAAGTAGGTCGGGGCATTGTGCACCAGAAGAGAATTGACTGAACAAGGGGGACGTCCTCATAACCAGGGGATGTTTGGACAAGAAACGCATTGAGCCAGTTTGCAAGAAGCTGAAGGGAGGCGACCACTATCCCGTTGAAAACCCAACACCTCGGGCTCACGTGCCATGAAAAACTGCGTACGAGTCGATGTATTGTAGTTCTCCCACCAATATATGCAGCAAGCAGAGCACTCAAATTGACTAGAGCCAAGCTTCCGAGCTTCCACTCATTCGAGGGACATGTTTCTGTTGCCCGGATAGGTTCCACGCCGGTAATGTTGGCGGCATCTGAATCTTTGGATGGTTTCATAGTCCAACGCCATGGAATTAGGTCGAGAACGGTAGGAGCGGCTAATTGACGCCAAGTATCTGGCAGACCGTGCCAGTCATGCACATTGCCACAAAGATCGTGAAGCCACTTTACATATTCTATCCGAGTTTCGAACATCTGACACGAACTTCCGCAGGATTCGTAACTTATGTTGTGGCAGAAACAAGCTCTGTCAACGGCGCGCCTGACTTTACAGTAGCCACGTGAGTCGACCTCACAAGCATCGGTTGCACACTTATCAGGAAGCTCGGCCACTCGCTTCGACATATCCGCGACGAACCTGGGCCACTGCCAATCTTCGACTGGAATATAGGCGAACCCCGTGGTTTTCAGTCTATCCGTCCAGTGATCGGACAAGGAAGTTGGCCCACAGGTGGCGTTAAGCCATAGCCGCTCTTTCGTCAAGTCTATCTGATCTTGTCCTGGCCGCGAACAAGGTTCGTTATCTGTGTCCATGGTGAAGGAGCTGCAGAAGCATTCTTTATCGAAATAATCGCCGCCTCCGAGACTACGCTGAATGAGGTCATATCCAACAGTTTCGGTGTCCAGAACGATCATGGACTTCAAGGACGCACTATATTCCCAAGGACGAGCGGCATTTCCGGTGTGCTGGGTAAGGCCTGTGAAGCTACAGGAGGCTATTACATGTTGAAATAGTTCCATCGATGGAGTAGAAGCCGAACTGGTTAGACATGCTGGTGCGTCGTAGGTTACGTCGAATGGAGCGTAGCCTTTAGCTAGCGAAGCCGGGGAGAGGTTTTGTAGCCCGTTCCCATCACCGACATCAACAAGCCACGTTCGACCGGTGATGTGACGAATCCATTGATACAGCTGCGCTTTGGCAAGTACTGATCTGCCACAGTATGGGAGATACGGCCGAACAACGTCGGGGGAGAATTCTACGCTGAGACAACTGAGTTGAGTTAGCCATTGGCCGTGTGTACAGATAAATCCGAAGTGCGAGGTGCATCGTTTGCTGGTACATTTGGTCATGACACTCAGCCACGCGGATTGATCCTGTTGAGCGATGCATTGTGGCATGGGAGTCAAGTCTTCGGGATTAACCCAGCCATTATAGTTGTTCTGGGGAGTCAAGGGCTGACCATTCCCACTATCACGACTGAGATTGATGCTGGCTGCATGGAGCGCTTCTGCGGTGCTGCTAATATTGATGCCTGCGATGATGGAGTTATTGGGGGCAATGCCTTTTGTAGATACTCCGCACACCCCGACCAGACTCCCGGCCATCAATAGTAGCACATGGAATGCGCTTGACATGTTCATCTTGCCGCTGTCTTGTGCTCGATCACCTTGGCTTGAAAGAATTCAGTCGCGGAGTGGTGTTTGCCTACATTCAGGAAATATTACTTATCCAGGGCGGGGATTGCCGTCGCATTGTTGTCGGGTCAGCCACTATCTGCGGGAACCTATCAGCAAGTGAATACGGTCACACATGCAGATCGCTTTACAGCCACGGGCGCATGTTACGAAGTAGCTACATGTAAATAAGTATCTCCTTCATTCCGTAGATACCAGTTCTGTATGCTGCAACAGAGTTGTTTCCCTATATATTACCCTTTGTGCCTCTCATTTGTGACCTCCTATGACCAGACGTCACCCCGTAACAATGCATGTCTCACAACAGACCTTTCACAGATCTTCATAATACTTCATAGTAATTAAAAGGACACATAGCCTTGTCTTCGAAAACAGAGTGACACAAGCTTCGTTAGCACATTATTGCATTCCGAGTAATCTCAATTCAAAACCTTGATTCCAGCCCCCTATAACTATTTTAAGCTCTGTAGCTATGATTTAGAGCGCGAGCAAGATAATTCAACCTCCTTCACGACATGGATTTTTCCGTAACACAAATCATCGGTACCCGAGGTCGACCTCCTTGACACGGCGGCTGCGACGGGCGGAGGCTGCAGCGGAGTCCCCGTCAGCATCGCAATCTCGACGTCGGTCGGGATCTCAGTGTCAGCATCTGACCGACTGTACTGCCACCAACGATGCGTTCTTGCAGACTCTGCCCGAGACAATCTGTACGCATATTTCCGGTAACTGGACTCGTGCGAGGCGTAACCCGCAGGTGGTTGCGGTGATGTACGAAACCAGATCGGGTATATAGTCGGTATCGAACCACACATGATGATCAGTAAGGCCTCGGTGGTTAGCAAGAGATACACATAGAACAAGTCCCAGGTGAAGTCGTTTGGGCGGCCTCCTGACTGCGTCGCTATGAAGGAGCTCTTGACAGCGGCCGCCACACCGGTTAAAAGTGTGAGACCGAGACCGACGGTGAGAATGACCTTGCGTTTTGTCGTCATGTGCAGCCGCCAAACAATGAAAATGGGCAGAATAGAGAAGACGAAATCGGCGAAAGCCTGCCAGACGGCCGTAAAGGTCGTATATCGATTGAGGCTCGTTGTATCGAGGCATGTGGTGCTTGCCTGCATTTCAAAGATCCAAATCGCGCGAGGGTCGCCGCCACACTGGAAGAGGCTGATGAAAATGTCGAGAATAGAGCTGACAGACGTCACAATTATGACGGCCCATACTACCCATCTTTCGCTCGACGACGCCGATCTAACAATACGGAGAATGGTAGCCCCAATGGCGATCTTGCCTAACGCCGTGCACACGATGCTAATGACCAGGACGACATAGCTGATTTCTATCTGAAAAGATAGCTCCGACTCCATGAGGTAGGCCACATGACTCATACCACCGCTTGCCTGGGCGGCGAACTGCACTGCGGGCTTTGTTAGTTATTGTGTCTTCAAAAACCAAAAACTAGCGGGAGCGGCGTCTTCAGGGGCATCGTGGGTCAGATCAAAGCAGCAAGGCTCAGGACGCACCGGCTATCACACTAGCAAGAAAAAACAACTACCGGTACAGAGAGAGTGTCAGTATCTGCTGATTCAACAAAAATGCTTTGACGGCGAAACCGATGACATATCAAAATGCCAGCATACCCATGAACCAGCCATTAAGCCATCGTCGAGGCCAAGACTACGTTTCTGATGTCGGACCGCCAAGCGCAGGAAGATGAAGACGGTGGATACGCCAAACTCGCTCCATATTATCGCTTCCAGCGCTGTTGCGCGACTCTCATTTGGAGGAAGCGGTGTCGACATTGACAGCTGAATCGATCGAGCTATTCAATTAGTCTTCCTTCGGATAGGGCACCGATGAAATTTGACGAAACTTGACTTTCTTCAGAGCGAGACGCCAACATCTTGTTTTAAATCTCAAGAATGGTGGGCTATATGGTTTTGAGATAGTTGCAAGGAATGGCTATTGCACCATCTTCATCGCGATTCTCGGCATTTGCCAAGATCTGGCGATAAGCTATGTTATAACGAGTGCCTCTAATGGCAAGGAATGAGCCGCCTATGCGTCGCCCAATTGACACTTGAAGATATGCTTTTGATCTACATCGTGGAGGGAGCTTGGCGGAGATGTTCCCAATCAGGATCTCTAGCCCTATCTAAATGCGCACGGGATGTAACAGCAGACAGTTGTCACCACTTTAAGCGATTGTCCGACGATTCATACAAGGATCAATGCATGGCTTGATACATGGGTATCTGCCGTGAATTTGGAATCCATTCATTATACCTTCCAGATTGACTAACTCTCCGCGCCTTTGCAGCAGATACAGTAAAACTATCACGGATTATTTTCTTAGTCTCTGCACCCCGCAGTTGGAGTTGAAGAGAACGATGGGGGTCGTCAATATCAAGTATGCCAAACTCCACGGCTTCACGCGCCTTATCATGATAGCAATAGACTGAGACGTTTCGTGGCAGCACACTTGAGGTTTATGTAGTAAGCATCCAACTTTCTGTCTGATAGTTGGATATGGATAATGGCGATGATTGGAGGTGTCCGGCTACGCATAGGGCGTATAGAGTTTTAACAGTCATATTGATATCAGACTTTGATGGAGCTTGGTCAGAGTACCAAATGCTCTCAATCTGTCACGGAATGACATAAGGAGTGCAGTACTATGCCACTACGCCACCAAAAGGTAACGACGAGTTATCAAGTCGAAGGCTTGACGTCTCTGCACTCACTATATAGTACTGTACTGTGACACAATCTTACCTGTGAAAATTGTATGATCTTTGACGAGATCTAGTGGCCCCTATCAGTGGCTATGTAACTGTTTAATCTCTGGTCTGTACGTAAACTCCAATTGTATACTTCTACATGTCATGGTCGCGACGATGCTACCACTAAGGTCCTCCTGATGTTGATATCACGGGTATCACAATAGTCCAATTGTTAACTTCAGTCTCTGCTCGCCTTTCTCATGTCACTTCATCATATTGAGAAAAGTCTGTGATTCAGCCTCCGCCCTACCCACTTGCAGGTGCGAAACCTTGTGTCGGCATTACCGAGCTGTGATGCAGATGAGACCGATGAAACAACCCCTGCCAAACTCCGCATCGTCTCGCCAGTAATATTTCGCCCGCGTGATCATATGCCGCGGCTATAGATATCTCCGCAGCAAGGTCCAAAAGCTTAAAGAAGCAGCTTCCTGTTCTGTCGTACGTATAAACCCTCATCTCCCTGAGAGTCATTAACTATCTTAACTGATACTTCTGTACCTAAATCATTCACCTTTTGTCTATTCAATATCAGCCAACCTAACACAGAATCTCCGAAGTCGATGTGTTAACGAGCATCCACTCCTGTATTATTTTCCCTAGCCCATGAAGTGAAGGTGAGCTTGTGATTGCGCCATAATAGTGGAATTAATAAGGAATACAAGGTTTACGACTTTCATGTCGTATTTAAGGCGATGTAAATTGCAAACTAAGAGTTCCACTCATAGATATGAGATTAACTAAGTAGATAAGTAGGAAGGCGAAGAAAAGATTCACCTGCTGTATGGTAGCCTGGGTAGTGCTATATAGTGGGCTATGTATAGACAAGGGCTTAGTCAAGAATATAATATGCATTGCGGTTAAATCCAGACTAGACATCTACTAATCTTCCCTCAATGCTTCTATGTTCAATATAGTGTCATGAAGTATTGTAGCAAAAAATAATAGCCCGGAAATCATGGATATTTGGATACTATCTTCAGCATGTTGAACGCATTGATTCCAGAGCGCCATGAGCCGCCACGGACAGACAGGCGATGAGTAATAAAGCCAGGTGGTTCTCCATGAGCTGGGGGGACGGGCACTCTACACTAATTGCACGTCTCCTAAGCCAGTCGCTTCAGTTGAGTTGTACCCATAGACCTAATGAGAAGATAATACAATGTTCAGAGCAGTATTCGGTCGAGTCTTTAAAATCCGTTACTCCTATTGGACGAGACGGGGTAGGTCGAGATTAGTGACTCCCTACTACCAATAATCAGGGATGTGCAGATCCGGCAAATAGAGGACATTCATACAGAACCAATCACCATCCTTTCTATTACCCCAGATTTGCCTGGCGGGATACATTAGCCAGTGCGCAACTCGCAGTATATTACAAAGGAATATAGACAGCTGATTATAGCTTCAGACTCTACGGCAGTTATATACCGGAATCTGTCTTGCCCGCATGTCAGTCTGTCAGGTTATATGGGTGTCGCCCCCTCTTAATCTAGGTAGGATTTTCCACTTCATTGTGAATTTGAGTATTCAAGTTGCCAAAGGGAAAATGAAGACTATCGCCTTGATCCTCGCGGGCACTGCCTCAGCCCTCACCGATATTGAACATAAGCCGTTTATGAGAAAAAATATTGACCCTATTGTCACTCCCGGCCGATATGTTTCTCACATGCACTCTTTCTACGGCTCGGACGTCATTACGAAAGATTTGCCCACAACAGCCCAGTTACAGAAGGGCTGTCCTTCAGGAGAGAACCCCAATGATCTCTCTATTTACTGTATGTCTTCACTGCTTGCGCGTTGTGAAGCACGACATGACTGATGGTATATCTCGACTAGGGGCTCCCACGCTTTATTACGTGAATGGGAATACATATACAGAGATATATCCTGCGACCTTTAAGACATACTACGAGCAGATTGACCATGCAGAGATACCATTTCCTCCCAACTTTTATGCCGTCGCTGGAAACGCAAGCGCTAAGAGCCAAGCTGACATAGGTTAGCATTCAACTTCCTCTGGCATCACTCGGAATCTAAGCAAATTAATACCCAGCAGACATTCACTGACGTATAACTATGACAGACGAGAAGATCACTGCCATTACTTGGTGGTGTGACGGAAACGGTCCTGAGGATCGCAATACTCGCCCTCGAGCGGCGTTCCCTCGCTCGACATGCAGTGCTCACATGCAAGCAATCCTGCGTTTTCCTGACTGTGTTGATCCCAATAAGATTACGGACTACACTTATGCCGCCGCGCATGGTGGGAGGTGTCCTCCCAATATGAAGCGCATGCCATCTCTGCGGTTTTCAATCCGCTATAATACCCGTAGTGCAATTCCACAGGGTTGGAAGGGAGTTCCTCCTTTCAAATTAGCTTGCGGCGAGGTACGCATTATTCTTCTCACTGTAGACCATCTCGCTTTGCACTCGTAACTTGATAGCACTAACCTGGATGGATAACAGATAGGCGACGGGTATTGTTTTCACGGCGACTTCGTCAACGGCTGGTACGAGGACGCGGCCAAGACCATGCTGAAAGCTAAGGGGCAAACTTTCATGAGAATAGATGGTGCGCATGGTATAGGGAAGCAGTTTAGCTCATGCAAGCCTAAAGATGCAGACCCTAATCACGGAACAAGTGACTATCTCAAGAGTTTGGAGATGATGGCAATGGAAAAATAGATCATTGAGACTGAGAGGGCGTAGTTGCATTTCTTGGGAGACCTTAGACCAGTTGTTCTGTCAGAGTCTAATTCTAGCCCTATATGAGGAGCGCATCATCAAATAGAGTTCTCTTATGCACTATCGAATGTGTTCCCTTTGTCTCGGTAAGGGGTTACTTGACTACAGTACGTCATTTCAATGCAGACATGTTGAGCATTTAACTCGAGTCTTTCAGAAAGCGGTAGAAATAAACTTAATATGTGAGGAATTCTTTCAACTGTACTTCCAATAACCTATCGTCGCACTATAATTACACTAACCATACATCCTTCATTTCCGTAGAGTGGAATTGTGAGTCAATCACATCCCCAAAGAGCCTGCCGACGCCGATCCGCTCAAAGGAGTCTTCAAACCCATAGACCTTCAGGGGCCGTATATAAACGACCTTGTACGCTGTCATACGTTCTCTCAGATTTCCCATGCCGAAGCCCTCAATTATCCCCCCAATAGTCTCAATCACCAATGCGAGGATATTGTTACTGGCTAGACATTCATCATCGGCTTGGAGTTCCGGATGTTCCACGGATGCCCAACCTGTGACAGTCTGGCATTCCTGAGGCGTAGCCACACGCCGCCACATGTTTCTGCCGAAATCTGATCTGTGATCAGTTAGCTTCGCTGCAACTAAGGCATCTTCTCTACCCCTAAACTTGTGATGAATGGATACTGGGATTAGGATCCCGCGTACACCAAGCATCGCAAATAGATTGCCGTCTCCGTATTCAATATCAGGCCAGAAGTGGCGCGCCCGACCATAATTGGGGCGCAGCTTCTTCTTCGTGACGGGAATTGGCAACATTTCTGTCAACTCGCACGAAGGATACGTCCTGTATGGCGTATCAAGCGTGGCCCATTGCACGGCCATGCCAGACCAAACATTCTTGCTTTCAAAATTGAGGCCCAGAGTGGCCATGGACGCCCAGGACCATGTGGGAATCCCTCTGACTCTACCACGAGTCCCTGGTTGTGATTGCTCCCATAGGAGCCCCTGGACGTCAGGGAGCCAGGTCCCAGCGAAGTAGCTCAGGTACGGCGAGTTAACGGAGTTTGCGCAACCGTCGGAGCTCGCAGTGTCGTCATTATCCCATCTGCGAAGTCGACGCCCGAACTCAGTTGCGACACCAGATAGGGCTATGAGGCGGTCTTCATCTATTCGCGTAAGTTCCAGTCCCGAGTATCTCTGAACAATCTCCTCCCACCTGGATACGGTCGAGGATGGCGTAGTAAAATTGCCCAGCATCATCTCGTTAAAGAACCTCTCCCTGCGGACTCTCTCCTGGAAATACCGGTGCTTGTTCTCGTCGTCATCATCGTCAACTTCTTCTTCATCAGCTAGATCGTATTGCACACGGTCACCTACAACAGATTGGGGCACGCCGGTCTGACATTGCAGAAACATCCCAGTCGCAGAGAATGCTAACAGACGACGACTGAGGATACGTTCTTGGTATACCCATCCGCGTCGTGTAAGCTCACTGTTACCGACCGTGTTTATATAGTCGTTTGCAAGGCCCTTAGCGTCGGCTCCCTGTAAGTAGAAATAGCCATTTTGCTCCCCATTAACCCCTCGATACGGGAGCCGTGTGACGCGTGTCAGGTCCGTTACTGTGACGTCGCGAAATAAGCGGCCGTCTTCAGTAGTATGCGTCGCAGCGATGGTGAGCCATGCGTATTGGTAGTACTGGGCCATTTTGACCGACTCTCGCCTCCAGTCAGCCGGATCATCTTGTACGATACATACAGAGTCAATCCATATGTACCTAACACCAAGCTGAAAGGCTAGCTGACCCGCTTCGTAGAATAGGGGTGTGATGCCATCGGGAGTGTCGCAACTGACTCCATGTGTGCACCTATTTTCGTAGTTGTCTTTAGTCGTCCTGGCAAGGAAGGTATCCCGACCCCAGCGATGACTCAGAATAAAGTATTTCCCTTTCTTTCCTTCAGTCCTCACCAAGATAAACAGTAAGTCGCATTTGTCGCAAGCTTCATTCCCACATACAGGTCGAAGTTCAATACACCGTGTTGGCAATTCGGCTAGCTCCACGTCGATAGAGTCGCATTGAGATAGCGTTCTATTGCAGCGCTCGTGGAGAAGGCTGCACTTTCCATGCCACTTGCGAATGGCCTCAATATTAGATTGCGACAGAGTTGACTTGTCTGCGAACAGATGGCCGTTGATATCCCGGGATGTGTATGCTGCCGTGCCTTCGTCGGCGGCAGTCTGGAACCAGATTTGTGGGGTATCACCATCAGACGCATCAACTTCATTTGAGTACCTAGAGTTTGAAACATGAGCGCCCAAAGACCTAATGTTGAGACCTTCGCCGGTTAACCACGGGATATGGTCAGCGCGCCGCACGCTAAAGTGCACCCAAGCTGGAGAGATAGCCATGTATAGTGAGCGGAAGATGAGCAACAGCGCATCAGCCGAAAATGGCGACACAGCCAGCTGTTCACCAGTTTTCCTCCGAAGCGCTATGTTGAGATAACTGTGTTGATTTCCATTGTCAGACGACTTCAGATGTTGGAGTAAAAGACTGCAAAAAGAGCACCCCGAGCCCGCTGAGTTTATCACGGCTTCCAGGGGATAACCCCTGTATCTGAAAGTGTTTCTTTGAAAGCACTGGACATCGAAGTCGCGACAACGTCGACAGAGTGCCATTATGGCTGCCAGCCACGCGCCCGCCGCCGACAGAACGAACGACGGACGAACGATGTCTTGCAATAAGCTTTATCTCAGCATCGGGACGAAGCGTATAGAATTCGGATCCGAAGAGGAGTTTTGGGTCGGCAGCTCACAGCGCCTAATATGACTTGGCACGCTATTTATAGTTGGCTCAGCAATTGAGAGGTTGCGTGTTATGGGGCTACACCCTGCAACCAACCCAAACATGTTCAAAACGAACAGTTTCCCTATCGCAGCCTGTAAGCAACTTACTTAAGTCTCTTCGGGCTTTCAGGGGCTTTGCATCCTTGCAATCACGTTGGGCCTCCAAACATGTCGGACATCATCAACCTCATCTGCCACATTATATCGTATCCATCATGAGTGAATGTTCTACGACACGATTGAAATGGCTGCTCAATCATTTTGGGGAGCGGTCCGCCGCTTTTTGACACCCAGGTTCAAGAAAACTCGGGATTGGAAGCGCATATGCTTGATAGTGTCGTTCTGCGCTGCAGCAGCTTCGTTCATCGGGTTAGAAGCGTCCATCCTCATCGAACTGAACGAAGTATCATACACTTGGAAAAGCTTCGCTTTCGCCGACGAGTTCCACGAGCTTGTCCATTCCAACTCAACCATCTTCATCGGCGCTTCCGTCTCTTTGTTCGTGCTTGTTATAGTGCAAGCCGCTTACTTCTACCTCATCTGGCCCGGATACGACCGCACTATCTTGAGAACCTGTGCTATTCTAGTATTTGTTCCTGTCAATCTAGCGCTAGCTTGGATTCAATCCACATCTCTTGAGGGCATATTCTCCGCACAGATTGATCCCAGCAAGTCTGCACATCATCCGGCTGGGATTACGAACGAAAAGATACAGGAGCGCTATGACCATTTGGCCAGAGGAATGAGAAGAATCAGGTGGTTTTCTCCCGTCGTCTCCATATTCCTGACGCTCGTGCAATGTGGAACAGTTGCCTTCTGGCTCTGGCTCCTTCCATCTCGTAATCGGTTGCCGAACCGCTATGAACCAGTCATAACTGCAAAGGGACATTTTTGGACGGCAAAGCGTGCACCAGAGAGTATCGAGTTATCAATCATACCGACGCCGGAATCCGCGGGTCATTTAGAAGCAATTTTCCGGGAGCATGAGAACGCGCGGGTTCATAACATCCTCACTGTAAGTCCTTGCCCCCTTAGGTACGCGTGCTTATTTCTTGATTCTATTAACACCTATATAATAGTCAGGAGCAGCCCCTCCTTCAGCGACCAGAAGACGACGTGCTGGTAGGTCCCTTAGGGCACCGCAGAGGAGTGGCACTGGCCCTGAGCTGGCACCAGAGGCGCGATATTGGCTGCTCAGCAATGCGGAAGATGGCTTGAAAGGCTGGGTCATCGGGATGGCGATATTCATCATATTCGGTTTCGGTTTCGAACTACCGACGTACGCCATCCTTCGGGAAAACAAACTCAGATGCCCATGGTACGTAGCATAAAGAAGCTTCCAATCCACGCCGCTGATAACATGACCATTATAGGCACTGCCACGTCAAAGTTTATCACCCTGTAGTCTTTACCGTATGGTTGACAGCATTCATGCTGCTACTGGTATATAGAGTCCCTCTAGACTATCGGCTTCTGAAGTCCATCCGTGTTGACATTTTACTCCTTGTCACGCTCTGCATGTGCTGGGCCTTTTGGCTAGTAGTGCATGTGCCACGATACACCTACCCGAACCAGGCCGAACGTAACTACATAGCATCCTTAAAAGATACACCACTACAGCATCTTTATGAGGTCGCGAACATTTTACAAACTACAGAAACTGCTTTAGGTACAATGTTAGGTTTCGGGCTTGTCGGGTTGATTGTGTACTGGCTCTACGGTGATCTTTCGGGTCGCTTGTATTTCATATAACAATGTGGATTCAGTTTCATCTGGTTCCCTCGCTGTTTTAAGGACAAGAAGATGATTTTGGATACTCGGACAGGAAGGGTCTCGGATGGAAGCCGTGACAGTGCTTTTATTCCATCAGCTTTATATGCTGGATAAGCTACGAGAGAAAAAATGGAGTACAGCGACTGGTTGAATCCCCGCCCTTTCCAGGATGACGCTGGATTCATTGGTAAAGTATTTGCCGCGAAGATCCGGGAGTCAGGACTTGAGGAGGTTATATGCCGTCTTGCAACCGAGATTTGGACCAAACAACACATGCAACAAGACCACCAGTTAAGTCGCAGCCAAGACGCTGTTCTCGACACGGATGAACTCTGGTTCGGCAAGCGCAAGGTCCTGTATCGACTTCGGATGCCAGATAATTCCCTCTGGATGGCTCGATTACATAACACGCTTTACAATAAGACCGCAGTGACGGACCACGCAACCCGTATGACAAACCAGATGCTCCTGTTTGAAAGCGAAGTAGCTACAATGCAGTTTGTAAGGGAGAATACTCAGATCCCTGTCCCCAAAGTCTACGGATACGATTTCACATATAAAAATGTGCTCGGCACGCCTTATATCTTCATGGAGTATATTGCCGGGAAGCCTTATCCCTTTCCCTTCAGTGAGAAAGGACGCATCAAGGACGCCGACTTGATCAAAATACAAACCCAGCTGACCAATTTCGCATGGCAGCTTTCAAAGTACCCGTTCGACAAAATCGGACAGCTTCGCTTTGGTGCCGGCGCAGAGGGAGGTGTAGCCATTGGACCCATCATTGATCGCAAAGAACGTCTCTATGGCCCTTTCACATCGTCGAGGGCATTTCGAGGGCATTCTACAGGCATCGCGCAAAGGCAGTGTATGAATTTGAAACACGCCAGCATCCATTACGTACAGGAGAAGACCCTTGTGTCAATGAGAGCGTAGAGTCAGCAGCGTTGCATGTCCTTGCCGCAGAGTATGCTGGTCAAGAACGTTTCGACTCCGGGCCTTTCTTCCTCCAGCATGCTGACATGCATTGGCAGAACCTACTGTTCGATGAACAGTGTACAATAGTAGGCGTAATTGACTGGGAATGGACGCAGACCGTCCCAGTGGATTCTTTCAAGTTGCTGCCCTGGAACGCTGCGTCCAAAATGCTACTATATCGAGCCGAGGACGTCGCTCGGCACGAGCAGAATTCAGTCCAACAGTTCAAGGCTCTATCGGCAGGCGTGGGAAGCGCTGTCATTGAACGAGATGTGTTGGAGGCTATGATTTCCTTTCAGGGGTCACTGCCTCAATCTATCGCTCGATACCTGGAAGAGTACAACTGGCCAGAAGTTCGGAGAAAGAATTATAATCAGCTAAAAGAACTGATCTCCAAATTGACCAGCAGTTTTCAACTCAGTAATGGGCGAGCGGAAGAGAGGAGCGCGCGCGATGGTCAAAAACCCGCGTCTTGTTGAAGAAATGACCAGTTTTCGTTGCGGTTGTGAGGAGGAGATACAAGACAGGGTTGGGAAAATGGAGAGGTGTCCAAAAACAGGGGGAATATTCAATGTACGAGAACGGACGATCAAGACTATTGATAATGATGACTTCTGGCAAGTTGTCTGATTCCTTGTCGCGCTATATAGCTATTCGCTCTTGGTTCAATTAGTCTTGTTCAACTTGCTGTTTGTGATTGCTCCCAGGCATCAGTGATAGAGGGCTCTAAGCATATTAGCTCGGGATACTAGGAGAATTATCTCGAAGAACTGTGATGCCGTAGTGATTTACGCTATGATAGACCTGTCCTATCTTCGGATCGTTGAGCTAGGGCAAATTCTCACTGTAATAACATAAGATTGGGTAGGTGCAAGGGGTAGACCGGATTGAGCAAGGGGATTCCTTCTAGATCCCGAGGGAACCTGGAAGCTATAAGATGTTGAGAACAATACACAGGGACATCGAGAGTGTGCAACATGTTGAAGCGGAAATAACAGGCAGCAGTAATTACTTCTAGCGCACGACCAACCGTATGCTTGCATTCCTCCACGATCCTGCAGTCTCGCCTCTGCCTCGTCCACTTGGCGTAGTTCACCACCCCAGAACTCAAAGCCTGGCGTCACAACCTCAGTTGAGAATCAGTCAGTTGCCCCAAGGCAACCTCTCAAAACGTCTCTGCTCAAGACCTTATCTGAACGTGTCCTCACAAACTCCCGACTCTCCCTCAACACACACAGGACCGTAACCAGAATGAATGCGGCGGGGCTGCTGGCTAGATCAGCTCTGATCCGGGCAAGTGTTCTCAGACAGCTCAACGAAACTCCCTTTCTAGAAGCAATCACCGGCACCACATACCTGTCATGCTTCTCTATAGGGACAGAGATGGACGCAGGAGTCTGATCTGACGTGTTCTTGGCATTCATGATGTATAGCTGCAGCTTTACCTGCCCGCTTTAACTTTCAGCATCAGACTAACCTCTTCCAAATAGATACCGGATGTCGAATGGAAAGCAGCAAGTCTTGTTGGATTAGTGACGAGGTACAGTCACATAAAATAACCCTGAGAGCGCAGGTGTCAAGAAAGCAATTGCAATGTACACATGGTGGCTACGTAGGAGGTCTTGTTGGCCGGAACCTGGTAACCTTTCGCGCACGAGGCTGCGTGTATGGAGATAGATTCATTGAGCTTCACATATTGTACCTGACCTTCTATATCTACCTTGACAACAACCTACTGCATTCAATTCACCGGGAGTTACAGGTGACTATCACCCTCTACGTCGTCATGAAGAGAGATACTTGTTAGTTACTAGGTCTTCTTCGTTAATTAAACCTAGACTACTTAATAAACGTTTAAAGACTACATCTTCCATCTAGAAGTGTGACGCAAACTTAGTTTAGTGTGGTATCCGAACTTGGGGTGTATATGGCACAAGAACCGTCGGGCCAAAATCCTGTCGCAACATTGTATCCCTGTTGACTCCAAATCTCAAGGCATCCACTTCAGCTTCCTCATCTATCCCAAATTGATACGAGCGCGATTCACAGACGTCATATCGATCTCCCTTGACAAGGAATGCAATAAACCCCCTATGTGTGATGAGGACAATATTGTTGTATTCTTTGGAGAGCTCTTTTAAGCGGCGTCGAACTGTCTCAGCGCGTATTGTTGCACCCTCAATGGTATGCGGTGGATGATCCCATTCTTCAGGACATTCCGAGAAGTTCAGATCTGGAAACTTTGTCGAAATCTCAGCCCGAGAGATACCTTTGTTGCAAATCGCGTCGTGAGCTTCGCGCAGGTCGGGCCAGATCTGTACCTTCGTCTCGTTAGGCGCTGAGGCAATCGACGGGAAGGCATTCATAGCGGTCTGGATGGTACGTGTCATGGGCGAGATGACGATGAGGTCTGGGACGGCCGGGATCTTGATCTGCTGGGTAGCCTCATGGCCTGCATCCGTTAAGGGTGGGTCGCGATAGGGGTAGCTGCGATCAACGTTATGGAGGGCTTGTCCGTGGCGGATGATATGGATAAGGGGACTGGTAGTAGGTTCTATTGATCATGAGCGATTGTAAGCATTGACATGAGGTATCCTTACCCATTCTCGAGCATTCAGTTGCGGTAAAGGTGCTTTCGTAAGACGGCGCGTCCTGAGATTCGCAAGTGGGATCCATTTCAGCAGAAAGCCGACTTTGGTTGAGGTTTAGGAGCAAGATGAAAACGGGGAGATAGCCTGCAGCGCTTAGCTAGGCGGGCCAGACGGCAATTGTATAGTTGGTGTTGGTGTTATGTGACTAGTGCAGTAGTTAATGCAGTAGCTATTGTTGAGTATGTGATGTTGGATTATGAGCACCTGTATATAGTGTCCTATACTTACAATAAGTCAGCTACTGTGGCTAGAATAACTGCAGTAGCTTATACCAAGCCTAGTTGTATAGATATAAAACAATTATTTATTAAAGGATTAGCTAATAGGCCCAGGGTATCCCGGGAAGGGGTAGAAAGAAGGGGGTAGCCTAAGTAGAAGCGGCATCGTTTGGGGTAGGAGGAACAACGTATCCCGAATGGGTTCGGCCATTCCATTTCTCTCAATACGGTACCTAAGTGGGATCGACGCGCCGATGGCAAAACGGAGGCCCGGCGGCTACAAGGAGGGGCGAGACCGCCGCACCGCCACGATGAGTCAGCAGACGCCTTCGTACCGAGTTATCAGTATTGCGGTTCAATTCTCCTCTACAATTCTACTTTCTGATCTGAAGGAAGGGTCACTAGTAGGATTTCCGAGTTATTCTCAAAGGAACCTGACAATGCCAAAAGACCAAGACGATTCTTTAGGTGGATGGACCCGTCCACCGCACGACTTCTCGCTGTTTGGAGAGTTGTATTCCGAATATACTGCTGAGCCGGACTCAAATGGAGTGAGTGATACTGAGAGCAAGAGGCATGCAATGCTGCCGTATACGGAGGCTGCAAATCGAACAGCTACCCGAAACTACAAAGGTCCCGCGTTAGTATATAGCTCTAGAGTCGCCTGCATGCCGCCGACAATTGTCGCCGAGATCTCGACTGAGCTCGAGGAAGCCACCGGTAACATACACGGGTACATGATAGGCCGAGGGCAAATTTCCAGCACCTTGAGTAGAGCTGATCTGGCAACCAGTATCCCATGCTATGGAGGTCAATGCCTAGCCGAGATTCCTTTTAACTATGCCCTTCCAACGCTTGGGAAAAAGCAAAGCTTGGCCAGTTCATATTGCACGCCGCAAGAAACCGACGTGTCCGTTTGGACCTCTTCGTGGAAGGTTGGTATGCGAGATTGGATAACAACCGCTAGTGTATTTCTCGTATTCAGTTCAAACATGCACAGTGAGCAATGGGAGTTATCGAATTCAAGCTCGCTTACCCTACCATTACTCGCTATTGAGGAAGAATAGGCTTCCTACAACCTCGGGTCCAACAATGTGGTAAATGCCACGCTCTGTTATCTGGTTTCAAACGTTATGCTCTCGAATGTGACAATGAGCACAAATAGGAATCTCAAGGAGCCAATTATTGGGCACGATGCCGATGCTACAGATACCAATGATCTCCGTCGCTTCTTAGGAGCAAATCCAACGATCCGAGATTTGAACGACAGAGGTATTTTAACCATAAAAGAGATATCCGATAGCGATGAACACGTTTTCAATGCCAGTAGCCTCGACACAGTACCCGACTTCCAATATGCTGCAAGTATTCTTGACTGGAGTGGATTGGCAACGATTGCCAACCAATCCTTTGCGGGTTGCGAAATATGTGAGGGAGACTTTCACGCGAGCTCAAGAGAATTCAAAAGAATATTTGCGGACTCCATTGCCAGTACCGGGCGAGCTTCTGTTGCTCTACAAGCTATCTACAGCGTTTTCATTCAGAGTATCCACGACCAACTGCTTGAATTTCTCTCGATCCCAATGACAGCCGAAGTGCTTCGCACTCAACTCAATATCATTCCAATTCGCCGTGTCGGTCTTGTCGCTGTTGCCATAATTGTTACAATCAACACAATATGCATTCTCGTTCTCACAGTTTTATACATTTTGTTTGTTCGCTACTCGGTAGTAGGTAGCTTCTGGCACGCCATCTCGCAGGTCGCTTCAGTTACAAGCTCCGCTGTTTTGTATCACGCCAATCAGAAAAACGACCATCACGTCTCTAACTATCTCGGCAATGATGATCGTCTCGTACGGCTTGTGAGATCCGACGATACTGGCATTGTCCGTATCGTCGAGGCGAAATAGTTCATACCTCAACCATGCAGTTTGGCTTCCCAGTATAACAGGTCTAATGACCTTTCACATGACTGGGTTTCATGTTTAGGGAGGGCTGCTGTTAGTTTTAGCTTCCATTGCCTCAAGATCTTAGTGTATGATTCTGCTCTGTGGTGGATCATTGTGCACCAGCCGAGAAGTCTGGCGCTTAGCAGTGATGAGCGAGTTGGACACACTTAACTGTTTTTCTAGTACCTTGCATACGAACGACATATCAATACTCGACTTTTATATGTTGGTTTCTTAATAGCTGCAGCACAGCTAACTAGGGCGCTTCATTCTTGCAACATATAACTGGCGGATAACAATCTGCCTTCTGCTTCCCCTCTTCTCTCTTTTATAATACACTGCTGCATCATCAGTGCTTCGTTTCTAACCCTACAAAATGACGATGAATGATTCCAAGATATAACGCCCTACCTTAACATCTCTCCAAGAGCTGGAATTAATGAAAGCCCTGGGCTCCGAGACACGCGAGTTGAAATACGTCATGTTCTATCATATTACCTCTGATGGCGATCTTTATTATGGGCAAATTTTAAGGCAGAGGAAGGACATCTCTCTTACTGACTATAGCCTAGCATTTGATTATGTTAGTGACGAGGAATCTTACTCTCAATCGCTGAAGGCACAATGTTTGGAATTGATTATTTGGAGGTTAGGGCTTCGTATTCAAGATCCGCCTAGCCTATCCAATGATACTAAGCTATAATGTCAGACGCGAGGCTATCACAACGATGTATAACTATCATTATACCCAAGAATTGTGTGTTACAACCTCTTCAACTCGATCCCAACTGATCGACCAATCTCATCACTTCATACATATGAGACCGTGACAGAGGTGCCAGAAATACCGGTGTTGGTGAGTACCGACCCAGAACTGCTCACTAAGTCGATGGTAACAGGAGAGTCCGAACTAGCTGAAACAGTTGCGCCGTTGATGACAGCAGTAGCACCAGTGAATGTGACGGTTCCAAAGTTAGCAAAGGGGACGAGGGAGTTTCCGGAGAGGAAATCTTCAACGATCCACTCGGCTGAAGCACCCTGAGATTCTGGGTCAGCTTCTTATTCATACAGTATCACAAATGAGTGGGGGCGACGAGGACTACTCACTTGTAGCCGGGTGCTCTGGCCAGAGAATGTGTGCGAGGCACTCCGGCCGCCAGAAGAGATTGTAGTCGTGCCGCCTGTGGCACTAGTCTTTGTGACAGTGACAGTCACAGAGTTGCCGGCCGTGACAGAGAATCCGGAGTACTCAATCAAAGCAGCCGGCAGGTATTCATACCAAGCCTAAAGGACTCATGTTATTAATGAGAGGAATCAGAGAATATGGTAGCTTCCATACCTCATACTCGTATGAGCTACCCTGGACACACCATAGAACACCAGTCTGAATCAAAGCAGAGTTGGAATATCCATCAATGCCAACCCACGCAGCGCCGCAATACTCCCTACTCGAGCTACCACCCGATGGGGGAGATGGTTTGGGAACCGTGAAGGTACCGCTGACCGCGGTCACACCCGAGGTCACGATGGCAGCACCACCCCAATTGCTCGACTGAACAGTTTGGGCAGTGATGTTTCCAAAGTTACCATCCTCGAAGGCCCTGAACCGGTCAGTCCGACGAGCAGCATTTCTAGCCTGGAGCTCTAGCTTGGCTCTCTCCATCAAAGGAGAGGCCAGGGCCATGCTGGCCAGCAGAGAGAGTGTGGTGAAGAACTTCATTATGGACAATATGAGGGTATCAAATAATGCGCCAATTATTAGAATACTAGACTATGGAGTAGATATGAGACTTCGGTACTGACCGTTAAGGCTGCCGAACACCAAGGATCTCGACAGAAACGGGGGATCTAAGGAAAGCTTTATAGTATTGAAGCTCCTCATAATTGTTTCTCCCCTGATGATAATGAATATGGTGTGGCAACCAAATTAGGCATGTGCAATGTGTCTTACGTCTAACAGCGATTCTGGTCACATTGCTAAAGGTTGCTACGCTTGTGTGGTGGGAAATGTTATCATGCCCTCTAGCTTTGAGGGCTTTATCAAATAGGCAAGTGTCAATCCCGAGCCTTACGGCCGGATTGTCTAGTATCTCCTAGGCCTTGCGGCGTATGCAGGACTTCAGATCTTGAGATAAAACACGGAAGTGTTAAGATTGTAGTGCCATGCCTAGAAAGCATACAACTTAAAGTAGAGTAGTTCCTAACTATAGTCACCATGTAAAGAAGGATAATCAGTCCAGTTGAGGCTATGAACGTGTCCGAGGTTGCTCAAGTTCCAATAGCACCTAGCATTCTGATATCTGTGAAGTGCATGCCCCTTATCAGCTATCTAATCACATGTCAGAATCGGCACAAGGATTCAAAGAGATCGGGGTTTGTTCCTAATGTGGCGTCGCAAGAGACAATGCTTAATGATCTTGTGGTATGATCCTGTGGTCTGGGTTGCAGGACGGCCCTCACCTATCTTTCCCAAAGAGATGATCGGCAGCGTAAGATCATCATTATCTTCAGTAAGCGCGGGAGCTGTCTCGGAACATCCTTCTAAAATGGACGGCCTTCTTTCATAATACATACCAAAGACTACGACATATTCACCCAATTCCTAGGTTTCTGCTTAGACGGTCAACTTGCACTCTGATTGTGAGAAGAAGAAAGATCTAGAAGTATCGCAAGATTGGCAGCGTCGGATTTAGGGGGATTAAAGCCAGAGAGATACAGGGGAAGCTGCAGGGCAGTTGTGCTCACGAGCTCATGATGCCCTGTTCATTGACAATAGATTATATGCTCTTGCTAGATACTGAATAATAGACAGTACCAGTGTCCCAATCTTCTAGCGTAATACCTACAAGCCTGCTGGTAGAATTTCGCTGTGAGATGCAAGTGGACAAATCCGGGCTCATAACGATAATACAACCCCATAATCAAGTTTACCCCGGCTCTCTTTCTACGACCTTCCTTATCTAGCTGGATATACACGTAACCCCTGATTTCAGCTTAGCATCGTATTGGACAAGAAGAAGAGTTGAAATATCTCACGACGAGTGGCGACATAATGATGTATGTTCGGAAGTGTTCATCTATTTGACGACCGCTCGCCGAACAAATCGCTTTGCTGTTAGATGAGCGTGGGAGCTTATCAGCGTTGTCTGTGGGACTCAGAGGATGAAATACTTGAATCAAAACATGACTTGTCTAAGCCGAGGAAAGTCGCAATTGATAAGCATTTTCATTATATTCTTCTAGCATTCATGCGGGATAGAAAAGAAAGGATGCTGAGATGTTACAGCGCAGTACCAAGCACTTAGCCATGCCGCTGGTTACCGGAACGTGGGCACTCGCTACGCATCAAGTGCCGTCTCGGCTTCCTTGGCGTGCTGATGAATGCGCCATACCCCACGGTGTTAGACTTGGCAGTCATCACGCTTAAGTCCCTCATCAGCGATATGGCACTACATGATGCAGGTTTGGCTTGATATAAGTCCTACAATCTGGGGATGAGAGATTATCTCATCGGGACAGCTTTGGGGATAATATGCTTTACAAGATCATTATACCAGATGTTGTTACAATTGTTGTTGTCCTTCCGCCAAAAAAAAAATGGCGCCCACGTCCACTGCCATCAGAGAGGCTACCTAGGTAGTTGACTCCAAAATTGCATGGCGTTGACGTAGTGTCATCTGAGCTGCACCATGCCTCGGCCCCGTATTCTTTCAGTAAGTATACAAATGTCTATCAATCGTTGAGATTGGAACCTATTGAATCATTATATTTATTTCAAGTATGTCTCAAGCAAGGCACTCCTATAAGCCCTCATATTCAGAACAATTCTCCATTGATTCCTTGTCATACTTTGACCGGAAAGCTTAGCATGTTCGCCTCAAATGTCACTCTAGGAGGCTAACTATTGGAAAATTAGACGAGGCCTTGATACACCCATTCTTCCAATCTCCATGACCCTGGGAGATTGTGGATGTGTCTAATTTTGACGAGCAGTAAATTACCCTACACAGCACAGCTGCAACCTAAAAGCTTCATTGAGGGCATACGACCTTCCTTACAGCACCTAGTTTATAGCCAAGGAACTTGGCGAGGTCGTAGCTCTATCGCGTTCAGCCCTATCCATCCCGCCATTCTGGAACTCAAATCTTGGCTCTCTTGGCATCTGGCAGATGGGAGATAGTAGTACCAGGACGATGAACGAGAAAGTCAATCGCAGTCAAACAAGTCTTGATTACACCGATAAAGGGGAGCTTGGTCAGTGAAATAGCATGCCTGGATTACGATATAATTACACGGTCGCTGATCGCATGCCTAGTCCTTTGACTTGTCAAAATACTTACATTCGTAACGTTTGGCACTGTGTATGGGCTATAGCTTGACATGGTCGTCAATCGCAGACGTGGTGACCTACAACAGTCTGCATTACCTACTCTTACCTTGTGTCCTTAACTCTATGATACTACCGTACAAGACTCCTGTGATCGAAACAGCAAGACAGTGCGAGCCAAGTGCTAATATCTGCAAGCTCATTCGATAAGAGGATTTCGAGATTAAGTCTTGAATTTCTAGTTGACGATAAGAAAGAGATACCTCACAGCGTAATTAGCCTTGTAGACTGGTTTTACTTTTAGGGTTTAATGAGCAACGAAAGACAATTTACGAGTCATTGTTAAGAAAGGCTAGTTTGGGCCTTGAGTTGTGATTAGTCAACTGGCTGAACCCCGCACTTGTAGGTTGCACTGAGACGAATCTGGTTACCTGCGAAACACGGACTCTATCGCAATACCTAGTACAGATGAACTAAGATCATTATGAAGAGCGGAAAATTACCCATCAGCATTGAGGATGAGGTCAGTTATCGCGAATAGCGTGATAGTGCAGAGTAGATGCTGACTTTCTAGCGCGCACGTTTGCGCCGCAATCAACGCAATTCTCGAGCCAGAAAACAGGCATATGTACAGGACCTCGAGCAGCGCTGGAATGAATGTGTTAGGTTAGGCGTGCAAGCTACCATTGAGATGCAAAGAGAGTCTCAGAAGATCCAAGATGAGAATAAACTTCTCCGCCGTTTGTTGCACAGGCAAGGGTTGGATGATGTGGCTATAGAGGCGGCGATGGTTACTCTCCTAGCTCAGGAGAGTAAGGCCCAGCCAGCTCATTCTCCGATGTGTCCGATACAGACCGTTGACAATCATTCTGGCAAACAGCAATCTGGAGCCGAAGAGTTACCTCAAGCTGAAGTGCCTTCGGATGCACAGGCCGACGCATATCAGGGATTGAATATCGACGAGTGGCTGACGGATCTTTGCAACATCAAAGATGCTTTCGTTAGCGATGTGTTTGTATGTGTTCTCTCTAAGCTTTACTTTCGCAATTGCAGCTGATAGATGCAGGATGGAGACCAGCATTCTTAGCTTATCAGCATTCACCAAGAGCTTTCACGAACTTAGGCATCGGTCTGCAACATGATAGGGGTTTCACCAATTTAGATGAAAAAAAAAAAAAGAACAAACAGACTACATGTGATTGAGACTTATATTGTACTCTCACTACGATTGAATTCTAGTTTTATTTCTGTGAATATGCTTCATTCATTATTTTAAGCCGAGACGTGGCGAAGACACCTAAGATGAGCCTCTAGATGCAGTGGCAAGTATAAGTGTGCAACGGTGCTGCAACCCCAAAATGTTCCAAAATCATTACTGACACAGTTCCATGGCTACACGATGAGACTAGAAAGGCTTTGACACGGTAAATAAATTCAGCTTATACACGTGTGACGGGCTTGCATTCGCATCGACCTATTTTACCTGGTGACTCACTGAATGCATTTTACTGGACAATGATAGCTGTGATTTTCCGAATTGGGACATATAGGTCGCCTTATTGTGGGCAATACTGTCACCGCGAGATGTTCATTGGTCAGCGATGATCTACGGTGGTCAAGTTTACGCTTCTAAACATGCTTCTTCGAGAGAACGATATGAGCGTAGTTCTAGAGATTTGAATACTTAATCTGCTGGTCTTTCATACCTTCCTACGAGTTACATATTTCAATGCACCCTCACTTCTGCATGTTTTTTTTTACGTTTGTCTTTCTCTTCATCTCAATCACAGCACTGACAAGATGACCCAAAAGACGACTGCCTCCCAGTTACACTGTTCGACAGATTCGTCTACGCTTCAAGAGGAAGCACGAGAAGAGGGTGTTCCTTTACCACCACCTGATGGAGGATACGGCTGGTTTTGTGTATTAGCGCAATTCTTGATCAACGGCTTTACTTGGGGCGTGGTGGCAGTGAGCTCATATATACCCACGATCTACATCGTAACTGCTGATATAAGATACAGAGCTACGGCGTATATCTCGCCCATTACCTCTCGCACGATCTATTTCCTGAAGCTAGACCACTCGATTATGCATTTATCGGAGGCTTCAATTTTGCCTTTGCGCTTCTAGTTGCTCCTCTAGCGACACCACTCGTACGGATATATGGTGTGAGAACGCCTATGTTCTTCGGTATTCTCTTTCTCGCGGCAGGATTCATTTCGGCATCATATGCTACCGAAGTATGGCATCTATACTTATCGCAGGGGGTATGTGTGGGCGTCGGGGTCGGCCTTGTATACATCCCAGCCACTTCAGTTATCCCTCAATGGTTCTCTAAGAAGCGCAGTTTGGCGAATGGAATTTGCGCATCCGGATCGGGAATAGGTGGCCTCATCATCTCCTTTTCAACTCAAGGATTGCTAGATACTGTCGGTCTAGCGTGGTCACTGCGAATAACCGCTGTGATAGTTTTTGTCGTCAACGTGATCGCAACGCTGCTGATGCGATCCCGGAATGAGGTTATCAAACCAGACCTAGATATCTTCAACTTCCGCCTTCTCGTCTCCTACCAAGTGAAGTTGTTGTTAGGATGGTCTTTCATTCTCATGTTTGGCTATATCACCTTGTCGTTTTCATTGTCCGATTATGCGTTGGCCATTGGTAGATCGCACGAAGACTCAGCAAGGGTAGTCGCAATTCTCAATCTTGGTACTGCAATAGGACGACCGTTCATAGGTTTATTGAGCGACCGATGTGGCCGGGTTGAAGTGGCTGCGATTGCTACCTTCAGCTGCGGTGTACTTGTATTTAGCCTTTGGCTACCGAGTACCAACTACTACGTGCTGATTGCATTCTCTTTGATAAGCGGATCCATACTGGGCATCTTCTGGGTGGTAGGTTCTCTGAATACGTGCTTCTGATCCTGGCTAATAGACACAAAGGCTATTGCACCACTCGCGGCGGATATTGTTGGCTTGAAACAGCTTCCTTCATTCCTAAATACTGTATGGTTTTCTGTAGTACTGCCATGTTCTTGTAAGTTGCTTTTATCTCTAGATTAGTGCTATAGTAACATATTTCAAAGTTGCCGAGGTCATCGCACTTGAACTTAGATGTCAAGATTTGGGGCTACGGTCCTATATTTACGCCCAGGTATTTGCCGGATCCTCTTATATCCTGGCAAGTCTGCTCTTGTTCGAGCTTTGGAGATCACGCAGAGCAGGGAATAGCTCAGAATAGCTCTGCTGGTCATACCAATATGTTCCAGTTACAAACCAGACTACCGGCTACAGTCTCAAAAAACGTTGTAAGCTTTCAGTCATTCAGGATATAGGGATCAAAGGCAAGGAAACTGAGTGTGGACAGCAGGAACGAGTCTGAACGCCCTCGCTCCTGACCTTCTAGACTTCGCGCAACAATGAGAGTCTCAATGTATACGTCGTATCTTGTTCATGACATAGTGAATATGGAAGTATCCCCAAATGGTGTCCTAGAAAGCGCAAAATACCAAAATAAAGGTGTCTACTTAGTAGCCTGTAAGTTTCGGACGCTCAGTTAGTTATGAGTGATGCATGTTGGTAAGCACAGCTGCGCTAAGAGACTGCCTGGAGGATAATAATGGTATGTCTTTGTGATGATGGGATAGTATGTTGTATCAAAGACTGGGAAACTCTGATTTGCTTTGAACACTTTCAAAGACAATAGATGGGGCAGAAAGTACTCCTTGATACCAGATACTTTAAATTGCAAGTCCATAGCTGGACAAGTTCTGTCCCAGAATTACATATTCATGTGCCTCAAGCTGCGGACATACTGTCATCTACGAGGCATTAATCATACTCGTTAAACTGGTAGTCGCGCGAGAAGCTCAAAGTCTTACAAAACAACTTGAGATCGGGAATTATGTAACCCAGTCGGACTTCCAAAGTAAACAACTTAAACCTGAGTATCACAGCAACAATACTACCCCAACCCCCAAACCTGGGCAACCACGTTGTTTACTACGCGTGCCAATCAGCATTACTCTCTTCGGTTACCGGTTACCAGGACTAGATAACGTTCCTGCCTGTTTCTGTGTCCCAACCCAGATTGCTACCCGGACCACGAATATCAACAATTTCTGATTTCTCCATCTCACCCACAACTTGCCTCTCTCACTTCGCTCTCATTCAGAACCCATCTAAACACAAATCTTTCCTCTGCTCCATCAAATCCAGTATCAAACCCAACAGTCGTCTTGCACCACCCTCGTCGTCAACATGCCTGCTGGTACCGATACCGACTCTCAATTCCGCTTCCTCATCTCTTGCATCCGCCACTCTAGTGCGGGCAAGGTAAGCATAAATCCATCATATCCTTTCCGTCCATCAAAAGCCTTGATTGACTAATATGCTAATTTTCGAAGGTCGACTTTGAGGAAGTCCGCAAGGAATGCGACATCATCAGCAAGGGTGCTGCGTAAGCTCATTTTCCCCTTCTCCCATCTGCTCGTTGTCTGAATGATCTAAGTCTAACTTCCCATCCCCATATAGTGCAAAACGATATGAGCGCCTCATGAAGGCCCACGGCATCGCCCCCAACAGCGCCGCCAACGGTGTCAAAAAGGAGGATAAGGACCCTGAGACTCCAAAGAAGGCCAAGTCTCGTGCCACCAAGAAGCGCAAGCTTCAAGAGGTCGACGAGGACGAAACCGACGTTGAAGAGCCTATCAAAGAGGAGGTTATCAAAGGTGAATTCAAACATGAAGATGCAATCGTGAAAACCGAATGTCCAAATAACCACCTATCGAGCGCTACACCTCTGTATCATGTACCATCCCATTCTGAATCCACTTCACCTTCCACGAACATCCAAACCGACGACGATGACGAGGTCCTTTTCGTGTCAGCAACGGAGAAGCAATTAACACCAATCCCACCAACCTATCTCAGCGATGATCGTCACTCCCACACGTACTCGCGCATGTCGGCAACTCCTGCTATACATTCCGTCGAGAGCGCAGCTAACATAGGTTTCCTTCAGCATCTCGCCGCTCCATCCTCGCAGTCACCAACGCCACCAATGGAGACGATGAGATCATCTGATTCCTTCTCTTATGGATACACGCCTACCACATGGATGTTTCCCCATGAGAGTCATGGCTACCTGTAGCACCTCCCGCCGCTCATCGTACTTCACTTATGATGGAAAGATCATACTATTTCTGTCACCCAGGGTACGCTTATCGCCTCACAAATCTTCAATCAATGCATCTACTAACGAATGGGCTTAGGTATGGTGTCACCGCAAGGTTTAAGGCTAAAGGTCAAGGGTGTTTTTCTGCATACAATGGTTTGGAGGGTGAGGGATAAGTTATGATACGATGACGCATCGCTTCTCATATGGACTTGGAGACACAATGTCTCGATCTTCGATGCCGACACTATGTGTCTAGGTTATGATACAGTCTTGAATGATGGTCATCTAAATGAAGTCGTGATTTATTGCATAGGTACTCCTTCGCTGTCTGTAATGTGACTGCATTTTTAGCCGTCGTGAGTGACTTAAGTTTTAATGGACTAACGCTCACGGCCGGTGCCATTTCCGACACGCCACCAACACACCTATCTTTCATGACAGCCTAATCCCCGTACATTATTACGTCGCTCGATTTCAAAAGATCCTATTATTCCAGTAAGGCAGCTAGCTCTCTTTGCGTTCCTCATTACCGTCAGCAGTATATCGAATGTCGGAGCAGGCAAGGATCGGCTCGCAGAAATCTCTTGACAGAGTGGGCTGGGAGTGCATCATAGTAGGCATGAGATGCGTGTTCATGAAAAAGATACATCGTGGACCATTACATAGTGGCGCCTGTCCGACGAATTTCTTCTTAAGTGTGCTTCGAGCCATGACAGACCTACATAGGAGCAGGACCGCCGAAATAGCTAACCTGAACCACGTCAAAAATTTACTTTGGCCTGCTCAAAATATCATGACTAACAGTCAATCCACATGCATTGAGCTGTTTCCCTTACGCGATGGTGCAGCGCCCCAAGTACACAATTAGCCCAGTTGCACATGCACATGCACATGCATAGAACCCACGTAAAAGCTAACACAGGTTCGGCGAAGCTGATCCTCACGACTACAATCATGTGCATCCTCTCGAATTTATTTTCATTGAGTACTTTCGATTACTGGTTTGCCTCTTCAGTTTTGTTTCATGCTAATGCAGCTTACACAATTGCGATCGTGAAACAAGCTCTCCCCTGTCTTTCATCTCGGCTCGTGCCGATCCGGGGGTTGCAACGCTAAAAGCGGCTCGATCTCCCCGCATTCCACTTCCATCAATGGGTGCGCCATTGATTGGCCGTCGTGAAAGTTCTCAATACGCCCCTCGGTGGAGATCGAAACCCCAAGCCTCAACGACATGCCGCGGATCGGGTTGTTGGGGATGGCAAATCGCATTGAAGATGTTGGTAAAACAAACTGAGTAACATGTGATGGTAGTAGATCTCCAGGACGCTGGGAAGGATCTCAATAGAGAGCTCAATAGAGAGGTCGCGCTAATCCGGGGCTGCCATTCAAGTCTTGGGGTACTTGCCTGCTCTAGGTAATCAACATTGTAGTGCTCCAATGGGTGGGTTTGTACAAATGTGTACATCTAGCCCTCTAGTATCAAACTCATCAGCTACTATTGGCCTAGCCTGTTACAGGTGTATGAATGGTTTACAGACTCTCCATTGAGATATACCTAGATACATCGAGTTACAATGGGCAGAACGTAACAGATGATGGCTGGAGAAGGCTAGTAACAATAGGCCTGGGAGTTTGAACAGCTGATCATGGGGCACTGTCGGGCCATTCATCTGCAAAATGCCATTGAGTATGGGGGGTTGCTAAGCTCGAGCCACATGCATTCAGTAACCATTGCTACAATAACTCAATGGTGAGAAGGATATGAGTTCTGTATCCTCCGCTCTCGTAATCCAAAACTATAAAGACTGCAAGATTCCCCCAGGTTAGACCTCGAATTCAAAGTCTTCCCTTCCAAAGCTCTCTGCGATAACCACATCTACCAAAACTTCATCTCGATATTAGAGGTTAGAATTATTCAGCCTCTTCCCCATATTGGTCCTTCAGACCCAAGGTATGTACCTCACCAATTCTCTACAGCCCTCTCATTGGTTCTCTGCCACACACTCCTCCTCCTCATCCTCATCATCATATCAACCTCTATCTTCCTTACCCAGCGTACCTATGTACTTACTCATGTGTCGAATGCATATGGCCTTGCCAATTTCTATTTTCATACAACTCGTTCAATTTCGTGTTCCTAATTCTCTCATTTCTCATCTCATCTTCAACTCTCTACCCACCTTTTCAAATCACTCTGCGAATTACAATCACCATCTCTATCATAATCCTCGTGAACCGGTATGCCATCCCTCGTTTCCTGTGACTGCGAGGATTGGATCATGAAAGTCCTTATGCCAAACTCACATACCCTATTCTGTCATCACACCACCACCACCTCTTATTCCTTCATCTTGTACCTGTACCTAATTGTAGGTACACATCTACATCTCGTCAAATCACGTGCAGCACCCAGTGCACATCAGCTCCCACAACTCATCTTCACTACTTTCCATCTTTTTACACATACAACCTCTCAGATCTGCAACTCTGTATCCTGAGATTTCTTACAGCCAAATGCTAACTGAACCAGCAACTTCAGATATTGATCAAGCGCCCGAACTCCACAGCAAATCCCAGATCTCTAAAGATCTTATCGTCCGATACACTGAGAAGTAAGTGCCCAGCTATCCCCCGTTCCCGACTCATCTAACCTACACTTCCCCTCCCGATGCCTATTTCATTCGTCATTTTCAAATCCTCTTTCGCCAAAACATATGCATCCACCATCGTCTGTCAGCTTTGACTTCATGTTCTGATGAAATGTCTAACATCGTTATTAGTTAATCTCGGTCTCACTATTACTTTCGGAAATTCCCGACTGTCAAAATTGTCACGACTACTTCTCAACAAGCAGTACTCACTGTAAGTTGGAGCCATCATATTATTCTCGTATATGTCATTATATCAACTTGTCATCCGCTAACCTCGCCGCTTTTTCCTTAGATGTCTGCCATGCCTGTTACCCAACAGAAGGAGGCGAACGCCCCTCGTACTCAGGACAACACCGTTGACTCTGCCCTCTCCATGACGTTCACTGAGAACGTGGAGAACGAGCTTGCAAGCTCTGAGGGCTCCCAGAATGAATCGAACATGGGAAACTCTCAGATTAATCACCCTCTGTCCAACAACCATGTCAACTCCTCTGCCGAGAATTCCGGTATTGTCCTCATCGATGGTGTGCCATTCAAGTTCGAAACAATCTCGATGATGGGCGAAAAGCTCAACAAAGCTCGTCGCGAACGCAATTTCCCTGCCACCATCACGCCTGCATACAATCTCAAGGCGATTATCGATGACTATGAGGATCTCGTTCGACTTGAAGCCGCTCGTGAGGCTGCCGCAGATCCCAGAGATGATGCATTCCGCCCCGATGTCTCCGCTTTGTATGTCAAGATTCAACGACGAATCCAAGACCGTGACCTTACCCACGGCCAGGTTGCTGCTGATTCCAATGTCCGCGCTCGCCTTAGCGGATTCGCTAACAGTACTGGTGCTGAGACGGGCATGTACAACCTCATGCGCCATGCTATGAACTCGGTTCTTCGCCTCAACAACCTCACCGTCGATAGCGATAACAACCACGTCGATGCTGTTGTTACTCGTGTTGTCAATGAAATTCGAGCCACTGTTCAAGGTCAGGTTGCTCGTGGTGCTCACGGCGTCGATGGGGTTAATATGGACAACGTCTTAGAGAATGTCTTCGGTGCTATTGAACATGCTCTTGGTGACCGTATCGAGTCTCAAGCCAATCGCCTCAACGAGAATGCCACTCGTGCTGACCAGCAGATCAATGCCATGAACAATATCACCGATGGACACAACATCCAAATCAACGCCATCGCCGGTCATGTCAACGCGATTGAAAATCATGTTCATGCCATGGGTAACAATGTCAACGCCATGGGCACTCTCCTCAACTCTACCAATGGCAACGTCACCTCTCTGACCGCCAGCATTACCGTTCTTCAGACCATCGTCAACATAATTCCTCAGATGGTTGCAAGAACAGTTGCAGATATCCTTCCCGACGCGATTCATAGTCCTGTTCAAGAGGCTGTTCAAGAGGCTGTTCAAGAGGCTGTTCAAGAGGCTGTTCAAGAGGCTGTTCAAGAGGCTGTTCAAGAGGCTGTTCAAGAGGCTGTTGAGGCTGCCATCAGCAACGACCTATTCAATCGCATGCAGACATTCGTTGATGCATCTCGTGCGAACGCGGCCGCAAATGAACGACCACCGAGTTACAATGGCCGTAACAAGAAGCGCAGCTGGTTCGGCAAGCTCAACATCTTCAAGAAGCACAATGGCCGTCGCAATCGCCCATCGGGCAATGGCAACTAGACGAGTATCTTCATTCTGTGTCATTTCATCGTTGGTTCTGTTGAGCCTTTAAGATATGCCCTACACATGACGCTCTTCTCCTAGTTGTTTCTCGGCTGTTTCGCCTCACATCTTATGCTCGGATCTGAGTCTATCATAAAAAAGGCCAGGTCTTGATTTCTTCCACATATTTGGTGTTAAACTCGAACACCCACGCACATCTACCTTCACAGATCTATCAATGCCATCTGTGACGTTCATACGCAGGCTCTTCTGCATTTATTTCTTATCTCGACCGAATGATTTTAGTTAAGTCACTCGTTCAATGCACGCACAGTCTCGGGGGTGGTATAATAAAGGGAAAAAGGAAATAGATTGACTGTCAGGAGTTTAGTTGTCGGCGTACAACATGATTTGTGAGATTTACGATGGTTATGGGAGATTGACCGGAGGAATAACCTACATGTTTATGATCCTCATTTAAGGATTTGGTCAGGATGATTGACGAAATGGAACGAATGCATGCAGTACAGATTGTTAACCATAGGCAGGGCGTCTTCATCTGTGGATGGGGAATCAACGTCGCATTTCATGTTCCATCAAAGAGGATCAGTCCGAGTTCGGCCATCTTTAGATAGTTTCGTAGATAGGTAGATAGATAAAAATGACAAGATGTAAATCTTGCGCCAATACCTTTGACTTCCTGCAAACGCCGTGAACCTCTCGCCTTAGTGTTTTCTACGCCGGAAATAGTGCCACGATTACAGTCTTGATGTCTTCACGATAGTCATTCTGAGGTATACACTCCTCGTTGACGCAAGAGCCTGGCAGTCTGCAGTACGATGCTTGCAATCAACATCTCAGTCTTAATGCCCGGTCATGTTAAACCGTTCTTGAAAGATGGGTCGCCATCATACCCAAGGTCAACACCATTCTAGCGCTCATGCTGCGTGACAACAGAATCTATGACACCATGAATAATACACTGTATATATCTACCGCCCTTTTGCCATGCGCTCAATATTATTTGCACGGAATGTCATACATCGTCGTCATCATCATACAAGCCATTCTCCCTAATCCAAGCAACTATCTCCTCGCCAACGAGCGCCTCAAGCGCGTTCCAATCCTGCGCACGCGCAGCATCACGGACTTTCGTACTACTAACAATAGCCTCATCGCTCTTCCGTCCCTGCACCATCTCAATCCTATCAACCCACCCCGCTCGTCCGCCGACTTCCTCAAGCTTCCCATTCCTCAACTCATCCAGATACGCGATCTGCGCCGCCGCATCGCCCCAGCTATCGTCCGTGCGCATCGTGATTCGGAGTTTAGCGTGCGCGAAGAACGGGTCCAGAGAGCCCTTCATGGAGTTATTGGGGTAGTACTTCGGATTGAAGATCCGGATAAGGGTATCGTACCCCGCGAGATATACCTGCTCGGAATCAACGGCGTTGTCCATGCTCACGATAGACTCTGGCTCGTCTAGTTTCTCTGCGCCGAGATAGAAGTCGCTTATGGCGATGGCTTGCGCTTTAGCGTGGAAGTAGGGCTCCGTGGTGACGGCTATGTCTACGGCTTCGCATCCTATATTCGAAGCCTGAGAATTTCCATCCACGGCTTGTTTCTTTGTTGTTTCTGCGAGGATATCTTGCGCGAAGAGGTACATCATGGCCAGTCGCTGCGGGAAAGACGCTGGCTTGGGCGCCTTGTCCGCGTTGTGAATTGCTAGGAGAAGCAAGACCCGCGATGCGGCGCTCGTCTCGGACATCCCATGTGATTCTTCTACCTCCGTGTCATGCGGCACCTTTGTCTTATATTGCGGGTCGGATAGGGCGGAGATCGCCATGCGATGGTGCGCAAGTGTGGGCGGATTGAACGAGGAGTCGAGCACGAGGATATGCTTCGGCGGTCGGCGCGGGGGCTCCGCGATAATCTCCTCGCCTGCCATGGTGGCAGACACGGCTGGGAGGGAGCATAGCACGCGGAACGTGGCAGCGGAGGACTCGAAGCTCTTCAACGCCTGGGCGAAGAGCGCGAGGATGTTGGGGGGTAGTCGCGCCATTTCTGAACTGAGATTCACATTGCGACTCTGGATTTAAATGCTGGTAAAACTAGTACTGTTGATATGTTAAGATCGCATTTCTGGGTCATGGTATTCCCAATACCATGGCTGCTGTTTGGGAGGATTACATACCCCTACCACGTCAATGGACGTCATTCTTACCTCGGTAGGCTGTACACCTTGAATACCGTAGGTGGGCGGGCGGCTTGGCATAGGGTATTTGGTGGAGGCACCATGAATCTCTAGCATACCTATACATTAAATCCGATAACACCGAGATAATGTCAGATGGGAGCTTAGTTTTACACAAACTTCCTCAAGAAACTAGCGATCGAGATCGCCGAGCAACGTGATTTTTAGCGGTAGGAGGTAGACCGTCCGTATTGAGTGTATTAGTTACTGAGTGTAACAACTCCTACGAACTCTAGACCGACCTCTAGGGTCATGTCAAAAATATTCCGCTTTTTCGTAGTATCTTGAGCTGCCTGTGGTATTTCCATTTCCACCATGTGTCAACAACTCGGGGTATCAAAGCCCAACCTCCCAAAACGCCGCCGTAGTCATCGTGAATCTTGCCATAAAGTCATCATATGTTCTTCTAGTGAAGCGTCCTTCATTTTTGCCCCTGTCTAACGAATCTCCGGTTCCCTCATGAAGTCGGGAATGCTTAGTCCGCCGTCACCCGGTGTGTGCTTCTTGGCGTTGGCGTTGCGCTTTCGCACCTGTCCGTCGAGGTGCATGAGGTCTTCGTCACTATCACCAAGACTCATGCGCTTCATACGTAGGCGGTGGTCCTCGAGCTCGTTCACCACGTCATCGATAGGGTTGTTGTCCACCGTATCAGCACCCTCGTCTAGAGCGTACACTTTGATGCCTCGGATATGGGTATCTTTGCCGTTCTGGTGATTTTCGAGGATGATCACTCTTACGAAAAAGCAGCAAAGTGAGTTGCCATCAGGACCACCTCCCGCTCCTGCAATCGGTACGTCAATCCATCCTTTGGGCGTATTCAGCTCCATGGTAGTGAATGGGATGGTGAGATTGGGGCCAGTGCCAGCTGTAATCTGGATCTTGGTAGGCGTATAGCTCTCATCAAGCTCATAGTCTAGGTATAGACGTAATGCTCGAATTTCAACTCGTTTGATAAAGTGAATGTTGAGACGATGAGGTTGAGGCCCATCAGATCTAAAACAAAGATTAGTGACGAGATTAGAGTTGAAGAGCATAAGCATGAGCATACTGCCAGTATTGATTGACATCGTCATCACGAAGTTCCTTGACACCACATCCGGGCTTGTAGCTACTGACGATAAAGCTGGCGAGGTTGCTGATCTCCTTCAAGCCGACAGCGCTGGCGTCGAACGACTGCTCCTCATCTTCCTCTGCATCCTCGACATCTTCGACTTCACTATGATCATGTTCGGCATTGCCTTCACCACCTTCCATCACGTGAGGGTCGGCGTCAGCGCCTGCATCCACATCAAAGTCACCATCATCGCTGCCAGTGAATCCTCGGGTTGGGGGAGGAAGAAGCTCCTGTCTGGCAATACGCTCTGCAAGGATATCAGCAAACAGTTGAGAGAATGGACTTAATGACATATTGCGTGTGGTAGTACCCTCTTCTTCTTGGTGTTGAATGGGTGCCCAAGTTTGATTAAACGGGAGGGGGCGGCCACCTCGAGTAACACGCCAACGAGAGTCGCCGAGGGGTAAAAGTGCTCTTGATGATTCTTCAAAGGGAGGCATGGCTGATCTACTTTTCCCCTTCTTTTTGTGAAATGGAGAAAGACACAGAAGTAGACACAAAGATTTGTTTGACAAAATACAGGCCCAGGCGAAACTTGGGCATGTAAGGGCTGGTGTGATTGTGCTGGTGTGACGGGGATGCGCCTTGTCCAGTGAGGGGCGATGGGTATGGTATGGGTTTGCAGTTGGTAAAGTAGAAGACTGACCTTGGGGTGTCTGAAATGCCCATTGAGCATCACGCCGCTGTTCATCATACTCTGTGGCCCCATCCTCATGAGCCTCATGAGCCGCAGTCATGGTGCGGCTTGATCTCAGCAGTCGGCGACGGTACTCTCTTGCCTGCTGGTGGCGGGCGGCTTGATTCGAGGTTGATGCCTCGGCATATTCTGCATATTCTGCATCTCGGTTGTCCATATTCGATCAGAGCACACAGCATGAGCAGGCAGCAAGAATGCACTCGTTAGTCAGTGGTTGATTGGGTGATTGGCTTATCCCAACGGCTCTAGTTGTTTCTCGATCCTTGTTCTACCATGCACATGCTAGGCATACCAGGCCATGATATCGGATCAAAATAGATTTCCTCTTTGTGATTAGTGGCATACCGGGTTCTTGTTACTGTGTACAGTGTGCCACAGTGTGCTCCCAGCAGCAAGCAGCCGCCTGCATCACATACCAGATAATAGCATATACACGTGTATAAGCATTTAATGTTCTTCAAGGCCATATACCAGTTATGTGTACAAGCCCAACAAAGTAACATTGGAGTGCATTCTCTCACTTATCGAAAATTGCCAAAGTCTCTTACCTTCCCAAGTAGAGGTTGGTTACATTGATCATGTTATTTTATATATACCTATTCTGTCCATCTTCTTTGCACCATCACTGCGTAGGCAGCAGAACAGGCCACCTACTTAGCCTATAAAACCCATGTAGCTAACAGTAGAAGCAAAGAACACTGACCAGATACCTGATCTGATATCCTGCCCCTGCCTGTTTGTTTGTTTTCTTGGCAGCATCAGCATCACCAAATTTTTGCCATCGTCTGCCCTCTGTTCCAAGATCCGTCCCATCGTGATAGGACCCTTTTAGTATTTCTAGTCCAATTAGGAGCTCCCCCTCTTGAAAAGTCACAGGGGCCATAGCGGCCGAAACAGCTTTGCATCTGTCAAGCAAATGTGGGGCGGCTGTATCATATGGTACATCCCTAGGTACATAGGCATTGCTACATGTACCTCTTCAGTAGGTACCTACATTACACCAAAAAAGTAACCGCCATGGCCCGAATAAGCCAATTGCTGGCCGTCGGTTCAAGACATTGGCCAAACCCAACAATCATCTATCGTAGGACTCAGCAGCTCCGTGTCTTTAGCCAAACTGCCGGTCTCCGTGTCCTGTCACCTGCCGAATCTGTAACAGGCCGCGCCGTGCCAGCCAGAACAACATCTCGTCAATCAGGACAATCAGGTCAATCAGGTCAATCAGAACACCCCACCAATCGGCCTATTACGCAATTTCACCATCTACATCGAGGGGCAGCTCTTCCTCCCCTTCCTCTCTCTCCATCGCGCCGCTTCTCTACCACCTCTAGAGCCTCCTGTTCCGCCATCATCCCTTCGTCCATCATGGCTGACCGCGATATTCTCCCCGCCACCGTCAAGCCCTCCCACTATGACCTCTCCATCTCGTCTATGAAATTCGACGACTGGTCTTATCAAGGACACGTCTTGTGAGTCCCCGCGCTCCACTGTTTCCCGGTCCTAATAGAACCTAATCCTCGCCACCAAGAATAAATGTCTCTATCGCTGAGCCCATTAAGGAGATTATCCTCAACTCGCTTGATTTAACCCTTCAGAAGGCTGAGGTTACTGTTGATGCCGGCAAATCTTCCCAATCTTTCCAGACATCAACCTTTAGCTATGACGAGAAGAAACAGCGCGCCACACTTCAGTTTGCTGAGGAAATCTCCGCCTCTCAACATGCTGCTCTATCCATCAACTTCAAAGGTACCATCAACAATGACATGGCCGGTTTTTATAGGAGCAAGTATAAGCCTGTCGTCCCCGCGGCCGCATCAGTCCCTAAGGATGATTCTTTCCACTACATGTTTTCTACTCAGTTTGAAGCGTGTGATGCTCGGAGAGCATTCCCTTGCTTTGATGAGCCTCGGCTTAAGGCGACCTTTGATTTTCGGATTGAGATCCCCGACGATCAAGTAGCATTGTCTAACATGCCTGTCAAAAACGTGAGCAAGAATTGCGCTGGTTTCCAAACTGTCTCATTTGAAACGACCCCTGTCATGAGCACATATCTGTTGGCGTGGGCTGTGGGAGACTTCGAATACGTCGAGGCTTTCACGGAGCGTCGCTACAATGGAAAGCAGCTCCCTGTCCGAGTGTACACGACTCGAGGATTGAAGGAACAAGGTCGCTGGGCGCTGGAACATGCCCCTAAGACCATTGACCTCTTTTCGGAAAGCTTCGGTATCGATTATCCCCTTCCCAAATCTGACTTGCTGGCTGTTCATGAATTCACCCACGGAGCTATGGAGAACTGGGGACTGGTGACTTACCGTACCACTGCCGTGCTCTTCGACGAGAAGACATCCGATGCGAGATACAGAAACCGAGTCGCGTATGTCGTTGCTCACGAGCTAGCTCACCAGTGGTTCGGCAATCTTGTCACCATGGACTGGTGGGATGAGCTCTGGCTTAACGAATCTTTCGCTACCTGGGCTGGTTGGTATGCTGTCAATGAGTTCCATCCTGACTGGCAAGTTTGGGCCCAATTCGTCAATGAAGGCATGGAGATGGCATTCAAACTTGATGGCATGCGTGCCTCTCATCCCGTCCATGTCCCAGTTCAGGATGCCCTAGATGTGAACCAAATATTTGACCATATTAGTTATCTCAAAGGATGTTCTACCCTTCGCATGTTGGTGAATCACCTAGGAGAGAAAACCTTCCTTAAAGGCGTTGGTGCTTATTTGAGGAAGCATGCCTACGGAAATGCTAAGACTGAGTACCTATGGGAGGCCCTATCCGAGGCCTCGGGAGCTAATGTTCCCGAACTCATGGGCAACTGGATCGAGAAGATTGGTCATCCCTTAATAACGGTCGCCGAAGAGCCTGGTCAGATATCCATCAAGCAAAACCGCTTCCTAGCAACCGGCGATGTGAAACCCGAAGAGGACGAAACTGTATGGTGGGTTCCACTTGGTCTTCAAGGTAAGGTTGGAGAGCAAGGTGTGCAGACCCTAGCGTTGACCGAAAGGGATACTGTTATAAGAGATGTCGACGACGACTTTTACAAGCTGAACAGCAATGCCACTGGGTTTTTCCGAACCAACTATCCACCTGCCCGTCTTGCTAAGCTTGGCACTCAGCTTGACCGTCTGAGCGATGAGGATAAAATTTCCATTATCGGCTCTGCTGCCGACTTAGCTTTCTCAGGCTACGGCTCACCTACAGCCCTCCTATCTTTCGTCCAAGGATTCAGCGGAGAGACTAACTACCTGGTTTGGTGTCAAGTCCTTGATTCGTTGAGCACTCTCAAGTCTATCTTTGGTCAAGATGATCTGATCAAGCAAGGTCTTGAGAACTTCTCTTTGAAACTGGTGAACAGTGCGGTGGAAAAGATTGGGTGGGAATTCTCCGAAAACGAGGATTACCTAACTGGATTGCTTCGAAAGAGGCTGCTCTTGCATGCCACCGCCAATGGACATCCAGGGTAAGTCGAATATTTACTTCTCTACTCCTCGTGGATCTCTTTAGCCTCCGACCGCGGCCGTAAGCGCCTCATTGCCTAATTAACCGTTGCAATTTAGGGTGACCGAGAAGGCGCTTTCTCTATTTGATGCTTGGGTTGCGCAGGGCACTACTTTCAACCCGAATCTGAGGACAGTTGTCTACCGCACCGCCATCAAAGTCAAGCCTGCTGAGGCCGTCAAAGTACTCAAGAAAGAGTGGTACACTGGCTCTTCCATTGATGGCAAGGAAGTCTGCCTATCTTCTCTAGGTCAAGTTCGAGACGCCGAGATCATCAAGAACGAGCTATTGCCATTCCTCTTTGACTTATCGCCTCCGGCGCCAGCATCAGAATCAGTTCCGTCTGGAGACATGCATTCCCTTGGCAGCTCTTTGGCAGCCAACTCGTCTGCTCGCCCCATACAATGGGAATACATGCAGAACAACTGGGAGAAGCTCACAACTAAGATGGCAAACCCAGTAGTCCTGGACCGCTTTGTTAAGATATCCCTCAACAAGTTTGTTGATAACAAATACATTACTGAGATCGAGCAATTCTTCGAGGGCAAGGACACTAGCAGCTTCGACCGCACCCTAGAGCAAGTTAAAGATGCTGTACGCGGGCGAGCTGCCTATTACCAGAGAGACACCGATACTCTAAAAGAATGGTTCAAGGCAAATGGATACATTAACTAGAGGTAGATCATGTCAAGGAGGCAGGCTCGCTATGTAAGGATATAGTGCCAGTCATTTATCTATATCTTAAACAGTAACATCGTCGAGCTTTATTGAGCTCTACTTCAAGAAACGTGCTCGTAGTGGTTTCAAACGTGTTGTCTTGGTTTGATTACCGCTCCTTGTGACATGCGAACGGTTGCCGACATATATAGACTTATGTGCAGAAAGCAGCGGATAGTGAAAGCCTCAATTTTGACGGAATCAAGCAAGCTTCTGCATTTAAACTACCACATAGTTAATTTGGTCAATATTTCTTGATTTGCACAATACAGTTGCTCTACTTGTTTACCTCCAGACAGCCTCGCATCTCCATCTACACTAAGGAGATTCTTCAACATGTGATAAAAACGCATTAAAACATATTATCACTCCAAACTTGCCGATCTAACACATACATACCCAATAGAAATACCTGCTGCCCGAATAGGCATTCTAGTTCAATCTCATTGGTGTCCAACATGCCTGCTGACAAGGGGGACGGCGCAAGGCATCTTTTTATTAGGTTGACTCACACCGCTGCATAGTGCCCTCTTCGTCTCACCAGCCCCCCAGGTCAGACGTACTCATATACCGTAGTAAGAAAACACCTGTCAGCGAAGTAGCAGGTTCATTCCAAACAATTCCGGGATATTACATTACAATGGCCTAGCGGGCTGAAACCACCTTCGCTTTTTGACCTTGTGACTTTTTCCTTTCTGTGATCATGTAATGCGTGCGGTTCTAGTTCAATCCCAGCAACGAACTATTCTTAAGTTGTTTTTTTAACAACCCATTTTTGCTTTTGATTCTCTCTTTTCATTAGTTATTTTATTTTATAATGTTTCCTCGCTTTTCCTCTATTCTTATCGCTTATAACATCCTTGTTGCCTAATGACCAGTTTAATATATATGCTCTGTTAAAGAGCAACTACTTTAGCGGAGTAGCTGCAATGCAACAATTACAAACAACCACATTACACACATGGTAGCTGAATGGCTATTTCACTTCGCTTTTTGTGTTTCAGTTCTGTGGTTATACAACAACCGCAGCGACCCAAGTTCAATCCTGTCATTGCGTCGACGTTTCCTCGCCTTTGTCATTTATTTTACTCTATTATCTCTGCCTTGCCCCGGGCTACCATCCCTTCAAAACACTGTTATTCTTGTCTTTACAACCTATACGAATGAATATACTCTTTAAGTTTTTCGGTCTATCTTCAATCCAACGGTTGAAATCATCAAGAGCTCAGAATCATCTTAAGCTTCTTTTCATTTCTGTGCTCTACTATGTGTTCACATTCCTACTTTAATCCCGCCGAATGGGTTGCCGCGTTCGAATATTAACTTCCATATGTTTCTGCTTTCTGGACCTCATGTTGCCGTACCTGCCATTTCACATCTCTATACTTGCACTCCCTTTATTCGTAAAGTTTTGTCGCTTGTGTGTTTCATAAGTTCCTCCAGATATATCTTGTCAAGGCTCGGTCGTGGAAGAAATCAAGAACACACACCAAAATCCTAGTGTACATCCGAATGAAGGAATTACATTGCCAGACATATTAGATGGAAGTCAAGTCGTCGCGTCTTTTAGCAATATCACTGCAGGTTGGTAGTACAACAGAAGTTCATTTACTGTCATTCACAATCTGGCTTCACTAGAATTATAGTGTAATCCCCGACACGGAAATAATTCTTCCCGTAAATGCTATCGATTTATTGTACAATCAAACAGGATCCTTTCCCACTCGGAAATCATGGGACAGTTGACGCCGGTTTGAATGCCCGTCCTTTTTGCTCCTAAAAATGATGGCTGGCCTAACAATCAATCATTCCCAATGCACCAATACTTTTCCCTACATGCGATCTCATGCCTGAAACTGCGTCATGGCAGTAAGACAGAAATCTAGTGTACAGCGATATAAAGGGATCAAGAGGTGGGCAGTCTATCATAGTGACAGACCTACAGTCGTTGATGAGCGGGGTGTCTCTGAAAGAAACTGCCCGGTGTTCGACAAGCCCTCGCGCGGCGATGAATTTTCTAAGACTCCTCGGGTCGCGGCCGACCTCGCATACCGTTTCCACGCCCGCGACCACCTCGTCCTCGTCCCCCACGGTGGCCACCACGGTAGTCTCCCCGACCACGTCCTCTCCAACTGTTTTCACGGTCGTGACCGCGGGGACGGTTGCGCTGAACCTGATGGAAGCCATCATTAGCCTCGGTTGAAGCGGGTGCCTGCTATTATTATCAGCGATCTTGAATTAGATATTGGAAGTATCAACACCAAGTGTGAGACAGCCGGTGTTTGGTTAAATTGGAATTACACTTACCTCAGGTGGACTCTCAGGTTGGTCATCAGCCCAAGACTGCACGTTGCTAGCAGCCGCAGGGGTCGCGGTCAAGCCATTCTCAGTCTCCGAGGGGTCACGAGGAACTTCCACCCAACCCTCTTGCGTAATAGATGAGCTCATTGTATTGTTGGCATCCCATTCAGAACCTGCCGCAGCGTTGGCAGCATTGTCAGAAACATCCGCGTTGGCCAGGGCACCAGGCTGGGGTGTTGGCTCAACATGGCCGTTTGTCAAGGGTTCAGTAGCTCCTGTGCTATCAATCTCGGTTAAGCCAGCGTGAGCAACGGTTGGGTCAGTTTCGGCGGGGGCAGTAGATTCAGCAACAGTCTCGGTTGCCTCTGGTGCAGTCTCAGCGGCAGCGAAAGGGCTGATATAGGCTGTTGCCACAGCCTTGACCTGGGCATCTGCACAATTGTTAGATTATACGACAAATTGGCGCTCCCATGGTTAAGGCTCACAAGTAGTTTGCAGCTCATCGCCAGCCACACTGCGAGTTTTCTCATCAGAACCATCAATGAGTTTAAGCATAGTTGCGACGGCATGCTCATCCCCTGAATAAACATTAAGGAGAACGCCTTCCAAAGCCATATTCTCATCAAGGGCAGCATCGGCCTCCTCTGATCTACGGGCAGCAGCAAGACGAAGGAATTGGGAAAGAGCTAGCAGACTATCATGGAGGGACTGTTTAGCATCAGCAGCAACCTTTTCAGTGAGCTCACTGATGGCGTCTGCTTTCTCTTTTTCGAACTTCTCCGTCAGTGTTTTCTCGAGGGTGGCCTTATCGGTGATGGAGCGAGACCGGTACTCTTCGTCGACCTTCTTATACTGCGCGAGCTGTTCTTCATACTGGGCTAGCTGGACCTCAAGTTGAGGCTTCTTCAGCCGTTGAGCTCTCTGGTCGGCATTGATTACTTTAGCTTCCACAAGCTCATCTAAAGACTTGCCCTTGTGCTGGTCAATGATGGGGTCGGTTTTGGTGGCATTGGCCTGTGAAGTTCCCGTTAGTTAAACTTTATCGGATCTGGCATTTAATGAAATAGTTGCGGCATTCATTGCATTGAAGCTGAATGGAGGGATAGATCTTACAATTTTCTTATTAACGTTGCGAATGTTCCTAACTCTCAGATTAGACAAACACGCGACAAAGAAGATGAGTGCTAGAGAGGGAAGGGGGCAACGTACTTCTGGAGTTCTCGAATATAAGGACTTTCATTGCCGTCTTCTGAAGCATCGGCGCCAGATACAGAAACAGCCTTCTCTGGGGCAGGGGAGGCGGAGGGAGCAGGCGACTCGGTGCGCTCAGCCTTAGCCTTCTTCTTCTTAGCAGACTTGGACTCGGCGGTGGCAGGAGGGTTCTGGACAGCAGGGGACGGCATTGCAGTAGAAGAGCGCGTAGCGAGTGTCGGGTCGGTTTCGTGAAGGGTGTATGATAGGTGGATGGTTGTTGTTCAGCGTTGTGGAGCAAAAGCGGTGGTGTTTCTGCACAGCTCGCCTTGTTCGCGTGACGGAAACGATCGAAGGTGGAGGATGCAGGAGGGTGGACAGACAAGATGGTCCCTGTTTTTTTAACTCTATTCTCTCTTCTGAAAAGGGTCAAGGACACCGTGTTTGGGTCTAACAATCTTGCAGGCTGGTTAATACTGTTTCCTTAGGATGTGAAATGTGTGGTGTTTTGTGACAGGGAAGTTGATGGTCGCGGATTCACAGCGAGCTACGTAGCCAGTCTGTTTGTGCGTACAAGGGGACGAAATCGGATTTTTTGACGTTGCTTCTGGTCTCCTCTTCCTAGCGCCAAGGTCGCGTGAACCTTGCTAGAAGTATCTGTACCTCGAAGCTTGGGGTGTAGGGGCTCAAACAGGGGCTCAATTAAGCTGGAGTTGGGGTATTGTGCTTCCATAGTTCCGCATGGTACTAGCAAAAGTTAGAAGCCCACTAGGGACGGAGTACAGTCATTGTAGGTACTGGGTACTAACCCACAGTGGGTAGGTCTAGAACAACAGAGAACTATGCCGAATTCTACATGATACATGGACAAGTGATGCCAGTACAACACCTGTCTTCACCGGGCATACAAGCTTAACATCATGTCAAAGCACCTTTAAATGGAGGTAACTGGTTCATTAAAAGTTTCCTCGACTTTTAATCATAGATAGCTATGACTAAGTACATAATTCTAAATACTAACAAGCTACGAATGTGCTACCCTTGGATGGAACCTTAGGATATCTTAGCTTAGCTGCTCCACACACCAGCACAGTCGTTGCAGGGTGATCTTGAATACCCTAGATTGTCTGTTTTTCTATTGAGTTCCGTCAACCTCTGAGCAGTTCAAATCGCTCATTATTCTCTTTCTTCCCGCACCTTGTACTGGGGAGAAAACAGACTCGATTCAGCAATCAGTCCATTTTGTGTAGTCCAATGGTCAAGGCGCTCCCATTTGCGGCTCAACTAGAGATAGCCGTCGCTATGGTACAATAACTTCCATTTCATAGGGCGCGTGTATAGCTCGGTATCTGGACTCGTCGTTTGATGCCCCCATAGAAAGCTGCGCGTTGTTGGATCGAATCATATCGTCGCTCGGATTGTTTCGGTGGTTTCGTTCGGTTAGTGAAGCACTAGAATATCGGGCTTTCATCCTTTGAATTTTCCGAGCGCGTCCTTATATCGATTTTTAGGAATTGAATCGCAAGTGAGTTGGCTGATCTGGGAAGAACATACTGGTGTCACTTTGCGGATACTCTTGGCACTAATGTTGCGCTCGCCTGCTTGCTTCGAATCGATTGCAGCCTCCTTGACCAGTCTATTGTAAGGTTTAGCCATTATCATTCTACCGAGAAAGGTCTATCTCGAATTTGATCGCACGTTTGCATGAATAGGACATAGTCGAGGAAGATCTGTGAGAAGGTCAATTATTAGACGCGTCAAAGAACACGCGACACAGCGGCTTGGGAGGATTCTGGCTTACCATAACATCTACATTCTTGCTCACGTTGCACTTGGAATGAGCCTTGACAATCTTCTTGACCGTCGCTCGCGGGTACATCTTCTGTCCTGGAGCCATGATTTCGCGGATCCAGCTAGACCGACGCGCAGAGGTGTTGTGCTGTGATGCTGTCGACAGGATACCTAATGATGCGTTCCATTTCCTAGCGTCGCTGACTTGATAAAGATAAGCTCCACGTCCCGCTTTAGCAACTTGGGGTATCTTATCAATCCTGCCAATCAGCATCCTACGGCATATGAAGGTGAACTAGGCTACTTTTGGTCATTGTGCCTGCCGAGCTAAGTAAGGTTCATATGTACCTGTGTACCTGTACCCCAGAAATCAGACCCCCATATCAAAATGACTTCATCCGACTCCTTCACAGCCACCTACACCATGGTGTCCAAGGTATCGCGGCAAAAAGCCATAATACATGGATTTACATGGGCCATCCGCCTAATAACCTCAACACGTACTATCTTAAGTATGTGTCCAGTTTAATCATGTCGCTAATAGTCGGCTGCTACCTCATGTAGGTGATATCTGCGTGCACCGCGTCCGTCTGGGCAAAGTCTGGGGAACGGGAAGCCCATGTGCTTCAAGCGCGCTTCTGGTATCGACTGCTCCTCCAAACAAGCGCTTGGCCAGAAAACCCAGAGTCATAGGCGCGGTGTATCTGCACAGTTATATGGTCTGCAATATAGATATTACGAATTGAAATAATATCAAAGCTCTATCGACCACTCCCCTTACTCTCCGGAGATCATCCTCCGAGCGCTTGGTCCTTTATCCCAGAATCCTGAAATCGTTCAAAGGGGAGCCATACTTCATCATACTATAGCCCCTCGCAGTAATAAAACACGATAACCTATCTAGGTAATTCCTTTGCCCGGCAAATATACAGCATGATGATGTCGCGCATGACAACGCTGTCGTTCTCCGTCCATTGAACCCCTCAGCATTGACTTCAGCCGCTTTACCTGAGCTTGGCAAATCATGTCCAGCTGGTAAGGCTGGCTGATTTGCCAAAACTCACAGATTAATATAATGGCGAGCCGAGAGATGGTGTCTGCCTATCAGCGCTTTTCAATTACCAAGAGGTGCGTAACAATCGTCACTGTTACTACTGAGCAAGCAAATGGTAAGCAGTGGTGTTGGAAAACAGACGATGCAATAACACGGCGGGTAAACTGCTTCCATCCTCCGTAGATGGCCCAAACATCTAGACACCGGAGTCATGATTATAAAGTCTAGGCGCCCGCAAGAACCACGCGCCTATCACACCTTCATCACACAGTCATAGGTTTCTCGCTTGTCCGTACTTGATCATGGGTCTTTTTCGCATTGCTACAACCATAATGGCCCTTACGAGGGCCGTCCTCTCAGCTCCGGCTACGCCATCCGCGCTATACTGCGACCCGGGGTCAGAGGTGTGCTACTCCAGCAGCACAGTCGGTATTGCCTCCATCTCCTACAGGCTGGCCATCCCGAATGTGACTGCAAGCCCATTTGATATCTTGCTTCAGATAGTTGCACCGAAAACAGCTCAATGGGCCGGTGTGGCGTTTGGCGGACACATGATCAATAACACACTTGCGATGGCATGGGCTAATGGAAACACATCAGTTGTCTCTTCTCGCTGGGCGTCGTAAGGACCTACTACTCACGGGCCGTAGAACTTCAGCTAACAGCAGCCGTTCAAGTGTACATGAGCTTCCCGAACCGTACGACGGTGCAGAATATACCGTCCTCAAGGGCTCGGTCACCAACGAGACTCACTGGACATTGACAGCGCTCTGCAAGGGTTGCTCTTCTTGGGTTCATGATGGCGGCGCCAAGACAGTGCTGGATCCGAACTCCCCGTCTATCAATCTTGCCTGGGCGGCTTCGCCATACCCTGTCGGAGATCCAGCCGACAACTACACTATGCTAGCTATCCATTCAGAGCATGGCACATTCAATCTTGACCTAGCTGCAGCCAAGACAGATAAGTTTGATAGCTACGTGCAATCACTGTTGGCTTAGATAGGAGACATCTACGTAATGCTACGCTTCTCGTCTTAGTTCCCACACAAAGTAGCTGGGGGATAATACAGTTGTATTAGGAATGAATATAATTGTGTTTTCATGCACGACTCAGCTCATGTCACACTACACCCCTCTCATTATTTGCAGTTCCATCATGCTTCAAGTTAAAGATATAGGCTCCTTGACTTGATTGCAATGGCATTACTTACTACCCCTCGACCAACCTTAACTTCATCAAGAAATTCTCTTTGCTGTTTATAACTTCAGCATTCGCCTTGCAGTCCGGTGCCTACATACTCCAAACCCGTGCGCGTTACTGAAAAATCTAGATGATCAATATCCTTTCCGTATAAAAGGAGTCAATATCGAAGCGGCAGGTGTATTTGATATATAGCCAGCAGATATTACAAGCTCGCTTCTTCAGCCCTTGCACAATACATAGTGCGTAGTCGCGTCCTAACATACTAGCTTACCTCATCGATGATTAAAAAGTATCGGCGCCAAAGTCAGCTCAGCTTTCCGAAATACACCGAAGTCGCATTCAAAGCATCATTATATATAAGTCAACGAATCATGTATTGCAGTCTACGGGAAACCCCAGCCGTAACCATAGTTAGCTCCTAGAGCCTGGTCCCTCCTAGCCCTCTTGACCATCTTGATTATCTTGTGCGTCCTGATTATTTGGCTCATGTTGGTCGTCTTCAACACCTGATCACCGTGTCCCGGATCTCCACTTTGGGTAGCGTTTTAAATTGGTTGATATACTTCCAATGACGCCAGCAGAAGAGCTGCTGCTAGGACGTTATCCTGAATACCAATCTCAATAATCACTGTCATATAATAAGTCAGTTGCTTATCACCTTATACAGAACACTGAAGAGCAGTGACATTAAGGATATCCACGACGACAACCGACGTATCTTGCTAGATGATATAACAAAAGAAAACTACGACGCATCCCCCTTGAGATCAAGGTTTGGGAGTGGTCCCGGGGAGCAAGGAAAAGGCTGATGAGAGTCTATCGAGCTTCGGCGATCTTCAGGAGGATAATAAGAGGAATATAGTAGGAAACACCTTACAATCGCGCAGCTTCTCCGGGGTGAGTCGCTGGGGGTCAAGTGTGTCAAGCGCTCCACGAATCAGCCGCTCGCGACGTGCCAGTTGTTGGTTGGTCATTTCTTCGTTGGTCAGTGGTTCGGTGGTCGATGATTCCATCGTGATTCGTGTACTATTTAGGAATATATATCGATTTGGAGATACACGGTCTATCAGTAGATGTAGTGGGAGGGACAGATGAGCGAAGATCCTACATACACTCTTTTTATTAGCAATGGGTGCTCTGGCTGTTTATTTCTGTAGGAAAAAAAGCCGCCGTTATAGGTGGGTGGTGATAGAGGGTATAGATCAACGTACAGCTTGTGTCTCGAGTAGCAACCAGAGGCGGAAAAGGGAGATGGCCTCCACGGGAGTTAGCCAGAGATCGAAATTTTCAGTGGATGATGTTGATATCTCCGCAAAATCATGAAAAGTTCTCAGCTTCGCAGCACTCCGTTGTTGTTCACAGGAAGAGAGCATGAACCAGCAGAAAGAGTGTCTACATGGAAGAAGAGCCCGCATGATAAATATGTGGAAAGGCGAATGGTCTTGTATCATCAAGATGTGTAACTGTGAAAGATTACCCACCCTTAATTTCCTCCCACTTGTGCGCCAATTGAATTTCTTTGAACTCGACCTGTGGTAAAGGCCGTTTTACATTCCATTCACGCTTGGATAACACACTTCTCAGCGGCTAGATCATAGGATACTCTAATACCAGTCCAGAAGAGAGTCCAGTTAATGGACCTTATTCTTCCAAGTTGCTGCTCCCTTTCTTGACTTAGGGCGGTTAAGTGCGTATGCCTAGGGAGTAAATCCAGGTGATATGTACCACCACCCACGCTAATGGAGAGAAGCTTCTGGGACTCCGAATTTCATCACGGAATGAATTCGGCAAGAGCCTGTTACGTTCCGTGTGACTTTTCTCATCTCCTCTTGTAGGGTGTAAGGGTGTGTTCTATGGCTGTTCTTAGGTAGGCGGGCCAGATACTCCATGAAGGCCACAACCAAAAGAGGGAAGAATAGCAGAGTACAGAAACATGCTCCATTATCCCTGGCAGTTGAGCCGATCAGTTAATCAGGTACTGTCAGGGGCGCCGGTATTGCACTAATTTGAGCTTGTCTGCACTCATCTCTCAAAAGGGTGTTTCTAAGCGAACCATCATTGTTTGGTGTGCTTAACGCTAATCCTTGTGGCCCAGGCCCTTTTCACCCTTTTCGCCCTACTCTTGTGCTTTCGGGGTGCCTATGGACACTTGGTTTTCGCACAGGAGGTCTCTTCATGCCTTACCAGCTCAGTTCTCTGCTACATACATAGCCCCTTTGATTATCCACATCATTAGAGAATTGAAAGTTCTTTGATAACGATGCTATCTGAGGTCTTCTAGGAAGCTTTGCCTACTCCGTACAGTTTGAATGGTCAAAAGTATAACGGTACTTGCAAAGCTTTTGTTATAATGACCCTTAATATTATATATTAGAAGGAATAACTGCCTGGCCTCGGTGGCAGTCATATTGATTACAGAACCACGCAAACCCCAAGCTTTATGTGACTCTATGATTGTATAATCTCTTGGGATGTACCAATCGATATATATATTTCCTACCTGGAATATGAGCCAGGAAGAAACCGCCGCGAGGCGTACGATGGGGGTTTTTCAGTTTTCTTGTATTCGTTTCTTCAACAAATATCTCAATACGAATCAGAATGTCATCTACTACCCTTCTTGGCGTTCTTGATCAATTCAAAATGCGCCCAATTGTAGTACGGGGCTGCCTACTCTACCTAGCAGTTGGGGTGTGTAAAGCTGTACACTAAGTTGAGCATCTACACTGACGATCTCTACATATGCACTCCACAAACTTCCCGGTTGCCCTTGGTAGTATGACGCAACTAAATTATAACCCCCCGCACCCCACTGGCAAATGAGTAAAGGCGTCATCAATCAATTCCAAGAATGACAACCTGTGGGTTTGGGTAGTTATCACGGAGAATAGTTGCTCTGAATATGGAGTTTGAGGATACCAAACTTGCCATCAATCAATTACCTCTTAGCCAAGATTATGCATTAAACAAGGGTTATATTCTGAATTATGCATTCAGTGACTATTCATTACAATCATACCCCGTCTATTAGGTACGCCCAGCGTCCCTGACTGCTTGACCACATCAGCCAACAGCTTACCTACGGTAAGGCAGATCACCAAGCGGCTTAGTTCCACTCCCCACAAGTGAACAGGTTACGAGCTTGGCTTGCAAGTGCCAGTGTCGTATTTCCATCGCAAAGAGCTCTTGTAGCTAGTGTATTGCTTTGCCCAACATGACTTCAAGCAGTGACGCCGTGCTGCAGACGACAGAACTGCTCCAAGAGATTCTACTTCAACTTGATATGCGTACCCTGCTCACTGCTGCACAGCTTGTGAATCGCCAATGGCACGACGTGATCACCACCTCACCAGCACTACAACAGGCTCTATATTTCGCACCTGTTGTCTCTTCTGCATACCCTGCAACGCAGAACCCGCTCCTATCCGAGCTCTTCCCATATTGGTTTCAAGAAGGAACGGGGGGCGACAATCCACACGCTCTGAAGGAGGTCAAGGAGATTAGCCGACTTGACTTCGGTTGTCTGCCTATGGCCCAGGAGTCGCGAAGACACGCCTTTATGTACCCGAATGCCACATGGAGACACATGCTAGTGCGGCAGCCGCCAGTCTTGACCCTCGGTCGTTGGACCACGTCTCATTCTAGTTGGGGCAACAATCATAGGATTCATATTGATGAGATACCAGGCGGTTTGCGAATGGATCGTTTGTATGATATCGCCCAGCGCTGGTTACGTCGGACTGTATCAAACTTTGTCGTCTTCCGGGGGCCAAACGCCGTCACCGCGTACGCAAGAACCCTGTATGGCAGTCTGCTAGACCCAATTGAGAAAGGTCAACTCCAAGCTCTCTCAAGGCGAGTTGATCTGATTGTCCTTCGCCACATGGTAGTGCAATGCTCTATGGAATCGGGCTATCCAGAGTATGATGAAGCCTTCGCTTTTCCTGGTTCGCAAGAGCAACAAGATGATCTGTAACACCCGAAGCAGGCTTCATGGGAAGGCTTGACTGGGGAACGTGCAACTACATAATAGATTCTTTCTTAATCCCTCTTGGGAAGTCCCGTGTACGATATAATGCGTTCCTAAGACTCGAAATCCATATTGGAAATCATAATCATGGAGTGGTCGTATTAGATTCCAATGAGTCCCTGAAATGAAGGGGTCTATAACTCTCGTTCTCTACTTCTATATAAGAAGTTGCGACTAGTAGAAATGAGTATTATTAATCAAAGGTATGCTGATCGCAGCGCCGTCCTCTGACTTGTTTCTTAACCTCTAGGATGCAGACTTGCAACAGAACCCGGACTTGAAGCTATTCGCGATAATCAAGTTGTTAGGATAGATGTTCCAGGAACATAGCTATGCCTGTAGTCTGTTACGGAACTGTAAGTAAGTCTACACCTTAGTCTACAATCATAATCTCCGTAGCTAACAAAACGGGTTTGATAGAAAACGACGTTGCGCCGTCATTTTATGAGCTTGACGTTCCTGAAATATCGTTAAAAATGACCAAAATAGAAAACAAGTCGCCGTGAGATGTTAGTCCCAGTATATAGCACATATCAACACGAGAACGCCTCTCAAGACTGCTCTTGTACCATTTCAACGTCCCGTAGCGGCAATCGGAAGACACTAGATCCTCTAATACTTTTGATGATCACCCGCTTTTTTTGCTAACACTAGCAGGTATTGTTATCGGAGGCGACGGATAAGGCTCTAACAGGCATCACAAGAAGAAGGTCAACTCTCCCTCCTGTTATTGGCGGCATCGAAGAGATAATAGTATATCAGGAATCATACTAATTGCCAGGCTTCTTAGCGGTGGGAAACTGTGTCGCCCGATTCCCCATTGTTCTGGTGCACATGTACCACCCGGATCCCAACGGCGCCATCTCGGCGATCCCATTACACGCACAACCGCCACGCCAGCCGAATATGCAGTTCGCCTTGCACTTCGGCCGTACGGAAGGCCATTGCAGGCTGTTCATGATCTTACAAAGACATGCAGGCAATATTAGAAAGTGAGGTTATACAGACTTCGCTTCTTGAAACAGACCCCAGAGACCCATGCGGTCTGGGCTGGCAGACCAGTTGTATATAGAGTCGAGTCAAGCCACCAACAGCCAAGAAGGAGTTGGTTGGCCAAGGACACATGCATCCCTAGTTAATCATTATAATCTGAATCCCAGGTTCCAAGCCCAGTATCTCTGCCCTTGTTATAGATCCAGACAGCTATGGATAAGTTTACCGACCGTACCACATAGATTACTGAAAACTCGCCCACCAGCAGCGCCAGCCGGGGTTGCACTCTCAATTGAACGGGTGTAACCAACCAGATAAACACAGTTATTGCTACACACGCGTGTACGGCCGCAATGCAGCTCACCCCCTCAATAGACATGCAGACAACATTAGAGTGAGGTTATACAGGCCTCGCTTCATGGAATGATTAGACCCAGGTGGTCAAGACAGGTTTTACTAGCAACAAACAATATAGCTATCTTTCATCAGTCTGCCAGACTGAGTCTGGCTAAACACTTATGCAATTGACCATTACTAAGACCAGCCCAGAGTAAGTGCAAATCTGGGATCGGTCGTCACCGCAAATGAGAGGTGTTGTGATGCTTTTGAGTTGAGAATTTGCGAAACCAACGATGTATGCTCATCCTGAGAATTATTAGAACTACAAATCCAATCTTATCACTAAGCCATGTGGTTGTTCCATTAAAGCTAGGAGCTAAACTTGTAGTTAGGGAATAAACTCTACGGTCACCTATGAACTCTATTATTCAATGGATCTCACAACGCCTGTGACAAAAATCGAGATTATGACCAACTTCGACCAATGTAACAGGAAACTTCCAATATACTATGAATCATGATACAAAAAACATTTTAACTTACGTAGCTAGATGCATCAGCCGTGAATCGAACACGGGGCCCATCGATGGCAACGATGGATTTTACCACTAAACCACTAATGCCTGCTTAGTACAATATGTGGGAGCCAAAGGCAGACCTATGATGGTACTTCACGAACCGGGGTGGAAGCAGGCTGTGCTGCCGCCTCTCCATGTACCTAACTTGCCTGACTGTGGGCTACCTAGGTCGGCCGATCGCCATCGTCGCTATCGCCTCCCTCGTACGTAGCAATTACTACGTGCACTCTCGCTAAAACAAGCCTGAATAGAACAAGGACTAGGTAATCATCGTAGCTACCAGCCTCGCCAGCCTGCTTTCTCCATAAGTTGGGGGTGGTTCGTATCCGAGGCGAACCACCTTGGCACTCGCGTACGCCCGTCGCCGTCAATTCCCGCTCCATTATCCTCCCCATCTCAACTCGCAACCGACGACGCTGTTTCAACCCAACTTCGCGATCGCGCGCCATACTGGGAAGCCTTTGTCCAGCACAGCATTGTACTGTCGCGCCGCCCACACCATGACGGAGACCAAAGGCACCATTGTCGTCACAGGGGCGAATGGGGGGCTCGGTAGCGCCATCGTGTCCACAATAGTATCGACACCCGAATGGTCGCGATACCACGGCGTGTATACCGCGAGGGACGCCTCGACGGCTTCCGCGTTGAAATCTGCTCTGCAGGCATCACCCAGTATCCACCCTCACCCGCACTCGATCCTCTCACTTGATCTTTCGCGGATGGAAAGCGTGCGTGCCGTCGCTACGGAAATCAATGCCGGCGTCGAGGCGGGCGAGATCCCGCCCATTCGCGCTCTGATCCTGAATGCCGGATGGAATGAGTTCCAGTCCCAGACGTGGACCGAAGATGGGTTCGACATGGCTTTCGCCGTCAATTACCTGGGCCATTGGCTCTTAACTCTCCTACTCTTAAAAAGCATGGACCGCGACGTGGGTAGGGTCGTGGTGGTCGGAAGTTTAGCTCATGAGTATGTCATCCCTGCGATTCTGTACTATAATTAGATGGACGCGCAACCGCTAGTACTGACAAACCATCTCACCCCTAGCCCGAATGCCGACCAAAACAACGCCGGCGGACAGTTTACGGACAAGAAGTGGAAGGTGATACTTCAAGATGGCACAGAATCAGTCGCAAAGGGTACCTGGAGTACCACCAGCGAAGATGCATCTTGGCGCGCGGGGTTTCGCCGGTACGGCGCTTCGAAGCTATGCGAATTGCTCATGATGTATGATTAGTCGTCCCCCAACCCCGTCGACGATTCCCACGCCAGATTAATTAACTAATCGTGTCCCATCCCAGAGGCGAGTTGCAGCGACGGCTCGACGAGGACCCGGTCCTGCATAAGGTCTCCGTGGTTGGCGTAGATCCCGGGACGATGCCTACCAACCTCAGCCGTCGCGGTCCATGGGCAATGCGCGTGCTGCTCGTTCAGTTCATCCTCCCGCTAGTGGCCCGAATCATGAGTCTCATCTCACCCAATGGCAGCATACGCACCGCTGCCAAGTCATCCTGCGATGTCCTCTCAGCCGCCTTTACGGTTGAGCACAGGAATGGCATATACTTGGATGGGAAGAACGAGACGGGCATGAGTGCGGAAGCCCGGGATGCGGAAAAGCAGGGGATGCTTTGGAAAGACAGCGTAGGTTACGCGGAACTGAAGGAAGGGGAAACCATCCTCGCTCACTGGACGTAAACCACTCGGTCAGCTCATTAAGTACCTACTGAAGTCGCTCCACACAATCCAAACGCCACAATCAGTTCGACGCCGATTGAAACAAGGTGCCAGTTGTCAGAATATAGCCCTTAATAAGGGGGCACCTACAACTACCTTTTAGCGCAGTGGTTATTTCTGACACCAGTTGCCTCAGTATCCGTAGCGTGCCAGACCTGTTTTAGTAAGGATGGTAGGGAGCCTGTGGAAAATCTATTGTAGGTTTGGAAAGGTGATGGTAGGTAGCATGAGTAAAAGTGCAGGTATGTAGGGAATAATAATAAAGATAACTAAAAGGAAAAGATAGTAAATTAATTAGTTCATTTATATAACTAACTACTTATTCCAAACATCATTCGTTTATACGCTAACCTAGTCTGGAAATAATATCCTACTCAACATACCTACATAGTGTCACGACGGGCGCAATGTGCAGTGTCGTCGGTGAATACTGGAAACACACTATTAATTGTATGGTGACGAAGTAAGGAATGACTTGCCAGGTCATGACCTTCGTCAACTAGGTAGGCTATATACGCTACGGAAGGCTGTACGCACTGACCACTAACTGAACCACTAACCTAGCCACTCATTGACCCACTGACCTGTACGGCCAGCCCCAAGGGCTAGGAGCCGTAACTCATAGATCCAATTGCCTGGGTGCAAAGAAGACTAAAAAAGCACCCAAAATCTAGAATCGTCATCACAGCTTCTTCAACGGCCAACACTCGCGTGTGTGTGTGTGTGTGTGTGTAGCCAATAATTCATTATAACAGAATTGCCAATGGGCAAATGAGTCTTTAGCACTTACCAACGCGAGACCAGAAATTAACATTTAATTGAGCACGTTGGCTAGCAAGCAGAAGCTGCTCAGTATAATCACGGAGATGACTTCTAATACTATGGTGAGAGACAAAATAAAGAAGTAGTCAATAGCGACAACAAGTATAGATATACTCTTAACTCCTGAATATGTCGCAATAAAAGAAACCTATAGCTGTAGTTTGGGCCACATTACCACTTTTCGCAGGGACAATGACCTCTGGGATCCAGGAAGCCTTAGGCCAGAACGTGAAGGGGTGACCCCCAAACCTGATAAGGATTGTGACTACCTAGGTACGCTTTGCAGTAGGTTTGTCAGGGAGCCATGACGGTCAATATGAAGGGTACGTGGGCGGGCAAGAGGGAGACCTGTCATCGTCTGTTAGTCACATCCGAGAAGGAGTAATTACCTTCTGCCAATACGGAAGGTATGGCGTCTATGAAGGGGCCGTGAGTGCTTACCTCCATGGTGACCTGGGAAACCAGTCAAACGGATGGTGTCCAAGATCCGCACTTCACACGACCATGATCTGCTTGCACTTCATATGTACAACTTTAGTTTCTACTCGCATTCTGCCTATATTTGCAACTGGATTCATTCTAGACATTGAACCAACAGGCTTAGTAGCATCTAGTGCCGGTCTCGTTATTCTTCTTCTTCCATCTAGTCAATAAGGACCGAGGCATATGGGAATACCCAATGTCAGATCGCAGGATCAGAGAGTTTGATTCGATTGTAGGCACTTCGACTCTCCATCCCCTCTTAACCTTCCCATCACATACGCCTGGCCCGAGGTTTCAATAGGTATAACGGCAATGGCGGCGTCGTCACTATGGGTCTCCCAGATTATAGAGCCTATCCTTGACATCAAGGGTCACGAGCTCGAAAGACATCGGGTCAAATTTAATACTCTAAAAGAGCAGCTGCTGTCTTCGCTTGAAACGGGGGATATTCAGGGACGATTGTCTAAGCTTTTCGACGCTGTAAATGAGTACTGCGAGCCGGATATTTCATCCGACCGCCGAATCAATATAGTCGAGGCATGGCGCCAGGGAGTTAACGTCGATTCGACTACAATGAATCGGCTTAAAACATACGAGAAGATACTATTGTCGAAGCTGCAAGTACAGAAAAGTAGGTACATAATGGCTACTTTGTGGTTCAACCTTCTACATGAGAGGGTGGCCTCCTTGACTCCAATCGATAAAAAACCTCGTTCTCAGAATTCTACCTCAATATATACGAGCAAAGTGCAACTTGAAAAGTATTTGACGCTTGTGGAATCGCCACTGACTGAAGCAAGTGACGATTGTGTCAAGATGTATGTGATGCGAATTTTCGCCGACAATGAGGCATTGGAGATACTTGGAGATCTGAGATCTTATATTCAAGAACACGAGTTGAGCTTGCGGAAATCGTCTGCACTGGTTGATCAGGTTGTAGTTCGTTCGTGTATAGGTGGATTACTCACAGAGGGTCATCTCACCCATGAAAAGGAGAGGGTTCTGCGAGCGCTTCTTCGTAACCCAACGACTCTGGACGAGATTGCAGACAATATAAGCACGCAACTCGACAATCTCTACCGCTGGTCTTGGGGGGTTGATGAGGAGGATATGCAAGCTCAGCGTACGCAGACTCTAATACAAGAGAATACAGATATAACCTCTGGGAACAGGAAGCTCCATGTTCGGAGGGACGAAGACGTCTTACAAGCCATCTTCATCTATTATGTTAGTTCAAAGAACTGGAGCGTTGTCAATAATGCATTTGGCACTGCATTATTCTGTTTTCAATCGAAAGTGAAAGAAAAGATGACATCAAGACTGAAGCATGAGCTCTTCTCCAATTCAAGTCTGAAGGGTGCTCCGACATTAGACGAATACCGTGTGTATTTATCCCGAGCTCATTTGCCTTCGCCAAAGACCTCAATACCAGAATCAGAAATTTGTAAGAACGGAGCAAATTCTGGAAAAGGAAATTTCCAGGACGAGTTGAAAAAACAATCTGAGAGCGATGAAAACAGATATCTACGCACGCTAGCTGCGGAGGTCGTGGTACATCGCGCATTCTACGACGAGGTCGCAGTCGTCCAAGCCTCTTTCTCCCATATTATATCAAAGTTACCGCACACGACCATCTTAAGTGTGATAAGCTGCCTAGGGTTCTCCGGACCAATGGTATCTTTTTATCAAAAGGTCCTCAGCGCACCTCTGAGCAATGTCTTTGCGCCAAAAAAGGTGATCTCTCCGCAGCGTGGTATGCTGTTGAATCAAGTAACGAAAACCCTTCTCGGGGAGATAGTCCTCTTCGCCCTGGATTTTTCTGTTAAAAGTGCTACAGGCCTGGTTTTTTATCGTATGGGAAGAGATTTCTTTGTCTGTGGCAAACCTTCGCTCTGCGCCAGAGCGTGGGAGAAGATAAAAGAATTCGCAGGAACGATGGGGATCGAGCTCAGTATCAAGACAAGTGGCTCTGTTTACATGATCAGCCCTAACAAGAAGCGCGACAAGAATATTGAGGCGGCACTACCTAAAGGCGCTGTTCATTGCGGCATGCTGATGCTAGATCAAGATACTGGAGAATGGATTCCCGACCAGAGCCAAATCGATGCACGTATAGCTCGTGATAGTAAGAGACTTGCAGCCTGCAATAGCATTCTTCGTTGGGTTGAGATATACAATGAATCAATCGATCAATTCTACAGCCGTCTTGGAGTTCCTGCCTATTCTTTGGGCCTGAAGCATGTGATGAATATAATGAGCATGTATCGGCGCATTCTCCCGGGTCTCTTGCAGCAATCGTCCCACAGCTACAGCAATCAAGACGATCAAAACGTATTCGAAGGTACCATTCTCGCACACCTCAAGGAAAAAATCCGAAGAGGTCATCTAATCTCAGATGCCCCAAATATCTTCTTCCTCTTACCACAACAACTAGGCGGTCTGGGAGTGAAAGTCCCATTTATCCCGTACTTGGCTGCTCAGTCTAAATTTATCGAGCAAGGAAGTCCAAGCACCTCACCGGAAAAGATAATGTCGGCATCCCGTAAGTTAAGTGGTGCTATTCGCTCGTCTGAAAAGTGGCCACTCTTGTCTTTGATCGCAGCCGTTCAAGCGGCCCCCTTTTTGACAGCAATCCTTGATGATTCTCGAGGTTGGGCTAGAGACGCGTTCGCTGACTTGATGTTGCAGTGACTACCGAAAGAAGATGTTACGACAGAGTCCGCAAGGCGACTGAGAAACTAGACGCCACTCAGGCTAAGAGAAGATTCCATTTCCTATATCCCAGTGATAACGAACGAAAAACAGTATCATCATCACTGCCAGGCCTCACAAGCTTTATGTTGAGCTACGAAGAATACACGCAACATCGCGAATGGACGAGCCCGCTTCTTCAGAAAACCTATGAGAAGCTTCTAGATGGACCATTCTGGAAAGATATCGAGCTCAGGTTCAACTTTGAGAAGCCTGTGACAGAGAAGCTGCTAAACGCCGGTATCAGCACTTGGGCTGAGTTTCTTCAACTCAAATGGATGGAAACCGAATGTAAAAAAGAACTTGAAGATTATTGCGGTGGTAGCTACACAATTGTCGACAAGAAGTATCTATTGTGGCGGGTACTGGCTACGTTGAGAGCCCTTGAGGAGGATGAAGCTGAGCACCGCAAGCCGTAGGGAAGAGGTCTACATATCTCTTCGTACAGTATCCAAATACAGTATTTGTACAGTACATGGCAGGAGGCACCTGTTCAAGAAGCACCTGGTTCAATGCCATTATCATACAATAATCCAGATAATGAAATAGAAAATTCACAATGACGCTTCCAGCGCCAAGGAAACTTGTAACATCTCTGATCTCAAGTCTCTCATCCATCCCTATAACTGACAATGTTGTCGTGGCAAATAACCCGATCTCATCTCATAGATCCTCCAACCAACCAACAAATCCATTGAGACTAATACCACCAGCCTATCGTACCCTCCTCACCACTCTACACGTCCTGTACCCATCTACGCTGCTCCCTGCCCTGGATCTTCTAGACAGACGACTCGTGACCCGCGTGGTTCTCAAGGGCGATGTAGCAGATCATTCCAGACATACACAAGCAGGCCACAATCTCACCACGCCTCAAGATGAAGAATCGCAAGGCGACATTGAGCAAACACCAACACCCCTCTACCATCTAGTCCGCTCCGCACAACCCCAGTCCCACAGACGTCAGAACGCTTCATCAGCCGGGGGCCAAGTCTACATAGTCCGTCTAGAAAGCTGGAACTGCACCTGCGCAGCCTTCGCCTTCTCCGCCTTCCCGCCTCTGTCCGCGCCTGTCTTCCCGCCTGGATCCGGACAGTGCTCTGCGGGCGGATATCAAATACACCCGGCCAATGCGCAGGGAGATGCGAAAGGTCGAGGCGCCGATGTAGCCAGTGGCGATGATGACGCTGCGGAGCAGATGTGGGAGTTCGGCGGCTTGAGTACGGATGGGAAGGACGGGGTGGGAGGCGTCCCCTGCTGTAAGCACATCCTCGCCTGCGTGTTGGCTGAGAAATGGGGCGAGGTGTTAGGCGGGTACATTGAGGAGCGTCTAGTGGGAAGAGAGGAGGCCGCTGGCTTGGTTAGTGACTTATGATGTTTGAAACGCTGCGATGATGGATTATATGGTAATTCGTCCTGGTCTCTATGATCGTTATGAGGAATATGAAGAGAATGATTGTAATGACATTGGCGTTAGGGGGTTGGGGATCGTGGCCTTTACGAACGATGGTATGGATGGTTTACAGTAATGACTTATTCATATACTACGGTTCTTCACTCTCACAACTCGGCACTTATTGAGGAAGCATCTGAGATGTCTTAATCACATAAGAGTACCATAGGGTATTATATGAAGCTAGGGCACGACTGAAGTGCTGTAAGAACAAAACTGGCTTGTTATTCGTCACTCGTGCCTGGTTTATTGTCTATTAGCCTAGAACCTGTCCGCCCAGTCTAGGCGGCTCTTGATCTCCTTTTGATCGAAGCCAGGATATTATACAATGTCACCGTCGCCCCAGGCAAGGCTTTGATCGCTGCTCATTTCGTGCCGCTCTGTAGTATCTCGGTATGGACGTTCAGTTTGGGAACGCTCTATTTCTTCTTTTCTTTGTCGGAAGTTTTATCCCCCGAGTCAGTACTAGAACCGTTCGCACTGGCTTCCTTTTTCTCCTTTTCGCTCTTCTCCTTCTCCGCAGCAGCTTCTTCTTTCTTCGCTTCCTTCTCTTCTTGTTGCTGTCTGTTTTGAATCTTATTTTCAATGAGGTCGTGGAAAGCGGTGATGGCTCTAATCAGACTACTGAGGTAAATCGCTAACAGCTGATCGTTCGTCTTGACGCTCATTGCATAACCTAATTCACCAACGTTGGAGCTCTTTGAATCACCACCTGGCTTCGGCGTGGAGAGGTTGGGGAGAAGGTTGAATATATCCTGGAGGTTTCCGAGAACAGCATGATTCACCGGTAATTGTTTGTCTTGTACCTTCTGCAAGTATGTCTGGATTTCGCGCAAACGTAGGTGCAGTCCTTGTAGTGATTGCAGCTGATTTGTGATGCGAGTTGATAGGGTGCCGATGGCGACATCACGGATATCCCTGAGGAGGTGCTCGACGCCGATTTCTTCGGCTTCCTCAGCCTCAATAGTGGATGGTGTATGTACGAATGTTTTCGATGTAGTTGTTCCGTCCTGAGTGTCCGCTGTCAGCTGAGCTAGTCCAAGTCAACACCAGAACAATACCTACGTCTTTGATCTCTTCCACAGCAAAATACGCATCTGTTGGTACGCCGGACTCCTTGGGCTGGACATCAATAATGACAAGTAAAGGATTCGGTGTGTATCGTTTGAAGAGCTCGTTGATCTCCAGATCGGAAGCGCGGAGCTTGGGTCCGGAGTGGTACCAGCCTATTAACTTCTCTCGTGCGTTGACCTTCTTGAACATGTCGTTCATATTCTCCACATAGTTATGATCGAGGAACCAGACCGAAGGGTCATCGGTATCTTCCTCGAAGGGCACTACGGACACGAAATCAAGTTAGCAAGATGCAGTTAACGAATGCAATCGGCGCGGGTGCTGCGGCTGACCTGCAAAACTGTTTGACACCCGGACGTTCTTTCCATCATTCTGGCCAAGTAATACACCAACGACTCTCTTGCGTGTTCCCTTGCCTACTCGGTTGTAATGATCCACGACGGACAATAAAACGAGGGGTGCGACGGTGACATTTCTGCTGACGAACGAGAGCGTCTCCGCAGTAGTAGACGGCATTGTTTACCAGAGAGACAGACAGCCCTAGCGCCGATGATTTGAGATTGAAGCTGGAGTATTCAGTTACGTGCGTGGGCCGTGTCCGGGCGTGGAGGAGAGGTATGCAGTGATTTGATACGAGGGAGGTATGGATGATGTGTGAATCGGTGACAGCACTGATTAGGTGACGGCAGAAGGCTGTAGCTGTGTGTCGTAACTGTGAGGCTGCCTTGTTAAGCCTACATGGGTTTAGTTGGGCGTTGGCCGGGGGCAAGCTTAATCCTCTTTCTAGATTAGCGCTGGCCAACTCTACTCTGCCCCGCCAAATTCATACAGGGCTATGTACATATGTACCTAGGTAGGTGTAGATACTGTTGAGGCTGAAGAAGTCAATCTACTGTGGCTGACGCGCTCGCGTGGCTCACTCTCATCGCAGGTGGTGGAGGGGCACGGAGATTAGATAAGGCTATAGCTCCAACTAAGTACCTACCAGAGGATAGCGGAGTACACTACTAAGTCTACTATAATTGAACAAGTGACAGCGCGATATTTGGAATCTCAGAACCCATCATACCGGTATTATTCTTTCGCTGACTGGTGGAGGCGCGTAAACATAAATAGCCAAGTGGCAGCTTTGAATTCTGCAAAGCTCGTGAAGATTAGAGAGCTGAGTAAAGCTACCTAGGTATTCAATTGAGTTTACTAAGATAGCTCTCGCTGCTACAAGCTTATTGGCTGAAATAGAGAAATGTGACGAATCAAATTACACCGTAACTCATGTTTACAGTAGGTATTAGTTTTCAGCAATGTCGTGGTATCAAGGGCATCTTGTCGAGACCTACTAATGTACCTCGGTTCCCGAGTACCTCCCTAGCTATACACACTCGATCTCTACATAGTATATTGCTCACAGAAAGATGGACAGGTGTTCTGTCGCATAAGATCCATGATGTCGGTCTACCGGAAAGTTGAAGCATGCTATCAAGATGCGCTAGGCGATTCTCTGCCTGTGACGATGCGCACCGATGAATGCTCAGGTAACCGAACCGAGATGGTGCGTAGCTAGGTACGGGTGGATGGAACCTGTTGAGCCTGTGACAAGCGAATAGGTACGCCAAGATCCAGCAAGGGGTACAGCAGGGCAGACATTGCTAGCGCCTTCGCCCGCGGCCAGAGCCCCGCCAGACTTAGAGCCTGCAGCCAGTAAAAACCCCAATTGGGTTCGCTGCTAGCTCCCGTTCAGCGATTGTTACTGTAATACCTAGGTACCTACCTACCTACCTACTGTACCTGTAGGTAGCGCTCCCTTACTGACTTACATGTACCGATGTACCTGTACCTCGACTACCAGGAGTAGTTTACTCTGTATAGTACCGACCAAACTACGCCATATTTTTGTCGCAACCTGTTCGTCCATCCCGTCCGTCTCTGTCTTGTGGACAAGCCCGACCTCGCAATCTTCACTTTCGGAGCTCTTCCACCTTTTCCCTTTTCCTTTTCTTTTCTCTTATTTCCTCGCCTCATACCCTCTCCACTCATCTCTCACTATAATAGCTATTACCAGCTCTCCCTGCCCTCCTCCCTGCCTTCCTCTCCCCTGTCCTTCCTTGCCTCGGTCCGGCCCATTGCTCTTCCCGCGCACATATTGATCCACCATGGGTGCCATCGACAGCGAGTTCAAGCGTCTACACGATGTTGTGACCAGCTTAGAGGAGCGCGTGAAGCGCTTAGAACAGCGTCAATCCGGAGAGCCCTTAACGACCGAAAGCATTCGCATGATTTTGATCGGCCCTCCCGGAGCTGGTACGTAGCCTCGTTGAGCTTTCGGAGTTTAGCTGGGATAGGCCTATTGAGCCACCGTCTGGATATTTGGCTCGGGGAGTGTTGAATTGCGCTAATTGGGTCTTCTCGCTGTAGGAAAGGGAACTCAGGCACCCAAGATCAAGGAGAAGTTCTCCTGCTGCCACCTGGTACGTCCAATCCGTATATGCGAAGAATTGCCTCAATTCGACACACCTCTGACAGTCAAACATTCAGGCCACCGGTGATATGCTGCGATCCCAGGTTGCTAAGAAGACTGCTCTCGGCCGGGAAGCCAAGAAGATCATGGACGCTGGTGGTCTCGTCAGCGACGACATCGTCATTGGCATGATCAAAGAAGAGCTAGCTACCAACACGGAATGCAAGGGAGGGTAAGTCTCGCTTGGAGCTTTCCAGCACGAAGTATAATCACTTTTTAGATAGCATGGCTTATTTAGAGACTAACGCGGCCATCTGATTCAGTTTCATCCTTGACGGTTTCCCTCGCACCGTGGCGCAGGCTGAGTCGCTTGACAAGATGTTGGCAGAGAAGGACCAGAAACTGCAACATGCAGTTGAGCTGCAGATTGATGACGCGCTCCTTGTAGCACGCATCACAGGCCGGTTGGTGCACCCTGCTTCTGGCCGCTCGTACCACCAAATCTTCAACCCGCCCAAGGAGCCCATGAAGGATGACTTGACTGGCGAGCCTCTGATCCAACGCTCTGACGATAACGCCGATGCCCTCAAGAAGCGTCTCGCCACCTACCACGTCCAGACATCTCCTGTTGTCGGCTATTACAAGAACACCGGCATTTGGAAGGGCATTGACGCCAGCCAGGAGCCTGGTCAGGTCTGGAACAGCCTTCTTAAAATCTTTGGCGAGAACGAGAAGAAGTCTGGTATCCTAAGCAAGTTGAAAGGCCAATAGACTCTAACGAGTTTAACAAGCCAATATGAAGGATCGAATCCCTCTGTTGGCGACCTGACTACCCTGGGGCGGCCTCGTTCCAATTACTAGAGACAGGACGAAGGCCAGTTGCGGGCCAAAGTCTGTTATAAGACAACGGCGTCAAGGAAAAATAGACAAACTGCGTTTGACTTGACATAACGAACACCAGCACTTGGAGAGCTAGGAACGGCAAACGTGGATAAGGAGAGGGGGGCGTGGGAAACCGCGTCTCGACGATTTGTATCATACTTACCACTTTCGTCCAGCTTGTAGTGGATGTATGTAAAATGATTAATTAAAGACTTATGAATTTCACGCAACTTGAAGATTTATAAATGCTCAGCGCGATTTACTGAGGCATTTCGATGCGCCAAGCAAGTCCTTTTAGGCTGCAGCGAACGCATGAGCATTTACAGATAGATTATGCACTGCGCAATTCTGCATGAACACCTTGTGCAGTCTATTTTATTGTGAGACACGGAGACATACGTTTCAGCACCCGTCAACCTTAAAACTATTTATTCCCTGACTTTATAATGATATGTCATGGCAATCGAATAAGATTCTAGTCAAGCTAGTAGGAAAAGGGTACGCAGGACATAGACATGTCCTGGCATCTATTCTAAAAAGGGGGTATAAGCTAGCTTGAAGTAGGTAGTATATATGTACAGGTCGGCAATTGACAGCAATGAAGCCCACGGGTATATATGTCCTGATTCCTTAATATGTTTCTCTGCTCGAGACTTGTGTATGCGAAGAATTGAGTGTGGGTAAGTTTCGTACGTGGATCGGCATAATGTATCGAGCCACCTTGTATCCTATCATTCAGGGGGTAGTAGGTCCAAACCAAGCTAATATATGGTTTCCGGTGTACTTTTCGGCCATGTCGGGGAAATGTCCGTTTGAAGGGTGCAGAAATATATACCACGCGTTTAGTTGGTTTGTGCATTCGCAATTAACGCTGGACGTCTAAACCAGGAGTTGCTTGGTTACTTCTTATACCTGCAGAAGTTCCTACCTTCGCGGCGTAGCTGCACAAACTGGCATCAACATAATGACTTACGTATCACAAAGGAAATGGGTGCTCACCATTAACCAATACTCTTTGCTTGTTCAGCCAGCTCTTGGGATTCTCGTTGCGCCGCTGCAAAACGAAGTGATTGCTTTGCAACCTGCTTGACAAGTCGTACCATGCTGTAGCGATCATGGTGTTCTCGCGTTGAAGATTCTTGACCATCTCGTCTGTCTGGGCCTAAACATGCGGTTTAGAATTTCAAACATCACACACAGCCACAAGTGATGCTAAAGATATATGGGAGCAGTAAAAAAAGGGAAGTAAAAATGGAAGGGATTTAATATCTACAAAAAACGACAATGCACAAATACGGATCGTATCTTTGAGCTGTTCTATATGATAGCCTATAATTAAAAGATTGCTACTCACCTTCTGTGTGCTCGCTTCTGCACCAGCGCGAACGCCTTTGAGAGTTCGCTCGAGTTCGCGGTTCTTGAGCTCGGATTGTTCATATTGCTAATTTTAGAACATACCGTCAGTCACGCACTCAGATCCAACGGGAAATCAACGATATAGTTCATGTGCGGTCTGAGTTTTGAGGACTGAGACCCAGCCAACGACGCCAGGGTCTTCGCGTTTCTTTTTTTAGACTTGGGAAGTCGCTGTGTAAAGGGGCAGATTGGACACTATTGGGTGAATTGCAATATGGACGCCAGGCACCAACGTCCAGACCCGGAGAGGAACTACCACAACGCGGAGACGGTTTGGAGAAGGATTTTTTCGGTACTGTCAATGAACCATTGTCCCCAACTTCATAAGGGTGGAAGCCTGCCTCGGGTCGGGTCGGGGAATTTGAGAACCAGCTAAAGGTTTCCCAGATGGTTTGACACTTTTCCTCCACAAATATGACGTCCGAATCGTCTTCATCACTCGGGGGATCTGACAAATCCGTAGAAAAGTCACTCACCTGCTGTAGCTGCTTGTAGCGAGTGCGAAGCTTCTCCATCTTCTCGGATTGTTTGATAAAATCCGTGCTAGGGGTCTGCCCATCGGCCGCCTTTTGTAATTCTTGGCTGGCGCGTTCGGCTTCACGGCGGATCTCATCCTTCTCAATCAAGGCGGACAGGAGCTGCTTTTGCATAGCTTCCGACTCATCTTTTAATAATCTGGATTTTTTCCGCTCTGCTTCAAGCTCTGTACGAAGTGAGGCCGCGATCATGCCATCGGTGTTCTTCAGCTCCGTCAGAGCATCCATACTAGACTTTTCAACAGCAGTCACTTTTGCCTCGTCGTCAGCATCTTCCCCTTTCAAGACATACTCTATGAAAATTGCCTTACAATCGCCGCGGGCTTCCAACAGAGTACGCTCTTTATCGGCAAGCTGTTCTTTGAGGATCTCAAGTTGCCTTTCAAATTGCTTAGACCGGCTTTGTTCGGCGAGGACCTGGGTCCGTAGGCTCGAATACGCTTCGTCTCTGAAATAATCTGACATCAGCCATTTGTAATCCGGGTGCATATCGTAACAAGCTTGAATTGCGTCGACTAACCCCTTTCCGCTCAAGTTCTGAATAAGGGCGTCGATCTGCTTCTGGCCAACCGTGAATCTCTCAAAAAGATCGTTATACTTATCCTGGATAGCCTGGCGAGAGGTACGCAAACCTTCCATTTCTTGAAGCAGCTGACCTTTGTCGGTTTCGGAGCCAATAGAACTCTTCAGCACGGCGTTTTCAGCTTGGAGTCTCTGTACCTCAAGGTTCCTCATAGATATCGTATTGCTGGAATCATTAAGCTCATCTTCAAGGGATGTGGGGCGAGTAGTAAGGGAATCATCTACAGTCGCAGAAGGATCTAACATCAAGACTTTCTCCTGGAGATCTTTCACAACGGCCTCATCAAGCTGGCTTCTCTGTTCCAACTCACTCAAGCGGATCATCATGTCCTGGTTCTGCGAAACCAGCGCTAGTTTCTGGTCTCGCATGTTGGCAATATCGATTTCGTACCCTTGCATCTTGGAAGCATATGCCTCACTTTCTCGCTTCAGAGTCTCGATCTTTGAGTTAGCATAAGTGAGCTGATCATAGGTCTTAGAAAGGTCCATCCTATCGTTACGTAGGGACGCTAATTCGGCCTCCACATGCTTAAAAGCCTCGACCTTCTTTCGAAGGTTATCAGCCATATTTGCCTTCTTGGATAACTCTTCGTTCTTGGCCTTCAGCTCCTGGTTCTCGTCGATGAGGGTCTCAGCCTTCTGCGCCGCAGTCTCCAGGCGCACCTTGTCTTTCAAGAGTCGCTCTCTCTCTTCTACCAAAGAGTTCCTTTCATTTTCCAAGTTGGCGATGAGTGCCTCATTCTCTTTCAAGCTCCGCTGCAACCGGTGTCGATCAAAGTTACCAGCTTCTGATTCGATTTGCTTCTGAAGTTGCTCATTCTCATCCTGTAACTCTTCATGTTTCCTAACCAGTTCATCATAATTATCCTGGAGGCGGTCCAATCGTAGTCTTAAACCACCAGCTTGCCGCTTGGCCTCCTCGGCCTCGCGCTGTAAATCAGCTATGGCGGCTTCGTGTGCAAGATCAGCATCTACTCTAGCACTATCAGTAGCTGCCACACGGTCATCATCAATTGTAGCATTATCCTGGCTGAGTTTTGTGTCAACCTCGGTGAGAATCTTGAAAATAGCGGATTGATATTTCGAGTCCAAGCCTTGTATGAGTGCAATGTATTGAGAGTTTTCCTTGTGGAAGCAAGCACCGCATAATAATATCAAGAGGACCTGCATGTACATCTTAGCCTTGTGTCGGTGTTCTCCAAGAATCCCGGAGGAAGAAAACGGAGTTCGAGGAGAATGGGTCAATGACTTGGGGGTGTTCACCTCGGATATGCCTGCTCTTGTCGGATCTCTATCCAAGGCTTGAAAATCGGTCATCTTGATCAAAGGCTCGATCTTAGGACATAGCCGCCGAGCAAAATCATTTAGACTTATATGGATAATGTGCATGCTTCTCCGTGTCTCATCGCCAGCCTTTGACGCTTCGAGGCTTTGCTCAAACCGAGAAGGATTATAATCGGGGTCCAGTATTTCGAGAAGGGCAGAGAAGAAGGCGCCGTCGAAGAGCTGTTCAGCCTTCTTCGCTGTTAGAGTCGACTGACGGTCGGGCGCAAAGCTAGCGATCATGGCATTTGCCTGTAAGAAAGAATAAAGTTAGCAGATCTTTAGTAAAAAAGCAAGAAGATGGAAAGAGGGAAGAGGGAAGAAAAGATTGAGGAAGATACATACCCATTCGAGCAGGGCCACATGGGTCACCTGGTGGTTCATTGAAGGTATCATCGCGCCGGTCGAAGATTATAGAACCATACAAAGTCGCTGCCAGGTCCCTAAGACTATTATTAGGGTTATCTTCACCTGTTATGTAGGCGCAAGATGATAGAAGAGCAGCTAGTAGAACGAGGTTCGACTAAGAAAGGAGGATCGTTCTTCAATAAGGGTGTTGGGTATGAGTTATGATTGCTTTTCGAGAAAAAGGTAGTAGAGTACTGAGAGTCGCTGAACTCATGATATCAACGACGGTTCGCCGGGAAATGGAGGGCTATTGGGTTCGCTGGGGGTGAGGTTCAAGAAGTAGGGATCGGCTACAAAGAGCATGAAGGCTCCATTGTCAGGCAGAATGCAGTTGTCTAGTCGATCATAAAGGGCATTGTTTCGTGGGTGTTTCCGACTCGCTGAGAATTCGCTAAAGGGAGGTCTATGCCAAGCGATTGTCAAAGACCACCAGTGAGGTTGGGATTGGTCGAAGTTGGAGTTGATTGTACGCTCTCTTAATGTCGGGCGAGTAGCTTTGTCGTCTCCAGTCAGTGGTAGGAGATCGTGAGCACCGAAAGTGCTATCTCAGATAGGTAGAGACGACTTCCACTACTTACCTACTAAGGAGATGCTAACCCCACCAGAGCACCGAGCACAGGGGACTCGACAGCCAAGATGATCAGACTACCACTGAGACTATGCATCAGACGACAGGGGTTAGCCGAACTAAACACGCTAACGCGGCAGATTTATTGCGGCTGCAGGGGATCAGCGTGTTACCCACGTTACTGCTTGCTGTGCAAGTACATCCAGTTCTGGCTACGTCAATACACGATTCTTCCTTTGTCTCTTTCTTGTCGTCCTTGTTTTTAGGCCCTTCTATTGCAAAAGGCTGGTCAAATGCATGGCTCGTCAAATAAGCTTACAGCATCAAGGCCATTGTGCAAATTCGTGTGTGAAGAAAGACAGTCGGACCCTTTGAAGTGCTTGCACTTCTTCCATTTACTTACTAGCGCAGCTAGAATATCAGTGTAGGCAGATGAACCAAACATAGGCATCCTTACACATTTTCTTTAATCGAACTCGAGGGGAAACAATAATGATATTTGTACTTGTATCACTAAGCCTCTGTTCGTTGTCCATGGCTATTCATAGCTCGTGGGATTCAAAGTGTTTCAGTCATGCCTGGGTTTTTCATGCATCCGCAATGCATGTTTTCGCAGGATAGGCATGATGGCCCCATTGTATGGTACACCTGATAGGTAGCCCATAACCATTTCTGCACCATGCAGTTCTACACCGGCAGGTCCCGGCTCTGAGGCTGTGAAACACACCTAGACAAGCTCCCATGTAAGTATGAGGTAGACGGGAGTTGGTAGATAGGTATACCTAGCACGAACAAGGCTCAGTGGACGCCACTTAGTGTGTGTGTACAACCCAGCTAGCAGTACACATATTGGGAAAATGTTAGCATTTCATTTCCTTGCCTGCCTACCTAGGTACATAGTCAAGCTGGGATAGATAAGTACGAGGCTTGTTTATTCGCTCAATCATCCGGTAGCTTGCTTGGTTTGGGATATACTTCACCAGTTGTTGAAGAATACATCGAAAGTAAAACGCCCGCGCGTTATTTAGATAACACCGATCGATTGGATCAACTCTTTCTTAGAGCAGTGAGTGTAGACAAAGTTACCTATAGACCCACTGCAGCGCGCAGTAGATGCTAACACGAAGACTCGCGAGCCGTACAATAGTCAGTTGCAATCTGTGATATTCCATATACGCAATACAATACTATAAACACATCCAGCCTACACAATCATCAGGTAGGAAGGTAGTCAATTCTATAAAGCCAGGCCACGAAATCCAGCACCGTCTATTGCGAAATCAGTCGACTGGTCGATCATCTCTTTCCGGAATTTGGCAAACATGTTGCGATCGCATAAGGAGGGTATCGAGAGGCACTGAGCCAGGGATCATTATCTCGTAATCATGTGTGCCAAGTGTTGAAGCGCAGGTTGATCTAGTTCGTGCCGGGGACGGAAATCTTCATCACTTGATCCTCCTCAATCACTGCATTATATTCACTACTCCATGCGGTGACCGTCTCAAGGATCTTCTGTGGCGCCTTCGCGGCGAAGCCCCTGATTGATACTGTCAGTATTCTGGGTACAAAGCGAGACATGTTCACCCTCTCTAAGCCATCGCCGACACGGCTCAAATGTTGGCGCGGAGAGTTGCACTCTCGTTTGGGAGTATACAAGTATATAGTGATCACACGGGGTGGAGGATACTCAAGATAGGTGTCGTACTTCAGCAACTTATACTCATGGGTTATGGTACCGCCTGCGTTACGAATCTCCTCCATCGCCTTGTTGACGATATTATCAGGCGTCGATTGAGGAAAGCTCATGATAATGTCCTTTTGGATATCAACAGCAAAGACGCCTTGCGCGACGGCAAGGGCGGCGGCGGCGATCGTTAGGAATCGCATCTTGTCGATTATGGGCGATAACGGAAGGACGACTATGATCGCTCGGTCGGCGTAGACCACTGAAAGTAGCGTAAAAGCGCGGAGAATTGACGAAGCTGGGTGCTGGAGACGATAGACTTTTGGGAGTAGAATCCGACGAAGCAGTGACGAGATGATATTTATTCACAACGAGATGGAACTTCACAGGTTCTTGTTGGCTGCCTTGTGGTCTTGAGGTAGGTAAGTTGTAAAGTGGAAGCAGAAACACTGGGCCGTTTGATGACTACATGCACGGCTAGTACCCACGTCAACCCGCCACAAGTCGGGTCGGGCGGACCCGCAAAGCTCCTTCCAATCTGGGGAATGGCTATCCACCTTGCCAAGAAGGGCAACGCGTGTTGCATGTGACAAAGCATGGAATTGCCAGCCGCGAACAGACAAGCCACCTGGCAAGAATTATCAGTGTTCAGCACGATTTGAGCTTCATAGGTACCTACCACTACAGTAATAGCTTCGTTTTAACGAATTTTTCAAAGGTTTATTTATACACTTGATATTCTTCAGGCCCTCTTCGTCCTCTTATATTTATCGCCTAACATAATTTGTCTTAACGCAGTTGGAGTTGCTTGAACATGAACATCCGGTCTACTACACGCGCATCCGCCGCAGCGGTCGCCTTGAAGCTTGTTGGGCCGCGTGTGCTGACATGAAGGCCGTTAAAGATCGAGGGATACCCTCCGGGTCAAAGTTCGTCGGCTTCCCCTGTAGGAACTGTGCCGGAGTAAAGATTGAAGTTGTAGATGCCGCAAGAACAATGATCCAGGATCTTCATGAGCGACATCCCTTCGACAAGCATCGCCCTCCCCCCCTCAGCTCAATATGAATGAGACTACTCTCGGGATGATGCTGTCTTCATTGCTGCCACATCTAACGGATGATGCGACTATTCTGTCACCAAACTTCAGCTGGGCTGGGAAGGAACCATACTTGACGATCATTTGGCCGACTGCGACAGCTTGATCCATATGATACCAGTTGAAGTCAAAGGAGATAAAAGCTTTCATTACATTTCTCTCAGCTGGCTCATATACATACACAAGCTACTAATCAGTATAAGGGTCAACGCCGATGTTCCAGGTGGAAGTTGATTGCTCTTCACGTTGTTTTAGACTCATTTTTCCCCCATTGACTCGATTCAAAGGGACAACACGGTTCCATTCTTAGTTAGAACACATTGGTAAGCCATGACCTAGAAACTGTAGGCAATATATGTAGCTCCTAATCAGCAATGTCTTGGCCGGTGCCGGAACGGCAATACGGCTATCATTCCGAGCCAACCCGAAATGGAGAGCTGAGCATAGCACAGAAGTTACTGCAGTGGTGAGTTTTTCGCATGCGTTGAGAAGCTGAAGTTACAATTCATACTACAAGCCACCGGAACCAACTCTGTCGCGTGCGATCTTGAACACATACTCAACTACGTCACAGTCACAAGCACCAGCGTGACGACCCGACCATTCTCAAATCCTCACGCTTCAACATTAGATCCTGTTACCGGGCCTACTAATCATCAGACCCCGAAGCGGCGGAGTTTTCGAATGCCACGGCCGGGGGTCTTACGATCGTCGCCGAATATTTAACTTTATATTAACAATAGAGTAGCCAATAGAGTTGCGACTATACGTTACAACGCGAGGTGTTCAAACTACAGCTACCACACGAATGTCGCTATGTGTGACCTGCTGAGTTACAGCAAAGGATTCGCCCTCTGAAAAAGATGAAGTCCGTGTTACCAACTAATATATTAGGAGGTGGTATTCAAGCAACTAAGGTGCCAACTAGCAAGCATGCAATGGGCAAATCGGGAAGGAGACACAGCAAGGATGCCTTCCCCTCAAACTTCAAACGAAAGTGGATGATCTTTTCCAAGAATAGATTAACAACTTCAACATGCGAACGGCGTTAACTAAGTACAAATAGCCTGCCTAGTTCTCAGGCGTGCTGCTAGTTATCAAGTACTTGTCAACTCGTTCGCTTTTGCCTCAGGATTTAACTCTATTAACAAGAGTATCAGGTTCTATTCTCCGCCCAAGATGGCTAAGAGATGGGTTGCGGCGCTACTGGCTGCTAGTGAGTATCTATGTTCACTTAAAATCACTTTATTCCTGTTTCAGCAACTTAGAGTGCCAAGACTTCATCTCTGGTTGAAGAGCAATGACCACAAAACTTATAGTTGTAGATCTCTGCCATTACAAATGCATATAGCTAAACTTGAGTATTACAGTGCCTTGGATGGTTGAGTCGCAGGCTGAAAAGCCTGTGTATGCTCATTTCATCGTAAAATTTCCTCTCCCCCCCTTTTTCCGGGTGGACGTGTGTGAGCTGACGTGATGAAAAGGTTGGCATTGTCGAGAATTACACCGTCGATGACTGGAAGGCGGATATTACACAGGCGCAGGAAATCGGCATAGATGGCTTTGCTCTAAACTGTGCTCCCGAGAGAATCGATGGTTATACTCCTAAGCAGCTTGCCAATGCATACCAGGCTGCCGAAGAACTCGGCTTCAAGATGTTCATCTCTTTCGACTTCGCCTATTGGTCTCCTGGGGATACGGCTGATATCACTGATATCGTTGGAAACTATAGTTCTCACCCAGCGCAAGCATATTACAGGTTTGTTATTTTCGTACCAATTTCTTGTTCCTCAAAAACGCAATCACTAACTATCTTATAGTACGTGAAATAAACTTTTCCGCCATCTAGCAGGTCGATCTCTCGTAGAAACTTATGACTTATTGACATGCTTCAGACGATGGTGCCATCGTGAGCACCTTCGTGGGCGACAATATGGACTGGAACGCAGTGAAGAGCGCGCTCCCAAACCAGAAAATCACTGCTTTATCTAACATCCAAGACCCGTCATTTCTTGCCAGTGCTCAGACTGGTTTGGACGGTGCCTTCTCTTGGTACGCTTGGCCCACTGATGGCGGCAACAGCATTATCCCAGGTCCGATGACCACTATCTGGGACGAGCGTTTCATTCAGAACTTGGCTGGCAGACCCTACATGGCTCGTAAGTGGCGTTCCCATCATTCAGACAACAGTCATCTCACCCGCTAATCCTTTCTGGTAGCTGTATCTCCGTGGTTTTTTACTCATTTCAACACCAAAAACTGGGTGTTTATATGCGAAGATCAGCCTACTCGACGCTGGGAGCAAATGCTGACACTCAAGCCTGCTCTTGTCGAGATTGTCACTTGGAATGGTGAGTTCTACTCCGGTGCTCCTAGCCGTCTAGACTTGTGCTAAGAATATATTTCCCTAGATTTTGGTGAAAGCCATTACATTAGGTAAAATAAGCCCCGCAACTTTAGGGTTGACATCCTATGTATACCCATATGGTGTAGGCACTAACACACCTCTCTTCACAGCGGCAGCCAGCCGAACCACTCCGACGATGGCTCAAGCGCCTGGGCATCTGGCTACCCACATGACGGCTTCCGCACGCTTTGGGCTCCCTACATCGCAGCCTACAAGTCGGGTGCAGATAAGCCCATCGTTGAGTCGGACCAACTAGTATACTGGTACCGGACTACGCCCAAGGACATAGTCTGCACAAGCGACACGCTCGGCCCACCCAATGGCATCCAATACCTCGCAGACGTCGTGTTCGTGGCAACAATGTTGACAGAGCCCGCAGAGCTCACCATGACAAGCGGTGGTAACGCACCGGTCACCGTGACTATCGATGCGGGCATTCGCACAACAAACTTCACGATAGGGGTTGGACAGCAGAGCTTCTCGGTTTCGAGGAATGGGGCGATGATCTTGAGTGGCACAAGTGATAAGGAGGTTACGAGCTCGTGCGAGACGTACAACTATAACCCCTATGTTGGAGTTTTGTCCTCTACATGAAAGGGCAAGTTCTATAACTATGACCAGCTAACGGAGATACAATCAATAAAAACTGCACCCTGCACAGAAACGTACAGAGGTATATATCATTGTTCTAGCGATAATACGTCACACAAGCAATGTAAAATGGTCATGAGATTTATTGATGCGATTAGATCCTCATCTATAATGCTATCATGTAGTGGGGTGATTGTCTGGTAAAGGGAGAAAGAGGTATGAGAGTGCCCGTATAGTAAAAGAGAGAAAATCCCAGTACAAATCTAATGTGTCTAGAAGAAAAAGCTCAGAAAGACCCATTGAGTTTCCATGCCTGCACGAAAACTCCCAGAAAACCAGATCCAAGACTCAGCGGTCGCATGTCAAGTAGCAGCGGCAGGTTTGCTTGAAACCGTAGAAGTAGTAAAGCTGCTCGGTTTAGAACTCGCCGCATCAGCCGTGGTCTTAGGGGGTGGGCAATGGTACGGGTCTGGAGAGGTCTGGGTTCCACACGGAGGTGGAGTGTAGCATCTATATCCCATGAATCAGCTACGCCATTGAACGTGTCAGAAGGAGGTGAGGTTCGCGATAATTACAGGTAGACGAAAGTCAAGGTATGATGGCACTCGACATATGAAGCCCAGCAATCCGTAGAACAGGCAGGTGATGCGTGATCGGCAGAGGCAGAGACGTCCTTCACCTCAGGTGCCGCCGTGATGATGGGATTAGATTCCGGGAGTGCGGAAACGGTAACAAGCGCCGCGGCAGCAAATAGAACAATTGGCAGCTGCATTTTCTGTGTAATTTGTCTCGAAATTTGTCGCTTAATTATCTCTTTCCTCCTTTCTCGACGCTCGAGGTTTGAGATAGAGTATTTTTGAGGAGCTGGCTATGACGTGTGTTGTGTGAACGGTTGCGTTAGATGTCTGAGATGGCTAGTAGAGGCTGTATGTATAAGTGGAGGGACGTGTACTAGTTAATATATGGCCGAACAAAGAGACTCCTCCAGGACGGTTGCGTAGTACCCCCTTTCCTCATCTCTCTAGTCCATTGGAGCAAACAAATGTGACCGAGCTGGCCGTGAAACCAAAGCTGTCAACGGCGTGACAAGAGCCTGTGATGTTGAGCTCGATATGTTTGCCATAGGTATGCTTGACAGCTTGTCTAGAAGCACATGTTGGATGTAGAACAGGCCCGGAATGATGGCCCGGGCCCCCAACCAATGAGCGGCATGCATTCGCCGCAACAGGCAATATATCTACCTGGGTACATAGAAACTTGAGCCAAACCTGTCTTAACATCGAGGTACCGGTACCTTGTCTTATATAAGTACCTATTATGTACCCAGTAATCGTTCGGTGATAGAGACTGGTTTTTTGTCCCGATCAATAGCTCTATATTTTAGTTGATAGGCAATGTCTAAGTACTCTGTAGTTGGTATGTGTACCTACTTATGTATGTAGTTATTCAATCACTATTTCCCCACACTAGTATAGGTACATGACAGGGCTGCATAAAACAAAATGTCTGAGTATATCAGTACGAACCTCAGACAGGCGCTCGCCAAATCCCACCATATGTAACAATACGGCCCATCTTATCAATGACAGTATAGTGTAGGAACCCCAGAGGCACATCCCGATAAGACACAGTCATGCGTCACGTTCATTTTGGCTCAATGTGGTAGGTCGGTAGTAAAAGAGATACCTACCTAGGTACCGTGTAGGTCAGGTTACAGCAGTTCTCCAATTTCTTGAGACCTTTCCCACATGATAACAAGCCGTGATAAAAGGTTGAATCGTCCACGCTAAAGGGGCAATGATATGCGATTCCAAGGTGTGATGTAGCCATCCAATGATCAAGAAGTGGCTCAAGCCTCAAAGGTCATCTGTAGGGCTGAGATGGGCTAAATATGGACAAGGTAGGTAATTGATGATCATGCTACATTGATAAGGGTGCATGAGCACCTTAACCTTACTACTTCTTTAGAAATTCGAATATGAATTAATATTCTCAGATACAAGGAGGCTGTATTACCTCCGTTACTGAGGTTATCGCATTGTATTCATTTAGGAAATAGGTAGCCGACCCATTTTGGTTATCGTGGTACCCCAAAATGATTAAGTGAGTTGTTCCAAAGGAAAACCAAGCACGACCTGGATAAGTAGAGTTCTCATTGCTCATATTCGCTATATCGCCGAACCGCTTCCCATGAACCCCAGGCAGCCCATCATAGTATTTGGTGAATTACTAGAGCCGTTATATACCATGTCACACAGTCAACCCACTAGTGTTTATCGATCATTGCTCGTGTTACTAGAAATTCGATTTTGTGACCCAACACAGAGGTAGTAACAGGACATAAACACGGAAGGGAAACTATTCGGTCCATTCATCGGACCGTGAATTAAGCCGCTCGCTTGTGGCTACACATATACATCAAGGTAATACCACCAAGGTAGTTCATTACTATTAGTCACGTTCATCTGAATCGAGCAGTACACTTCAAAGTACATTTCAACATAAGATGAAAGCGTCACAGGTGTAGCACACAAATGCCGATATTCAGCTGGACGTGCAAGGCGGGTCAGGGCATCAAAGTAAATGGCCTCTTGGCGTAACTGGACCTAAACTGTGGTGAGTCTGGAATAAACTATCTATGGAATATCTGAAATAATTAAGATCTTGAATAATTGAAAGAATGAACACCGCCGTTGTACTTTTGAATACCAAGCGTTGAATTGCTATGGAACGTGCTTTTCCCTCGATCAATGAGTTGGCGCCAGTATCCCAATCGCGAACACAGGAGACCTTACTAGGTTTCCGGGTGGTCTACTACGCTCTAGAAGCGAGAAGGCCAAAGTATTTGAGTAAGGTTTATTTCATCCAGGTCGATGTACATGATGATGGTACGTAGCTCAGCCCTGATAACGACGTGGCCAACTAGGCGCCCATATTAGGAATAATCTAAAGTATTAATCGCATTTAGTAATGGGACACTTACTCGCTTCATGTTCCAGATCGGTGGTCCGAGCACAAACATGATGAAAACATAACGTGATTGTCCATATTTGACCATGGCTCGTGCTCAGGGAGATTCGAATGTCTTCATTTGCTTTTTTTCTTCGACATTTTAGGCTTCTCGAGTTTGCGGAACTTGACAGCGTCGAAAGTCACTGCAGTTGTGGCCTGTACAGTACTGAAGTCTAAGGTGGTTGCTGGTTGGTAATTTGTGAACTGGACATTGGAAAAGTCCGTCGTGTTCGGTTGTTTGGGGCCAGGCATATTTGAATTTCATAACCGTTATAATGAAGGTCTGAAAAGAGAATGTCATGCTGCTTGTGGGCTTTGATGGATCGGCTTGGTTTTATACTCCAGGAACATGAAGTACTATAGAGTATTCCACTAGAACAGAGACAAGTGAAGCTCAAAATGAGAATTGGTGTGCCATAATCCCAGCCTACGCTTAAGTTTTCGGGGCTGCATGTATCGTTGAGAATAAAGGATTGTGTCATACAAATCTGTGAATGATTCCAAGAAGCGGAGCACAAACAACAAATCAAGCTGTAATCTTATGAGGCTTCCTACACTTTGTGCCATGATACTACATTACTTTTGTTTAGCTTATAGTTCAGTAATGCTAGGTTTGATTGGTAATGTATGTGCCCGACCCTGTGCCGCGGGACCTGTGTCGTCCACGTGTTATCAACGTGTCATGTCAACTGGATTGGGTGGAAGTTTGTGTTGCTGACGGTGCGGCACCCCACAGACATATGTAGATAGGCGAGGATGATCTGCCTCAGTCCGGCGGGCCGTGGCGTCGTGTCCGAGAATCCGGCCCTTTCGATTGAATACCCGATTTTTGTGTCAGCTATAATGGCCCACCTATATCCGAATGACAGCGGGAAAGCACTTTGAGTTACAGATCATCCGTAATGGCCTCCAGCATTCTGCATGCCAGCTCAGCGACAAGGCTTGGGTCGTCTCGTTGGATGAAGTGGCCGCAATTATTTGCGATAATTGGACCTGATGATTTGTCTGGGCTCGTCAGCCTCGTCAAACCTTCATTGTAACGATGCCAGGTGGGATTCGTGTAGTTCATGGATATGGAGATTGGTGTTTCCATCGAGCTTTGGAGACTCTCCTTAGCGAACCAGTCCGGGTCATGACCAACTACCGTTACAAACAGTGGTTTCCCAGCAAATCCATGATCGAGAAAAGGCCGATCTGCATCAGGTAACAGTATCGCGAGGTTGCGCCGATCTAGGCCCTCAGGGTTCTTCACACTTGGGTGGAATACCTCACGGAACTTTTTGCGCGTTTCAAACAACATTTCGGGTGTGACGTCTTGCGGCAACGATCCGGGATCAAAGTCAGGATTACTTGGGTTGGGGAATATGCTTACGAAGTCCGAATTGGCCATGACTGAGTCAAGAAGCAGCATACCAGCTACAGTGTTAGGATATTGTTGAGCATATAAGCGAGCGATAGCACACCCGATAGAATTAGCCACGAACATGATGCGTTTCGGCTGGTTGTCCGTCTTCTGTGTGATCTGCGAGATGAGTTGATGCAAGTCACGTACAACGTCTAGCGTATCGTGACCGTAGCCTTCTTCCTTGCCCTCATCACTATCACCCGGGTCGCGATCAATCGTTCTGCCCTGGCCATAGCGGTCGTATGCCAGCATCTGCGGGCGAGATGTAGCACCTGCTGGGCTAGAATCGGCCGTGTTGAGGCGACGCAACATGAGAGCAATGACGGGCAGCCAGAACGACTGTGGTGCGATGAGGCCATTGAGAAACACGACCAGGATATCAGAGCATCCCGATTGGCCGACGCTCTGGACTTGGGAACACTCCAAACTGGCCGTCGGTTTGGTGCTTAGGCGTATGGAGTCGAAGGTGATAGAGGGGGGCAATGCGATTGCCGGCTGAGGCATTACAAGTGCCATCTCGATCGATGCATGAGCTGAGCTGAGGAATGTTGTAGTTGATCAGGTCAGCAGCCACGATACTTTGATCACCACTGGTAGCTAAGATACAGTACCTACCACTTACTTCGTACTTACAGTAGGTGGTGGAATTGCTGTATTCCTATAGGTGTTGATCCATTTGGTGGTGTTGACCGCTAATCCCACTAGGGGGTGGCTCTAGCGGCTTCCTCGTTTAGGTCTCTGAGATTTCGGTAATGTTTGCATATTGTTTAAATTCTGTTTCTTACAGCGCGTATTCACAACATGATACTGCGATAACGACGGTAGAACTTGTCATTTATTTGTAGGTATGCTTGTCTTAGTCAATTCGTTCGTGACGTTCGTGAGAATACATGTTCGTTAGCTGTGGCGGGGGAAATTACAGGGCTCCGTGGCGTTAGCTTGGTACACGCCTCCCTTACTTATGACTTGATGCGCGGGCGCGGGCGGGGCAGACTTTCCTCGTTTGGCCCTTGTATAAACGATCAGCTCTACTACTAACTATCTAATTGACCACTCGAGTATGCATGGCATTACACAGAGGATTCTCAAGGCCTCAACAGCATTCTACATAGTAGCTTGGAAAACCACAGCATTGATCCGGGAACCAACCCACCGCCAAGCTCACAAGTACACTACTCCCTGCACCCGCACTTGATAGGGCTCAGTGTCGCCCTAATTTGCTAGGAAGCATCTGACCGTCGTAAAGAGCCGCTATCCCTTACTGTAGACTACCACGAACGCTCCAAATATCTGCCAAGATGTACATATCCAATCAGATTTCTTGCACTTGTATCTTACTTACATATATAGCCACAGGTACAAACAGTTACATCAGTTTTAATATTATCTTAGGAGAGATCTAAGTACTGGTTATGTTGATCTACTAGTAGGGGCTGTAAGAGACAAAGCACGTGATTAAAATCGGATCAGCAAAGTCTAAGGGATAGTCCTAATAGTTACTTAACTTAGGATCTTTGTAAGTAACACAATAGTTAAATCTCTCTTGAATAAGTCACTATCATAAGTAGCAGCGAAGCGTAGTTTTAAAACCATAAGATTGTAATCTTAGGTAGATTGCGCTTTTTGTGACCTATTTGTTGATGAATTACGCGAGATGTTTTTTCAGGTAGCTCACGCGTTTATAGACATGGGTATGACGCGACTTGCGTTTCCATGGTTACTTATACGTGTGACGTGACTTGCAATTTCTTGGACAGGGGGAAGGGGTGCCTGTGCATTCTAAGGACCACAGCCTAGTTGGACGGCGTGGACTCTTAGTGCTGGTTGCCTTAATGTCTACATCTCTAGCTGTTTGCCTTCATTCATTGCGCCACCTGCCCCGGCTCCCCCCAGGGGGTTAAAGATCATGGTTTCATCAGAGGCTTCTACTAGTGCAGCCGAGGCTTGCCATGCTTCCGTCTTACACTACCTGGATCGATGTGTTGAGATATGCGACCGACTGACATTCAGTAAAGGAAGTTCGGATGAGCCGTTGGGTATTCTCCTAGAAGCGGAGATCCAAGCTTTACAAACTCAAGTCTACACCCTCAAATTCGAGGTCGCCAATCGTGACCTGAATACGGTAGCCAAAGCTTTACTGGCGACAAAGGTATCGCTTCTAAATACCTTGAATTTGCTCGATTTTTACCGCCACGAGGAACGTCGCGGCCATGATGGTGCGCTGAATTCGCTATTTGCATCACGATACATTCTCAACCGCAACCAAGACTACCACGGTCCAAACGCACCGTATTCTGATGAGAAATATATTCGTATGGGCAAAGAACTCCATGAGTTAGTAAGCAGCTTAACGCAGGAAGCTGTTAACCCGGCAGCACACGCTTTCGAGAGACATCAGTATGGTTCCATCCCCAGCAAAGCAAAACCATCTCACTGATGTTTGTCCAAGATCCAGAATCGAAGCTTTCCTGCATCGCATCCATGAACAGTTTCGCCCACGTTGTATCAGCAAGTACCAAACAGCAGCCGATGTACCATTCATTCAAGATACAACCGGCCCTGCATACTCAGGCAGTTTTGGCGTTGTCAAGAAAGTCACCCATAAACGAACCCGAGAGCTTCTAGCAATGAAGACATTCTATAATGTTTTTTCAGTTAAGGAGAAAGATCAAATACGAAGAGAGATTGGTTTGCTAGAAGTTTGCTCCCACAGGAACATCGTACGCTATGTCGAAGCATTCAGCATGGACGACGATGAACATACCATACACTTAGTAATAGCACCTTGGGCGCCATACACCTTAACAAAGTTCCTCCGAACCCCCGACCTGACCCGAAGGAAACAATGTCCTTGGTTTGAACTGAACACTCCGAAATCGCATCGCTGTGTATATCGAATTATGTACGAACTTTCCGATGCACTCGGGTACCTCCACAGTCAATCAATAAAGCATAAGGACCTAAAGCCTGACAACATTCTTCTCTATCACGAGGAAAGCAATTATGTCATGCCAGTGATCACTGACGTTGGTGTCAGTAAAATCTTTGTGCGTGGAGCTGCGACGAAGTATACTGACAGCACATGGGAGTATCTTGCCCCAGAACAGCATGCAGAGAAGGAGAGCACCCCTACATCTGATATTTGGCAACTAGGATGCTGCTTTGCCGAGCTCCTCGCTGTAACGGCCGCAGGCACATCAGGATTTGAAGAGCTTCATGACAGTTTTAATAGAGATGATAAAGACTGTTCATGCTCAATCGCGTATGAGCATACTCGATTTATGGAGACATTGACCACAATCTGCATGTGTGGTAACGCTGCACTGGAGAGGGCATTCGAAGTCACCTCTGCTATGCTGGAGGTAGATCCATCTCTCAGACTAGAAATCGGGCTAGTCAAGTCCGCCCTTTCGGACTTACCTGGCTTGACTGATTCCTAAACCTAATGTACATTTAAGCGAATTTGTCTAGGTGGATGAGAGCGAAAAAGGGTATAATTAGGCAGGTTATAAGTGACCTAGATTGGTAAGCTTAGTAGGTAAGATGTGTAGGTATATTATCTATAGCTGTTAGATTTAAGGTATTTATTCAAGCTGTACTACGTAGAGATTGTGCTGGATATAACGATATGAAGATACCTAGATCTACACCAGCAAAGGTGTAACGGGGCCTGCATAAGCAAGATCCAACTAGCGCCTAAGCCATCCACACACTATCCCTTTAAGGGATAGGAACCCGTGTACCGAAGAAGCACTCAGGCGGGAGGTAGTCTCGGTAGTATGGATCCGACCTACCTATACTTAGTACCTCCAGGCAGACCCACATTCAGAACTACCGTACGGGGCGATCCGTTCAAACGTCCACCGAATTAATAATGATAAATAATGAGCAAATCAAGTATGGAGAATGTATCCTACCTAGGTAGCTCATACTCTGTTGCGAGGGAACTCTAGCCATTAGCTTACAAAACGAGCCAGGTTCTTGTTGTATGCTATTTGTAGAAATATTAGCTACTTGTATACATGTAATAGCATCAGAGCTGGTACCGGTATTAGGTAACTAGCATACATCGTGATCGCCGGTCGTGGGTAAAAAAGAAAAGTCGTCGGTAGTCTGAATTGGCTCTATTCACAATCCAATCATCTGCTGTTGTTTCCGAGGCTTCTGAGGCGCATGTGGCTCGATACGGATCTCTTCCGCCCCCATGGCTGACCTTATGCTGCTTATCTACCATTGGCTTGGTGTTCCTACAACCCCTCACGATGCGCCACTGTGTCTCAAGTTAGGGAGGGCTGGATAGCCTCGTCCTCATAAAGTGAAGGATTCCCTTGAATGACGACCGAGATGTGCATGTTAGGGGCGTACAGAATATCCAGGATATTTTATTCAGCGCGTTCAGCGCGTTTAGACCCTAGTTTGAGTCCATACTATCATGGCGCCTCCTGAATAATAGTGTAAATGAAGCCACCAACCGTTACTCTAAAGCTCTAGCACAATAAAGCTTATCGTCAAAATACTCGACATTATACCTTCCATTGCTCTAAACATTGGATATCTTACACATAATGTGAGGGCAAGGTAACTGTCTGGATTTCTACACTGGAATGGAAATTTTGACCATTGTCTAAAACCTTTGCAGACAGCGTCGAAACAGCTAGCAGTAGAATTCACGCTCGAACAAATATACATGATACTCGGGATTTCAGGGAAAAAATCATATTAAAATCAATGAATGACTAGCTGAACATCCAGCACTCTTTGCCACCACACCTCAATAGCAGAATTGACTACATCATGTCCTATTCTCCATCAATTCATCTTAGTAATAATGAGCGATATGTGCCTCCATGTCACATCACTTGATATATCTCACAAAACCTATCATTGAGCGTTTGCGGTATGAAATTTAGAGCCCAACGGGAGTTTCGCAGAGAACGGCTTGGCCGAGCTGAGAAACGCAGTATGTTAGAATCGCTTTTAACGTTCTTCTCCACTTGCGTTATGAATGCTACTTACAACAGGGACAACACAGCAGGCGGCTTGCTGGCCGCCTTTAGCGCAGATTGACTGAAAGCTGGCAGCGCTAGAGGGGGTGCTAGTGGCTATATCGCCACTTGGTGTCAGCTATCTTTGTGCATTCATCGCCAGTATGCTCAGGATATACGTACGAGAGGCACAATCGAGGTCAGCAACGCCTTCGACATCAACAGAGCAGCATTGCGGGTTACTGTAGAGACCCGGGGGGCAAGCCACGTAGGGAGCTGGGCTGCCGCCGCCGCCGCCGCCGCCGGTGCGCTTGACTGGGTTGGCCATAACGGCGGTGGCCAGGAGAGTGACGAACACGGTGGTGAACTGCATGTTGATTACGGGGACTGGAACTTTGAAGTTCGTTTGATGAGTGAGTGTGCAGGTGCAGGAGTGAAGGACTAAAAGCTCGAGTGTTTGTTGTGCTTGTTGATCGATGAAAAGTTGAGACAAGAGCAGGCGGAAACCTGAATATTTATATTCAGGAAATCTCTGCTGTTCTTCACTTCCATCGCCATAACGACTCCTGATTCTTGGTAATTTCGCACCCAGTAGAGGCCCCTGTGCTGTTGTGGATGGATGAAGCCCACCCCAAGGAATCAAGGCAGCACCCTCGCAAGGTCTCTTTCATCAGTTCAAGATGCAACGTGCCATGCTAATGTCCGGAGAAAAGAAACGAAGAAGTCGTGAGGCACCCCATGAGAGCTTGCCTGGTGACTGATCCTGAATTCACGGTGTGTTGTCTTCGTGAAAGGGGAAAGGATCGTCGTCAAGCCAATTTGGCGAACTTGAAGCTATACAGATGCTGTGGCATCTCTAATCGTGCCGATTTAGGAGAGTGCTCCCACAAGTCGAAGAAGGAAACGATCATCGATCAGAACCTTGTTTATGGCAATCCTCTGTGCAGAAAGTCACCTTCTGGCTTTCGGACGGCGGTAGCGTGATCTGGTACTGGCTCGTCTAAAGGAGATTGAACTTGAATAACAGACTAATCAGCAACCTCATGGCATGCAGTTCGTTCAATAGGAAGAAAATAGCTTGGTTACAGTGACGTCAAAGGCGTTCCTAGGAGAAAATCCCGTATATAAATTTATTACCAAATGCTCCAGCCCGTCTCCCAAGAGAGTCGCAGTACCCCAGTGTGTGTTTAGACAATATAAGGCCAGGGCTGAGTATTATACATGCATCCGCAGACTCCTGACTTCTGGCACCGAGAATCGGGAATTTCCCCGCAACTGGGCATCTTGATAATGTGTACCTATCTCAGCCCAGCATGCCTACTTCCTAAGGGCCAAACCTTGGTTGAGAGTTGTTCCAGCCATTCGCTGTTGCTGTTGTAATAACCCCTGTAGATGGCAAGTGCAGCGTTTACCGTACTACGCTACACTGCCGAAGTATGGGAAATCTCCGCCTGAGACTGGATGATCCTTCGGCTAAAATCGTCAGCAAATCCGTCCGGGATTCAGTTTGGACAAGATCCAGTACCTGAGCCCATCTCGCAGAAAGTTGGTGGACTGGTCAGGCATCTGAGGATCGATCCGATTTGCAAAAAAATAAATTGTGCCGTTGACCAAATAGGAACCTCGGCCGACCTCCGGTAGACCCGACTAGCAAAATATGCATGCAAGCTGACCGTTGAGAATGTGGCTTCAAGCGCTCGCATCATACTAGTGGACGTGCAGGCAAACAGGGCTTCTGGCGATGCAGCCATCCTTCATAATCGGATGATACATAGGCACACCTACGTCGGTATAGGCGTCCGTGCTCGCTGGGAACCACGCGCTGAATGGTGTGAAATCTGCCTGCTTACATACATGAGCCGTTCGTTTCTTTGGAGTTGGTGTGGAGTCCTGCGCTGTCAGTCTTTGCTGACCGGTCCAACATGTACCCGCCCCCTGTCCCGTATACGTGACAAGGACAAGGGTCGACGGCCGCATCCAATCTCTGCACGATAATCAGATTCCTGTCTGGTTCATGATCAGGCTTCCCTATTGTAAATCTGGGGTTGGGGGCTAGCAATTCTCATTAATTATGCCACTCTTTTGTAATCTTCCGGTGATTCTCAACAAGTTCAGCCAAACGGGTTATGAACAGGAGATCTTCTTTGATCTCAAGTATCAGCGTAGAGACGTGGTCACAAGCGCACAACTCACACATTTTCTGGCAATCTTAGGTAGACGCTCGGAGATGACGCGGCTGCTAGCTCATGAATGGTTGTATTATCAAAACACGAACTTGGGAGGCTGTTCGTTGGTTTGGTATGCATTGGGTAACACGACTCTAAGAGGCACTGTAGAACGGCAAGAAATCCTGGCCTCTATGAGGCAGCCCTGACCCCGCCCATTCCGCCATCTGCATGTAAAAGTCCAGCTGCAAAGGTGATAGGCTTGTTTACCAGTCCAATTCCTGCGTGTTGGTTTTGCGTGGTGTCGTAGGATGTCTCGAAACGGTCCGAACGCTCTTGTACAGAGGGTTTATGGCGTCGTCGCTTCGCTTTACGGGAGCGCGCCAAGTTCTCTTGATTGAGATACCGAAATAATGGGGGCCGGAACAGAGCCTGTCCCAGTGACTTCATAGATCTAGGCTGGGACTTGGCTGCATCGCTGAGTTTGACGTCAAGATGCCGTTGGGGCCACCAGATGCACTCCACTTCAGTGAGTGACAACCTCCTTGATGCTCGAAGAATGTAACGTCGCCAGCCACGTCCGGGACATGAATATCCTAATGTCTTTTCCCCAAAACATGAAAACAAGCAGAAAGAGGTTGTTTGCTAACAACACCCCTCCAAAAATACCCGACAGAACCACTGCATAGCCACTCTCCATTACCCAGGTGAGTACTTTCAGGCCGAATCCGAAAGAAATGACCCTACATAGATGTTTGGTGTTAGAAGCTATCGTTCCATGGCACAACCATTAACTTGTGCTGGGGCGTCTATTCAAAATCATGTGGTGGCGTAAGGGGCACTTTCGCTAAGGCAATAAAGAAAGGTGTTCGGGATGCGTACTGTTTACCAAGGTTCATGGCTATTATCATCTCAGAGAAGTTCGAGCTATATGAGTCCACAGCATATGCAAGTGTGAAGGAGAAATAAAAGTAAGCGGCAAAGTACGACATTGCTCCCCCAATGAAGTAGAGCACCCAATGCAGACTCTTCTCGGCTATGATGCCGTACAGGATAATGCCAGCCGGCCCAATCAGCACTGTAAGAAATCAAGGATTAGTATTGCAGGTAGCACTGAGACTTATTTTCGGGATGCTCGGACGCATGCCAAAACATGACAAAAGAAGTTTGAGCTCTTCTTGGTAAGGAAATAGAACGAAGACCGGAATGCGTACTTGCAGGCAACATAACCCCTAGACGCATTTCTGCTTCACGAATCCCGCCGTTGCGTTTGGTCAAGTAAGCGGCAAGTTTATCAGATGATGACGTGAATGGCACGGCAAGTGCATACCCTACGAGGGCAGCTATCGCGAATAAACCGGAATTGATCTATACAATATTAGCTTGACGTTTCATCAGTATGGTGAGAGGCGCACATGCCACAGTCCAGTTGTAAGGTGGTGATGTGATGAGAATTGGAAAGGTGTACGAATATGCGAGCCCCAATAAGCCAATGTTAATACCATAGGAGGCGATGACCCAAAGCGCTTGGGGTACTAGAAAGTAGGTGAAGCTTCTTGCCATCATTGTGAAAAATGGAACATCACGGTCGACTCTACCCCAGGGGCTGAGAGTCTTAACGAATGATTTGCGAGGCGGAGTTGGCGCATCTGACCGCTCTATCCAACCCTGATTGGCCTTTTCTTCCTCCGTCGGTGCCGTTGACATAATCATGGCTGCTTTGCGGTCATACGAGGTCTCTTCAACAAAGAGAAAGGCCAGTATGAGTAATGTGGCGCCAAATGCGAACACAACATAGAAGAAAAGTTGCCAACCATAGCCCCCCGCCAAGATATAGCCTGCTGGTAACGACGCGGCCGACCCCAAACAAAGACAAACTAGGCATGCAAGCATCAGCAGTGAGCGGTGTTTTGCAAATTCGTGGCTCTGAAATACCTGTGTAGTAGCCAATCCTCTCGCCCCGTTCATGTAGGAAAAAGATGTCATTTACCAACTGAACCGGGAGTGCCTCGCAGACACAGGAGCCAAGGGCGTGGATCACTCGAGAAGCCATCAGACCACCATATGTAGTGCTCTGTGAAGCACCGATGATTCCGCCACAGAACTCCAATTGATTAGTCGTGGCCCCCTGCGCACCACCAGCGATGTACTTACTATGATAAGAGATACCAGTAAGATGGGTCTACGTCCGAACTTCAAGTACAATGGCACAAACACTAATGACCCTACACGATATCAGTACCATAATCACTGTTCTCTCTTAAAGACTCGGCTTACCGAAGCCAAAAGCGAGGTTAGGGTATGAAATGAGTTCGGACGCCTGGGTAGGAGAAATGCCAAATTCCGATGCCCAAAGGTCGATGTAGGGCGATGGTCCAAGAAGTGCGGAGTTCGCCAGGAAGGAATAGAATGAACATATTATCAAAATCATTGTCTTCTTGAAGTTCGACCACTAATATTGGATTAGTCAAACCTCACGCTGATGACGGTCCGCATCTCACCTGTAGAGGGTCATTGGGGTCTTCTGCAGGGACCGGAAAAAGTGCTTGACCATATCCAGTATCGTCACCCTCTATATTAGTGGCGCGTGAGCTCTTATCTCGTGAAATCTTCAAGATGTCGACATACCGGCCGCATTGAGGTTTACCGTCCCGGGCACATCTTCTTCATGGGCATGGCTGTGGACTAGATGATGCCTGTTTTCCTCAGTGGTGCGACTCATGGTGGCCGAATAAGCTCTCAGTAACAGCGCATCGATTGAGCGCCCGACAAATATAGACCCTAACTGTTCGGCGAGTATAGTACTGTGATGCAGACTGTTCGGTAAGCTATTTACAATCAAGTACTTCTCCTGATAGCCAATGTTACTTGTATAGGGCCATCTAACGCGCTTTATATAATATTTAGACTTGCCAGTCGTTGCCCCTCCTCCCGCTAAGGAACAAGAGCCGAATGGTCATACCGGGGCCAGTACTATTGCGGAGATTATAACCGTGGGGGCATACGGGGAATCCCTGATATGATTCTTGTCGTATTCCAAAAGTGGCAGTTCTCTGTTTTAGATAGCGTGCCAATGTCGCGCCAGTATCGTGCCAAGGCCGTGTCTAATTGCTGATAAAGGCCGTGCGATAAGTTTGTTTGAACGTCGTGAATATTGCGAGGCCTATAGGTTTTGTAGGCAAAGGGGAATCATGGTTAATTGGGTGGTGTTGCGCAATTGAGCAGCTCGCGCTCGCCATTGAACCTCTCGCCTAGCATATTTTATCCGGGCCAGTCCCCGGGCACACGGTCAACCATCCGGACGAATCTTATATTGAGCCAGGAATGACTGAGTGAATGCCTTGATTCAGGAACTCTTGTCGCTCTATTGCTAATAGCGACCGCTGCACATTGATAAGAACGTAGGTAGACCAATGACGGTTGCTGGTCAAAGAGTGAAAAGGGAATAGCTGAGATTGAAGGCTGTATACAACTCACATGACATGCACATAATTGTATGAGACGCCATAAATATGACAGAATGCGCTAGATGCATGAGACGGAATGCTCTTCACCAGCCTTTTGAATAACTATAATTTGTTTCGTGATACTTCAGGGGCCAGATATTCACTAGGTGCACGTTAGACAATACACGAACGAAAGTAATGCGGGAAATTCTCCGTGCTAAAGGGTATCATCTACGAGTATCCACAGATTAGCTGTTGCGCATGTTGAGCCCATGATCAACCTGTAGTAGTGACAGCGCTGCAAATGAGCTCAAGACGGGGTCTTCACATGCCGCTTTACAGATCAGTCGTGTTCAGTTCATAGCTAAGCGTCAGCACTTTCCACGGCGCTTTCTTCACCCCAGACGCCTCTTGTCTCTTGCTCAACAGCTCTCATAGCAATAGCAACCTCTTCAAGCTTAGCAACAACATCTCTCACACCTTGGTCTACTTTGCTGAAGTATCGATCATTCGCCTCCCTCCTATTTCTAGCAAGGAGAATATCTCGCTCCGTTTCCTCTTCAAGCTTGGCGCCGAGCTTCTCGCCGTCGAGGCCACTATTGCCGGGCTGTGCACTCCCAGTTCCCATAGTGCTTTTGCCCGTATCTGTACCTTCGGCAGCGGCCTTGGCAACCCCGGACGGAATAGTGGAATTTTGAGTAGCACTAGCAGCTACGGCTGCCGCCATACCTCCTACCTCGCCCAAGGCGCCTTTTAGATTTCGTACCTCAGTCTCCGAGACAACGGGTCCGCCAGCGGCGTCATCAGCTTCGCTTCGCGCCCAAGCTTGCGCCAGAGCAATCTGGGCAGCTCGCAATTGCGCTAACTTGCGATCATGATCAGGCCCAAATACGTGGGTCCCACCACTGGCGGACAGTTCGGCCTCTTCGAGGGTTGCCTGCATCTCGGCCCATAGCGCGTCGGTTCTATCGGTGGTTCTGGTCGAGTCGCCGGTCTGAAGACGAGGAAATGGACGATTTAGAGGATTGAGTAGAGAGCCTGTGCGAGAAAGAGGAGGCGGTGCTTGTGACTGCTGAGTGGACAAGCCAGCCGATGGCAGTCCAGGGCCCGCAGCAACAACTCCTGACAGCGAAACATGCGATGCACTTGGCGATGGACGGAGAAAGAGGCTAGGAGGAGGGTCACGAGCTTTCGAATCTCTCGGTTTCGATTTGTTCTGCGACATGGCTACATCTTGAGGATTACGAGGTAGAGCGATTAAGACATGCCAGTGTCGGCGCTTGTTTACTTGGAGAGTAGGTAGGTAACCTACCTACGACTTAAGAACTAAGCTCAGTTACCTACTTGTAACTGGAAGTAAATGCAGGCTTATCTGGAATGATTAGATAGATGAGAGAGATAAGGCACATATGGAAGCGCCACGGCCTTAGCCACGAGATGGGTACCTAGGTACATTGAAAACTAGAGCTGAGCCACTTGCATCTCCTACCAGCCACAGAGAACCCACTCGGCCTATTCTCTCTAGGGCAAACCCTTCAATTTTCAACCTCCAGCGCCCCTCTGTGCAAAAATTAACCGAGAGAACTTCCTATCCATGCGAGTGAAGTGAACAGAGCAGCCAGCCAACTAATCCCCCAACCATCATCAACAAACCCATTTTCTAGCGATATCACCATTAAATCGGTAGGTCTCACTCTAGTATACAACAATCTCTACAATTGCCAGCCATTCCTCTCGATTCCCCGATTTTTACACGCTTTCACCGACCGAATACTTCCGTAACGAACCATACACCATTCGCGCGCGCACTCACCTCCGACCTCTACCGAACCCGCTCGCTAACTTTTCTATTCAGCAATCATGGGTAAAGGCAAGCCTCGTGGTCTCAACGCGGCCAGAAAGCTCCGCACCCACCGTAAGGACCAGCGCTGGGCCGATCTGGGATACAAGAAGCGTGCTCTCGGTACCGCCTTCAAGTCTTCGCCGTTCGGTGGTTCTTCCCACGCCAAGGGTATCGTCCTCGAGAAGGTTGGTGTCGAAGCCAAACAGCCCAACTCGGCCATTCGAAAGTGTGTCCGTGTTCAACTCATCAAGAACGGCAAGAAAGTTACTGCTTTCGGTACGGAGCCCCATTCTCTTACCAACTCCATATGGAGAAGTACCGCCAGCCTGGATTGTACCATTTCCAGTTGCTAGGCTTGGACGAATCTGGTCCTATGACGCAGTGGCTAACAATTGAATACTCACAGTTCCCAATGACGGTTGCTTGAACTTCGTCGATGAGAACGACGAAGTCCTCATTGCCGGTTTCGGTCGTAAGGGCAAGGCCAAGGGTGATATTCCTGGTGTACGATTCAAGGTCGTCAAGGTGTCAGGTGTCGGTCTGCTAGCTCTGTGGAAGGAGAAGAAGGAGAAGCCTAGATCATAAACGAAGTCTCCAACGGACCGGGGAGTCATGAGAGATGAGGATAAAATTCTGTGTGACGAATTCAAGGTTCACCATTGGGAATGTGGAGTCGAAAGGGCTTGCTTGATTTTCTACCAGCATCATAGGTTCGGGCCTTCATACACACAATCTTCCTAGGTTGATCAGATCCGGAAATAGAGATCTTAGTATCATCCATCCAAACAACAAACTTAACGGACTTTTCTTTGCATTGACGTGTATGCTGCCATGTTCCGGTGCCATGTTCCTCGCTGCACAGAAGTTATCGCCAGTCCTGGTCGGAAACAGTTTACTTTTTCTATAGTGAACCGCTCTGTCAATGAACTGAATATAAACAAACAAAACTCAACTTGAAAGCTATATGTTGCCCCTTGATATTTGGCCTCGAGAATATCCGAAGTATGGCAATTACGAGTTCATCTAGTTTTCTACATAATGATTTATTGTACATATTATGAGGAGCTCTCCATATTTTTAGGTGACCATCATTCTCAAACAGCGTAGTCGTACAACCGGCCGCTCCGCCTAACCTCATCATGCGGTTTGGGTTTCTATCTCTGGTTGGTTGTTGTCCGTGAGATACTGAATTAAGTAATCGGCCCCGAGTCCAAAACTAATGACACCACCAGTAATCCAACAGCCGTGGACGAACCACCACCAACAATTCTTGACACTCTTCAAGTTGACTTTTTTGATCATATAGCCCAGAGTCAAAGCAGCTCCACCACAGCTTCCGATGAAGAATGCTGGGCCGGCTCCAGATGCGATCCCTGCAGCAGCAAGCAGTCCTATCTGGACAACAGCCAAGCCGCCAAGCACCTTCTTCGTATCCGCGTCGTGTTTCAGCGCAATGCTCTTGATACCTGCCTTCGCATCATCCTTAATATCCATATGTGCATAGATCATGTCGTACAACACAGTCCAAGAGACATTGCTTGCGTACAACAGGGCAGCAGCAGTCCTTAAGGCACCAGCGTCTGCGGCAAGTAGATCCACGCCGAGCGCAGGAAACCCCATCATAGCCCCCCAGGAGAATGTCAGGCCAAGAACGAACTGAGGGTAGTACGTGACACGCTTCGCCAAGGGATACGTCGCCACAAGCAGAAGACTGGGGATTCCATAGAACAGACATACGAACGGAAATTGTAAGAGAACCACCAGGCCAGTCAGTAGCTGAGCACCGGTGAATGCGAAGGCTTTGAAAGGCGTTAAGGCGCCACGAGCAATGGGCCGCAAACGTGTTCGGGCTACCTTGGGGTCGAGATTCCTGTCCCAAAGGTCGTTGATGCTGCATCCGGCGCTGCGCATGATTAACGCGCCAGAGAAGAACAGGGCAGAGGTTCCCAAAACCGAGAGCGGCGATGCCACCGGAGTAGTGAGGGGCGCTGCGAGAAGGGTGGAGAAAAGACAGGGAAAGAAGAGATAAATCGTTCCTGCCGGCTTCTCAAGACGCATAAGCTCTGCGTAGGGAACCCATGATGGAGGGAGACGAGATAGCAACCCAGTTGTTGGTGGTGAGTAAGGCTCCGGTATTACTGGTGAGGAGGGCGAGTCAAGAGTATGGGCTCGGCGTTGAGAAGCTGAGGCGAGGGATATTGGTATCAGCTGTGTTGGCTTTACAAAGCTCACAGCTGTCTGGCGTGCTAAGGGGCTCTTTATCCTTGATGTTGTAGAAACATGCCGTCCTAAGCGTGACGCTATTATACCCCGGCAGAGCGGTCTTGTTCTGCAGCAAATACTTGCAAACCGCATCTCCCCTTTTCTTCAGATGTCCTAGACCCTAGACCTGTATTGAATGTCAATATTTATTTCTCGTATAAAACAAGAGGGATTCGGGCTGCATCCCAAATAGAGGAGCGCGAAATTCGTAAGGATTAGATCCATATTATTTCCTCCTCATAGGATAGATAGGATATAATAAAGAGAGACACTATACTCACAACTTACCTCACTTTCATATGCTGTCATGACTTGCAAAGAAATCCTAGCTCTTCGACCCCAAGATTCATGAATGCAGATCCTACTTAGTAGGCTCTGAAGGTTAAAGGGGATTCCCCGTGAACCGTTGGATCTTTGCCCGTGGCAGTGCTTTCTTACTTCCGCAGCTTTCTAGGTCTTCTGCAGCAGAAATTGGCCCCAACTGCCCGGCAGCTGGTCATTGGAGGTTGAATCATGCTGGGTGTACCTTTTGTGGCCCGCACCAGTTGCCTGGCGTGTTGCTACTTATCGATTGGGAAGAGGCTACCTAGGTACATGGAGTTAAGGCTCTAGGTAACTCCTCTAGCGTCTCAACTACCTCTGTGCCTGCTACACGTAAGTACCTACCTCGCCTACCTACATACATAGTACCTACTTAGGTAAGTACCTACCTAGATCTAGGAACTCACTTACTCGACCCTGAGGTCCATCTCAGAGACACTACAGGTAACTATCTCTAAATGCATTCCCAACAATCTTCCAAGTAAGATGTACCGGCTCACAGCTGTGCCTCGACGTCGAACTCGGTCCTAAAACAAATACACTTGTTTCATGTCGCCAGACTCTCGCGCTGGTGCTCTGTTTGCGCAATACCGCATGTCGTCGCGGTGACGCGCCCGAGGTTATTGTGAATTCGCATCAACTGGGTCATACTTGGTAAGAACCATCGCCACGCGCATCCATCGCCACTACATCTGCTTGAAATCCCCAGCTCAAAATGCCGAGTGCGCTACATCCTCAGGCCAAGTTCGATCCAATACCTCCGGATCTCGACCTCCATGGCCTAGTCGATCGAACTCCCAACTTTGACTGGGTAACGCGCGTCTCCATAGCCCAGATCCGACGTCTTGGCCCAGCCGGCTTTGAGAAACTCGTGCAGCTTCATGTCATAGAAGGCGGGCGACCATTGGTAATCGAAGGCTGGGACAGGGTTCTGCCAAAGGATCTATTCAGCGCTGCGTGGCTAGAGGAAACATGCGACAAGAAACGTAAGCTTTTGTGCCTCTATCCTGCACTGTGGGCGATGCTAACCTCCCGAGCAGAGGAAAATGTCCGCGATGTCACGGCGCAGACAGATATTCCCATGACCACCGGTCATTACTTGCGATCAATGCAACAACTTACAAACCAGTGGAGCCCAACCAACTTTCGCGACGAGCGCCGACAGCGCCTATACCTCAAAGATATTGACTGCCCAGAGGAGTGGTTTCAACATTTGAAGAAAATAATACCGCCTAATGTCTTTTATATGAACGAGAATGTCAATGAGAACCCCAGTCGTAACTCCCGGGATGACGATATTTTTGGTGTCCCGGAGAAAACATCAGCAATTGCCGGTGATCTCATGAGCAGCCTGGACCCGGAGATGCGGGCACAAAACCTCATGTGTTACATTGGTCATGAAGGGACATACACTCCAGCGCATCGAGAAATGTGCGCAAGCTTGGGTCAGAATATCATGGTTAACGCATCTGGGGACGAGAACGGGGAAAAGCCAGGGAGTTCAATCTGGTTTATGACAGAGACAAAAGACCGCGAAGTTGTGCGAGAGTATTTCCTCTCGATGCTCGGTCATGATATCGAGATTGAAAAGCATTTTGCCCAGATCAATGCCTGGAAAAAGGCAAACTTCCCTGTGTATATCGTCGAGCAAAAAGTGGGCGATTTCATATTGGTACCACCTCTCGCGCCCCATCAAGTTTGGAATAGAGGCACGAGAACAATGAAGGTTGCATGGAATAGAACAACCGTGGAAACGCTTGACCTTGCACTACATGAGGCCCTTCCAAAAGCCCGGCTTGTTTGTCGAGATGAGCAATACAAAAACAAGGCCATCATCTACTATACCCTCGAAAAATACTACAAGGAACTTCAATCATTTGAGGATAGCCCTGAGGTCAGCTGGCTGGGGCTTGGTCAAGAACTCATGCAAAACTCAGCTCGTATGAAGCAGATGGCTCACGATTTTAAAAGGCTATTCAAATTATTTACCGAAATACTAGTCGACGAGATGTTCCATGACAAAGAGATGAATGTTGAGCACATTCCGTTTGACTCAAACATCACCTGCTCATACTGCAGATCTAATATCTTTAACCGGTTCCTGACATGCAAATCTTGCGTGCGGCAGCTCATAAATGGTGATGAAGACACATATGACGTTTGCATGGAATGTTATGCTATGGGTCGCTCTTGTGTATGCATTTCTGGGCTTAAATGGTGCGAGCAATGGCAATGGTCCGAACTTGTCGACAAACACGAAACTTGGCGTGCGATGATTATAGAGCAAGACGGCTTTGTCGACATCGATTTTTCTCCTCAGCCTCTCGAATTAGCCAGAAAGTTATCAGGCAAAAAAGCAGTAGCTCAGATCTGTCAAGAACAGCTGCGAAGACGGCCATGGAATGACATTACAAAACCACCTGAACGGCAACCTGAGGAGTCAGATGATCCCGAGGTTGATGACGAAGGTCGAATCAAGAAGAAACCCAAGGGAAGGAAGAAGAAACAGGGCGAGACTTACCGTTGCCATGTATGCAGTCACAAAGATTTTACTTACAAGCTGCATTTCTGTGCGACATGTACTTCAGCTTACTGCTATGGCGTCATGTGGCGAGCATTTGACATGATGCCGCAAGCTATCATGGAGCAAGAACATTGGCAATGTCCAAAGTGTCTCAAAATTTGCAACTGTGGTGCGTGTCGGCAAAGTGGGAACACTGAACCATACATTCCGAAGAACACGCTGTTAGGCCATGACACTCGGCCCATTGCGGATGATAGAAGTGTGGAGTCCATTGTTGACTTCCGTTCTCACAACTTGGGTTGGTTGAAAGTGGTTGGTGAGGAAAATCGCAGCAAGGATTCGAAACGAATGAATCGACTACGACAACAGGCCGATGCTGAGAAAGCCAAGAATCCGCTGGCACCATTGCAGACGAGTAACGCCCCCCGCGAGATGGACTCGGCACTTCAGGACTCCATAATGAACGGATACGGCAACCAGAGCCACATTGTTGATGATGAAGTACAGGAGGAGGAAGGTGACCAAAATCCCGAAGTCCCACCTGTTTCACATGGAGAACCAGGCAGCCAAGTGGAAACAGCGGATATGTCTGGGCTGCAGGATGCCGAAGGCGAATCTGTTTATCCAGACTTGTCAAACTATCCCGATCCCACCCTGCTAGATAGAGGACGTATGATGGGTGTCGGGTTTTACGAACAAGATGAGAGTACTGACAGGATTTTGTTCGATGCTTTCCAAATGCCCACTGCAGATGCATTGAATAGTGAACCTCAGATGTCCGATTTTGTCAAGAAAACATTGCGCCTTGCAAAAAGAAGAGCAAGGCTCGAACAAGATGATGATCCAGATTTTCAAGGTCCGAAAAGTCACAAGAAAAAACCAAGGACTGGCAATATTGAACAGCTGGTCAATTTAGACCCAGCTTTACTAGGTGTCCTCGGTGACAGTACTCCCACACCAACCCACGAACCAAATTCTAATCGTCCGGCTACTCAAGATCCAACAGAAGGAATAGAAGGGCAACAGGGAGGGCAACAGGGAGAGAATATAACCCCGGCGCCCAAGCCCAAGCCGACACGGCCTCCACTGCCCATTGATCCATTACGACCAACACTTCGACATGCTAAGCCCATGACGTCGTACATTGAGGCTGAAGAACCTGTAGAAGATCCGGACGACACAATTCCTATAAGGATTAGCAATGAGCAAGTACCGTCGGCAGTAGATTTGGCAGCAGAAGCGGTTCGTGCTATTACGGATACACCTGCACCGCAAGCGGAATCACCGAACACAGAGCCAACAACACAATATACTGGTAAAAAACGAGGACGACGACCACAAAGTTCACTTAGCACAGACTCATCGCCGCCTACAGGGGCAAAGCGGCGAGGTCGTCCTCCTGGAAGAGGCCGAGCACGGAGATCAACCCTCAATCGAGTCGAGAATCTTGAAGATGCCACTATGGTCGATGTGGACAACCAGGCTGACGATAGTGGTCAAAACAACGCTAACAGTATCGAAGAGAATGTGACCGTGGATGAGCTAGAGGCCCAACTAGTGGAAGAACTAGGATCACCCGAAGACGATGATGTGAAGTCGGATTATACTCCTTCACAGAACGGCCCGAGCAAACGCAGAGGTCGTCCTCCAGGCGCTAAACGTTCCCAGCCGTCGGCGGTGCCTCCCACGGAGTCTAAAACGGTCCTAGAACCCACTAAAGACTTTCGATCCATGTCTATGCAAGAGAGGATGGCTCTAAGGGGCAAGAAGATCCGCATCGGACAACGTGGTCGTGCACGAGATACCGGTATATCCGGAAATAGTACGCCAACACCCACGGTGTCTGCACCAAAGTCGGATCTTCCCGCCCTAAATATGGATGCCGAGGAACCTAGCACTACTCCTAAGCGTGGCCGTGCTGAACTCGTTGATGACGATTTTGAACCTCTCGCGGTCGAACAATCGCCGTCTGTCTCATCGGCGTCAGACCCTGATGAAGCGCCACCGCCACGGCGAGTTTCAAGTAAGCCAGGTGGACCAACTGTTGTCAGATTGGCTTCCTCTGATGAAAGTTCTGCAGGTTCTGCGTTCGATTCAAGCGAGGACGAGATCCCAGCAAGGAAAATCTTATCGACTCGTGGTAGAGGCCGGGGCAGAGGACGAGGTAGCCGATGGGCCACGCGTGGTCGGACATAATTGAGGTGTTAGTTGTGACTTAATATTTGTGAAGAAAGCCCTCGTTGCAATTATTGATTTAAAATTTGGAACGGGAACGGGGCTACCTTGGCAATGATTGCAATGTTATGATACCAAAATACTGAAGGCTTCAACTTAGCTTTGAACCCCAAAAGGAGTAAAATGTCTGCAAACATTACTTGTTACTAGTACGTAAACTGCGGTAGGCCTAACTCCCTCGTTTCGAATTTGCCCTTCTTCGGAATCGTCAAATCTATCCGGTCGTGCTCCGTCACAACCCCGAAAGGCGAGCATGTCACTTTCAGATGGTTGTTCCAGGTGACGTTGACGTCCTCTAATGGCTACAATGCTAGGTGCAATTAGTGAACCTTGCGATATAGCACCAGTAGTAATACTTGCTGTGATCGACTTCGACGGCCAGCTGATAGTCGTTCAGTGGGCTGGTTGTATGTACACCGACCGCGTGACGTGATTAGGGATAGAAAGTTCAGATAATACGATCTTAGAGTAAGGCTATCGAGTATACCAAGGGCGTGCAAATGGACTAGTTGTCCGTAAAAAACGATATTACTATTATATAGACAGCTTTTTTCTGTCTTCGTAGCTGCCAAAGCTCTCTGAAATGTCTCACATCAGCAGGGACTAAGCAGTTTTATCCAAGACGGTCTCGTATAGTATCAAGATTCGACTCATTTACACCTTCTGTATACCACCGGGGTCTTTTTCTTGACGACTAGAAGAATCAAGACTAGCGAAAAAGCAATTCTTGCATCCAGCAGCGATGTCAGCGGAGACGCGGCTCGGGGCTGAGATATGGTTCGATCTTGGCCTGAAGCTACCTACGTTCTGCACTATGTCCAATAAATGGGCGGCTATTGATCGTTGTGAGAAATGAAAGCAAGACCCATATATGAGTATATATATATATATATGTGTGTGTGTGTGTGTGTGTGTGTGGTCTTCCTACATATGCAACGGTTCACACACTCCTGCCTTAGATCTTCTCCTTAACTAATCGAAAATGCGGCGCTTAATTGCAGCTACTCTCGCTCTTACTGGTATCACTATCGCAGACACGTCAGCGAAGTTCCGTCTGCGCACCGCCAACAACCCCGCCGTCGCAGATTGGGCAATTTTGAACACACGGTACGATGAGGGGACATACCTAGTCTACGTTCAGCAATCCCAGGGATACCAGTCCGACGTGTCCTTTTTAGATGGTGACTTATTATTCTTTGGTGCGTGAATAATCTTCTTTTCTTTCTAGCAGATGACGTGAAGCTCTACTTTGACTTCAAGGACGCAATCAATCTCTATATACTGACTTGACAATCTTTCACTCGCCACAGAGATTCCCTTCGAATCAATCGCGCACGGTCTTCGCGTTCCTGACGTCCCAGAGGGCCAAGTCAGTGAAGTGTATACACAGCAGGGCAAAGGCGTTCCGGGCTTCGTGCTCAGCGATGATGGTTATCTGATGTACAACGGTACTGTAGAAGGTAACGGTTACTAGTAAAAGCCTCGAGGTGAAGTATACAAAGTAGCTAATCTTGACTTGAATTATCCAGGCTGGTGGGCATGCCCCATCAACGACGTCTACTCACTCTTTTACGGCGTCGAGCCCGACGAGGCGAACCTCCCTAGCATCCTATGTCAAAGCTTTCAGCTTGCTTTTGAATATATCTGAAGGTGGACACAGCTCGATTGCGTGTCTTGGACTTGAAGGAGCAGGGCACGCCGGGAGTGGGGGCCACGAGTTCGTAGAAGCTTACAAGAATCACACTACACGACATCAAGTCTGATTCTTATAGATCTCGTATCATCTCTCATAGACTTCCTGACGAACGGCTACAAGAGCATTTGGATAATATTCAGAGAAGATTAGCATGGCTCCTGCACTAGATGACACGTGCAATCAAAGAGATGCAACTATTTCCCCCCCTTCTTGTCTGTTGCTGTTTGCTCCGTAATAATAATCTCTACGCTCCCCGGTTTATCTATTGACGAGCGGATAGAATCCTGAGTTCTCCAGAGGCCATGGTCGTACGTGATGTTCTGTTGTTCTGTCTCGAACAATATTGAATGCGCAACTACCCGTAGTTAAGAGCCTACTTAAGGACATGTCGATGGGCTATGGTCTGGCATATTTTGCAATATATAAGTCTATGTACGAAATTACCGAGCCAGACCGTGTCGTCTCCGCATCAGTAAACAGCACTTTCATCAAGATTACATAGAGGAATCGTAAACCAGGCATCACGTATGATGCTCTAGCAGGAAGTGCTGGCATTGACTACAAGCGGTGATGACAGACCTGGACACCAATCCACTGATACAAATTGGAAGCGCGAGGACTACGACAGGTAAGTGTGATTTCAGAAGGCCTCATTTGACGACAAATGCAACTCCAAAACTGGCAGTCAGATTAAGACTTATCAAAACTGACCGTCGAGGCCACTTGGGGATCTGATCATTAGGCCTAAGGATTACCTGTCTAGACTGTGAGCGACATAAATCGAAAGACGAATTAGCCTGTGCTCAATCTAGATAGACGGGATATATAGTTGGTAATAACAATATTCAGGTGTTATTAGAGTGAAATGTTATTGTTCTCATCATTTCTGAGAGTAAGAAAAGCAGACCCAGTAACGAATTCATCATACAAGCGAGAAAAGCGGAACAACGGGTTCGCACAAAACAAACGAATGAGATACTCACCTACAGTAACCACCTAGAGTAATGCCGTCCCCTCCAGATTCGCGAAGTGAGAAGGATACGCAGTGTGCGAGTCGCTAATGCTAAGCGCACCGCCTCATCAATTCAGGTTGCGGTGAAGACGGTGAAGTTGTAGAGGTGAGGATTTAAAGCTAAGTCCCACAGTCACAGTAGTGCAATGCTGCTGACCCTGCATGACAGGGAACAGCCTGCCTAATAACGGTACGGGAAACCCACATTGGTAGGTACAATGCCCGGACAGATAAATCCGTGAATAGTACACATCATATTATAGAGCAGAAGCTGTAGAGTTTACTAGTATTTTCTATACAATTTTTACTTCAATACTTCTGGTAGTGGTGGTGGTGGTGGGTCTAAAATCAGAGTGCACGGATCTATCTGTCCGATGGGTGTAGTAATGATGATGTCACTTGTCTTTAGTTGAACTTCACACACAAGATTAATAGCATGAATCACGAACTATAACTCTGGGCTCGTTCGAGACATATTTATGAAGTAAAATAATACTTTGTATTATCTATCAAGTTAACTAATCTATCACACAATATGTCTCTCGCAGCTTTTCGCAAGCAAGCACATCACGATGAGCTCACGAAGCTCGCCAACGAGCACATAAACACAGATCTCGAACAGTCCGACCGCGAGGCGCTGATGAAAGCTACAACGAGAATTGCCACAAGCACGACAGTGGGCTCGCTGGTCGGGCTGGGTTTAGGTCTGTACGCCGCCATCCGGCTAAGAAAGGTCCGCACCGATATGTTCGCGGCTTTCCGCGCCGCCGAAAAGCCATCGTCCGTCGTTTTCGCAAACGGAAGACAAGGTCAGTAGTTTCAATGCCACACAGCATGTCTTTTGTCCCCAATTGATACATGTACGGAGGTCGAGGTCGTATATGTCCATCACTCTTAGTTTTGGCCTACCATGCCAAGCCTGATGTATATTTGCGACCCGAACCTATGTATAATACACAACGGTCGAGTCAGTTTCAGTGTGTATGTTGTAAGAGACACTGCTAAGACAAGTCATGATGTTGCAGAGCCAATCCCCGACGTAACACCTTATATGAGGCCTACTAAATTGGGCGACTTCGCCACGTATTTCTTCTTCGGGCTAGGCGGTACCATGCTTGGTGGTGAGCTTGGCCTGTTCACGGGGACACGGTCGGCGTCAAGAAACATTGGCCAAGACGCAGCCAGGCGAGAGCGGCTCGAGAGGGCGTACCGGTTATTTAAGATCGACGTTCTGCGGAAAGAGCTGGCCCAGCTGGAAAGCGGTAGCACGCCCATCCAGTTCTGATGAGCCGGCAACACAGCGGTGTGTAATTTGTCGACTCCGAGAAGGATAACCACGGCTCGACTTCGTGCTAGGTTGTAATATATGTAAATAAATGTACTGTTGTGTGCTATGTTCAACAATGATTGTAATCAACTACCATGAACTTACTATTATTCCAACAACGCTATGCGCAAATTGGCGAACACAACGAGGACGCTGCGTGATTATAGACCCCAGATTTGACGATTGGAGGTGGTATCATCTATTACCGAACAATATTTATTCGATGGGTATACCTCATTCTCACACTTTATCAGATATGATAACCCGAGAAGGCTTGGGGTGACTCCTCAAAATCTTAGAAGGCGACGTCTAACAATGAGAGGCGTGTCGCTAATGGCTGGTGATTTGCTTTCTGTATCACGATATGACAGATAGTCAGAATCTCTTTGGAGGTAATGTCGTCTTCCCGAATACCATGAGACTTGTCTTATTTATCGCATAGCACGTATCGGCATGATGAATACCTGGCGGTGCCACTGTAATTTCGATACTTCAATAGCCCAATCCTACTCTACATTCACTTCCTGATAGACTTCAACAAGGGTGCAATACGGGAGCGTCTGCTCAAGCCGACTCGGTATCGGACCTTTGACTGTAAAGCACCTAGAGTAGGAGTCTCTCTTGACTGTATTTTAGGAGTTGAGATCTTATCTCCGGACTCTGCGCTTGCACTTTCAGGTAACTCTTGGGCGGAAACTGACTTAGAGGGGGTCCCGATGTTGCTGTCTACTTCTTTGAGAGGTGGCCTGTCCTCTTCCAAGTCTAGAGGATCGTCCTCTTCAACGGTGCTCCTCTTCTTTTCTTTGCAATATTTCTGCCTTTTCACCACGCCAGGTTCATTCAGACCGTTATTTTCTTGAGGTAAATCATTTTCCGGCAACCCATCAGCTATGAATGGCTCAGGCAATGATTCTTCAACAAGTTTTGAGGGCTCTGACTTGCGAGGGCGACCCCGTCTCTTCTTCGGTTTCTCCAGTGATGGTTCCACTGCGGCAGATTCATGTGGACTGGGTCGGGTTTGATGCCATTGCGAATCGTTGTTTGCCTCCGTCGGAGTTGGGGGAGTTTCGGACACAGGCTGCTTCTTCTTGCGCCCACGTTTTCGAGGAGCCTCGGGTGGTGGTTCAGTAGGTGGCGGCTCAACAGGGTCAGTATCCAGTAATGCCAATACTGGAAGCTTAGGTGGACTCTGCGTTGGCGGCATGGGGTCGCTTGTGATGTCCTCAAGGCCATTTACATTCTCTCCAATGTCCGCGGGATTTCTAGTCCCTACTAACCTTCGTTTCGTAGGTCTAGGATTGTATGAGTTCTGCAGTGCATCAATATCGTCCGCATCCCAAGGATCGTCTCGGCATAGCTCATCTTCTTCAATAACATGTCTGGCTCTCCTCTTTCCTTTGCTCACAGGTGTTCGGCCCTGAGGTACACCAGGGGACTCGTGGCTCTCATTCGCCACAGGTACCTCCACCTCTATATTGGTGACAGGAACCCCTTGACTGAGTAATTCAAAGCCAGAGTCAGCCATATTTGGCGAAGAACTTATCATCTAGAGCTACAGTTAATGCCTGCGTAAACCTCATCTTATAGCATCGGTGTAAGCTTACATTTATGATGTTGTTATGCTGGGGACTAGCGACAAGAGGTTCTTCCCAGGGTAGAGGTGGGACCGGCGAGTATCCGCTAGGCGTTGAATAAGCAATCGTCGTGACCCCGCTTGATTTCTGATGTGGCAAAGATCCCGGAAGTCCACCATAACCGTTGGATACATTAACTTTCTGATACTCGAGCTTTTGCATGGTTGTAAGATTGCTCTGAGCAATGTAGAACTTGGTGGTGTCTGGTAGAGTAAAATCATGGTTTCTCGCGGGCGGCGTTGACACGGCACCTGCTGTTAGGACTCCATCTACTTGAGTCTCGGCATCGGCATCCTCCAGAGGTGCTTTTGGTGTAGTCTTTGCAACCCCAGATATAGGAGCAGCAGGACTCGATGGTAGTTTTAACTTCCTCCGTTTCCTTTCGCCGTGAGTTTCTCCCCTGCTTGTTGGACGTTGAGTGTGGCATGATGCGGCCGCATTTTCCGGGCTGCTTGGAATGTCCCATTCTTGACCGGTACTCTTACGGGGTGTAGTGAATTCAGATGCATCGTCAGTCAAGACGGTGGTACGATTACGTGGCCTGCCCGGTGCCCTTGGTGAAGTCACATCAGTGCCAGATGATGGATTGACCCGTCGCCTCTTCAGAGCGGGGAGCGAAACGTCACCGCTACTAGCGCTGGCCCTCTGACTCTGTCGCACAATATTTTCGACAAGATTGGATTGCTGTACCGCTAAAAGCTGCTGGTTTTCATAAATATTTGCAAAAAACGAAGGATTGGTGATGTCTGATGATTGATTGTGATGCTCAGAAGCGGCGGCTGTTGGACTTGATGGCTGGTGATCTGGGCTGAGAGGCTCAGGCTCAGGCCGGTCAACATCACCCTCAGGCCGAAGCAACAAGATTTCATCCCCCTCGTCCTCGTCTTCGGAATCTGCAATTACTTTCCGCGCAGCCATTTGAATGCACCTGGTGAATCGAGTCGTCTATCCACCGGCTTGGAGGGCAGTGTACCTGTCCAGATAGGTACAGGCGATACAGGCGATACAGACGATACAGCGTGATTGTACACGCGACGCGTCTCCACCTAAATCGTGGGGCTGCAGACCCCAGGGACGACCAAAACTAGGTAGGTACAAGTACTACGTACTTAGGCAGTAGGAAATCTACCTAGGGAGGAACACAAAACCGCCATCTCATCCGCAACTTGAGGGAAACAATGACCCTCGCGCATAGTAGTACATCAGAATAGGCATGACGAGATCCATGCAGGTACCCAGATATGCATTATAGCAAAAGATCTACGCTTGAGTATGCAATAACTTTCTTTTTTATTTTTATCACATCACGTACCATATATAGGTACTGTCTACATGCATGCAGATACGTACAGGAGTAAGTACCCAGGTACGTACCACATAGTACAATCTTAAAATTGTGAAGCTTCCAAGGTCGCGACCCGTTACTTTCATAGATGAGGTCTTATCATGTAGCTCCAAAGGCTGAACTGAAATAAAAAAGTTTCACTTAACTTAACCAAGATCTAGTTAAACAGTTGTCTTTGAGAAATATTAAGCATAGGTCTGGCTTCATTCATTCATTCATATAACAATATACAGCCAGTCAATTGTCGCTCTATCATTGACTGTTTATCTCCTATCACAAGTACACAGCGAAGCAGATCACTTTTCTCTCGGACAGACTGACAAGGCCTTACATGCTTGCTGCTAGCCTCGGATCCTTCGTCGTTTTGCATCACCTGCTTGCTCATCGCCGCCATCTTCTTCAACCGCGCTCGACTCGCCCACGGCAGCACTCACACTACGACTTCCTGTTCCAATGGCTTGGGCCCGAGGTACAACTTCGTTACGAAGGTCACCGAGTAATTTTTCGACTTCGGCAAACATGTTGCGTGTCTCCTTGACCACACCATTCTCGTCGAATTCGTACCCACGAAGATCTTCTTCTTCAGAATTTGACTGGTAGCTTCTGAGGAACGACGGCCCTAAGCCTCGCTGTGGGTCGGGGTTGTACATGATAGCGTTGGCAAACATGTGGATCAGTTCCCGTTCAAGTTGCGCAATGTTAATGATGCCCCGTGGTGGAACCAATTCAATGGATATAGGAAGCCAGACGGCGGGCGAATTTGGATCGATATCAGCCATAGTTGCCACGGTTGCAGCGGCGGCTTTTGAACCGGCTGTGATGGCTTTCTGTATTCCTTTAAGATCTTGTGGCCGATGTATGATATCGTAATAACCTGGAGCGAGCCGAGGCTTGATGGGATTGGCAAACATGTTAGCATACCGGTGTCCGATGATTTGATCAAGAGCCGCCATGCTAATTTTGTGGAAAGCTCGGGTCCAGAGCACGTGTGTTGCAGGAGTTGGCGCTCCACGATGTAAGGGACTATCCTGTCGCTTGCGTTTACTCGGTAGGCTACTAATCGCCGCTGGCGTACGGCTTTGGGGCGTCTCACTGGCAGCGGTATCCATAGCCTCCTGCAGTGTTTGCGGCGTAGCTTCCTCGTCTTTAATGGTCGGTGCAGAGACATCTGGCTCAACTGAGGCCCCTCCAGTTTCTGGCGCAACTTCTGCTTTCTGTGCAGATCGTGGTGGGCGGCCTCGTGGTTTACTAGAATCGGTCTTCATAGTAGATTTGCTAGGATCCTTCTTTTCGGCGTTAGGAGATGTTTTGGGAAGCTGAGCCGGCATCACTGGTGGGCTAATGGGCTCGAAAGTAGGGCTCTCGATGTCGAAATAACCTCCTACATCTTTGATTCGCGGAGTAGATGGAGTCGGAGTTGATGTCCACTTGGTCCCATGCCCTCTAATAACGTAGGAATTATCGTTAAGTCCTAACGGAGTCTGCATAGGAGCCGCAGAGGGCGGGCGTGAAGTTTGTGGCGTGGAAACAGGAGTTTGAATAGGCATTTGAAGGTGTGAAACCACATCAGGGCTGCCCACTCCTTTAGACTGCTGATTGTTCAAAACACCAAATGATCTCTGGGCGGCCTTAGGGTTCTGAGGCTGAGAGGGTGTAGTCGGAACTGGTAATGATTGGGAGAGAGGTTGCGGTCGAGAATGCTGCTGCGATGTCGGATGGCGGACGGAATTGGGAAGCTGAGGAGGTTGTATTGCAGTAGCAGGTTGTGCAGTTGCTAATCCAGGAGGCGGTCGAACAGGAGTAGATGTTGGTAAAACCGGCATTTGATGCTGTGTGGGTCCATTTCGAGGGGCGTTAGGCGTAGGCGATGCAACAACTGGTGTAGATGGTGACCGCTGGTGTGGGACATGCTGCCCAGTCCCATCTGGAGTAGCATTCACGGGTAAGGATTGAAGCGAGGGGGGAATTGGACCAGTCTGTGGAGGTAGGAGAACCGGGGGAGATGGAGCATTTGCACCTGGTGTAGGAAACCGGGACTGAGGAACACTCTGTCCGGGCGTTTGTCTGCCGCCAGCGTAATTCTGTACATGTTGATGGGGATGTTGGGGAGCTTGAGGGGACCCAGGAATGTGAGAATATCCTTGTGGTCGAGTCGGTCCTGCAGAATAGGGGGGTCGAGGCGAAGGTACTGGCGTTTGATGAGGCGGAGGATGTGATGTTTGATGTGGCGGGTGGTGAGGAGGTGGATGGGGTGGATGATGGGGTGAATGATGAGGCGGCTGATACAGAGGTTCCCATTTCAGAGGAGGTGCTTGTGCCTGGCCTTGTTGGCTCGGCACTGGGCTCTTCGCCTTTGGTAGATTCTCGGGTCGTAGTGCACCATCTGGGGCATGCAGTTGCGACTGCGGCGGTGCAGTGGAAGAGGGGCGTGGGATATAGCCAGGAGCCATTTGAGGATGCTGAAGAACAGGCGTCGTAGCATTGGAGACACGGGAAGGTTCATGTGGTGGTGGGCGTACGTCTGTCGGGTACGGTCGTTGCTCAGTAGTCGGTCGCACTATTGGTGGCGTTGGGGTTGCTGGTGCTGGTGCTGGTGCCGGTACCGGTACCGTCGTGGGTGCTAGAGGCGAAGGACTCGGCTGCAAAGGTGGCTTCTCATGGAGAGCCTGAGACGGAGGCTGAGTAGGGACGATAGGAGCAGAAGTGGTTTCAACGCGCTTCGGCTGTTCCTGTACCCTAGGCTGAACTGGCATAGGCACTGGCATTTGTATTGGAACCTGAGCGATAGCTTGGGCCGGCGCTTGCACCGGAACTGGCACCGGCGTCGCATGGCTGTTTGAACTGGATAGCCGTATATCCTTCTCGGGAGGTACTCCATTCCTAGCGATATCCACGCGCTGTTCCTGCCTTATTCTATCATCCCACTCGCCCTGTTCAATCTCATCAATCTCACGCTCTCGCTGCTGATACTCCCGCTCATCTTCTCGAATTTGTCCAACAAGTTCGTCTCGAAATTGGGCGTATAACCGGTCGACTAATATGAGAAGTTTCTCGGGATGCTCGTGGGCTTCCTTTAGCGTAGGAAGCGGAGGGCTCTGAAGCTTCCGTTTCTTAGTAGTCGGTGACAGGCCATTAACCCCCTTTTCCGCGACAGCCTCTGCTTCACGCCTCTGCTCTTCGCTCACGAGCCGAAGGGCGAGCTGCTGAAGAGCGTCGGGCGTTAGTCGACCAGCATCGTACTCTGCCTGCTCTAAGATCAATGGGGTGCTTTTGAGTTCCTGGGCTATGCGATCAAAACTGCCGTTAATGAAGCCGTGTTTGCTGAGTAGTTGGAAAAGGAATAGCGATTCTAGTGCTGTGTAGTTTGATGGTCTCGAATTATTCATGCCCCAGTATCCTCCTCGGCGGTTGTCGAGGGGACCGTCGCGACGCTGCAGATGCTGAATCGGCGCCAGGATCTGTATACATTAGCAAGAGCGGAAGGAATTGAATCGCATCACGCGCGCAAAGAGGACCGAACGCGTACTAAAATGGTGGATAGCAATTATTCGGGGTTCGCGAAGGCCTATAGGAACGAGGCCGACCGTATTTTGATGATTATTACGTCGTATTGGGCACCGTTTCGATGAAGCTATTCACGTTGAAATCTCTGCTTGGGCGGAAGAACGCTTGGGATACTGTCACGTGATTATGATGGATATACCGTGTCACCTAAGGTACGGACATGGGAAACTTGTCGACCAATATTTTGCAAAGAGTGGTTTGATGGGACTTGAGTCCGGAAAACGCATCAGCGGAGCTGATTGGGGCAATCTTAAGACAATTGAAGGTGATCTGTGCTGACGAACTGACATCGCGACTTCCATAGCAGGAGGAGCTTACATGACCTTACCTTGCAATTCTTCCCCCTATCTTATCGGCTTATCTTTATCGCCATCTCTACCTCCAGAAAAGTGGGTAGCTGGCACGGGGAGATGTGTCCCCTTACTATCTAATACCTCTCTTGTAGATACTATACCTTTCAAATGTTACTTATAGTCATACCTCCTATGAAAAATGCCTTTCGATAGGTAAGGACATGTAGTATGCGTCGTCGCACCTGCATACCTACCTTATGAAGAGGTTAACGGATGGAACCAGGTGTTGGAATGCCCCCCAGGCGCAAGGCGTGCACTGAGTTGCTACATCACATAATCATCAAGAGCCAGGGCTGCTTGACAAGTTGGACATAATTCACTATTGAGATTCATAGGCTTGCTCTCTCCTTCATCCCTATTTTTCTAATGCGTTAGGGTCACTAGGTATGTCCAGGGATGGAATTAAGATAGTCGTTCATATTGTCACCTTGAAGGCGAAGCTGGCATGTGAACAGCTAGTATACTTATGAAAGCGGCACGCGCTGCGCTACACGTGTCCGAAGGTATAAAGTACCCAAGGCAACAATAGGCGACTATATGACAAAGGATTGCGTCCTAGAATACATCACAATCGCAAAGATCGATCATAGGAGCTAGTCATTACCCGTCATATATTTCAGAGGAGCAGCCTGGCGGATCACCTGGTGCACTCACATACTTAAACATTCAGTTGCTACCAAGTATTGCTCAGGGTTTCATGACTTCAGGTCATAGGACAGAGATGAGTCCTAGGCTTTCAGGCTGTTCGCAAAGGCATAAAAACCAGCATAAGTATCAAACAAGAACCATTCTGTGCTAGATAAGTATTCAATACTTTCTATCCGTGGAGTTTGGCTCTGGATAAGAGTGTACTTAGCATTTCATATGGAGATTAGTCCAAGCACGTTAGTGCCCGCTCCATGATAGAAAAGAAATGAGCGGGTCTTCAAATACCTAGTGTACAATTTGGACGCAGCCCTGAAATTGGCATGGGCCTTTATTTACAGTAGCACGACTGTATGAACTTTACTGAAAGGCACCTAAGATAGATAGCCCTTACCTTTGAATAGCATAACTGACTTGAAGTAGGTATGCCGACTAAGTAGTGCACATTTACCTATCTTATATAACACAATACCTACCTAGTCATGCGCATAGCCAAGTTCAACTTGAAGTTGCCTGTAAGGGGTTGAGAAGTAAAAGATAGGGGCTCGCTCTCCAGGCTGTTAATACAACTTACTTGTACATGTGTAGATGCACAGAAGGCTGAATTCAGAGCACTTTCCAAAATTTGATTATGATGGGGCGCTGAATGCGCATTAATTCGCCATTAGGTGCAGCTACTACAGTATGTAAGCTGTATGTACCTATTGAATCGTTGTTAATTAGTATCCACCAATCTTGACCCTGACGATCCGGAAACTATCGGCACATACCTAAGGTTAGGCTTTATTATCTGTAGCATTGAAGCCCAGGGACGGGATGCCTCATAGTTCAATATATACCTACGGTAGCAACCTGATTTTTTCTTTACATACCTACCTAAGCACTTCTCAGGGGGGTTATGTAAAGATGTAGCAGCACACTAAACTTTGAGATGTAGGTTACCTTGTTTAAGACTCGCAAAAGTGGTCAACAAGGCATTGTTGTCGATCAGTATAGTCATCCTACATTAAGTAAGTAGATAAAAGTCCCTACATGTATGTGGCAGCTAGAACACCCATCTATTAGATACCCGACACCTATCCAGAAGCGCCAGCAGGTACATACCTAGTCGTAGACTTAATCGGGTGGCCTTACATCGACATAGGAGAAAGTTGTCGTGGCGAATTGAGTAAATTTAAGGGTCGGGGGCAGGAAGCATGGGCTTCCTGCCTAGCTACCTACAGTAGAAGGAATCCTAGGTATGTTCTCCTCGAGGACTTGACCAGAGACAAAAATAACAGATTGCAGTATGAAAACCAACGAGAGCGGAATATCAGGGTGCATAAGATGTCTCAATATGTGGAGGTATTCTATGCAATGCAATGCCATGTCTGATGCCAGATCCTCATAGCTCCTTCCATAATTCTACATACGTAAGGAGATAGATACTTGACATTTTGCCAAAGAAATGTGAATGATGTAGGTAGTCTACCTAGAGGTATTGTGTACCTAGAGCTCCCCTTAAGGCGTCGAGAGGGGTACTTATAGCGCCCAAAATGCGCCTAGGTGCCGAAATAGTCAGGTGGTACACCACTAAATGCGCCTTAGTGAGTTAGAACTACATACCTAATACAGCTGACGGCTCATTCACTGCTCAATGCGGACACTGCGCGGCTAAACCCCCCTCAGAGCCCCCCCTTTTCCCTCATGTCTAAGTAGGGGCGTCAAATCATCTGCACCCACCTTCTGATAATTGACAGTACAAGTAATGAATGTAGTGTAGTTTTATGCCTACTGCCACTGCCACTGCCACCAGGTAACATAAGGTGGTAGGTAGGTACAGTAGGTAGGTACATGGCTGGGCAGGTAGATCCCCGTAGGTGGGCAGGAAGTTCTTACCTAGGTACTTATTGTACCTAGTCCTCCCTCCCGATGATCCTCTCCACTTCCAATCATCCAATACCTACCTACGTTAATAACCTCCGTCCTGCTCTCTATCACCCTATCACCTATCATCTCAGTCCATATATTTGCAACACCTACTTTCATCACTCTGCCGCCTATCATCCCATTGCGCCAGCGACAGTGTTGGAAAGATTGTAGCACTTGTCTAGACATACAAATCTCCTGTTAAGCTACCTAAATCGAAACATCATGGACCGCACCGATGAGGAACTCGATCGTGACTGGGTACCGAATGGTCGTCGTCCTCAGTCGTAAGTCCTCTCTACCCCTGAACCTCATGATATGGAGCTCGCACCTCCAAGACACATCCGCAACATGTACATACGCTGGATCAAGCTGGACTAACTAGACATATCCCTATAGAACAATCGCACGCTCTTTTAGTGCCGAATTAATGGATATCTTCCGGATCGACAACAGTGTTGCTGACCTGGACGAACAAATAGACAAGCGGTACGTTCCATAGCCCTCGGGCGGGCTACGATCTGTACCATATCTTCACGCACTTTCCAGGCTGAGAACAACAAATAAGACTGATCTCGCTCTTTGTCTACGCAGGAAACAACAAGTCACCAGTGGGCAGACCGAACTCCAGGCTCTAGAGGCGCGACTGAAGGAAATGGAAGAGCGACTACAGACGTCCAAGCCGGGTGCGATCGGTGGTAGTCCACGATCTCAACGACAACCCCTCGCTAACACATTCGGCTCAATTGCTCAATCAACCGAGAAAGAACTCCCCCAGAGACCACTGCAAGCCTCATCCCGGCCGGGCACTGCAAAGCAAGCCCAGCACGCGCCGATGCACGGAGGTGCGATGCCACCCACACCAACAGCCAGCGAAGGTGAATCCGACCTCGTCAATACCTCTCACGACCGTGACGCCGAGACCGCAAGTTTTGCTGACTATGTTATTGTACCAAAAGACGGTGAAGACCGCGACAGCTAAATGCCGAGGCAGGAAACTCGAGCTTTGCACCTAGCACACGACTCGGCCAACTAGATCATAGAGATACGAATGACGTAAAACTGTTCTACGGTCAAGGCTTCAACGCGACTTCCCAGTATCACGAACTTAGCTGTTTTTCACGACATCTACGGACCAAGCCGACCAAGTTTTAGGATAGTTGGCTTGTAACTTCAATGACCATTATTTGGATATACAAGCCAACATGAACCACCTCACTACAAACTGACGGAACTACAGGGTCTCGGGGCCTGACAGCGTTCTATTCGAATCCAGGGGCAGCGCACAACTCTCGAGTTTTATCCTTCCCTGGCCCTATGGCGAACCCTTATCTACTGGAGCCTGTGTATTCGGCGTTACCTGGTGTCATTCCTATCCATTCCTTAACGGCTCGTTTTATGATATCCTTTTAGTATTACCAACATCAGTTTTGTGGTGACACATTCACTCGGAGGCGGCAAATTAATGAAATTAACAAATGCATTGTGACAAGTGGAAGCGACAATAGCAACAGCGGCAGCATTCATCATGATTGTCATCATATAGTTGGCATGAAACCTCTCGTTTTGGTAGCGGTAAGGGCGGAGAGCATGGGGGGAGGTGTGCGGTAGTGTCAGGACATTTCATAGCGGTAGCAATGAAGTAGGGACTGTCATAGTCCTGGAATGAGTACCGCTTTGAACATTCCCATGATCAATAGAGGTCTCTGGCGCTCAATGCCAATCCTCATGTTAAGATCACAATCATGCGAATCTCCAACGATGATGTTGCTCAAACACGTGCTAGCGTCAGTCAATAATTATGAAGCACCAGACCATTGTAGAACCGAACCACATTGAGTGTAGCAAATCAATACAATAATGTGACCAGCTCTTCACACGAATTTGGTGGCGTATTTGCCATGGCTCAGCTGGGCTCAGTATCTCGTGGGGTACGCAGGAATCGTATTGGTCATCATTTATCGTCTCCCTGCATACAATAGGTATCTTAGGTAGACATCACATGCCATTGACATCCATTACATTCATCGTTGAAGTGCACAAGCTTGGTGGACCAGTAGGGATAGATACCTGCAGTGTATATCTAGATAGGTCCAGGCATACACGCAGGCTGCTAACTGTACATCACCCCTCATGCTAAAATACAAATACAAAAACTACAACACAGGACTAAGCATAATAGCACTACGAAAACTAAGTGTAAAGTGGTCGTCGCAGCGTAGGATTCATAATGCAATGATTGACAAAGCTACAGCTTTACTGCGATATGACTGGGGTGTCAGGCTGAAGCGAGGTATTTACACATCGAATATTGCACTTTCAATGCAGATAGCTGAATACAAACAGAGGCGTGAACGCGCTACCTATGATACCCAACCTCAGTTTCAAATAACTTAAGCAGACCTCACATGCAGATGTCAAAACATAGGTAAGTACTTGCATGCATGCTCCAAGTACCTACACCTGAAGTTCCAAGGCTCCAACCACGGCACAATCAACCCCGATCAGCAGAGGCACTTCTCCCAACTCCGCCAGTTCCCACCAGAAGGAGGCCAGATAAGAGCAGACAGACAAGTAGAAGCAATGCCTCCAGTCTCACTAGCAATGCGCCTTACCTGACTTCATCGCGTTGCGGATACGACGAATATACCCAGACCTCGCAGAGACATGCATAGGATAGTAGAGTCCCCCAAAGCAGAAGGTGCAGTGTACCGAAGTCACAGCAACATGCATAATATCATTTGAAGTCAGCCTCGGCCGTCCCCCTGGCGTTCCGATGGGCGAAAGTCCCCGCACTCGGTAGCAAATTCCTCAGCGCCGTTATAAACGCTTGCAGGCACGAGCTGCGAATGCACGCATCGGCTCGGTAGAGAACGAGGAAACTCGGTCGCCGAGTGCTTGCGACAGTGTGGCGAAGACGAAGCAAAAGGAAATTCTGCGTCGCGGTGACGATATCGCTGGTTTGCAGGCTATTTAACACACACAAGAAATAAAATGAAGTGTCTTCAAGTTGAAGGTTAATATCTGGGTAAATAGATTTTGAAGGCACAGCTGGGTAGATTGTTTGTACATCGGTTCAAAAGAGTAATTCCGAAATAATGAGAGGGTGGTGAATGAGAACAGTATACTCCTCGTGAGACATTAAAACAACTTATCAGGCCAGCATCCCTTGCATCCTTATTACGCCTCCGTGGAAGAAGGGCGCGCATTGCACACTGACCGCTGGCCTGGTGACTCTTTCACTAGAACGTTGGTTTGCTGATATACATCAGATAATCACTTTATATCTATACCTGTGCAGCTAGAATACAGTGATCGGGATCAACAATCATATTGATTTTACTTTGGGCGTAATAATTTCTCGGTCCCATTTAAGGATACTCTTCCGCCAGCTGTGTAGGGACATCTTTAGTCAAACTTTCAATCTGAGAGTACAAGACTTTCTAGCCACAAGCTTCATGCTCCAAAATCTCCAACTACCAAATTTTCTCATCCAGGAGAAATGTCATATACATCTAACCTTGGGCCCCGATGATGCGAGATACATCCTAGATGAAGATAGTTTTGGCTGGTTTGTTATAGATGCCTCCGTGCAGGCTCATATCTCTCTTGCCGTTACTGATATTCAGGGGCTTCGCTGCAGCACCGAAGCGCTTTCCTTTGATATCAAAGGCGAAAAATCCACTCTTGAGGAAGATATCACCGAAGATCCCCTCAACTCCAGTGAATGAGGAGATGGACTGAAGACCAGCAAAGCAGAGCTCATCGCTGGTATGGGCATAAACCAGGTAAGCACCAGGGACAGCCCCCTTCACGACATTCCCCGCTTTGTCGGAAAACTCCCAAAGAAAGTCTGGGAGTTCAGCATCGCATGGGACTACATAACCATATTCCTGCATTGAAAAATTAGCGCCGGGTACCTTAGCGTAATATGTGTCGACTGAGGCTTCTGGGGCGAAAAGTAATGTTGTGCCAGTGTCGATGATGACAGGCTTAGGATCAAGGAATGAGTAGGTGAGGTTTTCGCCCCCAATGCCGAAGGCGGTATTCTTGACACCCCAGAAGCCACTTGAAGTGTCCACATCTGTGTAGACAATATCAGACTCGTATAACTTGTCATCTATGTAGCCGAAGTTGAAAGACCCGTCACTGCTATTGTGGCGGAAGTCGACAGTGAAAACAGGCTCATCGAGCACCTCGGGGAGAAATTCAATGAGAGCTTTCTGAGGTGGGATGGTCTGTTTGAGATCTGGCCAGGCCAAACCAACGAGTCCTGACATATAGGAAGTGGAGGTAAACATGTCAGAGACGGATTCCGCCGACTCAATTGTCATGTTTGGGATGCTAAGATTGCCGAGCTTGAAGGTGTCGGTGTAGCATTTTCCGGACGAAGTAGACCAGTCTCCGTAGATGATTGACCAGCTGCAACCTTCAATCAGAGCCGAGGTAGAAGACTTATTGGGTTCCCAGAGCGTTTGGCCGTCAACTTCGCTTGCTTTGGTATCGGTCGAGAAGAACCAACTGCAATTCTCTTGGATTAGTATCCTGATATAACAACAATATGGCATGGCATAACATGATATAAGTTTGAACTATTATCTTATAACGGCTTTTGTCTACGATCAGATGAGAACTTCAGGGAGCATTGCTTACCTATCTGTCGATCCAGTATCTAAGTCCACAAATAACTCCTGGGGTGGAGTACCAATGCTAACAGGTGCAAGCCAAAGCAAGTCCCCGTCCTTGGAGTTTGCCGAAACAGTGCCAGTGCCACCTTCGGTCACATCAGTATAAAATCCACTCAAGAATGAGAAACTACTCAACAAAACGAGCATGGGAATCTGAAAGAGCTTACCGTCTTTGGGTGCGGCTAGGAAGGCCGTCTTAGCATGGTGCTTGTCGACAGCTTTCTGTAGGCCATTGGGAATTTCGAGATTAAACTTCTTCAAGGTTCTGAGAACTTCAGATGGGCCATGGCGAGGTCTATCGGCATTGTGAACCAGAGGGACAGAGAATGTGTTTCCACGCTTGAAGTGAGTGACAGCAGGGGATGCGAGAGTAGGTGCCAGGAGGGCGAAAAGGAAGGCTACAAGCACCAGAGGGCTTGGGGACCGCATCTTGTTGGTTGATACACCACAAATTGGCTATTGTGTTTCAGAGGTGGATGGAGAAGTGGTAATATTACGCTCAGTCTAGATAGAGAGGCCGAGGTAGAGGGTGATGATTATCAAGTATTTGTGAAGTAAGTGCAAACAAGACGAGGCAGGTGCATGGGTAGTGTCTCAATGAGACATACATGTATGTACCAGTGACAGGCAACAAGTTGTGTAGTGAACTGAACAGTTGGAAAGGCGTTCTTTTTCTGCTAATGCACAGACAGTGCTGGGCTAATGTGTTGGACAGAATATAAAGATGAGAAACAATTTTAAGGGGGAACAAATGTGTCTTATAGTTGTTTGACTACTGGCATATGGATGACAGGTGAACACCAGATGGAGAAGGATAGGAGGAAGATTCCGAGGTGAAAAGTATCTGTGTCATGTAGTGATAGCTGGGATAGCAGGGCTATACATAAGTAGTATACATGTGATGACGTCCCAAGAAGCTGTTGGTCTATATTCTTAGGCAATTCGATACCTGATATGCACCAGCCTGGTGGCTTCCCGAGGCGATATCTTCCTGCAAAAAGGGAAGGAACAAACAACAGGCGACTTCCTGCAGAATCCTCTGATGTACAACCTGTCACCTGTCTAACATCACCGTCCATATCCTAGGTACCACTGACCCAAGCAGACCAAAACTGCTAAGGGAGCAGGTAATATCCTAAAGGTCCTCACTCCGAGTCTTTCCTTTCCTTGTACTTGCGCTTGTATGTGTGACTGTGACTGTGACTGTCAGCTGCTGTAAATCATTTCACATCTCCTGCACCTTTCCCATGCCATAACAATAGGCCGAGGTATCTGTGAAGCCAACAAGTTACTCCTTTATCCATCTCGGCAAATACCAGAAAGATCTTCACCAAACACCCAGATAGGAATGAATGATAGGCAGTGCTTGCGAATTCGGGTACCTGCTCGGCTAGCTGCATGCCATAGAGTACAAGAAGCTCATTACTGTAGTACAACCCGTTGTGGCTCTCCTATCTGGTGTGACATCAACCGCTGCCTTGCATCTAATATGCTGTCGCGGCCCGACCGCAGGCAGAAAGCGCTGTTATATGCGATACCACTTGTACTGAGAATGGCGTTTGAAACGTAATGGGCGTACGCTGGGAAGTCCAGTCCCACCAGTATTTCATTCCATCGGCACTTTAATCTACCACATAATCCGGAAGGGACGGCCAGTTGTACAATTTCTGACAGCCATCTGAAGGGAGAAAATCGCACTGTATTCATCCATCAAACAAAACCATCTATACTGCCTGTGATATACTGTATTACAATTCGTCATGCTTCGTCTTTGCGTCGTCTTTGCTCTTTTGCTCCTGTGCCAACTTCTTGATCATCTCCTCGATCTCCTCCGCTGATGGCATCTCTCCGTTCTCACCAAATTTGATGTCTATTGTTGGTTCTGAGCCATCCTGGCTGGTTTTGGTAGTACTCTTCTTAGTCTTGGTCTTCGACGTCTTCTTTGAGCTATTGTTCTTCTTAAACTTGGACTCAAACTTCTTGACGCTCCTCATGGCCATATCCACGCCCGCTTTCTCTAATTTCTTCGTCTTTTCCGTAATCTCTTTGACGAGCAGGACAGGATCAGCCGTCTCAGGAAGTTTGTCTTGTTCTGCAATCTTCTCTTCTAGCCAGCTTACAATGGAGTCATATAGCTCCGTCAACTCCTTCATATCGTCTAAGGTATATAGGGGTGGAGGAGGGCCCCGATCTTCCACGGCCGTAGTAGTCGATGCTGTTGTACTTTGTTCGTCCTCAAGCCCATCAAATTCGCCAGCACCTTGAGATGGTGCTTCGGTGACGCTAGACGCGGCCTCCGTTGATGGACTTGCGCTGGCGCTTATAGAAGAAGCGAAAGCCTCGGCTTCAGCAATCTGCTCTTTAATTGTCTTAATCCAAGTGTTGGTTTGGTTCAAAGAGTCTTTCAAAGACTTAACCATCGCCGGCCGTTTAGAAGACTCCTCCATGCGCGATTGTATGGGAGACATTAGGTCTTTAAGCTCCTTGAGCCTTGACTTGAGCTCTTTTTGAGGGGCATCTGCTCCATCACCGTAGACCCAGTCGCTAGCCTCACTAGCCTTGCTCTCCAGCTTGGCTCGCTCTTCTTCGGTAGACGCCGCAACAAATGTATCAGAGTCTAGTAGATCTCTGATTTTGTATGTAAAGCCCTCTAGCTGGTTGAGGGTCTCTTCCCTAAGACGGCGAGCCTTGTCGGATGTCTCAAAAGCCTTGAGACGATCTTTTCCTTTCGTAAGATCTGACTTGGACAAACTAGGGATGCCTAGGTTTTCTATAGAATAACCTATTGGGATGGTCACAACCCTCTTCTTGGGGGTTTCAACATCTTCGGTGGATTCAGCAGAGGAGGAGGGACTAGCGGCAGATTCCGTCGATGACGTTGTAGCGGTATCTGCAGACGTAGTCTCGCTTTCGCTGCTCTCTTCACCATCTGCCAGGGGCTTTTGATCCTTATTTTTGCCAAACCCAAACAAGTTCTTCACACCACCCATGATACCTTCTTTTTCAGCTTCCTCGGTCTCACACTCAACAAAGCTCTTAGCAACCTGCACTTCGCCGTTTTCAGGGCTTAGCCGAAGCTGAAACTTTAGTTGGATATCTGCCTCGACACAGCCATGGTTCACGACGAGTGAAGCTACAGTGGCGGTCAAATTCTTGGTTTTAATTTCCTTCGCCTCCTTTTCAACAAATCCTTCAGTCGATGGGACTTGCTGGAAAAATCGAATAGAGAAATCTTCATGATTCGTGAACGTGACCTCCTTGGGCGCGGCGCTAAGCAGAGATCGCTCAGTCCAAAGTCGCTGCTGCTGAATTTTGCCGTTAGGGTTGGTCCATTTCATCCCTGCAGCGTAGGCAGCTCCGTCAGAGACCCTAATCTCCTTGACGCGGAAGCTTGGGCTTAGCTCGGCAGCTCTGAAACCGGCACCGAATACGGCGGCCTCGTCTGAGTTAACGTTACTGCGAAGCTTGTCACCGCCTGCAACTTTCTCAAGTTCCTTTTGGACAAATGGGGTCCGAGAAGCACCACCGTGAAGAATAATAGAGTCGAGTTGTGTGACATCGAGCTCAGCTACATCTAGAGCCTTTTGAACGGCGACACCAACCCCTTCGGCATGGGACTCCGCCATCTTCTCAAAATCTATCCGTGTGATCTTGTATCGGAAGTCGATATCCTCGTAAAGCCCTTCAAAGCTTCCAGCTGCGTCGACATTTGCGCTCAAGATGTGCCGCAATCTCTCAGCTTCTTTTAGAAGTTTAGCCATGGCGCGTCCATGTCCGCGTACACCCTCAGCAGTGACGCCAGCCTTTTTGGCAGCAGAACTCTCTATAAACTTAGAGGTCATATCATCGACGATCAGGTAGTTGAAAGTATCACCACCTAGTGTTCGGTCCCAGCCATTTCCTAAAACCTGGACTTCTTGTATAGTTTTATTAAACTTGCCAATGTCCTTGACTGTGCGACCTTGGAACTTCATAATAGTCGCCTTGGTGGAGCCAGCACCCATATCAAACACCATGTGGTATTCTGGCTTGCCTCCTTCATTGACGGTTGGGAAAGTCCGACTGGTAGCGTAGTTCAGCCCAACAGCTAGGCCGTCACTAATTAGAGACAAAACCTTGAGACCGACAAGCTCACACGCCAATTCTACAGCCCGTTTCTCATCAGTCGTATAGAAAGGCGGTACAGTGATGACAGCAGAACGGACGGAGGAATCGGGCCCAGCAAGAGCTTCGGCGTTGCGCTGGATACTCTGGAGCTCCATAGCTAGTAGTTCCTCCACCATCCAAGCCTCCTCCGCCTCTGTTGCCTTGCTCTTGAACGTGACAGTGCCCCGGTTGTTTTTGGCCTTGAGTTGAAGACTCGGGTGTCTCGCGGCATATTCTTCAACTATTGAATCGTCGAGGGGAAGGCCAAGAAGGGTTTTGAGGTTGGGATATACATCTCCAGGGAATCGCGCAGCAAGAGCTACGGCATCTGAGCCGTAGGCTCTTTCGGGGTAGGAGCCACTCTCGAGAGCATGCTGGGAAGGCTTGAAGGCAACGGCAGCTGTCTCTTTCCTTCGCGAGTCCTTGGTCAAGACGATTTCCAAGGGGATACCGGGCTTGACGAGCGAAGCTTTGATATATTCGGTTCCAAGATCGACACCAATGACGGCAGACACGGCAAGTACATTTGTCGAAAAGAGAAGAAGGGCAGTAAGGATTATCGACCTTGGCGAGAAGGTTGGTGCCATGGTGGGCAAATGTGGGAAGAGCGAGTTCGGCGCGAGGCTCGCCTGCGCCAGGATATTAACCAAGACCCAGCAGGTGTCTTTGTCAAATGCAGACTGCTAAAGAACGTTTGTTGTAGCGTAGAGGGGAGTGCGGCTGTGGGCAAGTCAAGGGAAGGTGATGCATAGAGAAAATAAATGGCACCACAGTAAGGGCAATTGAAGGTTTTGTATATTTGCTCGAGATCCCACGGGCAATGAATTATCTAGGCATAATCTGGCCTCAACGAAGAAGTAGTCACAAGCCCCAGCAGCGGTGACCTAGTAGCTTGTTTCCAGCATATCTTTAGGACACTTTTTTCCTCAGTTTCACACAAACGAATGACGTGTTACTAAAAATCCCACTGTACAAGCAAGGATTTCCCACTGAAGACACCCATGCCGACCTGATTGGCCCGCTGGACTCTGGTCATGCCAGGACAGGCCTAGCTGCCATAACCCCCCACTAAGCCCTCACTAGCGACAAGCACACCACACTTGGTGCCAATGGGTGGGTCTGGGGTCCCCTTCAATATCTCTCCAGGTACCTATCTCGCCTACATACATAGATAGATGCACGATCATGTAAGTTATACCTACTTATATAAACACATATCTCTTGGTCTTCAGGTGGTTAGCCCACCGTGGGCTTTTTTGGGCAGACGAAGACCGAGAACACTCTGTAGTGTCGGCTGAGGTAATTCAAACGGTTTTCAAACGTTAGCTATCTCCCTGGATACATAGCTAGATAGCTATCTACAGTAGACTGGCGTTGAGAAGAGGGGTAGTTGTAGTTAACTTACAAGTCGTCTTCTCGGTAAAGCACTCCCGAGGTCACTATATCTTGCGTATAAATATCCTCGATCAGGCTTGATAGTAGAATAGAAGACCAGAATCGACTTATTGCTATTACATTCATTGTCGTCACCATGAAGCCAGTTGACAATAGGATTTCCGGCCGCTTGGCACTGATTACAGGCGCTTCTGGAGGGTATGCTAAATTGCTTCAATGCTTTGCGTTGGTAGAGGCCCTTCCCGAGAGTCTTGCATTGACTTGACAGCAGGATCGGCGCCGCGGCTTCTCGCACCCTCTGGGCTGAAGGCTGCTCACTAGCTTTAACTGGATACAGCAAGTTCCAAGTCGTTGAGGATTTAGTCAAAGAGCTAGAGTCAAAGCCTACTGTCGAAGGCCAGAAAATTACCGCCTATCAAGTTGATACAGGCGACGCTGCCGCCCTTGAGAAGCTGTTTCAGGACATCAAGAAGAACCATGGACAAGATGGACCTGATATTTTAGTCTCGAATGCCGGTTATGGAAAGCGTCTCCCCGGAATCCTAGACGTGAGCATTGAGGAATGGGACTATACGCTCAATATCAACCTACGAGCGTCTTTCATCCTATCTAAGCTCAGTATCCCACATATGGAAGCTCAAGGGTGGGGGCGCATCGTTTTTGTTTCCTCCATAGCGGCCATTGGTGGTGGCATAAATGCTTGCCATTATGCCGCATCAAAGGCCGGATTATCAGGAATGATGAAAAACTTAGCAAATAAGCATGCAGCAGCTGGTATCACGGTGAACGATGGTGAGTTAGACCTCTTTCGTAGTATATTCCCATTTTTTCAGACCAGAGTAGCCTCTAGGACTACCCCACACTCGCCGGTTCTTTTATAGACGGCGCTTAGACAGGTGATGACTGACTCCTATCGATATAGTGGCACCCGCGATGATAGGAGACACAGGAATGATTCCAGATTCAAAGATGCTGGAGGGAACTCCCGGTGACGTGAGGAAAATCCCAGTAGGGAGGTTAGGGACGCCAGATGAGTGTGCCGGGGTTATTAAGATGTTATGTAACACGGGCTACTTGACGGGGCAGTCCATACTATTGAGCGGTGGCTTGAAATGATCCTGGCATATGGAGCGTTTTAGGCACAATTAACCTTGAAAACATACAAGAAAATATCATCCCACTTGGCTTGTGTACATCAGTATACCTCCTATGGTGTCCAACGACAGGGCAGAGACTGGACAACCCCGCGTACAAGTCCGAAGAGGTACCCTAGCAATTACGTGATTCGGGGGTTAAAAAGCGGATCCCGGAGCTGTACCGGTGCCGAATAGATTAGGCGGCTCTCAATCCGGATTCGGGTCCGTCTCGATGACTAGCTTGGTTTAGTCTTACACGTATACTTACCGCTGGGTGGCGTTTTCTTTGCATGATCCTCAAGGTAAATGACAGGAACAAGCTCCCAACTTCAAATTGGAAGGTTTTCTCCTTCACATACTCATTTAAATCTCACATCGAACAGAGCCTTTACCCAACATTCTGGACGTTTGCAAGACATTCACGTCACATCCCGCTATCACCTCCCAAACTAGCAAAGTCCCACATAATCGTGTAACGGCCCGCGTGTTCCTGCCTCAAAAGTTAATTTATATAAAGGCAAGGAAAGCACTGCCGTCTGAAAACCCAATCATCTGCTGTTCAACTTGGCTTTCAGGCTTTCCCCAATCGACTAGTTAATTTTACTCTACTTGTCTATATTCCCATCAGTTTCCTTAGCCCCTTGATCACATCGCCACACCTTTCATTAGTATCACAGCTAGTTCAAATCACACCATTAAACGACCCGCTCAACAGCAAGGCCTCAATCGTTGCCTAAGACTATTGCGCGGAGCTGGGGTTTTTTACCATGGGAACTCCATTCATAACACATTTGGAACCATGCAGGTTGGATGGGTACAACCCCAAGCTACCCCATGATCAGCAGCCATCACACATCCCCATAGCCTACAGAGATGCGATGAGCGTCAGGGAAGCGGTGTTCGTGAAAGAGCAAGGTTGTCCACTGGAGAATGAGCACGATTCTGACGACGCTCGATCCTGTCACTGGGTCATGTATGCATCGGTCAGAATGACGACGACGCCAGAGGTACGCGATCCGGCAACGAACCTCGTCATCCAGAAACGCTGCTCCGAGACCCGGACCATGCCCATTGGCACGCTACGCATCGTTCCGTTCCCACACCCGCCACACCCGCCGGACGGTGCCCGCTACGTGGGCGGTGTGCTGCAGGAAGATAACAACTCTTCTAGCAACGGGGCTGCCAACAAGGCTAACGGTCAGTCCAGCGGGGAAAGCAAAACACCTGGCAACAACCTCGACGGTACGGCAGCAGATCCTCCACAACGCCATCGAGCCTTTAGCTTAGCTGATCAGCGTCGAATGTCTGACCCTTTCCCGTTCGGCGCGGACAGACAGACGGAGTTCCACAATGGCAAGGAACCATACGTCAAGCTAGGGCGAATGGCGGTCTTGCCCGAATTCCGCGGCCACAAGATTGCTGTGCAGCTATGGAATGCGGCAAAGCGGTGGCTGCAAGAGAATCCGACGTACTTCAACCCAAGCGTCAAAGAGTTAGGTATGGACACAATGCAAGTCGACCAAGCGGGTGACATTCCTAAATGGAATGGCCTCGTCTGTGTGCATGCACAGGAGGCTGTAGCCAAGGTTTACGAGCGCTGGGGCTTCAAGATCGATAGGGGTATGGGAAGGTTTTATGAGGAGGGTATTCCTCATATTGGCATGTTCCAGCGGCTGGAGGTCAAGTCTACCGTTCCAACGATATGACTGAGTCGTGGACGAGGAGAAATCACCATATGGGGTACTATGTCCGTAATTAGAGTTGGCTTTATCTTGCCACCTCAACACATGCTATGCAGTACACAGGTAGTGGTGACATATTGTGGATTCATTCAGGAGTTGGCACAATAAATAATAAATTTCCATGTACTCGGCATCTTCTCATCGTGACGATGCTGTGGGTTGTTCTGTTCTAATTTCAATCCGATAGCCTACAGTAGAAATTATCAGACATTCCCGTACTCCAAGAACCCAGCTCACTAGTTCATAACCACCGTGGTTGGTAGACAAGTTCGTTGAAGTTCGTAATTTTGAGTTCATTTTTTTGCCCTCCTAGGCAGAGCTGTATTGATACGCTCTATATGACTATCATGCCATGATACCACATCCCGCCTAAGCCAGAACGCACAAATGCACAGTGTAAAATGCCCAGATCGTCCACGCCGAAGAAAACCCAGAAAGAGATCGCCACCTTGCTTTATCGGTTGCTCTTGGCGACACGCTCCAACTCGTCCTTCTTCTTGATGGCGTACGAGTTGCTGCTACCCTTGGCAGCGTTGATAAGCTCCTCAGCAAGGCACTCGGCAATGGACTTGACGTTGCGGAAAGAAGCCTCCCGGGCACCGGTGGTAAGGAGAGAGATGGCCTGGTTGACACGACGCAGAGGAGAAACATCGACGGCTTGTCGTCGGACGGTACCAGCGGAACCAATACGTGTGCTGTCTTCACGGGGGCCGCAGTTGACGATAGCGTCAACGGCAATCTGGATAGGGTTTTGGTCGGTCATGAGGTGGATCTGTCACAAAATTAGAATCCGCCACTGCGGTCGACAACAAAAACATTTGTGTTGTATTGGGGAATCCTTACAATCTCGAAAGCGTGGGCAACGATACGGACAGCCATGAGCTTCTTGCCGTTGTTGCGGCCGTGCATCATGAGCGAGTTGGTTAAACGCTCAATGATGGGGCAGTTGGCCTTGCGGAATCGCTTGGCGGCATATCGGCCAGCAGAGTGAGGTACGTAGACTGGTGATCGGATCTGGATGTAGTCGCTGTGGTAGTTCCTCCGTTAGTTATTGTTCTTGCTTCGCTTTTCTCATTCTCCCTTGCGATGTTCTGTACTCGGCGCGAAGTTGCGTGTAACCGTTCGGAATTGGCTGGGGATTTCGATTGTGGGCGCATAATCGACTTACGTTAACGAGATGTCACGGATCTCAACATCCTCATAGCTCCCTAGTACCCTCAGTTAGCCACAGCTCTTGCCAGCACCGGATCGGCTTCAATTTTATATGCGGCAAAACTTACATCTGTTGAACAGCTTGATGCTTCCAACCTCGGCAACGACGTCCTTGGGAAGGACCTGGTAGGTGCTGGACTCGACCTCGATCTCACCGTTGTCAGACATGTTGGGCAGTAACTGGCTGGCTGGCTGGTGGAAGATGTGAAGTGAAATGGTGGGGAGGCGTCGCGATATTGAGATGCAGAACAGAACTTGGAAGTTTTTGGCCGGCTTCACTTCGGCAGGCGAAGGTGTAAATTGGATTTGCAAGCGAGAGGGGAGCCGTGGTGGGTGCGCTAGGGCTCAATGTTAGCTACGTGGGTACCAAGGTACGTGCTGCAGTGGTGGCTGGCACTAGTAGTTTAGGTACCTAGACCAGACACCCACTATTCACCTGTCAACAGCTGGCTCTCTTTGGTAAGATAAATGTTTATAAAGATCTTGCGCAAGCTGGACTAATTGAGGAACCAATGTCGTATTCAATAAGATTCAACGCGATCCTAATTGCAAGAAATATCATATCAAGCACACAAGAATCAATAAATTCACCATTATCGCTCAATTGATGAGATACCAGTTAACGGCGGGCTCTGGAGCTAAAATCTCGGGTTACTACATGTAAAAACCCACGAGCCACTGATTCAAGGCTCACCACAGAAAAGCAGGTAATGCACCTTTAAGCCCTATTCTAGGTAGTCTACACTCGTTGAATTCTTTCTCTTAACGACAAGTCCCACTGTTCCCACCATTGGGAATAACTATCTCTCAATAGATCTCGGGGGAGGCAAATCCTATTCTCCTCCATTCGCTCTTTGAAGTATTTAGCCTGGCGAGCCCTGGCTTATACGAAGTACAGTGGTAGCCATAGAAAAAAAGAGTCTCGGCACCCGGTGTGTTGTAGCCGGCCAACATCCATATTTGAACAAGGTAACCTCAATTGTCTATAGTCCTATTTGTTATTAAAGAAATCTTTTCAAAGATCGCATATCGACATATTCATTCCTGTTGCCTAGATGCCATGCCTATTATTGGAAATTCAATGCATGACTTCGCAGCGGCCGCCCGAAACTCGCATCTTGAAGCGAAGTACTCCGTACCCAAGGTCGAAAAAATAGGAACAGGCTACCTGCGAACTCAGCCAATCAGAGCGACTTGATTTGACCATTTGGGCATTACCTCAGTAGACCATTTTCATATCCCCAGCTGGTAGGTAAGCACTATAGGGTACAGCGGAAGCTCCAACTTCCGCGTATAACTGCTTGAAAGGGAGGGCGTACAGTGAGAATGCCACCTATACTTCATGTTGCTCTGAAACTTGTATAGTTGTCATTAACATTGTATTTTGCTTCTCGAAGCTATAGTTGCCCTCGTTGCGCGTACACATCTGTCTCGTTTTTATAATTGTAGTCCAATTGTATTTATTTCAATACCAGAAGTCGGGACACTGCGACATCCCGAGACTCGCACTCACCACACCAAGTCTCGTACCACCTGACGCCTAGTGAACATGGTGACAACAAGAAGCGATGGCGTACGGCAACGCAAGGCGAAGGCCAGCGCCGCCACGAACCCTGAGCCGCCACAAGTCGAGGAGGTAGACACGTCCGAAGCCGAAGAGATCGAGCGTGAGCGGGAAGAGGCCGAGTCCGAGAGACTCCGGAAAAAGAACCGATCCCCCAAACAGAAACTCGAGGAAGAAGACGAGGAATATACCCCATGGGTCGATATCCTCCGGGTCATATCCTTCTTGATATTCGCCTCGTTTGCGCTCAGTTACCTGATCTCAGGCGGCGAGACTTTCACGTGGGGGATGAAGCACCCGCCCAAGTATCTAAAGGCGAACTGGTGGAAAGCAAAGCTGGTGTGTTGCTACTTTATCATTTCATTTATCTTTCGAATCAGAAACTCCAAGATTGTGTGATTATACTGAGCCTTCAAGAGCCTGACAATGCTGACGAATCCCAAACAGCGCGGTCCTATCTACCTTACCCCAGCCGAATTAGCAACCTATGACGGCACCGACGAGACAAAACCTCTCTACCTTGCCATTAACGGCACCATCTTCGACGTGTCCTCGAATCGACGCACGTATGGGCCAGATGGCTCGTACCGATACTTCACTGGCGTGGACGCAGCCCGGAGCTATGTGACGGGATGCTTCGCCGAGGACCGGACAGCAGACATGCGTGGAGTTGAGGAGATGTACCTACCCCTCGACGACCCTGAGGTCGACTCGCACTGGAGTCCTGCAGAACTAGCGGCTCTAAAGGAGAAAGAGCGCGCGGATGCGCTGAAGCGTGTCCACGAGGGCTTGCTACATTGGGTGAATTTCTTCGAGAATAACGCTAAGTATCCCAAGGTTGGATACCTCAAACGGCCCAAGAATTGGCTGGATAGCGAGCCCAGGCGGACGCTGTGTAAGTCCGCCGCCAGAGGCAGAACAAAGAGGACCATACCCTCAGCATAGAACGACCTGTGTCGGGATTATTCCATATACAAGATCAATTAGATCAAATCTCCAACTTCTCAATGTTCCAGAAGGCGTGCGGACATACAGGTAATTAGAATCAGTCTACTATTCATATAAATTTGCATAGAAAGTGAATGTAATTTCTAATCAGTTTTCTCCAGTTGCTAAACCGCATCTGATTTTCCTTCACACAGCTACTTGAACAGTCATCTGTACCATGGCATAGCTATTCAACAAAGTCAAGTAACAATTCGTCTCATGCATCCACGCTTTTTGGCAAAGGTAAACATTTTCAAGTCAATGGGTATATTATGTATAACAGCGAAATCAGGAGAGGCCCAGTTCGCAAATATCTAAAACGTTCCATATAGCGCTTTTTCTGCCAACCCAGCAATTAGACCAAACTCATCTAAATGATTGGCCCTCAACAGCCAAGTTATATAAAATACAGCCTCAGTAATACTGGATCGTCCCGAACTCGAGCCCTGGCCAATTGGTGACTAAACTGACGAAGTCCCTTTTTCTTACATCCGCCAAGGTCACCGGGATATAATAGGCTCAGTTCAAGTCTCACAAAACCAATTCCACCCCATCTTGGAGTATCAGATCTTTTATAGCAAGGCAAGAGCAGCAGCAATGCTGAGCAGACCTGTCCAAGCTGATACGGAAACAGCTGAACCAAGGCCAGCCGCGGGAGTATCGGTAGGGCTGGGGATAGAGCTGGTGGTGCCGCCAGTGGTGTCGCCAGCGCCGCTGCCGGCGCCAGAGATCTTGGTAGGGTCGAGGTTCTCAGTCGCGGCAGCAGAAAGGTCCTTGAAGTTTGCCAAAGACCTTGTTGAGTTGGCAGAAGTGCTAGATCGCGAGGTTAGCCTCACATAGTTAATGGATTATGTGGATGGGGAGCAAACAACTTACTTTTCGTTCACAACCATGACCATTCCAGCCTGGCAATGCTTGCCCTGGGAGCAGTACAACCATAGCGGGGTGGCGGCCTTGACCTCCATGGTGTATACGGGGATCATGCCAGTGGACTCGCTGGCGGCGACGGCCATGTAGCCGGAGAACATACCGGGCTGGCTGGCGTTGATGGCCTGAATAGGTGTGCAAGGGTTGTCGAAATTGGACTGCACGACACTGTGGTTACCCGCGAGGAACTGGAATTGAATCATGTCGCCCACATCGGCCTTGAGGTTGTCTGGGTAGAAAGCGAGGGAGTTGTTGGGCGACGAGACGGACACGACGTGAACTTTCTGAGCGGTAGCGATACCCGCCAGGGTAGTAGCGACAATACCAGTTGAGAAATGCATCTTGATTTTTTTTTTATGAGTGAGCGAAAGATCGGAGTTGCTAGTTGATTTTCAAGAGAGAGCGTTAATATGAATAAAGCGACTCGCGCTGAGTAGGACTAGCCTGACGAAGATTAAGACGGACAGGAAAGTAAGAGAAAGAAAGGAGATATTCCCCAAAGACGAGAGACTTGATACAGAATGTGAAGTGAAGTTGAGAAGAAACAGACATCTCAATCCGAGGGGCGGCACAGGCCTTAAAAAGCCAAAGAGGCCAAGGGTCGGGAAGATGAAGGATCGCCATTTGATGTGCATAGCCATTCATTCCCATTGGCATTGCCTGCCAACCCTTCCAGCGCGCATCCATCTACCCATCCTCTGTCACGTCTGGGATCCGCCCAGGGTAGTGTGCAAAACGAGGCGTGAGGAGATCTATGAAACACGTTTCGACCTCGATTGACAGCACAGCAGAGTACGCCACATACCTTCTTGGGCAGTGCAACCGTGCACCTACACTACTGAGTAGGCAACGGCCTTGTTAGCCGGCCAGGTGGTAAGAAACCCCATGGCGATAGCAGCCGGGATATTTCCCCATCCGAAATGAATTATGATCAGTGCCTGGTTCAATTCGAGATCAGTGAAGCCATGCGCGTCGACCCTTGGCCAGGATACTGCCTAGTGCGTATGAAAGGCGTTACAAGGAAGCATTACCATACCTATCCAGCTTTGCTTCACCCTCTAACCTGCAGATTCAATATGTTCAAGCCATCTTACCGGTTGTCTATTACGTTCCTTTCGCGGTTCTATTATTGCTTCCTTGCCAAAGGGCGTTGCCGCCTCTCTCAAAAATAGCCTACGAGTTGAGGTAAGTTCGGACACCGGCCGAATCGAAGTTCAGGGTTAACCGACAAAAGGGGGCCTTGCAGGGGGTCAGGTTCCCCTCGGGGCACGGAAGTGCTTCAAGATTAGCGGCAAAGCCCTTGTTGCGACACCTGCAAAACCCACCCAGTTTCACATGCAACCCCGGATTCCTGACGGTACGTAGCCAAATGAAGGGCTTGCGGTAGGTATTCCTTGATCCCAAACGGAATCCTAACCGATCCAATCCTAACCAATTCCATCAAGCTGACAAGCTCCATCACGCTACCTACAGCTTTCTACTAGGTATGTACTTAATTAAGGTGGCATTCAGGGCGCGGTTACTTACCCCTAGACTAACAGGATAGCAGTACAGCGCAGATCCAGAATGCTACCCTAAGGACGCAAAGCTTTCCAGGCTTACGCCTTGCAGAAAAAGATGTTTCAAGAAACAACACATGAGATCTGTTGGCGAAGGTATTAAGCAGGCATATTCACACCTTATTTGTAAGTTGCTAATCTACCTATTACTTTAGTAAGTGTAAGTCATGGTTGTGTTCATACCTATGTACATGGTGCTAGCGCCACGGCGCTTCAAAGGCCTGGCATTGTTTCAAGTCGGCCATCAACTTTAAACCATATCAAATCTTCCCGGTGGTTGATATCTCAGCAGCTACCCATCCACAACAAACCCTATAACCTTGGCGTCTTTCAGAGATGTAATCTATTCGGTAAGCGTTAAATTTTGCGACGGGCACCTGATGTCCGGCGTAGTAAGTAAAGATGTATGAGCTTGAGAGCTTTCTAGCCTACGCCGCGCTGTTGACATAACTATCAGCCAGATTTGGTCCAATATTAAAAACTTAGGCCAAGAACATGGTTGCTTCCTTCGTTTCCGATGTTTGTTTCGTCGATCGTATAAGCGATTATACCAGCATAGCAGCGGGTAGGTCTGGCCACGCAAGACCACTTTGCATTTGCAGGCATGCATTAATCGAACAGTCGGTATCAGTATGATGGCAATAATACGTTTTCAGTGCTAGAATCGCCATACTAGGTGTGAAGGGGCTCGTGCATATTTTCACGCCAGTATGTAATATGTTGTAGATCAGATCTACCTAGATCAGACGAAGCAGTCTGGGCATCACAATAAACCAGCCGTACGCTTATCTTTGGCCCAAAAAAAGCCTATTGGTAATCATATTGATAGAATAGGCAGAATACGGAGTGCTGCGCGAGTCTCCGTGTAACGCGGTCTCTAGAAAGCGTGTAGCGTTGTAACGTTTACCTCACGATTTTGATAAGCTGGTGTTGTAATGGAAGTCTCGTCGATCAATAGTCGTCTCAGTTTCACAGATCCATTAGTAGTTGAGGGGCAACCTTCTCCAGGTCTTCAACCTATATTAATATAACAAGTCAGCATCTACAGAAGGTGGGACAACACGAGAGACACGGATCTCAGCGTATCCAAATCGCTTACTTCCAAAAATCCGCTGCCTTTCTCCACAGCAGTCCTAGCTATCGCTTCGCGCACAAAAATATCCATATACTTGGCTATCGCCTTGTTCGCATCTCTCGAGATTCGCGTGCCATCCTTCTCAAAAAACTCGTGGAGAATTCGAGTCAGAAGCTCGGGCGGAATAGTCTTTTTTGTTTCCGCGTCTTCGTCATCAACTTCGATCGTCTCTGACCCGTGTCCCTCATTCTCGATATTGTTGTTTCTGCTCCGCCGCTGTGGTATTTCGTCGTCAGCAAACGGGTCAGTGCCACTGTGATCTGAATCATCTGTTTGTCGACGTTGCGGGTTATTGGTGTTTTGGGAGCGTGATGACGCTTTCTTTGGTGCTGTACCGCCCCGCGCACCCCGAGCGGTTCCCCTCGAAGAGCTTTTAGAAGCCATCTAAGAACACTAATTATCTCAGACTCCTAGCAATTGAGTTGGCTGGGACAAGTGAACTTCCCAAAAGCAGCTGGACCTTGGTTGTAAGCACGGGCAGTGTAGAGTTACTTGTTCGCGACCAGTGCTGCAGTCGGATTGTTACCTACCTAGATACCCGCAGCACCATGTTAGGTAGGTATCTAAGTAGGTAATTAGTACACTGTGTTGCCAGCTGCATCCAGCTGTAGGTAGTCACCAACAAAATAAAGCCTGCCAGACTATTGCAGAGGAAATTGGTATTACCAGTTAAGACGCTTAATTTGAAAACACTTGCATTAACAAATCTATCAGTCATCGTACGGACTCTTTTGATGATACAAGTCCGGGGAAACATCAAATCCAGCCGACAAGAGAAAATGCAGAGAATACAGTCAAAGGAATTGCCTAGGGTCTAAATTACAGCGGGAAGCCGAATAACAAGGCTTCGCAAGGGGAATATGCCTCGTCTATCAGCTCATGCCGCAAAATCAACGTGTTCCAGAACGCCTCAGCAATGTGATGTCGATCTGTAAGCCATCCGCCGTGATCTCCATCACAGTCGTTTCGTCAGCCTCCCCGGGAATCTACCGGGGTTCCCGCCGTCTGTATTACACCGAGTCCCCATCTTTTAACGCATACAACATTTAACCAGAGCCACCCTTGAAGGCCTTGCCGAAGAGGATGACCTGGAGCTGATCGTAGATGGAGAGCACACCAGCACCAGCGACACCACGGAGGATGTTGGCACCAGCACCCTTGAAGAGAGACTTGACACCCTCCTTGGCAACGATCTGGCGAGCAGCATCAAGGGTACCGTTGTACTTGACGGCCTCACCAGAGGTCATCATCATACGACGACGGATGGTGTCAAGAGGGTAAGAGGCGATACCAGCACCAGTGGTGACACACCAGCCGAGGAGGAAAGAGGCCAAGAAGTTGTTGGCGAGGGGGCCGACGAGGACGACGGGCTTGATCGAGTCGTACATACCGAAGTACAGACCACGGTAGACAATGATACCAGCGACGGAAGGCATGAAACCACGGTACAGACCAGCAATACCATCGGAAGCGAGGGTCTTGCGGTATACATCAACGAGACCGTTGAACTGGCGGTCACCACCGCTCTTGGCGTTCTTAGCATCGTTGGCAAGACGCGTACGGGCGTAGTCGAGCGAGTAGACGAAGAGCAGTGATGTAGCACCGGCAGCCTAGACTCTATTAGTTTTTATCAGACTAAATATTATGATTCCAGTAAAACTTACACCACCAGAGGCCAAGTTACCAGCCATCCACTTGGCGTAGCCATCCTTGTCCTTCTTGTAACCGAACATAGCCTTGAACTTGTCACGGAAAGCGAAGTTCAAAGCCTGTGTAGGGAAGTATCGGATGACGTTGGCAGTGTTACCACGCCACAGAGACATGACACCCTCGTCGGCCATGGTGCGCTTGAAGCAGTCTCCAATACCGGCGTACCGGCGGTCGAGACGGCCAGACTTAAGCATTTCATCCTATTGAGATTGAAGTTAATATTCGTCCATCGTATTATCCTATTTAGTGCGATGCCCGCGGCGGTATTGTTGACCCTAGCATGTGTGCATTTATACACCACGATCGCTCACTTCCGATATATCACGGAAACTGAATGTAATAGACATACCTGATTCTGGATCAAAAGCTTGACACGCTCAATGGGAGCAGCAGCTGTCTTCGATACAGCGGCAGAGACACCACCCATCAAGAAATCGGCGACAAAGGGCTATATTGCGGGTTGAAATTAGCATGGATTGGTATGGTCAATTGGAAGCGCGCGCATGGCGGCAACTCGATCACGACACTTCCCACACCGATCGAATCGAGGCACCATGGCGGTTCCGCAGAAGATCGAGCTTACCGGCATGCCCAGCACCTTAGGCTTAGCGTCTGAACTCATCTTGAAGGCTTCCGCAGAGACTGAAGACTGTGAAGGGAGTGGAGATGGGGTATTGATGAAGTTGGGAGAAGGGAAGATGGACGGGGTTGAGGTTTTTAAATTCAGGACAACTTGAAATACGGAAAATTTGATAGTGGTTGCCGGGGCACTGTGGATCTAGTGCAAGATTACCTCTGATAGCGACTTATCCCGAAGCAATGCCTATTCAAGTCCTGTTAGCGCGGTGAGCAAGTGTGCGGCCTTGATCCGAGACCCACCATTGCCTTACTGTACATGCACTGTCTGAGTATGTACACAGGCATGCAGTAAAAGGCTCTGCAAGTCTGCTAATGTAACCGCCTGGGCATACCCCTCTCTACCATACCTCGTGTGTTCTTCCTCCTTAAAATATTATACAATTACTACGTACTGGTACCTCGTTTTAAAGAGCTTCGAGATATGGCAAGTCAATACGAGGCGTAGCGCGATAGAAGATACCTAGGCAAGTACCAGGTAGGTATCTAGAATCTACATAGATAATGCAGTGTTAACCGACCCAGGCCGAAAATTTTCGAAGTGCTTTGTGGCTCAGGGTCTGGAGTAGCGCTGGAATGCCTTAAACACTTTACTTGTCCAACTGCAGTACCTAGACCAGACAGTGCTTTGTACAGTATACCTATGCACACTTCGTCCTACCTCACCCTCCAATGACTAGCAGGAGGCACATAAAATTTGCCAACAGTTTTACACTACTATACATCCTTTCTCCTGTGGAGGTAGCGGGAGTCAGTAGCCGTAACTGACTTTCCTCCCCACATTGGCCTCCCGAATCCAGCCGCTCATCCAGCGAGTCAGCATGCTGGATATCCAGCCCTGTCTCCAGCCGGTCGATAGGAGCTACTAGTGTACATAGTAGGCAAGAAACACCATCGACTGAGAGATAAAATGTGCCAATTCAGGTCTGCCCAGGTGCTCATTGCGCGCGCCAAGAAAGCCCAGACAAGTTAAATGGAGCGGGTCTAAAGAAAAGGTTACCTGTATTATTCATTCAATACCTGTGCGCACTACTCCCAAGCGTACCCAAAGATATCTATCTAGTGTAAGTAGAGACATGGAGTACTCAATTAACCTCGGTAGGCTTCATTATGTTGCAATCTGGGTGATGAGAATTGCAGGGGGGATACCCCTCAACTAGAGCACACCACAGCAGAGCCTCATAAATGATGGTCACCGACACGAATGTGTCGAATTGCTTTTAGTTGAAGCACAGTTACAGCAAGCTTACATCTGTATACCCTTACGCGGATAGACTCAAACGGAAATGTTCCACATAACCACGTTAGTTTATAGCTGCGGGACATATCATTCTGGAGGTCTGTCATGACCAGACTAGGTGGAATACGCCCTGAATATATGCACAACAGAGATTGAGTGGTTGGTTGAGTTCAGCTGAAAATATATTTTCCAACAACCAAATTGGTCGTCTGGGCTGTGCGAACAGCGATCAAGTTGGCTACGAACTGTGCGAGTGTGTTGTGGAACAGCCTGGCGAAGGGATTGCCCTATAGTTCACATTGCCCTAGGCACATTCGGAACGGACAGAGAGCATCGCGATGTTGCGCCAGAGGTTCGGTGCGAAGATTGTGTGCAAGATGCACTGCAAGATGCACAGGGTATGTATTCCGACCCTATCTGAAGGTAGCTGCAGTAGCTCAAAACCGTGACCGTCCCATGTGATATGCTGCGCCGAAGATCAAGAGGCCGAATCCATCAAATTCCCATCCGTGATCCCTCTAATCTGTCGATTTCTCTTGGTCGACCGATAATTTTCATAATCGTGGTATCGTGAGATGGGTTATTTAATCCGAACCGCCGACGGCACGGGCTGTACAAAGTCAGCATATTTCAGACCACTATGATAGAATATCGTTCTGGAGCGGCTTACTGTAGATCTTCATCTTGCTGTGAGTGACGACGGGTTTAATCTGTCCCTTCTCCTCGAGGTCCTTCAAGCACTTCCGGGCCAGCGAACCGTTAATCTTTAGTCTGTCGACCAGAGTAGAAACTGTGACGAGACGGTATGACTGGACATCCTTGTAGAGCTTCTCGGAAGTGGTCTTGTCAAGCAGGACAGCGTGCTGGGCCTTGTCCTTGACTGCAGTAGAAAGTCAGGTTAGCTGTAGCTCACAGGGAGGTATGGTAAATCATTTCGGTGGCGTGACCATATCACCAATGAACAGGAACACATGCCTTTGCCCCTATTCAAATCACAGTCAGTTTAAATGCAGAAAATGACGAGAGTTAGCTGTTACATACTTAGACCACTTCTTCTTCTGCTTCTTCGCACCAGTCGCAGCGGGAGCCATTTTGTCGATTCTGTGTGGTGTTGCTGTGGTTGGTGATGTGTGGAAGGTGGAGGGGCCGAAGTATATATGAATTTTACAAAAGTTCGCTTGAGCCTTTGGTGTGCTACTGCAATTGTGGCGGCACGTGACCCGTATGCAACTAGTGAGGTCCAATCTTGTGGCTGATCATTTGATATTGCTTATGTAAGAATTTGAGGCTATCTCCTCTGGATCATTGGAAGTACCTAAGTACCTATATAGGTATGTACACCTTCTGTTCTTAGGCTTGATTTTCTGAGTATTTCTTTTCGTGTCCTCATTCATCACTTCTTGCAGGTTGTAGAGGATCAGTACCAAATACTTGGTCTTGTAACCCTTACAGCTTTTTTGTTCCTGGTCGTGATTTTGGTAGCCCTATTCTCGCCATCTCAGTGGCGTCAATTCTAACATGGACTTTGCTATTGTTTTCCTCATTATACCATATCTGGTCGAAACCCGATCGGAATCTACGGTACACTCTTTGGAATATAGTGCGGAAGTGGCTCTAACGCTACGTATTGCCTCTTCCAGGGCTTCATTGGGCCAACAAAATTTCATGATATGCTCAGTGTCCATATGAATCGTGTTTGTATATCAGAAGGGCGTGAATGGCCCCTCCATTGGAATAAAGACCCCCTGTTTGTCGTAAAGTATTCTCTAATTGCCAGGGGGGTAATATTTGTTTTTCCTATGACCGCCAATTTGTGTGAGACCTGCTTTCTAGATATTTTCTTGACTTCGGCTGATTCGAGACGACCACCGGCAAGTTGAAGGAGGCGCAATGGCGAAAACGAAGCTCCCGGAATCAGGTATTTGATGTGAAGACCGCTACTAGACTGCTCTGCCAATAAATTTCCTAGAAGTCAAGGAATCAACATCGGTAATACTTCGCCGTTTGTATACTGCGCCTAGGGAATTTGTCACGGAATGACATAAGGAGTGCAGTACTATGCCACTACGCCACCAAAAGGTAACGACGAGTTATCAAGTCGAAGGCTTGACGTCTCTGCACTCACTATATAGTACTGTACTGTGACAGAATTCGCATCGTATAAGGTCTGAGCCAGTACGGTAATCCTTCTTACATCTGTTCATGATCTTTGATAGACATGCAGGTAACGTTAAAAGTGAAGCTGTACAAACTTCGCTTCATGAAACAGATCAGTGAGGCAAAGACGGTCAGGATTAGCAGTCTAATTGTACATCCAAGAAGGAATTGTTTAGCCAGGGACTTTTGCAGTCCTGGTGGATCATTCTATTGTGAATATCACTGGTTCCAAGCCCCAATCTCTGCCTTGTTATATCATTAATGAGAGGTTACCCTGATAGTAATCACTACGGATCTGAATGAATCTCCCACCTCAATTGAGTAGGGAAGAATATGTAGGGCCTCTCTCAAACCGCAGTAGTGAGACCAACTTCCAAAACTAGTTTTCCAGCATAAGCTTGAGTTCAAAGAGTATAAATGGATAAGGAAACCCTTCCCGTCCGAAGCCTTTTGCCAATGCGGACGAATTTGCCTCTCAGTCTTTTGCTTCGAGTCGCTTCTTGTGAGTACTAATGGCACGGTGAAAATCTCGATGGTTTGATGCCTCCATGCCTTGACTACCCTGGAGACCTCAGCAGAGAGTCACAGCCTCCTCAAATTTCTAGAGGACTTTGGAACAAGCCACTGTTGTAAATGGCCTGGCCTGCTATGGGATTTATTATACACCAGTATCATTACTTCTGGGCTTTCAATTCAAAAGTGTTAGGAGATGATCCCATTCCAAATACTATTAGGTTTTGTTCCACGCGGCATGACATATAAGCCGCATTTATGTCCTCGGTCGACTTTAACATGTAATGGGAGTTGTCCTGGTTCATGCTCTTTATTGTTGGCGCTGTATCATAGGTATCATCTCCCATCATAAAATACAGGCCCATGTGCTTGGGTCATGAATGCGCGAGACAACCCTGCTGATTATTTCATATTTATACGAAGTGCTATCATATCGGACCGTCTTACTGCCTGAGGGATGAATAGCTTTGAAGCAAGTTCAGCGGGTATAGATCGAGTCAACTTTTGAAACGTTGAAGTTTTGGTATAGTTATTGCCTGCCAGTTCATGTTCTAGGCCATGTAGCTATACCCCCACCGCTAAGGATTGAAAGTCTTCTTGAAAACGGTACAATGGTCTGCACGGCCGACAATGATATTAATGACACAGTCTACTGTCAATTAGTCGTGCAAGTACTCAACCAGGTACAGGACTTCAAGCAAGACTAGTCGTTGTATCAATAGTCCGGCATCGCAGCATAAGTATACTTGAATCTAGCATTGGTTTATTTATAAGATTACAATGTGCTATTCGAGCGATTTCCAAGGCCATAATCATGTAATAATACCATTTGAGAGCTGCTTATCTTAGGTATCTTTCGGTCGATTGAAGTGAATTAGTCTTCAGTACCCCTTGGATTCACTATTCCCACACTACATGCAAAGAAGAGTACGAGCGGAAGAACGACACATTTCGTAGATCTGCTAAATGATCAAGAATGATCACATAGAACTCTTACAAGTCGGAGTACAAGTTACCTTGAGGCATCTTAGAAGGCTTACGAGCGAATAGGTATTGCAGGTGGTGCATGCGCGAGATCGCCTACGGCTACGGGAGCATGCTTTGCACAAGACCCGTAATAAGGCATACGAGAAAGCGAGATTATACAGATTTCGCTAAATGAGATATCCTAGGCACTGAAGAGTAGCATAGGTCGTGTTAATTGTATATAGAGTAAAAGTCAACCATCAAGGCCGATAAGAATGGACCTAGTGGCCAAGGACCTCAGCAGGCCGTGCAAAGTATTGCAATATGAACAACTTCAATTCGAAGCCCTGTACAAGATCTCGATATAGTAGGAATAATAGGCAGGTGAGGTGTCAAGATACTATATAATCCCTTCATGTCCGTCCCCCCTTTCATTGCTTTGAAATTCTTCCCCTAATACTAATCGTTGTTAGCTAGAACTTATTTTGAAAACCCGTCTAGGCTTAAGGGCAAAAGAATGAATTTATATACACATGGTCCATTTTCGTATCGGCCGTCATGCTGAAACGCGATCCACAAGGAAGGTTTAATATCACCTATTCGCCTGATTTAGTTCCCATGAAAGGAAAGTTGAACGTGGAGGCCATAGGTCATGGGTACTTGTCGTGCGCGTGAGTGAACACGAGGGCGAGATGCAGTCTGTATGGTAGTTCTATTCAGTGGCTTGTTCAATGGCTTAGCTGGTAGCTTGCGCGTACTCTGGACCTCCGGAAGCCTATTCAGCCCGTCCGTAGCCTATATAGCCTGGTTGACGAAGCCTATGACCTAGCAAGTCATTCTTTACTTCGTCACCATACAATTGACAGTGTGTTTCCAGTATTCACCAACGACACTGCACATTGCGCCCGCCATGACATCACCAAGGCTTGCGAGAACATACTTGCCTATGTAGTAAATAACATACATAAAAATTATATGTACTACGTAAGGTGCCCATCGTAGTAGTTGGAACGATCCATTGATACCGCCAGCAAATCACGAAGTTTGATGGAATGCAGAAAATAGCTTAAACAGGTATCTGTAGAATAGCTACAGTAGATAGATTGTAGGTATCTACATTATGTCAGCATTGTATAGTGGAGAAGACCCTGCATATTACCTGCAGCCTGGCGCGTAGATAAGGTATGGAACCCCCACCTACCCACTAACCCCCCTTTTGTATGGCCGGGTCCAACGCCTAGCCCACTCACTGACGAGGACGTTAGGATGTACAAGTTACATGTAGGTCAGCATCCAAAGGTACCGTGCCTCGTCATCCCAAATTTCAATTTTCATCGACGTGGAATGTCCGCATCGTGATGAAGTCTGAGTGACAACACCGTGAGGCTACTGGCTACTTGGAAATCCCAAGTATGGACCAGGCGCAGTGGACTTCGCTTCATTACTCTCGTTTAATAGTGTCTGTCCCACTGCGTGTTTACATTGATGCCTGACTGGTCGGATCACTGCCTCTGACTTACTGCTCGACGTTCCTAGATCTTCCTTGACACCCACTCCTTGCAATCGCTGAGCCCGCCTCAACCACTTGCTGTTTTGGGAAGAATATGCCCCAATCAATATTGCTCCGGCTCGGCCACCGTCGAATATCCCTTCTCTTTATCGGCCTGGGCGTGTTCGCCTTGTTCACGCTCTTCGCTTTACCGAACTCCATTCCAGACGGCCCGAGCCTTTCTCAGTCCCTTGCCGACCATAAATTCACGTTACCAAAATATACAGACAAACTGAATCCCTTTCGACCGGCGTCACACAAACCGCCAGAGCAGAAGAATTCCAAATATGGAGGAACCTCGTGGTATTCCAATTGGAATTGGAGAAGCCCGTTCTCTTCCGCGACGACCATGGACGAAAGTCGATCGCTTTTACCGCCCCTTAAAGACAGAACACCAATCTATTGTTATTATGATACTACGGTGGAGCGCGACGTAGAGACAGCGGAGGCCGAGAGCGCGCTTCTGTTAACTTGGCGACGTGCCTGGTGGACTCAGGGGTTTAAACCTATCATTTTGAGCGCTGGCGAGGCTATGAACAATCCGCTCTATCGTGAGATGCAAGGTGCCGAGATGAACCCCATCCTGAAAAGGGACGTTATGCGATGGCTCGCCTGGGATAATATGGGTGGTGGTCTTTTAGCCGACTACAAACTCTTTCCTATGGGATCACGTCAGGAAAACCTGCTATCATTCCTGCGAAGAGGCGAATTCCCTGAGCTGACTAGATGGGAGGATCTCGGCGGTGGGCTTTTTGCTGGGCCCCAACCTAAGATAGCAAAGGTTATGGCAGAAGCGCTCCAAAACCGACAAAAAAAATCGGCTAAGGATCTGATCTCTGCTGTGTCGAGTGACAACTTCCGAGTCGACCCTTCGCATGAAGCACTCGCCTACTATGACAGGAAGACGGTTGAGCGAGTTTACCCGAAGATAGCAGAGGGCAACAGTGTTAACCGCGCCCAGAGTTTACATAGCCTGAATACTCTCATCAACTACCACCTACATAACACCTGGCAAGATCTATTCAGCAAAGGAATCGCAGTCCTAAAACCTATGCCTACGCATACAACAACCCTCATCCAGCCGGCTATAGACCTGGCCCAGAGACTCGCAACTTGTCATGATTCACCAATACCAGCTTCGTGTCCACCCAACCTCCCAAAGTGCACGCCTTGCGTGTCATCGTATCCAATGAAAATATCAACACCGGCTCGGTACCGAAACAAGTCAGAGATATATACGATTGGGACAGTACCGCATCCCTATACTCTACGAGTTCTTGAAGCCTTTCGAAGTGATATTGACGTTGCGTATATTAGAAGAGAAACTGAACGCGACCATTGGCTTTATCGTGTTTTCCAAGAGCTTCTTGGCACAGGCATCTCTGCATCAGCGCGGGTTGTCACATTCAAGGACACCGTAGCAGCAGAATTTGCCACATCTCGTTCGCTTTGGCTAACAGACGATGAGGATATCCCGCTACAAGACGCTGACTGGTGGTTTGGATTTGCAGTCCCTAAGAATGTGACTGATGATGGCAAGTCAGAGACGCCGGTGCCAGGCCCTGAGCGCAGACCAAAGCCAATCCATGATCCTGCTGACGGCCCAATCCCTAAAGATGATGAACTGGCTCGTGAACCCGAGCTCCTCTTGAAAGCTCGCGAGGTGGGTAAAAGCAAGCTTGAAAGCGACGTGCTTATACGCGAGGCCGCTGAGGCATGGAACCTTGCTGATACAGAGGCCTGGCGCTTTGCTAGGGCCTTCTTGGCTCGTTCAAGGGTTGAGCGTCAAGAATGGGAGAAAGAGGAGAGCAAATTTGCCGGCGGTGCAGGTCGCGATACAAGCGATGACCGCAAGAATGGGCGTACCCGCTGGAAGGACGTCGAAACATGAGACAAAGACCATATTTTTACATTGTATATCGCGCCTTAGACGAAACTACACTAATTGGCTACTGTACATGGGTGGAATGTCATGGAGTTTTTGCGTTGGGGTGTTGGTCTAGTTGAATGTATAGACTTCGAATTTTTTACCTCTCGGTTGAAAAACAGACTTTTCGCAAGTCTTCAGTCTGACCAGAGTCCGACCTACAGGAGATCAAAGCGGCAGGGCACACATCCTTCGCATCAATGGCCTAGCATGGGTATACTATGTATGCAACCATTCACCCCACCTGGTTACGCTTTCACCTCCTTTTTCGTCTTTGGGGAGTAGCGCTGTCGGACTATGCGAGCTACAGTAGAAATACAGTCATCGGATAGCAGTTCGCTGTAAGTATGCCATCGTGGCTTAGATATTCTACAGCTGCACCATATTTGTGACCTAAAAGGTTGACGTTTTTTCTCTTTTAGAACTCTTCTGCTATCATGCCTCATGATGAATACATAATGGAACACTAATCTTCGTTTCCTTGAGCCCGGGTCCCTGACTAGTGTATCACTGAGTGGATCTGCCTGACTGAGACCGCTTGCGCATCAACGTTGTCCTCGAAGCTCTTGACATAACTCGACATACTATGTGAGTGCCTCTAACTACTGGAGCCTAGGTTCCCTGAATCATAGCTAAATGGATTAAGCTTGTTTGCTCCTTAGTCTAGTCTCATCCACTTGCGGAGCTGTTGCGCAAAGCAGAACAGTAGCGCAGCTATTATGTGTATGTGATCTACTGAGAAGTAGTAAGCAAGGCAGCTTCCATGTCGAATCCTGTGTATCCAAGCATTGCTGATACCATCCACCTTGACCGCTATGTCTGGTGTGCGGTTTGTGCAAACACATTACTGTAGGTTACCTACGTTCCACAGCCGCCCTCTCTACATGATCGAATTTTTAACTTAAAGTGACATCAGGAGGTATCCTCGGAGTTCTATAGGTCTCGCTTGAGCTTTATCTATTTGAAATGTTTATTACTTCAATTCGTAAATCTCCGAGAAAAAAATCTACGACAGCTTGTACTCGGATGTAGTTAGTTCCTGGTAAGCAAAGACTTCTGTCGCCTTGACGCTGCTCCAACTCGGAGCTCCATTCGCAACCAGGACCTGCAGCTTGAACCACGCATGTTGACGTGCGCCATATCCCAACACCAAGGATCACTGTCTAATTAAGCACGCATGGGCCCCTGGCGGGGCGCCGTAATAGGCATCGACTGTCACCACGGCGCGCTGACAAGCTGGTCCCCGGAGTACCCATTTATTCATAAGATGGGATATCTTGCTTTCCTCGAATCACGAAGTGCTCTTCGATTTCTCAACGGTCCGTGTCTCTCAGCCCGCTAAAATGAGATTCTCGAACGGCGTCACTGCGGCGCTGGCTTCCCTTTCGGTAAAAGCCAGCTCCGTCCGGCTTCCGTATGTCAAGAGGGCGGACAATGTAACCGCTGGTGTTCCGCCGCCACCCGGTACTTATGTTCCCGTCCCAACATTCTTCTCGACCAACTCAACCTGCTCGAAGAATGGCGCCTCATCCTACCCTTTAGACCTCGAGACTCAAACTGCGTATTCTGTGTATCTAGCAGACGCAGGTATTGCTGGCTTCGCCATCTTCGGCAGCACTGGTGAGGTACGCGTTAGCATGAGTTGGTGATAACACTACTATCTCAACCCTTTGCCTCGCCTCACAGCACTGCTTCTTGGTCGCTTATGCGTTATGTCTAGCCCATTCATGTCACGCGAAGTGAACGTAACGAGGTCATCTCCGCTACGCGAAAGGCTCTCGATGCAGCAGGCCATGCGAACTACCCTATTATCGCGGGCGTTGTGTCGCAGCAGTTCGAGGAAGCAATCGAGCAGTTAAATGAGGCGAAGCGCGCTGGAGCGCAATGGGGCGTTTGTCTCGTTCCAGGAGTGAGTATCTACTTTATTTTCGGAAATGTTTTCTCCCGCTTCGGATCGTCTTGAGAGCGAGGACCTTTATTTGGGCTAGGGCCGCGATTCCCATATACTACCTCTTGAAACGAAATAATGTTGGATATACCAAGGTTGCGATGACCAGTTACTAATGCTGCACGTCGCAGTACTTTGCTGTCGCTACATCGCAGCAGGGAATTATTGACTGGTTCACGGCTATCGCGGATAAGAGCCCCATGCCTATTCTCATGTAGGTAGCCCTTGTCTGCCGCCCACGAGCCCACCCACACCCTCGGGTCAGGGATCTGGTCTGGAAGGGCGGCTGCTGACTGACCGTGCTGGAATCCAGTTACGATTATCCCGTCGTCACCAACAACATCAAGGTCCAGCCATCAACATACGAAGCGCTCGCCAAACACCCTAATATTGTTGGCGCCAAGATCGCCACCACCGATATTTCGTGGCACTCGCAGATATCTTCCAATCCCAACATCGAGTGAGTTTCACTCATCAGTCACGGGCCTCCTCTGTTTTGCCTGCCTGTCTCTTCCCGCCTCATTTCTCCTTTCCCCTTTTGGTTTTTATTTCTGGGGTTTGTGACAGGTTGACAACGTCGAAGCTACCCAATTTTGGGCATGAAAGCGTTACATCGTCATTAGCTCCTGCATATCCCACCTTAGCACCCTCGGTTATAGGTGACATTACCTAGGTAGTAGCTAACTTGGACGTTTGAAGCTACATGCATTTCCATCCCTACACCGGTCTCGGCCAACAGATGCTGGCTGCCGTGACTCTCGGTGCTTTCGGTGCCCTTGACGTTGTTGGCACTGCCTTCCCGAAGTCGATGGTGCATCTGTACAAACTGAGTTCTCTCGAGCAGCCAACCCCGGAACAAAGGAAAGAGGCTCGAGATCTTCAATGGAAAGTTGCAACTATGGGCGAGTTCTACAATTCCTGGTATGAATCCATGTCATCATCCTTCACTTACATACGATCAATACCTAGCTAACCGTCTAAATTTGGTACAGTGAGTAAGATTTATATATCACGAACCCCGGCACTACAATCCCCCTCACTTGATTGTAGAGTAGTTATGGAAGTCCTAGGCCTAGACCCTGCCGATATCTGGTTTCTTTTGCAACTAATCGTAGCATACGTACTTACATACCTGCTTTAGATAATGTTGTGGGGATAAAGGAGGCCGTTCATCGCGTGCGAGGCTTTGGTGACCGCAATGGAGTGCGGCTGCCACTGCGAAATACCATTACTGATGAGCAGTGGGATGCATTTAGTGATATTGTCAAGATCATGATAGAGACGGAAGACAGCCTATAAACCTAATAGGTAGATCACTAGGATCATGCGCGTCTCGCTTAACACCCTTGCATATGTGACACGGGATGCACCTCAACCAATGAGGAGAATTCAATACAACCATTGCTCACGACGCCCGATCGCAAAACAATCCCTTGAATTACCCGTGATATTTATGGACTGCCATTGAAGTTCGCAGACGACATAGCAGAGTACATATGAATTTTCAACCTAGTGATTTGGAGCGCACGCGGGCAAGACATTTAGGCAGCGTGAGCGCTACAAGGGACCAGGTGCAAGCGGCTTTGCCTTTGCGCCAGATAGATAATAACGGCCGTTTTGCTCAATTTTCCACGACTAGGAGGTAGACACTGCCGAACCAAGAGAAGCGAATTACGACTGCGGCGATCACAGCCAGCTTCGCTTCACGAGTCCCGTCAACGCTTAGACAAGAAAATGCTACCGAACGGTGGTAGCGAAGTCGACTAATGCAGCTTGACATCCCTTCATATGTCGGGAAAGCGTAAGTGACAAATGTGCCGGTCTGGCAGATCGTCTACGGTAGAGCTCCCGCCCTTCGTCATGAAACGACGCTTCGTCTTCAGGACCACCAACCAGGGAGTTGGCACCGAGCCGGCTATAGGCGCGCCATGAAGCTCGGCCGATAACCACGATAACGCATATGGGACCTGATGACGCCAGAGTGGTCACGGACTGTTGTGTTCAATATCGACATTTTAGCCATCAGCGCAGTTGCGGCCTCGGCCGTCCGAGACTACCTAATCGGCCAATACCACTGCGATGCTAAAGTGGTTTATCGCCAGTGGGGGGGTCTCGTCTCGTAAGAACGCAATTCCATCCCGCCGTTGCTTCTTTTCTCGTCCATCCACCCATCCACCCGTCGCCCACTCATCTATTCAAACCCCTCGCCTACACCCCATCCGTCCTCCACCGGATTATTTGTTTGTAAGAGATACCAGCCTTGCCATGCACTGTCAGACTCCGGAGCTCCTGAAGGGCGGGTCCCGGGCAGGAAGGTTGCACAACGTCGCCCACGCAACGTGGGAAGGACGTGCGCTGTGTCACGCTGTCGTCAACCCCTCCGCGAACCTCATGCAACCACACTCAGCAGCTCCTTATCTGGTACGGCATAGCCAAGGTCAGCTGGTCACCAGCACCCTCTTAACTTAGGATCCCTGTTTTCCAATGCCGTACGCGCGACAGATGGGTCGGTTTGACGGGCCTTGCCTAGCCGTGCAAAGGCCTGTGCGCAAATCTCTGTGGCGACCGTTGACTCATCACAACCTATGAGGACATGGCCACCATCACCCCCCGCTACGGGTCAGTCCGTCAAGCACGTGGATTCTTCGGCGGACGACTCTACAAGCGCTCGGTCTCCACGCTTTACGGCAGTGTCAAGCTGCCAAATCGGGATCATTCCTAACACGTTTTGTTCTGCACGGGGACGCGGGGTGGCGCCATACGAGATTTCCGGTGGTGAGCTATCATGGAGGGGACATTAGATGAGAATACGACATTGAGGCGCTCGTTTCAAAATTTTGACCGTCATTTCGTAAGATTTTCGCGACGATCTAGATTGGGACGGAAGCCGGGTATAAAAGGTAACCCAAATCTCCCAGCTTGTTCTGAGTCTCTCCTACCCTCATCGTCCAAGCATAATATCCCCATTTCCACCACAGTTGATATTAGCACCAATATTGGGGACCTCACACGATGGTTTCCCATAGAACAAGTCTTCGAGGACATTATGACCTTGCCACAGGTTCTCGGCAAGGGTTCCTAAGGACCAGCTCGGTTCAGACAAACGCTCGGGCCCGGAATGCGGATATGGAGGCCATGAAAACTTTGCGTCGAAAAGCCACGCGACACATTAAGGGCCCTATTGCCCGACATCGCCTTTTGGCCTCGTGCTTCAGTGCTGGGTCTGGCCGTACCGGTGCTCACTCTGATGCAAACCATTCACCGCATCCACCAGCTCCGCCACACCCACCAGTGCCAAACCCACCACCCCCGAATGGCCGTCGAGTATGCTGGTCGTGATATTTGGCGAGAATTCTCTCTTTCAGCCTGCGAGGCTCGCAACAGACTATACTGCGTCGATTCTCGGGATCGTCCAAGTCATTGCTGCTATGGTAGATGACCAAGTAAGCGGCAACTGCAAGGCTCTCTTGACGCTGGAAAATACAATCTGGGATGTTAGAACTGAGCCTATTGGAACTTGGCAATGTACTCATTCATGATTGGCAAGTCATACGTTTCCGTGCTCATTGTCAACGGAACTCTATCGAGGAGGAAAGGGGGTTTGCGCACGTATGGAGGAAATCTGATTACGTTCTATCGGGCTATAAGACAATCAAGCAAGACCAACGCAATGGTTCTCAGGAACAGTTCGGCAGGTGTTGGTAGCGAATATAAAAGTGCATTTCTTGTTCCAAGTCATTATCGGTATGCTTATGAGTGCTTGCCGATGTATATCTACCTACGGGAGAGGCTAGCGCTCTGATTCATACTAGACGCAACAGGCATTTTGACCTTGAGGCCGTCTACATATCTATCGACTTTAGTAGTACCTGTGAAGAATGTACTCAAATGCATGTGGGTATGAAAGTTGGATATCAAGTCTGCGCTTTGTGTTCTTGCCGACCTAGGTAGTGTCTCCCTACCTACCAAGCAAAGGTCAGTAGCTACATACATTATATACCTCTTAACTGTGCTCAAACCGCCTGAGGGTTGGATAGCTGTTGAGGCTGATGTCATACCTGTCGTCAATCAGTCATTGTGTACATGCCCGACACTTACGAGTGATTGGCATACATCATGTAGAATGTATGGCTGACACCCATTAGCTTCAAGGTGTTGCTGCCTACCTACTCGAGCATCCTTGATCTATCTATCAATCGTGGCGGTTATTGCCCAGTTAACTCGCTTACCTAGATACCTGCCTGAGGAATGATTTGGGAGGTACATCTTTCCGCCTGACATGTATCATAGATGTAGGTAAGTACCTTCAACGTCCACCCGTTTCCAACGCCAGGTTACTCGTAATGCGCTTTCCCTTCCACCCATTTACTCACCACCACCTGAGTACCTAACCTATGTACCTACCCAGGTACCTGAAGTCAGTGAGTGCTAAGTGTTCGCAGCAATCTCGACCTCAGCTTGTAGTGGTGCCCCTTCCTCTGGCAGATGCCGTGATGTCCGTACCAGAAAGTTTGCTGCATCTCGTTACCTTCCTGTGCTGACACTTTGACGAGAATCAGCAGCCAACATCCTCTCTTCGACCATTGCTAACATCGAGTCATCTTCTCTCATCTTCTTCTGCTATCTTTCGCCTCCATCTCTCGAGTCCAGGAGAGAAAACTTCAGAAGCCTCCGCAGATCGGGCCCAAGATCTTGTATGCCTACCACCTTGCTTTTGCTCCCATCCACTTCAAGTCTGCTTTGTTTTTTTGGTAAGTGGCCGTTGAAATACCTCGTTGTCCGCCTTGGTAGCGAATTTGTTTATTATGCCCACGAAGTTTGTTTTTTACACTCAACCACACTGCTCTCCAAACCCAGCACACCTGTTGTCCTGCTCTCTCTCCTCTCTTTCCACTGCCCTCGACATACAAACGCCTACCTACAGAAACAGCTCGCTTCGTGCTATTCATCACAGTATCGCACACAATATTTTGAGCCTCAAGTCCTAGCTCTCGCTAGATGTACTTTGAAGCGTTGGATGACTACCTGCTCGATGTTTCTACTGCTACACCAAAACAACAGCATCAATTACACCACCCCCTTGTTCTTTGCCCTGACACATGTGTCCACAAACGTGCTATAACATATCCCACCAAATCCGCACCCACATTGGTTATATCGCGTCATATCTTGTTCGTGGGCTTTGTAGTAGCTTACTCTGCTGGTCCGCTTCATTGAATGGCTACCTTGCATTCGAGGCCAAGTTTAGTTATCCCTACACAGCATGCCTATTAGATACGCAGTCCCGTTTTCCTCTCCTCAGGGTCGCCGAAAGATCATACGGAAGCTATTAGTCAAACTCAAACATATCCAGGCAGATGACTTTCCTATCCCTAACCCGACGATTTTCGAGATAAAATTCTACCTCAAAGCCAATCGTCGTTGCTGCACAGTCTTTGTCCAGAACACCGATGCACTCTTCTACAAACTTCCACTTATCTCATTAGAACTTGTTCCTCGTTTCATCACTTCTCAACTTGAGGCCCAGAAAATTGCTGACAAACATAGACAATCTGTCCAGCTTTCCACCGTTCTTGCCGTTCTTTCGGAATACATTGTTGCTGATCCCATTCGGACCAATTCGGTACCAACTCTCTTTTTCTGGTACGACACCAATAAACGACGCACCTTCTACCTCTTCGCATACTTGACCCATCAGATGGAGCCACGCACTTATAGTGCAGCCGAGCTCCTAGGCCTTCGGCGTTCTCAGACGTCTGAGACTTGCCATAGTGTACTAGCTAGACTTAAGGCGGATCCTGAATTTGGTATGTAAACTATTGACTTCGCCTAAAATAAAACTCCCTTGTTTACTTCTCTCTTATATAGACGAGGTAGTCTCCAAGGGGAATATCAACCCGACCCAGATCCGAGCCCCCAGAAAGCCAAATGGAATCTCGTCCTCATCAAATGAGAGTGACGAGGTGATCTATCGCGGAAAGAATCACCCTCGTCACCCCAGCCAGCCCATCCCGCCCGGCGCAAACCTACAGTGGAAATACCGGGGGCGCACCGGTTCTGAGATAACCTCGAGCGACCCTCTTCCGGCACCAACGGGCCTTGACAAACAGAGCAGCGAAGGCTTTCAAAGATTTTTCAAGGCAGTTGTATCTCCAACTCATGTTCGCGTTACTGCAGGTGGCAGAATTGTGCCCAACACACGGAACTCCGTTTCTCCCACTACGAAATGGGATAAGGAACGGCTACCTAACGACGTGCAAAATGCAGCCGAGCGTGGCAAGGAACTCAAGTTGGAACCGGTTTTTGCCCCATTGAGCAACCAGCTACCTCCTCCAATGATCCAACCCATGTACCAACCTCAGCCGATGGTCTATCAGCACATGGGCATGCCGATACCTGTCTACCATCCTTTACAAGGTCCAGTGCAACATGGCTTCGCCTATCCTTATGGTTTTGCTCCTCTAGCCGCTCCCATTCCCCAAGCACCTTATCTACCAATGCCTGAGCGTGAACAGCGAGTCGAGGTCACAGGGACCATGAGCAAGCAGAATGGCGGTGGTGGTAGTGGTGAGAATAACAATAGACCTCATCGGGCGCCTATCAAACTATCGCCGCCAGATCAATTTGATCAGAACCGGCCATTCTATATCAATGGCCAGTTGGTCTTTCCAGCTGGTGGAATGGGACCAGTTCAAGTGCCTCAGATAGCACCGAGCCATTACTTTGCTTCCGGTATCTTGCCAGCCTCTGGACCTTCTATGCAGCGTATGGCAGCTGAGAGCAATCCTAACTCTGGTATTTCTTTGGCTGCTGAAGCGAATGCCCCTTCCCCACAGCTATGTTCAAGTGCCCCTGACAGAGAAACCCCCTCTCAGCAATCAACGACAGCAACTGGCCCTCTCCCTGGAACTATACCACCACTCTCGTCCATCCGGCCTAGCGAGATCACAAGAAAACAGCTTGAAGGACTTCGACACCAGCTGAAGTTCTACATAAGCCAGCTCCAATTCAACAGGCATCAAATCGACGAGCCTTGGGTGTTTGCGCAAGCCCAGAAGGTCAGAGATAACATCAAGCAATTCGAACATAATTTGCGGATGCATATACAGTTTGAAATGGAGCATTATCCGAACATGGAGCCAACTCCTAGACACATATCTGAGATGGCAATGCCTTCTAACACCCCATCTCGACCACCAAGCATTAGACATACCCAGGCGAGTGGCTCTTCCCATCATGGTTCCGTTAGATCGAGTGGTGCAACATCTGGTCCCAAGCACTTCCAACCTCAGCAAATTGGTATAGGTGGTCGAGGATGTCCTAAACCAAATCGAGCTGCTGTCGGTATTAACTCAAACAGAACTGATAATTCAACCGCTCATATTGACGCACTTGAAGCGGCGGTAATTCAAAAGCTTTCTGCTCCTGATGCTACTCCAGAGCAAAAGGCAATGTTGGAGGCCATCACCCGGCCGCTGAATCCGCACCATGATCCTAAACCTTTTGTGAATCAGCAGTACTCTAGTGACAATAGCTCGTTGAAGAGCTTTTCTATTCAACCAGCGTCTTTTGCGGAGAAGAAAGTGCCACAAGGGCTAGCACCATCGACTGAGACTTATTTGCAAAATCAGCGAGGACAGCCCGCAGGTGCCTACCATGCTAATGGGAATATACCTTACATGACACCAGTGAATGGAAATGGACTAACGGCCCCCTACCTCGTCGGAAGTTGCCCTCCAGACACAGACCCTTGGAGCTACCTGGGACATGAATTTGTATATGGGCGAGAACTGACTGAAGCTGAGAAGCAAGCCCGAAATATTTACTGGGGTAAGCTGCCAAGCAAAGGCAGTGGATTGCCCAAGTTTGATGGCAAGGATTTCTATCCTGCCTCCCCCCAGAAGATTGCAGAGCATACGGGCCAAGCTCGGAATGTATCTTCGAGGCGACCTGAAATTGACCCCGGGTTCGAATTGAGACGCTCTGAAGTTGATCCATTCGGCTCCACTCGCGATGCCAATAGCATTCGCTCTTTCGAGAGCGGTCGCAAGCTTAGCAAAGCAATTCCTATTGTGGCGCCTCCTAACGTAGATAAAAAGACTACGTCCCACTTGTCAACGACGAATACTGCCAAGAGTAACGAAGGCATCGAAGAACTAAGCAAGCTCAACCAGTCCTTACAGGAACTCAATCTGTCTTCTACTGATGAGACACATATGAAGTACCCAGAGAAGAAGAAGTCTCCCTCGCTCAGCCGGAGAGCGTTGGAACGATCCAGGTATGTCGGGCTAAGTTCGATAAGGTGAGGAGCTGGGCTAATCGCTAGCAGCGTGAAATCTGGACATGACCTCTGGCAGACAATGCTGAAAAAAGGATCAGCAAGTGGGAACGTACTTCCTGGTACTATCTCATCGACGACGGCTACAGGCTACTTGCCTCAGTACGCTGGCAACGCAATCGCCTCTCTTGGACCCACGATTTCCAACGTCTCCCCAGCCCGCGTTTCACCGAATGCCGATGACAAGCTCGTCGAGCTCGAAGGACCTCGCGTAGCTATGGACAAGGTTGGAGAGAACTGTCCTCCAAGCTCTGCCCCTTCCATCGAGCACGACATCACAAAGGACCTCCACCAGCGTATGCTCCGTGATGCTGAACGCCGCGGGGTTATTGGCTCTGACTGGCAGTAGCTTCCCAACTTTTCAGTCATGATGTTGAGCTACGTCTGAAGCAGGGTTATTCTTGACTTACCTAGCTCCTTGCTGGAGACTTGGGTGGGCCACTATATCATTCTCAATCACTACATGTTTTGCAGGCCTTTAGATGCATTAGTATCATGAATCAGCCCAGGGTATTTCATTGCATCCACGGACAGGTTTGTTTCTATTACGGAAATTTGATATCGCTTGTTACGGAACAGTTTCAGACCCAGAGAGTTAGATTGTCATCTTTTAAAGGAATTGGACGCTTGGTAGCATAAGCTGATTAACTTCTTTGTTTTGATATGGCCAAAGAGGCAGGATCGGATATTCATAATAGCAGTCCCAATCAGGCGGTTGAGGCTGGTTGAGGTGTGCAAGATGCGAAGATTTGACCTAGCAAGATTAAACCTCAAGGTATCGCCGTGCGTTGAACTGGGTCGGGACTAGGTACAACTGGTAGACGAGTTAATGGCTTTTTATTGTTCTCAACAATCTTTTGATCTGACTGTCTGTGATCTCTGAATCGTCCTAAACTACCTACGCAAGAACCCCAAATATGGTTGATTGAAGGATATCGTCCGACCCATATAAAGTTGATTATCTAGGAAAATGAATTACTACGACGAAGTGCAAAGAACATGTACCTCACCATCAAACCTTCAATCGCACTAATATCAGATGATACTTTGCAACTGCAAGTCTGCAGGCGAGGGTGAAGGAGCTGTGATTCAAGTTATTTGCTCCTCCACTGGGGTTGCTTTTCGCCAGTCGTATACCACGAAAGCCATAGACTGGGTGATTGACGTGGAGATATCCTAGCGGTAAAAAAGATTTTCTCGACCTACCTTGACACCAGATTCTGTCTCCTCAACTTTCAAGTTCCCATCGGACTGGGATAGTCTCGACCCTTTGGAACCTAGATTCAACCTTGACCTGGATTTTGTAGAGCACTGATGACTCGTCATACGCTGTGTAGTTAGTGGATGAAAAGTGATACGGCTAGTCTTACGATAGGATTCATAGATAGGACACATCTCGCAGTGGCAAAGGGACAGACTTCGGGATAAACCTCCCATGGAACATTTCACGACAGAGCGCGAAAATGGCCATTGTGTGCATGTAACCGTTTTCTTTCGGTGTGAGCTGGCTGATGAAATGTGCATCGCGCACCTAGATGCTGATCCTTCTCCCTCCCTCGTGCTCATTTCATAGGTCATGATCCATGTCCTCCGATGATGCAAATGAAGCCCAACCCATTGCGTACATTGTGCGTGCCATGTTATCGTCGGAAACGTTGTGTCCTTTGTGAGGATGTTCCGCCGTTGAAATCTTGAATTGAATACCGATTTTCCCCGCGCAAGACGCCGACCAGAAAAGCATGATTTCGATGTTGTAATCTTCCGCAACTCATCATGTGCCGAGCCCGCCTCCCACCTGAAGCATTTATTCCGGCAACATTTATTTGCTGGCGTTCTTGCCCTTGGTGCGGAGCTCACGGCCGGCCTTGATGCGCTCGAGGATGTTCTCACGGTCCTTGTCGAGCTTGAGCTTGGTGATGACAACGTTGCTCTGTAATAATCAGGATCAGTAAGTGCAGGTGGAAGATCGATAAAATGCGAAAGCAGAAGCCCACAGAACGTCGAAAAGAAGATAGATTGGAATGCATACAGGGTGGATGCCGAGAGGAACAGATTGGCCAGAGGTCTTTTCGCGGGCGACACGGTCAATGTGGCTAGAGATAATATTAGTCACAGTCTATTATCTGGAGACAGTGTCCCTGTCTGTAGACACTCACATCTGGTACTTGAGACGGTAAACGCTGGTCACTTTGCCCTCACGACCTTTGTTGGTACCCCGGACAATCTGAACCTCGTCGTCCTTTCTATTCACGAGTAAGTTAACGAAGTCGAGCTAGAATATCGACACTTACCGAACCGGGATGCTGCGAACATTATATTGTGTGCGTAGCTCCTTGGAAAGCGGCGCGCTCATGATGTTGCGGCGGACAGAGCTGGGAGCCTGGAAGTGATCCCTTCTGGCCTTTCGGCGGGAAGACGACACGTTGGGGTTGGTCTTCATCTTGACGGCTGTTGGAGGGGTGTTGGTTAGTAGGCGGTGGTAGAGGGTGAAGATGAGATCGTGAGGTTGACCTAAGAGGAAAGTTCGCAAGCGTGCAAGATTCCCAGCAAAAATTGAATTGGTGGCCGGGAAAAGTTCAGTGCCCTAAACTAGCGCATGTGGCGTAGCAGTGGATAACTGTGGCTAGGATCGCAGAAAGCCAAGAAAGGTGGCTTAGTTGGTTGGAGGTAGGTACCTAGGTACTACCTATGTACCTCTACCTCTATTGACAGGGGCTGAGACTCTGGTGGAGCTGGTGCCAACGGGCCGGCAGCTCTATTCTTTTAGACTACCTACCTAGCTTGGAGTGGGATGATAATCGCAAGAAAATCAAGGGGAGACAGTTGGGTCGTAACGACTGCGGACACAAATACCCGAATATGCTGCCGGTGACATTACGGAGGAGAGCGCTCCTCCTGTTAAGGAATCACAATGCTACAAAGGCGAGGAGCCTAGCCCAACGGCGAACGTTGGTATCAGCTCCTAAACCCGGCGATGGGCCGCTAATGGAGAGGCGAGCAGATCGGGAGCTTCCCAGTGCGTACATCTACATCATCATATCTGTGTTTGCTATGTCTGCAATGATGATAGGGATCTCCCACATAATTCTCTCCCATCCTACATAACTAACATTCTGCGCCTATCCATTCTATAGATATTGAGAGCTTCCGGTGGTCGCGGAGTCTCCCCATCTTCCTCGCTCTGATCGCCGTTTCCAGCTTCGCCATCTTCAACTACCAGAAGCTGTCGAGCCCCGTCGTGGCCTCAACGCTATACGCCCTGCGCACCAACAAGAAGGCGCGCGAGATCCTGGGCGACGAGATCTACTTCAAGCACCAGATCCCTTGGATCTCGGGAGAGATGAACCAGCTGCGTGGCCGCATCGACATCAGCTTCGCCGTTAAGGGCACGCGGTCCACGGCCGTCATGCGCTTCGCGAGTGTGCGGCCCTCAGCCCGTGCCATGTTCGAGACCACCGAGTGGAGTCTCGAGACGCCTGATGGTGCGCGCATTGACTTGCTCGACGGTGGTGACCCGTTCAAAGGTATTGCTGGCTATGGTATGGATGAGGAGGAGAAAGAGGCGGCGTTGGAGACGAGGGGCTTCCGGCAGCAGCTCAAGTAAGGGAGTGTGAATATCTTAGGCTGCGATATGTATCTACTCCTGTCCTTCCGATTCTGCCCATACGATGTGGGACAAACTGGCTCTTGAACGTTGGCAGTGTTGGGAGGTGAATCTTCAATTAATGGCTTTGATACATCCACATTGGATCCATCCCTCAGAAGCCTGGCGTCTATGCGATCGTTTGGTTGCAGCCCATGCCTATGTACAAAATTTTGGGCGAAACCATAATCGGCCCAAGCAAGCCCTTTTCACTCTTCGGGCCATTGAGAGTTGACATGGAATTTGTGTACAACATCTGTATAAATAATACAAAGTGATTCTTGATACCGTGATTTACATGTTTAAATTATAACACTGCCTCGTGCAAACTCTTCCTCATCTCCTTTAGATCCATATGCGCTAACCTCGCTTGCTCCAGCCGCTCCTCATGCCCGATATTGCGCTCCAACATGAGACGCTTCGCCTTCTCCATGAATGTCTCAACAGGGGGTTCTTTCTTGACGGCGTCCGATATCTTGACGATGCAGCCCTTAGGCCCCGCAACGTGGCCCTTGATAACCACAAGGCCGAGTTTGTTGTCGGTTTTGAGCACACGGAGATTCTGCACCGTGACCCGCTCATTACCCATGCGACCAGGCATCTTCTTGCCCGGATGCACACGTGAACCACCGCCCTGACTGGGGCCCACGGAACCGATGGTCCTGTGATTCTTGGAGTTACCGTGACTGGCCTCCTGACCAGCGAAGCCGTGTCGCTTCATACCACCGGCGAAGCCCATACCACGGCTATTGCTGCGGGCGTCGACGAACTGGCCGACCTTGAACCAGTCGGGCGTGAGCTGTACACCGACAGGTAGTAAGCCCTCCTCACCACGAACCCTGAATTCGGTAAGGTGCCGCTTCGGCGCAATGCCCTTAGCCTCGTAGTATCCTAGCTGGGGCGCCGTCGTGTTGCCAGGAGTCTTTGAACCGCATCCGACCTGTACAGCCCAATAGCCGTTCTTTGCGCGCGTTTTGGAGGCCACTACTTGGCACTGATCGACCTGGAGAATTGTACACGGCGTCCGCGTTCCCTTCTTCACATCGAACATGGCCGACACACCCTTCTTGACTGCCATGAGACCGGTCCGGAGTGGTGTGGATTGCGCTTTACGCTTCAGCGCAGCCGCGGGGCCTGTTAAGGAAACGGGGAGCCCGGCGGACACCTGGTTGAATCGTGTGGGTTTGCCCCGTGGAGGCGCAGTTGACCAGCCGTATTTGACGCCACGCTTGGCTGTCCGTGGCAGTAATGTGCGGTTCGGTGTAATGAGGATGCGGGATGTGAGGACGGACGAGGTGGGCGTCAGGGCTGCTGCCCAGCGGGCTGGCAGTCGGGCTGCCATGGTCGCTGGGAGCACAATTGGCTCGACCTGGGAGTTGAGAAGACGGAAAGATGTCAAACACACGGTTTTGAAGGTCGGTCCGACGTCGACGTCTCGAGTGGATGTCATGCACAGAGCGATGGATGGATATCTACGCTTCCCGCCGTTTCAATGGCAGGTTTGGAAAAAATTGGGTGGGTCCAGGTCAGTTCACTGACCTGGGGCAGTTGGAACCAGAGCCACGCTGCTTTTAACAAGGCCCGCTTTTCCAAGACACTGTAGCACACGACATACTGGACCTACCTACGACCATTTCATCTTTATGAATACACCGTACACAGCATGTAAGATTGAGTCCGCAAAAATCTATCCCATTAGTTGTATGTTTATTGATTGAACAGGGTATTAAGGGGGCGCTTGTGCTACACTACATTGAAGTACTCTAGTCGGTCCATTGCATTTTCGAGAGCCTCGCCATTCATGACTCCAAAGATAATACACGGACCAACGATCGTGAACGAATTGCTGTTTCCGGGGGAAGGCCGTATCACACACGGCACTGCAGATCCCAGGAGAATGGCCACCTTATCTCCAACTGCGGTGTTCTTGTGAAACCATCCTAGTTTTCCATCATCGAGGCTACCAAGACGCAAACCGGCTTCCAGAGTCTTCTGTATTATCCTGCAGGTGTTTGGAAATTTAGCTGGGGTGGACCTTCCAGTTTCATTACGCTCGGAAAAGTATGAAACCAACGGTTCGCCATTGATCTTGAAATGTTGCTTCTCGCAACAATTCATCCACTGGATCAGGTTGGGTGCGAACTGTTCGACGGAAGTCTCTCGTCTATGCAGCAGCCTCCCGAGATCCTTCAAGGTGCCCTGTTGGCTGGAGGACCCGTCGCTCCCTTGCTCGCCAGCGATCTCAACGAGCAGCCATCGCAATGCTTCCGATGCTGACGCGTACTTGGCATATAGGGGGTCCTCTCTCGATAGCTTCTCTCTTCGTGTCCTGTGTTTCGTGATTTGTGATCTATCTAGATCGCTAGCTTTTGCTTCCCTAAGAGTTGGCGAACATGCCGAAACTTGGCCGATACGCAGCCCTTTCAATCTGATGTCCGTATCAACGAGGGATGGTACAAAATCAGCTTTCAAGTTCCTAGACGCTCGATAGTACCGATTAATGGGGTGTTGTATAAGACTGAGTATCCCCCCTGAATCTTTAGTAACTGAGGGAGGGGCGAAGCTCTCCGAGGCAAACCAATTCGGATACCAATTGCTGACTTCGTAGTTCTTGGCAACCACCATCTCGAGGTTCCCGGTAGCCTGAATCATTCTGACAGTCATGTCACGGCACATCTTGTTCGTTGGTACCTCCTGCCATATCGAAACGTATTAGTCCAGTTCCTTATTAAATACTTTCTCGAATTACGCATATAATAGTAATCACGGTTCAGGATCCAAAGCTCACGTACTGTGGCAACAGTTAGCGACGGAGGACGATAGATCATTTCAACAAGTCGAAATCTCAGAACCGGCATGATAGGTTTTAAAACATACCATAGCTTGCCACGGGCAAAAGACTGGGCCCGTCATGCGTTAGGCCAAGCAAAGCGAACACTCTGTCTCGACGAACGCTCGCCCTCGCCCGATAGCACATCGTAAGTGCATCCACCAGAGCTAGGGGTTGCAGTGCTAACTGGGATTTACGGATCTGAGAGAGCTGTTCGATGTGATGACGCGCTTGTGAATTTTTGATCTCGTCGACGTGAGTCAGCTCTTGTAGCGTCAACGTAAGCCCGTCAAGGTCGATCTCGTAACTACCCCAGATAACTTTCAGTTTCGGGTTCACAGATATCTCTTGTATAATCCAGGCTCTCATCCAGTATTCGTGCTCTAGGAGTTTCACGAGCGCTGCATGTTGTGGCTGAGATATCTGAAGCTTGGATGGCTTCTCTATGTCAGTCCGCTGTGGATTCTCGGTCGCAGCGGATCTTTGGAAAGAAAAAAACCCTTTCCTGGGTTTTGGCGCTTTCTTGGGAGTGCGGCGCTTTTTCTTTAGGTATTCGTCCATTTCTTTGCGTTTCTGACGAGCAAGGACATTTATTTCCAACACCTTGACACTTCGCCATTGATCCATTGGATCCTGGGAATCTAAATACGAGATAACCAAGGAAGCCGTCCGATATATCGCTGCCATTCTCGGAATATGCTGGCTGCGTTCCTCATAGTCAGATTGGTTAATGCAGAGCCCATCTGCCCAAACAAGATAGTGCTGTCTCTTACGTAGTTCCAACAGAGCGTGATACAAGTTCATGGTAATCCGAATGTGATATCCAGCAAGAATGACATGAGTGCCCGAATCAATATCTCCCCAGCGGTATGAAAGAGCAACATAACCAGAGACACTGTCACGCGGGTGATTGAGTGGGGTATGCTCAAGCTGACACACGATACGATCAGATAGTGACTCTGCTGGTTGAATTCTCAAGAGTCGTATCTCATTATACTGGCTGCTTAAGGGACGATATTTGATACCACTGTAGTAAGCAGCATACTGCCTCTCAAACAGCGCGGCCGTGTCGATTGGGGTTGTACGGTAGGGGTTGCTGGCAAATTTGACGTTGGTATACATTGTTGGTATCAGTATAAAAGTTGAGTATGGCGTATGTCGCGGGTATACTACTGTGACCAAATGCAACATGCGGTAGCCATAAGCTGCGCAAAGAACTCCATCCTCGGGGGGGGGGGGAAACTGCTTCGGAAAGGGAGAGAGAACGAGGCTCGCTCGAGATATCTCTACATAATATAAGTGAATTTACAAGCGAGCACGGTGGCGCAGGGAGACAAGCATTGGAGGTTCGATGACCTTCAGCCGAAGCAAGGTGTGATTGACATTCTTACGAGAGAGTCAGAGTCTACCGGCCTGGACTAGGCTGCCGTTACATTTCTCAAGACAGGGGTTTACAGCGAAGATGCTGCACAGTCATCGCCTACCGTAGAGTATTCTGTCAGTCTTAGACCAGGTGTTTATCTTGGCCCGCAACCAGTGATTGAATGAATGTGCTAACTCAGATACCCCTCATTCTTTCTTGGCGCCCACACCTTTCCAACGGCGAGAAGTTGATGCCATGTAAGATATATGTAGTGATGTGGCCGAGAAAGTCGAAAGTCGAGGAGCCTCGAGTTTGTCAACCTTTCAACAACGCAGAATAAGACGACTGTAGGTGAGGAGTGTAATCTTTCGAGACCATGGTCCCGTCTCGCTCCGCTATCAACAGGTAGACTCTAATTAGTACCTAGGTACTCTTAGATCTGTCTTTCTGCCTAGAGAGTTACCTGTCCCTTTGAACACCACGAACGCTACAATTTTACCAAGACTTTGAATGTCCAATTAGAATTCTTGTATTTGTATCTCACTCAAACATAAAACCGCAGGTACAGACCGCGACATCAGTTTCAGCGTCATCTTGGGAGAAACTCAGGTATTGGTTATGTTAATCCACTAGTAGGGGCTGTGAGAGACATGACACATAAACACTACTACTAAGTCAGAAAACATTAGAGCGTTTGTAGTATTCAAAGGGATATTCGTGATTGCGTTCGTGGAAAACATGGTCTGACCGGGGCAGGTAAAAGCGGCGGCCGGCGCTAAGCCTGATTTGACGTCTGCTGGAAGACGGGAATACCTAACCCACTAACTCACGCTAGAGCCAAGGGTCCCCTCCTGGAGACCTACACACAAAGGCACAGAGGTAGTAGTGGGCCTGATAAACCGCTTCATAGCACTGGCCAAACCGTTGGAGTCGGTACAGGATATTCATTCGAAGATATTCTTTTCTTTCTTTTCTTCCTTGGATTGAACTTTTGCACGCGGGAATACTTGCCAAAAATGGTTTATTATTTCACGTCCAATGTGGTTACCCCTTCTGCTTACATTTACGTGGGCAAGGACAAATTCGAAAGTGGGTGGAGGGCCTATCCTGTTTATCTAAGTCGGTGTCTGGTGGGAGACATATGTTGACGACATGGAACAGATGAGGAACTCATAAAGCATGGCTGGGAGGAGGATGTATGGTGAGTGCCTGTAATATATAATGGCCTTTCCTCTATTTCATATTCTGCTCTTTTCCTTTGTTTTTTTGCTCCTTTCCCCCCCTTCACTACGATTCTGTTGCACTGTCAATGATCCATCTTAACTAACTTACTTACCAGGGTATGACACATCTTCCTAGGCCCATGTTGGGACACCTATCTCAAGTGCAAATGCAAGAGTCTCACATCTTGGTTCATGTTTAGTTTCACGTAGACAAGCTCTCAAGCGCCCACATATACCTCCGGCTGCGAGAGGGCGACTCATGGGAGTCCATCCCCGAGGCGCTTGTGACGGACCTAGGTCAGCTGACCAAGGCGAACTCGATCGAGGGCAACAAGAAGGACAACATTACCATCATCTACACGCCCTGGTCGAACCTTAAGAAGGACGGGAGCATGGCCGTCGGCCAGGTCAGCTTCAAGGACCCGCGCAAGGTCAAGCGCGTGCTCATCGTCCAGCGCGAGAACGCCATCGTCAACCGCCTCAACAAAACCCGCATCGAGAAAACGCAGCCTGATCTATATCAGGAGAAGGAAGATCATCTGCGCCAATTACGAAAAAAGGACCAGATTGCGAGACAGGAAAGAGTGCGTTTTTTCTTTTAATTAAAGAATAAAAAAATCCCCCCCCTCCATCCCCTACATATCTCTATTACTAGCATGGTATTTGAGCTTGAGTGTACACAAGGATATGCCGCTAACACAGTTCACCTCACAACAGAAGAAAGAAGATGCTAGGATAGCACAGGAGAGAGCGGATAAGAAATGGCAGAAGGATCATGCGTATGACGAATTATTCTCCGAGGAGAACATCGCCGCCTCAAGTAACCACAATACAGGCGAGGACTGGGAAGACGACTTCATGTAACACTTGGCCTCGATACTACATTTATTACAAGGGAAAAACTAGGGTGAAAAAAAGGGTTCCTCATTAGGTACTCTTTGCGCATTGTGAGCTACCGAACTAGATGTACGGTCATTCGAAAAGGAACAAAGCACATGTCTTTTTTACATTCGATTTGACAACTTCTTGGCGCTGGTGCCCTTAAGGGCGTGGTCATTAGGGTTAGGCGCAGCTTCGTAGATGATCTGTGAAGGCGCGCGACCGAGTTGCATCCACTCGCCCTTGAAGCCGAGATAGCTTAATCTTGAAACATCGCCCTCCTCCTCGTCAGATACGCCATCGTCGTCATCAGTGTCGCGAAAGCCGGTGGCGAAGTTGTCCACGAAGAATAGCGTCAGCCGGCGCACCCTGCTGAATAGAGCCCGCTTGACGGGGAGTTCCTGCACCTCGGACGTCTGGCTTAGCTCAAACTCCTGGACGTATTTCAGGCTGTCCACGTTGTCAAAATCAACGTCATCTCGGTTGGCTGTGAGGTTTGAAGTTAGTGATTGTGCGTCTTTGGCCATATTCGAGTGTTTTGGATGTGGTAAGGGCACTGCCAAAATATTTTCCATCCTGGATAGAACTGCGAGAACGACTTACTGTACACCCGTAGCGTTCGGGGAGCGCTGCTAGACGACGAGCTGCGTAGAAGTATTGAGTGTAGTTTTACTTGACCTGTGAATCTGTTTTGATAATGGGGAAACCCCCACGAGTTAGTTAGCTGCTCGATCGGTAATCAGATATACCTGGGTACGGTTGAAGCCTGCTGGCATCCCATGATAATATGCGGTTGTAGTGAATTGTAAATGACTTGGGGCTAGGGAGGGTGGGCGGTGCGATGGCATGCTGTATGTGACGAGTTTGGCATTTTATAATGTCTCATTATGATCTATATCATAACCAACGATCCCAAAAACAAAACTGTTTGAAGCAACGAGCGATAATGGATAGTGGGGTGGAAATATACCGGGACGTAATATGCGGGGTGGCGATTGAGACATCTGGAAAGACGTGAGTGACTTACGGGATGTTCACAATTATCTGTTCATCGGCGTCGCTCACAAGCTCAGGCTCAATCTGCAACCGCTCGGCCCAGGTCTTTTTGACGACGGCCTTTCCGGAGTCCCGCTCAGATTCATTGAGGGTGATGATGTCATCAAACTGGATATGCTGGTACAGGCTGTGCTGCAGAGCCGGCGTGATGTCGTCTGAATGGTCGTGTTCGTGGTCGTGGTCGTGATGGCCATTGCCATGGCTGTGGCCAGCGTGCTCATCGTGGCAATGCGACATTCCGGGCTAGTAGTAGCTCAATTCTAGGTAACAGGTGCCTGTAACCAACTACCTGTAAGATTCGGGGGGTACAACGTCACTAAAGACGGCGAAGAAGAAGAGAACGATGAGTGCGCTCCTTTCTCTCTATAGAAATGTGACGGTAGCTAGGTGATCATGAATCTTCGAGCCTAAAGACGTATTTTTCTTTGTTCTTTTCCCCGTCACTCAACTGTCGTGAATTACCTTGATGTTGTCAAGTCCTCGGTGAGTAGCGAGGTAGATAGTTTAGGTTAAAGGATATATTGGACCTCCGTAACCTAAAGCCTGAGGTTAGTTAGGTAATGGGTACATGAGCAGCACAGATAGCTGCGCGGTTGAGTCACACCTACCACCAAATGGCCAGTCCTTGTAAACAGCTAGGTTTTTTGAATCAAGGCATCACAGCATATATTAGATATAAAATTGAGGACATGCAGAGGCATGTGCTTAGCACCTTTAAGACTTTCCCATACATATCTATTTAGGTACTTATACAAATGGGTTCATACATGCACCAGCCAGCTATCCAACATGTCATCTATTAGAAGCCACCTTTCCGTTTTTTTATTTTCTTGGTTGGTCTTCTACCAAACGTCCCCGCTGCAGGTTGTGACATCATGTGTACTGGATCCGAATGGGTGATCTGCTGCTGCGAACTCATACCCCTTGGCTGACTACTGTAGAAAGCAGTCTCTGGAGCGGGTTGGGTAGCCGGAAGCTCTGGCTCCTGCGATAGGTGAATGAGGGTTTGTGCCCGACGGCGTTTACGCTCTTCTCGAGCCTGCTGCTTTGCCCTCCTCAGCTTTCCCGCGTCTGCATCGCCACTCCTGTCAAGATCGAAAGTGTACTCTGATGGTTTCATGCCCAATTTCCACTTATCTAGAAGCTCCAACTTCTTTTGAGGTACGAAATTCCCGGTTCCCGTATAGGCCCTAAGTAGTGACATCGCAGGATCTTCATTCTCTACGGCCTCTGAGTTGGACCTTTGTGACCATGCAGAAGATGTGGGAGATTCGGGCCTTTGGGGGCTGCTGGGAAGACTTTCAGGTTGGCTGTCTAATAACATGGTTTCCTCCGTGGTGGTCTGTAGCGAGTCACCGCCTGCGTTGCGATAACTGATGCTATGTAATGACAAGTAAAGGTCGTAAGTTATCTCCTCGGATATCGATACGATTCGTTGGCCGTTTTCATCATCGCTGCCCCCACGGTGCAAGGAATTGTTTGAAAGTTCGAGGAGCCTGGAGTATACTTCTTGCAGTGGCCCCGGCGCAGAAAAGCGTAGACAAGAACGCAACGAACCAATTGTACAGAGGACTAGGCCTGGATGTACGTTATTCAAAATTTCCAGCTCGTCTTCCCATTCCACACCGGACAATGAATGTCTGGATAAGCTCTTGAAGTTCGGCATGATCCGTAGGCTGCACTTTGATTAGCTATATACACCCAACAAACAACAGACAACATACAGTGTGCTGATAGGCAGTAACCCGCGGCTCACCGCTTCCTCGGCATATTGGTGAACCGCTTCAAAAGGGTTGTGTTTACAGATACTTGCTTTAGCAGACCCAGCAGTGCTGTCTTGCTCTAGCTCTTCAGAAAAGGTACTGAGGTGCTCGTAAAATGCTTTGATATTTCTGTAGTCGATAGTTGGAGAGTCTTTCGTTAGTATAGCCAAACTATCGTCTACTATAAACTCAGAGGGCAGGCGTCGCAAGTCTTCATCATTCCGATACTCAGCTTTTGTTCGACGGCCAACATACTTCCTCGGTAAAACGATTGGGAGAGAGGGTAACGACGAGGATGCACAAACAACCGATACGACAGACATGTCTGCTCTGAGGGCCAATACCTGGTAGAATCTGATTCGTTTTTCAACTAACCCATTGCCGAGTTTTGTATGTGACTTAGGTGTCTTGACGATGATAGGCGCTGGGCTGATGTATAATGTCCTGATAGCGCTGTTCAAGGTCTTTTGCAGGCTGCCGAGTCCAGTAACATTTGCTTGACATAAAACACTGCTCAGATCCGTTGACGAAAATTCGACGTGAAAGAGATCAATCCATGAATTCGTGGACGAGTATATGTGCACAAACGAGGTCACGTGGACGGGTTTGAGTCCTTGGGTAACAGCAAGCTTGAGACTATGATCAAAGCAGCTCCTATAGTGAGGTGTCGAGAATACTATTGACCATATTTTTTCTGGCTTGTCCCATTCTACTCCCGGAGTAGAATAGACTCTGACAATGAACAGCTTAGAAGTGGTCAACACATAAAAAAACTGTGGATCGTGAGCAATGTGAACATCTAATACGCAGTCTAGACTGTCAGGACGACAGAAGTTGAGATCTGGCAGATATACACCAGCAATGACATCTAAAAGCTTGACTTGATGCAGGTTGCATACAAGTAGTGACGAGCTCCGTTGTAATGGTGGAGACGAAACTTGAGAAGTTGAATCCTCGTGATCGAGATTAAGATCTAGATTACCCAACAAATCCAGATGGTCCTCTGAACGACCAACCCAAAGAATCTTGTGCCACGCCACAGCGGATCGATCTCGATGAGGAATTTGCCCTAGGACACCGCGCTCAATATGGCCACATGTTCTCAGTCTTGATATTGGCTCGCGGGTGGTTTTGGGTTTCGAGTTATATTTAACATCCCATACACTCCAAAAACCTCGTTCATCAACAATCGCAAGCTGTGGGGGGTTTGACCGCGTGCCTGGGTTGAAAGAAACATCGGAATGGATGTTGCCCCCAGTCTGCTCCCTCGATACATGAAAGAGCGGGTTCGCAGCGATAGGTGAAGAATCCCTTCCGAAGCTCTCATCTACTGACGCTTTGCGATACTCCGGTTGAAATATGGTGGTGCCCGAATCTCGCTGAACAGCCAACCACCTAGTAGGGCTATATGGCTTGTGGTCGACTATACACTTCACACGATGAATGGGCCCCACATCGTTATCATCTATCCAAAATGCAGGCTTTTCAGGGGCTAATCCAACCAGCTGCGTTGCGATATTTGGCTCTTGGGGCCACGCCCATCTTTCCTGGTCTAGCCTTGCTAAGCGGAGTACGTTGTTTGCACTACCAGTGACGGCAACAACTAGTGGGATACCAGCATGTTTCCGTAAGGATGTGTCGGTCAGTTCGCCTAAGGAAACGAAGCATGTTTGGCAACCATAATCTTGTTGGGATGGAAATAGTGATTCCTCTTCCTCTAAGCAGTCATGAAGCAAGTTGTTCCCCAGGCTAGCCTCGGGATGGTGTTTCAAGAGCCAGTTTTGCTGTCTGCGGCTTTGCTCCCATAAGGTCCCAGAAAGTGGCTGCGAGTCTGAGACACGATCTGGTTCGGGTGAGATCCACGTCTTGTAAAGGCCAAGGGCTTTGAAAACCGGAGCTTCTCAGGTGTTAGTGCTAATAACAAAACTTGTAGGGTTCACCAACCATTCCGGGTGACGTTCCGAGAAGAACGCCAGCCACAATCTTCTGCCTTGTTGGTCCCGTATGGGATGTGCGACAGACGTCCTGCTAATCCAACAGCTGATTCGACAAGATGGCGTTCAGTCATTCGGAGAGCTCAGCTCTATATATTTCGTCTCCCTTGGCTTGCGTACTTGTATGTGCATCGCGAGACTGACACAGCTCGGAGAGGTCGATATACAAGCTAGGCGCGAGCAATGCGGTCACAAGCAGGCAATTTCCCTTGCGAGGAATGATCTATTGCATAGCTGATGATCACAAGCAAAAGCGTAGGTAGAAAACGAAATGCACATGCTAGGGACCCAGCTTCAAAGGTTTGGTGCAAGCTTTATCTTATCGAGGCGGTATGCTTTAAATACATATTCTGCTGTACAGTACACAGCACTGTTTGGATAGTGGGATCATAGCGGGGCAGGGACCTTAAGTAACCCACTAGGTAGCGGCGCTCAGCAACGACTTGGGTAGACCCCGGAATGTAAACATTGGGACAACGTCGGTACAATTCAAAACTGCACTGTCTTTCGCCATCTACCAATCTCAAATCCGACAAAAGAGAATAGAGACAATTGAAATATACATATAAGATCAAAATGTCTACCGCATTTGAGTCCTCTCTTTCTTCGAGCTTGAACGGCCGCCTGAGCCTGAGTGGCCGCCCGACAATGTCCACGATGGCACCCTCCATGGCCGACCAGCTCCCCAGCGTAAACTTCGGCTTTGATGAACTACGTGATCGCATGGCCAAGTTTACGGCGAAATTCGACGCCTTCATCGAACAAGGCCGAAAACGAGCACTAGAAGAGCATAATCAATTCCGCATGAATCTAGCTGAGTTACAAGGTACGTCTCTAGAGCACTGGCAAGCATTCTAGCAATACAACCCGACCATTCTACTAACGAGTGTCTCCTATTGCCCCAAAAACAGAGGACCAGCGAATGAAGAGAAAAGATATGGAGATTGTGCAGCACAAGATCAACACACACCAACAGATGCGATCGAAAGAAGACGTCGAGCGCCGGGAAATGGAAAGCGCAATTGGGTCTCTCACAACACAGCGGGACGCAAACCTGTCGGCAAGAGATAATCTGAAGAAGCAGATCGCAGAGGCGCAGAAGGAGATCGACGCGCGGCTGGCGGCTCAGCGCGCGCATGCAGCGCGTATTGATTCGCAGCGCCGGTTCAACGTGCCGGAGCTAGACTTCTGGGTGACGAATCTGTGTCTGCGAATCGAGGGCGCAGGGCAGAACGACCGACTCAAGTTCGTGTACACGCACGTCGACGAGCGCGATTGGGAGCGTGAAGCCTGGTTCGAGCTCAACACGGCTTCGCGCGACTATGAAATTAAGCACTGCAGGCCGAAATTGGAACGTGAGAAGATTGAGCGCGTCCTCGAACGCGTTAATGAGTCTAGGGAGCTGCCTTCGTTGCTGAAGGGGATGAGGGAGCTCTTTGTAGAGGCTATGAAGTCATGATTCCTACGGTCACGATCGTTGGATTAACTACGAATTGTATTTGTTGCGGTTGGGCTTGGAGTACGGAGTTTTGCAGCGAATGGACGCCCTTGGGGGTCAACTCAGTGGATTATTATGACGGAGAGACATGACATATACCCAAAATTTTACATTCTTCATTATTTCATCTGAAAAATCTGGTTTCTACACTGCAGAGTTTAAGATGATTTGGTTGGCGAAATTGGGCTGCGTGACACTTTCACATGTTCTGAGACAAAACGCGACAGCTGCAACCAAGTGTAGCGCGTAAAGTGATGCGGCCCCCGCCAATACACGTGTGTTGGTTCTAGTAGCTCACTTGATTCACTTACACGTATAACGACAATTAGTAAACGAGGCTGCATACACACCTGTAATTCACAAGCCTCGGCCAAAAAGACAGTTAAATCTACAATCATGCCACCGGTAGCAGACAACAGAGAAGAGAGCGAGAAGCAAGCTGCCGCACGTCAGGCAGTCGACATATTACACGAAATTTCCACAATCCTGGTGTGTACCGCTACATCTCATCTCCCAAAAAGAAAATAATCAACAATCACATACTTCACCTCCCCAAACCAGCGCAAGCTCCGAATCGATCTCCACTAACGTGCTTAACATATAGAATTGTCATCTCGACCGCCGGACGCTTTCAGTCTGCATCTCCATGATCGAACAGGGCGTGAACCCCGAGGCGCTAGCGGTGAGTTCTCGTCTAACCTTCGCATCTACTATCTATGTGGATAAGGGGTGTCTTTACCCGGGTTCTATTTGATAATTGTAGACGTTGTGACTAACAACATATTCAGAACGTCGTGCAATACTTACGGAAGGAGGCCCAGAAGGTCAACTTCTCCAAACAGGCAGCTGGCACCAACCAGTGACAGGACGAACGTGAAATGTCAAAAGCCAGAGCAAGTATGTTTTGCCGCGGTTACCTGCCTTAGATAGGTAGCTCATGGGAGGTTGGGTTGACTGGCCATCTGTCCATCTATCTAGTAGTGTGCATTGAAGCAGGGCGTTGGGCGTTGAATCACGATGGAGTAAGGACAATCGGTTGTTTCCGTGGGGTAAGAAAACGGGCTGGATGACGATATATGAATAGTAATATGCCTATATTCGACGCGGCTATCTTTTATTGAGAAAAGCAGTGATCCCTCATGCAACCCTCGGGACTTTTCAAAGGCAACTTATCGCCGTCAGCCTGTTGTGTTATCTCATGCAATGCTTAATCATACTACATAAATGGAAGCAGGGTAATGGAATCAAATCCAAATGCGCATGCTCCGTTGCCCAAATTGGGCTGGTATCTCAATCGTCATGCATTCATGCCAATTCCAAACGCCAATCTAATGTCCCTGCCGAAAAACCACACCGAATCTAGGTGCCGACCCTATCTATGACCCAGCAATTCGAAATCATTGTCTTCCGACTCCTCTCCCTCATCGGCATCGTTGTCCCCGTCTGAACTCATCTCGTCACTAGAATCGGCGGTATCATCATCGTCGTCTTCCTCGTCATTGCTCGCTATGCTACGGGGCAAACGACTCCAGAATCCAAGTATATCGCCGTCCTCCTCCTCTTCTTCCAGGTCGAAATATCCTCCAACTGTGGAAGCATGCAGCGAACGCCCAGGGGTGGGCACAGGCGATACTGAGCGAGCCAGCCTATTAGGATGAAACGAACTTATATGTGCACTAACAAAGGCCGAGTCAGTGGCTGTGGACGAGTGACGGCGTCGCATGTCGCGCACACCAGCGCTCGTTGTAATCATATTGGGGTTTCCCGAAGCAGTCAATCCAGAAACGTGCGTGCTACGTCCTACCAAGTCGGTCTCCAAGGTTTCAGCATCTAGGCCGATGATCTGAAGTTGAGCGGTGTTGTAAGATTGACAAACACCGCATTTTAACCCAAGCCAATGATAAATGGTTGAACTCTTAGCAGAGCAATCGTGGCATAGAACAATTGCTCGGGCACCGCTGAATTCTGTTGGCATTGGTTGTGCTTGGATAGACAGGTCCAGATTGCGGAATTGTGATTCCATATTAGCTAAACTTTTGTTGCAGATGGGACACTTGTATGAAGTCTTCTGATGTTCGTCGAGACAGTCTCGGTGTATGCTATGCCCGCACCTCATAAAGCATACGGGCTTAGGAGACGTGAACATGTAATCACCACATATAGGGCAATCACAGTCTATGGCACGTTCGATACATTTGTGACCTGATCGAGTAGCTATTGCGATGCACGCACAACATTTCTACCAGGACATTAGTGGACGAGTTTGCGTGGATTGTGCCAGTGCTACTACTCACTTTGCAATGATAAAAATCTTTTCCGATACCACGACCGATCCGGCAAATGCCGCAGTCATTGCAGTGATAACAGGGTTTATCAGGGTCATCATTCCAGAGTTTGCATATGTCGCAGTAATATCTCGCCGCTAGTGCCTCACAGGAAATGCAAGTTTGGCTTGCCTTTTGAGCAGTTCCGCAGAGCATACACAGCATATTCTGTGTCTCTTTCCTAATAAGATTGTGGTCTTCCACTATGTCATGGCAGAATCGGCAAGTATACCATCGATTGCATGTCGAGCACTGTAATTTGACGTTGCGTCGGTAATGCTCACAGCCGAGAAGTCTCTCGTCATTAGACTCAATATCATCGTCCCCTATAATAGGTTCTGTTGATTCATCGATAGGCACAAATGTAGGCTCCAGATCCTTGTCTGTCAACGCAAAACTTTCAGCATCTTCAGCATCGTCAGGTGCATTTTGCCAAAACTTTAAAGACTCTAATGGCCCATGGCTCGGTGATGTTCGTTTATCTAGTGAGCCAGGGCTCGAGGGGGGGAGCGGTTGTTCATATTGGTCACGCGATCGCGACTTCGTGTACCCTTCTATCAACAGCTGGTGCATCAGATGGGCTTTCTCTGAGTGGCCAATCTCCTTAGCCTGGATGGCAAGTATACGTCTCCTCAGCAAAGTCATTCCATCATCTTCGGGGAGTGGAGAGTGGTCCTGTACAATGCCACCCATCAAGGGCGAAGGTGGCAACCCGGGTGTACTCATATTGAAACCATTGACAAAGGATAACTCGGTCTGTGAACGGGATACACGAGAATTGTCGGCCAAGGTGGCGGATGTGGTAGGTAATACAGTATCTTCAGGTTGGCTGCAGTGTTCCTCTGCACGGGCTACATTGATATGCGAACGTACGAGAAGGGAGCTATGGGAAGAACGCCGCGAGGATACGCTCTCTTCAGGACCATCACGTAGAGAGGAGCACTCCTCGGTTTCGGATATCACACCATCCTCGTGCGAGTGCAGATATGTCTGTGCGGCTCTGAAAGTCGGGTCAGGTTCGGAGGGGTTCGATGAGCGCGAGAGGGAAAAGCGGCGTGCCTGTCGAAGTACCGGATTGACCAGCAAGTCGGTAACGAGGGACGTCATTGGCTAACATTCAATCGCTTTCAAAAACGACAATATAATAATGGTACATATGATGGTAATAGGTACAGTCTTAACCTCATAGAACCATTGTCAATGAAGAGATTATCCCCGAAGCACCCGGTTCAAAGGATAGGGTAAAATGCAGACTGGGATGAGGATACTGGCTAGAGAAAGATGTACAGAATATAATATCTGAGGGGTCAGAGTAGGAATCAGAACGGCCCCTCCGGTGCAGACAGAGATGGATTGCGCACTTTGGGATGGAGGGAGGTAGGTAATCAAATACTACCTAGGTAGGGTGTGTAAATGATGTGGTAGAGAAGTAGCGCAGGTCTGCCGTGTCACGATGCAGTTAGTTGTGTTGTGGACTTTTGGAATCGTGAGTGACATCAAATTACTCATCAGTTGTTCGGTACGGCCATACATACTACTGTACCCTGCCGAGCCTGCACAGTAAGGCATTCCAGTCTTTTGATCGATCGATTCCGTATTGATTCCTCTATTCGGAAATAAACCAGCAATATTGCCTTATCTAGGTATTTACACTTCTTACCTTGCAATATGGCCAAAGTGGCAAGGACGGGTGGCGGTTTGGAGCCACTTGCTCGTATCTGTAGCTGATGCTTTCGGGACCCTGATGTCTGTCCGTTTTCGGGCGTTTATCACCCGCAACAAGTGCCAGAAACTGCTCTACTCGCCACAATACCTACAAGGTACCTACCTAGGTACTGCATGTAGGTAGCGTGTACTTAACGAACATATCTTCAATATGGTAGGTACAGGTATCCACAGATACTTAGAGCTGATATATAATTTTCTGGCCTTACCTAATGGGTTCGAAATAATTATGGGTATGCCCGTTGGAAGTTTTTAATCGAATCTCAACTTCGAGGCTAGTATTTCTTTGTGTACCTAGGCTTTGCATGAAAGCATGGGCATATCTCAATAAAAGAGTGACTCCAATCCAACTGACTAGATACATATAGCTCGCTAAGTACATGTATTCACTTGTAATGCGAGTTCAGAATTACAGCAGGCACAGTCGGCTTCACTTATCTTGGAATAAGACCACCATCTCGTCAGTGCATATCCACAATAGCAATCCTCAGTGAAGACCTGGCCACAAGCAACTTCGTCCCGCTCTTGCCATGGCTGATGCCAAAGTCATACACGCCTATCGTCACATCTATCGAGGTTTGCTTCGTGCTGTGCAATTCTCTAAGCCTTCCCGGTATACTGCTCGGAATCAGCTACGACGGGCGTTCCGTGAAAAAGGCGCCCAGTATGATGCTCGAGGCATCGCTCGAACCATTCGCTTTCTCGATGCAGCCACGAGGGAACGCGGATTAGAACACAAGGTTCTCAAAAATCTGCTCATGATAGCCTGGTACCGTTATGATCGCTCAGACTGGAAGCTTGCTCTGTCCGAGCATGAAGCAAAGGAGAAAAGGCAAGTACCTATGATTGTGAGTCAGGGAGTCGTGAGTGTTAACCAGAGGCTCAGGAAGGGGATAGAGGCCCATATGAAAGCAACAGTCTACAGGCATTACGATATGACTATCGCTATGCTCAACAAATCTATGGGCTTATGTTTACGGTAGGGTGGTAATTGAAATGATATCACTCAGCCATTTGCATACCAAAGTCACACCATGGGAACGGCCCTAAGATGTGTAGGCTTCATACTGGGAGTATATGCTTTGGGCTTGGCTTAAGCCTAGACCTGCAGAGACTTTGTCGACTGTTTGTCTGTCGCATAGGAGGGTGACATGGGAATCATTCATCCTCATGGACTGGGCGAATCGACCGTCCCGAGTGTTTCCCCATCCCTCCACCGACCCCTCACATCGCAATTACATGGGTACGACAAGATGTCTACGTGCTAGCAAAATTAACCTGCAAGTACAGTAGACCGGTAGGGTATCGTTAAGTCGTAGATGTCGCTACATGTCAATATCGGACGAAGCTTCAGGTTGTCGAACGTCTCCTCTCGTCGGGCTCCGTGGCACCATCACTCTGGATCCCAGAGTGCATCCCGTCCGCATCTTCGGGCGAACAAAGTGATGCATGACTGGTTGATCAACGGTACACACTACCATTACTTTATCACAATTGACGTCGTTTCCTCCCTATTCGTATATGAATAAGGTTCGTCAGTAAAGGGACTTGTCTCTAACAATGTGGTCTCAGGGTTTAGGTGGCGAGGGATGACGTCTACCGACATATAACGATGCCCGTGTCCAATGGTACGATGCATACACGTCTCACCGCGTTGTTACCACGTTGTTTCGGTCAGATACACCCCAGTACCAGCGCTGGTTCTGCTGGGACATCGACTTAGCTCCCTCGGCCCCCCAGGTGCAGTAATTCATAAGATAACTTTACAAAGATGGCCAGTGCCCCGATTTCTGCTTGAGAATTGAACCTTTAGCTCGGACCGTTAAATGGGTCTTGTATATTGCGACAATGTAGAAGCTACACAAGCATGGTGTTGAAGGTATGCCTTCGCAACAGTAGTACGATATATGTACATGCCTCCAACTTGGAAACTGCAACCCCGGTTCACACCTGCGCTTCCGAGCATCAATCCAAGCCATCCAAATTATGGGGATCTGGAGAGATCCGGCAACCTACTTACCAATCAGGGACGATAGTCGCGAGATGCTTTATGCACCTTGTTCATCAGTCGGTACACGGCCGAAGTGCTGTTATACCTACGTGTGTCTGACCTGCGGTAGACATACCTACTATACTCTGGGGCGTACCTATGTAGTATTACACTTTGTGATGAAATGTAGCCTTGAATCTCGCCCTTTCTCTCTCTCTCTCTCTCTCCACATTGTTTCCCCAACCTCTACCCAACTCTTTGTCCTTTGCTGCGCAGCATAGGGAGGTAGCATCAAAGAAATAGAAGGCATATCAGTACCTAGGTAGGTGTCTCGCAGGTATAGGACCGATTGGCAACCCCGCAAAGTGTCTAACCTAAAGGCATCTCTAGCCCTCTAACTCTACCTACATAGTACAGATACATCATCATATCCATCCATACCTGAAAACGTATCTACATACCTACCGTATGTATATATGTGTAGGTAGGTACCCATGTACTCATCTGCGTTTTGGCAAGTACTTAAGTACTAAGTAGGTAGATCGTGACCCCGCTATCACCAAACCTAGATGTCTGTTGTGCCGTGTGTTGAGGTGCCCGTACTTAGTCTGCCCGTATGGGTAGCTATGATACCTCATCTGTCACAGGTCGTGGCACCTCCAATATATATCCCCTACCCGGTAGGCAATTAGATAGCAGAATCCCACCATATCCAGACTTCTCGACGATGAGCCCACCCGCCTAGACACCATCTGTCGACAGAAACATACGTGCACTAAGTAGACGAGACTGCCCAGACCCCCCATACTTACTTACAAACCGGTCGACTCCTCGACGGCACCTAAGCTTTTTAGCACCACCTAACCCAACCCGTTCTAGGTTCTCCTGTAAGTTCGCTGCTTAAGTCGTGGTCAAGTGCCCGGGTGGTGAGGTACTTGGACTTAGTCCCCATTCTGCCTGGCTCTCTGATCCCACATCCCTGACCCGAACTCTCTCCAAGGTCCAAGGTTCAAGGTCCAAGGTGCTGTTCTGTAGGCAGGTGGTCGAGATTGACTGAGCTGCTTAACTTCACTCATCCCGACCCCGACCCCGCTGGCCTCGCCACCACTTAAGCTTTCCCATCTTCTCTTCTCCATCCGAACCGCCATTGTGAACCCATCGAGTCCTCGCAATTCGGGATCTTGATGGCACCCCTCTTGTTAGCAGCCGACGCCATTGTATCGCGACCGCGCCGATGACTCTGGTCCTCGTCCCGAGGCCATTGTCTGAAGCTTCCCGCCCGCAATACACGCCCGGCTGAGCGAGAGAGCCATGCCCGCCGCTGAGTCCGGTCTACAAAATGTCACCACTGCCTCTCTTCGGACTCGCACCATGCCTCAACACCATAGTGTCGGCAAGGAAGAGCCACGTCGCTGGGTAAAGCGCTACCGCACCGAGGTTGCTGCCTCCTCCGCCAGCGTCTTGTCGACAGTCACCGCCTTCCCCCTCGACAGCGTCAAGACTCGCATGCAAACCTACCCCTATGATGGCGCACTGCACTGCGTGAGAACGACCTACAACGCCGAGGGCATGCGAGGCTTCTTCAGAGGTGTGTCCTGATCACATAGGCTCCCATTACCTTGTCATGGTCTCGTGTCAGCTAACCAGATCTTCCTCCACGGGATACAGGTGTTACCGCCCCCCTCGCCAGTGTCACTCTCGTCCGAACCGTCTCTTTCTCCATCTACCAACGCTCCAAATATATTTACTCCGAATGGATGGCGAAGAATCTTGGGTTTTGCCCACTTGACCATGTGAACAAGAACGGCGCCTACCCCAATTTAGGCACTATCGCTTGTTTTGGGGCTGCTGGAGCCACGGCTGGTTCCGGTATCACTCTGATAGCTTGTGAGCATTTTAGCAAGTTTAAATGTATTCTCTACAACACAGCGCTGACTGGTTTCCAAACACCCAGGTCCTTTTGAGTTGACGAAGCTGAGTGCACAAGTATCGGTATTGATGGCGAATCAGAAAAACATAGATCCGAAGAAACAGGCCATTGCACTCAGTTATCATAACAAAGGCACGATAAAAACACTCCAAAACATTGTAAAGCACCGAGGCTTCACGGGGATGTATACCGGACTAAATCTACATTTACGTAAGGCAACTACTGGCTAAGACATTCTTCAGCCCTTTCCCATTGACCTAACAGTCGTTAGTGAGAGATACCCTTGGAACAGGGATCTATTTCGCAACGTACGAGAGCAGCAAGCAGCTGTTAACTACATTTAGCGGGACGGACGCTCATAAGAACCCGGTTGCTGTCCTTGCAGCTGGCGCTCTGTGCGGCATTGTTTCTTGGGCATTGATCTGTAGGTTCACCCTTCGTGGCCCATCATAGGTAGCTAACTCCTCTAGATCCAATTGATTCAGTTAAGAGCATTTACCAGCGGAATGCTCTGATGTATTCTAAAGGCCAAACCGTCCCTATCCCTAAAATCCAGTTCTTCCGACGGGACATGTACCGCGGGCTTGGTGTGTCCATGGGACGATCCGCCGCAGTCAACGCAGTGTTCTTTTCCGCATTTGAGTTCTTCAAGAAGAGGATCAATGCTTTAAAGGACACGTGATGAAATGATTGAGTGTATCGAAGAATCGCAACTTAGTCAAGGAGCGACTGCACGAGTTCTGCGGTCTTAGCATGTGATCAGACGTTTTCAAGGATAGGGAATGAGTAATCATTATGCACCAGTTCCCCTGATGTTAGGCTGACTAAACACATGCTACGAGAAAAACGACCTTTCCACAATTGCTGTAGGAATTTTACGTGGCCAAGACGGGGAATGATACCGATGAAACAAGGTTCTGACGCTCTCTCATATCGATGTAAAAAAAAAATAAAAAAAATTCATACGTGCGTATTTACGCCCTGAAAATCTTCTATCAGACCATGCACGAGAGTGTTTCTACAAAGCACGCACTCTGCGTTTGTGTGCTAAACCACTATTTGCCATAAAACGCTCAATGTGACCTTTAAGCACGTCTTCGTGCCAACAAACCTCTATTACCCCGGTTCACTCCGAATCGTGCAACTAACGAGTCCCATCCAAACGCCTGACTTATCCCTATTGCTCAAACGTGCCATCATAACCGTGCATCACCGGTGCCCACACACGCTATTCCTGTCGTTCATTATCTTATAGTGCGCCTACATGCGTATTTGTGTGTCTCATGTTCGCTCATCCTTCATCTCAGGCTCGCAATGACCCGAGTCGCGGCCCAATGCGATCTATTACTAAAAAAATATTACATCCCCCCCACTTGCGAATGAATTGATCAATCGCTCCGCAGCATGCTCTCGACGAGATCACCGAGGGGACCCCAGAAGTCCTTGCCGCTGGCGAGACCGTGCTCGTCGATGAAGAGGACGTATTGCTTGAAGCTCGTGTTGAGGTGGGGCTCGAGGCCGAGCTCGCGGATGACGGGGTAGTGGTGGCAGTAGATGTGGGCGTAGACGCGGTACATGCGCTTGAAGATCTGGCGCACGGTCTGCGGGAAGGATTTCGGGAAGGGCACGCCGATGCGCGAGGGGAGCACGCTCTCGTTGTCGATGTGGCCCTGCACCCAGCTCATGAGTTGCTCGATGTAGGCTGGGGCGGCCATCTTGGTCGGCCGCTTGTAGTTCTCGTTGTCTTGCCATAGGTATTCGAATCTGGGGGCCGAGATTAGTTATGTCTCTTTCTTGCCTGGGAGCTCTTTTCGTGGTGCTCGTTTCGAATACTGTTGACTCACTCGTCCGTTGCCTTCATCTCGGGACAAGATTGTGGTGAGCAGAACTCGGTGATGGCGCCGTATAGTAGGTTGATTTGATTGTAGAAGTCGACCATGTTCACGGCGAGCCACTCGTTCTCGTCCTCGCCCTCGGGTAGCTTGACGACCTTGCGCAGACTGCCGCCGCCTAACGTCGCCTCGGCATATTGGCGTAACTGGTAGCTCGTGTTGCCTCCCTTGCCGGTCCGCGAGCGGAACTGGTTGCGCGCGCGCTGGTTTCTGTAGGCATCATGGGTTAGACACCTCGCTTCCTTTATAGATTTGATTATGAGATGGTAGATGGTACGCACACAGTCGTGACGAAAGAGGTCATCCTGCCAGCGAGACTTCGTAGAGTGCTGTTTTGGAGTCAGCGCTGGCTATATGTAGCGTGTGTATGTGGTTGGCATTATCAGTCCGTTGTAAGGATGGCGGATGAATATACTTACAAACAAGAAAAGGAAATCCCAATTCTCCTTGCGTAGTTTTCAATTGGTGGTTATTCTGTGCAGTGAGCTAGCTATTATTGGTTGTCAGGTTAGAAAGGCGTCACAGTAACCTAGAAGGAAGTATTGTATGGACTACCTACTGACCTGTCTCTATCTTACTGGCACTCAGCCCCCACCATCAACATGCTGGATGTTTTGAATCAGATGGTTGCTATGTCAGTATGCAGAAGTAACAGAGCACGGGCCAAAAGGGACCGACCAGTACATATGTAGTACGTGTACATCCCTGCGCTGTCTCACAGTAGCGGCGTTCCTCATTACTGTACTACCTGCAGAAGTATACCTACCGGTATGCTACAGTACGGTATGTACATAGGTGGGGTACCTACATGGGTAGCAGGTACATACCCCGCCATTCTTCGCGGGGAATAACCCCCCTTGCCGAGTTGAGACGAGACAGCTGGATTCAACCTTGTCTGGTTCTATCAGTTGATTTCCAATCGTTAGAACCATATGCCACGGAGCCCATAGAATGAACTACCGATGTGAATATTCAATCATGATAAATATATTAACTAACTATAGTAGGCTAATAAATACCACTTTCGGAACCTCATAGAGACGTCAACCAGCTTTCCTGCACAACACCCGCGCATATCCAACTAATTCACAACTAATACAATCGAACTATGCGGACCTTGCAATTCGCATTGGTCGAATTACCATCCATCGATTGTGGAGGCTCGGGTCTCCGAGGAACCAACGTGGGTCTCTTAGGGATGCTCATCTCTGCCTTTGGTGGCTGGAAAACACTTGGTTGAATCCGCACTTTTTCCCAAAGCAAACTCGGTGGCCAGGCATGGTTTCTGACCACATCAAAAATTATCGCCACAGGCTCTTCATAATCAACACCGTGACTATGAGAGTATTCACGAATCCCTAGAGCAAAGACAATCAACAGGGTATTGTTATCAACTCTCACGCCGTGTTGCTGCATGTCGTCTCGACCATGGAAAATTCCAAACCCAACATCTTCTAGACACCTCTTATGTACGTCATCATACGTACAATCAACGGCGAAAAGGTCAATTCCGTGCGGAGAATTCTTACTGAGATGATGAGCAACTATACAACTTCGAGTTAGTCAGAGCCAACGAACAGCTTTTTGAGGTAACGAATCGAGCCCCAAGGGATTGTCCTAGGACTCAAATAATCAAACAAGAAAATAATACTCACTCTCCAGCACAGTTAGATGTTGATCAAGACATTGCGGCGAGGCCATTATTCCATCTTCACCGAACCGGACTGCTATCTGTGATAATCCAACACAGACAACCTGCTTGATTTTGTTGTTCTCCGGAATGTTGTCAATAATTCTAGTAACATTGGAGCCTTTCTCGTTCAACATCCATTGCAGTTGCCCCTGACGTAGGAATTCACTCAACTCCAAATGTTTCAAACCCGAAGATATGATGGTCTGCGGGGGGTAGAGTGGGCTAAATTGAAGATTAGCTACGAACTAAAAAGCGAATAAAACTTCGGTACCCTTCTACCCAATCCTTCCCAATTTCTCGGAAAGGTCGTAACTCGGTCTTGCAGGTTGCCCCATAGTCACATGGAGTTGCGGATTGCTGCTGACGAAGGTCTCCGAAGAATTTCGCGCAGCTGTCGTTAGATCTATGTAGAGTGGGTTCACGTATAACCAATGGTGGATGGGAAATATAGCAATTATCGTTCAGGGGCGAACGCTCGATATGATAGAATGAAAGGCTGTCTTCCAACCAAGAATCCTGTTCCCCATCGGACGAGTTCGCGGGATCCCCAAATAGGCCAGACCCTAACGTGTTGGGCTCAACACGGGAGGGGGCGTTGAAAAGATCGACTTGGATGAAGCTTCCGATCTCGCTTCCGACCTCCTCAGTTTCACTCATAACTGGCTCTTCCATCCTTTCAGTTCGCCTCTGTGTCCTTTCACATCCCAATACCATCCACTTGTCAAGAGTAAGGGTCCCGGAGTGAATAAAAGGCTAGTCACAGCTAAGTAGGTAGGCAAAGGGACTGTAGAGCTCAATAGATTAGTCAATTAATCCCTAGCCTTGCAGAATATCTAGGAGGGCGACTCACTATCTAAACGATGTAGAATAGATTATACGAAGGCTGAAAGACAATTGTAGAGGAAGGAGGTAAACACGGCTTCCGGGGTTCCCAAGAAAAAAGGGTAGGTAAGTCCGTAGCCAACATTGAGTTTCGGGGCTATTTAACTGTGACCATAGGCATGTATCATTCTCAGCCTGTGGTCTCAAGGAAAAAAGGCCTTCACATAAGGTTTTAGGCATTGTCCCGGAATTTTCGATGCATTGAATGTTGGCTAGTTGAGCAGTACGCGTGTCTCTGTCCGATATCTGCCATATGGAAGGTATCCTATCCGCTCAAAACATGGCACAGCACACAAACTATCAAGATAGATCGTATTCGTAGTGTTAATCGGCCAAGTACTCCAGTTGTAGTGAAGTTGCTTGGCAAGATAGAATAGGGACTATTTGTACAGACGTATGATGATGTACAGCAGTTTATATAGGTTCCTATGTACATATATATACGGTAGATCAAAGGATCTTCTTGCGCATTCGCTGGGGCCGGTTGCTCTCGACTTGCGGGGGAGCTTTTACAATGGTAATGACGACGACTGTCCCCTCGACAGCCATTTCCGTTCCTAGATAGCAGTTGGTAATTGGGCAATGAATACGACCTTAAATTATGATCAAGGGATTCCACCTTTTGGCGAATATGCCACGAGATCGATGATGACTCACCCCGCAGGTTTTTTGGAGTTGACCATGCCACGCTGGGTCTCCAGCTAGGGAATTCATAATGAGCCTATTATCTAGATTGATGAACATCGCTGTTTAATCTTCAGTGAATGAGATTATTGTAAGTATTATATGTAATATATCAGAAGGCGCAGTTCAATTAGGTATGAAACAGAAATAGGCATCTGATAATGCATCTCTCTTTTCTCAGCACCAGTATTATCTGCCTCTGTACCCCTGTAGTCGTTGCCATCAATAATCAAATCGATAGGAGGGCGATAGTTAGAGCTTTCAACCCTCGTCGCAATGTCAGCTCAAAAATATCGCCAATGCAGGTCGGCAATGGCAACTTCGCTTTCGGAGTCGATGTGACGGGGTTGCAAACCTTTAGCCCCTTTGCGACTATGTCCACTTGGGGTTGGCATAATCACAGTTTGCCTACCACCCCCGGCCAAACATCAGTCGAAGGTAAGATTACCATGAACTCGTTTCTTGTTATTATTATCCCAAGGCTAACATTTCCACGCAGATTTCGTGGGCTTGGATTGGTGGACTCACGGGCGGTTGGTGAATTATAACCAGCCCAATCCTGCCCAGGATGATATTTCACAATGGTTAATACAAAATCCATCAAGGCTGAACTTGGCCCGCATCGGTCTTTCGTTCGACGGTGAAGACACAACGGAAGATGACTTGCAAGAGAAAACTCAGGAATTAGATTTGTGGACCGGCAAGATCTCATCTTCATTCAAGCATAAAGGGGCTATAGTCTCTGTGGAGACCTGGGCAGATGCGACGTCGGACTCGGTAGCCATCTTAGTTAAATCGGAACTCCTCGCCAACGGGTCTCTGGGGATCTTCTTCGACTTTCCTTTGCCGAGCGAAGCTACAAAATTCGAAGATCCCTTTGTAGGGCTCTTCAAGGCGAGCGGTCACAACACCTCCCTCCGTCAACAGAACCAGTCTGCGATCATCCGACACGATTTGAACGAGACGTCGTACGATGTTTCATTCAACTGGGATTCAAAAGCTGATGTTGATGGCCCCGCCGAGGGAACACACCGCTACGTACTACGACTATCAGGAAGGGAGAAACATATCGCATTAGCAGTGACGTTTTCACCGGCCGGGAAGAGACCTAAGTTACCAGTCGTGGAGCAGATAAAGGCGGCGTCTACCAGCTGGTGGACTTCTTTCTGGAATTCAGGGGCATTCGTGGATCTATCGGGGGCGACTTCAGCGGACGCTTCGGAGATGCAACGAAGAATTATCTTGTCTCAGTATCTCACAGTTGTAAACTCGGCGGGCACACTACCACCACAAGGTATCTCTACCATATTTCCAGGTTAATATCGAAGAGTTTGCTAACCGTAAACAGAGTCAGGTAAAATCACTCCATAAAACGCATCTCCGTTGAACCAACCCCCATAGTTGACATTATTCACAGGTTTGGTGAACAACGGTTGGTACGGTAAATTCCATGTAAGCACGGTATTCTAACCCCTACACTCACCCACTCTGATGATACTCGTAGTTGGAGATGGTGTTGTGGCACTTACTTCATTTCGCGCGTTGGAATAAATATTCTCTATTAGAGCGTAGCATGCCACATGTGTACAGCGACTTCCTCAGCTCATCCATAGAACGCGCGCGCCTCCAAGGCTACGAAGGCGCCCGATGGGGGAAAATGACAGATCCGACGGGCAGGTCGGCGCCTGGCGAGATCAACTCCCTACTTGTCTGGCAACAACCGCACCCGATGTATTTCGCAGAAGTAGAATACCGCTCGTTCCCAACTACCTCGACACTGAAGAAATGGGACGCCATCCTCACTCCGACGGCGGATTTTATGGCCTCGTATGCCTTCTACAACGCGTCGACAGGTGCCTACGACCTCGGCTCACCTATGTATCCCGTGTCGGAAAACACCAACCCGAATGCAACGATCAATCCGGCATTTGAGCTGGCATATTGGCGCTTTGGACTCGACGTGGCCATCACTTGGAAGGAGCGCCAGAGCCTCCCAGTCCCTTCGAAATGGATCGAGGTCCGCGACAACTTGGCCCCGTTACCCCTCGCAGGCGACACCTTCGCGCTGTACGAAGGGATACAGGATATGTGGGTGCCGAACTCAACGACTGTTACGGACCATCCGGCGCTCTCCGGGGTTTTCGGGCTCTTGCCGCCCCCGAAGAGCGGGCCGTTACTCAATATGACTGTCGTGCAGAACACGGCGGCTAGGATTCGTGAGACCTGGACATGGGACAGCGTGTGGGGTTGGGACTTCCCGATGTTGGCTAGTAAGTGAATGCATCGGTTTCTCCTTTCTCCTTCGTTTTTCATTCAAAAACTCGGTCATAGCTAATTCTGAATTATTGCAGTGAACGTCTTGCGTCTGGGTGATGTGGACCAGGCCGTTTCGTATCTCCTAGACCCTCGATTCACTTTCGACGAAGCTGGATATCCCGGCGGTGGATCACGCGTCCCGACGCCTTATTTCCCCGGCTCGAGCTCGTTCTTGCTCGCCGTCGCCATGATGGCTGGTGGGTGGGATGGTGAACCTGGACCTCATTTCCCGGAAGCTTGGGGGGCAAAGGTTGAAGGATTTGTTCCTGGATTGTGACAGTCTAAGTGCGGCTCGAGATCCGATAGGTTAGTCCTGTGTTGAGAGATTGGCTCAACAAAGAGTTGTAGCTATATGATGGCCCTTCCTTGATTGTATTGTTGTACTTGGTCAATTGGCTTTAACACAGCGCAATAAATTTAGAAGCGTACCTAGGATAGAGTATATCGTTGGAAACAAACCCGAATAAAGTGAAGCACATTTGAGAATGTGCTGCCATCTCGTAGATGATGTGTCCCGGTATCGATTGTGATATACTAGCCTCGTGCTGCATACTGATACAAGGATAGCCGGACCTAGGCAAAATGAAAAGATTCTATTGAGAACAGCTAGAACTTTCATCTAGTTTAGTTTTCTCGAGTAAATCAAACGCTATCAACTTGGGCTTCGCGGACTATTTTACGTTATATTTGCTATCAGGATGGGCGAGCCCGTTCCTGTTCTCTTGTGTGCCTTAATGCTATCAATACTAGATAGACATTGACTCTTTGTCGGTGGAAGGGCATTTCACAATATTCTGCCAATTCCACCCAAGCCAGTCTTTGCTTGCCTGTCGCTGTGACGCTGGTTCAATTATAATTCTTCGACTTGTCGAATCTCGGTTGTGTAGGTCCGCTTGAGCAAAAGATTTTTCATAGTAGAATCTCGCCCATGTTCTCCCCCTCAAATCCCAGTGTGGCCAACTTTTTGAGCTTCTTCGTCTCCTTCGCCTTCTCTACGGCTTTCTGTTCATTTGCAAGCTTTTCGACTAGGCCAAACTCGGCTTTCTCGTAGCCAAAAGGTGGATCATCATCCTTGTCAAGGTCGATTTCGCCGAGTAGCAACACATTCTCACCTCTGATGAGGAAAATACCATGCGATTTATCGGCATATACGCCCCTCGTTTGGGGATTTTGGGGATCTGTAACGGTTGCGAATACGCGTTCGATGGTAGATTGGAGGACTAAGTTTGCTGAATTTGGGGCATACTTGTGAGCTTCTAAGTCAATATAGAGAAGGCGGAGGATTACGACGCACCGAATTGGTCCCAGCTTCGGAGGATACCTATCAATTTCCTGCCGTCTCGGAGGACAAGTAGAAGCTTCTCTAGACGTCGCGGTCAACCACAGAAAAGAAGCGGCCTGTTGCTGGCAGTCTTACTATCAGTAAGGTCTAGCAACTGAGCAGCGGTGGTGAACATCTGGGGTGGCAGTTGCTGGGCTTGCGGCGGCAGCGGCGGCGGGCCGAGGGTGTTCATCATGGCTCCAGGATGAGGGCCGCCTGGCTGCGGTGGCGGATCGTGGGTGTTGAAGGGCTCCATAGTATCATCGGATCGGAGTCAAAGTGGTTCTCGGGGTTGGGGTGCACCGACTTTCCATGGAGCAAGCAGACAGTCGGGGAACGGAGGCGTGAGGCTCCAGTTGCTGCTTGCTGCGACGTGGGGGACGAAATAATTCAACGTCGGTGGCTGTTCCTTGTTGAGACCGATAAGTGCATGATATGATAACTGATGTCACCCAGGCCAGGCTTGAATGCCAGTGCGAATCTTCTGAAGGCGGGATGTGGCACGTGCACCGATGACGGCGCGCGCCTGGTGCTGCACGGTACCTTGGGCAAGTACCTTACTTACGAAGTAACACCTTTCACAAACGGCAAGGACATGAAACACCAGACATTGAAGACGTAGAATCAATACATTCCCGTTGGATGATGTGAAGCGTGCTCAGATATTCTCTTTAGCATCTACAGCAACTTATTACTACAGGTAGCTAGCTATCCAGGGTTCTATGAACTGAACGAAGAGACAACCACAACCAAGGTCGCCAGACAACCAGGAAACCTTGCCTTGCCTGTGCTTCATCCGTTCTATCCAGCAAGCAAGGACAGGCAAGCGTTGAAAAAACGCAACTTTACTTCTAAGACAGTCGGGATTGGTCACCTACCAGACTTCCCTGACTATTCTGAGGTATCTTGGGTGGGGTGTTGACCCCTTGATTAACAGCAAGCGAGGGGAAGGGAGTTCCAGGGGCAATTGGTAACCCCTCGCTTACACTATTCTTTTTACATACTTATACATATCCCCAGCAAATGTGCTCTTCCAACATCCCCTAGAGCCTAGTTGAAAGATACATAGTATACACTCGATGCTAGGCATTGAAAAAACCAACAGACCTGGTCTGACTACCTAGGTATGTACATGGGTTCATTCTGTACCATTCCCGGCCCTCTGCCATCCGGGTCTGTCGAACTTGTCAACGGTTTCATCTGATCTTACCTTGAACCCAGCACATAATGTGACTGTGACAACCTCGGTCTCCTATCTAGCATTCGTCTCAAGTCATGCTAGATCCCGCAGCCATCTATCCGCAAGTTCGCCGAGAATGTAACATCTGCATATGTACTATGTAAGGCATACTAAAGTGGCTCGCTGCATCCACCTTAACCGCTGGAGTCATGATTTTCCATTTTCGGAAGTATCTCAACTCTAAAGACATGTTTCGGGAGTCTATTTCGGGAGTAATATGTCTCATTTAATATAAAGCAATATACTACCTAACTAACTAACGCTATTCAGCTTCATCAACCAAAGCGTATAAATGGCGGGCCCGTAATAGCTTTCGAAAGCTTGGTAAAATTGGCTTCGTAGCAGGGGCAGGATCAGGGCTCCCATTCCATATACGATTCTGGCTCTATATCCAGGTTTAGCTTACGCTGCTTAGTTGGGTTTTTTAGTTCGTTTTTAAGGTATAATGCTTATATATACTTTTAAAGATCGCTTTTTTATATAAAGGATTTTTTATATCTATTATAAACGAATAGTTTTTTTTATTATATATAGCTTATATATACCTTTAAAGATTTCTATTTTATATAAAGGATTTTAAATATTTATTATAGGTAAATAGTTTTTTCTTAAAGTATATAGCTTATATATAACTTTAAAGATTTCCATTTTATATAAAGGATTTTAAATATTTATTATAAATAAATAGTTTTTTCTTAAGGTATATAACTTATATATAACTTTAAAGATATTTATTTAATGTAAAGGATTTTAAACATTTATTATAGATAAATGTTTTTTTTTAAGGTATATACCTTATATATACCTTTAAAGATTTCTATTTAATGTAAAGGATTTTAAATATCTATTATAGGTAAATGTTTTTTTTTTAAGGTATATACCTTATATATACCTTTAAAGATTTTAATTTTATATAAAGGATTTTAAATATTTATTATAAGCAAATAGTTTTTTTTTAAAATATATAGCTTATATATATATTTAAAAATTATAATTTTATAAAAAGGATATTTATATATTATAATTTTTATAAGGATATAAAAACTTATTTTAATATTCTTTAATAATATAATTATAAGCTTTAATATCTTTAAAATATTTATATTCCTTATAGAAGTAATAGGTTTTAATAGTAAGAAACCTTTTTAAATATACCTTATAGTTAAACATTATACCTAATAAATAGTTATTATATATATAATATATATATAAGCTTATTAATATATAAGGTATATAGTAAATTAAATATAAAAAATTATATAGTTTACCTTTAACCTATAGTTTAATTAGTAGTAAAGTATTATATATAAACTATTATAATAAGCATTTTACCTTCTTTAATAGTAATTTAATACCTTAGATCTTATTACCTATTATATTATAAAGGGTAATAAGTATATTATCCTATAGGATTAATTAAATAATTATATTTACGTTTAATATAATGTTAAAATTATATATGCCTTACCTATAATTAATTATTATTATAGTAAACTATATAGTTAAATACTTTAACTTTTAATTAAAAATATAATAAAAGTTTTTATTATTAAAGGTGTTCTAATATCCTATTTTTATTATAATACTATATTAAAGGTATTTTATTATAGTTATTATTATTAGGTAATTTTAAAAGGGAATTAAAGGGAAACCTATTATATTAAATTTAACTTTAAATTAAAGTTTTTTTAAACCTAATTATAGGTTTTAAATCTTTAGCTACTATTGTTTAAAATATTATTAATATATAATTTTATATAAAAGCTATTAAGGCATTAGATTTTTTTTATTAATATTTAATATTACTATATTTTGATCGTATTTTTATAATATTTAAATTTGGTCTATTGCTTAAAAAAATAATATTATAATCCTAAAACTTTAATTTAATAAAAGGGATGCTTTATATATAAAATAAATAAAAAACCTTCTTTTTATAATTATTAATTAATAGAATTACTAAATATTTATTAAATTTAGCTTAATTAATATTATAGTTTTAAGCAATTTAAAGTAAAATGCTATATAAATCATTATAAGGCTAAGGATTAATTTAATAATATTCCTTTATAATATAGTTTAAAGTTAAAAATATTTAATTAAAGAATTTATTTAGCAATTATAGCTTCCATTTTAATAAGTACTTTTTAATAAAGTTTAATTAAATATTAATTTATAATATATTAAGAAGTTATTAAAACCATTTATCCTTATTATTAATAATTTATTATAATTTATTAAGTTACTTTATATAATAAGGAATATTAATATTAAATAGAATATAAATAATTATATAATTAATTAAAGCGTAAAAAAGAAACCTTAATTTAAGTTTTTTAACTTTAAAGTTATATTAATTATAATATATATATAATTATTACTTTAATAAAGGAAAAATAATTAAAGCTATATATTATTTTATAAAGTTTATATAAAAAAAACTTAAAAATAAATTATTTATTATATAGTTTATTAATATATAATTATTATTATTATTAAGGAAGAGGTTTATATAATTATACCCTACTTTAAAGGAAAGGGAAAAAAGATTAAGGTTAAGCTATAACTTAAGCCTTATCCAATTATAAAAAGCTATTAACTAATTTTAATTTTTAATTTAATTAAAAAAGGTTAAAAGATATTCCAATATTATTTTAATATATTATTTAAAGGCTTCCTTTTTAATATAAAACAATAAGCTAAATTCTTTAAAGTTCTTTTAACATTTTAAAGATAGCTCTTTATTAGCTACCTTAAATAAAAGAGCTTTAATAACCTTATTAGACATTTAAGTTATATATAATAGATTTAATGGTCCCTTTCTTTTTATTACTTATATATAGCCTTAGTTATTTTAAGTCCAGTTACCCTTTTTTTAAATTAGCTTCTTTTTTATATAAATATTAATAATGTTATTTATATTATTTAGCTTTTCTTTAATAATAATAATAGTAGGGGTAATAGGAGTAATAGGAGAAAACTTATTAAAGCTTAAGTTTAAAGCTTTTAAATTATTATAATAACTATAATTAATATTATAATCTAAATCTTTTAAGTTAGGGGTTATATTATAATTTATATTATTATAATTTATATTATAGTAATTAATATTATAATAGTTAATATTATAGCCGCTTTGGGTATAAATAGTTACGGTAAGCTATTATGGTTTACCTTTAATAGCTAGCCTATTTGTTGTTAATTTTTTAATAGTGAACCTAATTTACATATTATAGTTAAGATTAATATAGAGTAAATATATATAAATGGATAAAAATAAAGGAAATAAAGGAAATAAATATTATAAGGATAGGTTTAAGCTTTATAAATAAAAGGTATATTATTTAAAGATATATTATTTAAGTAATAAAAGATTTATTAATTAAAAGGGCTATTATTAATATATTATAATTAGTTTATAATAATAAAGTAATAGTTAAATAAGTTAAATGAAATAGGAACTAAGGTATATTAATGTATTAAAATTAATAAATAATAATAAAGCAATAGTTAAATAAGTTAAATAAGATAGGAATTAAGGTTTTTATAATAAGATAATCTTTCTTTAATATATAGTAATATATTAGCTATTTCTTTTTTTATTAAGTATTATTTATATAATTAAATATAATTAAAAGTATTATAAAAAAGTTAGCAATTAAATAAAATAAATATATATTAACTTAATTTATCTTTTATTTTTATATTTAGCTATTTAATATAAAAGGTTGCATTATTTAAAATATTAATTAACATTTAATTAATTATTATATTAAGATCTAGCTATTTTTATATAATAGTTAAATATAAATTAATAAGATAAATTATAATATCTTTAATAAAAGTATTATAAAGAAGTTAATAATTATTAATAATTAAATAGGATGGAATATATATTAATTTAATTTATTTCTTTTATATTTAGCTGTTTTATATAGGAGGCTGCATTACTTAAAACATTAGTTAATATTTAAGTAATTAGTAATACCTTTATAATTATTACGTTAAAACCTAGCTATTTTTATATAAAAGTTGTAGCATTTATATTAAAATATTATAATAAAGCTAATAGTAGATTTAGCCTTTATTTTTTATTTAAATCTTATATAT